CAGCAACTTGCAGTGCGGGAAATCTGCGCGAGACAGGGAGCGGTAGCAGCTCGCAGCGGAGACCCCTCCGAAGGCAAAAGCAAACAGAAGGAGCAGCGGCAGCAGCAGCAGCGGCGAGAGCGGGGTCGGGGCCACGTGGCCTGCGACCGCTGCGGCCGCCGGATAGCGCCTCTTGGCGCCTAACCGCAGATGGCTACCAGCCATTGTCTCCGCTGTTGAACCAGGCTGATTGCCTGGCAGGTCTTGAAATGGCTTTGCTGTTATTTGCTGGTATGCCGGTAAGCAAAGCGAAGGAGAATACCACTAGAAGGCCACAACGGCAACAGAGTCGTCAACCTTGCTTCTAACTGGTATCTATTGCTATGATGAGTACCGGAACTACAAAGGATGCTTAGCAGCAGAAGCAATAAGAAGTGTAGGAAGGCCCAAGAAGCAAGCGTCTAAGGCGACGTCTATCAGTCCAATGCCGCAATACGACCGGCCGCGCGAACCGCTGCCCCGAGGCCCCGATTGGTAGCGACGTTTGCGTAACCACAGACAACGGTTAGGCAGGTGCATAAACCAAAGTGCGTAAGCTTACCAAAACTGTGCATAACCTGTACAGCAATTACATGATTTAGTAAGATGGGTGCCTGAAGTTACAAGGTTGGCGATTGGGAGGTTTACAACTGTCGAGCAAAAGGGGCTACCTTGCGCTGCAACAAATCTTACGCCCAGCGTTCGTTTTCACCAGCAAACCGGCTGGGTGATAAGCAAGACTTTGCAAGGCCCCGGCACGCAAAGACCCGAGGGTCACTTGGGCACGGGCGAGCCAGGGACGCGTTGCTAGACCGCAAACGAAGACGAAAATGTGCGGACAGTAGAACATGACTATGTTCCCGAACACCCGCAGGCACCTTTACCCCTGCTGACTTCACAGTAATGGGGTTGAGTAATGATACGTTGCCATTTTATGTGGGCTTCCCTGCGTCCCCGCGAGAACAGTGGTACAAGGGGTGGGATGGGGTAACGAACGGAGGGAAGAGGGACGCACTGCTAACTGACCATGCCGCATGCTGCAAACCAGTACACTCATTTCGTCAGTATGCGAGGATTATAGGGGAGTCGGAATCCATTTCGTCAGCCGGCTCAGCACAGCAAGTCGGCGGAAAAGTAGTACGGCATCCAGACGGGCATCCAGACGGGTACCGGTACCGCAAGTCCCCCGCTGTGGCCTCAAATCATGCGCATCACCGACTCCCGCCTTTGTCAAGCTGGTTTCGGGGCTGTTTCTTAGGGGCGATCTCAGTCACCTGCTGTTGCTTGTCTGTCCCACGTTCTCTTGTTGGGCTAGCTGCGTCTGCCTGTGCTTGGAGACTGGGCAAGAGGGCACTCGGGAGGAGGCCCGGGCCGGGTTAGGTAAGTGGTAGGTTGGGTAAGGGCATATTTCCTGAGGGCTTGCCGGCGCCGCACTGTGAATGCGAGGGGTTGGATGCTCAAGCTCTATGTGCCAAGGTAGAGGGGATGAAGCGGCTGCTCGGTCGCTGCTCATTCCTGCCAGCGGCTGCCAGGGTCTCTCGCAATGAGATGCTGCCTGGGGTCAAGGACCCTGTGTGGCTGCAGCCACTGCTTGTGTGGAGGAGGCTATGTCGGCCACCGGGACCCCACCCCAATACGTACGGCACAGGACCCGCTGGGCCGACGCTTGGACGAGTATCGTGGTCGAAGGGGTCCCGGTTACCCAACTTGTAAAGCTAGGTCTGCCCTCTGTAGTTATTATGTTGTAACATTACAACTGGGCTGTTTGCGCAAAAGCGAGAGACAGACAATGAACTCGTTCTTTCTTTGGCTATGACATGAGTGTCACAACGCTCAGTGCCTTGGGTGCTATAACTTTAGGCTTGATCAGCCTAGTTGCAACAGACTCCTTCTGCCAATTATTATTTGCATTCAGGCTGACACCTCGGTTTGCAACGTTCGGAATCGTGGATCCGAGTTCCGCATTGGATGGGTTTCCGCGAAGGTCCTGGGGCCGTCATAAACGGAGTCAGCCTGCAGTGTTGCCAGTTCATCGTCGACATTAACGACAGAAGCTCAGCCAGACATATAACTTTTAGGGGAAAAAGGTGCGATGCGCAGCTAATGCTGGCAGCGATTCCTCAACTGGAAAAGAGCGCCCAATACCTTGCGAAGCAATGCCATTTTCCTAATTTAACTAAGAGGCTAATGAGCAGCAGTTGTGGAATCTCTCAGTCAGCAGCTGCTGCAGCTACCACTCAAGAGCAGCTGAGTAATGTGGTATGCGAATTGCAGCAAGCCCTCTCCCGCATGGAGAATGAGTTAGTTGAGCACAAATTCCTATCACAGCACCGGTTCTACATCAGAGATTTCATGGATATCGTTGTGGTGAAGGTGGGACTACCCAGCTGGGAGAGGCTGTCACGGCTCCTGAGGCAGGAGGCGCAAAAGCCAGGCTACCTGCGCACACACACTATGGTTCTCAAGCACACAGTACGAACCATGGGGTTCAGCTGGGATGAATGGTGCCAGCTTTGCGCCCTGGCTGTCGCAAGTGAAGCGCGCTTCTACGCTGTTGGTGAAAGCGAGCCGACATCCTACGCCGCTGCGCTGGCAAGGCTACTGGCCCAGCCTGTGCCCCACAGCCTTCAGCACACCAAAGAGTTAGTAACGAAGGCCCTGGAATACCTCAACAATGCACCTGACATCTGAACGATGGTGAGTTTCCTAGCCGACAACGACAGCCGCGATCCTGCACATCTGTATGTGGTGCAGCTGCTGCAGGCGGACGCCAGCGCCGTTGTCATGTCCTTTACTTCTCCAGCTGTGCTGTGATTTTCAACGAACTTTAGGTTCGTTGCAATGGAGACCGGCATGAAACCCGCTGCTGCATGGGGTGAAGGAGGGCAGGCTTGTACGGCACTGTGTGTGCTGCGTGGCCATGTACACTTGCCAGCTACCTCCCCTCAGTGACTCGTACGTGCGTTCTCATTCTGGTAGGGCTAGTGGCTCTTATGGTGTTGCGGTGGGCATGCTTTTGTGAGACCATGCCCTTGTTGGACAAAAGCGACCCGGATGGCTGGAAGCGGCTGTGGGAAGAATGATATCGTTGTTAGCTAGCGTGCTAGCTGGTGAGTGCAGTGATGGGGCTGTTATGAGGCCGTGCACATTACGAGTACACGACCCACGGCCCGCACTCCCGTATGGCAAACCAGCCTAATTGTTCGTCACCTGGCATAACAGGTGTTATGGTGTTAGGGTTGGGATTTTGGGTCGCACACTTGCGGCTGATGTAAGGGTTAGTGGTACGTCCACATCCGCCTCTGTGCTGGGTGCTACGGACGAACCCCATAAATTGTGCCAGTGGAGTGGGCGGCATGCCCACCCGACCTTTCTTGCAAGGTAGAAGCGGCTTTGGGGGTGTCCTTTCCATCATAGGACGCCGTGGGCAACCCAGGAACCGAGAAGATGCCACGTCATAACCAAGTAAACAGCATCAAGAAGCCTTGGTAAAGATGAACACCCAAGCTTGCAAGTCTAGAACAGCTGTCGTTGTTGAGAGCTGAAAGGGTTCAGGGCAGCAAGTCAGCGCAGGACACTCCCACGGCATCCAGACGGGTACGACATTAAAGAGCGGTATCAAGGCATCAATCCGCCACAGGGACACTGCTTTCGATGACGCTCGGAAGACCCTGTGCGCCACCGCCCGGGTAACACACCGCCGGAGACCCCTGAATGAAGTCAGGGTTGCGACCGAATTTCCGCGCGCAGAATGGCAGGCGATTAAACGACACATGCTAAGCCTACTTAGCACACGCAGAGAACTACGTTATCTGGTTAGCTGGGATTCACACATCCTGCTTTGACCAGTAAGGGAAAATCGCAGCGCCGTGAAACCACACCTCACTAGCTGGCGACAAGAACCACCTGGCCACGCCACGCCATCCACCCATAGCCAGCGGTCGGGTTTCTCTAAGGTTATGGAGTTTGGTTCATGTACATGAATAGACAACAGCGGGGTAAAGGCCAGACCCCTGCATCATTCCTAGGTTGCAGACCTGCCGTACCATACACAAAGTACGACAGAATGTACGACAGATATCGTATATGTAATCGCGGAGGGTAGAGATAGGGGTACGCACGCTTGGTTTGGCAATCCACACGTGCCTGCTACAGGGTGTCCTCATCCCCTCCTGTATACATCCACTAAACCCCTGCTGCTCGACGCATTCACTGCAACGACGACGACGACAACATTTTAGCCTTCCTGCTGCCCAAGGCATTCCCCTCCGCTTCCACTCATGCTTCACCCGCCCTCACAAACTGCACCCCGCCCTCCACCCTGCCTTCGCCACCACACGTCCCATCCCTATCAGTGCCGGTATGAAACAAACAGCAGCTGCCGCAGCTGCCGACATGGCAGCCCTGCACCCGCACACCTGCACATCCCTAGTCCCCTGCCCTAGTAGTCCTGCCCTTTCCCGCCTCCCTTCTAATACCGGTAGCGGCTAGTAGCGGTAAAAGTAGGCATGCGAGCCAAATGCCATGACGAACGTCTCCCGCCCCACCGCCACACACGCGGGCGCCGCGAAGCTGGTGTACACGGGCACCTGCCGCACCCGCAGCCGCCCGCCACCCGCCTCCACATACGTACCAGCACCTCCAGCACCGGCAGCAACAACACCTCCTGCATTGTTACCTCCGCCGCCACCGCCATTCCCACCATTCCCACCACCGCCAGGCGCCTCCGTCACCAGCGTCAGGTGCGGCGCATGCTCTAGCGCCGAAACCACAGTGCACAGCACCCCTCCCTCTCCTCCTGCTCCTCCTCCTCCCACTCCTGCCAGCATCGACGTTTCGTCCCCCGCCATATACGCCGCGTGCACCGAATACACCGCCTGCCCGCTCCGTACATCCCACACGAACACCGACCCCGCCGCTCCACCCCCCCTCGACCCACTCGCCAGCAGCCCCCCACTCGCACCCCACACCAGCCTCCCCACGCCCTCCTTATGCCCCTCCAACACCGTCACCTGCTGCCCCCCTCCTCCTCCGCCCCCCATCGCCCAAACCCGCACCGTACCGTCCTCACCCCCCGACGCAAGCAGCCCTCCGTCCGGACTAAACGCCAGCCGCATCAACGGTCCCGCATGTCCCTTCAACACCGCGACCGAGCGCCCCACGGAGGGCCCGTTTGCCGGCCACAGCCGGATGCTCCCCTCCTCGCAACCCGAGGCGACCAGGTCCCCAAAGGGCGACACCGCGACGGCCCTCACCGCGGCGGTGTGCCCGGTGAGGATGGCGGTCTGCTGACCGGTGTCGCTGTTCCAGAGGCGCAGGCGGCAGTCCTCGGAGGCGGAGGCGAGCAGCGGGGAGCCGTCGGGGCTGAAGGCCAGGTCGGTGACGGCGTCGCTGTGGCCCTGTGGGGCAAGGCAGGAGCGGAAGGACGGAGGAACGGGAGGAGGGAGGGTTGGGGAAGGTAAGGGAGTCGCTGTGGCCCTGTGTGGGCAGGTACGGTAATGTGTACGGGATTACATATGGCACTTGAAAGGGTTGGTAAGTGAAGGTCACATCATTCATCACACCAGTTTCCACCCCACCTTGAGCCGCGCGCGCAGCCTGCCGCTCGCCAGGTCCCACACCCGAATCGCTCCGTCGCTCTCCGCCACCGCCAGCGTGCCCTCATCCGGTGACATGCGGGCCACGGTGGGGCGGGAGGAGGCGCCGTGCCCGGGGCGCTGCGGGGGCGCCATGGGGGCGGCGGCCGCTGCGTCCCACATGGTGAGTGTGCCGTCCTCCGCGACCACTGCGGCTGCCCGGCCGCTGTGGCAGTAGTGCACGGAGAAGGTGACGGCGCCGGCGGGAGCCTTGGGGAGGAGGGGAGGGGGAGAAGGAGGAGCAGGTGGGGGAGCAGGTTGGTAAGGAAGGGCGGATTGGGCAGCCAAAGGACAAACAGCCCGACGCAACGTGTCTTGTCGCTACTGCAAAAAACACATGCGCAAGCAGCTAACTCTCAGTTGCCAGCCACCATGCACGTCTTCCCCTCTCGCCTCCGCACAACCTGCTGCTCCGCATCCACTGACCGCCCCCACCCCGCTCCCCTCACCTGCACCTCCTCGCCCTCCCCAGCCTCCCTCAGCGCCGTCCTGGGGTCCCACAGCCGCAACGTGTGGTCCTCCGACGCCGACACCAGACCGCACCCCCCAGGCGAGAACGCCAGCCTGCGCACCGCCCCAGCATGCGCCGCACGCACCGTCGACACACCCCGCCCTCCTCCTCCTCCTCCTCCTCCTCCTCCTCCTCCTCCTCCTCCTCCTGCTCCTCCTCCTCCTCCTCCGCCTGATAAGCCCACTGCAAACACATGCAGCTCGCCAGTAGCTGAACCCGACGCCACCAGCTGTCCATCCGGGCTCACTGCCAGTGCAGTCAGAGTACCGTACGACTCCGCTTCCAACACGGCGAGCGAACGCACGCCGGCGGGAGGACCGCCGCCACCGGCAGCTCCGCTGTTACGCGTCTTGGACGTCATGGGCCTTCTGGGACCTCCGCTTCCGCCGGCCCCTCCGCCGCCGCTGCCGCCGCAATCTCCCATGGCCCAGAGGCGGAGGGTGTGGGAGGTATCCGCGGACACCAGGATGCCGCCGTCCGGGGTGAAAGCCAGGGCGGCGACGGGGAAGATGTGGTCGTTGATGGCGCCGCGGGAGGCGCCGCTGGCGGCGTCCCACAGCCGTACGACGTCGGCGGCGGAGGCGAGCAATGGCGCAGTGGGGGAGAAGGCGAGGGAGGTGACGCCCTGGCGGTGCCCCTCTAGCGCAGCCTGCGGTTGGGGATTTGCAGTGATGCTTTTTCGCAGAATCGCTAAACATTAATGAATTAGTAAAACAATACCGGTAGAAACGTTAGCCACAGGGCGCCCAAGCGCGCATGGATTACTACCGCTGTACTGCTCACCTGCAGCGTCCCCTCCGCCGTATTCCACAGCCGCACCACCGGGTCACCCGCCGCCGCCGACGCCAGCCTGCTGCCATCCGCAGAGAACGCAAGCGCCAGCAGCGGCCCGCTGTGACCCTTCAGCTCCGAGCCCCGCGACGATCCGTCTTCCGCCAGCCAAACCCGCACTCGCATGTCGCGGCCCCCCGAGGCCAGCAGGGCTCCGTCACGGCTAAACGCCACCGCCGTCACTGCCTCTCGATGTCCCTTGAGCTCCGCATGTCGAAGACCCGTCGTTGGATCCCACAAGCAGACGCTGCCGTCGTCGCCGCCGGTCGCCAGCAAGTGACCCGTGGGACTGTACGCCAGGCAATGCGTCGGCGGCGCCGCCAGCGCCGCCTTGGGTTCGCCACTGTCGGCGTCCCAGAGCCGGAGAGATCCGTCTAGGGAGGCTGAGATCATCAGTCGGCCGTCAGGACTGTACGACACATCCGGAACCGGGGCCTTATGCGCCGTGAGGGCCATAACTTCCAACGGCCAACTGTAGGGTTCGTTAAGCATATCGACGGAGGGTTTGTGGATGACCATGCCGCTGTTGCTGCCGCTGTTGCTGGCGGCGGCGGCGGCGTCAACGGCGGCGGCGGCGGCGCGGTTGCCGACCTGCCAAACAATGGAGCAGCGCGGCGCCTCCGCCGCCAATTGCCGTACGGCACCCGGATGAGACCAAAGTACGGCACCATGCAATCCGAGCCATCGTACGACGTCCGCTACGACGGGAGATGTACGGCAGGGGGGCAGGGAGGCGAGCTCCGCGTGGAGTTTGAATACGTCGCCGGTACGACAAGCAGCTTCCAGGTAGCGCAGATCCTGAGGAGGAGGAGCAGCAGGGGTGGTGGTGGTGGTGGGAAGCGGAAGAGGACGAGGGTTATTGAGAGGGGAGGGTCACAGTCAACAGCGGTTGCGAGCGGTTGCTTAACTGCAGGGCAAAGTGTGTGTTCCTTCAACCGTTAGCAGGAAGGAAAGGGGAAGAAGCGGCAAGGGCTTAGTATTAGTCAAAAGTCGGAAGGAGAATTAAAAGTGTTTACTCCTGCAGGCCTATATCATTCTCATCGTCCTCCTCAGGGTACCTGCAACGCCGCGTCCAGCAGTGCGGGTTCGCTGCCCGCCTGAATGAGGTGGGTGGCCAGGTAGCGCGCGCCGTACACCCCCAGCGGCCGGGACGTCAGCAGGTGGCGACCCAGGCGGGCATGACCGCGGCGGGCGTCGGCGTGGCGGGGACCCGAGGCAGCGGGGTCCTGCGCAGGAGGGGGGGAGCGGGTGGGCGGGGGGTTTAAGGGTAAAGGACTAAGGAGGGGAAGAGCGCGTGTTGCGCGGAGCATGGTTAGGGGTTAAGGGTATCGGAGGGCGTCAGCGGGTCAACGGTCTCGGAGGACGGGAGGGTTTCGATAGGGTAGTGTGTAGTTGAGCGGAAACTCCCCTCCCAGCCCCCTCTGCATCCGCTCTCTCCCTCCCTGCATGAGTCGGGATATGCGATTGGGACCGCAGTTGCTTCACTTCTCATGTAATGCTTGCATCCCTCCCTCCCTCCCTCCCTCGCCCCTCCCTGCAGCCCCCACCTGCAGCCAGTCTATGAGAGTGCGGTGCAGCACGTGAACCGCATGGTCCCGCTCGAAGAACAGCGCCCCCCAGCCCGGCAGCCCCCGCAGCGCCTCCCGCAGCCCCAGACCCGCGATCAGCGACATGGGGGGCGGCTCCTGCGCGGCAACCAGCACCTCCAGCAGCTGCTGCACCTGAGTAAGGGAGAGGGTGGGGGAAGAGGGAGCGAGGAGGAGAGGGTTGAGGGAGAGAGGTCAGTTTGGCGGCCAACGATGGGAGAGGAGCAGAGTATGGAGGGAGGAGGGAGAGGAAGGTTGGGACGGCTACCTAGCTACATGACACGTGTATGTTGCACGCGGGCTCCCCATGACGACACATCAGCACCCGGGCCCTGGACCCCCTCACGGTTACGCGGTTTAGTTCTGACAACACACCGCCCACACTGCCCCCCCCCACCCACGCACCTGCTCCCCCAGCCCCTCGTCCTCCCCGCGCGGCCACAGCTGCCGAAACACCTCCGCGAAGGCCGCCCCCAGGCTCCGCGGCACCCGCTCCGGCGGCAGCGGAGGGGGCAGCAGCGACACAACCGGGAAGTACACTAGCGTGGAAGAAGAGGAGGAGCTTGAGGAGGAGGGGTGAGGAGCGGAGAGTGAGGCGGAGGCGTCTTCGCTGCTGTCGTCGCCTTGTGCAGTGCTGCGGCCGCTGCCGCCCTCACCGCCGCTGCCACTGCCGCTGCCGGATGCGCTGCCGCGCTGGTTACGGGGTTGCTTCTGGGTGCTGACGCCGGTACCGGTCTTGTTAGGGCCAGTGGTGGCGCCTGCCCCTGCTCCTCCTGCTCCTGCCCCTCCGCTGCTGCCCCCACCGCCCCCGGCTGCCAGGATCATCCGAGCAGTGGCCTCACCGAACCGCTCCACTAGGCGAGTCTGGGGATGGAGGACGGGGTGAGAGGGGATTGCGGGCGCTGTGTTGGGCGTTGTGTATGGCGAGAGAACATGAGACCGCGCAGGAAGCAGGAAGCAACAATCTCTTCACACAACATCTCTTCGAACGCTTTTGCTCGAAGGGGCAGTGGTCGTGACAATGATACCTCCTCCGCTCCGCCTAGACACGTACCCCTCATGCCCCCCCTAGCCCCCCTCCTACCCGCATGCTGGCCTGCGTCTTGTCCGCCTTCCACAGCTGTGCGGGCGTGAGCTCCAGCATGCCCGGAAAGCGGCAGCGCAGGGGCTCCAGCAGGTGCGGGTCGGGGCGTGCGGTCGTCAGGATTCGAACCCAGGCGGGCAGCTGGGACAGCTGGTGCAGCAGCAGCTGGAGCACCTTGTTGTCGAGCGCAGAGGGTGCCGAGGCGGAGGAGGGAGCGGATGACCCGTGGGTCGGCAGGTGGGTGGGTTTGTCCGCCTCGTCTAACGCGTCCAGGACCAGCAGGATCTGGAGGTGAGGGAGAGGGTGAGGGAAAAGGTGAGGGAAAGGGCGAGGGAACGCGTGAGAGAAAAGGTGAGAGAAAGGGTGAGGGAAAGATGAGGAAAACCAACGACGATGAACGACGGCATCCAGGCCAGCTCAGTCTTCACTTTTCAGCACATACCGGTACCAACAGCACATCAGGGTGTTAAGAGGGAATCCACCATGCACCACCACCGGGCCCCCCTCCCCATCCCTCCCATCCTTCCCACCATGCAACCCCCCCACCCACCCCCTCACCTGCTGTCCCTGCACATGCTGTTGCACCAGCGGCGCCAGCAGCAGCTCCCGGCACGCCGCATCCGGCTGATGCAGCTGCATCAAGGTGCCCGGATCCAACCCGCAGTAGTACGGCTGCAGCGCCGGCAGCGTGTGAGCCAGCTGGTAGGCCAGGCTCTTCACCACACGCACCGGGTCCTGACGTCGAGCGTCGCCGAACTTGCAGAAGTGGTAGGCGTGCACCGTCACGCTGGGGCCGCTGGCGAGGGGGGCGCGGGGGGGTTGCGAGGGAGGTGAGAGTCGGGCTGTGGCGGGACGGTCGGGTTGCTGTTGCTGCAGCTGCGGGTTGTCACCGGCCCCGGGGGTTGTTGCAGCTGCTGCTGCTGCCGCGGCAACCTCGGCTGCTGCCTCGGGGCCCATGCAGATGACCGCACTGACCGTGGACTTGCCTGTGGTGGGCGAGGTGGGGGCGGGATGGGGGCGGGATGGGTTTGGGATGGGGGCGAGGGAAGGATCGTGGCCGGGGACGGATGGGGGCGGGAGGCGGAGAGGCGAGGCAGTCGGTTGTTGGGTTGTTACCCCCAAGTGAAGCAACAGGACCCCCACCCACTGCAAACCATGATGACGCCTTGTCACACGGTTCGTTAAGTCGTTTCCGCTTTACCCCCCATCCCCCCCCTTGTCACCTGCTCCCGGCATGGCCGCCACCACCGCCAGCTGGCTGCCCCGCCCCTCCGGCTGCCCCAGCCACCCCGCCAGCGGCCCGAAGTCCCACTGCGCCGGGTCCGCCCCCGCCCGGGCCGCCAGCGCCAGCATGTCGGGCTTGCAGTCCAGCGGGTCGAGCAGGAAGCGCAGCTTCAGCTTGGCGTTGAAGGCCTGGAGGAGGGGGGGGAGGGGAGAAAAATAAGTGATAGTGCATCAGCTGGAGTGCAATTGCGAGATTGGGGGAGGGGGAAAGGGAGGGAGGCAGGGGAAAACAAATAGGAAGAAGGGAGGATGAAGTTGGTGCTTGTGAGATTGTCTGTTCGCAACGGGGCACATGAGGCTGATCGAGGAAAGCTGATGTCTGGACGGGGGGGGGGGGGTCAGGACCTAGGGGTCAGGGCCCAGGGTTAGCTTGGCGGTGTACCGGTGGGCATGGCAGGTTTCTTCTTCTTTACCCTCCCCCCTCCCGGCCCCGCTGCTCCCCCCCCCCCCCCCTCACCTCCGTGGACCCGTGCTTCTGACGGATGTCCGCCAGGATCATGTCCTTGTCGGACAGCACGGTGGCCTTGGCGGCGTCAACGTCGATGGAACTGAGTGGAGGGGGGGAGCGGGGCGGTGTTAGGCGGGCGTGGTGACCCGTGGGTCAGTGGCTGGGTGTATGTCAGAAGAGTCGGATCGGCAGATAAAGACCACAAAGTCTGAATACCGGAAACGAGCCCCTTACCACCCCGGATCTACCACGCCAGTGCACCATCCTCCTCCCCCTCTTCCTTCCCCCCTTTCCCCTCCTCCCCCTTCCCCTCCTCCCCCTTCCCCTCCTCCCTCCCCCTTCCCCTCCTCCCTCAATGCGCTCACTGCATGAGTCGGGATATGGGATTGGGACTTAGTTGTTTGCATTTCTTATATAATTTTCCCCTCCTCCCTCCCCCTTCCCCTCCTCCCCCTTCTCCTCCCCTACCTGAATATCGACGCCACCTCTCGAATGCTGAACCCCGGCGTCAGCAGCACCAGCGCATCCGCCCCCTTCAGCGCCAGCGTGTTGTCGAACTCGTACAGGCACCACACCCGCTCCAGGGGCGTCCCCGCCGCGTCCAAACACACCAGCGTGGCCTGGCTGGCCTTGATGGCGGTGCGCAGGTTTGCCAGGTCGTCCTGCTGCTCGGCTCCCGGGTGCTGGTTGATGGCGAAGATGTCGAGCCACACGCGGGTGGAGTCCAGGGCGCCCTGGGGGGAGAGAGGTCAATTTAGGCCAAACCATTGAAACCCCAAAAGGGAAAATTAGTTGGGGAATGAGGCAGGGAGGGGAGGGCGGAGGGAGAGGGGGAGAAACGAATGAGGCAGAGAGCACCTTTAGAGAGATCACCGGTGCCGACTTTGCACCCTGCACAGCCCGTTGCAGCTAAACCCCCATGATCGCCGTCACCGGTCCCCCTCCTCCCATGAAACACATGGTGGAGCCGTGTCACATGGTTAGTTTGCTTGCCTGTCCTCCTCTGCCTCTTTTCCCACCCCCGCTAACCCCCCCGCTACCGGTAACCAACACCTGTTCGGTGGCACCCTGCCGCTTCCCAGCCATTGTCTTGCCTTAACCTGTGGTTTCCTACGTTTCGGCATGGTCTTTGACCCCCCCCCCCACCTGCAGGTGGTCGAAGAAGCAGTCCAGCAGCTGCAGGAAGGGCATGGACCAGGCGTGGCTGATGAAGTAGTCGGGCGGCCCCACGTCGCCCTCGCCCACCAGCGCCAGCCCACCACCCGACCCCAGAGCCAGCTCGGGCAGGTCGGTGAGGCGGCAGGTGGCGCCCGAGGTCATGGGCTTGATCACCTGCTGCACAACCTGGAGGGAAAGAAGAATATGAGCATAGAATGTGTTGAATGAGGAGGGGTGAGGGGAGGGAGGAGAGAGAGGAGGGGACATGGCGGTTTGGTAGGATGTTGTTGTACCTACCTGGCCCCCTAGCCCTTTCTGCTTTTCTCTTTGTGCCCTGTCTCCGTTTCCCCCCCCCCCCAAAATCCCACCTTGCCCCAACCCGCTTTTCCTTTCCCGTCAGGTCTCTTCATCTCCTCCACGAGCGCTGTGCGGGCCCCTAACCCCCACCCCCCATGCATCTGCCTGGTACACAGCACGGCTACCCCCCCACACACAGACAGGTTTGTTTACCTCTGTTTTCCCTCTGTTTTGCCTGTACTCGCGGTTCACATGCGAACCTATCCCAACTGCTTGCTCTTGTTTTACTCAACTACACACGTACCCCCACACTCCCCCCACCCTACCTGGCTGGTACACAGCGCCGCGGCATCCGGCCTCTCCCGCATCAGGTGCGCTCGGAAGCGGCGCAGGAAGGCGAGCGACACCGCGCACATGGCCGCGTTGCGCCGCGTGTTGAACACCTTGGCAGCAGCAACCAACTTGCCGATGTGCTGCTTGGTGCGCCCGCCGCTGTCACCGCCGCCGCCACCTCCGCCGCCGCCAGCCCCGCCGTCGCTGCTGCTGGCGGCCTGGAGGGTGGGATGGGGCCACATGGACACCAGGTTTTATGGCATAGCAGAACGATACACTGGTACGGCACAGCAGCAGCAGCGGCAACTGTGTGCATGGAGAGTGGAGACCAGACAGCAGCACAGCAACAGGTACCCGGCACAAAGGCAGCAGACACTCCTTCCCCACGCATCCTGTGTTCATGACGCGACGCGTTTCATGCTATACCCCCAGCTGCATGCGGACCCCATGCGGACCCGGTATGCACCACCCACCCTCGGAGGCGGCGGTTGCGGAGTCCTGGCGGGAGGTGGGCTGGGAGCAGGCGGAGGGCCCGCGCCGCTGGAAGACCGTGACACCGCCGTTGCAACAGCCTCGGGAGCCGCTACATGGGACTTTGCTCGTCCCATGAAAGCACCAGTACCAGCACCAGCACCAGCAGGGGAGGATTCCTGGCGGTCCTCATTTGCTGACGCAGCCGCGGCGGCTGCCAGCGGAGCCGATAACGCTTTCGGCCTGGCGGAGGCGGAGGATGGGGGCGCGGGCGCGGCCGCGGGGGTGGAAGCATCAGCGGCATGTACGGCATGGGAAGCATGTACGGCAGCAGGTCCCGCCGCCGCTGCTGCTGCTGCAGGAGGAGGAGGTAATGGTTCCGGAGCACGAATGGCTCCGCTGGGGGAGCGGCCGATGCCTCCGGGACGTACGGGAAGCTCCGGCGGATCCTCCGTCAGCTGTGTCCGTACGTTGCCGGGCCTGATGCCGCCTCCGCCAGGGTGCATGGCGAACCTGGGGGAGGGAGCGGGGCCGTCGGGAGCGCCGCCCGGCGATGAAGGCATGCTGTTTGCAAGGATTGTACTGCCAGGCCTTCCGGACATGGGCCGTACAGGGCCGCCTCCGCCGCTGCCCCCAGCGCCGCCGCCGCCGTCACCACTGTTGGTGCCGCCGCCGCCTCCGCCAGGGCCGAACGTGAACATGTCGGACTGACCGCCGGAAAGCGGCGAACCGCCGCCGCCGCCGCCACCGCTGCCGCCGCCTCCGCCAGCTGCCGCTCCGAGACCATGAGCGGCAGCGAACGCGGGCGACATCCGCATCCTCCCAGCGCTCGGAAGCCTACCAGAACCTGCAGCCGCCGCCGTCGCCGCTCCTGCCGTACGCGCAGGGGATGCCGGTCGCAGCGGCCCGCCCGCATGGGCACCGCCGCCGCCGCCGCCGCCGGCAGGGGTGATGTTGACGTGTACCGCCCCACCCCACGTGCTCCGAGGCCCCGCGGGGCCGCCCGGCGGAGGCGAGGGATGCGGGGGTGCCAGCGCAGATCGCTCAGGACGGCTGGCGCTGGCTGGCCGTACGGCGGCAGCAGGGTTGATAAGGCCCGTCTGGCTGGTCCGCCGGGCCGCCGCCGGTACGGCAGGCCCAATGCCGCCAGCTACACCCCCGGCCCCCATGGCGACGGTGCCGCTAGGGACAATGCCGCTGAGGCTCGGTCGCCTGACGGGCGACGCCAGCGCAGGCGCGACGACGCCGTTGGGGTGTCCTCCCCGAGCCGCCGCTGCCGCAGCTGCGGGGCCGTTAGCCAGCAGCGACGTCGCTGCCGCCGCGCCGATCCCCGTCGGCGTGCCCGTACGCCGTACAACCCCTGTCGGCGTTACCGGCGACGCTGGCGTCCCCGGGGAATGCTCCGCTGACCCTGGTCCCCGCGTGGCCCATGGAGGAGGCCCGGGCCCACCACCACCTCGGCGGAACGGCGAGAGCCCACCCGGCGTGTCATCCGGAGAAAGCGGTGCTCCAGGGGAGGCCACACCGCCTCCGCCGCTTAGGCTGCTGCCAACACCACTAAAGCTGCTGCCGCTGCCAGCACCGCTAAAGCTGCTGCCACTGCCGGCGCCGGCGCTGGTAAAGCTGCCGGCGCCTCCGCTGCTGAAGCTACTGCCGCTACCGGCGCCGGCGGCTGCTCCGCCCGCATGGCCCGGACCCGAGGTGGTTGTGGTGACCTCCGTACGGACGCGGCCCGAGGGAGTGCGTGTGACCACCGTCTTGGTGACAACGGTGCGACCTGATGGGGATGAGGAAGGGGTTAGATCCTTGGATGCCTGCTCGAACGCCTCACAGACCTCCCTTTCGTTCCATTTCGTACCCTTTCAATCCATTTGAAGCTTTCCTTACTTGCGTCAGCTTGCGCCCCATCGCTACTGACCAAAACAAGCCCAGCGTTCGAAGTACAAATGGAGGAGACGGAGGAGATAGCCCGGTCAGCCACCCAAGGAAGGCTCTCCCCGCCAGCATCCTCACCTTGCGCGTCCGTCTGCGAGGTGGTCGTGGTGATGGCGCCAGGGCGATCCGGCACCTGCGCCTGCGGTGGCTGCGAGGCCCGCATCCCCGCATGCGCATGCCCCGCTGACCCAGATCCCGGGGGTGCCGGCACGGGGCCTGTCAGCGCTCCGCTGCCCATCCGCCTAAGCCCCAGTCCTCCCGGGCCGCCGGTGCCTGACAACCGCCCGCTCGGGCCTCCGACAGCACTGCCGCCTCCGCTCACGCCGCCACCACCTGAGCTCCTGCCGGATCCCGGACCAGGTCCCGGGCCGTGGCCGCCCCAATCCTGCTCCCAATCTTGCGTTTCCCCGCTTTGGCTGACCCCGTTGACTAAACGTTGACCAGGGAGTGCTAGAGGTGATGGTGCGGGGCGCAGGCGGCCACCTGAAGGCGGCCGTACCAGCCCGCGACCTGCCATGCCGCCACCACCCACATAGGCGGCAGCGGAGGGGGGGTCAAGGGAGGGGGTGATGGCTGCAGCAGCCGCAGTTGAAGCAGCAGCAGCGGAACCGGAGCCTGCCAGCGTTGCTTCCAGCTGCTGCTCCGCTTGGTCCAACATCTGCTCCAGCGCCTCAAAGTTTGTTGGGATCTGCGGTACAACCAAGCATGCGTGCGCATGTGTACGGAAGTACAAAGGTCACCATGCGGGGTTACGATATGAAGAGCAAACACGCAGCCCGCAACCCGTGCATGTTTGAGTCTGCAGGCATGGGTACGACACACGCCCCACGGTACGACTACGTGGATCACGCATCAACCAAACCCTCAACCACTTGGCAAGGTGTACCCAGACCCCAGACCTAGTTGCATTTCTCCCAAGAACTTGCCTGGTGATCTGGGATGTGGTGCTGCAGCCCATGCGCGTCGGCGCCGCCCCAGCCCATCATGCCTCCTCCTGATCCTTGGCTAGGCGCGCGGGCCCGACCCGGACCCCGCCCCGGGCCCCTAGGGCCTCCGCCGGGCGCGGGAGCGAATGCCGAGTCATCCAGGTCGTCTGGGTTGAACCACTGGTTGTTGTTGGATCGCAGGTTGACGGTCCTGTCGGCGCCACCCCTGGGGTGTAGCGGGAAGGTGAGGCGGGGCAAGCGACGGGTCGCGATTTGTTTAGGTAGGGAAGAGGAAAATGCGGAAGAGAGGTCGCAGGAAGCCTTTCAAGGGAAGGGCATGTGGCCTAAGGGGCAGCAGAAAGGAAGGTAGCCACACGTTGAGATGGGGTATTCATAGGTGTGTAAGGATTGCGAAGTGCTGCAGCGAGGAAGTCAAGGCGAATGGCCTTGGATGGGCTGTGGCAGAGGCAAGCACGCTAAAGCCCTGATCAGGTACTGCGAAAGAGCTACAAATCACTCTTTACACTGCGAGGACAGGGCATTGCCCACCGGTTTGCAGCCTTCTTTGACGAGTTCGCTTCGCAACATGACAAACCGGTACTCTTTTCCGCCGCAACGCAAGGAGGTCGTAAGAAGCAACGTCCGACTATGCGTTGCCGGGATGGCGTCTATGGAAACGCCATAAAATCTGAAGCATCTACATGTAACAAAGCCAGACCCGAGGTGCAGCTCTTACCTCGACATCTTATGTCAGAGAGCTATATGAAGATGAAGATACTGTAACACATACTCAAACTGTTTGAAGGTTACTGCTTTAGCCAGGCTTGCGTCGACCGCGCAGTGACGCCGAATGCAGCTTCATATAGACGTTGTACACAACTTAAAGGTAGGACGGTGCTACGAAACAACATTAATTACTGAACTCCCGTATGCTGAGCTGCAGCGCTGGGACAGAAAAGGTTACGGTAATAAATAACGTGCTTTATCGGTGTTTTTAGCGCCGGGGACGTGCCGGGGACGTACTGTTATGTTCGAGTAATGCAGAACTGTATGAACGTTAGGATGCGAACTGCGACAGCAGCACCCCATGCCGTACATCATCAAGTTTCACCGTACAAGCCCGACCATCCTCCGCGTATGCGCCACAGTTGGGACAGTTGGGATTCATCACTTTCCAGCTCTGTTGCTAAATACTCGCACGCTACAGTTCTTTTACCGATTGCTATCTCTGGAGGTGGCTGTGTCCGTGGGTTTTTATCATCCTCTGTACAATTCACGGACGGTTCTGGCGCAGGTGAAGTACATCTTGTGAAGTACATCCTGCTGCGCTGCAGGTACCAGTGCCTCTGAAAGCCATTATTACAGACAAACGCCTTTGAAGACGCAGTACGCACTTGCGTCTTAAACCAACATGCCATACATCGAATGCCTAGCACCACGACGTTGTCGTGCCCCAACGCTGGTTTGGCCAACTAGTGCCCCCGGGGTCGGTACCAATTGACACCGAAACCAACCCAACACATCCCACATGCGCCATCTCCCTGTTCCTATCCACTTGGCCACCACTTGCTATCCCGCCTTGCCTGCCCTGCTCCTCCCACCCTCCCCTCCCCTCCCCTCTCGTTGTTTCACATATTTAATTTTTTCCCCTCACCACCACCTACCTCCTCCCACTTCCCCCCACCTTCCGCTCCCCCTCCCCCTCATCTCCCTCCAAAGCCAGCCATTCCTGCCGCCCCTTAATCAACCGCCCATACACAGCCAACAAATCCCCCAACCGCGGCCTCGGCAGTCCCACACCCGCACTCTCCCACCTCGCATCCCTTAGCTCCACGGGCGGTGCAGGGCTCCGGGCCTCGTACAACTGCCCCCAAACCCGTACGTCGCCGCTCCGAACCAGCATCTCGCATGCTACCAAATCCTCACGCCAATCCGCTAAACGAGCCGCGACCGCCTGCCACAGTCGAGCGCATTCGGCGCGACGAAGCGCGGCGCCTACGGAACGGCAGCCGCCGCCACCGTTGCCGCCGCGGCGGTCGTGGCGGGCTTGCGAGCCGCCGGCGCTGTGCCTGTGCGCATTGGCGGGTAATGGCGTTTGTACGGCAGGGTTGTTCATTGGCTTAGCAGCACATGCGTCACGCAGCACATCATTGCTCCCATGGAGCGTTGGGTGCATTGCGTCCCCCTGCCAGCTGCCACGTGAATTACACACCCAATCCTTCAACGCCCCCACCCGTCCATCGCAGGCATGCAGGCGTTCCCAGCAGGGTACTTTTTACTTTTATATCTCCCACCTCCCATCCGCTTCCCGCCCCGCTCCCCCCCCCCAGCCCACCTGACTGTGTATCCGGTTAGCACCTTATGTCGCACCAGCCGCCCGCCCCGCCACACCCCCAGCACCGAGCTATCCGCACTCAGCAACACAAGGGCCACATCAACAGCTGGCACACGGGACGGCGGCGGCGGCGGCGGCGGCGGGACCTGTGTGGAGCTACCCCAAGCAGCGACAGAGTGTACGGCGGTTGTGCCGTCCGTTGATGCTTCGGCTGCATGATGCGGCGAGGCTACCCCCGTCCCCGCCCCAAGAGGTGCGGCAGCCTCCACCGCCTCCTCCACCTCCCGTTCCGCTTCTGCCAGCATGCGAAGCTCCTCCTCATTCGCAGCCACCTCCAAGTCCACATCCCAAGCCTCGAAAGCCTCCGCCGCCTCCGCCGCCGGCGCAAACATGTCTGGTTTCCTCCACCCAACCCCTGCGTCCTGCCCCAGCTGCTGCTGCCCCAACTGCTGGCCCCCCGCATGGCCCTGCTGCTGCTGCTGCTGCCGCTGCCGCTCATACTGCTCCTCCCCACCACTCCGACACTCCTGCGCCTGGAGACTCCTGGCACGCAGCTCAGATATATACGCAGTCAAGAGGTCCCTGCCGCCGCTGCTGCTGCTGCTTTGGCCCATGACGCCTATGTAGTAACCGGCCCCCACACCAGCCGTCGCGGTACCCCACCCGTCCGAAACCCCCATCTCCCATCCCTCTCCGCCGGCCAACTCCGCTCTTCTCCTGGCTCTGCTGCTTCCACCTCCACCGCAGCCGCGGCCTGCATGCCCCAACCCGGGGGGCTTGGGAGCCAGCCGGGGCAGCACCACTCGCACCGCTGGAACCAGCTGTGGAGGCTGCTGCTGCAAGGGAGGCGTGCAAGTGCGGGAGGGAAGAGCGGCGGCTCCTTCATTGTAGTAGCAGCAACTACCGCTGCCACTACCGTTACTGCCCCACATGGGGTGGACGGGGCCGCTGCTGCTGCCGGCCCCTGTGCTGGCAACCACAGCAGCAGTAGCAGTAGCAGTAGCAGCGGTAGCAGCAGCGGGGGCTGCTGGTGGTGCTGCATGTTGCAGCGCTGCTGCTGCTGGTGATGCTGCTGCTGGTGATGCTGCTGCTGCCCCCGTCCACGACCGCGCCTCCGCCAGTCCACAGCTGCAGGCGGCGCAGCGGTGGGCTAGCCAGGCCAGCCGCCGGGCCTCCCAATCCACCCTGGAGCGGGAAGAGGAGCCGGAAGCCGGGAGAGGAGTGGGAGAGGAGTGGGAGAGGAGCGGGGAGAGGAGTGGGAGAGGAGCCGGGAGAGGGGCAGGGTGCAAAAAAGTGTAAAAGAGGAAGACTCATTAGGAGGACTAGCCATCTGGCAAGGCTCCATCGTAGTTGAGGCGGGGCAGCTCGCCGAGTATGGCAGGAAGTGGTTTGTTACGTTGGGTCAATAGCGTTAGCCGCTGGTATGCCTGCAGGCATCGCTGGCATTCTAGCACCATATGCGGCTAGGAGCCCCCTTGTTGTTGTCCTTCCTCCCTAGTAATGGGGACCAGAGGAAAAGGAATCCTCTGGAGCTCTGCTCCCCATTTGCGTGCGCTTCCCATCAGCAGCAGCCTCACCTGGGGTAGGCCAGCAAGGGCTCCAGTACGGCAATCAAGTCGTGCACGTGGATCTCGCGCCAGTGTACGACAACTGGTTCCGTTGACTGACCTATGGGACCAACGCCGCCACGACTGCCTTTGCTGCTATTGTTGTTATTGCTGTTGCCGCCTCGAGAGCGCTTCTTTTGCTTGCTACTGCTTGACGACTTTGCTACCTTTTGCGTGTCTTCTGCTGTGTCTGGCTGGGGCAAAGTGGGGGAGGACTTGGACCTGGAAGGAGGCGTTAGGGTTTCTGGCGTCTCGGTTGTCGCCGGATGCAGCGCCGCTCCGAAGCCTGGTAGAGGGTTACTCTGAAGCCAGGATTCGAAGGCGCCCTTATCGCTAGTGGGATGAGTCCGGCGGGAAATGTTGGCGGGGATGGCGGTGGCATCGTGAAGACGATTATGCTTACAATTAGCAAAACCAAGCGTCTGAAAATTAGAAAACGCTCTAAATGAAGTCACAGCTGGCGCCGCGGGATGGAGCAGCAAAGCGCCTAGTCGGCAAGACATGGCTGATGGCTCGATGGCTGGAAGCAGTTGGCTAGCTCTTTACCACTGAAGGACGTCTTGATCTTTTTAGTTTGTGAAATACGTCTAAACTGGCACCGCATAGGTAGTTGTGCTGGAGATTAGAAGCCAGCTTGCTTCCTGCTTGCTGGGCTCGGCGCTGTCGGAAAACGATAAGAAGCCAATGACAGTGAACTGAGAGCAGCGTTTCTTACAGCTGCCTAGCTAGCTTTTACAATGGTTTGAAGAACAAGAAGGATGCGAGCCGTTTACGACGGTTGCCGTGCAGATTAATAGCCCCAGCAGAGGTTTTACGCACATGTGCTAATTAAAGTGCGCCAAGCTTTATAACCTCAATTGTGAATTCCTATACAGCCGACCTGTTAAGCTGCCTTTGGCTAAAAGACGGCTGCACTGTAACTACTTCTGCATACCTTTACTACCGGTACTCAATCGATGACTGGTTTGGTGTCGCTCCGAATTGCCGTCATGCCTGAGCCGTAGCGCCGTACCAATGCACCTACACAGGCACCAGGCACACTCGCACTTCCACATTTACAATACAGTTACCCGGACGAGCCTTATTACTCCTGGAGCTTTAGAATCATTACTGCTACCAGATTCTTGCTGGTACTTCTTTGATGGGTATTGTCAGCCGCTCACCTGTACAAAACTCATTCCAAAACCCAATCCGGGAAGTAAGCCGGCTTCCCAGGAGGTGCTGGAGCGAGCAGGTGAGGCCACTTTTGCGGGCAGCACTGCCAAGCTCATAGAAATAGGAAGTTTACGGTCGAGGTGGGCCCTTGGTGGCAGCAGTAGCTGGTGACCTAGACTGCTTCGCTTGGGTGTCCATGGAGGCGCACGAGCAGCATGGCGTTCCCCTGGGCACTGCCGCGATGCAGGAAGGTTTAAATCCAAAGCGGCTGGAAGGTGGGTTGTTAGGACAGGCACGGAGAGAGAGCCTGGACCATCAAAGCTTGGTTGCCCAGCTGCGAACTGTTATGTTTGCATCCCACCTGCACAACACCATCCGTGCTGCCAAGAGCTTCAGTCTAGGGGCTTCATTAAGTGCACTTCACCTCCTGCTGCACTTCCTGCTGCCACCTTGCCTACCGGTATTGCTTGCCATGTAGTGCGACCCCATGCAGTCCACTCTCACGGCGTAAAGCATTTTTAGCAGCCGCCCACACACCGCAAGGCAGAGGGGGCCACCAGGGCTGGAGGTGGATAGAAGTCGTACGAGCAGGTTGCAAGCAGGCCCCAACAGCCCCAACTGTTGCCCTGTCCCTTACTTCAGGACCACCCTCCAAGGCACTGCCTGATACGGGGCCGGAGCTGCACCCGTACAGCAAGACGGAATCCGATGAAACGGATATCTGGCGGATCCACTACAAGGATGGCCGGGAGGACGCGTTCTACCTGGACCCGTCTGCTGGAATCCAGGAGCTCGTTGAAAAATGGGTAAAGGCCTGTCATTGGCTGGCCGGGCATTATCGAATCCGTCAAGACCGGCGCTACGGGCTCGCACCCCTTATCATCTCTGGGCTAGCCAAGGTGACAGGAGAGGAACTGCTGGGTGGACTCTGCATGTGACAACCTGGGTGCATGCCTACCTGTCAGGCATGCGTGTTCAATGCCTGTGAGGAGGAGTGACACCATGCTGCAAACAGGACCCTGCACACATCATCAAATGCGTGTACTGAAGTGTAGAACCAACCTCTGTTATACTGCATGTTGATCTTGCATTCTTACACCTCTACACACGCGCTGAACATGCTTGCAGTCTGGGAAGACATACACGATGCGGGAGCTGGTCCCCGCCATCGTGTCCAAGGCACTGCGGGAGCTGCCAGGCCCCAGCCCCCTCGACGGCAGCATCACGATCCTGCGCTTGCAAGGAGACAAGCTGGATGGGCAGGCAAGTTGCAGCACAAACACCTACCGTCATCTGCTGGCCGGTTGCACATGTGTGGTGACGTAGCTTACGTTTTCAGTTCATGGGCTGTGTGTCTCTTGTGCGCAGAAGGGTGTCAGGGTACTAATGCACGACCTGCTGGGGAAGCTGGTGCGGTGGGCACAGGAGGAGAAGGTGCTCATCAAGGACTTCGACTGGCAGGAGGCGCAGCGTGTGGCGGCAAAACCAGTTGGATTTGCGGACTATAACACATTGTGCAGGGCAATCCGGCAGTTCTTCAGCTCGATCAAGGTTCCTGTGCTGGTCCAGTTTGGTGGGTCATCAGGGATGGAGAGCTGCGGTTACAGGGGTTTGCATGCACTGCCTGGCATGGCTTGGCAAGCCATATACTTGTATGGGCAGGGTCCACGCAAGAGGCATAGCAGATGCGTTGGAGACATGCTAGGGCAGGCAAGTTCCTATACGTTGCTCAAGTTGCATGCGCTACTTGGGGCGTCCATGTAATTGCCATACGTGCCGTACATGCCGTACACGTGTCCTGGGAGCCACTCTGGCACCACCTTTGTGCTGCATTGACTATGATATACTATCATTTAGCAGTGCTGCCCAATGTGCTGCCGTCTGGTTGCTTCTCCAGATGAGATGCAGCGCTTCTTGCAGCCCACCCATGGCCATGAGCGGGACGGGTACCTCCGCGGTGCGCTGCTCGACGAACTGCTGGGTTACAGCTCTCCTAGCGTGATGTGGTGCATCACTGGAGACAGCATGGCGCTAGCGTGGTTGAACTTTCAAGTTAAGCCATATGACGGCTACACGTTGTTTGGCGACTACGCAAAGCTGGACCTGCCCATCACCTACCCCGAGCGACACCTGCAGCTGGCGTGGAGCAGCTTGCAGAGCAAGCATGTCCTCGGGGCGGATCCAGGGCTGGTCAGGAGGCTGCTGGAGTGGTGCGACTCACCCTCGCCCGGGCTGCTGACGGTGCTGGTGGAGGAATGGGTGCAAGCTGGCAGGCCCAAGGACCTCGACCGGTTTGTGTCCACGTTCCTGGTTGCAAAGCTCTTCAACGGGGTGAGACAAGCTTCATAGGCAGCTTTACGGGCCAGTAGCTACGGTTGTTGGTCATCATGCCCGGGGATAGAATCAGCAGGCAGCCCAGGTTGGGCCAGTAGAGGAAGCGTGTTTGTAAGACAGCTGATACGGCAGTGCGCCTGCCAATATCCACCTTGTTTGTCGCGGTTTGCATGTACGAGCTGGATTCGCTAACATGCGTCGGCCTTCCTTGTGCACTACTACACTCCCTCATCCTTATCCTCTCCTTCCTCAGCCGCTGGAGGAGTGGAAGCTTAACCTTTCGAGTATGTCGGTGAAGGGCCGCAGCACTTTGCTGGTCCTCGCGCTCAAGGGAACGGGACTGGACATTAAATGGATGGGATACGGCCTACGTACTTTCCTCGAGCCGTACCTGGAGAGCACTCACGATGGGCGGTACTACTTGAAGGACGGCTATCAGCGGCTGGTCCTGCAGGTGTGTGGCACCTGACATGTGCACTGTGAAGGCGGAGAATGTGTTTGGGGCGTTTGATTGCAGGGGATTTGCAACCTTGTCGAAGGCTCTACTTGCTTGCTCCAAAACACCGGCACGTTTGGCATTTCGGCACTCGCTTCTGTGGAAGCTCTTGCATGCAGAATCCCAGCCCTCCTTGTCCGTCTGCCATGCATGCTAGCGCCGTTCCTAACAAGCCCTCCTTGCTAAGGCCCCTTCCCAACCCACGTCTGGTTGGATAGCCGGGGGGCCGGGTGGATGAAGATGAACGAGGATCCCAGTGGCATGCCAACCAGCTGGGGCAGCAGTTACATGCACTCTTACGCTATCCTGCAAAATGCATGCCGCATCCTCTTGCAATACACCTAGTCTTCAAGTAACTGGCAAAGCTGTTTGGCCTGCACACGTAACCTTGTTACCGGCTTGCAGGTGCTCATCAAAACCGACGGCAGACTCAACCCGGACGGCAGCCTGCGAGACTTGTGGAACCCCCCCGTGGGTAGCGTGCCGTATGTGCAGCTGCTAATGTGGTGGTGCATGCTGCTGGGAAATGTCGCGGACCGCCTGTTTGGCTCTGGGTCGCCGCACAACTGGGCTGGCAAGCGGGGGCCCTACGGCAATAACAACCCTGCTCGCGTGGACTGCGCGGGGAGGCCACCATCGGACAGTGATGGCATCGATGACGACATAACCAGCAGCAGGAGCAGTGGAGACTTCAAGCACGGATGCAGCTGCATCGCCCGCAACAGCAGCAGTCGCAATGGCCACTGCCGCAGCGGCCTTGGCGACGGAGGGGGCCACAACAGCAGCAAGCGCAGTGGAGGGGAAGGCCGCAACAGCAGTAAGTGCAGCGGAGGGGAAGGCCACAGCAGCAGCAACTGCAGCGGAGGGGAAGGCCGCAACAGCAGCAAGCGCAGTGGAGGGGAAGGCCACAGCAGCAGCAACTGCGGTGGAGGGGAAGGCCACAGCAGCAGCAAGCGCAGCGGAGGGGAAGGCCACAGCAGCAGCAGCTGCGACGGTGGCAGCGGCAACAGCAGCAGGGGTCGCGGCGGCGGCAGAGGCCGCAACAGCAGCAAGCGTGGAGGCAGAGGCCGCATCAGCAACGGCGACAGAGGAGGCCGCAACGGCAGCGGCCACGGTGGCGGAGGCGGAGGCCGAAGCAGTAGCAGGGGTCACGGCAGCAGCAGCAGCAAGCAGGCCGTGCCCTCCCAATCGGCTGCTGCCTCCATGCGCTATGCGGTGGGCCCCTGCTGCCGCCCGCTGCCGCGGGGGCTTCCGTCCCCACCCGCGAGGCTGCCGGTGGTGCCCTCATTGCGCCTTGCTGCGGCGCGCGCTCCTTTCACCCGGGTAGGGTTCCGGCCCAAGTAGTGCTGCTGCCTGGTGTATGTCAACTGTGACGTACGGCATGCGTTGCAAGACAGGGTATCAGCGGCGGCTGCATGCTTCGTTCTCGGTGGACGATGCGCGGCGCAGCTATTGGTATGCAAAGCAGGGGCGTGTTGATGCATTGACGGGGGTGGGGTAACACAAGGCCGGCGCGGTTGCAGGGAAGATGCGTCGGTGTAGAGGGGGTTTGCGTCTTGCAGGTGCACAAACGTATAGATGGGTACGGCAAGGAGTACTATTCATCCTTTCCGTTAGTACACACGGTAATGACACCCGGCTTGCGGTTGGCTTCACTTGGAGTCGTAGTGGGGTTTTCAGGGCCTTCGGGACATTTCAAACGCTTATTAACTGATCAACCTGTTATTTAATGAAGTGCAAAGACACTGTTCACTATTGTTAGTCATTCGATGGATCTGCCATCCATCCACCAATTGAATTTGGAGGCGGGTACAACACCCGGCTTGCGGTGGGGTTTCGGATATCGTAGCTATTGGACATGACAGGTTACCAGACCGAAGTGATCCCATGGCCTGTCCATGTGTTGTGTCCCCGTGTGTTAGCAAGCATGAATTGGCTGAGCTGTGCGTCTGGACGTGAAGGGGCAAATGGGTTTGGGTTAGTTCCAAGACTTGCGGTTGTCAAGACGGTACACACGTGCCATGGCGGTGTCAAGTGTAATGTTCAAGGAGCAACAGGTAATGAGCGGAACGGTCGGGGCAGGCTCGCCTGTCTGAAAGCTGCCTTTGTTGTCGGCACCGAGACCTCCTTTCTCGCCGTCTCCAACCTACCTCCCAGAGTTGCTGCCTACAGACTCCTTTGCGACGACAAATGTTGAGCGTTCCTGCTCGAAGGTACAATACCCTCCGTCCTCCGTTCTCTCTTATGCATTTTTGTCGTACCACTTCGCTCGCTTTTCCGGTGGATGGTTGCCATTGCTTTTGTGCTGTTTTAAGCAGTGTTGCAAGCTGCTGGGGGCCAGGTCGTTACTTGCTTCAAGTCGCGAACGCCAACAGAGGGCTACAGTACGGCAGGCGGCTCCTCCACATGATTCTTACGTGAACGTACGACAAGTGGTTCGCAGCCTCAGTCGCTCAAGCGAGCTGACACCTTCGCGCAGCTTCCTGTCGTGTATGGGGGACAACGGTAAACGGAATGCAAAGTATCGCCATTGAGCACAGGCAGCCGCTGGACAGTTTGCGTAGTATAAATGCAGGCAGGGCAAAGGCGGATCCTGGCTAAAGTCGCAAGAAGGCTGATTGTACTGCATTGCAGCTAGCAAACAGCAGCTCCCATGACAACAGGTAGCATTTGACAAACGCTGCTATAGGAAGCTAACGTGAGGCATGGCTACGGCGGCTGCGGAAGACAGAAGCTTTAGCATCGACGCCAACGACATGCGCTCAATAAGCGCAGTCCCTTTCCGGACCAAAGCACGCTGACAAATCCAGGCTACTACAAGCAGCGAAGCAACATCAAGTCGCAACGGTTCCTCAATCGTATAAGACCCGTGCTTGAGCACGGACTCCATGCCAACATGAAAGGTGCAAATAACCGACAACAGGTCACTTACAGTGAGGGAAACGTAAGCATTAGAGATGTTTGCAAGGTAGCACCATGTGCGCATACATGTAAGGGGGGATGGGGGTATGGGGGAAGGGGCACCAGCCCCTTCCCCCACCACGATGCATACGGTGCCAAAGGAGACATGAGCTCCACATATGGCTGCGACACTCCACGCTAGTTCGTTCGCAGCCTCAGTCGCTCAAGCGAGCTGACACCTTCGCGCAGCTTCCTTTGTCGTAGAGGAGACAACTGAAAACGGTACGCAAAGTAGCACCATTGAGCACATGCAGCCGCTGGGCAGTTTGCGTTGTATAAATGCAGGCAGGGTAAATGCGGATCCTGGCTAAAGTCGCAAAAAGGCTAATTGTACTGCATTGCAGCTAGCAAACAGCAACTCCTCCCATGACAACAGGTAGCATTTGGCAAACGCTGCAACAGGAAGTTAACATGAGGCATAGCTACGGTGGCTGCGGAAGACCTAAGCTTTAGCATCGACGTCATCAGCATCGACATGCCCTCAACAAGTGCAGTCTCTTTACCGACCACACAACACTTACAACATTCGGTCTACAAGTGGCTGCGAAATATATATCCAGTTGTAACAGTGCCTTGCATGCAGAAGACCTGAGCTTGAGCCCGGACGCCATGCCAACAATAATTTGCGACAATCCAGAGAAACAACGGCAAAAAGCCATAAGATGCAGACAAGGAAAGCTAAGCGTACAACAATTCCCAATGGAATGGGGGAATGGTGCAATATCAGGTCGGAGGCAACGTATTTCAAGAGCAAACGTTTATCCCTTTTTGCATCGGATGCGTTTGCAAGGTAGCACCTTGTACGCATGCATGTAAGGGGGGATGGGGGTATGGGGGAAGAGTACGCATGCATGTAAGGGGGGATGGGGGTATGGGGGAAGGGGCACCAGCCCCTTCCCCCACCAAGATGCAGAAGGTGCCAAGGGAGGCAAGAGCTCCACAGACGGCTGCGACACTCCACGCTAGTTACCGTGGACTGACCCATCCATGGGACCAACGCCGTCACGATTACCTTTGCTGCTGTTATTGTGGTTACTGTTGCCACCTCGAGAGCGCTTCTCTTGCTTGCTACTGCTTGACGACTTTGCTACCTTTTGCGTACCAGCATTGTCTTCTGCTGTGCTGGCTGGGGGAGGACTTGGACCTGGAAGAAGGCGTTAGGGTTTCTGGCGTCTCGGTTGTCGCCGGATGCAGCGCCGCTCCGAAGCCTGGTAGAGGGTTACTCTGAAGCCAGGATTCGAAGGCGCCCTCATCGCTAGTGGGATGAGTCCGGCGGCGGGAGATGTTGGCAGGGATGGCGGTGGCATCGTGAAGACGATTATGCTTAAAGCCAGCAAAACCATGCATTTGAAAATAAGTAATTACTCTAAATGAATTTACAGCTGGCGCCGCGGGATAGAGCAGCAACGCGCTTAGTCGGCAAGGAATGGCTGATGGCTCGATGGCTGGAAGCAGTTGGCTAGCACTTTAACTCCGAAGCAACGTATTATCTTTAAATATGTGAACTACATCTAAAGTGATGCCGCACAGGAGGTTGTGCTCGAACCTAGAACCCAGCTTGCTTCCTGCTTGCTGGGCTCGGCACCGTCGAGAAACGTTAAGCAGTCATTGGCGGTGCAGCGCGAAAAACGTTTCCATAGCCAACGGGCTAGCCGTTCACAAAGGAGGTGAAGGATGCGAGTCGTTTACGACGGTTGCCGTGCAGACTAATAACTCCAGAGGGTTTACGCACAGGCGCTAACCAGCAATGCGCCAGGCTTTATAGCCTCAATTGTGATTAACCTATACAATCGGCCTATTAAGCTGCCTTTAGCGTTCGCTCAGCTTTCGAGCGACGGGGCGGCCGTCAAAGCCACTCGCAGAAGTTTATTCACATTTCGTTTCACCTGTAAAAACGCCACATCATGTTGGGCTTTCAGGGCCCGATTGCTTTGGAGCGAAGCCCAATGACGGGCCAAATGCCCATCGCTAGCACGTCCAGCTCGACTTCATGCGCCAAGACGGCGCTCCTGTACCCACGTAAAGTGCGGGGACAATCTAGCTCAACTCGGCGTGTGGCTACAGCCGCAGCGACGGCGCCTGCTACGCCCCGGCTGTCTCGACCACTCAAGGTTGGGTCGGGCTTTGTGGCGCAAAACCAGCGATACCCAACGCACCCCAAAGCGCTCTCTCCAGCAGGTTTCAAACGTCACCCGTTTTGCCTTTCATGTGCCCACCTTTCGTGTGCTTTGCTTTGGTTTAGCTGCTAGCCCTGCACCCATTCTATTGTTATTTCGTTTTGTACACCTCTTAACCTATGGCCCATCCCCTTTTGCATTCGTTCACCCATCCCACCCCTTCACGCCCTGCCCTCACCCAACTCACCGCGCCTGCTTCAGATGGTCAATCTGGGCTCCAGTGACCTCATGGTTTCTGAAGTCTGCATGGGAACGATGGTGGGTGGCGTCGGTGGTGGCTGAGACCCCAGGGATCGCTGGGAGGATTGCTGGTTGCAGCTTGTTGTAGGGGCATTAGGCCCGGTTGCCAACGGGCATTAGTCATGGTACAAGCGCCAGCCAGCCACACGCATCTCTAGCATCTTGTCTCATCCTTCTTATTATGCCCCGCTGCCCGCGATCGGTACCGGCTCTGTCTTACACTCTTAACCTTGCCTTATTCACTTCTTATCCTTGTTATGCCTCTTCGCTGCCTCCTCCAGACATTTGGTGAGCAGAACTCCGAGGCCGAGTCTCACACCCTGCTGGACATGGCAGCCGAGCACGGCGTGAACTTCCTGGTACGTGTGTGTGGCGCGGATTCCTTCTTCTTGCAGCTTCTTTCCTTGTCCGTATCACTCGATCGCTGCTGCTGGTGGTGATGTAACCTATGATGTAAAACCTAACCCTACCTATGGTTCATAAATGATGCTTACTTGCGCACATACACTCAGGATACCTCGGAGATCTACCCGGTGGCTCCACGCCCCGAAACCGCCAACCGAACCTCCACCTACATCGGCAATTGGCTGCGGCACCGAAGGCGAGAGGACTTTGTGGTGGCGACCAAAGTGGCAGGTGGGGTGGCGGCTGGTTTCGGGGTTGGCGCGCAGGGGCTACCGATACATACGCTCTGCGCTCTTTGCTTTCCTGCACTTTCCTGCACTCTGCGGTCTTCCTGCAAACCCAACAATCACGCCACCCTGCCTGCCTCTTCGCATTCACCCCGCACACTGCTGCATGTGTGGCCAACCAACCCGCACAGGCCGGTCTGACACGCTGCAATGGGTGGTGGCGAACCGCACCGACCCGCCGGGTCGGCCCGCCCTGCCGCGTCTGGACGGCCCCTCCATCATCGCGGCTGCGGAGGCGGAGCTGCGGAGGCTGCGGAGCGACCACATTGACTTGTTACAGCTACACTGGCCGGACAGGTATGCGGGAGGAACAGCTGGTGTGTTAAAATAACTGGCCGCGAGGCGAAACGTACTGTGATTGCTGGTGTGTGTACGAGGTGGAATTAGTAGTTTGCACAGCTTTGCACATGGTTTTACATTCACTGTAAGCACATCTCTATGCATGCCTTGCGTGCCCACACACGCGCACGCAGGTTCTCTTCTGCTGTTGTTGGCCATCATATGATGCCATGCCCATAACGCTGTTCCCTTGTGCTAAACCTTGCACGGAGAATAACTGTGCTAAAACATGTGTTTCTGGCACATGCTGCCGTACACACACGCGTCCGCACCCCTGCAGGTATGTTCCGGGGTTCGGTCGCTTCCAGTACCGTCTTGATGCGGCGGCGGCTCAACCGCGACTGGGGCTCGACAAGGCGCCAGCAGCAGCAGCGAGTAGTGACGGAGGAAAAGGGAGCAGCGACGGGGCCGGTGAACGGGGGCAGCAGCAGGAGGAGGGAGTGCCTGTGAGCAGCTTTGAGGAGCAGGTGGAGGCGATTGGGAAGCTGCTGCAGCAGGGCAAGGTGAGGGGGTTGGAGTGGACGGGGCATTGCGCGGCGGTGCCTCAGCCCTTACCACCTTCCTCGTCCATAACGTTCGCCGCGTCCTCCCACCCGACACCCGATCCACAACTGCTGCTGCCCCGTACCTTCCCCACGACTTGTTTGTCAGCCTCATTCGACACATTGGGTATTCTTCTTTTCTCCCCACGACACACCTACATACGCCATCATCGGCTCCCGAGGCGTTTCTGTGGGGACTTCATCTTCCGGCAATCACAGCACGTTCCGACTCGCGGCCAGTTTTCTTAACACAAGCCCCCCTCACCCCGCCTCAACCCGCCTCAGATCCGCGCCTGGGGTCTGTCCAACGAGACGAGCTGGGGCGTGATGCGGCAGTGCGCGGCTGCGGATGCCGCCGGACTTCCCCGGCCTGCAACCCTCCAGAACAGCTACTCGCTGCTGCACCGACAGTTCGAGGTGGGGCCGTGAGGGGCGCGTGCGGGGAAAAGGATGGGGTGAAGGAAAACGTGGGAAAGAGGGGGAGGAGGTCCAAAGGCCCTTGTCGGGGTTACCGGTAGGCCTTGAGGTTGGAAGAGATCCTTTTTTGCTTCCCGTGATCTGGTCTGGTCTGTGATCACCCCCACAGGGGGATCTGGCGGAGGTATGCGCGCCGCACCACCTCAACCTCGGACTGCTCCCCTGGAGCGCCCTAGCCGGCGGCGCCCTCTCAGGAAAGTACCTGCCGTACGGGACCCTGCCACCCGGCTGCCGCCTCACGCTGTTTCCGGAGCGCTACGCGCGCTTCAACACGCCGCGAGTGGCGGCGGCGGTGGCGGAGTACGTGCGCGTGGCTGCGGAGGCGGGACTGACGCCGGCGCAGCTGGGGTATGCGTGGTGCAGGTGGGGAGCGAGGGTGAAGCAGCAGCGGGGGGGGGGTTGGGTGGGGCAGGTTGCGTATGTACGTATGTGGGGGTACTGGGGGTTTGGTTGACGTGGAGGAGAGGGACACATGATATGGCTAGCGGGCTTTGCATGGTATACCACCCGGTGTAAGTCGCACACGTGGGCTACTAGCGGGACGCGTTTTGGCTGCACGGTAACACTCTAGCGAATGCGTTAGCACAGTACTGACACGGGTAGTACTGGCCCAGTTGTTGGCCTCTCCCCCCCTCTTCGCCTGACCCTGACCCCCTTCACCTCCCCCATTCCCTGGTCGCCCCCCGCCCCCTCGTAGGAGCCGCTGGTTCATCCCCTCCGTCATCATCGGCGCCACCAGCGCCCAGCAGCTCCTGGAGAACCTGGGAGCCTTCCAATCGCAACCCGCCCTGCAGCCGGAGACGATTGCGGCCATCGAGCAGGTGCGGGGGTATATACATAATTGCATCATTGCAGGTGTGTGCGGGGGGGCGCGGGGCGGGAACAACTACGGTAGCTGACCGTGAGCAGGTGGGGGGGCGTGGGTATAATGGCCTGCGGCGCAAGGGGGATGCCGGATGCGTTGTTAAGCCAGGTAGCGGGGACGGGGTTGCGAAAGGGGTGGGGTTGGAAGGGTTGGTACGGGAAGCCGGGAACCGGAAATAGTATTATTTTCGATTAATAATAACCGGATGCGGAGCTGGCGCCTGGGAGCGGCTTCTGCCACGCGGTGTTGCTTTCCTCTTGGTGCTCTGTTCAGACCCTGTTAAGTCGACCCGCTAACAAAACACGTGGCTTGCGGGCTTGCCTTTTACCTTGCCCCTCACCGCCGCCACCTCTCCCTTCCCTCCCCTCCTCTCACCGCCCGCCCGCAGATTCACCTGAGGCACCGCAACCCCACTCTGTGGGACTAGGTGCACCCGTCATGGGTGCCGTCATGAGGGTGTTGCCGGTGGTGGTGCCATGGGAGCTGGGTGTGGTGGTTAGTGGAGGTCCAGACCCACGCAGGGCGGAAATAGGGAAACTTTGTGAGCAAGCGGAAGAGGAAGGGGTGATCTACCGGGCTGAACGGCCACAGCATTTAAAAGAAAAAGGTTTTCCCACAACCGCTGCGTGCGACCACGTAGTAAGGTAGGGCACTACCGGTAGCTTGCCACCGGCGCGAATATAAACTTTGTGCAAAGTATGTTCTTTGCAGCTCTCCACAGAAGCGAGTAAGCAGCCCCCGCGGCGGTCTGTTATCCCACCGGGAAACCACAGCACCAACACAGCGGCACATAAGGCGCCATACACCGCAACACTCCAAGCAACACCCACTGCAACGACCACAACGGTCAGCAACCCAATCCATTAGTTACAGTCCCTGTAATGCAGCGTAATCGTACATCTGGTGCACCAAACGGCCTAGCTACAACAGCAACAGCCATCCAAATCTCAGCCAGCAAACTCTCAGCTTATAACGCACCCTCTGCCGCCTTCACCTCTGCCGCCTGCCGCCCCCCGCCCAGCCCCCACATCCCCGCCATCACCACCACCACCGCCCGCCATCCCTGCAAGCGGATCGTACGACAGCCCTGCCGTATCCACGCCGTACTGATCCCGCATGCGGCGGCTCCAGGAGTCGTCTCGTCGTACTCTTTGCGGCAGGGGTGTACGGCGGGAGCCCCCCGGGGACTGCTGCTGCTGCTGCCGGTCCGCTCGACGCCTGAGGGGAGGGCAAGGGCAATCAGAAACCCAACCGTGATGCTGCGAGATGATTGGGGAATCCTCCTTGCTCCCCCTCTTTTTAGGCAACCAGCCGGCCCCTCGCAACGCACCAGCCCTTCACATCCATTCGCAACGCACCTGGAGGTCAGGAACGGTGCGGCCGCCTCCCCGTCCGGCAGCCCCAGCGCCTCCTCCGCGTCCTCCGCCGCCTCCTCCGCTCGTACGTAGGCCGAGTGCAGCAAGCAGCCGAGCAGCAGCGACAGAAGCTCAACGGTCGCGGACACCACGTCGGCCCACTCGTACGCCACTAACGCATTCCGAAGCTGAACTCGTATGGAAGCACTGCTGCTGACACCGCCGTACTTCAGGGCTTTGCTGCTGCCGCTGCTGCTGCCGTACATGCTGCTGCTGCCGTACGTCACAGTTGACGAGGAGGTGGTGCTGTGCGGGTTAGAGGCGGCACCCGGTTGGCCCTCCCTGCCGCCGTCGTCCGAGGCCACTGCCGCCGCAAGGCACACCTGACCCGCCTGCAAGGAAGTAGGAGGGAGGAGGCCAAGCGGATGAGGAATGTAGGTACGGACTACGGAGCTTTCCATGTCCAAGTCGCCCCGCAGTACTTTTCCGTCATGCACCGCAGACCACCGCAGCACCACCCCACCACACCAGCACCCCGCCACCCTCTTCACCTCTGATGACTCTTTATCACACGGTCAGTTAGTTGTTTCCTCTTTACACTCTTTACCCCTTACTATGATACATCCGCCCCTCACCAGCAGCAGTGCCAGCAGCACCAGATGCGTGTTGAGCAGCGCCAGGCTGTGCACCGCAGCAGCGCCCAGAGCAGCCGCGGCGGAGAGGCAGGCGAGCAGGCCCATGACGAGGAAGGCGAGGGCGGCGGGGGGCAGCGAGGGCAGGTGGAGGGCGGGGAGCCAGGAGGGCCAGGCAGGGGAGGTGAGGGTGGCGGTGGTGACGTCCTGAGATGTGGACTGCAGTTGTAGGTATTGCTGGCGCTGGGGTGGCTGGGGATGCTGCTGGGTGGCGATTATGTCCCCTGTGGGGAGTAGGTGGGAAGGGAAGGAGGAGAGTTGGGATGGAGAGAGGTATGAAGGGCAAAATGTTCTAGGGCTTCGGTGCCTTCGGCTGTCTTTACTCACCCGCATAGGCTAACATGGCGATGCCTACAAACACCAGCGCTATGTTACATGCTTTGTGTGCGAAAAGAACGAACGACAGCCAGCAGCCAACCCCATGTTCTCGCAGGTAGCGAGAGAGGCGGGACATTCTAGCTTAGAGTTCTAAAACCAACTTTATATAGGCTGAATATGTTTTGAAGTAATGAATATGACGTAAGTAAAAGAGATTAGCGTGAGGCTAAAAACATCGGACTGCCTCGAGCTTCCAAAGAGCATCTGAGCGTGGTAGGAGCTATGGGGTACTGCATGAGATGGCTTATATTTATCAACCAGTCACGCAACGTTGGCCAACTAAGCTAACGAATGTTGCCTTGCCGTTCATGCCGTGGGCCGAGCAATGCTATTGGCAAGGTTATTGCGCGAGCGCTGTGGCTAATCTTTAAGCTTAAGTGTCCATTTGTTTTACGGCCTGCTGCAGTGCTGTGGCTCAGTTGTATGTTCCAATACGGTACGCATGCAGCTGAGGAACTCCCGCTCATACTCCTCCTGTGTGTACAAGACCTCTGATGACGAAAGCAAGTTTGCATAGGGTATCTTGTCAATGAAAGGACTCCAGGACATATCTGGAGTGGCTGCGTTCCGCCAATACCAAAGCCGTTCCCGTGCCAACAGAGCTCGGCTGGGTTTTCACCGCCCCATGTCTGTGGCTTGCCTTCGCATAACTGGCCCCTTCAACGGCGTTACTAACCAGCGGCTCCAATCAGTACAACCAACAGCGCGCGTTGGCCCAACTTTCCGTACAGCGAACTACACACAAAGTACACGCCAACAAAGGCACGTTCTTACGTAAGATACAAGAGCCAATAAACGATGAACAGTTGTTTTTGTCAGGAATATGAGGGAAGACGTACCACAAGGCAGCATGTGGCAGCCAATTAACGTCCTCATCCTCCAGGCGGTGACCGCACCACGGCGCCGCAATGTGCTGCACGTGCACTTTGAGCCACTCCCCGGCGCCCGCACTTAGCCTTGCACCTGCGCCTCGTGCTGTACATATCTGCACGGTACCTTACGGTATCCTCGCACTCCAGACTAATCGTCAACACCTACTCAACACTCAACACTCTGTACGACCATCGTCTCCATTACTATACATCTGAAGCCCGTACAGAATGCCACAAACCTGCTACAATGCCATTACTTCAGCAATTTCGAGGCACTCCAGCGGTCCAGCATTCGAAAAAAGCTGCAAGTTATGTCATTGCCGTACGTTGGTACGATTAACACGCCGTACAAGCCCTACTACCGTAAGGTCGTACACCAGTCATGCATTCTTTACGAGGGTACCTTTGCGGCGCGACTCACCCTTGTATCGAAGCCTTCACTCTGCTACACAAACCTCCTTTTCCCAAGCTTATACAGGTATGGACATGTAAACACTCAGCTAAAACATTTCCACAATTAGCGCACTTGAGCAGTAAGTGTGAACAGCAACCGCACATGAAGCAAATTTCATGCAAATCCTCCACATCCTGCTGCGACTGTGACCCATACCGCATTCAACGCAAAAGCTACAATCAAACAGCGCCACGGTGGTACGACAATGTGCCGTACCACTGCATGCACCGCAAAACACAACTCAAAAGCACGCCCCGAACCCTCATAAATCAGACAACCACACACCTGCATGCATGCACCAGCAATCAATTCGGACGGCTCCTTCACGCCCTGCTATGTAAGGATAGTGTACAACACCAGCCATTGCAACCATCAGCCAAGAGCAACAAGAGCCGCAAAAACCTGTTCGCCGACCATGACACGAAAAGGAGGTAATCCGCCGCGAGTGATCAGAGAGGCGCCATCAAACGGCAGTGGTAGCCGCACCCGACCACACCAGCGTCACCCTCTACAGCAGTCGCCACAGCAACCAGGCAACCACGGCGCAAGGTACGACATACCCCAACATTATCCTCAGCACACCCATCAGACCAGGCCCATCGCCGCCAGCGCACCGGATACGAGGCCCAGTCGGCTAGCCTACCACGGCCACCACGGCTGCCCCGGGCCTGTTGCTGTTGCCATCGCCCATCTCGGTGCCGTCACTGCCTTTGCACTCGGTGCCGCTGCCACCGCCCGGCTCGGTGCCGCTGCCACCGCCCAGCTCGGTGCCTCCGCCACTGCCCAGCTCGGTACCGCCGCCACCGCCCAGCTCGGTGCCGATGCTGCCTCCCACCTCGGTGCCGCTGCCGCCGTTGGCGCCTTTGCGTGCCCGGTACCAGTGCACGACCTCGCGCACTGTCCCCGAGTACCGCCCCACGAGCTTGCTGTCCACCAGGCTGGGCACCAGGTCCTGCATGGCTGTCAGCAGCTCCGATGCCTGCCGCTTGTCGCTGTAGTGCAGCAGCCAGCCCAGTTGCGGCAGTGCCGGCAGGGCGGAAAGGACGCACTTGGCGATGATGCCCTTGTCCTTGTGCGCAAGTCGCGCCAGCTGCAGCAGGCAGGGCAGGTAGCCGGCGGAGAGGGCGGCTGCCACGTCGGGTGGCGGGCTGGGCGGCATGGCTTCTGCATAGGAAGGAAGGAGTGGGGAAGGGCACAGGGCATCCATTCAACACCAGAATGGTGCATGCGGAAGAATTCAGAGGAAGAAGATGCTGACACCGAGGCGACATGAACAATAACAGGTGTTTAAGCAGGCAGTGTATAAGAAACCGCCGATACATGGCAGCACGATAACGGTGTTAGCTTTATCAGTAACTCCTTTCCCCTCGCATTCCCTACCCACACACATGCCGTTTGTCGTATGGCAAGGCCTCCAAGATTGCCAGCCATTGCTAGAAAAAATTCCGCCCTTGTAACCCACCGGGCAACGGCAGCGCCATTTGGCCCTTGGACAGCCGGCGAATCAGCAGCTGCACGCCCTTCCACGCCACCGTGGCATCCGCCCCCTCGCTCCCCACGTTGTCCGCGGTAAAGCGCAGCGACTGCACAGCCGCCCGCCACCACTCCTCAGGCCGCACCAGGGCCCCGCTGCCCTCCGCAGACGCTGCGGCATCACGCCGCAAGCCCTTGGTACGCATGTATGCCAGCGCGTCGTGGGCGGCGATGGAGGCGGAAAGGGCAATGGAGCCGCGCTTCGCCGGCAGCTGCCGCTGAGCGGATGCCCCGCTTGCCCCACACCGTGCCTCCTCTGCGCGAGTGACAGCCGCTACTACCCGTAAGCACAGCTCGTAGGTGGCTGCGGCGCTAATGTAGGACTGCGTGTTGAAGCCGGCTCCGGGGGTCAGCGCCAGGACCCAGCACTGCAGGACGTTCAGCACGCCCGCGTTTAGGTCGCCGCTCAGGTCAACTTCCGAAAGCAGCTTCTGGATTGTCTGTGACGCCTCTGCGGGCAGGCCGTAGCTGGGTCCACCGTCGACCGGTCGCAACACCTCCACTGCCGCCGCCGTCAGCAGGTGCAGCATGCAGGGGCCGGGCAGGCCTAGCTTGTGAAGCGTGGCGCGGTACACGTGCGGCTTAAAGATCGTGGAGGATATGAAGAGCAGCGAGTGGAACAGTACATAACGCCCATGCTCGGCTGCCATCTCGTACATTTCCTTGGCCAGGTGCTCGAACAGGTTTGACTCCGATAGCTCCTTCACCGCCCCGTGGAAGAACCGGGTCGCCTTGTCGCGGAGTTCACTGATGGCGCTGCTGGCCGCACTGCTAGTAGTACCGGTAGCGGCCTCCTGGTTGCTGGTGCCCTCATCGGCGCCACTGTCGGTCTCGACCAGCACCGCCACACCAAACAGGCAACACGATAGGTCTATGAGGAAATCTAACGTCCCGCAGAGGATTATGTGTCGCTCTGATATTCTGAGTTGCTCCGGGAGTTCCCGCACGCGGCCCTGGCCTCCACCACCTGCCGTTGCCTGAGGCCGCGTCGCTGCTGCAGCTGCTGTCCCATACCCACGTGCCAGAATGCGGGTTGCGCACTTGAGGACGCCAGGCAGGACCACGGACAGATCGTCCGCCAACCCTAAACTGGGGATACAGCACTTCAAGGCAGTCCTTACGGCGGAAACACTGAACTGGAGATACGCCAGCCAGTCTACTTCAGACTCATCCACCCGCCGCAGCGCCGCCTCCGTTGCCTTAATCAGCATGCGGCTCGGCCCTGGGCGTGACCAGAGCTTTAGCAGGGTGTTGAAAGAGACGGCAGCCTGCACAACCTCCTCGGAGGAAGGCCAGCTGGTCCCTGCGGACCCGCCTGGGCTCCCCGCCAGCGAGATCCGTGTTGCTGTTCGTAGCACAGACTGCTCGTCGGATTCATTGTTGGAAGCGGAAAGCGTTGCCCCTGCAGTAGTTGCCGCCGTTGCGGTAGAAGGAGAGCCGCTCTTGTCTGCAGTTTCCAAGGCTGGGCGCTCTTGAGAGGTTCCAGAACCGGTGCCGCTCCTCTCGGGCGCCATAGGCACGTTTGATGGCGATTGGTCTGCAAGGACAGCGGCCAAGGAAGATAAACACGGGAGTCAGTCATGAAATGCGTCAAACTCCTGGCAAATCATAGTTGTCAAACTGGGAACATTACTGCTGATGTGAGCGTTCTGAAACCCATTCGCATGACTGCTTAATTTGTTCGTTGCTAAGGCACAAACACAATTGTATCATAAGGAGCAAGGATGACCCAAATGGAAATAGGACAAGATTAGGCAGCATTGCCGAGCCGATTATGCATGTCAAGCCATGACAAGGAGGTCTTCGGCCCTGGGTGCGCAACGACGCATAAAGGAGTGACTTCGCTACAATCATAGCTTACAAAGCTGCCGTCGCGGAAACTGCGATCGGTTACAGCCTCACTACCGCGGAAGGTGCGCAGCAAATGCTTGCCTGCGCGCGGGCGCACCTTAGCCTGACCGTCCCCGATACAGCTTGACTGGGCTTGTCCAAGCGCCCCAGATACGTAACCACCTGCGAAACCATGGTCTTCGTCAGCGGACGTCTTTGTGACTGCCGGAACGGGGCCTGTGTGACTTGCGCCAAAGTGTACCTTTCGCAACAAGTACAGCCAGGGCCCCCCCCCCAAGTCTCTCTTACTTTTGTTATGGCGCCCTGGAATGAATACGTTCAAAGGGTGGAGTGTAAACAGCAAGCTCAAGGGCTATGAGAAAAGTAACAATAAGTTATCAAACCCCGAAAAGATACAGTCAACATCAATTTCGGCTTAAGGTGTATAGGTTGAAGGTCGTTTCTGTATGGCCGTTTCGAAGGCCAGTCCGAACTCCGAAGCGCCAGTCCGAAGCGCTCCCGCCTGCGCTTCGGAGCCAGTACGGAACCGGTTAGATCGCGTTTTGTCCCACATGCCCGCGAACCATGTTTTTGCTGTTTACAGAACAGCGCCGCATCTAATGTTTCACCCCATGTCCTATTTTACAGGTTACATGTACCCGGCACTCTACACAGTCTAGTACCTCGCCCTCTCATGCTCGAGCTCTTTCATGCTCTGCTTGTCGAACCTTAAATTCCTAGCGGAAAGGCAGCGCCGCATGGGCCAGTGTTTGCCGTTGTTTGCGATGTCGTGATGCGCCCAAAGGCTCAGGCTCAGTGAAGCCATCCACATGACACGCAGGGACACAGCAGATACTGTGTGTGAAGGCCCATATGTCTGCCTGGCAATAACCTGTGGACCTCGACCGTAAGCAGGTTTGGTCCGCCTGCGGTACCCTCTAGAAAAAAACGGGTCTGGGCCAAAAGCTCAAGTACCCAAACCCTAAATGCGCGTCGTCTTGGGAAAGGGCTTTACACACAAACAGGACAACATACCGTAAAGAGCAAGTGCCCCCGTAGCTCTCCGCGGGCCCCCTCTTACCCACACTCTGCTCTTCAGTCTTCAGAAATCAGGGCGACACCTTGTGGCTCCATTATGGTCGAGAGTATGCCCAACAGCACGCGTTGCCCCTGGGTGTCAGTTCCCGTACCATCACACTACACCGTACGCTTCTAACAAAGGAAGTCCTTGCGTTGAGCACGTAGCAAGCAGGAGCCAAGAATTGCGGTACTGTCAGGGCACTGGAGCAGGTCAGAAGGGTGAGAGGAGACGACGCATAAGGCCGTATGTGGCAGCCAAAAGAGGTCCAAAACTCCGCTCCGACATGACACTGCGAAGGTGCCACACTCGCATCTAAACCTTGCTACACTCTATGGCACTCCCAAACCGAAAACCTCCGCCCCGTACTGTACACGACCTGTAAGATACGAACTGCGGTATTCCCACACACTTCCGCCTACAGGCAACACCTCACTCATCTGCGCATAGAACACTCTCCACAACCACCGTCTCCATAGTAGTACATCTGAGAGTCCGCACAGAATGCCACACACCTGCGGCGAACGTACAAGGAAGGCATTTCTGCTGTACACCGGCGAACCTTGAGCAGCAACACACGCTGCATGGCACATCTACACAATCGTACAATCCCTCCAATACCGTACATCAAACATGCACTCTAATGGGTGGCCTTGCGACGCTGATTTACTCTTGTGAAAAGCTTCTACCCTGCTATACAAACCCCATTTGTACAGATTTCTATGCATGGACCATGCCTCAGTCAGCTAAAATACATCACAACAAACATAGCTATCTTCATTCAAGCCTTGGCAAACTCCACATCCTGCTGCTACTTTGACCGCATTCGCCGTACGGGTTGCGAACCAGCAGCGCCGGTGGTACGACAATGTGACGTACCGCTCCATGCACCGCAAGACACAACCCTAAGGCACACACACCCGCAACCCTTGAAAAATCAGACAACCACACACCTGCATACCTGCACCAGCATTCGTTACGAAACGCCCCACCACTGCGGCAACATGATAGTTTACATCCCTAGGCAGTACACCCATCAGGCAAGCAATGAGAGCCGAACAAACTGTTCGCCGGCCACGATTCGATAAGGACATCCATGACCCCATTACCATGAGCCGTGAGCCATGGAAGGCGCCCCCAAAGCCGAGTCCCTCGATGCCACTGCCCTAACAGACACAACAGTAACGACAGCCTCCGCACGACCACACCTGCGTACCTCCGCCAGCCAGCCGCGGCTCAAGGTGCCCCTCAGGATACACCTCAAGAGGCGCCTCCAAACCAGGCCAAGCGCACCGCAAGCGACCCAGATGCCACCATGCCCAGCTGCTGCATACCACCGGCCTCCTAGACCATCCCGGAAACTCCGCCGCTGCTGCTGCCGGCCGTCTGCTCAGCGTCCTCGCCGCCTTCGCATACCCCAATTTGTCCCATGCAAAACTTAATGGCGTCCAACAACGCCGCCTCGTACCGCCCCACGAGCTTGCTGTCCACCAGGCTGGGCACCAGGTCCTGCATGGCTGTCAGCAGCTCCGATGCCTGCCGCTTGTCGCTGTAGTGCAGCAGCCAGCCCAGTTGCGGCAGTGTCGGCAGGGCGGAAAGGACGCAATTGGCGATGATGCCCTTGTCCTTGTGTGCAAGTCGCGCCAGCTGCAGCAGGCAGGGCAGGTAGCCGGCGGAGAGGGCGGCTGCCACGTCGGGCGGCGGACTGGCCGGCATGGCTTCTGCATGGGAAGGAAGCAGTGGGGGCGGGGAGGGCGTATGGGGGGAAGTTCGGGAAAAGCAGGTTCTTACATAGTTGCAGCATTGTACTGGGAAGTAAGCAATGCACAGGTAGCTGCCGGTGTTACGGTGTATGGTAATGAGGCAACGATACCTGTTCCGGGTAAAAGCACCTCATTCGCCTTATGGACTTACGAGAGTCATGCCAGATGTAACTACTCTCATCCCCATGCGCCCGTAATTGCTACTCTTGCTAGCCATCCATGAACCGAAATCTGGTACTGATCACAACGCCATTCCCGCCCTTGTAACCCACCGGGCAACGGCAGCGCCATTTGGCCCTTGGACAGCCGGCGAATCAGCAGCTGCACGCCCTTCCACGCCACCGTGGGATCCGCCCCCTCGCTCCCCACATTGTCCGCGGTAAAGCGCAGCGACTGCACAGCCGCCCGCCACCACTCCTCAGGCCGCACCAGGGCCCCGCTGCCCTCCGCAGACGCTGCGGCATCACGCCGCAAGCCCTTGGTACGCATGTATGCCAGCGCGTCGTGGGCGGCGATGGAGGCGGAAAGGGCAATGGAGCCGCGCTTCGCCGGCAGCTGCCGCTGAGCCGTCGCGGCAGCCACCTTCCTTGCCCCACGCCGTGCCTCCTCTGCGCGAGTGACGGCCGCTACGACCCGCAGGCATAGCTCGTAGGTGGCGGCGGCGCTGATGAACGACTGCGGGTTGAAGCCGGCTCCGGGGGTCAGCGCCAGGACCCAGCACTGCAGGACGTTCAGCACGTCCGCGTTTAGGTCGCCGCTCAAGTCAACTTCCGAAAGCAGCTTCTGGATTGTCTGTGACGCCTCTGCGGGCAGGCCGTAGCTGGGTCCATCGTCGACCGGTCGCAACACCTCCACCGCCGCCGCCGTCAGCAGGTGCAGCATGCAGGGGCCGGGCAGGCGCGGTAGATGTGCGGTTAGAAGCTCGGCGCAGTAGACGCGCGGTCGGAACATGAAGGTGCACGCCGTGAGCAGCTTGTTGATCAGTCCGCGACACCCAGCTGCCATCTCGTACATTTCCTTGGCCAGGTGCTCGAGCAGGTTTGACTCCGCCAGCTCCGTCAGCAGAACCGGGAAGACGCGAGTGGCCGCGTCGCCGAACTGCTGTTGCGCTTCGCCACTGCCGCTGGTGCTAGCCGCGCTGCCGCTGGTGCTAGCCGCACTTCCGCTGCAGCTAGCCGCACTGCCGCTGCTAGCCACATTGCTAGCAGCAGCTGCCTCCTGGTGGCTGGTGCTCTTGTCGGCAACGCTAGTGGTTGCAACCGTCTCCACTATAAAGCGAAGGCGAGTCGACAGCTCTAGGAGCAGGGTCAGCGCCTCGTGCAGAACTAACAGTCTCTCCTTGTTCCTCCACTTGCCGCCCTGGCTCCCACCACCTTCCGTTGCTTCAGGTCGCGTCGCTGCTGCTGCTCCGTACCCACGTGCCAGCAGGCGGCTCATGTGCTCCAGGAAGCCAACCGTGGCCGCGAGCAGACTGTCCGACAACATGTAATTGCAGTGACAGAAATTCAGAGCTGCGATTATGACGGAGTTACTGAACTTCAAGTATGCCCGCCGGTCTACCTCCGACTCATCCACCCGCCGCTGCGCCGCCTCCGTTGCCCTAGCCATGATGCGGCTAGACCCTGAGCGTGACCAGAGCTTTAGCAGGGTCTTTTCGCAGGAGGCAGCCTGCATAACCTCCTCGGAAGAAGGCCAGCTGCTCCCTGCGGACCCGCCTGGGCTCCCCGCCAGCGATATCCGTGTTGCTGTTCGTAGTACGGACTGCTCGTCGGCTTCATTGTCGGCGGTGATTTGGGAAGTAGCCAACAGGCGCCGCATGCCCTTTGGTCCTAAGCTCGTAGCCGTCCTCAACATGTCCGGAGGCAATGCAAGGCTACGCATGGCGGAGCTTACTACACTCCAGTCTGCATTCCTCAAGCCCAGGCTTTGTTGAGTGGCTGCTGAACCAGCGCCGCTCCTCTTGGGCGCCATGGCCGTCTTCGGTAGCGGTTGGCCTTAAAGGCCAATAACAATGGCCGGGTGTGCAGGGCAACGGGGTTGACACGGATTATTGTCAGAACCTAATTAAAGTAAGAGAAAAACACCACGGTAAACCTGTGTGCAGTTGGAAATCTCAAGGCTTCACTTCACCCATGTATATGCTTCACATTTGTATAAAGAATGTTATACAATGCACCGTCAAAAGTGTAAACGACCCAGATGAAGGGTAAGGCGAAGGCATTGCAAATACTGGATTATGTGTGGGATGCTGAGGCAAGGAGGCCATCGCTTCTACGCGTGCAACAGTGCCGAAGACAAGTATATCCACATGTCGTCAACCCTACGCGTCAAAACTGTGGAAGAAGACCTATTATATTCGTGAGCGCGACAGGTGCGCCCCTTCTGCTCGTGGGCGCACCTTAGCTTTGGACGTTTCAACACGACTTGGCCTGTCCGGACCAGGCTTCGCTCAAAAGCACCTGCGCAACATTTCAGCGTGTCAGGTGACAATATGTAGAATCCCCATAACAGGTCTAGCGGCTCCAGCTAGGAAGCTTCCCCAGACTCCTCTTACTTTTTTGATCTTCCTGTAGCAAGGGTGGAACCCAAGGGCAATAGTAAACCCCAAGCAATCGGCTGTAAAAAGTAAAGAGCTATTTGTACGGTAGTAGAATCCCGAATGCGACGGCAAATCTGTCCAACTATGTATAGTATTATTAAACGCCAGCACAGTAGAATGGAATCATCTGCAACAACAATGTGATCTACGCAGGTTAACAGGATTCCCCGCCTTGGATTCGGAGCCCGTACGGTATGTTACACACGAAGTCACGAACTTTGCTCTTTGCAGCCTTCCGCACAGAAAGTGAGAATACCATTTGTGCTTTTAGCTCATAATTGGACTAACCTCTGAAGGTTACACGTAATTCCTTCACCAGGAAGTGCGCTTTCCCATGTTCGACCTTTTGCTTGTCCAAGCCTTTTAACGCTATTTAATCCTAGATTTAGCGTGTCCAAGCTTCTTTCTCGCTTCCGGCGGCGCCACATGGACCGAGACTTGCTAGCAGCCGCCGCAGCGGCGGGTGCCGATGTTTGCGACGTTGAAATGCGTCCAGCGCCTAAAAAGCTTTGCGGTAGGACACATCCCCAGTGAGCGGGTCGAGCGGGCCATGGAAGCAAGTAACAGTTGCATACAGCAAAGGCTTAAACTTATAAGCCGTATGAAAGCTTCCGTGGTAGCCTGTTTGTGCAAGCTAGCCGTTGAGCAGCTGAATCCGCCGCTAACAATTCGGTCTTCCTATGGTAACCGCTTGCAACGGTACATTTAGTGCGCAAGCGACAATCCTGGCTCTGGTTTGGCTCTTGTCGCCAGTCCTTTTTATTTTAAGCGTCCTCCGCTCCATTTCCACCTTTCCGGTGCCGGCAACCTAACAGGTGACGCAATGCCAGGGGCTGACGGCTACGTGCCGTACGACGACCCCGGCGTCTTTGAGCTACCTTCGGTAGATGACCTGGAGGTCGCAGCTGCCGCGGCAGCAGCTGCTCTCGAAGTCCTAGCTCCGAAACCGGCAACCGACAGCGACAGCAGCAGCGATGATGACGACGATGATGACAGCAGTAGCGACGAGGACAGCGATGATGATAGTGACGACAGCAGTGACGATAGCGATGACAGTGATGATGATAGCAGCACGAGCACCAGCAGCAGTGACGATACGGAGGAGGAGGCGAAAGAGCGCGAAGACAGCAACAAACAGAAGCAGAAGCGCGCTGCAGCTGCCGCTACCGCCTCAGTAGGGCCCATCTGCGTTCGATTGTTGGTTGACGAGACGGCAGGGAGGGTAACGTTGCGACTTGTGGCTTCAGGCAAGGGTACAGCAGGGGCAGCAGGAGCAGATGCTGACGTGGCTATGCGGGAGGTTGAGACGGACAGCAGTCCTCTGAGCAGCAGCAGCGATGACGAGGGGGATGACGATGCTGCTGCTGCAGCGGCGGCGGCCTCGAACCGCATGGTGGATGAGGAGGAGCTGGAGGTGAGGCGTCCGGGGGAGGGGGAGTTGGGAGGGGTTGGGGGCCCACGGGTCGCAATGGGTAGTTCCCTGCCTCGCTGCTGATGCTGCTCCCCTGATCTCTCTGCTCCCCCCCTGCCCCATTTTTTCGCCCTGTAGTGCCCTGTTTCCTATGGTCTTGGTCTCTTATGACACCCCGTTTGCCCCCCTGCCCCTCACCCTCCCCCCCTCCCCGCTGCTGCTGCAGGCTCTCGACCACGATGGGCTGCGGGCGCTCATCACGCGCGCCTATGCGCAGGCGGATGCGGAGGACGAGGACGAGGAGGGGGGTGCGAGCGGGGGCGGGGGCCGCAGCAGCGCGCTCCAGGACCTGGTGAGCGGCGGCTGGGGGGGGGAGGGGGAGGGGGAGGGGGGGTGGGAGGGAGAGGAGGGGGGGTGGGAGGGAGAGGAGGGGGGGTGGGAGGGAGAGGAGGAGGGTGCGGGGAAGAGGAGGAGAGGGGTGCAGGGGAAGAGAAGGGGGTTGCGGGGAAGAGGAGGGGGGCGCGGGGAAGAAGAGGGGGGTGCAGGACGAGGAGGGGCTGCAACAGCCTCATAGGGAAATGAGGGTGTTGCATGGAAAGCGAGCAAGGAAAGGGGTGACGCTGGCTCAGCCCTTAGCACCATGGCAGTGCCGGTGGTAGCACTGACCCCACTACCGGCAGCACTAACTACCATTCCTTCCCCCCTCCCGCCTTCCCCCCCAGGGTCTGCCCCCCGCTGCCCCTGAGCTGGCGGGAGTGGAGGTGGCGGCGGGGGACGTGTTGGAACCGGCGGGCACCTGCCTGAGTGTGCTGGAGGGCATGGTGGTGATGCAGGGACTGGCCAACAGCAGGCCGCTGGCGGATGGGTGAGGGGGGCGGGGGGCTGAGGAGAGGTTGGGAGGGGTCAGGGTATGGAAACTGAGGAGGCAGCTAACGAGCTGTGTGACAGCTGGGAGGGCGGGTGGGGGGAGGGGGAGTTGGATGGGGTGGTGAAGGGAGAGGGGAAAAAAATAAATTCCAAAGAGGGGAAGGAAAGGCATGTATGCCCCTTCTTCGCCCCTCCTTCCTGCTGCTGCTCCTTCTCCCAACTTCAACTTAATCTACCGGTGCTTCTTCGCGCTACCCCGCCCTGCTTGTTGGTTGCCTCATCAGTTTCCTTATTTCCGCGCCGCCCCTCTCCCCGCCCCTCTCCCCGTCGGGATATGGGATTGGGACTCGTTGTTTCACTTATTTATTTTTTCTCTTACTTGCTTTTGCGCCCCTCTTTCCCCGCCCCTCTCCCCGCCCCGTCAGGAGTGTGGTGGTGTCTGAGGACCGCACGGTGCTGGGTGAGGTGGAGGAGGTGTTTGGGCCCATCACGCAGCCGCTCTACGCCTTCCGCCACGCCGCGGTGAAGGGCGCGCTGCCGGAGTGCGTGAAGCCAGGGGCGGCGCTGTTTGTGGTGCCCCGACTGGCGCGCCACATTGCACCCGAGGAGATTGTGAGTGCGGGGTTGGGGTTGAGGAGGTGGGAAGGGGGGAAGGAGGGAAGGAGGAGGAAGGGAGGGGAGGGAGTGCTGACCTGTGTCTCCACTGTATGACTGATACCGCATCTACTTTCCTCCTGCTCCTCTTCTCCTCTCCCCCTTCCCACCGCCCTGCTGGTCTGCACCCGTAACCAACTATCTCCTGCTCCTCCTCCTGCTCTTCCCACCTCCTCTCTCCCTCCCTCCCTCCTTCCCCCCCTCCCTGCTGTAACTCACTTATACACATGACCCTCCTCTTCACATTACCCTCCTCCTCGCAATGCCCCCCTCCTCTTCCACTGCCGCAGTACGGACCCGGCGGCCGCTGCCCCGAGCCCGAGCCCGCCTCCGATGACGAGGTGTACTTCAGTGACGACGAGGCTGAGCAGCACTACATGCGACAGGTGGGGGGGAAGGGGGAAGGGGGAGGCGGGGGTGAGAGTGCATAGTCCCCTTGTGCTGTGTATCTGCGAATACCCTGCAGAAACCCGCTCAGCATGTGTCCCGTCTTCCTCCGGGTCTCTCCTTGCCTTCTCGACCCACACATTGGGTATTCTTTCTTTCCCTTGCCGTTACCATTACCACCCTGGCTGACTCCCTTCCTGCCCCTGCTGCCCGCACGATTCTGTCCGCCCAGCAAATCGCCAAGCGCAAGGGCGGCCCGGAGGCGGGCCCTGAGGGCGGTGCTGGTGGTGGTACTGCTGGGGGCGCGGGGGCAGCGGCAGGCGGCCGGCCTCGGCAACGCTCCCGGGGAGCGGGCAGCGCCGCCGCCTCTGGTAGCGGACGAGGTACGTGGTGGGGTTGCGGATACCGTGCTGTCAACGTGTTGATCGCAGACCTACACCCCTCTCCAAGCGCCTTCACCTCCCCGCCCAACACCCCTCCCCCCTGCCGCATGCTTTCTTCTCCCCCCCCTCTGCGTTGCATTCCCATTCAACACATCGGGAATTCTTCTCCCCCCCTTCCTTCCTGCCCCTCGCCCTCCCCCCCTCTCCCATGTCGCAGGCGGCCCCAGCACCCAGTTCCGAGTGGCTGCCACCGCAGGCGCCATGAGCGCCCTGCTGGGGCTCGGGGGCGGGGAGGAGCGGGCGGGGGGAGGAGGAGGGGGGCGGGGGGGACGAGGGGGGCGGGGAGGAGGAGGACGGGGAGGTGGCGGCGGAGGGCGGGGGGGAGGCGGAGGGCAGGGCGGCTGGGGACAAGGCCCGTCGCAGGGTGCCGGGCCCGGAGGGTATAGCAGCGGTGGCGGTGCTGGTGGTGGGGCAGGTGGGGGTGGCTCTGGTAACTGGATGCGGCCGATGCGGGATGAACCGCCGCCGCCGCCGCAGCAGCAGCAGCAGCCAGCGCATCTTCCGCAGCACCATCAACCGCCACCGCCGCCGGCAGGGCAGCCGTACTACCGGAACCAGGGGGCGCAGCAGCATCCGGCGCCGTACGGCGCTCCGCCGCCGCAGCATCATCACGATCAGGTGTCGTACGGCGCGCCTCCGCCAGCGTACGGCGCTCCCCAGCCGTACGGCGCACCTCCGCCGAGCGCGGGTTACCGCCAACCGCCACCAACCGGCTACGGTCCACCTCCACCTCACCATCCTCAACACCAGCAACCACCGCCTCAACCGAATCCCTACGGATCGACGGGTTACGGACAACTGCCTCCCCACCCCTCAACCTACGGCCTTCCACCTCCGCACCAACAGCAGCAGCAGCAGCAACACTACCCGCCAAGCGGCCCCCCTCCACCCCACCACTACCAGCACAGCCAGCAAGCGCCGCCGCCGCCGCAGTCGCACTACCAGCCGTACGACACACCCTCGCAGCCGTACAGCGGCGGTACGGGGTACGGCGCTCCGCTATCCGTACCAGCTGCAACAGCGGGTGGGCCGCCGCTAGCAGGCGGACCGGCTGGCTACTACCAGCAACAAGGAGGGCCGCAGCAGCAACAGCAACAATACCCGCCGCAGCAGCAGCAGCAGCAGCATTATGGTGGGCCCCCGCCACCATCGGCATACGGGAATGGGGGACAGCAGCAGCAGCAGCCGAATGGGCAGCAGCAGTGGTGGCGGTAATTTGTGGAGGACAGTTGGATGCTGACGGTTTACGACTTCATGACGTGTTGTTTCGTGTGGGTAGCTTGCCTGGGTGTCGTGCCCCGTTGATGGGAACCATGTGATGGGAAGCATGTGAGGGGGGTGCCATGACTGCCTGCCGTCCTTGAAGGAACCGCGGTTTGCAAAACAGCTGGTGTATTGAGCGCTGCGAATTGATGACTGTTGCTGCACAATAAGCAGCTTGCTTGTCGTGGTTCAGGGACAGATACGGTATTATGAGTTACGGCTCTTTTAAGTTACTGAACGAAGTCTGTGTTTGATGAGCCTGTAAGGAGGTCAAAGGGCTGTGAGCCCAGCTTCCCTCTAATATACTGCCCTCATTGCTTGGTCTACAGAATGCCACCGACTGCATCAAATGGCAAGCCAAGACCGCTGGTCTGGGCTGCAAAATGCAAATACACCGGCTGCGATAGCTGTGCCCGGTTACAGTCAACAAGACATCCGGGAGACCAAAGTCCCCGTATCGTCACTTATGCTACCCTGCTACGGTACCCCTACCTCGTCGATTAGCCGCCCTCACCGTCTAAGATTTACTACTCCTATCCTGATGTAACTATAATGTTAATCCTAACCAGCAGGCTGCAGCAGGATCCGCTTTCCCGCCGCCTTCAGCGAACCTGTACTCCTCCCGGTCCTCACCCCAGCACCCAACCCAACAGGGCCAGGGTCAGTGTTCCGCAGCTCAGCTTATCTAACCCAACGCGCAACCCAGAACACGCCTCCTCGGTGCTCCTCATGGCTCCAGCTCCAACAACGCCTTGCTCGCAAAGCTGAGCTGCCCAAACGCCAGCGGCGCCTGCGCCCGTGCATCCGCCAAGTGATCATCCAACGACCTGTACGGCAACCGTACAACCAGTTGCCGTTGCATCTGCTGGGGCTGGGACTGCTGCTGCTGTTGATGCCCGGGCGCTGTTGCTGCCGCCTTGGCCGCAGGTGGGGAAGCATTGAGTGTGGCGGTGGCTCCCTGGACGGATGCCGCGAACAGCAACGGTACCTGCAACTCTGGGTGCCCCGGAGTCCGCACGAAGAGGCTTCGGCCGCATACCTCCACTGCGACATCGCTGCCTGGCTGAGAGGTATTTAATGACGCCTGGTGCTGTGGGTCTGGTTGGGCGGACGCATGATGACCCGCGGGTCGGTGCGGTGGCAGGTCCACCGTCACTCGGATCCATTCCACCGGTCGCCCCTCGTACTCGACCTTATACGTCATTAACCCCCCTCCTGCTGCTCCTCCTGCCCCTGCTGCTGCCGTCGACGAAGCCACAGACCCTGCCTTCTGTGCCATCGTGGCCGCGGCTGCTGTTGCGCCCCCGCTCTTACCCGCCGCAGCCGCTGCTGCTTGCCCTCCGGCACTGCCCGGCCCCGGCCCGGCAGCTGCGGTGCTGCTGCTACTGCCCGCCTTGGCAGCTTGCTGCTGTTGCTGCTGCTGCTGCTGTGACGGCTTGGTGGTCCGCAGCGCGAAGGAGGGCTCCTCGTCCACATCCCGCAGCTCCGTAACCAGCTTCTTGCGCCTGCAGCACAGGGAGACATGGTTAGGAAAGCAAGGGAGGTGGGTTAGGAAAAGCAAGGAGGTGGGTGATCGGTAGGTAACGAGGGAAGTGGGTTCCTAGGTCCGGTCGCTCAGGCCTGTTACAATGACACCCGTCTACAAACACGACCCCCAAACAGGAGGAACAGCTGTAACGCAGCAACGGTGGTGTTCGCCATGTGCCCTCACCGCCCAGCTCCCCGCATTCGGCATGCCTCCCTCCCCCCTCCCACACCCAGCTCCCCTGCCCCTCCCCCCCACCACAATGGGTGCCGGTATTCTTCTCCACCCCATCTCCCCAACACCCACTTGTCGTCCGCCCGGATGCGCTGGCTGGCCACCACCTCCCCCTTGTACCGCATCTTGGGCAGCTTGTAGCGCGGATCCAGCTCAGCACCCAGCTTGCTGCCTACCCAGCCCGTGGCCACCTCGATCAGCAGCGCCTGCGGGTTTGGCCGATGTGTGTTGTAGCGAGGTGGATAGTACCTGCACAACCGATAAACAATCCGATCCCCCCAATCCCCTGCTCCTCCTCCTTCGCCTCACCTTTAGTTTGCGCGCCCCCGCCGCCACACGCACGACGTCCGCATTGAACACCACGTCGATGACGGTGCAGGGCGCGCCCTTGCGATCCGTGTCGGCGCGGGGGGGCCCGGCAGCCAGCGGGAAGCGCAGCGCCTCCACCTCCCCGGGGGTCATGGTGGCGGCGGCGGCGTCACCGTTGGCAGCCTGGTGGGCAGGAAAGAGGGAGGCGTGTAGGAGGCAGGGAGGGGGCAATCCCCAGGAGGCAGGGAGGGGGAATGAAAAGTGAAGCAACGGAGTCCTATTCCCATATCCCAACTCATGCAGTGAGCGCATACGGAGACGCTATTCTAGAAACACAGGGAGGGAGGGCAGGATGTCGGGCGGAGGAGGTAAGGAGCGGCAGTGACAAAGTGGCAAGTGACGCTTGCGCATCAGTCCGGCAGCGCTCCCTACCTCCCCAGCCTCCGCAAGCACGCAGCCCACCCGCCCCAACACACCTGCAGCTTGTCCAGCGCCGCCGCCACCTCGTCCGGCATCACCCCGCCGTCCCACCCGCCCGGCGCCGCCACGCGAGCCGAGCTACACACATTAATGAAGACCTTGCGGCCGCTGCCTACCTCAGACGTCTTGATGACGAAGCTGGGGTAGCGGGTAGGGTGGGGGGGACAAAGGATACCCAATGTGTTGAATAGGGTGGGGGTGCGGGGTAGCGGTGAGGGTGTGGGGTAGGAGAGGTCAGAGCAGGGGCCGGGAAAGGAGGAAGGAGGCTGGGGAAGAAGCGGTGGTCTGGTCTGATTTGGGCACACTCCTGGACGTGTGTGCTACAAGGTGTGAGAGCAGGGCAGCAGCTTCCGTACATGGCAGCAGCAGTACGTGCCATGCAAGCAGCTGGATGCCGACACCCCGGTACGACATGCTGGGGCATCCAGGATGCAATCCAGGATCGTACCCTGGATCCGGGGTGATCTCCTCCGTGGGGGTGTCAGGCGGCGGCGCGGCGCCTCCCTTGGCGGCTTTCTGGCGCTTCACGTTGTCTAGCATGGTCTGCGACAGGGAATGGGAAGGGAAGGAGGGGACGGAGACGCCGGTGTTTAGTGCGTAGTAGATAAAAGTGGAAGGGTGAAGGGAGGAGTGGCTTATGGGGGGGTTAGAAGTAAACGAAACCTCCTGCGCAGCGTGCTAGGGAATGACCGGCTTTGGGATGGCTGGGTAGCGGAGGATGGGTAAGCGAAACTTGGCCCAGGGGTCATGGTCGAGTGAAGGTGAGTTTTGGCGTGTGTCAGGACGTACCTTTAGGTCAGGTGGGACTTGGTCCATGTTCATGCCCTGCTGCTGCAAGAGCTCCACAAGTGCAAGAAGCTCCTCAGGCGAGGGCATCGGCTCCTCAGCGGCGGGCTGGTTGGGCTTGGATTGTGGTATCATGGCTGTGCAGACGTGCAACCTGCCCAGATGAAAGGAATAGTCTCACTGCGGACAATCCTCGCGCTAAAGCTTTGCCTTGACGAACAGAACCTACGAGAATGGCGCCCGTAGGTGGGCCTAGGAATCAGAAAGGCAAGTAAGGAGCGATCAGTGCCAAGTAAGACTTGCGAGCATGAATAAGCTGTTCAGGAGGGCAGGTTGTTTGCCCTCTAAGAAAATTCCGTACTTCAGTTGGGTTTGTTGTTTCTTGTTTGTATGCCAGTTCACGCGCAAGTCAAACACAGCATTGTGCCAAGTACTCCCTAGAAGCAACCTTTTACATAGTGTTTACATATGCTGCGAGCACCCTAGCGGTTTCCTTTGGTATTGTTTATTCCTGGCCCTACGCATGCCTACCCTGCTCTAAGGTTACATCTAGCTAGAATTTGTCCATCTAGAAGTCATGAGCAGCAAGCGGGTGGGTGAAATGCAGCTAGCCCGAAGGACCGGCAGGAGGATACTCAGCTCAACGTTTCTCTTTTAAACTTGGCAGAGCGGGAGATCATCTATTGCACCGCGGAATCAAGAGGAAGCCCAAGGCGGGGACGCCGCGGAAGCGTCACCCCAACAGAATGGGGGCAATGAGGGGGGCGAGGACGCGCCTGCGCCCGCGTCTGCAGCTGCTGCAGCACCTTCCAAAGGACCCGTCTCGGTTGGTCGCTCTCTCGAGGTGTGTTCTGACACCTGCTCAACGGGAGGTGGAACGGCGTTTCGCTAACCCTTTTGCTAACATGCGTGCAGATACAAAGCACTCCAGACGTTTGCATGGTAAGCGACCGCAAACGTGTTCCCTCACGTTGTTCGTGTTGAAGAACCTGGTCCTCCTCTCTGCAGGAAATGTTGACGGACAAGCTAAAGCTTCTAAACTATGAGGCCGACTTTTGCAGAAAGAAGTGGGTAAATGCTGCCCTATAACACAGCAGAATGGCCATCCATCTCCGGGCTGGGAAATTAGGACGCGCCTCTTGTCGCATGTTGCCAATGCTCTTGCCCTCCCATATGCAGGAAGCCCTACCGAAAACCGCTCTCTAGATTATACTTTGCAGTCCCCATGACGAACACCAGCGAGCAGTTCTTCTACTTTACAAGCTTGGTACGCGGGTCTGAATGGGGATGCCAACGTGCCGGGTGGGGCTGCTACCGACAACCGGCTGCTCCCAAACGGCCTAACCTTAGCACATGCAGTTCTGCGGGAACCCCTCCAGCAGCTGTACCACTCCAGGGTCGGCCGTGACTTGGGCCGTCTCCACCGCAACACCCTTGCCCCTTCTCCCGCATGCCGCGGCCACAGGCCCACTGGTTGCTCTCCCTGGCGGGCCAGGACATGCCCACGCCTAAGGAGTTTGACGACCCCAACCAGACCTGCTCCAACCTGCTGGGGGCTGTGAAGCGGCTGGGCTTTGCGCCGCCCACCTACCACCCCTCCAAGCTCACGGTGGGCAACGGCAAGGAGGTGGTGGGGGTGCTGGACGCGCTCGTGGACTATGTGCTGGAGAAGCGGCACCACACCTACAAGCGGCCGCAGTACACGGACGGGTGAGCGACGGATGATATAGGCGGTAACCGTGGTGAAAGGCTTGGGGCGTGGCCGCGCCATGCTCCATGCGCAGTAACGGGATACCGTGGGGTCAAACTATGTGAAGAAACATGGCCCGAACTGAAGGCCAGGCGGGACGCACGACGGATAAAGGTATCGCATCATCATAAATGGGGAGAACCTAGCATGGGCACCTTGCCATCTGGGTCCGTGAGGCCGCAGCCTGCATGGGGTATCAGGATAGCCACTCCGGCTCCTGCCAGTTCGGGCTTTAGACGTCGGGGCTCAGCCAGCGCCGTGGCAGAAGTGGCGCTGCATGGGTGACATGAGCAGCATGAGCATGGCTGAGCGGCTATGGACCACCGCTCCTGGCAAGCTGGGGGCGAGGGCTGGCGGAGGGTTCACAGCGGGCGTTGGTGGTGTCTAGTCCGCCTGCTGTCGTGCTGCACAGTGCTGCATGGGGGTTAGCGGCTGTTGGCCGAAGCGCTGACGCTCGCACCCGCTTGTGCCACCGTTGCCTGACAGGGGCCCGGACGATGGGTTGATAGTGGACGATGAGGCGGAGTCAGCGGCCATGGAGGGAGCGGACGAGGTAAGAGCCTGCATGCCTGCATGTGTGGGGTGGTGATGGGGGTGGGTGGCTGGGAAGGAACATGGAGAGCGCGAGCAGGCAGACCCTGGGAAGGACCTCGAAAGGCGTGAGGGTCTGTTAGCATGCAGCAGGTGTTGCAGGCGGCTTGCATGGGTGGATCCGTTTAGCTAACTGACCTGCTGCCGTCCGAAAGCGCATACTGCTGCTCGACAGCTCACTGCTACACTTCCCGCCTCCCGTCCTGCAACCCACGCTCCGCAGCTGGCCGCGCCCACACCCGCTGGCGGTGATGACGACGAAGAAGAGGAGGGGGTGTACGTGGAGCCGGGGCGCGGGGACGTGTCGGGGCCGGGGGCGGGCCAGACGGGCACCATCGATGCGGAAAAGGCGGTCCTGGTGTCCAAGGTGAGTGATTGGGGATGCACGTGGAAGGGAAGGGATGCATGGTTGGGTTAATGGGTGAGGATGTATGAAGCCATGCTGGGGACGCGATGAAGAGCTTTCTGAGAGTTGAGCTTGCATGAGGATTGCCGCCATTAAGCCGGACTGCTCGTATGCCTGCACAACATTAAACGGCTGTCCCCTGTCAACATGACAAACGCATGCTGCCCATCCAGCACGTCACGTCACTAGGAGGTGATCCCATAGGTCCCGTGCATACCGGTAGCTACCGTATGAGACGGCTGGTGTGACACCTCTCCGCCCTGCCCGGCGGCCGCCCCTCCGCAGGTGGACCCCACGCTGTGGAAGATCGAGCTGGAGCGGGTTGCACCCAAGCTGCGGATCACCATTGCGGCAGACTCCAAGGACTGGCGCTCGCACCTGGACGAGGCGCACCAGCACAAGGAGGTGCGCGGGGCAGGGAGGGGAGGGCGAGGGAGGGAGGGAGGGAAGGGGGGGGATGCGTTCTGAGGCTTCTGTAACTGTGTCTCAGAAGTGGAACGGCAGCTTGGCGCATGGCAACGCAAATGGCGTGAACACGGGATGTATGCACTTCAGACGAGGAAGGTAAAAGCATGGATGCAACGTGTGGCTTTCCCCATGCATCCAAAGCACCCGTTGCCAACAATGCACGGTCCCATCTGCAAAACCCCATCCACGCGCTCAGGTCATCGGCAAGGCGTGGCCCGACAGCAAGCAGTCTCTGGAGCGCCTGCGAACCGACCTCAACGGCACCCTGGAGAAACTCCAAACCCGCGAGAAGTTCCTAAACGAGCAGTTCGAGAGCCTCATGCAGCAGTACCGCGCCGCCCGTACGGGACTAACTGACGTACAGGAGACGTACAACCGCAAGACGGAGGCGGTTGCGGACCGCAACAGCGAGCTGCACCGGATCGCGGAGCAGCTGGAGGAGGTGAAGGCCATGATGGACGAGAAGGGCAGCAACATTGCGGACGCCACGCCGGTGGCGCGCATCAAGACGGCGATCAAGCAGCTCAACAAGGAGCTGCATGACATGGAGGTGCGGATCGGTGTGGTGAGTCACACGCTGCTGCAGCTGTCGTTGCGGAACAAGCGGCTGCTGCAGGCGCAGGCGGCGCTGAGCGATGAGGAGGAGGACTGAAGGGGGGCTGCTGGCGGGGGTTGTGGCGCATGTGCTTGGTGGTATGCGGGTGAGCTGAGCTGCGACATGCGAGTTTGGGCTGGCGGGAAGGGGACATGCGAGTTTGAGTGGGTGATGTGAGCGAGAGCCTGTTGCGAAGGAGCTGGGGCGAGGTTACGTAAAAACGTACTGGTATATGTGCTACGTGGCCTTATACGTGCGGGTATTGGTATGGCTCTGCACGGGTGGAGTGGAGACACGGTGCAGAGCAGAAAGTGATTAGGACTGTCGGACTTGCTTGCAAGTGCAAGGCGCTGGGGGTTGCGACGCAGGTGTTCTGCCTCTGTTGTCGTACTGGGTACAGTGCGGCGGATAGCAACAGCGCATGCTCCTGGCGAGCGTCATATGATAATCATGGAGGCGTTTATGATAGAAGGCGTTAACGCGAGGATTGTCCTCGCGCTTCGCCTTGCATCCTCTACTTGTACAGAACTTAACTGCCGCTGCGATAGCGGTTGGGACCTGAGTGTTGGACTTGCCGCGGTAATGCGTGGAGTAGGAAAAGCTATTACGCCGGGTATGTTTAGGAACTCGTCTCGGCTGTAGGGGACTTGGCTTTCCGGTCAACATGCTGACATGCGAGTCGCGAGTGTACCCTGCTTGTGAGGTGCCATTAGCAATAATGACCGTGACTATGAAATTACATAGTCTATGAGCACTGCACTTGCGCACGCTCAGCCAAGTGGACTGTAAATGCGTGGTGCAAGCGAACCACACAATTGTGCTATAGGGTACTATCGGCGATTAAAAGAACTCGTTTCACAACTGGACGCGCTTGAAACAGGGTATAGTTTGTGATAATTAGGTGAAGATAAAACGCTGAACTACTTGCTTATTGCACCTCACGGATGCTGCTATCTGGTCGACCCTTACAGCGAACAGGGCTCGCTCAGTCCAAACTCAGTAGATGTACAGCTCGTATTCTAGCGAAACAAAATAGCGACAGGGACCACGTGTGCCAGCCGGTCGGGGCTCTGCCTCGTCGCTCGTTCGGCGCATCGCTGCTTGGCGCGGCTGCCATCTTCCTACTGCCGGCACCAAACGCTAATGCAGGGTGAGCGCATACTGCAGTGGCCCCCCTGGTCGTCGCTGCGCGGGCCAGCGGCTACTGGTCCACATCCAACCCATCGCAGGTTCAAGAAAGAGCTGAAGAAGCGCAAGATCCCTGAGGAGGATTATGCGGCGCTTCGTAAGTTGTCCTTTCCCGACATTTTGCCACTGGGCAGAACATGGGGGCTTGAGGGACGCCAAGGCAGGGCTCTTGCGCTCACAAAACTCCTCAGCTTGCAGAATGCTCGCAGCCAGTTCCTTAAAAGCCCCGCCGCCGCTTTCCGTTGTCCTGCTGCAGCGGAAAACGGGCTTCGCTACTACGACCTGGAGCAAGGCACGGGCCCCGAGGTCAAGCCAGGGGACAGAGTCGTGGTGGGTCCGGGGCAGCACTCTTAGCGCATGACGTATATGCGAGGGGCGTCCTTCCCTGTCTGCATGGATCCGCCGCCTGCAGCACACTCCTACACTACTCCCCTCTAACAGTATTCTCCTGGCTAGGGAAGCTGAGTGTTATACAGCAGGCCTGGTATGCGCTGGTATGACCACTCACATCAGCTGTCGTACGCTTATAGCTTACGAATGCAAGCCACTCCTCACACGTCCCTACCCTCCTCCGCTGACGTCGCCTTCCCTGCCACCATCACCACCACCATCACCCCGTGCATGGTGACGCCCTATCACACGGTTCGTTACTCGTTTCCTCTTAACCCCTCCTGCACCTGCTGCCTCCCCCCCCGGGCCCCCTCCGCCCCAGGTCCACTACGACTGCCTCTACCGCGGACTGGATGTGGTGTCCAGCCGCTCTGCGCGCCTGCTGGGCGGCAACCGGACCATAGCCGAGGTACGGAGCGGGTGCTGGCCATTTAACTGAGCCGCATAAGTGGTACTGATGCAGGGTGTACGGTAGTGGAAAACGGGTTGTGTTGAAAAAACTGGCCGCGAGTCGGAACGTACTGTAATTGCCGGAAGATGAGGTCCCCACAGAAACGCCAGGTGAGCCACGGGATTACGTAATGTGCGCACGGGAGCGGGGTGTTCAGCAGACGCGCAGTTTGACACGGCCGGAATGCTGGTTTCCACACCATGCCACGGCAGCTTTCCCTTTCACAATGTAGGTCATGACAGGTCAACTGTCTCTCATGCGGGTACCCCATGTGAAAGCAGATTAAAGAACCCCACCTTGCATGGCGACGCTGTCCCCGCTCCCCTCCTGCCCACAGCCGTACGAGTTCGTAGTGGGGCAGCCGGTGTCCGCCGCCTCTGTCGTACGGAGGTCGTACGATTCAGACAGCGCCAACCCGCTGTTCGCCGGCGGCAGCGGACCCAAGCCGCCGCAGGCGCTGTCACTGTCGGTCGTGGGCATGAGGAAGGGCGGCAAGGTAGGGTAGTACACGCAGGCGAACACCCAATATCACGTGTTCGTACATGTCGTACACTTACCCTGTACGACACCTTTCTTTGCATGGCACGACGACACCTTCCTCTTATTTGAAACCTTCCTCCTGTACGGCACCTTCCTTCTTGTACGGCACCCCCAGCGCTCCATCCTGGTGGGCAAGTCGGAGCTGGGTTACCCCGGGGGGGTGAACGAGTTGCCGCCGGACAGCCCCTTCGAGCTGCAAGTGGAGCTGCTGGGGCTGGTGGGGCGGGCGGGGTAGGGACTGGGTAACGGGGTGACCCGGTGTGGGGCCTGCACGGCTTTACCTTGTAATGTAATATCCCTAATATGGTTGCCGCTATGTGGGGGTCAAAGGTGTGCCAGCACCACAGGTAGGCTTTGGGGGTAGGGAACAGCAGCGCGGGGGTACTGTACAGGTAGTGCTGCTACTGCTTAGAAGGTTGAAATGTTGTGAGAGTGTAGCGGAGTGTGAAGTAAGCATGCGGTGGTGGATTACGTAATAGGCATGTGTAAAGTGTGGGAATCATCTAAGTGAGTGGGACGGGAGAGCCTCAGACCGCATCAGACATAGACCGCATTCGGACAGACGGGGTGGAGGCGTTAGCTGTGGAGGCGGGTGGGCTAGCAGGAGTGTTACAAGTGACTGGCTGTGGATAGTCGCAGGGTATGTCCACTCGTAAGGGTATTTACACGGTGGGCACGGCATGGACCCCTGGGAGGACGGCAGCGGTTGGATCTCCCTTGCAGCTACTTGTTAGTGGTGCATGGGGGCGGTGCGATCGCTCGTGATGAGGATGGGGAGGGCAGCTGCATGCTGGGACAAGGCGGGCCACAGTGCATTGGCAGTGTCGGGAGGTGTTATTGTTGCGGCACATGTTACGCATGAAGGACTAGAAAAAGACGGGACGTGAGGACCGGATCAGTTAAGTCGGGCTCGTTCCGGGCAGTGTTGACTTTGATGAAGACACGCTGTGACCGCCTGCGGGTACCGGTATAGAGGCCGGTATAGATGCCGTTGCGGGCACGTGAGATTTTACTCAAGGGATGGCAAGGTTCCTCCGCACACCAATTGCATGACACGTAAGGCTGCCATTTGCACTGTCGCGCGCACTGTTGTTTCACAGCAAAATCGTCCTCCAGGGCCACTGCTACCTGTAAGAGCCCGCGTTACGTGACTCATCGCAACAAGCAGTGTCTGGCCACCTGACACACAACACAACACCAACCGCAACGTTTGGTAAACCGTTACGGCAACCTTGGGACCAACACAAATGCTTTTAGGGTAACCATCCATAGATAGCTTAGTAGCTTAGTAAGAATGCGGCACATCGATAGCAGCAGCAAAGACAACGTGACCCAGTAGTAAAGAAGCAAGCAAGGACACTACAGCTGCTACTGTAGTCGAGAAGCCATGCACAAGAGCTCACGTGATGTGATGAGTACGGCATATATTAATTGCGCGCCGTCAATCCATTTGGGATTTCCAAGATAACGCTGCGCTGAAGCATAAACGCCAGTACAAGAATAGTACTACCGGTATGTAGATTCATTCAGTAGATTCGCAACACGATTCTTTCCATATCATGCAATCAGGACAGTGCTCCCTGCCACCAAAGCCTTACTCCGCATCCACCACCCCCAACTCATGCAGACCCACCGCCACCCCCCCCCACGCACAATGAACACACAATTCACAATTCCTACAAGCAACCCCCACGGCACTTCCGCGCCGCGCCGCCGCAGCCCACCTCCTCCATACACGGTCAGTTCGTTGTATCCTCCTCCCTACCTCCTCCACAGCCCTGCTACCGTGCAGGCCCCGGCGAGTAGTCCGGTGGCCACACCAGGAAGCTGGTTTTGGCGGCGTACATGATCTCCACGGTCGCCGGCGGCATGCCCTTGCAGCGGGGCGTCTGCAGCACCAGCAGGTCCGGCTCGCCCTCCACCACCGCTTGGGGCAGGCTCTTGTTGGGGGGACCTGCATGTGTTGGGTTGGGATTGCGTGTGTGGGAGCAGGTGGCAGTTGCGCTTTTTGTATACTAAGGTCGCGTGTTAACGCAGGGACTGGGTGCTTCCCAGCCCAGCCTGTCGACACCTGCATGATCCTATTTTCCTTCACCCATCCGTCCCCCATCCAGCCACCCAGTCACTACCGCCCCACCCAGCCCCCCTGTTTGCCACTCTCAATCAACACGTTGGGTATTCTTCTTTTCTACCCAGCCCCCAGCCACCCACCCACCCACCCACCCACCTGGGAAGACGGCCGTGTCCGCCCGGAATGAGTTGACGGTGGCCTGCACCCCGAATGCCGTCAGCAGGCGCTGCGCGGTGGGCTTGATGCGGTGCATGTCGTCGAATGCCTGGCTGACGGTGAGCAGCAGGGAGTCCCGGCCGGGAGTCAGGTGCTCGAACAGCCACTCCAACACGTGCCTGGGAGAGGAGGGAGGAGGGAGGCGGAGGAGGTGGAGGAGGGAGGCGAAGGAGGCGGAGGTGGTGGAGGGAGGCGGGAGGTGGAGGAAGTACAGATGGGAGAAACGTGGTGCAGGCGGAGCCGTCAAACGTGGTGCAGAGTTGGCGCCGAGGTACAGGCACGGGAACCCTGTGCACACCAGGTCCGCCCTACCCTGCATCCCACTTCAACCCCGCCAACACACACACACGCCTCGCGGCCAGTTATTTTAACACACACGCTCCGACTCACAGCCAGTTTTCTTAACACACTCGCGGCAAGTCTTTCCTAACACGCCCGCCCGCCCGCACCTGCTGTTCGCCTGCAAGTCCACCATCACTCGCATGGGGGTGGTCAGCGGGCCAGCCGGGGCCGCCAGCGCCGCAGCCGCCGCCGCAGCCCCAGCCGGCGTCCCGGGACCCGCCCTCGGGTCCCTCGGACTGGACCCCATCCCCACCAGCGGCAACGCGGACGCCGGCCGCTGCGGAAACGACCGAGGCGAGTTCACACCGCCCGCGGAGCTCATGCGACCCACGGGTCCGTTGGTCGCCAGGCTCAGCGCCGCAATGGAAGCCGAAGGCGACAGCCCATTTGCCGCCCCGGCTGCTGCTGCACCCGTTGACGTGGCTCCTGTGCCTGGCGGCGGCCCGGCGGAGGGTGAGGAGGAGGCGGGCATGGTCGAGGCATTCAACCAGGCGCCTTTACTGTTGAACTTCACGAGCACCACGGGCGCGCATTTGAGCTCGGGAAGGATGCGAAGCGCGAGGCTGCTGTTGCCGAGGAGTGGCGGGCCGGGAGCAGCGGCGGCGGTTGCGGCGCTGGAGGGCTGCGGTCGTTGGAGCGGTCGTTGGAAGAAGGTTCCGGATCCGGAGGTGGTGGTTGAGGAGGAGGAGGTGGTGCTCATGCCGTAGGGGAGGGAGCTGGAGCGGGTGGGGGCTGAGGTGAAGGGGCGGGCGGGGCTGAAGGAGCTGGGTGCGGGCTGGTTGGGGCGGAATGCGGGGCCGCTGCTGGTGGGCTGGGTGTTGGTGCCTGCGGTAGGGGGAGGGGAGGTGGTGGGGAGGGAGGAGGGCAACCGGTCAGTGGGGAGCAAGAAATGATGGACTGCGTTGAACTGGTGATTCTACTAGGTGCTGCGGACAGGGTAAGGAGGGGGGCGTTAGGGCGGGAGCGTTAGCGGGTCTGTATGAATAGTTGGTTATTGACGAAAGAGAGAGCTTCTGTGATGCCTCTTCCTCTCTCTTCCTTTGCAGCTTACAGAGGTTGGTTGAGCCCATGAAGATGATGTGCGGCCGCACCACCGTCTCCACGTAGCGCCCCAGGCTCTCGGGGAGCGAGTAATCGTCCTCCTTCAACACCACCTGCGAGGACAGGGCAGCAGCAGCGGGGGGCGGCAGCAGCAGCAGCGGAGGAGGGGAGGGAGGTCGAGGGTCAACAAGGAAAGCAACCAGGCTAAAAGAAGCCATGAAGCTAGGGCAAGGCATTGGTGGAGGTGGAGGGCCGGGAGGAGGGGTGGTGGTTGAGAGGCCGTGAGGGTGCAGCCTGGTGTGCTGGAGGGAGGCAGGAAGGGAGCAGGGATGAAGGGTCATGTGGAAGGGAAGCCACGTGGAGCCATGTGGGAGCCCGCTGCCGCTGCCACAGAGGAAGTAAGGAAGCGGCACATGTAAGGCACACACGTAAGGCACATGTTACAGCTCCTGCCTCCTCCGCATGGAAGCATGCTGATCTCCCCCCCTACATGCGCGACCTGACCTGACATGTTGCCCTTCCCGGGTATCCCCCCTGCCTGTCATCGCAAGATCGCATCGCCCCCGGGATCCCGTGTGCAAGACCCCAGCTCCCAGTCGCTGTCTCACGATCGGTTCCTCCCCAGTGGTATTTACAGCACAAGCCCAGCCATGCTGCCCCAAACAATCGTACGACTCACGTGGTAGTGCGCTGTTTCCAGCAGCTCCGGCTCCAGGATCTCCTGCTGCCGGGAGAGCGCTGCTGCACGGCCCGCCTCTGTGTTGATGGCGGTGACCAGGTGGATCTGGTCAACCGCGGGGATGTAGAAACCCCGGAGGAACCTGGGGGTGGCGAGGAAAGTGCAGCGGGCATGACGACTTGTTGTGGAAGAGGGGTGAGAGAGCCGGGACAAGGAACAACGGTGGAAGCTGGCCCCATAGAGAGTTTACGAAAGGCAAGCGGTTATATGGGAACCCGGGGCTGCCAGCAGCTAGTCTATGGGTGTAAACTGGGCGCACGGAGGCAGTCAAGGAGTGCGCGAGCGCCATCATCGTATGGTGGCTGAGTCGAACCGGCCCGTGGAAAAGAGTGCAGAAAAGGCGATCAACTAAGACCGAGTACTGTTGCGAAATGCACTGTTAAGAGCTTTTCCACAAGCCATAAGCGAACGCACAGCAGCTAGAATCCTCAGGCAGAGCATAATTCGACACCTACTTGTATGCAGACTTGCAGGAATTTGAATCAGATACTAAGAGGCATAGCTTCATGCCTGCGTGCAACAAGAATAAGGTGCTGATGACACATTGGCATGCCAACCGGTCCATACGCCGAGCTGATGTCTGTACAGGCAGGTACCTCGCTTTCTCGAGTGCCTTCCATGCTTTGCAATCTCTAGGGATGGTGCACTGGCCAACATTTTTGGGAAACTTTGGGAAAAGGTCGCGTTGAAGGTAGCTAAAGCCGAGAATGGACGGTATAAGAGTAGTCAGTCCATTGTAAGTTTTCAAATAATACATGTAACTTCCGTTGTATAAGCTAGTACGCGCTCCATATTGCAGAGCGTCATGGCCCGGGGGTAAAGTCGTTATTGAGTTGTAGAATGCGCTAGGGCATCAGCCTACATACACAACACAAAGCTACGAAGCATAATCACCTTCCGTTGCGTACCGGTAGACAAGCAGGACGATGTTCGTACACTGGGACCGATGCCATAGGTGGCCCTAACCCACCTCGGCGCTCCCAGACAGTACGGTGAAAAGCCTGTGCAACCCTGATATCTTCCAGCTAAATCCGGCATAAGGCATAACCCGCATAAGGTTATGGCGCAGTCCAGGATTCCTTGGCACATGCCGTACAGCCCATGTAGAACCCATTTGGCGCATGCTGCAGGCTGCACCTACCGCAAGTCACGGCCGGCAGCCGCGTGTCTGTATCGCGCCTTCGTCGCGTGGCTAATATTTGCAGCACAAGCATAGCTTGAAAGGGGAGGGAGGGTCTGGCACCTATGGAATAGGATAGGTTGGCACCTATGGAAGAATTGAACTGTGTTCAACGTTGGTGCATGGACCGGTAACATGGAGACATGCATGCAGCCCCGCCCTCAGCTTCACATGCCTGCGGAAATCTGTGAGGGAGCAGAGCTGCTGAGAGTTGGCGCGGGGCATTGTTTGCGCTAGGGCCATGCCGGACGGCGGAGCACGGCGCGGCGATGAGCCTCAGGAATTTTGCTTGTCGCAGTGGCTTGGCTCTTTTGCGCAAGGAAGGCAACGACATGCTAGGTGCGTGGGAATGGCCAGGAGGGCCAGGTTTCGGTGCGTCGCTGAGGCCGACACCTGTGTAACGGATAGCCCATTATTGCCTTAAGGCTGAGGACCGCGCCGGGGGTCCTGACTCCCTAACTCAGCGCGTTACTTGTTTTGTATTTAAGGGTCAACGATAAAGTGCTGCAGGAATACAAGCCATGGCTACGGGGACAAGGTACCAAGTGTGGCTAGCTTGCGTGTTGCGTCCCAGGCGTCCATGGCGGCCTAAATTGGACGGCAGTCTCAGCTGGCGTTGTACCACTCCAGCATATACAGTCAGAATACTTACCGCTTGGCATGTTACACTTAACATCTGACATACCCGGGAAGCCCAACCACACGTATAAAGGAATGTTGCACGTATTTCTTGTGTGTAAGCGACTGGGGAAAATAAAGTAGAATAAGAAAGAAACGGCACTAGTTTATACATTTCAACTTTGGCGAGCACTTGCGTACGGAGCAAGGGAATGGATAGCGTAGTAATGCAGGCCAGTCAGGCCAGATGACCCCGGAAGCCTTAATCGAGCTATCCAATCGCTCACTCTTTATCATAGCAAAACAACGAGCATTTATTGTCCCAGGTAGATAGCTGGTGGCCTGGCAGGAGGCCTGGGGCCCTGTGCCTGACTAGGGCTATCTAACCGTGCCGTACACGCCGTTTCTATGCTAAATCCAAGGGACATAAATGTTTGTTGTCAAGTAAATCATATAGCTTGGATTGTGTCACTGTTTTGGTAAAGAAGCTTAGTTACAAGATGCACCGAAGAGTGGTCAGCGACCCATCTGGAGCATGCCTGCCTACCACCTCAATGCCGCAGGCGCTATTGCTTGGCCATACTCGGCCTCGCATGAATTTAGGTAAGCCTGGCACTCTGTAGTCCTGTCCTTAACATTACTTCTGGACTAGAAGGCGGATGCCGTTCGCTCGATATTCGCCGCCGCTTTCCCGCGAAGCTATGCCGCTGCCTTAGGTATCTATAGTAGCAAGCAAAAAAGGCAACACTTATTTGCTGTATCCTCCGCTTGACCTCCGATAAAGTTTTCCTGCGAACTGACTGGCCTGTCCGGCCTCGATGGCCTCGGCGGTTGACCGTTACCTCTCAGGTGGGCGCAGCAGCACCAGTCGTGTTGCGCCTACGAAGCTACATGAGATCAGTTCTGCGATAAGAACGATGGCGAGGGACAGGATGAACGGACAGCAGCGCATCGAGCTCGACGCCGTACGAGCGAGGCTTAACGAGCAGCTGAAGCTCATTTACTCGCTTCCGTACTCTGGTGAAGAGCCTTCACTAACTAAGGCAAACGGTGAGTCGCTTACGGGTAGTTCTGTTAGTACTGCCTACAGCGATGTACAATCGATGGTTGCATGCATATCCTGCAGCCCTGCTCCGACTCTATTGCTTTACCTGGCGCGCACTTGGTATGTCGCTCATATATGTGGTTACGGCATAAATACATTTATGAAATCCTTACATATGTCGTGGAAATGTAAAATGCCCTCCGCACGCGCCCACCCCAGACTGCGCTTGCGAGCAGGAGTACCAACCATCGCAAGGTTGGAAGCAGCTGCCACACCACCTGACAAAGGACCAGCTATGGCAGCGGCTTCGCGAGGAGGCGAAAGTTGATGCGGTGAGCACCGCCGGTTAACACACCCCCAAGCTACCCGGGCTGTATGCTTTGCGACTTTGGACCCTTACGCACTCGCTTTCTCACCACCACATCATCAACAACTCCATTCACCAGCCATAATCCGCTCGCCTCTCCTCCCACCCCTCATCAATTCCCTCAGGCCTCCGAGCCCGCCCTCGCCAGCAACCTCTACAGCACTATCCTCGCTCACAACTCCCTGGAAAGCACCATGTCCTTCCTGCTCGCCAACAAGCTGGCCAACCCCACCATGCTGGGCATGCAGCTGATGCGGCTGATCCAGCAGGCGTACGACGACGACCCCGGCCTCATGGAGGCGGCGCTGGCGGACCTGCAGGCCGTGTACGACCGCGACCCCGCCTGCGACAAGTACTCGCAGGCCATGCTGTACTTCAAGGGCTTCCAGGCGGTGCAGTGCCACAGGGTGGCGCACTGGCTTTGGAGCAAGGGGCGGAAGGTGGGTGCGTGGGGGGGGCCTGCTGGGGGCTGATGGAGGCTCTCAGACGACATACATTTCCTTCGGAAAGCTTGCTCTCGAAGGAACCGCTATAACTCCATTGCTGCATGCCTCCCTTACCTCTCTCGCAGCCGCTTGCGCTGGCCTTCCAGAGCCGCATGTCGGAGGCCTTCCATGTGGACATCCACCCCGCGGCGCAGATCGGGCGCGGCATCCTCATCGACCACGCCACGGGGGTGGTCATCGGGGAGACGGCGGTGGTGGGGGACAACGTATCCATGCTGCACCACGTCACGCTGGGGGGAAGCGGCACGGGGCATGGAGTACGGCACCCCACGATCGGCAACGGGGTGCTGCTGGGAGCGGGTGCAACCCTGCTGGGCCCTATCACCATCGGGGCGGGCAGCAAGGTGGGCGCCGGGAGTGTGGTGGTGACTGACATACCTTGCCACACGGTTGCGGTTGGGGTTCCGGCGAAGATCGTTAAGCGGGATATTAACAAGGAGCCGGTCAAAGAGATGGACATGTGCGTTGACTACGTGCTGGATTACGAGATCTGATCCGGATCCGGATCTTGCTCGTGGATCTGATTTGTGTCGTACGGGTTGATGGCCAGGGAGCTTTGGAGGGTGGGAAGGCCTGTTCGCGTGTGCTTTGGGGCGCGTGTGTTTTCGAGCAGGAAAATGGGGCCTGCCTGTCTAGGCCTGTGTACCGTAATCTAAAAAGCAACTTGAAGGTTGCAAATGGATGAGATAGATCTCCACAAGGCTGCACATGGGGCGTAGCGCTGATGTGGACGTTGCTTGCACTTCAAGTGCTTTGGCTTGGAATGCTGAGGACTGATAGCCAAGTTGGGGAGATCGACTGGTCGGGCTAAGGACGTGTGTTTTGGCCTGGCCCGTTCGTGCTGCATCCCGTTTCCCGTAGCTATGTGATAGGAACTGCGAGAAGAAACAACGTAGTACGGCTCATTTGGGCCTCTTTATTTTGTGTCTTGTTGTCTTGTTGAAGAGGGGGTTGCCGTACAGGCATATCGTTGGTAGAGATTGGCTGCTTGCCTTAAGTGGTTTTGCATGACATTATGACGTTAAAGACAAAAGACCTGTATCAATAGCAGTGAGTCTCGTCTGGGCATCTACCTAGCATAGCAAGCATGACATCTTGATTACATGTTGAAGGGTTACGTTGCGGTGTTTGGTCTTGTACGCTGTTCATGGAGATAAGTGAGTAGGATAAGGTATTGTACGGCCATGCGCTCGGGCATAGGTACGGTACTCGGGTGCTGCATGCAAGCTGCATGCCCCTGCGTTCATAACTTGCTGACTTACACGCGAGCCATGTAGAGAGCGAGAGCGTGTAGATGGGGGTGCGTTTCGCAGGTGTGATGGAAGCCGTCCTACCGGTATGCATGTATGCTCGATAGGTTAGTGGCTTGCTTGGATGGACAGTTGCCAACATCAGAAAGGCTGCATACAAGCGATATGGTTGCTGTGCGTGATAGAGCACGCCATTGCGTGGCTGCGCACAAAAGTTTGCGTGCGCTAAAGCCAAACATAAGAAACAGGTTCTCCTGGCTTCAAGGCGTGCAAATTAGGATTCACGCCTTGCTGCAACCTGTTCGTGATCCTGATCCTTTTGACACTTGTCAATCACAAATTGTAAGCAATCAGATAATGTGTGTACTTGTCAATCCGCATGTCCCTCATTCGTTACAGTTACAGTTTCAACCGACAACAGGGGTTGGCTTGACTGCAACCTTCGAGCATGTTCATTGAACGCCCTTTGCACCTCCCACGCACATCCCCATCCACCTCGCACGCTGCATCACGCCTGTATTTGCTATGCTCACAATGGTAAGTGGCATACGGTGAGTGTCTTAAGAAAACAATTCGGGTATTAAAGGGTGATGGTACACGCAGATCTCTACCGATACACATATGCGCCTGCCAGCTGCCTCCAACCCCATTCCTACAATACTACAGAGGCGGCCAGGCCATACCATGTTTTCCTATGTTCTAGTCCGCCCAACATGCGCATGAGCGATGTTCAAAAGACATCCGCAACACTATCCAAGCGTTGTTTAGCTTCCCTCCCGAGTTCGCGCATCGCTCCATGCCTTGCCCCATGCCCGAATCCTGCATGGCATCGACGCAGCCCAACGCGACGGCCTCTGCCTGAGAGAGACACACACTGCACGACACACATGTTTGCCCCGCGGAATCCATCGCACTGCCACATGCGCAGATCACTGCTGTCCCCAGCGCACGAACATAAACGGACCCCCACGGCCAGCTCATGCAAAAGCGTTTTCCCATGAGCATGCAGCGCACGCCATGACACTTGACGCATGTCAACGCCAGGCAAGACGCCCCTAGACCCGGAATCGACTGCATCTATCTATCCTGGCAATCAAGCCCTGCTTACCACTTCATCCTCGCTACTGACAGCACTCATGGCAAGGGAGACGTCAGTCCAACAACAAATTGAAAAGGAAGGAACCGTCCCCACGTCTTGCGTCAATTCGTAAGCCCCCAAAGCAGTACTCGAGAAAAACGGCACCCCGCCGCCGCGGGTACTACCTACCAGTAGGGTTAAGTTTGGAGCAATGAAATAGACGTATGTAGCACGGCCTTCAAGCAGCAGCAAAAGCCTGCCAAAGTAAATCCAGCATGCGCCAAGTAGTTACCGCGCCAACACGCAACGACGCAATTGTGGAACATCAACGGCTTGTGAAGGTGGCACCCGCCGTTGCCCAGCGCACGGGGGGCCACTGCCAAAGCTGCCGCGCATGGGGCTTTCCGGCCCCAGCGCCAAACGTACATGTAGATGACAACACACATGCAAATTGCAAAACGCCCGGAACCATGCCACCTTTCCGCTGCAGCAGTGTCAACAGAGCCTTCAAGCCCTGTCATAGGCCATGCGACAGGCCTGACGCCACGTCACCACCTCAACGCCTCAAGGCATGGTCTTGTTAAACCCTCTTAGCTCATCAGATCTCGTAATCCAACACAAAGTCGACACACTGGTCCATATCCTTCACCGGCTCCTTGATGAGGTCTCGCTTGATGATCCGCGCCGGCACCCCGACCGCCACCGCATGGCAGGGAATGTCGTTCACCACAACACTCCCCGCGCCCACTTTGCTGCCCGCGCCCACCGTGATTGGCCCCAGCACCGTCACTCCCGCTCCCAGAAGCACGCCGTGGTCGATGGTTGGGTGCCGCTTTCCCCGCTCCGTGCCGCTTCCCCCCAGTGTGACGTGGTGCAGCATGGATACGTTGTCCCCCACCACCGCCGTCTCTCCGATGACCACCCCCGTGGCGTGGTCGATGAGGATGCCGCGCCCGATCTGCGCCGCGGGGTGGATGTCCACATGGAACGCCTCCGACATGCGGCTCTGGAAGGCCAGCGCAAGCGGCTGTGGGGAAGGCAAGGGAGGCATGCAGCAATGGAGTTACAGCGGTTTCTTCGAGAGCAAGCTTTCCGAGCCGCAAGGAAATGGATGTCGTCTGAGATCCCCCATTAGCCCCCAGCAGACCCCCACCCGCACGCACCTTCCGCCCCTTGCTCCACAGCCAGTGCGCCACCCTGTGGCACTGCACCGCCTGGAAGCCCTTGAAGTACAGCATGGCCTGCGAGTACTTGTCGCAGGCGGGGTCGCGGTCGTACACGGCCTGCAGGTCCGCCAGCGCCGCCTCCATGAGGCCGGGGTCGTCGTCGTACGCCTGCTGGATCAGCCGCATCAGCTGCATGCCCAGCATGGTGGGGTTGGCCAGCTTGTTGGCAAGCAGGAAGGACATGGTCTTTTCCATGGAGTTGTGAGCGAGGATGGTGCTGTAGAGGTTGCTGGCGAGGGCGGGCTCGGAGGCCTGAGGGGTTGGGTGAGGGGCGGAAGAGGCGAGCGGAAGAGGGCTGGTGAGTTGGTGTTGATGATGTGGTGGTGAGGAATGACATGCTAGGTTAAGCTGAAGCGCACATCTTCGAGGGCAGAGCTGCAAGAGCATGTCTTAAGACATGGCTACTGGCCACGCGTGATTTTGCATAACAGACCTACCGCATCGTACTGCGCCTCTTCGCGGATACGCTCCCATAGCTGCTCTTTTGACAAGTGGTGTGGCTGCGGCCTCCAGCCTTGGGAGGGATGGTACTCGTCGTCCGAGGGAAATTCTACATCAACAGGAGGCAAGAAGACACGGGTATGGGCAGAAGTCAATGGCTGACTAACGGGGAGGCGCGATTTAGACTAAGGCCTGACAAGGCAAACCTACCATTTATCCTCAATTGTGATCTCTTGCCGTTGTCCACGGTGGGGACGGTTGCACGGAGTTGCTGGTTCAGGCGAGCTCGCATCGCCTCCAACTCCTCGCGCTCTTGGGCACCTAGTCTATCCCGCGCCATTGTCCTACATGTTGTGCTAGTGGTTTGGCTACTGTGAAGAAGGGAACGACTGGACATGACGTTGTCGCCTGCGGTTCACAGGAATCGACTGGTAAGAACCCTGGCCCCATCCCGCTGCACAAAGCCGTCATGCGGATGCAAGTGGACCTCAGGCATTATAGCAGGCAGCGCGGTTTAACGAATACTGCCAAGCTGAACTACATTGGAAAGACATGGCGCAACACTCGATAGCCTACAACCCAACGGGCCCACACAAGAGAAGGAACCTTCCTCACCGGCATGATACCGCGACCGCTTGGCTCGAAAAGGCAGCAGCTGAGGTCGAGAGGTGCTGGGCACGGCAAAATCGCCGACTGCACCTCGGTTCATCCTTTGTACAAGCTAAAAAGAGCAAAACGTAGCAACTAAAATGGCCAAGGGAGTAAGGGCGTGGGCCTTAAAGCGGAGATGCTCCTACTGTGCAACGTAAGACGCCTAACTTGTGGGATAGGACAAGGTAGCTTCAAGCAAAAATTAATCTGTGGTATCACTGAAGTAGCCTATGCGCCTGCACAAGTGCTACGTGGCGCAGTTCCGCTATTACACGGTGCTGGCTGGTGATGACACCTTGGGTCGCGTCGTACGGCGCATAACCCAAGAAGTCGCATTCCCAACCAGCTAGGTTACGTAACTGGGGCATTTGGTTTAAAGCTTCGCTTCACATTGCCGTTTGTGTCAAGCTGGTACCTTGTGTCAAAGCCCTATTGGTGCCATGGATGCTGCGCTTCCCCAGCCAGCAATGGTAAGCGCTGCCTGTACAGGGATATCTCTCCTAATAACTCAGCATGACCTAATTATAATTCTAGGTGCAAGAGCCCTACCTACCTTGTATCCCACCTGACCAATGACCACATGTGCACTGCGCACGTGCACAACCCCGCTCGCACACCAGCCACCGACCCACCAGTTCCTGCGCATTTAATATTGCATGATGCACTCACAACTTCCCCTTTTCCTGTTCTCCCAATCCTGTCCGTAACTTAATACGTCCAGGTAGTTCCGGTCATTGACATGGGGCTGCCCGAGGAAGAGGCTGCGGCCCTAGTGCGCACCGCATGCACCGACTCGGGCTTCTTCTATGGTAAGCCCTTCCTTTCCCCGTACGGCACAGAACATTCATTCTGTATCATCATCCGCCATACGGCGTACGGCGTGGAATCCAACCCAAATCGGTCCTTCAGCCGGCCTGCAGCTGCCTTCAAGATCACCCCCCAAGTCACGCACGTCTAGTCTGCACGGTTCGGCAACCAGCCTAGGCAGCCCCTAAGGCTCGTCGCCACTCACCATAAACGGCCCATACACCCCACCGCCAGCGCTTTCTCCCACACAGCCACACATCCACAGCCCCGCAAACCACTCTCCAGCTCCTCCCTGCTGTCCCCCTTTCCAGTCCTCACCTATCTCCTGCTCCAGCTCCCTCCACCTCCATCACCACGCCCTCTTCTCTCCCCCTCTCGTGGTCAACGTTTTCCATTTCTAACCCAGCTGCATACCGCCCTCTCCTGCTGCGTTCCCACCCCCCTTGCCTGCCTGCTCCCGCTCCCGCCCCAGTTCGCAACCACGGCGTGCCGCAGACGCTCATCGACGCCACCTTCGAGCAGCAGCGGGCGCTGTTCAGCCAGCCGATGGAGACCAAGATGGCGCTGCTGCAGGACAGCAACAACAGAGGGTACACCCCCTTCAGGGTGGGTTGATGCACAACACGGCCTTCAGGGTTGGTGGGGGGAAAAAAGAGGACCCGGTGTGTTGAATGATCATGGCAATCTAGTTGACAAGCTCCTGGTGGGGGAGGGGTAGAACCGCGGATACAAACCCTTATGGGCGGGTAAGGAGAAAAGAGACGAACCGTGAGCTGGTTGAATCTGCTGGTCAGAGAGGAGAGCAGCGGATTCTGTCCGTGCCGTCCGCCGCGTGCCGCGTCTTTGTTTATGGGTGAAACCCCACCCCTGCACGGTTGCACCGGTCCCGCCTCGCGTGCAGGAGGAGACGCTGGATCCAGCGCGGCAGAAGCACGGGGACACGAAGGTGGGTGGGCGGATGGGTGACTGAAGAAGGGTGGCTGAGCGGGTAAGGCGCTGAGGGAATCTCAGCGACACCTCACCCTCACCGCCAGGAGCCGAGCTTCCCCACCCCAATGTGCCTCATGCATCCCCCGACCTTCCAACAATGGTCTCCAACAACGACCTGCCCCCAACGCACAGGAGGGCTTCTACTTCGGGCGGGAGGTGCCTGCGGACAGTCCCGAGGTGAGGTGCAGGAGGAGGAGGAGGACGTGGTGGTGGTGGTGGTGGTGGTGGCGGTGGGGAAAAAGAAATTCCAAAGTGTGGCGGTGGGGACTGGTGACTGGGGGCGGAGGTGGAGGGGTAACGGCACACCTTTCTCCTGTCCTCTCGGCCCGCTGCCGATTACAGCCCCGCTGCGAATTTAACCTCACGAGCACCACCCTCGCCCCAAACAACCCCACCACTCCCAACAGGCCTCCAAGCCGCTGCACGGACCCAACCAGTGGCCCGACCCCGCCCTGCTGCCCCACTATCGCCAAGTAAGAGCACGCAGGGTGGAGGGGAAAGAGCGAAAGAACACCCAGCAGGGAGCTGGGGGGCGAGGAGGGCGGGGGTGGTGTGGGTCCAAGCGCATCCGGTGTTGGCCTTTGCGTTGTGAGCAGGGCGGTTGCGTTGGGCTTGGGGCGTCGGTCTGGCTTACCCTGAGCTTGCCGGCCTGTGTGCGCTCCTTCCTGCTCCTGCTCCTGCGTTTACAATGACTCTCACCTTAGCTGCTGTTGACTCTTGCCTCCTGCCCCCGCTGCCCCCCTCTCCCAGGTGACCTGGCAGTACTATGAGGCCCTCTACCAGCTGGCACTGCGGTGGGGCCGGGGGGAGGGCGGGGGAAGGTGGAGGCCGGGTGTGGCTGGAGGGCACATGCCCCAGTAGGAAGCTTGTTGTGTTGCAGGAGATCGGACATTGGTCCTGGAGCCGGAACAGTTTGTACATACCGGTAAATCCTTTGCACATGCCCTCCCTGCCTGTCGCCCAACACATTGGATATTCTTCTCTTGCCCTCCCCTCTCCCCCCCAGTCTGCTGCCGCTGCTGGCGCTGTCTCTGGGCCTGCCGGCGGACTACTTCGCGCCCTTCTTTCAGCGACCCACGGTGGCGCTGCGGCCGCTGCACTACGCGGCGGAGGTTTCGGAGCCGGGAGCCGGCGTGTTCGGGGCGGGTGAGGAGGGTGGGGTGGAGGGTGAGGGGCGTTGGGAAGAGAGGAGAGCAGTGGGTCAGAGTCCCAGCTGGGAGGCTCTGACTGTGGGTATCGTAGCAGCCCGTTGAAGCCCCGGATGGGGCAAGGGTTCCCTGTGGCTGGCAGGCTTGCAGGTACGGCATCCGCCCAAGCCCCAAGTAATCCTTCCCAACCTCCGCAACCCCCCGCCCCTCTGCCCCCCACCAGGCGCTCACACGGACTACGGTATGATCACCATCCTCGCCACCGAAGAGGTGCCTGGACTGCAGGTGGGGCGGGGGGGCACGAGTGGCACAGGGTTTGGGCCTTTGTTACCGACCACATTCCTCCTGACTACCTTGCTGACCAAGCCCCCCTCGCAGGCTCACACCCTGCAGTGCTGCATGCCACCTGCCTGACGGGAATCCCGCATGCCGTGCGAACCCCCCTCACACCCTGGCGCACCTCGCACCCTGCCGCCCATGCAGATCTGGCTGCCCCACGAGCGGGGCCACATGCGCGCGCAGCCCTGCGCGCCGGGCGCCCTGCGCGGCGAGGAGGGCGAGGGGGCGGGGTGCGGGCGGTGGTGGGACGTGCCGCCGCTGCCCGGGACGTTCGTGATCAATCTGGGGGACTTGCTGGAGAGGTGGGGGGCGGGGGTGGAGGAAGAGGGACTTTTGCATCTGTTGCTGCTACTGGTGCTGCTGCTGATTCGAAGAGCTTGTCATTGTGGATGGTGCATGGCCGCCTCTGTCCCGCCTCCTGCCTCTCTCCTCCTCCCCCCAGGTGGACCAACGGCCACTACCGCTCCACTCTCCACCGCGTCATCAACACCTCCGGCCGCGAGCGCTACTCCATCGCCTTCTTCTTCGAACCCAACTTCGACGCGCGTGTGGAGGTGCTGCCGCAGTGCTGCGGCCCCGCCGACCCGCCGCGCTACCCGCCCACCACTGCGGGGCAGCACCTGCTGGACATGTACGCGGCCACGCATGCGGGCTACACGGGGCCGGTGCGGAGCGGCGAGGAGAAGAAGCGCGAGGAGGAGGAGGAGGAGGAGAGGCAGAAGTAGCAGTAAGGGGGCGGAGGCGCGGAGGGAGGAGTAGGGGGGAGGACATGAGGGCGGATAGGTACCGTGTGGGGGGTTGCGGCGGGTGATGAGGGAGGTTCACGGCTGCTGGCAATATAGAGCCTGACATGAGGATTGGAGGCAGACAGCAATACTGTACTTGTAGACTGTTGGGTCTGGCCGAATCCTGTGAGCGTGGGTACGGTATGGAACGTGTATTGCACATGCACTGTGTACTGCAAGCTGCCGTGTGTTTGTACGGAAACATAGGACATTTGAATGGTATGCAGCGTATCCACATGTCTATAGCTACCAGCGCAGTATCCTGGAGGGGGCTTGGTGCCATACAGAGTGGTGTCCTACGAGGAGTGGAATGAGATGCACAGGGCGAGCAATACACTCTATTTTATGTTGTTGCAAGCCAAGTAGCCCGCGCGTGGGGTCTTGGAGAAGGGGCTCATCACTGAAGGCGCCGCGGCACCTCACGGTGCGCATTCCTGCGAGAGCCTGTAACCGAAGAATGTCTGCCCCCCTCCGCTCATGTCCCTCCCTGTCGGATTTCTCTGTCCCGTACCGAGTCATACCATACCTGCGTCTCGACAGACATTAGCTACCCACTGCTTTATAAGCGGCCGCAAAAGCAGTCCTACATTCCCAGCATCAAATACGTAAAAACGCCTGCCTAGGCTACCTATATGCCACACCGCGTATGTATGTACACCCGCCAGGAGATACAGTCCTAGTATACACTAGCCTCTAAGCCTTCCCCTGTGCACACCACTAGGCGGCCTGTTCGAGTTATAGGAAGAAACATCGTCCCAGCCGTTGCTTAGCTCACAGCTTGTCTCCGGCCGCCCCAGCGCACCCTGCTCCTCCTGCTGCCCGCTAGGCCTGCCGAAACTGCCCCGCCCATACATAGCCCGCTCACGCCGGCCATGCAAACATCTACAGTGCGCTCCCGTGCGTCCTTTACTAGGTAAAGGTCAAGTCATCAAGGTTTTGCACCCCCCCCTTCACCCTGCGCTGTCAGGTCTGACCCAAATCCCAGAACCCTCCCTTCGCGCGCGTGAACGTTTAGCTGTCAATGAACACGGCGCAGAAGGCAGCGTAGTCGATGAATCCGTCCGCGTTGGTGGTCATGACGGGCGCCAGCGTGTCAAAGTCCTTGTCGTTCAGCACCACACCTACGGACGCGCACCCCGCCACCAACTCATGCTTGCTGACGCGGCCCTTGCCGGACGAGTCGAAGGCTTTGAGCAGCCGCTCCAGGTCGCCCGCCACCGGGCCGATCTTCTTCTTGAGCTGCGAGAGCAGCTCCACGCGGCGAGCCTCCTCGGCCTTGTCCTGCAGTAAGGAAAGGGTTGGGGTCCGGACGAGGAATGGGTTAGCGGAGGGTAAGCAGTATAACGTGTTAAGGCTCTGTGCGAACGGTAGATGCGTGTAGGCCACTTCACTGGTGCACGCCGGTATCATGGTTTGTCAAATCGTTTGGTCATTATGGTGCGCGATGTGCACGACCCATATTGCCAATCAACATGTACGGCGCAGATCGTCATGCAGCTGTCTCAACCCTCTCCCCAGCCAACCCAGATGCACGCGACGAGCTACTGACCTGGCTGTAATCCACGTAGCCCTTGTAGAAGGCGAAGTCCGAGGGGGACATGAGCTGCGACACCAGCGCCTCGTACTCCAGGTACCCCGTGCCCTGCAGCGGAGCAACGTCGGACAGAGCAACGTTTGTCGGCGCCCGCGATTGGCTGGGAACGCTAGCTCCATTTGCACCGGGATATCGCAAGTCGCAGGGTATGGATGCTACACAACAACCTCCCAATGACTGATACCCTCTGGTTAATGAAGGCATGCGCGAGATGGCGGTACGGTGTCTAAGCGTGCGCTCCGCAGGTGTTGTAAGCAACACTCTCAAACTCGTTGCACCCCTCGTTGCATTCCCTCTGCGGCCGGCCGTACCTCGGGGTCGTACACGAAGTATAGCGCCATGAGCGAGTCGTCGTCCAGCTGCATGCCGAACGTCTCCGCCATGTTGCGGAAGTCCTCAAAGTGCACCCGCCCGGTGTCGGACTTGTCGTACATCTTGAAGAGCTTGCGCATGCGGAAGGCGTTGTTGTTGCTGTTGCCCAGCTTGGCCTCCATGCGCTCACGCATGGTGCTGATCATCTTTTGGAGCCGCTTCCTGCAGAGAGGGAGGTGCGGGAGTTGGTTGTTGGAAAATGAGTGGGGCATGCTGTGTTTTGGGCCCGTGGGGCTTATGCAGCGGTCAGGATGATAGCAACGAATTGCGTAATGAGTCACAGGTGCAGCAACTATGGCCTAGGCCAGCTGTTGTTACTGTGCCTGCTTGCTGGCCTTTACAATGGCCGTCACTTCAATCCGGAGGTAAAGCACAATAGCCTCAGAACCATGCCTAAACATTGTCGACGACTTTCTCTCGAGCTGTTAGACATGTACTGCAATCCATGATGCGGAGGGTTTGGTGCAAGCGTGGATTGAGAGGATGTAGTCACACCGCCGTTTATCAAAGTACACTGACATCCCCTAGCTTTGCCCCCGAATACCCCCTCATGTGCCAGCAACTTACTCTCCTACTCGGTTGAAGGAGCTCTTGTAGATGCTGCTAAGGCTAGCTGTTGTCTTTGCGAGGTCCTCGTTACGGTTCGGGCTGCGCAACCGCTCCTGCCCATCAAAAGGAGCCCTGAAGTCCACGCCGTAAGATGTCCGGAAGGGCATGATACGCTCGTCGCCGAGGGCAATGTTGCTGGTAGGTGGCTTAAAGGACGCCTGGATCGCGGTGTCTTGGAGAGAAGGCCACAGGTTTCCGGGTTGTGGCTTCTTGAAGTTGCTGGGATCGTTGCAGGGGTCACGCACTGGCGATGGCTTGGGTGCGGTTTGCGTGCGCGTGTAGATGAACGACTCGGGCGTAGGGTCCTTTGTCTCCAGCTGCGCCATCACAGGTGTCTTCTTGTATGTTTCCTGCAGGCCTTGGATATAGCCGGTGTATCTGCAACAAAGAAAGGGGCAAAACAATTTGGGTCAGGAGCTTCGAGCACCTTGGGAGGACAGTGTATGGGCACTTAAGCTTATTAGCTGTATTTATTCATGTATACACGTGCATAAAAGCAGCCAAGCGCTGGCGCCCTCGGAGTAAGCCATAGGGCATGCGGGAACCAAAGCGCCGTTGCCAGAGGGCTCACCCGGGAATCTTCCATTCCGGTTCCGTAAAGGGAACCTTTGTAGTCGACATTGTTGCGTGGGTGGGTAGACGTTAGGTCAGTTATCTATTAGGGTAACAGTTCGCCGCCCAATTGCAGGATAAAGAGTAGGAGCTCACAGAAAGCCTGCTAGTATGAAGCTATTTGCGACAGGAAAGCATCTGTGGCTTTTTCTTTAGCCGATGCCGAGTATAAGGACCCCCGGTATGCATAAGGCCTCGATGGGTTGTCTATGGCCCCAAAGGAACTATTCAACCGCGCAGTATAAAAGCTAAGCGAAGCTATCATTGGCACAAAAAGACATGTGCACGCTAGAAAACCTGGTGCTGACAACAGGACCTGGAGGTTGCGCCTAAAATCTAGCTATCTTGCAGCTTAGGTAAAGGTTAAGGGTGCTTCGTTATAAAACTCTATGACGATGACTATCTTTATGATCCAGATATGCGTGAACTCCTTAACCTAGAAGGACTCAACCGTCGAAAATTTGATCCATGGCCTATGGGAAGCGGACTGCAAACCCTACTTATCCAGCTGGGTCTCGAGGGATATGGATCAGTGGCAGTTTGAAACTACAAAACCGGGTCATAACCCTGCTGCGCCCTATTCCCGCACTCCTAGCATCACGCATACATCACCATGCATGGCACCTTCAAGCGTCTGCGTCGTTCTCCCTAACTCGCACGCTGCCACTCCCCTCCCAAACCTTTAAACACTCTTAACCCCAACAGCTAAGCCAAGCCTCCAGCTCTAGCACCCTACATCCTGCTACGTGCGCCCGATCCCACCGCACATGGTTCGCTGCCCGTCCCTCCCAAAGCCCCTCCACCACCCCCCACATCCCCCCGACCGCCCTCGCACGCGACAGTGCCGCTGCTGCTGTCGCTGCCATCCAAGAAGAACGCGAGCGCCGCGCGCGCCACCCCCTCCGGGTCCTCCATGGGGCCCAGGTGCTGCAGCGCGGGGAAGCTGAGACCAACCAACCGGCATGGGAGGGTAAAGAGGAGAGGAAGGGCGTGGAAGGGCGGGGGCAGCACCCGAGGTAACATGTCGTGAGGTGTCAGGAGGGAGAGGTACACGGAGAGCAGCAGAAGGGGAACCAAGGGCATGCAGCATCACGGACTGGTGCAGGATGCTGGAAGGAAGGTTGGAATGCCCTGACGCTGGACGTCCAAGAACGGCACGACATACCCTGGCCGTGCCCTGCAGCACCCACACGCACCCCTAATCCCTAAATGCAGTTCTCATGCAGAATACCCAAATTGGAAGCACGGCTTGCACCCGCCTACACCCCGCGAACGTTTCCCTAGCGCACACCACAGCCCACCTGCCCTCACTAAGGATCCCACCTTTCCTAGCGTTCGTCCCCGCCCCTCCCGCCCCCCTCACCTGATCAGCTCTGCCCCGGGTACCCCCGCCGCCATCTCCTCACCCAGCCTCGCCAACCGCCCGTGCACCCCCTCGTTGTGCCGACCTATCGCAAACGCCACCCGACACCTCCGCACACACCCGCACTCGCTGCTACTGCTGCCGCTGCCGCTGCTGCTGCTGTTCTCGCCGCTCCCACAGCTGCTGCTGCTGGTGCTGTTACTACTACTCCTGCTCTCGTTATCGCTGCCGGCAGTGCTGTCGGAACAGCTACTGCAGCTGCAAGACCCAGCTCCGTCCTCGCCCCTGTCCGCCCGTGTTGCAGCGAGCAGGTGCCAGGGCCGGCTCCTCTGCGCATCCACCGCCTCAAAGACGCGCGCCTCCGTCTCGGGAGGACAAGAGAGCGTGAGGAGCAAGGGCTGCAAGCTGCTGCTGCTGCTGCTGCTAGCGGTGGTGGTGCTGCCGGTTGCATCGACGTCGCTACTGCTGCCGGTGCTGCAGCTCGCAACGTTGTTGTTGTGACTGTTGCCGGGGCCGCTGCTGCAATCAATGCTCGTGGTGGTACCGTTGGGTCTGAGGGCGGCTGAAGGGGTGTCGGCAGTGTCGGCTGCAGCTGCGGTGTCGGCGGCGGCAGGGAGGGGCTCCGAGGCGGGCTTGAGTCCCCCCAGCGCCAGGTACGCATGTAGCGCCTGGGGCAGCAGGAGGGAGGTAAAGAGGAAACAACTAACTGACTGAGGGATAAGGCGTAGGAGGAGGAGGAGGAGGAGAGCGTACGAGGGGAGCGTACGGTAGGAGGGGAGCGTACGGTACGAGGGGACGCGACGGCAGCATCGTATCAGGGATTGCTGGGTACCGATGAGGCCGGTTGCTGGATAGTCGCCTCCTCGTACTGCCGTCTGCCATGCAGGGCAACCCACCCCCCGCCCCCCCTGCTCCCAGCTCCCTACCTACCATGGGGTGCAGGGCGGCGAAGGTGGGTTTGCTGCCCAGAGACGCCTTGGCGGCCTCCACGCTGGGGTAACGCGACTGGGGGAGAGGGCAGGGAGAGGGCAGGGAGAGGGCAGGGAGAGGGCAGGGAGAGGGCAGGGAGGGAAGATGGAACGGGGAGGGTCATGGTCTACCGTTAATAAGCTACACTGGTGGAACTGCATCCCTCTCTGTACGGCACAGCAGGTTTGGGCAGCATGGATGGTTCCGGAGCCCCTCGCACCCCCTACGCACCTGCCGCCTTCGAGCCATGCGAGCCAGCAGCCGCCCCCCACCCATGTCCGGCTCCCCAGTGACCGGAGCGGAGCCGCCCCCTTCCTGTGGCTGCTGTTGCTGCTGTTGCTGCTGCGGTGGCGGTGGCGGAGGCCTCCAGGACATGATGGGCGGCTCGAACAGTAACATGGCCCTGGCACGGCATGTACAGTAAGGTTTAAAGGTGTTCAGATGGGGAAGGGGCCGTCTTTCTCGTGGGCGTGTCTGACCACATGGCGTCCTCCAGGACATTCGGCGACTGCGGCAGAGTCAGCAGCAGCAGAGGGGTCCCAAGGGCCCAGCCACAGGGCCCTAACCCGCCGACCCACATGGATACCTGAAGGTGCCTGGTCGCTCCAGTTGTAGTGCAGCCGCTAGGTTTCCGCCCAGACTGTGACCAAAGCAATAGCAGCCTGTCCGTAGGATGGATGTGAGGGAAGTGGGGTGGGACCAAAGCTGATCAAAAGGGTTTTCTCCATTGGTACATTTCAAATGAACTGTAAGTGAGTGTAAGACAGTGAATTCTAAGGGCAGGCATCCGCGCACCATGGATGCCGTTAGCATCAACGTAATCCTGCAGCGGCCTGAGCAGATCATCAAATGTAAAGGGTTTAACCGCTGCAGTTGCTAGCCCATGACCAGGCAAATCCAGAGCAACACAGCGGAAACGCGAGGCGAGCACCGGCACCTGCAATGCACGACGTCACAGGCATAATTTGCAGCACCGCGGACAAAAGGGTTCTCAACGAAATAATTGTTTACCATCGGGATGAAAACGCGCCCGTGAAATCCATTTGCGTGCAACAGTAGAAGCAGCGGCCCACTTCCACCCAGCTCGTGCGCGACAACAGTGAATCCAGACATCGAACGCGGTAGAAATGTAATTGGGCGGTTCAATGTCGCTGCAATGGCAGGGGCTCGGGTGCAGCGTTTGTATATGCTAGGGCGATTGCCGATGCTCAGCGCTGGTTTTGGGCATTTTAGGCTAAACATCATACTCTGCACGCTATGCATGTCATTCACGTGGAGCCCCCCACTGCCGTGCACCGGCCCCCACTGCCGTGCACCGGCCCCCACTGCCGTACACTACCCCCCACTGGCTCCGGTAAGTCTACAATTTACGGGAAGTCCATTACACGTACTGGCTTGGTTAATTTGGGCTGGGCGAGTCGGGCTGGCTCACTTGTTGCAAGCCATGATGATGCCTTATCACACGGTCAGTTACGTGTTTCCTCTTTACCCCGCTACCGTGACCCGGCCCCCACGGCCTGTGCACCGCCCCCCACACAGGTCGGCGGGTGCTAGGTCGGCGGGTGCCAGGTCGGCGGGTGCCAGGTCGGCGGGTGCTAGGTCGGCGGGTGCTAGGTCGGCGGGTGCTAGGTCGGCGGGTTCTAGGTCGGCGTGTGCCAGGTCGGCGGGTGCTAGGTCGGCGGGTGTCAGGTCGGCGGGTGCCAGGTCGGCGCGTGCCAGGTCGGCGCGTGCCAGGTCGGCGGGTGCCAGGTCGGCGGGTGTTAGGTCGGTGGGTGCCAGGTCGGCGGGTGCCAGGTCGGCGGGTGCTAGGTCGGTGGGTGCTAGGTCAGCGGGTACCAGGTCGGTGGGTGCCAGGTCGGCGGGTGCTAGGTCGGCGGGTGCTAGGTCGGCGGATGCCAGGTCGGCGGGTTCCAGGTCGGCGGGTGCTAGGTCGGCGGGTGCTAGGTCGGCGGGTGCTAGGTCGGCGCGTGCTAGGTCGGCGGGTGCCAGGTCGGCGGGTGCTTGGTCGGCGGGTGCCAGGTCGGCGGGTGCCAGGTCGGCGGGTGCCAGGTCGGCGGGTGCTTGGTCGGCGGGTGCCAGGTCAGCGGGTACCAGGTCGGCGGGTGCCAGGTCGGCGGGTGCTAGGTCGGTGGGTGCTAGGTCGGCGGGTGCTAGGTCGGCGGATGCCAGGTCGGCGGGTGCTAGGTCAGCGGGTACCAGGTCGGCGGGTGCTAGGTCGGCGGGTGCTAGGTCGGTGGGTGCTAGGTCGGCGGATGCCAGGTCGGCGGGTGCCAGGTCGGCGGGTGCTAGGTCGGCGGGTGCCAGGTCGGCGGGTGCCAGGTCGGCGGGTGCCAGGTCGGCGGGTGCTAGGTCGGCGGGTGCCAGGTCGGCGGGTGCCAGGTCGGCGGGTGCTAGGTCGGCGGGTGCCAGGTCGGCGGGTGGCAGGTCGGCGGGTGCCAGGTCGGCGGGTGCTAGGTCGGTGGGTGCTAGGTCGGTGGATGCCAGGTCGGCGGATGCTAGGTCGGTGGCTGCTAGGTCGGTGGGTGCTAGGTCGGTGGATGCCAGGTCGGCGGATGCTAGGTCGGTGGCTGCTAGGTCGGCGGGTGCTAGGTCGGTGATTGCTAGGTCGGCGGGTGCCAGGTCGGTGGGTGCCAGGTCGGCGGGTGCTAGGTCGGTGATTGCTAGGTCGGTGGGTGCCAGGTCGGCGGGTGCCAGGTCGGTGGGTGCTAGGTCGGCGGGTGCTAGGTCGGTGGGTGCCAGGTCGGCGGGTGCCAGGTCGGCGGGTGCTAGGTCGGCGGGTGCCAGGTCGGCGGGTGCTAGGTCGGCGGGTGACAGGTCGGCGGGTGCTAGGTCGTCGGGTGCTAGGTCGGCGGGTGCTAGGTCGGCGGGTGCTAGGTCGGCGGGTGCTAGGTCGGCGGGTGCTAGGTCGGCGGGTGCCAGGTCGAAGGGTGCCAGGTCGGCGGGTGCCAGGTCGGCGGGTGCCAGGTCGGTGGGTGCCAGGTCGGCGGGTGCTAGGTCGGTGGGTGCCAGGTCGGCGGGTGCTAGGTCGGTGGGTGCCAGGTCGGCGGGTGCCAGGTCGGCGGGTGCCAGGTCGGCGGGTGCTAGGTCGGCGGGTGCTAGGTCGGCGGGTGCTAGGTCGGCGGGTGCTAGGTCGGCGGGTGCTAGGTCGGTGGGTGCTAGGTCGGCGGGTGCTAGGTCGGTGGGTGCGAGGTCGGTGGGTGCCAGGTCGGCGGGTGCTAGGTCGGCGGGTGCCAGGTCGGCGGGTGCTAGGTCGGCGGGTGCTAGGTCGGCGGGTGCTAGGTCGGCGGGTGCTAGGTCGGCGGATGCCAGGTCGGCGGGTGCTAGGTCGGCGGGTGCTAGGTCGGCGGGTGCCAGGTCGGCGGGTGCTAGGTCGGCGGGTGCCAGGTCGGCGGGTGCCAGGTCGGCGGGTGCCAGGTCGGCGGGTGCCAGGTCGGCGGGTGCCAGGTCGGCGGGTGCCAGGTCGGCGGGTGCCAGGTCGGCGGGTGCCAGGTCGGCGGGTGCCAGGTCGGCGGGTGCCAGGTCGGCGGGTGCTAGGTCGGCGGGTGCTAGGTCGGCGGGTGCCAGGTCGGCGGGTGCTAGGTCGGCGGGTGCTAGGTCGGCGGGTGCTAGGTCGGCGGGTGCTAGGTCGGCGGGTGCCAGGTCGGCGGGTGCCAGGTCGGCGGGTGCCAGGTCGGCGGGTGCTAGGTCGGCGGGTGCTAGGTCGGTGGGTGCTAGGTCGGCGGGTGCTAGTTCGGTGGGTGCTAGGTCGGCGGGTGCTAGGTCGGTGGGTGCTAGGTCGGCGGGTGCCAGGTCGGCGGGTGCTAGGTCGGCGGGTGCCAGGTCGGCGGGTGCTAGGTCGGCGGGTGCCAGGTCGGCGGGTGCCAGGTCGGCGGGTGCTAGGTCGGCGGGTGCTAGGTCGGCGGGTGCTAGGTCGGCGGGTTCTAGGTCGGCAGGTCGGCGGGTGCTAGGTCGGCGGGTGTCAGGTCGGCGGGTGCCAGGTCGGCGGGTGTTAGGTCGGTGGGTGCCAGGTCGGCGGGTGCCAGGTCGGCGTGTGCTAGGTCGGCGGGTGCTAGGTCGGCGGATGCCAGGTCGGCGGGTGCCAGGTCGGCGGGTGCTAGGTCGGCGGGTGCTAGGTCGGCGGGTGCTAGGTCGGCGGGTGCTAGGTCAGCGGGTGCCAGGTCAGCGGGTGCCAGGTCGGTGGGTGCTAGGTCTAGATTACAAACTTGGGTTTCAACTACGTTTTTCTATTTAAATACTTTTCCATTAATGGGTGCTAAAAAAGATAGTTTTAATATTTTTGTACACAGGTCGGCGGGTGCCAGGTCGGCGGGTGCCAGGTCGGCGGGTGCCAGGTCGGTGGGTGCCAGGTCGGCGGGTGCCAGGTCGGCGGGTGCCAGGTCGGTGGGTGCCAGGTCGGTGGGTGCTAGGTCGGTGGGTGCTAGGTCGGCGGGTGCCAGGTCGGCGGGTGCTAGGTCGGCGGGTGCCAGGTCGGCGGGTGCCAGGTCGGCGGGTGCTAGGTCGGCGGGTGCTAGGTCGGCGGGTGCTAGGTCGGCGGGTGCTAGGTCGGCGGGTGCCAGGTCGGCGGGTGCCAGGTCGGCGGGTGCCAGGTCGGCGGGTGCTAGGTCGGCGGGTGCTAGGTCGGTGGGTGCTAGGTCGGCGGGTGCTAGGTCGGTGGGTGCTAGGTCGGCGGGTGCTAGGTCGGTGGGTGCTAGGTCGGCGGGTGCCAGGTCGGCGGGTGCTAGGTCGGCGGGTGCCAGGTCGGCGGGTGCTAGGTCGGCGGGTGCCAGGTCGGCGGGTGCCAGGTCGGCGGGTGCTAGGTCGGCGGGTGCTAGGTCGGCGGGTGCTAGGTCGGCGGGTTCTAGGTCGGCAGGTCGGCGGGTGCTAGGTCGGCGGGTGTCAGGTCGGCGGGTGCCAGGTCGGCGGGTGTTAGGTCGGTGGGTGCCAGGTCGGCGGGTGCCAGGTCGGCGTGTGCTAGGTCGGCGGGTGCTAGGTCGGCGGGTGCCAGGTCGGCGGGTGCCAGGTCGGCGGGTGCTAGGTCGGCGGGTGCTAGGTCGGCGGGTGCTAGGTCGGCGGGTGCTAGGTCAGCGGGTGCCAGGTCAGCGGGTGCCAGGTCGGTGGGTGCTTGGTCTAGATTACAAACTTGGGTTTCAACTACGTTTTTCTATTTAAATACTTTTCCATTAATGGGTGCTAAAAAAGATAGTTTTAATATTTTTGTACACAGGTCGGCGGGTGCCAGGTCGGCGGGTGCCAGGTCGGCGGGTGCCAGGTCGGTGGGTGCCAGGTCGGCGGGTGCCAGGTCGGCGGGTGCCAGGTCGGTGGGTGCCAGGTCGGTGGGTGCTAGGTCGGTGGGTGCTAGGTCGGCGGGTGCCAGGTCGGCGGGTGCTAGGTCGGCGGGTGCCAGGTCGGTGGGTGCTAGGTCGGCGGGTGCCAGGTCGGCGGGTGCTAGGTCGGCGGGTGCTAGGTCGGCGGGTGCTAGGTCGGCGGGTGCCAGGTCGGCGGGTGCCAGGTCGGTGGGTGCCAGGTCGGCGGGTGCTAGGTCGGCGGGTGCCAGGTCGGCGGGTGCCAGGTCGGTGGGTGCTAGGTCGGCGGGTGCCAGGTCGGCGGGTGCTAGGTCGGCGGGTGCCAGGTCGGTGGGTGCTAGGTCGGCGGGTGCTAGGTCGGCGGGTGCTAGGTCGGCGGGTGCTAGGTCGGCGGGTGCCAGGTCGGCGGGTGCCAGGTCGGTGGGTGCTAGGTCGGCGCGTGCCAGGTCGGCGGGTGCTAGGTCGGCGGGTGCCAGGTCGGCGGGTGCCAGGTCGGCGGGTGCCAGGTCGGCGGGTGCTAGCTCGGCGGGTGCTAGGTCGGTGGGTGCTAGGTCGGCGGGTGCCAGGTCGGCGGGTGCTAGGTCGGCGGGTTCCAGGTCGGTGATTGCTAGGTCGGCGGGTGCCAGGTCGGTGGGTGCCAGGTCGGCGGGTGCTAGGTCGGCGGGTGCTAGGTCGGTGGGTGCCAGGTCGGCGGGTGCCAGGTCGGTGGGTGCAAGGTCGGCGGGTGCTAGGTCGGTGGGTGCTAGGTCGGCGGGTGCTAGGTCGGCGGGTGCTAGGTCGGCGGGCGCCAGGTCGGTGGGTGCTAGGTCGGCGGGTGCTAGGTCGGCGGGTGCTAGGTCGGCGGGTGCCAGGTCGGCGGGTGCCAGGTCGGCGGGTGCCAGGTCGGCGGGTGCCAGGTCGGTGGGTGCCAGGTCGGCGGGTGCCAGGTCGGTGGGTGCCAGGTCGGCGGGTGCCAGGTCGGCGGGTGCCAGGTCGGCGGGTGCCAGGTCGGCGGGTGCCAGGTCGGCGGGTGCTAGCTCGGCGGGTGCTGGGTCGGTGGGTGCTAGGTCTGCGGGTGCCAGGTCGGCGGGTGCCAGGTCGGCGGGTGCTAGGTCGGCGGGTGCCAGGTCGGCGGGTGCCAGGTCGGCGGGTGCTAGGTCGGCGGGTGCCAGGTCGGCGGGCGCTAGGTCGGCGGGTGCTAGGTCGGCGGGTGCCAGGTCGGCGGGTGCTAGGTCGGCGGGTGCCAGGTCGGCGGGTGCCAGGTCGGCGGGTGCTAGGTCGGCGGGTGCTTGGTCGGCGGGTGCTAGGTCGGCGGGTGCCAGGTCGGCGGGTGCCAGGTCGGCGGGTGCCAGGTCGGCGGCTGCTAGGTCGGTGGGGGCTAGGTCGGCGGGTGCCAGGTCGGCGGGTGCTAGGTCGGCGGGTGCCAGGTCGGCGGGTGCTAGGTCGGCGGGTGCCAGGTCGGCGGGTGCCAGGTCGGCGGGTGCTAGGTCGGCGGGTGCTAGGTCGGTGGGTGCCAGGTCGGCGGGTGCCAGGTCGGCGGGTGCCAGGTCGGCGGGTGCTAGGTCGGCGGGTGCCAGGTCGGCGGGTGCTAGGTCGGCGGGTGCCAGGTCGGCGGGTGCTAGGTCGGCGGGTGCCAGGTCGGCGGGTGCTAGGTCGGCGGGTGCCAGGTCGGCGGGTGCTAGGTCGGCGGGAGCCAGGTCGGCGGGTGCTAGGTCGGCGGGTGCCAGGTCGGTGGGTGCTAGGTCGGCGGGTGCCAGGTCGGTGGGTGCTAGGTCGGCGGGTGCTAGGTCGGCGGGTGCTAGGTCGGTGGGTGCTAGGTCGGCGGGTGCTAGGTCGGTGGGTGCCAGGTCGGCGGGTGCTAGGTCGGCGGGTGCTAGGTCGGCGGGTGCTAGGTCGGCGGGTGCTAGGTCGGCGGGTGCTAGGTCGGCGGGTGCTAGGTCGGTGTGTGCTAGGTCGGCGGGTGCTAGGTCGGCGGGTGCCAGGTCGGCGGGTGCTAGGTCGGCGGGTGCTAGGTCGGCGGGTGCCAGGTCGGCGGGTGCCAGGTCGGCGGGTGCCAGGTCGGCGGGTGCTAGGTCGGCGGGTGCTAGGTCGGCGGGTGCCAGGTCGGTGGGTGCTAGGTCGGCGGGTGCCAGGTCGGCGGGTGCTAGGTCGGCGGGTGCTAGGTCGGTGGGTGCTAGGTCGGCGGGTGCCAGGTCGGCGGGTGCTAGGTCGGCGGGTGCTAGGTCGGCGGCTGCTAGGTCGGTGGGTGCTAGGTCGGCGGGCGCCAGGTCGGTGGGTGCCAGGTCGGCGGGTGCCAGGTCGGCGGGTGCCAGGTCGGCGGGTGCTAGGTCGGCGGCTGCTAGGTCGGTGGGTGCTAGGTCGGCGGGTGCTAGGTCGGCGGGTGCTAGGTCGGCGGGTGCTAGGTCGGGGGGTGCTAGGTCGGCGGGTGCTAGGTCGGCGGGTGCTAGGTCGGCGGGTGCTAGGTCGGCGGGTGCTAGGTCGGCGGGTGCTAGGTCGGCGGGTGCCAGGTCGGCGGGTGCTAGGCCGGCGGATGCCAGGTCGGCGGGTGCTAGATCGGCGGGTGCTAGGTCGATGGGTGCTAGGTCGGCGGGTGCCAGATCGGTGGGTGCTAGGTCGGCGGGTGCTAGGTCGGCGGGTGCTAGGTCGGCGGGTGCCAGGTCGGCGGGTGCTAGGCCGGCGGGTGCTAGGTCGGCGGGTGCCAGGTCGGCGGTTGCTAGGTCGGCGGGTGCCAGGTCGGTGGGTGCCAGGTCGGCGGGTGCCAGGTCGGCGGGTGCTAGGTCGGCGGGTGCTAGGTCGGCGGGTGCCAGGTCGGCGGGTGCTAGGTCGGCGGGTGCCAGGTCGGCGGGTGCCAGGTCGGTAGGTGCTAGGTCGATGGGTGCCAGGTCGGCGGGTGCTAGGTCGGCGGGTGCTAGGTCGGTGGGTGCTAGGTCGGCGGGTGCTAGGTCGGCGGGTGCCAGGTCGGCGGGTGCTAGGTCGGCGGGTGCTAGGTCGGCGGGTGCTAGGTCGGCGGGTGCTAGGTCGGTGGGTGCCAGGTCGGCGGGTGCCAGGTCGGCGGGTGCTAGGTCGGCGGGTGCTAGGTCGGCGGGTGCTAGGTCGGTGGGTGCTAGGTCGGCGGGTGCCAGGTCGGCGGGTGCTAGGTCGGCGGGTGCCAGGTCGGCGGGTGCCAGGTCGGTGGGTGCTAGGTCGGCGGGTGCCAGGTCGGCGGGTGCCAGGTCGGCGGGTGCCAGGTCGGCGGGTGCTAGGTCGGCGGGTGCCAGGTCGGTGGGTGCTAGGTCGGTGGGTGCCAGGTCGGCGGGTGCTAGGTCGGCGGGTGCCAGGTCGGCGGGTGCTAGGTCGGCGGGTGCCAGGTCGGCGGGTGCTAGGCCGGCGGGTGCCAGGTCGGCGGGTGCTAGATCGGCGGGTGCTAGGTCGATGGGTGCTAGGTCGGCGGGTGCCAGGTCGGTGGGTGCTAGGTCGGCGGGTGCTAGGTCGGCGGGTGCTAGGTCGGCGGGTGCCAGGTCGGCGGTTGCTAGGTCGGCGGGTGCCAGGTCGGTGGGTGCCAGGTCGGCGGGTGCCAGGTCGGCGGGTGCTAGGTCGGCGGGTGCTAGGTCGGCGGGTGCCAGGTCGGCGGGTGCTAGGTCGGCGGGTGCCAGGTCGGCGGGTGCCAGGTCGGTAGGTGCTAGGTCGGCGGCTGCTAGGTGGGTGGGGGCTAGGTCGGCGGGTGCTAGGTCGGTGGGTGCTAGGTCGGCGGGTGCTAGGTCGGCGGGTGCCAGGTCGGCGGGTGCTAGGTCGGCGGGTGCTAGGTCGGCGGGTGCTAGGTCGGCGGGTGCTAGGTCGGTGGGTGCCAGGTCGGCGGGTGCCAGGTCGGCGGGTGCCAGGTCGGCGGGTGCCAGGTCGGCGGGTGCTAGGTCGGCGGGTGCTAGGTCGGCGGGTGCTAGGTCGGTGGGTGCCAGGTCGGCGGGTGCCAGGTCGGCGGGTGCTAGGTCGGCGGGTGCCAGGTCGGCGGGTGCCAGGTCGGTGGGTGCTAGGTCGGCGGGTGCCAGGTCGGCGGGTGCCAGGTCGGCGGGTGCCAGGTCGGCGGGTGCTAGGTCGGCGGGTGCCAGGTCGGTGGGTGCTAGGTCGGTGGGTGCCAGGTCGGCGGGTGCTAGATCGGCGGGTGCCAGGTCGGCGGGTGCTAGGTCGGCGGGTGCCAGGTCGGCGGGTGCCAGGTCAGAAATCTAGAGAAGCTTATCGCAACATGGAGAGCTGCAGCTGGGATACCGGGCGGTTGGGCCCTTGATTGAAGGGCGGAAGAAAGCAGACCTCGGGGATGTGCGATTGCTAGGCATCTGAGCAGCATCAGACATGGCGGGTAGCTTCTATCGGTAGCTGAGGGCGGAGCCCGGCAGGCAGGCAGGTCGCCAGGGCCTTCAGGGCTCTCCATGTGCCGTATGTCGGGTTAGGGAAGCAGCCAGCGGTGCAGTGCGGGGGTGCTCCGCCAGCTGGGCGAGCAGGAGAGGAGGCGTAGGGTTGCCTGTACCCTCTTCGTATCCTCTTAGCGTTGCCTTTCGCTCCCTGGAGTTTCATACCCGTGGCGGCGCAGAGGGGACAATGACGGCGTCAATATGCTTATCTTTGTCATATGCATACGGAGATACGGTACTGGCTGAGACAGGCAAGCCGTACTTCCACCGGCTAATAGCGCCGTTGCTTGCCCCTGCGACGGCAACTGCACAGCTGAACTGTTTAGGCTTGTGCATACGGTTTGGGAGCGCCCCTGAGCCGTCGCCTTCCTATTTGGCCCTCCTCCAGTCAATGGCGACTGGAGAGGTGACTCCAATACGTGAAGGGATCACCCAACCCACTGCGTTTGGGAAATTCCGTGACCTTTTGGTAGGCCACGTAATCTGTTGCCCGTGTTTTGGAGCAATCCAGCCAACAGAGAGGCAGTTAGGAAGTTACAAAATGTTACAACAAAGTGTCCACGCAATGATGTACGACGTACAGCACAGCCCTGCAGCCCCCACTGGGTCTAAAGCTACCGGTGTGACACTACCATGTCGACCCCCACTAAATGCCGAAGAGGAAGACAAGGAACACTGAAAAAGTTCAGAAAGAAAGAAACAAATGTCAAGACGGGCCGAGCTACAAAGACACAGAACCAGGGGAGAATACAAGTAAGGAGCAATATAGAGGAAAGTGCTCTGACGTACATGCACACAAACCCTCTTGGGCGTTGCATCTCCCTTCCTGTCTACTGACTACGTCAGATGGCACACGAAAGCAGTTTACTGCTACTGCTACTTCTATGCTGGCTCCACTGCACCATGTAACATCATACCACATTACTATTACTGCAAAACACGCAAACTGCTGAACTCAAGGGTATGCCACTCGCTCCCGACAGCAAAGAGTGAGGTGAAGACAGGATGTCTACCTCTTCAGAAAGCACGAGAGAAAAATGCATGGATACATGCAGATAATTGTCCAAAAGGTAAGAGCCTTCCTACGAGTCAAGGCGCAAGAACATAAGAGTTGCACGGGGGAACACGAAGCAAGGTGACATAACATAAAAGATGGAACCCATCTGGTTCGTACGGAAAGCAATCCTTGCCAGCCCACGCATATCTGTCCTGCAAGCAACACCCCACAGATATCGGTGATAAGACCCTCACATGAGGCGACAAGGAACCAACGGAGTCGCACTTGTGGCTTCCCAATTCTCCGACAACAGTATACCTGGACCAAAGATGACCACTTACTGCACACCGTCAAACAGACTGACGAAAGTGACCCACGGGTCGGCCCGTATTTCAAGGCAGACCGCGTGCTTCCAAACCCCTAGCTTCATAACAGGACGTACACCCCATGTAATAAGACACACCCAGACGCCACATGCTTCCCCTTCACAAGGCGTCTTGCGCCAAGGCAAGGCGCGCACCTTACGTCCACGACCCAAGCCAAACAGTGCGCACGTCACAAAAGGAACGCTGACCCAGAGTGTAAGACAGTAGAGCCCCCAAATCGCCGCGTATCGCTCTCCCAGCTCAGAATGCAGGTCCCTTCGCCCAGCAACAGCGCAGGTTTAATCACAACACTTCCATCCACTGCAGCAGCTAAACGGACTCCTCATCATACCATACGAATCATCAGCATCCCCGAGACGGCCATAGATAGCTTGTTAATACTGGATCGCCCTTGGGTAAGGGGCATGCTGCACGGATCAGCCCCCAGCAGATAAGAGATACCGGAGTGTCATGCGATGGTAATAATCTTAACCCGAAGCGTACCGTATTCACCATATAAGAGACGCGCTTAATTAGGGTTCGTGATCAAGGCGGCCCGCCCCGCAAAAGAGATACAGAAACAGCAGCAAAGGCGCCAATACAAAGGAGGACAAAAGACACGGCAGGAGGAGCACAATGACGGGGCCTTGTCAACCCCAAGAAACAAGCCGCTCTACGACGGCGACCTTGAAGAGAGTATCAAGAAGTAAGCTTTGCTTGTAAGCCACAAGCGACTAGCTCAATTAGGAAAAGACATCGACCGATACGGATCGACAAGCAAGGATAGATCTGCAGGACGTGGGCAGCGCTCAGTGACACGCTCAAGCCAGCATCGACCAACCGAGACACCACAGGCCAACAATCCCCTTCGCGTCGCAACCGATTGGCCCATGAGGACAGCAACGGACCATAAGGGCACTTCCTTCCGCGGTATCTGACATGCAGGAACATCGCCCGCACGTACACGCCCTTAGGACTTCCGGCGCCAAGAAAGAAGTCATTTCTTATCACGTCCATCCGAATGCCAAAACGCCAATCATTCCGTACCACAACAACCGCTTTGCATAGGAGTGTGGATTCAAGGCACACAAGACACGAGCGTAGAAAGACAAGAGACACGAAACACTGCTGTTCCCATTCCATCTGAGGCGCGAAATGGGTCACACATCATACTCCCTCAACGCGCTTCTGCACAAGGCAAACACGCTGTATGCATTAGAGACAAGCACGAACCGGTCAAGTTGTGTCGAGCCAACCCTGACCTGCGCCAACACCGGCCCACCCTTGGGCAGTATTGTGTCGCTCACAAGCCACTGAAAGCCGCACAACTCGACACAAGCTGACACGTATAATGTTCTTCAAACGATGCAGGAAATGCTCTTCAGCAAGGAGGCCAGACCGCACCGGTTAGCGTGGCACCAGGAGAGAACAGTGCGCATCCCCATGCGGGTACAGTAGACACGCATCTGATCCTGTTCCTGCGCCATGCCAACACAGCACGCGGTTGCAGCCTACACCATGCACCGCTCATGACAACCTGCCGTGAATGGTGCACACAAAAAGAGGTGCAACGTCGACACCAAAAGCGTCGCATAACACCTAGCTACCCTGCTGTTACCACATCATGCACCAACCTGCACTCCCAAATCCAACCACAGCCCCAAGGAACCCCTGACAGGGGCCGTCTGTTAGCGGCTACACCGCTACGCCGCGGGTATTGTCTGCAAGCAAGCTTAGAAGCATGCAGTTGGAGCCGCGGCTTGTGCTAGAGAGCCCATGGCAGTAACGTTCACAACGCAGCGATCCGACGCCACCATGCCGCCCGCTACATTCGCAGCAGCTGGGGCAACAGCGGCGGTGTTGAAATGCATTTGCTGGTCAGTCATCCCATGGCGGTACGAGGACGAGGACGCCGTGGCCGAGTGGCGTGAGGCAACGTTTTGGCGCGGCTGGGCTGCGGGCTGGGCCCGGCCGTTGCCGCTGTTGGCAGTGGCGGCCGCGATAGCCAGGGCCTGGCCGCCGTTCAGCCCCTCCCACGCCTTGTACCGGAAGAGCAGCGCACATGGCTGCGACTGACTCGCGGTCTCGTGAAGCACCTTGGAAAGGCGCTGCGGGACAGGAAAACAACAGGTTGGATAGAGCTATGAGCAATGATTGCACACAAAAAGGTATTCAACATGACACAGTAGCAAAGCGGCCATCCTGTATGCCGACCCTCCATGCATGCATGTGCACGCATGCATGCGAGCAACCGTCTTCCCTTCACACCGTCCCACCCTCACTCCGTCCCACCTTCACAAGGTCGCCCAGGGCCAGCGGCTCCGCCCCACTGATCAACACGACCCCCTGCAGCCCCGCGTGGTGCCGTACCAGCCCCAGCGCGAGGTATACGGCACATGAGGCCACGTGGCTGGGCGGAGCGAGCAGGAAGGCCGTGTCCAGCAGCGTGAGCTCGAGCAGGGCCTCCGCCAGGCGCCGAGTGGAGAGGGCCGCGGAGGGGTGTTGGGGCAGCGGTGAGAGCTGCAGGAGATAGTGCAGGAAGCGCAGCGAGGTGGGGACTGCCAAGCCAAAGTCCAGGGTGAAGAGGACCTGCATGCATGCATCGCGGGGAGGCGATCGGGATGAAACCCAAATGGGAGTATGAATGAAATTATGAACTCAAGGACTCCTGTTGCTCTGCTCTTATAGCAGCTGAATCCCATGCGACCCAGATCGAAACATTTCCCTGAATCCCATGCGACCCAGATCAAAACATGTCCCTACATCATGGGCAAGGGCCGCCCCCATACGTACCTCCTTCTCCATAGCGCGCATGTCATCCGCCGCATACATATTCTCCGCCATTGCCAGCATGGCATGGAGGGGCGGCGGGTAGACCTCCTCAAACTTGGCGGCCACCCACAGACACGTAAGGCCCAGCAGCTGGAACCGCTGGCGCTGCACGCTCTTGGCGCAGAGGTAGCGGTCCAGGTAGGCGACCGCGAGAAAGAGCGTCTCGGTGTGCAGTTGGAACTCATCGCGGACCTCGGCCAGCCAGTCGACCAGCATGGTCCTCATGGCGGGGGTGATCTCGTGCTGCGGGGCCGCGATGGAGAGGGATGGAGAGGATGGGGTGGTGGTGTGGTGAAGGTCGGTTGGGTGCGGTGCGATGCGAGGAAGGATGGTATGGAAGTAGGAATGAAGTACTGATGAAATGGAATCTGACAGGATGCGCAGGGGGGCTGGCACAGCGGCTGGGAAGAAGACGCTGTCGTGGAGTTCGATGGAGTTGCGGCTATCAAAACCCTAGTGATGTATGCGCTTTTCTCCACAAACTCACCTGGACAGAGCCCATCTCTTCGGGGCAGGAGCAGCAGGCACCCTGGAACCAGATGGAAAGGCATGAAGGGGACCTTGGTTAGACAAGAAGACTCTGGCATAGATGACAACAGAGGGGCAGTTCGCAGCAAGACGTACCTCCCTGCTCCTCCAGTGCTCCAAGTCATCCCACGTCTGCTGCTGCGGAGAATCAGAAGCTGTGGGACGAAACGGGGAGAGAACAGCTGTAAGGTATAACGTGGTTTTCGTGCAGAAGCAAGGCATCGCAGCTAGAACGGGAGGCTGGCGGCAGAATCCAAGGGCAGCCTCACCGATGGGAGCAGACTGGACCCTTCGAAGACCAGTGCTCGGCTGCATAGCGGAGACGGCCAGTGGTAATTCAACACATACAGCACAAGAAAAGACAAATTGATTAGTTGGAAGACGCTAAATGTCAATCGCGCAACCTCAATTGCGCAATCGATACGCCCGGCGCCAAAGCCACGTACCTGTTCCTTGCATTCCTGCGCACATTCCCATACGAACTGGTGTCCAGACGCAAGTTGCCGACATCGCTTGCCAGAGTTGCCGCTCGTGGACGTCTAGCAGGGGCGATAACGGCAAAGCCTTACGCGCCAAAGCCGAAAAAACAAAACATGAAATTGAGCATACAACTTGGGTAATTGAATACCTCTGCACCACAGAAGCCATGGGAACAGGGTGAAGCTCCTCTCTTGCCGGGACCGTTCACGTCCATGGTTGCCTTCGACGCCCGTGTCTAGGAAAACCGAAGCTGCTTCTATCCTCAATAGCGCTACCCTGCCTGTTTGCTATTCTTGTGGGCAGGTCGCTCGGCAGGTACCCGGATATGGCCACGGAGAAAGCCTAAAAGCAAAACGTTTAGTTAGTTGTCTTTGCCTTGGTATAAATAGGTAGATCGCAAAAAGACATAAGTGCAAAACCGTCGCTGCTGTCTGAAGTCTCTGGGCTCCTTGTCACGAGCATCAGTACGGCAGAGCAGCGCGGGCGGGAAGACCATACCTAGCTAGGACACGCCAAATGATATTTGAAATTGATGGCTTTTTGGCTGGTATATGATTTACATTATTTTGTTATGATATAAGTAAGTGTCCACTGCATCCAGGAAAAACACTGCTAAACCTATCCTTCAGCTGGTTTCAGGTTTCCGCCCGTAACTGTAAACCAGTTCGCGATTTCAGCTGACAATATCGTAAACGTTCTTTTAATGCAGTAGTTTCGCGTAGCGCATGTATCATGTCAGCTGCTCGGCTCGGCATTGGGAGCGCCCATGGGTCGCTCGGCCCACTTCCGTTGTCCATCACTGTGGAAGAAGCGTTTGATTCAACGCCTCGCTGTGAACAGACTGTTAGTCAGACGTGGCGATTTTTCTCATATTGTGTCTGCGGAAGCGTGTACCGTAATCGTATATGCCGCCGAACAAGCTGATCTTAGGTGCGTTCCATGCAACGCTGAGTCCGCCAAGCCCTTAGGTGCAAAGAGGCCGTAGCCATTAGCAATTGGAATCCATTCTTGTTGCATCCTCAAGAACACCCTAGACCAGGCACATGGGCATCCATGCCATCCTCTAGTACCATGCACGCCAGCGCATGCGAGTATGGGTTTACACCCTTACTTGCAACATACTGAGCAAGTCTGCAAATGCCAGGGTGCTACCGTCTTGGAAGCTCTATCGCACGCTACCACATTAGTCTACTAAGCACAATGCTCATGGCAAGCCGTAGGGTACACAGGTGATGATCAAGGCATAACGGTATATCTACCATACCGGTATACCGGTATCAGGGTAAATACCGGTATGCAGGTCTGTCACCTGCTGCCCACCGAACTGGGACACATTGCACAGAGAGTAAGAAGTCAAACGCACAACGTTGCTTTCAGCACGACGCACGCGAAGAACCCACATCCTCGCATGGTTCGATACCGTTAATATAACAGCTGACTCACAGCTAAATCGTACGAAACCCCACACCTGCATAATACCTGCTGCATGAAAGCCTCCCCCGGGGCTCTTACCTGCGACGGCCACTAGTGCATTCTTCCGGGACGCAAAAACCAGCTACGGCTGCGACCGCCTTGTAATGGAACGTAGTGGAAACCGCACCTGCTGCCTGCCGACCCAGATGACTACACCATGCATCAGCCATGCATTTGTCTTGGATTCCATTCGTTTATTTCCCAGTTCAGCTCTTGCAGTAGCAGCTGAGTTGCCTCCTACCTCGCTCGACTACCCGCATCGCACATCGCAGCACGCACCACCCCACCGCAGCCTTTCGACCCAGATCCGCATCTGACCCAGATCAAACCCGTGACCCAGACCCAGATCCGCATCTGACCCAGATCAAACCCGTGACCCAAATCGCAAACCCAACCCATAAACCACCAACCCCAGCTCCGCGCGGAGCCCGCTATCACTCCTTCTCGCCTTCCTCGCCACCGTCCAGCAGCTCCAGCAGCAAGCTGCGGTTGCTGCCTGCAAGCAGCATCAGGCTCTCCATGCTAACCTGGGCCTTATGCGCCGCGCAGTAGCGCTTAAGTGCCGTCACGAGCAACTGCAAGCGAGTCTTGCTGGCCCACAGGAGCTCCGAAACCACTGTTGCGGGCGTGCAGGAAGCCACGAACCGCTCCACGAGCTGCCCCATGAGGGGCGAGTTCTTGATCTCTAGCCATGCCGCCAGCTCCAACACGGGGTGTAGCAGCCACTCGGGTGCGCCGTACGGATTCCGCCATCCGTACATGCAGTCGAGCAGCCACACAAGGGCGATTGGGTCGGCGTCGGGAACCTTCACCGCGTCTGTTGATGGCCGGCGGCCGCTGCCATTGTCAGGGCCCTGCAGCAGCCGCTCGAAGTAGCTGCTGTGGTGGACAAGCAGGGCTCGGTGTGCGGTGTAGGTGCTGTCACCCGCGAAGATTAGGACCGGTCCGTCACCGATGCTGATGGTGCCGCTGCCTCCGCTGCAGCCGCTGCCGCCGTTGCCGCCAGCAGTGCGTGGACGGCGGTTGCCGCTGCTCGCCACCACCATCACCGAACGCGAGGGCCGTTGCCTGCGACAACTGCTGCGCTCGTGGTTGGCGCCGCCGCCGCCGTCGCCGCCAGCAACGTCGAAGGCCTCGGCGCAGCTTCCGTCGCCTCCGCCCAACGCCATAGCGCGGTCTCCACCGTTAACGGAAATGGTCATGCCGTCGCCGCCGTCCTTCAGGATGCAGTTGTCGTCGTCGCCGCCGCCGCCGCTGGCGGAGTGTCCGCCACCCGTGTTGCAGCCGCCGTCACCGTCCTCGCTGCCCGCACCGCAAGCATCGCTGCTTTCGTTGCTGCCACAATCGCCGGTCATCAGCTGCGCTCCGCCGGCCTCGCTCGGCTTCTCCACGAACGCGCGCGCCGGCGGCTTGATGACATCACTGCTCACAACCTCAATGGGAAGGAGGCAGCGCTGGGCGTTGGGATGCGGCACCGGGCACAAGGCGAGGCTCCCCGACGGCAGCCATGCCAGCTGATACGCAGCGGGATGCGGGGTGCAGCCCTCAAGGAGGGTGCTGACCCTGCCGTCCGAGTCCACCACACGCAGCCGCCCGACGTCGGAAACCACCACACGGCCGTCTCCAACAGCCAGGAGCCCCGTGATGTGTTGGAAGCGGGACGCCTCGCCGACCCCGTCCTCGCCGCCGCTCTCAAGCCAGTTGCCTGCAACCTTCTGGACCTTGCTGGCACCCGACAGCTGCACGCGGCTCACGGCCTTGTCGCTAGCTGCGATCAAGGCGTCGCTGGCGTGGTCGTAGGTGAGGTGCTGCCAGTGCTTGCCGTACAAGGGAAGGCTGCCGAGGATTGGTGTCATCGAGAGTAGCGTTGTGTGACTGTCGAGGAGGGGCGTCACATCTATCTTGTGGATGCAACCATAGTAGTTGGAAAGCATGTAGATTACGCCGCGCCGGGGTGGGTCCCGCCTCTTCGTGAGCTGTGTTCTGACGCAGAGAACGCAGATATTCCTGGTACGGCAAATGAGGAATTGATACGGTTGGGCCATGATGTGCAATGCCAGTCGGTAGAGACACATTAAAGACACATATGCGGGGCTCTCCTTAAACCTCCGATAGGAGAAGAGCCGTACCGGTTGCTTTACTCTAGTGTTGCTCCACTCAAGTGTTACGCAAGGAGGGGGCGACGAGGGGGATTCCATGCGGCTGCTTCCTGTCTGCTTAGCTGTCTGCTTAGCTGTCTGCTTAGCAAGTGCGGGACCGTGAGCGCCCGGAAGCGCCCAAGTTCGTGCATCACATAAGTAGAACGCGCAAATCAACTTAATTAAGTAACTTTCAAGCCGACTCCCAGTAACCAGATAGATGCACATTACGTACGACAGAGCCAAGGGTCCCTTCACCACTTCTGCCGTACCACGCCCGCCCGCCCGATTGTGCCCTTGCATGAGTCCTTCCGTCGCAAGCCAACCTAGTCACAGTCACAGCTGCCGACTGCTGGTCGGGGCTGCGCTGCTGTCACTCTGCCATGCCAAACCCTCTGCCGTACCGCCTCAAGCGTCCAACCGCCAAGCCTAACCGCTAACCAACCTAGCAACCACCGCACCTACAGCGTTTCGCAGCCGCAGCAGCTCACAGGTTCTAGAGAGTGGTGTTGTTCGCCCCATCCCGAGTTTTGACCCATGGGTCATGCGATCGCCGTCTTTTGCCGGAAGGCTGAGCATACCCTCGGCCATCGATTCGCGATATTCCAGGCCTGTCACGCCCTTCCTGCTCCATAACGTCCTGGTCAATCCTGGTCGTCTTTTACCACCTCACAAAACAAAACGCCCCTACCCCCACCACACCACCAACCAACGGTGGAGCCTCGTCAAGTCGTCATACATCAGCATACCCCGTCAGTTTCCTCACATCTACCCCACCACCTCTCTCTCCACGCCTTCCAAATTCACAACACCCTCCTCCTCCTCCACTCCACTCCACTCCGCCCGCTCCTCGCCTCCCCTCCTCCCTCACCGCCCATGCGCACCCAAGCCCTTCCTTCCAGCCCCGCCCCCACCCAGCCCCGCCCCCTCCCTCGGCGCTTCGCACGGCGTCACCACCACCCTGGGCCTCCCGCCCGCCTCCGCCGCCTGCCGCTGCGCCCCCAGCAGGCAGCGCACGGCCCGCCAATCGAACACCTCGCCCCGCACCTCCAGCAGCTGCAACGAGGGCAGTGCAGCCACGCAGCGCTCTAGTTCCCCCTCTGCATGGCCCAGCAGAGGGGCGCCCAGGACTAGCTCCCGGAGGGAGGTGCAGGAGCGCAGGCCCTGGGGGAGTGGTGGTGGCGGGGCAGGAACAGCGTAGGGCAGGGGTGAGTCAAGGCGGAGTGCAGCGAGGCGGAGTACGACAGGGCTAGGTTACAGAGCTAGGTTGGTCGTCCTCTTAAGCTTTGTGTGTCATGCTCATGCATGTCTTAACCAGTGTTAAACGCAATCGCATATCATGCACCCAGCCACCCACCTGTGGCCAGGCTTTGAACTGGTTCATGGCGATGTTGAGACGAACCAGCCGGTCCGCGAACAATGCCACCGGCTGCTGAGACACCGCTCCGAAACCCCCCATGCCGCCGCCGCCAGACATAAGGCCCCCTGCCGCCGCTGCTGCTGCTGCCCCCAGGCCTCCAGCACCCCAAACCGCGGAGCCACCGCCAGCACCACCACCCCCGGGTCTGGCGGGTATGGGTGCGGGTCTGGTAGCGGAAGGGTACGAAGACGCAGGAGACGCAGCAGCAGCAGCGGCAGCGGCGCTATTGGTGCTCCCAGCAAAGTACGGCAGGGGCGAGGACGTGTTCTTCACCGGTGACGAGGTCGCGGAGGAGTAAGCCAGCGGCGGTGGCAGGGGTAGCGCGGTGAGACAGTTGGAGGAGAGGTCCAGGGAGGTGATGGAGGGGATGCGAAGCAGCACGGCGGGTACGGTGGTCAGGCCGCAACCCGCTAGTCGCACTTCCCGCAGCGCCGTGAGCTGCGCTAGCTCGGGAGGAAGGCTGGCGGCGGCGGCGGCAGCGGCTGCTGCTGCGGAGGCGGCGTCTGGCACGCTGCCTGCGCCCCCGAGGTCCTGCAGGCGGAGCCACAACAACGACATCAACAGCAGCAACATCAACAACAGCAACAACAACGAAGGCTTGGTCGAAGCTGAGTCGATATGTATTCAGCCGCAGCAGCCGGACCGCAACCGCAGCAGCAACCAGCAACAGTGTACAACCTACCTACCTCCATGTGCCTTTTGAGTGCCCTCACTCCCCACCTCGCAAGCAAACCTTCCGTGTGCTTAACCGTCACAGTTAACACAACCCTCCAGCTTTCCTTCAACAACCCCAACAACCACCCGCACCTGGTTGTACGACAGATCCAGCACCTCCAGCCCAGGAAACGCCGCCAGCGCCGCCGCCGGCAGCCCCCGCAGCGCGCACTTGCGCAGCGACAGCGTCTTCAGCGCTGGCAGCGGCTGCTGCTGCGGCCAGCCGCGGCACGCCTCCCAGCCCAGTCGCTCGCCCGCCGGAGTGGTGAGCTTGCCCTCGTCCAGGCGTAACAGCTGTGCAGGTCGGGCACGCAGGGGGGTAGGGGGTTGAGGGGTGAGGAGAGGTAAGGGGTACGAGAGACATGCTCATGCCATAGACATGACTGGAGGTAAGGTTCCTCTGGCGCTAGCAACGAGCACCACCTACAGCCAGCAACAAGCCCCCCACACACACTGCACCAGTTTTCTGAACACACTGCACCACCCACCCCCTCCCACCTGCAGGTTGGGCGCCCCCGCCAGCGCGCCCAGCACCCCCTCCAGCAGGAAGCAGTCCAGCAGCTGCAGCTCGCGGAGCTGGGGGGCGGCGGAGGCCAGGGGGGGCAGCCTGCATGGTTGGGGAGGGGGGTTATATAGGGATACATGTTCCGTATTAGGCTGGATTGATGGGGGGGTGAAGAAGAAGAGGGAGGAGGAGGAGCACCTCCTGTTGTTCTGAGCGAGGACAGGGACATCAAGTACTTTGGGTGGTAGCAGCCCTCTCGTTGAGGGGTTGCGGGTCAGGAGCAGAGGAGGGGTGGCGGACGGAACAGGGCATGGAAGTAGCCGAGCGGGAGAACGACATGCACACCAGCACACACACGTGGGCACACGCACCTGCCGATCCACAGCTTGTTTAACGAGAGAGAGCGCAGGTTGGTTGGCAGTGCGGGTACCGACACGGCGAACTGGCAGGTCTGCATGTGTGGTTGTGAGGGGAGGGGCAGACAGACAGACACGGGGTGTTGGGTTAGGGAGCGGGCAGGAGGGAACAGGGTTGAAGCGGGGACTAAAACCCCGACTCAGGATCCAAAACCCCGACAGTACGGCGGCCCTTACCTCCGGGGTGAAGGAAAGCCGCGTGAGGGCCGACAGCGAGGAGACGTACGGCAGGGTGCCAGCGAGGAAACCCTGCAGTACAGGGTGGAGGAGGGAGCGACGGACCCATTTGGAGAGGACCCATTTGGGTGCAAGTCGCAAAACTCACAACGGCCCCCCGAAACCCCATGGCCTTCAGCTGCCGTGGGCTCTCCTAACATCACACCCACAGTTCTTATGCAGGTCCACACCCACGTCTCCAGGCTTGTCACGCGGCCCTGTCACACCCACGTGCGGCGTCCCGCCCTCGCATACACGCACGCATGTTAACACACAATTGTGGCGTTTCTGTGGGAGGACTCGCGGCCAGTTTTCTTGACACGCGCACCTGCGGCAGGCCGCTCACGTGCAGCTCCGCCAGCCCCCGCAGCCTCGCCAGCATCTCGTACGAGTCCTGCCCACCCACACCTGGGGAACAGTACGGAGCATGTACGGCAGAGGTTTTTGCCGGTGAAGTACGGCAGCTATGGGTCGGGTAATTTTATGGTAAAGAGCACGATTAGCAGTGGTACCGGCGGTTAGGTGGAGGCATCGGAAGGAAAACAGGATCCCAGCACAGCTGCCGGAAACTAGCGGGCACGCCCTTTGACGCATCTGCCCATGCTGTTTCTGTCTTGCACCAGAAGCCCACATGCCCATCCTTGGACCCACCCGCAGCCCCAATCAGGCGAAGCGTCCGCAACCCCTTGGCCGCTCGCAGTAGCGCTTCCACGGTCGAAAAGTCATGGCTGGCTGACCCAAAATTTAGCATCAGATGCCGAATAGAATTGGCATGTGCTTCCGTCCAAGCTATCACTTTTGAACTGCGAAGGGTGGACAGCTGGCCCATAGATGGCCGTCCGAACTGTGGCGTAGTTGCCGGGCTGAAGACGGGCGGCCAGGACCCTTGAGTTGGGGATGCGCCGGAAATGCCAGCGTATCCGCCGCTGGCTTCAGCCCGCCGACGCCGCGCTACCTCTTGCTCCACAGATACAATAACGGAGTTCCATGGATACTTGCCATTCCCGCAAAGCAGCGTGTACCATCGCCGACTGACGAGCGGCAATGTGCGTCGGAACCAGGTGAAGCTCTGCCCTGCATCTTTTGGCGAAGCTGCTTGCGCCTCGGGGCCGTGATCGAAGGCTAGAAAGCTGAATATAAGCAGCAATACGTCATCCGTCAAAGCTTCCGAGGCCTGCTGCAAGGCTGCGTCTTCGTATCCTTCCGAGGCCCCTACACCGGACTCCTCATCTAATACTCCGCATGTCAAGTTATCGGAACAAAGGGCCGGCATACTTTTGCGTTGGGCTAAGAAGCTGAGGAGTTGAGAGGCGAGGACGCGACCCGAGCGAGGTAGGTTTCAAGGCAGAACCCTACACATTGACCAGCTACTAAAAAAGCTTTTACGCTTGTATGCGAGCTTACAGTATGTAAATTGTAGGACAAACGTTCTACGCGTCGGGTAATAGTCTTCGTTGTAATGATGTCAACGCAGTGTTGCGGCTATCAAATGCCACGGTCTCCCAATATGCCTGAAAAGATGGCTGCAGGTTGTAAACGGATGCAACTTTATGACTTTCAGCTGGCGCAGTGAGGGACATGACCCGGAATTCTGTACGGGATCTTGCCGTGCCGCCGTACTTGAGAAGGCCGTCGGCCTTCTCCGGAACCCTTCAGCCAGGGGATGGTTCTTTTCTTATGTATCCGTGCAAGGCTGTTCCCTTCGGTATGTGGGTTTTTCTGCATCCTAGTTCCCCAAACCCTCAGCTTCCTCTCCTGGTCTGCTACGTAGCTAGCAAAGCAAAACCCCAGATCACCATTCTTCTCGCCTCACCTGAGTCATGCACATGGGTTGAACCGGCATGTAGGATGGTGGTGGACGGGCGGTACATGCAGCAAACATGGTATACTAGTACATGGCGGATTGATGCTGACGGGTGGTTATTACCTTTCTTCTTAACCATAGTTGTGACGTTGCATTGCAGAGAGCTGAAGAAACAATGACGTCGTGCAGTTTGCAATACAATTGGCCGCACATGTCCAGCGCTCGATATTGTTTACAACCGCATCCAGTACAGGCCCGCACATTACCAGAATCGGTAAGCCAGGGCCAGCAGCAGCACAGCTGCAAACCTGCGATCCTCTTCAAATGGAAGGGACCCAAGGTGCACGACGTACAAATGTACAACCAATCCCAAACCAACAGTCACACACGACAAATAAAACAGGCAATGGTACATCACGCGCGAACACTGCGCCTATGAGGCGGCACTGTCTTCAGCACCTCGCATCATTTGACAAACATTCCATATCTCCTACCCCACGTCCGTACGTACAGCTCATCGTTCGTAGCGTTAATCGTTTATAGTCGCCGTCAATAAAAAGCCAAACAGAAAAAGAGGGTTGCAATGCTATTAAACAAACGGCACTAAACAGGATGCCAGCTTGCATCCCCCACACGTCTTGTACGGATAGGGCCCATTCACAGCCGTGGGAAATGACACTGGCCACTTCACACAACCCAAACACGCTCTCCTTCACCGGGACACAGCTGCACTCGCGCACACGACCAAATCATGGGAAGATTTTTTCCGAGTTGCCAGCAGTTCAATTCATAACTAGGCAAGGAACCTTGCCCATCCTGACCCATGGGACACAAAAGAAACGGCGAGACCGTACCTAACTTCTTTGTACTACACGTATCGTGTTACTGTCGCCTTGCAACGAATTCCACTACCATGTCCGTTCAGGACTCACGAGAGAGGGGAATCAATGCAAATGCATCACCGCCCACCCCCGTGATTAGAGGGAGCAGGATAATCAAGGTTACCTAGACAAGCGTACATGTTGGAACTCCTTGCCAGGCTTCACAAACGGTTTCGGTGCCGTCGCAAAGGACTCCTACATTTACGATTACCGCGTCCGTGCTTTATGGAAGTACTAAATCAAATGCAAGAATCGAGAGGACCCGTTTCACCGCCACCATACGACCTGGATCGATATCCACAAGACCACAACCCAACCACCCAACCGTTCCCAAACGCCGCCGGCTGCCGCCGCTGCCAGGCCGCCGCCTGAAAGGCCTATGCGAGCTCCGACCCACATGCCTAAACAAGCCAGGCGTCCCTCAGTTGCTCGTACAATGGCTGGCCCTTGCACACGCGCGTCAAGCTAAAGTGCGTGCACGTGCACAGCCCCGCCGCCGCCGCCTCAACACCGTCCCCCGCACTCGTGGTCTTGAGCACCCAGCAGCCGTCCGCGTCGCTGCGACAGCTGCCCTGAACCACCAACCCAAAGTAACAGGTCGTTGACCCAGTTTGGGCGGCGACACTGCAAGCAGGAGCCTCAGCGGAAGAGGCGGAGGAGGCGGAGGAGGGGGTGTTGTCGCAGCAATCGCCCACTTGGCCCTCGAAGGCGCCGGCGGCGGCGGCCGACGCTGGCGATATGGGTTCGGCACAGGGTGCTGTTGCAGGCGGTACAGAGCAAGCAGAGGAGGAGGAGTGGGAGCAACAGGAGGAGGAGGAGGCTGAGGAGGAGGCGGACGAGGAGGAGGAAGACGGGCGGCTCTTGGGGGAGGTGGAGGGTGCGGATGCGTATATGCAGTGTTGGTCGGGGTGGGAGATGGGGCGCACCAGCACTAGGCCGACGGCGCTGCTGCTGCGGACGTGGTTGGAGAACTGGGTCCAGCTCTGAAGGGGGAATGGGGAGCGTTGACGGGGCGGAATGTGCCAGGATTTAGGAAGGCACGCAGAATTGGGTCATCAGGGGCCGTTGTTCGCAGGATCACAAGGTAACCCGAAACGTGGTGTCCAGGATAATGGGCATAATGAGCCATTGAGCCTCACATGGAAGTGGGTAATTTGAGCTGCTCAGTAGAATATGGTGCCTCTTTGCCAATTCTGGCATGGAAGGCGGGAACGCTAGCGGCAATTAGACGTCACTTGGGGGATCTGGCGGAACCTAGAGTGCCAATTTGTCCACAACACACCCACCTGTGGATTGTCGGCCACCTCTTGGGAAACAGGGATGGCTTGGAAGTGGTGTCGGTTGCCCTCGTGACTAGGCCTGCCGAAGACCAGCTGGAGCGAGGGACCAACACGCCCAAGTTGCCCGGCCGAAGAGGCAACGATGTGCCGCACACAGCTTGCAAGCCATGTTTGGCTATTTCCAACAGAAGCACCAGAACACCTGCTGGTGTGGCCGCTGCTGGTGGTCGAGGTGCCCGTGTGGGTCCTTGCCCCGTTGCCGACTGCAATCCGCTCCATGAGCGGGTAGGTCGATAGGCCAGCCGCAGCCCTATAAGAAAACGGGTCAGGAACATACAGTTAGAACTACTGACATTTTGTGTGGGAGCCAACCCACTCCAAAGTGTGGAAGGTAACCCCGCTCCAAAGTTGAACGCTTACTGGCATGACAAATCTTGCGCAGGAGTCCTCCTGCTCGACTTGTGTCTACAAGCGGCCCCTGGATGAGGCAGCGATATGGGCGTTGTCCGACTCGCTGGTGCTGAGCAGCACCTTTGCCCCTGAACGGCTGCTTGACGAGTCGTCAGGCTGTTCATCGTAGGGGACGTCCGCGAAATGACTCAGGTACCCTATAGGAGGAGAAGGCTATATATTTTCAACGACACAGATGCCAGCTGAGAGTGTCTGCTTCGGCACGAGCAATAGCTAAGGCAAGTTGAAAGGGGTTTAGTCGCGAAGGGCTAATATAATAGAGCAAAACGTTGTCACAATAGGGGTTCAATACCTTAATATATGTGTTGACACTACGTCGGCAGTCCTCGATGAGCGTGCATGACGGGTGGGATGCACACGCCCAGCACGCGCGCCGTACACATCGACGCAACATGCCCCCGGGCCATGGATATGGGAAGTACTCAGCATCTTTTAACAGGCTGATGTTGTCGCTGCAAGGGAATGCAATGCCGTCTCTGAAAAGCTTGGGCTCTCCGAACAAAGGGTTGGCGGTTGACGTCCGAATGACTCAAGCTGCCGCTTTATGAGCTAGGTGCATTTCTATTTTTTTGTCTAAGAGTATTGTTATAAATAAACTATTCGACAATGGACCGCCTTGGCTGGGGAGGCCCTTGGCTGGAACGCCCTGGTTGGGAGCAATTGCAAGCGTTAGCCAGATGCTCGTGTCCTTTCCCCGGGGTTGGTGACCCACTTACCAGCAGTCAAGACGCTAAATTGTAGCATTCAGGTAATTGCTTCGCGTTCAAACGGCAGCTTGTCTTGTCGCCAGTCCTTACTGTGCGTATCCATGGGACGCTTGCAAGGGTGGCAACCCTTCTGCTCCTTTCCAGCTATTTTGCCACATCCAGGTACCACCCAGGCGGTTAGTGCGTACAGTTCGTAAACACACGCATGTCCCCGCAGCCATCCTCGTTGTGTAACGCCCATTGACTTGCGCACCAACATTGGAGGCACGTGCAAGCCCCGGAACAACTCCTGACTAAAATGTTGACATATGCGTCAAGCCCACCTGCTATCCCGGTTCCGATAACAGGTAGCACAAAATTCGCATCAGCGGCGCATGACTAAAGATCCACTGCATCAAAGGGACTAACAAAAGGGCATGGCGAGCGCATTCCTAACTACGTGCTTGGACGTCGGTGCTTGCGTGTGTACGCAGGTGCCGTGCAGGCGCCAACTTTGCTGCTAGATGTGCCCAAGTGCTGTGGGCTCCTTAAACTGTCCCCTATATATCGGCTGTCCACACCATCCCACTGCCCCCAAAGGCAGTCCACCCAGCTGCGCCATGCCGGCCAGGATGGGACCGTGGGATGGACCCTGGGTCGTTGGTGGGAAACAACTCCTTGCCAAGGAAAAGTTGGCTAGTGAAACAAAGGTCTGCCGCCATAAGCAACTACCATCTGTAGCGTACGCTTTAACGCTAACGCGATCGTGCTACTCATGACGTACGGAAGCATGACAATTCAGCAAAGTCTCCCAGGGACGTCCGCAAAACGTTTGCATTGCCTGCAGCTTACCTTATACGTCTCTGCTAAATGTTATGTCGATCTATTTGCTGTTACCTATAGCTTAGGCAACGCTGTCGGTGAACGGTAGACGGTAACTTGCATTGGAATGACCGTTGCTGAATCCTCTTCCGGATTCCTACCAAAGGCGGAGAGGAAAGTTTGTCACGCGGTAAGGACCTGACTGCCTTTTCGGCGATCGCCGGCTATTAGTCTAGAATTAGCCTTCCAACCTGGGACATTTCATAGGCGAGGGACGCGTTCTACGCCTGCGTACGTGAGCAAGGCGTGGACTTCGCGCCTGGGGTTGCTGTGCCTGCGAAGTGCAAGCAATTGCGGCAACAATTTGCTTCCGCTTGTCCCGCGAGCTGGGTAAGCATGCCTGGCATGTGCGTGAGCAAATAAAGCTGTAACGACCACGTTATAATTGTATACTTGCCACGGGCGTGGTTCCTGGTGTTTTGGGGTGTGACACATGGCACGGTGGGTGCTTCGGCAGAACGATCTGAAGGGAAGGTTGGTGAGGAGGGATAGGCTGGCTGGTGCATATGGGTGGATGGGTGATTACTAAAGCAGTGCTCAGGTGAACGGCGGTGCATTTCTGCCCCCAGAGCTGCGCCTGGTCCATCATACCTTCCCCCAGCGCCATCCTTAACCCCAACCCTTTTGCCAACCCTAACCCCGCTGCCTGCGCAGGTCAAGCACTTTGACGAGCTGCAGGAGGCTAACGCGCGCCGCGCCAGGTACCTGGCCGCCACCATCAACCGGGGCGCTGACAAGGCAGCAGGTGCGCTGTGGGCGCGAAAAGGGTTCCCCGTTTGCGGCGCACCACGGGCCTTCTCAACATTTGGGCGGCCTCCTTAGCAGCCCCGGAGGTGTCATCCTGCCGTGTGTCATTCTGCCGTGGAACGTCACCGCCCCGTGATTCCCATGCATTGAGCCCCCGTGGCCTCACCTCACCCCACCAAACTCCACCCCCACCCCGCTTGCAGGCTCCCTTACCGGCAAAGCCCAGCATTAAGCTTGCTAGGGCCTCGGAGAGCGCCTCCTAGCCCACAGCCGAGATGGGGCGTGAAGACGACCGCGAGCGGGAGCGCCACCGGGACTATGAGCGCGGCAGCGACCGGGACAGGGACAGGGACAGGGGGGAGCGGCGCGGTGATCGGGACCGTGACCGCGACTATGAGCGCGGGGATCGGGAGCGGGGAAGGGAGAAGGATCGGGACCGCCGTGACAGAGACAGGGACCGCGATCGGGAGCGTGAGCGGGATCGAGACCGGGAGCGGGATTACGAGGTGAGGCATGCGGGATGGGGGGCGCTGGGGCTTCAGGAGGGATACTGGGGCGCTGGCTGCAGGTGGGCTTCGTTCACTTCGTGCATGCATGGGGTAATACTGAGTCAGCGCGTCTGGCTAGGCATGGTGCCATCCCTAGTGTTGCCAGTGGCGAGGCCCTCTCAGCGTGTCATTGTGACCGTGCTGACACTCCTTGCCATCATCCATTCCCGCCCCCCCCCATGTCCTCAGCGTCGCGATGGGCGTGATCGGGACCGCGACCGAGACCGGGAGCGAGGGCGGGACCGGGAGGAGGATCGTGACCGGGACCGCAAGCGCCGACGCAGCCGGAGTGAAGAGGGCCGCTCGCGCTCTCGCTCGCGAGACAGGTGAGCGAGGTGTGGGGGGCCCTCTTTGGCTCCATTGCTCAGCGTTTGCCAGTGTACTGCATCAGGCCTAGCTTCCCTGCAGGCGGCCCCCCAGGTGCATGCTGTCTTCCTCGCAGCCAGGGGCCCTTGCGGCCTGTGGCTCGCAGTGCTGTGACACCTGTACCTGCACCATGCGCAACGGCGCTTTTGAACCCGTCACTCCCTACCCGCAGGCGCGAAGAAAAGGGCCGGGATCGTGATCGCGAGCGCGACCGGCGGCGGAACCGCGACCACGAGAAGCGGAGCAAGAGCCGCGGCGCCTCCTCCGGCGGCGGCGATGAGGACGAGCGGATGGGCTCCGAGGAGGGCGGTGCAGGGGAGGAGGCGGCCCCGGCGGTCAACTTGGATGCGGATATCACTCCCGAGGAGATTGCGATGATGCAGGTAGAGCGGGGGAGCTGGGTAGCCGCCGGGTGGGAGGGGGGTAAGAAGTGGAACTGACGAGTTGCAGGGTCGTCAGTTTGCCAGTAGGGGGTAAAAATAGAGAAACTGAGGAACGGAGTGACGAGGCTTCAGCATGGGGTGGGGGGAGAAGTAAAAGATGATGCAGCAACGGAGTCCCAATCCGTTTGTCGGTAGGAGGGGAAGCAGCAGCAGAACATATCCCTTCCATTTGGGTGTCGAGTCCTTTCTAAGCAAGTGCATGGCAACTTGGCAAGTCCAACCCCGGACATTCGGATCGAGGCCCGCGCCTTTGTTTGCTTCCCGCAGGCCATGGGCATTCCCTTCACCTTTGATAGCACGAAGGGTAAGGAGATTGAGGATGCAGCGGCGAAGGAGTCGGCGACCCGGACCAAAACCTTGCGGACGGCGCGGCAGTACATGAACCGCAAGGGCGGGTTCAACCGCCCGCTACCGGCCGAGAAGACGAATGAGAAGTACCAGCCTGATTAGGCGGCTGGTTGGGCGGGCGTGGCGTTGGATGCTCTTTGGGATGGAGGCAGCAGCTACGCTGGCTGATGGTGCCTTCCGTTATGGTGATCTGGGTTGCCTTACGGCCCAGCCGCTTAAGGTTAGCTGCCTGTGTGGCTGCCGCTTTGGAGCGTGGGAGGCTGGCGCTCTTGTATAGAGCATCGTCAGCATCGAGCACGAAGCTGTGGATTACGCTTCGTTGATTGATGTACTGGCGCATGGTGTTGCCCTCCCGGAGCCGAGGGTAAATATGTGTGGCAACAGGCAGTGGCGGTTATACGTGTAACTAGATACACGTTTTCATTTTGGTTTACAGAAATTTGGTAACGTGCACTGAGCAGCACTGTAGGTGCTTGAGTCGACCGACCTGCATTGCCTGGAGTAGAAGCCAAGAACCAGCGCCACCGATGCAAAGCCGACTTTCTTCGAAATCTAGGACCTTAAATATGGTATGCCGCACGCACATCAACGTGTACCCATATGCCGGTCAGTGAGCTCAACCGTCCCTGCAAAGAGCCGCAAGCGGTACCGATTTTCTGTACATCGTTAGGCGCATCGTTGTGCAAGTCCACAGTACAATTAAGTACACAATAGTACATAGGCCGCTTACAGGGTTACAGCCTGCTTCAATCCCTGCGGTACGGCCCTTACTCGTAACGGCAGTCACGGCAACTTTAAAAGGCGGGAAGTCTCCTTCCACAGGTTCGGCGTGAGACCCAGTATACACTGATCTCTATATTTGTTTCCAGATATTCTTAGGCTCTAGGCTGGCTGAGACATTGCCGCTGTAAGCTTTTGCTGGGCTTGAGAGTCCCTTCTCCATTTCTTGGGAGTTCCTAAGCCGTTAGCAAGCAGTAAACTGGCTCGGCCTTGAGAGGGCCGCCAGGCGGCCTCTCAGCGGGAGCGTATACAGTAATGGACAAGGCGAGTTGCTGTCGGTGCGCTAGTTAGGAGGTAACTACTTTACAAGTAGGTCTTATAAGTAGGATTAAATGAGACAATTACACTCCAAACCTGCAGTATGAGAAGCTGGAAAGGGCAGGAGAGGGGACCTATGGCGTCGTCTTCAAAGCTCGCGACCGCTATACAAACGATATAGTTGCCCTAAAGAAGATTCGACTTGAACACGAGGATGAGGGAGTCCCTAGCACAGCCATTCGGGAGATCTCCTTCTTGAAGGAGCTGCGGCATGAGAATGTCGTCAGGTGGGCACTCCGGGAAAGCGACGTCGACGACCTTTGCTGTTGTGTAACCGGTTGCCTTTCATGATCTGCAGGTTGTATGAGGTCCTGTATAGCGACAGGCGGCTCTACCTCGTATTCGAGTTCCTGGACTTGGACTTGAAAAAGCAAATGGACGCGACCCCCAACTTCAGCAGGAACTCGCGACTAATAAAGGTCAGCAAGCAACGACGAGGGTTGGTTTCGCGCTTGCCCCCTCCCCAGCGCGGAAACCGACGGCCCCTTTCTCGGCCCCCTTAACCCGGTGGTTTACCCTTTGCTCCAGGTGTACATGTGGCAGATGCTGAGCGGCATCTCCTTCTGCCACTCCAGGCGGTGAGCCCAGTTGGGGAAAGGGTGCAAGCTGGAACCAGTCCGTACAGGGTTGTGGCTGCATGCATGACCCAGTTAGCATTCTGCACGGATTGGGCGCATGCTCCTCAGAGCCACGAGGGGCCCCTTCCGAACCCGTCCTCGACAGGATATTGCACCGCGACCTGAAGCCGCAGAACTTGCTCATTGACCGCTCACGCAACCAGCTCAAACTCGCGGACTTTGGCCTGGCCCGGGCGTTTGGCATCCCCGTACGCGCCTACACGCACGAGGTAGGTGCCGACCCGATTCCCTAGCGCCCTCGGTACGAAGGCAGCCTGGGGGTTCTAGGTGCATGTTGCCGCCGCATGTACGTTGCGTGGCAAACACCCGCTCCCCGTGCGTTGCGTGGCTGTTGCGTGCCTGTGTTACACTCTCACCCACCCATGCGAAAGAAGACTCCGCGTCAGGAGAGCATGCACGTGGGATGTGCGCCCATGATGTGCCCTTGTTGCATACTCCACGGCTGGCATCACTTTCCGTAGGTGGTGACTCTGTGGTACCGCGCGCCCGAGATCCTGCTGGGCAGCAAGACCTACTCCACGCCAGTTGATATCTGGTCCATCGGCTGCATCTTTGCGGAGATGGTCAACCACAAGCCGCTCTTTCCCGGCGACTCGGTGGGTGCTTGCGGGGCGCTGCAGGGTGTGTTAAGAAAACTGGCCGCGAGTAGGAACGTACATGGATGTGTGCGATGGGAACAACGTCAGGCGTGTTGTAATGACGCTTGAGCTTCATGTCACATGAGTTTTGATTGTGTCCCTGCACCGCTTGTCAAAAATGACGACGCGCTCCGCGCCTCTTTTAACTGCTTGGTAACGTACTGCGTGCTGCCCTCCCCTCCCCCCTTCCCCCTTCCCCTCCTTCCCCTCACTTGTGGTTTGGTCTCCCTCTGAGCCTCTGTTTGTTTCTTAACGACTGCATGGCTTCCCTCTTGCCCTCCTTCCAGGAGATTGACCAGCTGTACAAGATCTTCCAACTGCTGGGCACTCCCGACGAGAGCATGTGGGCCGGCTGCTCCAGCCTCCCGGACTACAAGGACACCTTCCCCAAGTGGCGCCCGCAGAGCCTCGCAGCAGCCGTCCCCACGCTCAGCAGAGAGGGCGTGGACCTGCTGTCACGCATGCTGGTCTACACCCCGCAGCACAGGTGCGCAACAACGTGGCATGGCCTGGCATGGATTTCTGGGTTTCGTGGATTGGGACACGTGTTCGGGCGGCGCGTACAGTTGCAACCCAAATCACTTAGTTCCTGGATCTGCCATTGCTACCTGGATTTAATTGCATGCTGGCATGCGAAGGTGGCTGACACAAAAAAACGGCCTGTTTTTCCCATGCGTCGTTGGGTTTCTGTGTTTCGCAGGATCACCGCCAGCGCCGCTTTGGATCACCCGTACTTCGACGAGATCCGAGATCACATGCGAGCCGCGCAGCCGGGCGGGGGCATGCCGCACTGATAAGGTGCCAGCAGCAGTACAGCAAGATCGTGGTCGGGGTTGCCGCCCTGTTGGCGCTTTGCTACCTACTCAGGCCTAGGGCGTGTGGTGCTCGTTGACGCTATAGTGCTGGCATGTGTTTGGGCGGTGTTTGCGTGCTCCTGACCGAATGCCGTACGGTGTCGTACGGTGCCACTGGCCGAATGACGGCCGGTGTTTGCGTGTGTTACACTGCTGTGCATAAGTCGCAGCTGCCAGATTGCAGTGCATAGCAAGGCTGATGACCAGGATTTACGATTCTAGGTAAAACCCTATGCCCCACGCTAAGTGGAGCCTTGGAGGAATGGGCGCATATGAACCTAGTGGAGTAGGCCGCAGCTAGACCCTCAACCGCAATCCGAAAAGACGCGGAAGAGTGAAGAACTTGAGAGCGTACGTTAAATTCGTTACGCATGTGGGTGGCTTTGCACGCAGCATGCTTGCCTGATCTAAGGAGAGGTCAAAGGGTGTTCGGGAGCTCCGCTAGGTTTGCTGCTATAGGCAGGATTGCCAAGCAAGTGTTTGCCATGGATAGCTATGCAAGGTTTCAGGTAGGGTTACATGCTTGCTGGTTGGGATTGCGTGGGATTACAAACTTAGCGCGGTGTTAGCTCTCGTTACCAGTGCCGTGCCGAGTTTGCTGTGTTTGACAAGGTAGTGCTCCGTGTCTGTGTGGGATCGTACGATGTGTTTTGACTGGGACTGAACTACCGGTGCCTGAAGGTGTACATACAGCTACATGCTGCCGTGCTTTGAACTGCGGTGGTTGTCATGATGATGCGCCAATTGCGCTGTCCTTACAAATGTAGGATGAGGAACTCACGAGGACAAGGGGAGCGAAGCTAAGGCCGTACAGATGAGATGTTGACGAGGCGGGTGTAGGGTAGTAAGGCTATGGGTGTTCATTGCGTCGTTTTGCTTTTGTTAAACATCTGACATGGGGCTTCGGACATTGACTCATTACTGGTATGTTGTTTGCAGGTGATGGTGAGTGGGGTGGGTGTACGGCAGCAAGCATAGACGTTTGGGCTTTCGGCAAAGCCATGCACGTCGGCGCTACCTCCCGTTATGAGTCCTGCCCATGACTGACGGGGTACTAAGCTTCTTTTGATCACAAGGGTGTACTGTACTGTGTCTGAAGCTTCACATGCTGCTGTTCGCACGGTATCCGCATTGGGTGCTTGCAGTGGCATGTACCGTTGGAGTGCTTAAACCGGTAGAGCCATGGAGGCTATACAGCTAGCCCTATGTCCATGCATTCAGCCTCGAGCGGCGGAATATGTATAGAGTGCTGAGTGCTTGGCATGGGCTGCGGTGTGCATGAGGCGGTAATATGCAGGTGCAGTTGAGAGGTAAGAAACCACAGCAATGGGCCCAACCCAAGCATGTTTTGAATGCATGCATTGACAGCTGCACAATCCGTCAGCGTGCGAACACCTGGCACAAATGCGAGCGGATGGTTAGCTGGTTGCAGTCGGGCCTGTCCGTTGAAGGGGCTTCATTCTTAGCACCACAGGAAAGGGCTTTGGAGGCCAGGCAACACTGACCACATGTGGACTGCAAGAGCATGGGCACGAACGGCCAACAGGACTGTCCGACACTAACCAAAGAAACACCTTCAAAACCATGATACGTATATGTATATGGCATAATGATATGTATATGGCAAAATATCTCTTGGCCCGTATGGGCCTTACGAGTCGACCAAGCTTGTGAGTCAAGTTGCAAAATGCCTGGACGCCCCAAACCCAACATTAACATAGGAATCTCACAATTGCAAGTTGAGACGACCTACACTTTCAACGCTGCCTGACGCAAAACGTGACTCTGTGTATGCTGCATTATTTGTTGCAGTTGGAACACGCTATCTATCTTGCACAGGAGAGGTTCTGTTGATAAGCTGTAGGTCGCCACTGCAGAATTTTCGGACGACAACATCGGTGCATTTCCCGTAGGTCTCTTCTGGAAATCTAACTTATCCGGAGCTCCGGGCCCCTTTCCCTTCTTCGATTACTCTTCTGCTAGTCATCCATCCACCGATGAATTAGAGGTCAGTTTCTCATGGGTATGGTTTCACCATGGGCTCGTTCAGGAATGGGCTGTTCTGTACGGGCTGGGCTGCATAGGTTGGTTGCATGGGCTTTGGCATGGATCGCATAGGTTGTGCAACTGGGACTGAGCATGGCCCATGGCGGCCCTGGCAGGCGCACCCATGCGCAGTGAGAGCACCATGGGCACAGCCCGTGTCACTGACAGGACAGAACATGCATGGCTTTGCGTGCATACAGGCGTTTTCACGCCTGAACGGATGTTTACCCACTCAGAGGCTGATCGACCCGGTTTAGTGGTTTGCCGCTTTGGTAGAGGCCCTGGAAGGTGTCGCTCAGTTGGGGTTTGCGTACCCCCAACTCAATCTTCTAGGGTGATTTCTATTTATCCCAAGCCTAGGTGCAACCCCACGCATCGACTACATGTTTGTTCCCGCCGCAGGGGCAATCATGGCGTCGTGGCTAGCAGCTGTGAGTACAGCCGCCTTGCCCATTAGTGTGGCGTACCTTGCGTACAACGTGGGGAGCTTGGGACCCAGCACATCCACCTCCACAGATACCCCAGCCAGCGCAAGCACAGCAGATGCGCTAGATGGATTGGGTCGCAGCGGCGGAGCTGCCCTGGAGAAGCTGGACAACACTGGCAGCGCTGCTACTGACGGGCTGTCAGTAGCATTTGACAGGGGGATGAGCAAGGTTGCCGTTGCAACGATGGTGGCGGGGGGTGCCATTGCCGCGGGGCTTTTGGCGTGCGCATGGGCGCTGGTGCGGCTCAGCAGCAACGACAGCTCGAGCAAGCCAGCCACAAAAAAATGCCAGCAATAAATGGGCAGCAGCCGCAACATTAGCACAAGCGCAGTCTCGGACAGACCCAGCATGCGGGGCAGCGGCATTTCTATTTTCACGCGGTCTTTCCGCTGCCAGGAGCACAGGTGCAAGCACGCATTGCTGACCAACCTGTCGAGGGTAGTGTTATCCAGGAGAGGTAGGGGTGACTTACCAGGTAGAGGCATAGGGACTGTGCAGGTTGGGCATATGTATATGACAGAATGGCGCATAGCACAGTGTAAATTTGCGGGCTGGTAGATACCGGAGTCATCCGTGGAAGCTGCAGGTTACCTGAGGTAGAAATTGAACATGGCCAAATGGGTCTGCAGCGACGCCCTGTTCTTCTTCTTGTGAAACCAGGTCCGTTCGCGCCTGTTGGACGGCGACGTGAGGACCTGTGCGGCAGGCCGCAAGCATGCAGCTACTCTGCTACATGCATGGATATCATTCTGGGCAAGCAAGATGCGACAAGACCATCAGCCCATGCAATGACCTTGCACCTGTAGAGCCAATCTGTGCCCCAGGAATATGAACGTTGTCGCTACGGGGGCTGGTGCTACTTAGTAGCCTACCTTGATGAACCACTCCTACTGCTCCCAGCGGCTCGCCACGCTGTCCCCCTCGGGCAGCTCGCCCGCCACCAATTCCGCCAGGGACTGCACAAGTGTGTGACGCATGCACGGTCCACGTTAGTGATTGTCTATATACCGGTAACAAGTTCCAACCCCAGTTTCCTGGTGTTTCTGTCCCGCTGGGTTTTGTCTTCCCGTCCTACGGTATCTCTGTGCCCCAAAAGCTCCATGCACGCGTGTGAGGTTGACGCTCTGTGCACACCATCATATGCATGCGATGGGTGCCGATACCAGACCTTCTTAAAGCCACCCCAGCGGAAGCTCGCACCTCCAGGATACCTAAAGAGGTAGCAATTGCTATTGCGTAGGGCCAAGTTCGGCGCATCGAACGGTCACAGGAAACGGGATAACACCTCCAATTACATGCTTACGGTGGTCGCAAGAGCGCTTGCAAGTATGGTGCAGATTACAAAGATACGAGCGACCTATTGGAAACCCTTAACGTACGTGCAATAGTTCGAGCAGTCCACACAACATTGAAACCTTTGGAAGGAACACTAGCATAAGATAGATCCAACGCATTCCAAATCGTACTACAAAAGCCATCAATACTGTCCGTGCAACAGCAATGGTACGTGCACTGTGTTGTATCAACAGCTTGTATGCCTTTAGCACCATCCATATGATCAATAAGCAGCTTCGCTACGCATTTGCCGAACCAGCCATGTAGCCATGCCTAACGCAGTAACGCTACACAGCAACACCCCCCCCACCTCCCTCCTGACTTACTAATGCACACACATTACGCCGTACTATCTCATTATTTGGTTAACCCCCCCAAAGATGCAACAGAACAGGCTTGACCTTAAGACCCAGCCCATGGGAACACGCTGCATCCACTCATTGCCATAGCCGAGCGACGGGAGGAGTCGGGCAACGCCAGGCAACGGAAGGAGTCAGGACCCGCAAGCCCGCATGACCTGCACTGTCAACCTGCATGTCTGCAACTGCTGGCACCGTCGCTTTGTCACCTGAAACCGCTGTGGGCCCAATCGGGTGCCGTAACAAGCCCCCGGCACCTCGAGTTCAATTGCTAGCACCATACAAATGTGCAAAGGCGCAGTCACAAACCGCAGTAACAATCAGCAAAGCAAAAGGCATCACAAGACCGTGATGCATAGCGGCCCCTTCACTGTATTGTCACGACCAGCGCCATGCATGTGTTGCTAAACGATGTCTTGCCACCTTTCCTTTAAGCCAACCTGTGAGAAAACGCGGAATTGTTGATGAGAAGAGAACGGCAGCTGCACGCTGCCCTGCAGCAGCGGAAGGATAACCCCCAACAACCATGCCAGTCTGGCGCACAAGGCAAGGCATGCAACAAGCGATACACCCACGGAGCCTGCTAGCCCACCCCCTCCGCTTTGAGACGTCTCGCCTACACTGCTTTGTGCCGATGTGTGCACCCACAGCCTTGCCTGCGCCCGTGTCTTGCAGTCAAAACACAGGAAATGGACGCTACATGGCACAATGTACCCAACACAGCCTCCAAGCCCTAACACTTTCCTTGCGATCAAGGAGTCTGGTTACGTGATGTAAGACAGGCAAAGCCTGAAAAGACCGTGTGTTCATTATAAACATGCACACTCAAACAAAACAATTGTCATGCCTGCACTGCAAATGCATCAGCGCAATTAGAGGAACAGAAACGCCCACTACGAGCACTCTAACCCTGCCCAACCAAGTCCTCACAGGGCAACATACGCGCTGACTGTTAATCTATTCGGTCACCCAGACAAACACAGTCCACATTGTGAAGAGGGCGCCGCTCTCAAACAGCACATGACCGCCCTGTTGTGTGTGAAGGACAAAGGATGCTCCTGCCGTAGGTGCACACGCGTCGTACATTAAAACCCGGGGGGGCTCATCGCTACATACCGGTACCTCCCCACTTGCCCCTGACAGCAGCTGCTGTTGAAAAGGTCGCAGGCCCAAATCGTCGTACCAGTTCCCTTCCCCACTCGCCAACACCACCACGCACCCACCTACTAGCAGCCCATGGCCTGCTATCACCCCTCTGTGCGCCCTCACAGCCAGCCCTGCACACTGTGCCTCGCATCACCTTGCCCTCATGCCCTCACATGCATGCCCCTGAAGCGCGCATGCCTCCCGCCAAGCCTTCGCCACCGCGGCACCCTTGGTACCCAACTCGTCCCTCTCTACCTCGCCTCCATTATGGATTTATACCGGCAAGTCATTATTCTGTGGTTGGGCCAAATCACTCGGTATTACGGTTTCCCAACGTAAACAGCGTCCTACTACAATGGGCCCAGCTGTGGCTGCTTCCATCCACGTGCCCCGTACGCTACGGCTTCTCCCCACCAGTAGTAGTCACGACCCAGACAGCGACATCACGTGCTCGGCAAGAAAGATCGCGGTCACCCGGTCACGTAAACGGACTACCCAAAGCGAGGTCGCAGGACAACGCATCGCAATCCTCATGTAGCCGCCGCCCTCCAACACCACCCGCACCGACACCTGCAAAGCAGCAGCGCTCACACATCGTATAGCACCCATACATAGCAGCAGCACCATAGATAGGCTTAAGCAGTGCCGTGTTTTTGCGTATCACGCGCCTCCCATCTGGCGAGGCGGTAGCAGCAGGATAGTCATTATAGATTCGGCACAAGGAGGTAAAGTCCCAGGCAAGTTTGTCGGCCTGTATCTGAAAAGCGGCCCTCATTTCATCTTAGCTTTGGGTCGTCCTGACGCCAATTTTTAGGCCAATTTATGTTTCTTCTAAATTCGTCCTACTGCTACAGTACTACCACCATCACAGACCTCGCCCAGTTGTGGCCCATCACGAACACCACTACCACCCCACTCCCCAACTAAACTGACAGGGTCGCATGCGTGATGTGCCCCCATGCGAAAACCCGACTCCAGGCGCCCACCCGCAGCGCGTGCAACGCTACACACACCGCTACGAGTAGTACACCGCAGCACTGCCGCCCCATCACTCGCTCCATCTTCCCCTCCAGCCCCCCGGCTCCAGCGCCGTGCCAGTTTAGCCAATGACCCCCTTGCTTCTGCTGCAACAGTCATCGGAGGACTGCGCCTTAACGGGTGCCTCGGGTGCCTAGTAGCCGCCACCCGCACCGCCTGCACTCCGGCCGGCTGCTGCAGCCGCCGCCGCCGCAGCAGCAGCCGCGGCCGCCGCTTGATGCTGTGCAGCATACACACCCGCTGCTGCCGCCGCCGCTGCCGCTTGGTGCGCAGCCGCAGTGGCGGGATAGCCCCGAGGCGGCAGAGCCATGAAACCGCCATACTCCTGCTGATGAGGCCCAGCTGGCATGCCCATGCCCGGTATGCCCATGCCGCCGACCACCCCCATGTGCTGCTGCATGGCACCCATGACCCCCGGACCCATCTGCATGGCCATCGCCCCATGCGGCCCCATGCCCCTGTTGGGCTGCTGCTGCTGCTGCTGCTGCTGGTGCTGCTGCTGGTGGTGGCCCCCGGGTGGCATCATGGGCGCCCCCATGCCCATCAACAGGTGCCCGGGCATCTGCCCGTGCGCCGGACCCCCGCCATGCACGCCGGCGTGTACGGCATAGCCGTTGTCCAGTCGGTAAGCCCCAGCCGGCATGCCCCCCGGACCAGCACCACCGTTGCTGCTGTTGCCGACGCCGTTGCCCATGCCATTCGGTGGCGGCAGCATCCCCAGTCCCATGCCGCCCATTCCCATGCCCATGCCGCCAGCCATGCCGCCCCCGCCGCCGCTGCTGCCCATGCGCATCCCCATGCCGCCCATGCCCATGCCGCCGCTGCCCATTATGTCCGCGTCCATGTACTCCTCCTCATTGAACTCCAGCGGGAGGTTCCCACCGCCGCCGCCGCCGCCGCGCGGGCCGCCGCCGCCCGTGTCGCCCACGTGCCGCGCCGCCTCAATGAGCGCGCGGATCTCCTCCAGCGACTGGTGCGGCTCCGGGTTGCGCGTGTAGGTGCTGGGGTTCTGAGGGTGTATCAGATGGCCCATGGTGTTTGCTAGGTTAGGAGTGGGGTTCTGGATAGGCGGGTGGGTGGATGGGTGCAGAGCAGGTTGGCTTTAGGCGGCGGGTCGTGGCAGGATGAGGAGGGCTAAGGACTGCAGCGGGAAAGGGAGAACGCCGGGTACAACCCAAATGGAACGACAGCGTACGGCAAGTACGACGCATGTTCGTACCGCGAGCTCCGCGGGCAAGTTGCGTTGGAACCAGGGGTGTCGCCGGATGTCCGCAATGGTGATGCGCTCAGCGGGGTTGGCCACGAAGATGCGCGAGATGAGGTCCTGGCACTCCGCCGAGATGTGGAGGTTGGGCGGATAGCTGAAGCGCACGTTCATGATGCGCTGCAGGTGACGAGGGTAGGTGGCAGGAGGGGAAGAGCGGGGCAGGGAAGGGGCAACGTTGAGACGTTGAGGTGTCAAGAGCGATAGAAACTGGGACGTATGATATGGTGCAGTACTCAGCTGTGGCATGGATGCAGGATTTGCAGTCGACAGCACAATGCATGGTACACACTCACACACAGTCGCCTCTCGCCACTCCACTCATCACCCTTTGTGATGTGATGTTAGATGGTGGGTCACGGCTTTCTCCCTCCGTCCCCAACGGTCAAGGGCTCACGGCTACCCTAGGGCCGCACCTGTATTGTCCGGCGGAAGTTCCGGGGGTCCGCTGGGTCCTCGAAGGGGTAGGCCCCCACCAGCATGACGTACAGAGTCACGCCACACGACCACACGTCCGCGTGCTGGCCGTCGTACTGTCGCCGCTGCAGCACCTCGGGCGCGATGTAGGCCGGGGTGCCCACCGTGGACTTGGGCTGGGAGTCGTAAGCAGACTGAAAGGGTGGTGGGGCGGCAGAGGAAAAGGGTGAAAGGGAGGCAGGGAGGGAGGTGGGCTAGGGATGTTGCGTCTTGCATGGGATGGCTGACTGATGAGAAGGGTCAACGAAAAGGATGCGTTTACCGGTAATGGAGATCGGCGGTAAAAAGACAGGCGTTATGCAGTGCAGAATAAGGGACTGGTGCGACTTGGTCTGACGGGCGATGACTACCTTGGAGTACCCGAAGTCGCAAATCTTAAGTCGCGGCGCCGGATTTCCGTCCAATAGCGTGTTCTCCAACTTGAGATCGCGGTGGCATACGCCCTGCGGACAAAGCGACGCAGTCGGGCAGTTGCCATCGTGTCGCCCGTCGAGCAGGCTCGTAGAGCTGATGTAGACTTACCGACGCGTGGCAGTAGTCAACGCCCGATATTAATTGTTGGAAAAAATATCGTGCTTCATCTTCGGAAAAACGTCCCGCTTGGACAATGCGCTCAAACAGCTCCCCACCAGCAGCAAACTCCATCGCAATCCCAAGGTGCGTGGGTGTCAAGAACACCTGTGCTCGAATACCACAATACTTTGACCGATCGGTTTGGGGAAGGCCGAGCCGCGGAAACTGGACGAAACAAAAGTGCACCTACCTCTTTGAAGGCCACAATATTTGGATGGTTTAATACTCGGTGGTTGCATATTTCCCGCTCCACATTGCGATCAATCTGTCGGAAAGGCCGCAAATCAATGAGTCACTGCTTAACACGCAAGACAGCCGAGTCCGCTTACCCTCTCCCCACGCTCGATAAATTTGATGGCGACCTGCAAGGCACATGAAACGCGTCACGCGAGGTGCACAACCCGAAAACTTGAAGCAAGCCCTCCACACGTAGAAATGCACAGCATGGATGCCCTCTCGTACCAGTTCTCCATTAAGCCGATCCTTCATAAGCTGTAAGCAAAGAACGGCGTGAAGGGTCCATCTTAGATTTCTAAACAACGCTTCGCGTCGCAGTAAACCTAGCGGAAGAGCTTGCGCACACCAAGGGAAAGCCCATATGCCCATCTCCACAGCATCATATTACTTACCTTCGCTACTCCAAAGTTGCCAGCACCAAGATCGCGGACAAGCTCATAGCGCTCCATTCCTCAGGGCTGGGTGTTGGCAAGGCCCTGGCGACAGTGGCTCACCAAAAAGGATCAGATAGCTCAGAATACCCTATATACGTTTCTTGTTGATGCTTCCCATAACGCTTCCTCTCTCGGAGCAGTGTGCATGAAGTCAGTCGTCCTGTATGTGCGGCCGTTTTCCAAGGCCTAAATGCCGCGAGGATAAAGACAACTATCCTTTTCTACAGATATTAGGAAGCCTCGGCGCATACAGACCTGTCAAGAGGGTGCATAACGGCCGTACAAGGAAGCCGCTTTCAGTCGTACCGGTGTATCAAAGCAGCTAGACCACAGTAGCAGGTGCCCTGCGCGTTGTGCCCATGCTCCTAAATAGAGATCCTTGTAACCATGCGATACCATCCTTGCTCTTTCCAAATCCGTGTTTTTATTACAAACCCGCAGGGCGCTTAGCCGCAAGCCGCGAGAAACCATCTCAGCAACGGAACCGACCTGCCCTCCAACCTCTTCGCAACTAACCCTTCCATTACACGATAAAACCTTCGCTGGCGCAAGTCCATTTCCTGTTCGTGCTCCGCACAAGGCCCAACCAACGCATTCCTTCCATCATTCCCCTTCTCCTTTCCCCTCGCTTCATCTCATGCCCTAACTCCACATCACCCTCCATCCACCTTTTCTCCGCCCGCCCGCTCTCCCAAACGCCACCACTTCCCTCCCTGCCTCCTAAAAGTAACAGCCGAGGTTATACACGCCCCACTGCCCCACACGCGCACTGATTACTACCGTCGCCGTCCCCGCGCCCGCGCCGCCTCCCGCCGTCCCCACCAGTCGAGCCGCCGACAGCGATCCCGGTAGCCCTAGCAGCCCAGCGGGGGCGGGCGCGGCGGGGCCCTGTGCTGCGGCGCCGCCACCTGCGGAGGGCCTGCGGCGGGGAAGATCGCGACGTATGGAGCGGCGAGCTGAGGGAAAGGCATTGCAACCATTCCAAGTTGGGTATCGGACACACATGGCTTCAACCCCTCACGATCTGAACCCTCCCTCCCTCCTTCCCCAAACCCCAAACTCTCACCCAGCTGCATCGCTGCCGCCGCCCTCTCCCGCTCCGCTGCCGCTGCCCCCTCCCGCTGCTGCTGCCCCGCCTCCCTCCGCCCCCGCAGCTGCCGCCCCCAGGCTGTGCGGCGGCCTCGCGAAGCCCAGCAGCCGTGCCGACACCAGCGGGTCCGTGGTGGTGCTGTACAGCGCCACACACGGCTGCTGCTGCTGCCGGGCCGCACCCGGGGGCGGGGAGGGGCAGGGGAGAAAGAGATGATAAGTGCAACAAGGGAAGGGAAGGGAGGGGCAGGGAGGGGAAGGAAGGAGAGAAGGGAGGGGAAGGGAAGGAAGGCAGCGGGCATGTCAGGGGGAGAGAGGGGGTCAGGCAGTAGAGGAGTAGACGGGGCAGGCAAGGCAGCGGGCATGGCAGGGAGACAGAGGGGGAGACAGGGGGTCAGGCAGCAGACAGGGCGGTGGCGTGTTGTGTGTGCAGTGTATGGTGCAATGTCCAACCCTCCCCCCTCAGGTGGACAGCCGGGGGGTGTAGCCCCTGCTCCTTCCTCTCCTCCTCCTTCACCCGCCCACCTGCCCCTGCGCCGCCAGCAGGACCGCCAGCCGCTCCCCCCGCGGCTCCCACACCATGTCCACAATGCCCGGCTGCACGGGGCAGGCTGCCCCTGCAGCAGCACCCGACGACAGGGACCCCGCACCCTGCTGCTCCTGCCCTCCGCTCTCCCCACCAACCCCCTCCCCCCGCTGCTGCCCCCCCAGCCCCAGCCCCCGCTGCAGCTCCGGCAGCGCCACCGGCAGCAGCTGCGCCGTGAGACCCGGCGGCGCCTCCACCAGGTGTACGGCAACCAGGTACGGCTGCCCCGCTAGCGCCGCCAGCAGTACGGCAGGGCGGCCGGGGGCGGCGGGGGACCAGGCGGCGGCTACCACCGAGTCGCGAGGGGTTGTTGTTCCGGAGGTTCCGCGTTGGGAGGCGGATGCGTGGGTGTTGGGTCGAGGTAGGGGCGAGGCGGAGGGGGGAGAGGGGGAAGAGGGGGAGCCGGAGGAGGTCTGCCAACGAGCCCAGCGCCAGCGGTGAGTCTCGAAGATGTAAAAGTGGCGGCTGCCGGTGCCGGCTGGGAAAGGGGGAGGCATGAGGGGTAGGCATGAGGGGTAGGAGAGGAAGGGGAAGGGGGTGGGACGAGGTATCACGGGGTTTTTATGCTTGTTTGTTAAGATGAGGGTCTGCCGCCCCTCGGACTCCTTACCACCCAATCCACACCTCCCTCGCGTCCCTAGCTACCCCTGCCCCCTCCTCCCACCGCCCTGCCCGGCCCCTGCCCCCCCTGCACATATCATTCACCTTTTCCCCTGCCCCCCATCCTGCCCCCCCCCCCACCTGCGAATACGTAGTTGCCGCAGGGCGACCAGCGCACCGTGTCGAACGCGGCGGGGCCGGCACTGACCGGGGTGGGGATGCCGCTGGCCACCTCCCACACCTGGGAAGGGGGCAGTGGGGGGAGGGAGGGAGGGAATTCAGATTAACTGAGCCGCGGAAACACTGACCCGGGAAGGGATGGTGAGAGTCTGCTAGCATAGCAGCCATATACAGCAGGTAGGCGCAGCAGGGTCCTGATCTCCTGACAGTGCCGGTGTTTGTGGTTACCGGTACCAAATGGGCCGCCGCATGTGTTCATGCAGCACCCCCCCGGCCCCGCCCCCACCCCCCCTCCCATGGGGAAGCCTCGTCCTACACTTGGTCAGTTTTCTTATTCTACCCCTCATGCAGCACCCCCCCGCCCCTCCCCCCCACCTGCAGCCCCGCCTGGTCGGGCGATGCGGCCGCCAGCAGCTGCCCGTCCGGACTCCAGCTCAGACTGCTCACCCTGGGGGGGAGGGGTGGGCAAGAGGGGGGGAGGGGTGGGCAAGGAAAGAAGAGTGCGGGGCAGGGGGGGCGGAGGGAGAAGAAGGAAGAGAGTCGAGATGGTGTGTTAAGAAGATGGGGCCGCGAGTCGGAACGTACTGTGATTGACGGAAGGTGGGGAAACAAGTTGTGTGGGTAAGGCAAGCGGGAGTGGACCGCGGGGCAGCGGGGGCTGCCGGAGCAGCTTGCCTCCCGACAGCTCCTGCTCCTGCGGATGCGCTCATGTGGGTCACGTCCGAACCACCATGCGCCACAACACACCTCCCCGCCACTCTCAGCCCGGCGCCCATGCTACACCCCAACAACCCCCTCAGGGCCAGCCTCACCCCCCCCCCTTTCTCGCTACCCCCCGTCCCCCCTTCTTCCACCTTAGCCCCCGCCCCCACCCTCCTTCCTCGCAACCCCCCTCCTGCCCCCACCTTGCCCCCGCCACCCGCGTCCTCAGCAGCCGCAGCCAGGGCCCCGCCGCCCGCCCCGCGGCTGCCAGCGGCGGCCTCGCCTCGCCCCCCGCCCCCGGCAGCGCCCACAGCCCCACCGCGCCAGCCGCCCCCACCGCCAGCACACCCGGGGAGGAGGGGCTCCAGGCCAGGCTGAAAACCTGGGGGGAAAGGGAGGAGGAGGTGTGTGTGGGGGGGGGGCGGGGATCAGGGTGCAATGCCTTGAGGAGGAGGCGGGTGAGATGAAAGGGCGAAACAGTGGGGCTGCCGCTATGTGGACACAGGGCATCATTCGCGTATTCCACATGTCCCTGCCCCACCCTCCCCACCCTCACTGAGCACTCCACCCCTCCCTCCTACCAAACATCCTCCCCTGGGCCTCCCCCTTACTCGTCCCTCGCTCCCTCCCTCCCCCGACCCCACCTGCTCCCCCAGCGCCTCGTGCCTCAGCACCGCCTTCAAACACCCACCACCAGCTCCCCCTCCTCCTGCCATCAGCACCTCGCTGCGTCCCCCGCCTGCTGCCCCCGCCCCCTGCTGCCCCCGCCCGCCAGCCGCCCCCACTGCTCCCGGCAGCTGCATCTCCAGCACCTGCACCCGGCCCCGCGGGTCGGCAGCAGCCAGCCAGGGCCGCCGCGGGTGCCAGTCCAGGGGCGGGGCGGCGGCACGGGGCTGGCAGCCGGAGAAGAATCTGTAGGGGGAGTGGTGGTGAGAGGGGTGGGGGAGGGGTGAGAGGGGGCGGCACCAGGGGTGACGAAGGTGGGTCGAGAGGATGCAGGGATGCAGGGCGGCGGCCGGCAGGTGGAGGAGGAGGGCGTGTGGGAGGGTGGATGTGTGGCGTTGCGGTGCGACCAAGGCCCAAGCCAACCCTGGCCTCTAGTCAGGCCCGCGAGCGCCCAGACTTGGCATCCCGCTTGCACCAGACACGGCTCCCAACACGGCTCCACCCCGGCCCCGCCCCCACCTGCTCCACAGGGCCGCCAGCGGCGCCCCCAGCCCCAGCGGCGACACCGCCGCCGCCAGCTGGCCGCCCAGCCGCTCTAGCAGGGAGGCGCGGCCCTCCTCGCCGCCCTCGCCACCGCCACCGCCGCCGCCAGCAGCGTCTGGGTGGGTATGAGTGGAGGTAGGTGGGGCGGGGAGGGTTACATGGGTGGGCGAAATCTTGGGTTTAATGCAAAAGAGTGCAAGGCTGGGTGCAAGGGACAGGAGGGGGATGCTGCCGCTCGCAAGAGTCTTTCTTAGGTTCTGGCTTAGGCAGTAACTACGGTAATTGGAGATTTGGGTTACGGTCCGCGCGGCGCGTACCGGGCGGGTAGACGGCAGCTCGCTGCGGCAGCAGTTCCGGAGCCACCTCATCCGCCAACACCACTCCGGGGATCAGCTTGGACTGAGGAGCAAGGAGGAAATAACAGAGGGTGGAAGGGATGAGGGGAGCAGGCAGGAGCAGGGAAGATATACAGTGGCTGTGTAGGAGAGGGAGGTGAAAGCGGCCTGCATCCACGCTGTAACTCACCGATCCCGATACATCTTGAGCATTGTCAAGGTGAACTGCGCCGGGCAACCATGGACGAGCAACGGTTGTGCAAGCGCAGCCTCACGACAAAATCGGCTTCGGATCTAGGTATTTTTTCAGTGCTTTACCTAGTATGCAGCGGTCCTCCCACAAGGTCTTAGCTCCTTCCGGCGGCAGCAGCGTTGAGAACATTTGTTTTTCGGCACCCTTTAGCGCTGCAGCCGCAGATGCATAACTGTTTGTTGCCTTCTGGAAATTAACAATCCTTTAAAGTCACCGTCTAGTGCAAAATGCAGCGCCGCTCTGCCCAAGAGGCGGGAAAGGGGTAATTTGCTAAGGTAAGAACTATTCCCTGACAACGTGCAAAGTTGTTTCAAATAGTGACGAATGGATTCGACTGAGGTGTGTAGAGCAGTTCAAAGAAAAGCCGTATGCATGTGATCACGTCAGATGGAACCAAAGCTGCAACACATCCCCATCTCCTTGCCTTTAGGTTGCACACCTTCTCGTTAAAAATCACTTCAATCTTTCTTACTGAATTATGTTACATACTTAAAGCTATTAACACGTATCGTGCGAACGCACTCATGGAGGTTGCTCCACTTTTCAAGCCCTTCAGGGCTTTAGGGTATATCACAGACAACGTTCCCTTTGCCGTCAATAGGCGCGGAAAAGAAACATATGTTACTGTCAGCGTGGGCAAAGCATGGCAGGTGGGCGGCGGCTGGCGGCCTTGCAGCTTGCCGATTACCTTAGCAATAGTCTAAATGACTTCGGTGAAACACAGGTTTATAACACCACGAAGCTTACGCTGTCACTCGTGGGACCTCAGGTAGGTCCCATGCGTCGACTTGGTAGTTCCTTTGCTGCAGCGGGTGGAAATTGCAGGGTTGTAGAAACGCAACGCATTCCCGTCCTGAACTCCCTCTTTACTTCGCGACCTGTCATGCTGCCCCACAGCTCCCGGGGGACATCAGGGCTCTGGCATGCAAGAACGACCTTACTTTCGCTGCCATCGGCGGCGACATAGTCGAGTGCAAGCGCGTGCACAGGTACGTCGTTGATCCACGGGGCTGGATTCCCGCGGCTCCATGCCAAACCCAATTGTAGAGCTTGCGATGCTTACCGGTACTCGACATCCCGCACTTCCCCTGCGCACATGCCACGCGCACGCATGAGTTCACCCTTGCCGTTTCACCTTTCTCTCCCCTTCGCTCCTACCCTACTAGGTCTGGAGTTTACCGTGGCGGCCATTCGGGTCCTGTACGACAGCTGCTCGTACTTGGGGACTTGCTGCTGAGCCTGGGCTCGGAGGCGCAGGGGGGCGGGCGGCTGGTGGTGTGGCAGATCGGAAAATACGACGAACCAAAGGTAGGTGTTGCCGTACTACTACGGAGGCTGATGAGGCAGGCTGGGGGAGTGGAAGACGGCGTCTGTTGTAAAGGGAAGGGAAGTTGAAGGAAAAGGGTTCCAACCGGAGGGGCTCAGGGGTGCGAAACAAGTAGAGGAGGTAAGTGGGACGAGCAGCGGGATGGGGCTTCGAGGGAATACCATCCGTGGCCTCCCCTGGTCTCTTCCACACCCCGATTCCTCTGCTTCCGCCCCCTGCCTACTACCTCCCCACTTCGTTAGTCGTTTACTCTTTATCCCCACTCACCAACCCCCCCTCCAACCCCGCAGCGTGTGTTGGAGCTGGGCTCTGGCTTCTCCCCCAGCTGCATGTGCCACCCGGACACCTACCTGCACAAGGTGCTGCTGGGCGGCGAGGGCGGCAGCCTGCAGCTCTGGAACTTCACATCGGGGGAGAAGCTCTTCACGTTTGCAGGCTGGTGAGGGGGGAGAGGAAAGCGGAGGCAGAGGGAAGAGCTCTAATTAAGCAGGGAGCCAGGGTCTATCGGAGGGAGGGGGTTTGCGAAAACCCTGGAGCGCGGCTTTTACCAGGAATTGCCTCCATTGATCACAGCATGGCTTTCCTCTTCTCCTTCTTCCTTCCTCTTCCTCCCTGCCAGGGGCTCCGCTGTCAAATGCCTGGTCAGCAGTCCCGCTCTGGACGTGGTGGGAGTTGGGCTGGCAGACGGCCGGGCCGTACTGCACAACATACGGTACGATGAGCAGGTGGCCTCCTTTGCAAACGCAGCCGGGGCGGGTCTGGCGGCGGATGGGCTGCTCGGCGGAGGCGCCGGTACGGCAGCGGCGCGCAGCGGCGGGGCGTGTACGACACTGTCGTTCCGCAGCGGCAGTACGGGTGTGCCGTTGATGGCGGCGGGTGGCGGCGCGGGGGTGGTGACGGTGTGGCACCTGGAGGGGCGCAGGCTGCACACGGTCATCCGGGATGCGCATGATGCGCCGCTGGTGGGTTGGTGGTTGGGTGGGAAATGAATTATAAGTGCAGCAACGGAGTGGGAGTGGGGTTGGTGGGAGGGAGGAGGGTCGCTGGGAGACATGGGAGGGTCGGGAGCCCACCATAGGGGCGTGGTGCGTGCGGTAGGAGATTTAGAGGAGAGCGCGGAACTGTTGATGCTAAGGACAATGGAAATTTAGCCATGCAACGGCGACCCCACGCGCCCTGCACCTGTCCCCCTCCCATCTCTTCAATCCCTCTCCCCTTCCCCCGGTATATCTTTCCGCAGCTGAGCCTTCACTTCTTCCCCGGCGAGCCCCTCCTCATGAGCAGCGCAGCAGACAACAGCATCAAGCACTGGGTCTTCGACTCCGCAGACGCCATGCCGCGACTCCTGCGCTTCCGCGCCGGCCACGCAGCTCCCCCAACCACCGTACGGCACTACGGCCAAGGCGGCCTGCGCCTCCTGTCCGCCGGCTGCGACCGCTCCTTCCGCGTGTTTTCCGTGCACCAGGACCAGCAGAGCCGGGAGCTGAGCCAGGGACACACAGCCAGTCGTGCTAAGAAGCTGCGTGTACGGCAGGAGGAGTTGCGGTTGGAGCGGGTGGTTGACATGGACGCATGTGAGGTGCGGGAGCGGGACTGGGCGAATGTGATTACGGCGCATGAGGGCGACCCGGCGGCCTACACTTGGCGGCTGGCGCACTTCAGCCTGGGGGATCACGTGTTGACGCCGCCGCAGGAGGTAAGCGGGAGGAGGGGCGGAGGAGTGACAGGAGGTGGGGATGTGGTGTAAACCTGTGCCCTGCAAAATGTTTTCCCGGGAGCCTCACACACGATATTTTCTTGTTGCATGCGGCACTCTTGGGGCAGCCCTCGAGTGTAACCGCTGTTGTCTGCGATCCTGCCTCACCTGTGCTCGCAGCACCCCTATTCACCCCGTCCCGCTCCTCAACCCCCCCTCCCCAGGAGCTCCGGGGCGCTTCAGCCGCCCCCGTCACCTCGGTGTCCATCAGCCGCTGCGGCAACTTTGGGCTAGTGGGCAGCGCCTCGGGCCGCCTGGACCGCTACAACATGCAGAGCGGGCTGCACCGTGGAGCATACTACCGCCCTGCTGCGGGGGCTGCTGGTGCGGGGGTTGCTGCTGCGTCCACAAAGGGATCTGCTGCCGGAAGCGCAGCCTCTGCAGCATCCGAGCCCCAGCCGGCGCATGGAGCAGCGGTGGTGGGTTGCGCCTCCGATGGCGCCAACCGGCTGCTGGTGTCAGTGGGCATGGACGGCGTGCTACGGGTGTGGGACTTCCGAGCGCAGACGCTGCGTGCTGAGGTGGCGTTGGGGTGTCCCGCGGGTCGGTTGGTGCTGCACCCAGTGAGCGGGCTGGCGGCGGTGGCGCTGGCGGACGCGTCGCTGCGGGTGTACGACATTGAGGTGCCGCGACTGGTACGGCGCTTCCGGGGACATAGCGACCGAGTCACCGGCATGCACCTCTCCTCGGACGGGCGGTGGCTGCTGAGTGCGGCCATGGACGGCACCATGCGCGTGTGGGACATCCCCGCGGCACAGTGCCTGCAGGCGAGTGGCATGCGGAGGGAGGGGGTGGTGGTGTGGTGCCTTATGGAAGCAATCGGATAAAGACTTACAGCTGCTTATGACAGGCGAGGCTGGGTTACGTCCCTGCAGCTGGAGAGAGGGGGAGGCTCGAAACGAAGTCCCGGTGCCGCGTTTATTCCTTTGCTGCCCCAGACTGCCTGCTAAATGCCTCCTCCGTGGAACCGTTGCGCACCTCGCTGCCTCATTACATCCCTCACAAAGTGTTAAACCACCCCATATAATCCCCCCCCCCTCACCCTTGTTACCCCCCTCCCCAGGTCATGAAGCTGGGATCCCCGGTGACCTCGCTGTCGCTGTCGCCCTCGCTGGACCTGCTGGCAACCACCCACGTCAACCGGCGGGGGATATACCTCTGGTCCAACCAGGTGCGGTTTGGCTTCAAGAGGCTTGGCTTCCCCCACCCTCCCTCCCACCCACCCCCACCCCCACTTCACTTTTCATTTATGCTTCCCTCACCTCCCCACAGGCGCTGTTCGGCCTGTCCGCCGCCATCCCCCACAGCAGCTCCCCCGTTCCCGTGGTGCGGGCCTCGCTGCCCTCCGTGTCGGACGGCCACCGACAGCAGCAGCAGCCGGAGGTGGGCAAGGGCAAGCGGAAGGGCAGGAATGCCGAGGAGGAGGAGGAGGAGGAGGCAGGCGCGGAGCGCATGGATGTGGACGGGGACGCGGAGGACGAGGATGGGTTCAGCGAGGTGAGCTGGCAGCGGCGCGCGAGTGTGCGTGTGGGTTGTCGTGTTTCCGGCTGGGCGCAGTTATCTTGGCGTTGTGGAACGTGCGTATCTCATCGTATTTCAAGGGAGGCATCAACGGCCGCTCATCAGGAGCGGGGTGGCCGCTACGACCCTCAAACCCATCCTACCCGCACTCTTACCGCATGGATGTTGTATGTACTCCCCCACAACAGGACGAGGAGGAGGAGGAGGCCCGGCGCCGCGCCGCCTCCGCCGCTGCCTCCGCCTCCACCGAGGAGCCCCCACGGCCCTACGCGGAACTGGACCCCGCGTCCGGCGGCCCGCTGCCGCTGGCACCGGAGCTGGTGACGCTGAGCCTGCTGCCCCGCAGCCACTGGGACAGCCTCACTCACATCGAGGTGGGTAAAGACGGGGGTGAAGATTAGGCTGGATGCCATGCTTAGCCCTGTTGCCTGGCTACCCTCCCTCCCTCCTACACGTCATGACATCGCTGACCTTCCTCCTCCGGCCTGCCCTTCCCTTCACGCACCTCACCTCACCTCCCTCCCACAGGTCATCAAGGCCCGAAACAAGCCCATGCAGCCCCCCAAGAAGCCCGAAGCCGCGCCCTTCTTCCTGCCCACCCTGCCCGGGCTGTCAGCAAACCCCGTCTTCGACGCAGCGGCGGCAGCCAACGGCGACGACGCCGGGCGGATGGCGACGGAGGCCGGGGAGGAGGCCGAGGAGGCTGCGGAGGCCGGCGCCGGGCCTGGCTCCGCTGCTGACGCTGCAGCGGCGGGGTCGCGTGTCGTACGATTGCAAGGCGGCAAGCGCGGTGCCGCCGCCGCCGCGAACGGCGACGGCGGCGCTCCCGTTAGCGCCTTTATACGGCAGTTACGTAAGGCTGCTGCCGCCGCGGCAGCGGCGGCGGCGGGGACAACAAAACCCGACGCTGCCGGCCGCAGCGGCAATGGCGATGCTGCTAGCAGCAGCACAAGTGTGTTGGAGTGCTACGGTCCCGTCATGGCGCTGCTCCGCGCGATGAGCCCCACCGCGATTGACCGGGAGCTTCGAGCCATGCAGGTGCTGGAGGGCAGCAGCAGCGAGGCGACTGACGTGGCAGATCTGGCGGCCCTGCTTGACATGCTGGCCGTGTGGCTGGAGGCGCGGCGGGACTTTGAGTTCTGCCAGGCGCTGCTGAGTGTGGTATTGGGGCAGCAGGGGGAGCTGATTGCAGCGCGGCCGGAGTTGACGGAGCGGGCGGTGCGGTTGCGGGCGGCGGTGGCGGCGTCTTGGAGGCGGGTGGACTCGTTGTTGCAGCATGTGCGGTGCCTGGTCGGGTTCTTTGGGAATCTGCAGGCGTGAGGAGGCGGCTGTGTGGGGTGGTAGTGGTAGTGGTGGGGCTGTGGGGTGGTGGGAATGGAGAGGGGTTGGGTACGCAGGGCGGCTGGGAAAGGAAGGAGCGCCATATGGGGGAGGTGTTGGATGGTTGTTGGAGGTGTGGACCTGGGGGCGGGGAGGGAGTCCCGCGTGATTGACCCATGGCGCCATGGGTCAACAGCGGCTACGGAACTCACACACTTGGAAAATATGATGTGCGCGCGGAGGTCTTGTTTCGGAGGTGTAGCTGTATGGAGTGTTGTGGAACGAAAGCCCGTGCGCGGATACATCATCGTGGTTCTAGTAAGGAGGCACACCTGTCAATTTGTCCGGGTTTAGAACTCTTGCCCATAACCACTACATTTGACCAAACATCAGCAACAATGACACGCGGCCACATTTCTCCACCCATTACCACCGGATGTTGCCCGTACCGAACGTACAACAGCTACCATTAGCTCTTACTTTGGCTGTCCCATCTAATTAACAGCCCAGCCGCTGCAAGGCCAACAAACTCTATCGCCACTTGTCCCTCACGACTCCCTGCACGCCTCGCAGTACGGCACTCCCGCAACTTCCGAAAGGAAAGTGTGCGCAGCATCCTTATCTACCTTGACCCCTATGGCAGAGAAAAGCAGCCCAGCTCCTGCGACGAAAAATGCATGCATGCTTCCCAGGCAAACCCTATACATGTTAACTACACTGTGTATGTCTTATCTCTATACAACACCCAGGTCCCACCAGTTTGCAACGACTAGGCCTGTGACCAACGCTGCAAAGTCGCAAACACTGCGCTCCCCGGCTCACAGGTCCCCCCGGAGGATTTGCTCCGCCATGCCGCGTCGCATTGCAGGGATGTCCGCCTGAGGTAGGAAAGAGGCAACAAGAGCAGGTTGGGTTGTGTGCAGCAGCGTGGAACGGAGGAAGGGGACGAGACAAGGCCCCTGCAGGTGCGGCATGGCGGCAATTGACGGTAGGGTGCACGCGTATGTGTCCCCCGGGTGTACGGTAACGGCAACCGTAAAGGCACAACCCACAATCCTCCACGCCTACCTGCGAGAAGGCAAAGTCCCGGGGCTCCACCCCTCGCGCCAGAAGCTCAGCAAAGGCGCAGGCAAACACCCCGCAGCTGCATCCGTCCAGCTGCGCAGGCAGGAGGGAGGCAGGGAGGCGTTGTGCGGAGGTACCGTAAACACAGAGGGTAGGGTATGAGTCCAGTGGAAGGAAAGGGACATGATGGGAAGTAGCCGCAGGGCCAATAGCAGCTACTGCGCAAAGTCAAGTTGTGCCTGGATTCCCCAACTGTATACGCATGCCAGGATTGTTTGGCGCCATCAGAGGCCTAGTGCCCCGCATCTCCAACCTCACCTGCCTCGGTAGCCCACCCGTCACCCGCTCCTTCCTCCAACCAGCAGCACCACCCGCCTCCACCTCCACCCGCTTCTGCCCAGCCCTCCCCGCCGCCTTTTTCCCCTGCCCCTCCGCCGCCGCCGCTGCTGCCCCTGTCTCCGCCGGCGCCAGTCCGAGCACCTGCTGCAGCCCCTTGTCCTCCGCGTCCCGCAGGAACCACCGCAGCAGGCAGCCGAGCACCCAGTCCGAGGTGGCTGCGCTGCCGCCCAGGCTGTCATAGTACTGCAGCAACCGCCGGCGAGGCCACACGGCAGCCAGGCACCTGCGAATGAGGAGGAGGCCGGGGGAGGTAAGGGAAAGGGGAAGCATGACATAAATGGGGCGAGATTGGTGTCCTGTCGCTTACCAGTGCGTGTTGTGGTGGTTGATCGGGAAGAGCAGCAGGTCTCGCAGCAGTACGCACTCCGCCGTACGTGTACGGCAGGTCCGCGTCCACCGCTGTACCTCGCTGTACTCGAACCGCCCTCGGACGCCGCCCGCCGTTAGTTTGCTGAAGAAGAAGCTGTTGAAGGCCCACATGATGGGTGCCGTACGACAGGCCGGAAGCTGAGCTGCGATGCCGTGATGTACGACAGGGCTCCTACTGCATGGGCGCTTGGCTGTTACGACTCCATGCTGCTGCTGCCGTACAGCTCGAAGTGACGTCAGCACACTGGCCACGCTGTTGTCGCTGTCTCCAGTCGCAGCAGCAGCAGCACCGGGAGCAGTACCTCCGCCGGCACATGGCGCGTCAGCTGTTGGGGCTGCAGAAGCTCCTCCTGCAGCCGCGGCCTTGCAGGCGCCAGCGGCAGCTGCGGTGGTGCCCCCGCCTCCCTCGGCTGTTGTTGCTTGTAGATCGCCCACAGGACACGTAGTTTTCAGCGCAGAGGCGTGTCGCCTTCTCGCGCCTGGGGACGTTACGGAGGTCGTTGGGGCCGCGGCTAGGGTTTTTGCGGTACGGGCGGTACCTGCGGGGCTGGTAACGGCTTGGGTGGCTGTTTTCACGCCGTGTGGAGAGGTGACGGACCCACTGCTGCCGGCTGCGGCTGCCCGGTCCTCCGGTCCGGAGCGGGACGGCGCGGTCGGGCGGGAGGACTGCTGGCCTGAGGACGCAGCAGCGGCGGGTTCCGCACCCACTGCAGCTGGTGATGCCACCGCTGCTGACCCTGCTTGCGGCGTAGACCCGCTGGGAGCTGCTGCCGGCATCTCGTCATGACGCTTCTGTGCAGGGCAGGGACATGGGCGCGGAACAGGGACGAACAGGGTTGGCGGGTAAAACTTGCCTGGACCCATGCCAGTCCAGTAAACAGCCCAAACGCCCTCACCGCAGCTCACCTTAAGCAGCAGCATGTAGGAGTTGACGACCTCGTCGTTAAGCCAGCCGCCGCCCGACAGCAGCCGACCCAGATCGCCCGCAGTGAGGGGCAGCAGGTGCGTGGCGGGACCGATCTGGTGGTGGAAATGGTGGGTTGAGGGCAGGGCAGGGGCCGGGTGTGGCGTGGTGGGACAAAGCGAGAAGGTCTACTGGTGTGAACCCCGCTTGGAAGGCTCAGACAGTGTTTCGTAGCATGCTTTTGCGTTCTGTTGAGATGCAGGTATCCCATGATGGGCGCTTACCGGTATCCTGGCGACCACATCCGTCGGCTTGGGCTGCGGACGTTGCGCTCGCAGTGCGGACAGGCGAGGTGTGCCGGCCGCAGCCGCCAGGAGTGCACTGGGAGTACAGGTTCCGGATCCCACCGTAGCTGGGACATCTTGGACCAGTTGGCAGCTGTCATCGCTGTTGCAGGGGCTGCCGCGGATGCGACTGTCCACCTGAAGCGGGTGTGAGGTTGCGGCAGGTGCCGGCAAGGAGTCCGCTGTGGAGCATCCTAGCGCGCCATGTTGCCGTTCCCGGCATGCATTGGTAGTGAGGGTCGAGGTGTCCTCCGAGTCGGAGATGGTGATTGCTGGTTCGGGTGCAGGTTTAAGGCGAACCGGCGTTGGCTGTTTAACAGCATAGCTGGTAGGTGCAGGATGCGGGCGCGGCGACTTGCTGGCAGCTGCGGTGGATGGATTGGGCAACGTAGCTGACGGTGCGGCCTTTCCGACTGCAGACCGCAACCTTTTATTTGATGATCCAATCACTGCTTGATGTAGGTAGTTATGCTGCAAAGCTATCAAACGGGACCAAGGCACGTTTCCACCAGCTGTACGCCGCCGCTTGTGCGAGCGGAGAAGCTTCGCTGCCCAGGTAGCCGCTAGATAAGCTCGACGACTTCCAGTCAAGCACATGGAGACAAGGGAATGTGTTATTTCCTGCCGTGTTCGCTTACGGCTGCTGCCGCTATGCGCGGCAGCGACTTGTTGTAATGACATGGTAAATAGTTGATAGCAGTGGACCTCTATACAGTATCAGCCTTGTAATTGAGTAAGGATGCGATGAGCTTTAGCTGTCGCTTGGACGTTGCAGTTTGCTCGGCCAAGTATCTAATTGATTGGCTAAGGTTATACACCAAATCCTAAGAGTTGGAACAAATTATTATTGCCACGAGAGCGCACTTACGGCTTCTGGAGAAGTCAGCAGTCAAACCGTCGTACGGGTGCTAATTGGTTAGGAGCCAAAGCGCCGGCCAAGACAGGAAGCTATGTATGTCATCTGAGAGAAGCATACAATAGTAAATATGCGAATTTACTCTGTGTGCAGACAACTCGCCAAACAAAGCAGGCAATACCGGTAGGCCGCGCCTAAACCCTTTTGCACGCAATGAAGTTACTCCTTGAGTTTTCTTAGGTCGTATGTCGTAGGCTGATCACGCATACGTTTGGCTGGGAAGGCCGAGCGGGTTAACATGGCGGAGTCGCTCGGAGGCAGCCGTGGCCGCAACGACAATGCTGGCAAGACAAATGTTTTCGCAGCAGCTAAAACACAGGGTGGGTATCATGAGTTACAGCAATTGATTATCTACAGACCTATAAAGACGGTAAAAGGCCAAAAGCTAAACTCGCTTTAAGCATTGTGATGATAAAGAAGTTTACACGTATAAGAACAACGAAGCGTTTCATAATAAACGATAGGCGGTATCTGACGCACGGCAGACATGACCCAGCTGACATGTCGAGCGCCGTCCAACCTGTTTCTTTGCGTTACCCTTCGCAAAGAGCAAACCTGGGTGTGTCAACCCTGACCCATATGCCTGTGCACATGCTGCGCTAAGCCCAGATACCTCCTCACTACCATCGCACCGCACCGCATGTCCACTCCCAATGCACACCGTACCTGCTAGCCGCCCATCTATCGTATACCATTGCCCATTTCACCTTCATCCTCTTTCCTCGGTCCAGGTCCAGCTCGTACCGGCGGTGGCGCTGGAGGCGGTCTGCTGGATCGCCCAGCCCCCATCCGCCGTACGGGCGGCATGGCAGCTGCGCTAGGCGGTGGCGGGTTCGCCGCCCCGCGCGCCCGCCCCTCCAGCGCCCCCAGGGAGCGGCCTCGGGGCGGCGGTGGTGGTGGTGGCGGCCCGGGGGGTGGAGGTGGTGGTGGTGGCGGCAACATGGATAAGGCCCTGGCGGCTCGGGTGCGGTCATGGGCTGGGGTTAAAGAGGGGCGGAACTACCGTACCGTAGCGTATCGGTGTGACAAGGCTCAGTGTCGTTGGCTGGGTACCCGTCTGGGCGGCATATGCACCTACCGGCCGCCTGGCAGCCCTACTGGCCAACACGTCGTTCACGTTTTGTCGAGAGGACATGGGTCTTGGCTTTAAGTGAACAGGGACTGCAGTCAGATGCGGCTGTGACACCAGTTAACGTCCATGGGTACGGTTACCTAAACGACGGGGCACGTATGCCTGCTCTGCCGTGCAGGCTCGAGTGGAGGAGCTGCGGCAGGTCAAGGAGGCTCAGTACTGGGGCCGGGAGGACAAGGTACGCGGAACGTACCGGTACCTAAATGCGGCCCCAGCACAAACCACTATCCCCTTACCTTTCCCTACTCCACCAGGCTTGCACTAACGGCATACCGCCCTGCACACGTCCACGCCATGCACACCCTCTTAGCCACCGGTAGACACCCTTGGAGACCCGTTGGGCGCTCCACCCCGCAGCCAAACGCCATCCGACCCTAATCCGTACGCCGTACGACAGACATCCCGGCCCCAACCCTGCCCCCCAGGACGCCCTGCGCGCCAACCGCCGCGACCTTCCGGCCTTCTGGTCCATCAGCGCGCACGGACAGCCCTACCACGACGAGCGGCTGGCGGCGGGCGCCACCAACTTCTACCGCCTCAGCACGCCCGCGGGGCTGGCGGGGCCGGGGGACGGCGTGGCGGCGGCGGTGGGGCCGGCCACGCTGCAGCAGGCGGCGCTGCGCAAGTGGGTGGGGGCCTGAAGGGGGGTGGGTGGGGTGCGGAGGGTTTGCAAGTGGGTGGAGGCGGAGGGGGGGTGGGTGGGACCGTATGCACAGCTCAACCCACCCACGTCCCCTTCCCTCCCTGTTCCCTTCCCTCGCTCCCGTTGGTACCACTACCGGTAAGCCCCTCCCTCCTCCCACCTCCCTCCCTCCATGCTGACGCCTTACACACGGTCAGCCAGTTGTCTCCTCTTTTCCCTCCCTCCCTCCCTCCCCTCCTCCCTTCTTTCCTCAGGAGTCTGGAGACGGGCATGCGCTACTTCGCCTCCCTCTCCGACCTGGCTCCGCTGCCCCCCGGCGCCCCCGCCACACAGCGCCTGGGCGACGCGGACCGCGAGTTCCTGCTGGGCCGGCTGACTCCCTTCCAGCGCATCCACGCACTGCACCAGGGGCTGGACAAGGACCCGGGCAGCGCGTGTGTGGAGTGGCTGCCGTGGCCGCTGGTGAGGGGGGGAGGGCGGGGGACAGGGCTGGGGAGAGACAAGGCTTGGGGGGAGACAGGGCGGGGGGAGACAGGGCGGGGGATCAGGGCTGGGGAGAGACAGGGCTGGGGATCAGGGTAAGGAATCAGTTAGGATGGCACGTAGGGCAGGGAATGCCTGCAGCAGGGCACAAGTACCGGTGTGTGGCCTTTGGCAGCAAAGCAAGTCGAAGGGTTGTGGGTATCACTACCTCGGTGCAAAACAGCACCCCGTGTCAACACGTGTATTACCGGTATGTTTGTCCTGCTGCAAACCTGTTCGCCCTCCTCCCACAGGCGATTCTGAACCGGGAGACGCTGGTGGCGGAGCGCGAGGGCCGGCGGGCGCCCCCGCCCAAGTACGACATAGCGGATTGGAACGGGGGCCCCGCGCAACGGGACATGCTCATGCGGCTAGCCACGGCGGAGGTAGGGGGCAGAGGGTGGGGTGGGGGGGCTGTGGCTGTTGGGCGGTTGTGATGGGTTGACGACTGGGCTGTCTGTAGCAGTCCACATCGGAAAAAAGGGCAAGGTGTGCCGCATGGGGTCACAGCTGTCAGTATGCCAGGGAATGCATGTTGACTCGACTTCAAAGTCACGCGAATGCTCAACGCCCCATGCCTGCCTGCCTCCCCTCCCCTCCCCTAATAGTGTCTCCGAATGCGCTCACTGCATGAGTCGGGATATGGGATTGGGACTCGTTGTTTCACATATTTAAGTTTCTCCCCTCCCCTCCCCCCACCCAAGCTTGAGTACCTGATGCGCCGCCACCTGAAGTTCATGTCGGAGCGGCAGTGCAGCGCCGCACGCGCCCCCGCTGCCCTGGAGAAGGACATCCTGCGCCAGGCCTTCTGGCGGGTGGACCCGGGGCGCAGCGGGGCGGTGTCCGTACAGCAGTTCCTGCAGGTCGGCAGCGGGAGGGGGGCGGGGAGGGGGGAAGGGGAGAGGGAGGGGCGGGGAAGAGTGGGGAGCGGAGGGGAAGGGTGGGGATCAGGGAGAAACCGTACCATATCGGTATTGATTGGAAGCACTGGTTGGGGTACAGGATAGGATCGGATAGGTCTGTGGGGCTTCGTTTGCATCATCCATCTCCATCTCCTCATGCACCTCCTCCTGCACCTCGCATGCACACACACCCTTTAAAACCCCCCCGCACAGGTGTGGCAGAACCTGCTGCGGCTGATGGAGTACGAGGACGTGTGGGTGAAGGGCAAGGACTTCAAGGGGCGCACCCGGCACCAGCAAGTGCTCAAACCCAAGCGCACACTGCTGCTGGACAGGAACATGGCGGCAGCGCTGTTTGTAAAGTACGGATTCGACAAGGACGGCCTCATGCCGTACATCGTGTTCATCAATGCGCTGTGTGAAACGCCTGCCCGGTACGTGCAGGAGGATGAGAGGGTGGGGGAGAAGAAGAATCCCGGGAGGGCAGGAGGATGAGAGGGTGGGGATACAAAGGAAGGGAACTGGCAAGGCAACTGACGGGGTGGGGGGGTAGGCGTTCCGAGAGGGTTGGTACGACTGTACCTGCCCTTTTCATCCTGGCCCGCTACGCTACGCATAGCATCCTGCATGTTGCTGTCTTAGCCCAAGCCGCACATGTGCTGGTCGCCATTCCAAGGGGCTATAATTAAACCCAGGAGGGTCATGGCATCCGCAATGCATCAGTCGGTTACCTGGAACCTGATGCCTTCCTTTCACATCTTCACTTGTCATTTCATCCTGGCCTGACCCCTCCCCCTTTCACATCCCCTCACCCTCACCCCTCACCCTCCAGGCTTCTAGGTCACGAGGTGTTGCTGGCCAAGGACGTGCGGGGGAAGAACGGACTGGAGGACGAGCAGGACATCGCCATGTGCATGGGCAACGCCAAGATTGAATACCGCTACGTGAGTTGCGGGGTTTGGGGTGACCCGTGGGTCGCTGTGGGGTGCTGCACGTGCGTTGGAACGGGGGGGGGTGCTGGGTGGCAGGGGACGTGGCGTGGAGATGGAGGGGCCTTTCCTGGGAAGGAAAGGGTGCGTTGTGGGTTGTGCGGGATGCGGGGGCGCCTGGCAGAAGCCCGGGTTCCTGCCCCTGCACCAAATTGTGCCGCTGCGTGATGTCGTACCTTGTGATGTACCTTGGAAGAAGGAGCTTCCCGGCAACCGGATGGCGCCATTGCTTTGCCCCATCCTATGGTTTCGTACGGTATCTTGGTATGGTATGGTCTTTGACCCCTCTCCCTTTTGGCTCGCCCGCCCCGCCCCCTCGGCTCCGCAGTGCAAGAGCGGCGTGTTCCCGCCCGGCGAGTTCTCAGCCAAGATGGGGAAGCGCTCCTTCAAACCGCCCAAGGTACCGGTACCTCTGGGAACCACCTGGGCTAGCAATGGTCAGCGTTGGGGCCGTGAGGAGCAGCGGTGGAAACGCGGAAAGTTCGCAGTCACATATGCCATTACATTGTATCCTCGTCGCAATTCTGTATGCCCGTTTGCCTCCTCGCCCGCCTACGCGGTCAGTGCCTAGTTCTACGCCGCCGTACATGTAGCTTGTACTGCCCACCACCCGCACCCCGTGTGTCGTACAAAACACACGTGCCATTCTCACACCCCCTCCCCCCCCCCAGGCGCACATGTGGTTGGAGCACGTGTACGGCTACGCGGGTATGCTGGAGTACACGCTACAGTCCAACATATTCTACACGCACAACACAGGTGGGTAGAAGAAGTAGAGGTGAAGTGATGACAATCCCAAACACACCTGGGGGGGGGCGCAAAGGGGCTGGGTATTAGTCGCAAGCTGGCAGGTAAAAAGAAGAACTTTCGCTAACCGTACGACAATACAATTTCAAACCATAGATTGCATCGTGGAGTTGGCAGGGGGCTGTGCGCTTGAGGGCAGCATGAGTGCGCTGACGTCATAACCTCATAAGCCTCATAACACAAGCTCCTCATGCCCAACTCCTGTGCCCTCCATGCCTCCTGCGTCTACCCATCCTCCCTGCCTCCCCGCACCCCCAGGCCAGCCGCTCAATCCCCACACCGCCAAGGCAGTCGCCAAGACGCTGCTGGCGGCGCAGGGCGCGCAGGAGGGCACACAGCTGCGGCCGGAGCAGCTCAAGGTGGGGGCTGGGGAGGTTGCGGGTGCGGGGCCGGAGGGGCAGCTCCTGGGGGCAACCCCTGATGTTGCGAGTGGCTGGTTCTAGGTTGTGCGTGCTGGGGCGGCCTCTTCTTGCATGGAGGCCTCTCTTGCCATGCCTGACTTTGCAAGCGGGCTTGACCTTCTATCCTGCAGCCCTGCCGCATGCAACGTGCCAAGGGCATGTGTCGTACGGTACTTTGCTAACCTGTTGCTGCTGCTGCCGACCTCTCTGCCGTACAGCGTACGGAGTTCGTGTACTACACGGGTAGTGTGGGTGTGGTGTTCGACAAGGAGAAGTACGACGCTGGACTGCCCTGTCAGCGCTTCTTCTTCGGACACAACAACGACATCCAGTGCCTGGCCATGCACCCCAACCGCAAGTGGGTGAACGCAAAAAAAGGGGGGATGACACGAAGAGGGTTTGGGGGCTGGCTGGGGGGACTGGGGACTCGCAAGTAGGTCTGCAAAAGGAACAAAGAGGGCTGGGGCAGGGCAGGGCTGGGTTGGGGGCCCCGCTTCCCCACTCCTCCTTCTTCTCTTCTCCTCGCCTTCCCCCATCAATCAACACCTTAGTGTACTCTCCTCTTTCCTCTCCCCCTCTATCCCCATTGCTTTGCCCTAACCTGTGTTTTGGGGTATTTTTCTCCCCCCCCTCCCCGCCTCCCCCTCCAGGTGGGTCGCCACGGGGCAGCAGAAGGCCACGGGCGAGCGCGAGGTGCCGTACGTGTGCGTGTGGGATGTGGACCACTGCATGCAGCTGCAGCGGCTGGACCACGAGCGGGACGAGCGGGGCGTCATTGCGCTGGGCTTCTCGGGGGACGGCATGGCGGGGACGGGGGGGGAGCTGCTGTTGACGGTGAGAGGGGAGGCGGGGCAGGCTGGAGAAGGAGAAGGGGAAGGAAGGGGAGGGGGAGGGGGGTGGAATGGTGGGGAAAAGAACGGGCGTGTGCGGGTACCGGTATCAAGCTGGGATTACGGCTGAAGGATGGGTCTGTGCTGTAACCTCATGTGCTGTCTCGGCATGGGATTACGGTAGCAGCCTGGGACAAACCGCACAGCCGGCCCCTTCTGCCACTGCTCTTCACCTCCTCCCCCCCACCCACTCCTCCGCCCGCCCCCCTCCGCCTCCCCCCTGCCCCCAGGTCACCTCCGACGACCGGCACTCCATCCACGTGTGGCGCTGGCTGCCCGCCTCCAACAAGTACGTCAACGCGCACTACATACCCGGATGGAGTCTGGGGCCGGAGAAGAAGATACACCCGCTGCGGGGGATGCAGGGTGCGACACTGCGGGGGGGGAGGGTACATGCGCCGGAAATCACAGCACGTTCGGATTCGCGGCCAGTTTGCTTAACACACGCCGGCGGGGCCGGCGGGAATGCGTAGCCTGGGTGTGTGCCTGTCACGCCTGACCCGCTGGTGGAAAGGAAAGAACGCTTCCTCCTAGTCCCGCGCCGAGGATACCGAACGTCGAACGCACTGCGGCCGCGGACATTGTCTTGCCGCCCCTCCAAAAGCACGTCTTCCCCAAAAGCGCCCTTCTGCGCAGTCCGTGTGTCATAACCTGCTCTCCATCCCTTGTGTCGTAACGTGCTCTCCACCCTTTATGTCGTACCCTTTGTACTGCAGAGATGTACTTCAACAACTCGCCGTACAGCATCATGGACGGGGAGGCGCTGGACGACCAGTGGCTGGGCCGCTTCCCCTTCGACCTGGACAACTGGCAGGCGGCGTGCGGGGGGAGCAAGCAGGTGTGTATGTGGGGGGGAGCAAGCAGGTGTGTATGTGGGGGGGGGAGCAAGCAGGTGTGTATGTGGGGGGGGGGAGCAAGGAGGAGGTGGAGGAAGAGGTGTCGGAGAGGTGAATGAAGAACGCGCTCCGAGCCACCACGTGCCACCGCGCACACTCATTCGGCCCTTGATGTGCGCTTGTGCCGCGTCGTAAACCTGCAGGGCCGTACGGGACACGGCAACGAGTACGAGGCCGTACAGGTGAGAGCTCCGTCATTACCGTTGTTACTTCTTTTTGCATGGCAGATCTGTGCAATATGGCAGATTAAGGGATTGGTATCTGGCATGTTGTAGATCAATGTTTCGTCGCCCCTGCGTTGTTCCGTCCTCCTCCTCCCATCACCCGCTTCCCCAGCTGCGTATCCTGCGCATGTACGTACGACACCTTACGCTGCCTCATTGCCTCTCACAGCTTGTCGCTTATTCCCCTAGCTCCCTCCCGCCGTACTGCAAACCGCCACTGCCGTACATCCGCCGTACATCCACCTTGTAACCGCCGTACATCCACCGTACATCTGCCGTACACTCGTCCCCTCCTCTTGCACTTGCGCAGACCATCCTTCGCGCCAGTCGGCAGCCGCTGCAGCTTGATGCGCCCGCTTGGGAGGCGTCCGGGGAGTGGTGGGAGGATGCGGCGGGCGGCGGCGAGCTGCCGGCACCGACCCCTGGGTCGGAGCGGGGTCCCTGCCCGCTGTGGAGCCACTTGGAGCACCCGGACCTCAGGGTGGGTAGTGGGTGGGGGCGGGGGCGGGGGTGGGGTGGGTAGGGCTTTCCTTCCCTCTCTTAATCGCTCCGCAGCCCTCCTCGGTACGCAATTCCGCCTCCTCGCCTCCTTCAACTACCTCCTCGCCCCACCCTCCTCGCCTCACCCTCCTCGCCTCACCCTCCCCGCTGCTCCCCTCCCTGGCAGGTTCGCGCGGAGGACGCTGACGGGTTCTACATGGCCATGCGGCCGGTGAAGCGGGAGGAGGGGTTCTTCCAGCCGGGGGTGAGGCGGGGTGGGGGAGTGGGGTGAGGCGGCGGGGGAGGGAATGGGGTGGTGTGAATACGGTATCCTGTACTGGGTGAAACCCCTTGCGCCTCAACGGGGAGGGAAGCGTACGATAGAGCGACAGGACGCAGGAGACGTCAAGGGCCTGCCTGGGCTGCCAAAGGTATTACCGGCAGTACGAGGTGGAGGGAAGGAACGTGCGAATGACATGCCGCCCTACGAATGCGGTTGTGTGGTATCTGATACTTCTACCTGCCATTCCCGTCGCTGCACGGTTTGAGCGCGCGTAGCCCTGTCCTGCGCTGCTATAAGAAGTGCGTGCCGCTCCCTCCCGTGCCGCCCCCTGCTCCCCACCCGCAGGCGGATGAGGACAAGCGCCGCTTCCCCTACCATGAACAAGTAGTGACCGGCTGCAACGGTGAGGGCCGGTGCCGCTTTGCACGACGCTGTGTTGCTTGTTGCTTTGAGCTTTGTCCAGGAAGCGCTGCAGCCCGCAGCCCACAGCGCCCAGCGCTAAGTTGCTTGCTGACGTTCGTCACATGGCGGCATAGCGGGGGGATACGGCGGGGATATGGTGGGCATGCGCCACTGGCACCACGCCCGTGTCGTACTCTTTTGTTGCATTCGATGTCCCCAACCCCCATACCGTACCAGCACGTGTTCCCGCCGGAGGAACGCTAACCAACACTTGTTTTGTGGCACCCTGCCGCTTCCTATCTATTGTTTTGCCCCAACCTGTGGTTTCCTATGGTTCGGTATGGTCTTTGACCCCCCCCCCCCGAAACACACTCCCCCCCGGAAAGGCACGCCCCCCATGGTGTACGGCGTGGTTTGGAACCCGCTCAAGCCGCACGACGGTCGCAAGGGCAGCGAGTTCGCCAGCTACGGAGTGAAGCACCTCAAGGTGGGGGTGAAGCACCATACCAAACCATAGGAGACCACAGGTTAGGGCAAAGCAATGGGGGTAGGCGGCGGGTGGGGGTGGGGGTGCGGTGCTGCTGGGAGGGCTTGGAGAGGAGCCGTGCAGTATAAATGATCTCAAGTCCTCAGCGCCGGGTCTTGTTTCCTGTTCATCCTTGCTTTCTGTGCTCATATGCCTTGTTGCCCTGCCCCCTCCCCTGCCCACAGGTGTGGATTGCCAACGACGAGGGGCGCTTCGTGGGCACCATGGCGTCCTTCGGCACCTCGCACATCGAGAATGTGCTGTCGGCACGTGAGTACGACGTGTGGAGAGGGAGAGGGAGAGCGTGCATGCAAGCATACCACGCTCGGAACGCAAGCGCGCCATGACCGTAGTAGGGTTCTGGGACTTGGTCGCGTAGCTTTGACGCTACATTGCATGGCATTCTCTTTCACCTTGCATGCATTCTGTCTGCGAGCAAGTTAACCACTCCTCTCACCTACCAGGTACTTCCTCTAAGGATCCAGCACTCACTCCTCGCCCCCCCCTACCTCCCTCCCTCCTTCCCTCTCCCCCCGCCCCCCAGTCTACGTCCCCGCCATGCACGCCATGCGCTCCCCGGGCGACTCCTGCCTGCTCACCGGCTTCGCATCCGGCAAGCTGGGGCTGTGGGTGCCGCCCTACCCCACCCGCGTGGGTGCAACCTACTCGCTGGTACGGCACTTTGACGCGCATGCGCCGGGCAGGACCATTGCGTTGAACGACGGCACGCAGGTGAGGGGGGGCGTGAGGGGGGCTGTGAGGGGGAGCGTGAGGGGGATCGTGGCTTGGGGGTGAGGGTGAAGGAGGGGGGGCGGGGCAGGGTTTTTGGCTTCTTGCTGATGACTGCGTGGGAAAGGGAAGCACGCTGCCGGTAAGGCTGCTGTGCCGGTAAGCACTTCTTTTACCCGAACTCGCACGACAGCTCCAAACGGCTCCACACACCCATCAGATTCTTACCGGTATACTTACTCCTCACGTCATCGCCTCTTCCTCCTCCGCAACTGCGGCTGCAGGTCCACGGCGGCGTGCGGGCGCTCAAGATGCGGCGCACCTCGGAGGGCACCCTGGAGGTGCTGTCGGGGGGGGCGGACGGCTGCGTGCGCTGCTGGACGCTGCAGGAGGTGGCGGGCGCGAGGCCGGACGGCACCCCCGTGAAGGGCGTCAAGCTGGGCCGTACGGATAAAACGTGAGGGGGGGAGGGAATGAAGAGAAGGAAAGGAGGGCGGCTAGGTGGGGAGATGTGGAGAGGTGGGGACTCGCAGGGTCACGGTCAGTTAGTTGTTTCCTCTTTACCCACCTCCCCCTTTCCCCCCTGCCCCCCTCCCCCCAGTTTCCAGCTCCAGCCCCCGGGTGCGGGTCTGGTCCGCCCCGAGGAGCCGCCGCTGGTGGTGGCTCTGGACTGCCACCCGCAGCTGGACCGCGAGTTCCTGGCGGGCACAAACGGCTGCGACATCTGGGAGGTGAGGGGCGGGGCTGCGACATCTGGGAGGTGAGGGGCGGTGAGGGAACCAGAGTTAGCTGGCGTTGTGACAAGTAAGGCTCCACATGGGTGGTGAGGGGGGAGAGGACATCTGGTACCGGTGCTACAGAGGTAATAAGCGGTAATATTACTATGGCGCATATTGTCGTGATGAGCTTGTAGTAGCATTAGCGGTGTAGTGGCTCGTGGCTGGAGGTGAGAAGAGGTATGGGGGGTTGGGGTGTGTAGGGTGTTCGTCCCTGTGGGCACCACCATCAGCACCCAGCATCCAGCCTCGTCGCTTGCTTGCATGGCCCTGCTTCGTGGCTTCAGGTTGACGCCGACCCACGGGTCATCGTGGAGGGCCACGAGGACGACTTGGACGAGGTGGCGGCGCACTCGGAGTGCCCGCACACCTTCGCAACGGCGTGCAGGAGCGGCAAGGTGGGGAGGGAAGGAAGGAAGGGGGGGAGCAGGGGCAAGGTGGGGAAGGAGGGAAGGGGGGACCCAGAGTCGGTGATGGGGGTGGTGGCGGCTACAGCTGCAGCTTCGCCTCCCTTTGGGGTATAACCATGACGTCGTGCTTTGGTGGCCTTCCCTCATGCATTTTGCGTTCCCCTCCTTCCCTTTACTTCACCCTCCACCCCCCTGCCCCCGCAGTGTCGCGTGTGGGACGCCCGGCGGCGCGACGTGGTGATGTCCGCCGACCTGGGCTACCCGCTGTGCGGAGTGGCGTTCAGCCAGGAGCCGCTGGCGGTGCGGGTGGGTGCGGGGGGGGGAAGGGGGTCGCGGAGGGGGAGGGGGGGCCTTCAGTGCGTGTTGGGACCGCCGGCGGGCGGTGTGCTTGGGGGGAGCATGCGGGCAAGCGATGAGGGCGCATCGGCACCTTCCCAACCCCCACCTCCAGTTGCCCCCGGTTGCCCCCACTTGCTTCACAGTTTTTTCTTTTCTCCTCCCCCCCTTACCGTATTTTCCCCCCTCATGAGCAGGACGAGGCTGGTCGAGTCATCTACAGCGGCTTCCACCTGGCTGTCAGCGGCGAGCGCGGCCAGCTGACCGTCATGCGCTGCGACACGCTGCAACCCCTGGTGCACCGGCATGACGTGGCGTCAAAGCAGGTACGACAACACCCTCTGCCGTACGTACGACACATCCAATTGTACGTATGCACGGCACTGCCGTACCGTTGTAATCTTGTACCTGTACCTTTAACCTGCTCCCTCCCTCCTCTCCGCCCCCTCCCTCAGGCCATTCCCGAGCTCAAGTACAGCCCCCACGGCGGCCCCCGCATGCTGGCCGCAGCCGCCGCCGACCTCACCATCTACCTCTACCGGGCCGACAGGAACTACCAGCTGACTGCAAAGTAGGCAGCCGGGACGGAGGGGAGAGGGGAGGGTTGCAACTCCTCATCCGCAGCTTCTCTTGCACACCACCACCACTACTGCGCGATTCCCTGGGTTGAAAACCACCACCGCTACCGCCACGGCTAAACCCTTCCACCTGTCCTCCCTCCCTCCCTCCCTCCGCCCCCCCCCCTCCCCAGGTGTCTAGGCCACAGCGGCACCGTGACCCACGTGGACTGGTCGCTGCCCGTCAGCCTGCCCGGCACCCCGCTGCAGGGGCGCTTCGTGCTGCAGTCCTGCGACACGGCGGCGGAGCTGCTGTACTGGAACCCGCAGACGGGTGGGGGGGGAAGGGAGGGGGACAGGGGGGGGGTGGGGTAAAAAGAAAGGAAAAGTGACAAACTGGATGACGAGGCTTCACCATAAGGACGGGGGGGGGATGAGGGGAGAGGTTGACGGGAGAGGATGAGGGGAGAGGGTGGTGCGATGCTCCAGGGACTGGGGGGGTTCAGAGAAAGGGGCAGGCCGGGGGTGTCGCAAAACGCACGCCGGAGGGAAATCGGAACGAGGAGTGTGCAAGAGTATACAAGAGTGCAACACACATGCCGCGTAACGGATAACGAGGGGGCACGCACCTGACAAGGCGGTGGGGGGTGGAGCACGAATGACAACCCCACAAAAGCCGCATCTCCCCTTCCCTCCTCCTGCCCCTCATGTTGCTCCCTCCCTCCTGCCCTCCCTCCCTCCCTCCTGCCCTCCCTCCCTCCTGCCCTCCCTCCCCCCCTGCTGCCTCCCAGGCAAGAAGCTGCCGTACAACCTGCGTGACGCGGAGTGGCACACATGGACACTGCCGGTGGGGTTCGACGTTATGGGCGTGTGGCCGGACGGCTCGGACGGGACCGACGTCAACAGCGTGGACCGATGCCGGCTGGGGGCGCCCATATACGACCCGCTCGGTGGGTGTGGCGGCGGGCAGGGTACGGTATATAGGAGGGAAGAGGCTGAAAGAGGAGGGATCTGAAGTTCGTGAGGGCAGGGCGTGGTGGGTTGGGCAAGCGGAGGGTTACAAGAGCTGATGCAGCAAGGGCTTGGAGGTGTGTCTACCATACCCCGTGTCTACCATACCTATCGCACGTTTCTCCCCTCCCTCAACCCCACCCCCGCCCCCTCAGAGGCTGCCTACGAGGGCAGCCGCGACGCCGCCATGCACTACAGCGAGCAGGACAGCGCGGACGGCGTCAGCGGCGCAGGCTTCCTGGTAACCGCGGACGACTTCTCCACCGTCAAGCTGTTCAACTACCCGGTGGTGGCGGACGACGCGCCGTACAAGGCGTTCAGGGGGCATGCATCGCATGTTACGGCAGTTCGGTGGGTGCGGGGGTTGATGGTGGTGGTGCCGTGGTGTGCTGCCGGTACATGTGCCGTACGTCGTACAACTGGTTGATTGAGGTTTACTGCCGGGTTGTGGGTCGCTGGCTGCGGAGGCGTTCTGCCTGCTACAGCTCCCTTGACGAACCCCTATGCAACTCCCAGTCTTGTATCCGCCCGCGTTCCTCCTCCCTCCCTGCCTCCTCCCTCCCTCCCTCCCGGATATGGGATTGGGACTCGTTGTTTCACCTATATAATATTTCCCTCCCTCCCCCGCCCACAGATTCCTGGCGGACGACCAGCTGGTGGTCAGTGTGGGCGGTCACGACCGAGGAATCTACCAGTGGCGAACATGTGGGGTCGCCTCGGGCCTGCCGCCGCTTCCCGTCATATACAGCCTGCTAGCCGGCTGCGACTCGCAGGCAGGGGGAGACCCGGACAAGGCCAAAAGCCTACGAGGAGCGCTGTGGGGGCGGCTGAAAAGCCGCGCGCGGGCGTTTCGGTCGTACGAGCGGTTGAAGTTGTTAGCCATGCGTACTGCAGTTGAGGAGAAGCGGATCAACAGCGCTGCGACTGCCGTACCGCAGCCCAAACTGCCGGAGCAGATGGTGTGGGCGAAGCTGCCAGGGAATGCGAATCAGTACGGGCCGGTGCCGAGGAGTAAGCTAGGGGCGGAGTCGGCGGAGGGGTTAGAGGGCAAGCAGGGGGTTAGGGGCAGTGTGGGTGCTGCGGGCGGTGGTGTGGCGGCATGGCAGGCGGCGGCGGCGGCGAAGCAACCCACGTGGTCGTCATCGTCGCCTGCGGGAACGCCTCGATCACCGTCTGTGGGTCCGGCCGGGGGAGGCGGCGCTGCTGCTGCGGCACAAGCTGCTGCACAACCATCACCACGGCCGCCGCAGCCGCCTGCAGCAGTAGCAGCAGTGGCAGCAACGCCTTCGGCTTCTCGTTCACCCTCAATAATCCCCGGCACAGGCGGCAGTGCAGCACCCACTGCTGCGAGCAAGGTAAAGGCGCCGTCGCCCCCTGCGTCATCCAATGGTTTTGACAGTTATAGCTATAGTGGCGAGGTGGGGAGCTACGAGCCATCACTCAGACCCTCGCCGGCCACCCCGCCAGCACCCACCACGTCAGCTGCAACACCGCCGCCGCCACCGCCAGCATCCAGCAGTCGACCGGCGTCACGGCCGGCGTCTGCGGCGCCGTCAGTGCGAGGTGTCAGCGGTGGCGGCACGCCGCCGCCATCAACGCCCGGGACGGAGGGCTCATCTGGGTCGGTGGTGGGTAGGCGGGGAGTGGAGGGCGCTGCAGGGGGGCGCAGCGGCAAGCGCTATGTGACAGACAGCATGGAGGACGAGGTGCCGGATGAGGTACCCGAGGAGGAGGATTTTTGAAGCGGGGAAGGTGGGATGGAGGTGGGAGACATGGGGCATGTGGGAGACAGAGCGGTTTGCATGGGGTGGGGGCATCGTGCAGGAGAGGGAGGAGGTGGTGGTGTAGCGTGATGTGCTTGAGGCTGAGAGTTTGTACATAGCGAGGGGAGTCAGAGAGGAGTTTCGGCGATGGCGTCCAAATATGCGGCGTGCCTTGGTAGGCATCTCGGCTGCTAGAATCGTGCTGCTGAACAAGCATAAGTATTCGGGCGTCTGACCTGCCAGAGGGTTTGCTGCTAACAGAATGAGTGCTATACTGAGAGGTGATTCTGTGAGGGTCAAAGATACCCCAAACCACAGGAAACCAACAGTTGGGGCAAAGCAATGTGGATAAGAGGTGGCAAGTGACAGACTGAATAACTTGGACTGCAGACCGTACTGCTGACCTTTGCAAACGTAGTGACTGAAGTTTCTTGGCCGTACACAACCGGCGATCTCTGGACCATTCCCCGATAGTTTCAGAGCAGTGTACGAGGCTAGCTTCAGTAACATTTTGCCAGGCAATGAAGCCCCCTTATTTGCATGCAACTGAGGTTGTTTTCCTTCTATAGGAATTTGAGATAGGAGACGGAATGGGACCTCGGTTTGCCTTGCATGCATCTGCGTTAACAGGTGGAGATGGGAGAAGGGATAGGACCTTCTATCTCCAAAATATAACACAGACGCATGCAAGGCAAACCGATATCCCATTCCGTCTCCTACTTCGTCTCCTATATCCACAAGTGCATGTGCCTCCTGGACGCGGGTCATCATCAACGCAATTTCTCCTCCTTGCTCGCAAAGCCACGCTGCCACCGCTTCAGGATGGCGTCAATCTCTGCCATGAGCGCCTCACACCCCATCTTCACCAGCAGCCACACCTGCTCGAGCTGCTGCAGGCTCTGGGTCTCCACCGGCATCATACAGCTAGCTGCCAGTCCCGCTTCTGCAGCCTGCGGAAGGCAAGGGAATAGGAAGGTGGGGGTGCGGGAGTGCACGGAGGGGTGCCTGCCAGATGCCTCTTGTGCTGCCCGCATGCTCAAGGCACACTACAGTTTTTGCTGCAAACAGCAACCACAAGGTTTCCCCTCCTCAACTTTTGCCGCAGGTGTTTGGATAGGAAGGGAGCACATGCAGCTCCTCGGCCCCCGCCCCCTACTGGCCCACTACTCCCCTGTCCACCCACTGTCAGCCCACACCACCTGGCTGGAAACATGTACTACATGCAACAACTAACACCAGCATACCGGTACCTTGGGACGCAGATGTTGCATCGTCACGAGCGAGCTTCTTGGGACTCCTTCGTAACGAGGAAGTTGAATAGCTCCTCCCACTGGCTCCGTGCCTCGTCGGGCAGACCCTCCAGGTATGTTGCATGGAAGACGTCCGGCTGCAGGGCGCGCAGCTGGTGCGCAGCTTTGCATCCGTCGTCGAACGGGGTCTCTGGGCCTTTGGCCAGGAGCCCTACGCATGTGATTGGGAACGCCAGCTGGTCCTGGAACCACTTCGTTCCTCGTCCCTCAATGAGGCGCCATACATATTTGTCCCATTGCTCAAAGCCGTCTCCCACTATCAAGCGCGGCCCGGCTACTGTTTCCAGGTACTTGTGCACGTCGTCCACGATGCTGCGGCGGAGAATTTGGGCAGACTGGTTGCTTGCCGGCAGAATCGCCAGCTCAGCTTTGAACGCCTGCTCAGAAGCAACCAGCTGACGAATCTCGTCCTTGGTTAGACGACTCTCCAGCTCAACAGCCGCTAGCCGGGTTTCAAAGTCCTCAGCTGCGTTCAGCACGGGGGAAAAATCCACGAGGACTACGCCCTTCTCGCGTGTAAGATCCTTTATAGTGATATTGTCGAGTTTCTCAATACTAACAGGTTCAGAGCTGCTAGTCGCCTTGGCGCGGAGGTCGCCTGCTGCACCAGATGCAGCGGCAGGTGCAGGTGAGCAGCTACACCGCGCTGAATGGTATTTTGTGTCCCTCTGCTGGATAACTTCGCGCCTAAGCCTAGATGTAAATTTAGTGGGGTAGTCTGTGTGTAGGACTCATACTGAACAGGTATCGTGACATGGCTAGGCATCTCAACAAAGAACGTTGGGCGACAGTGTCTACTTAGCAAGAATGAATCATAGCGGGCAAAGCGAAGCTATGCGGTGTGGAAGGTGCCGTACACGGTAGGATGGAGAATGGCGTACCTGAGGAGGATCAAATTTGAAGCGGGGAAGGTGGGATGGAGGTGGGAGACATGGGGCATGTGGGAGACAGAGTGGCTTGCATGTGTGTGGGGGTATAGCGAAGGGGAGGGAGGTGGTGGTGGTGGTGTAGCGGAATGTGCTTTAGGCTGAGAGGTTGTACATAGCGAGGGAGTGAGAGAGGAGGAGTTTCTGGCAATGACGTCCAGATATGCGGCGTGCCTTAGTAGGCGTCGCAGCTGCTAGACTCGTGCTGCTAAACACTGACTGCAAACAGAATCATTGAGGAATACACCTTGAGGTGCTTGGTCTTGGAAACCGTCCTTGCCCCTTGAACGCGTTCAGGGTTCAGGGCAGTCCCTGGTGCTTACTCCTCCTGCCTACTCGCACATTGGCACGTCAACTGTGTTTGTCTGGCTGTACCGGTATACGTCTTCCCTCATCCACGCAGCTGCAGTCCTCTACCTGTGCATGTCTGCTGTCCACCAACCCTGCCCTCTCAGCCACCACCACAGTACCCACAGCCCCTGCCCACACAAGGACTTGATCTGCACATGCATGGCCAACTAGCACATGGCAACACTCCTATCTACACATGCAGGCAGCGCACCACACATGGGTTGCGGGTGCTGCCCTACCACAGCCAAGGTTCCCGAAAATTCCGCTACACAAGGGAACAGCTGAACAGCTCCTTCCACTGGCCTTGTGTGTCATCGGACAGGCCCCCAACGTACGGCGCCTAAACGACGCCCGCTGCTCCCGGAGCGCAGCTGGTGTGCTGCCTCAAGGTCCCGCTGTTGGAGCCCGGTCTATGGTTTGTCTAGGAAGGTCAGGAGCCCTAGCGAGAAGAGCGGGAACCCGGTGGGTCCGTCAACCATTGCAATCCTGGTTCCTCAACAATGATGAGGGCGACGTAATCCTCCCTGGCCTCGTTCCCCCTTCATGCGCGGCCCGGCTGCTGTTTCCAGAATTGCTTTCCAGAATTGCTTCCTGGATTGCTTTCCAGGGTATCGTGCGCATCCACACTGAGCGGTGTCGCGTCATCTCAGGATCCGGAGGGCAGCAGCAGCTTCTCAGCGCCGCTCACAACCCGGGCGCTCAGGATCACGTCTCCCGGCCCCAGCTGGACCAGGTCATCCATGCCCTCCGTAACATACCTGTTGGGGAGGGGGAGGGGGGGAAGAAGAATTCCCAAAGTGTTGAATGAGAATGCAAACCAGACGACAAGCTCCGGGGGAATGGAGGGGGGAAGGGCATCCGGGAAGAGCAAGATGGCTGGGGGGCTGTGTCATGTCACTAGCTACCAGGGCACCCGCCACGGCCTTCCACAGCGGTGCAGCAACAACCCGGAACACGACACAGCAGTGAAACGTCTGTTTGCAGCCCTCCCATGTTACACCATGACGGTATGTGAGGATAGCTGGATACCGGTGCCCATATCCCCACCCACCCACTCGCCCCGCCCCCCGTGTTTGCTAGTAATGGAAGATTTGCAATACCAGTGGTGCACCGTGGGATTTCTTCTTTTCCCACCCGCCCACCCACCCAAACACTCCGAACGAGCCCTCGTCGAACGCCAGCCCCGCCAGCCCCGCCTGCTGCTTGTCGAACTTGTACACGAACCAGTCGCTACCCGAAAGGTAGGACGGGTCGCCGGAGGGCAGGTGCGCAAAGCTGACGGCGCCGCTGATGGAGAGCGGCAGCACCGGCAGCTCCCCGGACCGCACGTCCAGCGGCAGCCGGTAGAGGGGCTCGAACTCACCTGTGAGGGCGAAAAACAATGAAAAGTGAGGCAACGGAATCCCAATCCCATATGTCCCAAAACTCATGCAGTGAGCGCGCATACGGAGACACTACTTCATTCATCTGTAGGCGCGGGTGGGAGCGGGAGGGGGCGGTCAAGAGGGGAGTAAAGAGGGAGAAGACAACCAACCGAACGCATGACGGGGTTCCATCCAGGGGGATAACGAGGAAGGAACTAAATACGCAGCAAGTGGGGAGAGGTGCACGGCGTGGTTGGCTTTAGCTGTTAGGGGCCTGGTAGTCCGGGCAGTGAGCGAGTACAGACGTGAGGAAATGGCACTGGGCACTGGTACCTTCACTGTGGTATCCACCATTGCCACGCATGCATGCAGGAGAGCCAGCTGCTGCTGAGGGAACCCCACCAACCGGTGGCTCTCCTTCCAGCCCTCAACAAGCCCTCAACAAGCCCACAACAAGCCCCCTACCAGCGCACCTCATTAGACCCCCTACCAGTCCCCACCCCACCAGCCCCACCTGCAGGCAGGATCTCCAGCGGGATGGGCGGCCGCTGCTGGGCCGCGGGGGCCGTTACGAACACCGAGGTGTAGTTCACCTGCAGGGGCCTGCAGGCAGGCGCGGCAGAGGGAGCAGGAGAGCGGGCTGATGAGATGATGAGGTGAGGAGTGGAAGAGGTGTGTTCCCTGCTTGCGGTCTGGAGGGGTGTCGTACCTACTCTCGTACATCCGCCCTTGCCACATTCCGTAACGCAGTACGGTATGGCAGATACGTTATGTACGGCATGCCGTTATGTACGGCATTCTTGGATCCCACCTGTTGTCGTACAATCCATCCATCACGTTCCGTACAAAGTTGCCTGCGCTCACAGGCGCGCTGTATCCGTCCACCGTGAGGGTCACCTTGGCCCTGGCTACCTGGCCACCTGCTTCCCCGTCCGTGAAGGCCGGGGAGCCGTCCCTCTTCGCAACGGTCATCTCAACCACTGCCCGCCCAACCAGCCGTGGCAACGAGCGGTACTCCTTAGGAATCACGTACGGCAGTCCGGGAGCCTGGAGCAGTTCCAGCTCCGAAACCGCTTCTAGGGCTTCTGCGACCCGAAGGGATACGGCGTCCGACTGTTGGGTGCGGATGGCTAGGTCCAGCTTCTGAAGGGAGGTTGTGAGGGCGTCGAGTTGGGCTTGGGCGGCTGGCAGGGAGGCGGGAGGGACGCCCGCGAGCAGGGCTGCGGGCTGCTGCGTGGCTTGCGAGAGGGCAGAGGTGACGCTGGCAGCCATGCTGCCCCAGGGCTTGCGCTGCAGGAGGTTAAGGGGATTGAGGGTCGGGAATGTGACATGCGGTTAGCAAAGGCAAGAAATGAACATTATAGATGAGTATGTTAGTTAACTCCATCGCAGGGTTTATGGAAGAAGCGATAAGAATGTGAGCAGGGTAAGGTATTGTCGTTTTGTCGCGCGGTTGAAACGCGATGCTCTTGGTCACACCTGTGGAATGCGCAGCAAGTACTGCACATCCTCGAGGCTCTGTTGTATTTCCTTTACATCTGTATTGAATGCTGGTATTGACCTGCGAAGCGCTGAGTCGACGCTCCGTGCAATTTGCGCATTTGGCGAGTTCAGGACAGCGAGCGCCGGGTTGCTATTGGCTCCCAATAGGATCGCTGAAGCCGCTAGCGCTTGCACGAAGCGAAGGGCAGCGCCCGCAGCGCTAGGGCTATCCTCGCCTGGCGCGGAACGCGAGGTCACTATTCGGTTGAAACATGAAGGCAGCGCGGGCTTCCGTCCGTGCGGCTTAAAGGCGCGTTTACAAGACGCTCTCGGCACGTTTATTTTGGGCATAGTTGCCATCTAAAACAATCCTACTATCAACTAACTACGTCTCCCTGCAAGCATACCCTACCGGCAGTGTAAGTGACAACATAATAACTGGACCTATCCAAAATTACATACGATTCCGCTAGCTGATGCGGCGGTGTTTCTCAATACGCTCAGGGCTAGTTGGGCTGCATGGAGTACGGCTTGGCAGTTGGTTGTCCGTTGATACCCTTTACAGGCCAAGACGCCATCCATGTTTCAACCTGCCTGGCCGTCTTGCACCAGACAAGAGATGGCACGCTCACTAACCCGCAAGGAAGAAACGCTAACGTAGCTCTCCTGGCGGCTTCCAATCATACAAGCAGCTGCTCAAGGAAGTGCAGGCTCTAGATGTCATCTGCACCCTTGCTCATGCATCCTACGCGGTACCGTCCAAGCCGCTAACCCCTAAGCTGACCGATAAGCATACCTAAGCGACACTGCAAGCGAACTAATAAGCGAACCACGAAGTCAACTACCATCAACTCCTCCTTTCCCGAAAGCGGTGCAGTGGGCCCTGCCTGCGTGACATCCCAAGCCAGCCCTCCTGCGCCATGAATAGTCATATGTAACCCTGAAGCCATACTGCCATACTTCACTCACATATGTGACCCATACGCCCTTACGCATGTTCAACCCAACGCTATCTCCTCACAACACCACAACATGCCGTCACGACCAATCGACTATATATCTAGTCGACGATATCTAGTCGATATATAAAGACGCCAGCACCATAACAAGCCAACGCTGCGCATCTGGCCCCCCAGACCGCTGCTACAACCCGCCAATACTGCACACCACCCGCGACATGCCGGCGTGTGCGGGCATCCCAACAATCCATCTGCAGCGCACGGCACACATGTACACAGCTATAGCTCTACTATTCCGTGTGATAGCTCGCATCCTGTTGCGGCAGCTCAGGGCCCAGGTCAGCAGTGAACCCTGCAACAATGAATGTGTCCGTTGTTCGGCTTGCACCGCACCGGTAATGGCTCAGCAGCCGGTACGACAGCGCCCTCAGGGCCGTGCATTGCGCCGGGCGTACAGCGCATTCTTCCTGAACAACCAGTGTCGCTTGTCGCTGTTCAGCCAGGCGCCCGCGCCCATGCTGCCGCGGACGAACGGAGGCACTCGGAACTGCGACCTGTGCAGCGCGGGAGAGAGGTGGGAGTGAGGGAGTGAGGGAGTGAGGGCGAGGGAGGGAAGGAAGAATACCGGTACCGGAGGACAACTGGATGATGCGGGAGAGAGAAAGAGGAGCAGGGATAAATCATAGTCAGAAACCAAGGTATCACAGACAGCAACGCAGAAGAGCGCAAGGGAGGTGGCAACTGACGGCCGCGAGACCCATGGGTCATCGCTCATCGAAGCCAGGCTGTAGCCTTGCAGAACTGTGATGAAGGTTTGCATGGAGGCAGGAGCTACAGTGACAGCATCAGCATTGCACTGAGTCCCACGCGACCAAAACACTAAACGGCTTTACCCTCCATCAGCGCTCCCCACTTCCGCAGCCCCCGCTCCCGCACACCACCCCTACCCACGTTGCCAGCTGACTCATCGTGACGCCCTCTGGATGCGATGCGAGGTAGTCGTACAGAGCCCTCTTGTACGACAACACTCGGTCCTCCAACTCCCAACCGCCACTGCCACCGCCGACACCACCGACGCCGCCATTGTTATTGGCATCGTTGTTACTGACATTGGCGGTTGGGGCCGCCGGACGAGCATTATCAGCAGCAGCAGGGGCGGTAGCAGCAGCAGCAGCCGCTGCTACAGCTGCTGCTTCGGCTCCGGCGCTAGCTGTATCCGTACCAGCAGCGGTGGCATCGGTAGCAGCAGCCTTAGCGGCATCAACAGCCCGTTCAAAGCCGGGCAAGTAGATGGGGACGCGGTCGCTATTTGATACACGCAGTTTGCCATACCGCAAGTTCTTGAATCGTTTCAGGAAACGGATCAGATCCCTGGGCTCGTCCGATGAGAGGTAGCGACGGGGAATGCCGATGCCAGACCTGCACAGGAAACGACGCAAACACGCGTAAGTGAAGTTCTCAGGCAGGCAGGCAATCACCCAACCCAGGCCCAGGTCGCAACTGAATCCCCTATGTAAAACACCGTCAGACATGAACTCAGTCAGCAACACACAACTTGATGCGCATGACAAGAAAACCGGAGTTGAACTAGGCTCCAAAACCTTTATCACTCTTCTCCAATCGTGCTTCCCCGAAACAAAACAAACCGCAGCAACACCGAACCGCAGCAACAGAAGACCGCAGCAGAAGCCACCAGGGCAGCGGGGCGGGCTCACCGGCGCAGCTCTCCGTACGTTGCCATGCCGCTGGGTCTCCGCTCCAGCCTCCGTACCACCAGCGCCGCCCACTTGAGCTCACCCGGCTCTGGGGTCGCACCACGGCGTGCGCCCATCGGCGCCCTGCTGCCACTGCCGCCAGAGCCTCCGGCGCTAGCACCGGCACCGCCAGCGCTCACCCAATCGTCCGCATCGGCGCCGCCGGCGCCGTAGCTAACCGAGTCCGCGAGCTCAAGCTGCTGCTGCTGCTGCTGCTGTTGTTGCAGTTGTTGCTGCGGCTGCTGTTGTTGCTGACGTGGCGAGGCGGCTGTTACGGTGCCTGCGGCTGACTGCCCGGCAGCGAGTGCTGCGGGTGAGCGGGGCGAGGTCGGTTTGTTGGACTTGTTGTTGGAGGTGTTCGCGAACGGCGACGGCGGCTGCGGGTTCCCCGCAGCCCGTGGGGAGACAGCGGCGGGCGGGTTGGGTGGCGGGGTGAATGCGGGGTTGGGGGCTTCGGCGGCGGTGGCGATGGTCCTTGTGGTGGCGGTGGCAGTGGCGGTGGCAGTGGCGGCCGCCGTGTTCGCGACTGCGCGGAAAGGGTTTATGTTCGTTGCGAGTGCACCAAAGGGGCTTAGGGCTTTGGCGTCGCCGCCAGCAGCAGTGACAGCGGAGAGGCCTGCAGCGGTCGTCAACGTTCCGAAACCAAACGGCTGCTGCGACGGCGGTGCGAAAGCACCCCCGGTGGCGGCGGCGCCGCCATTTTCCCAGGATGAAAATGGAGCACTGCTGGTAAAGGGGTTATAGCCAAAAGGGTTCAGCTGGTATGCGCCGCCTGCGGTTGCCGTGCAACTGTACGGTAACGGGTTTGCTGCGGCTGCTGCCGTTGCTGCTGCTGTTATGGTAGCCGCCGCAGTCGGTTCCCCTGTCTTTGTTGCCATCGGCGGTGGCGGCGGCGTCGTGGCGCCATTCACAACGGCGTCGCCCGCAGCCCTAGCGGCCTTCCGGATGTCCCCCGGTGTGCGCCAGGGCGACTGGGGGTCAGCAGCAGCGGCGCCTGCTGCTGCCGCTGCCGTTGCTGCTGCCGCTGTTGCCGCTGCAGCTGCTCGAGGCGACAAGGACAACGACACGGGCTCTGCTGCCCCCGCGCTACCACTGGGAGGCGCCGCTGCCACCGGTGGCAAGACGGGTAACTGCGTTTGGGGAGCTGCCGCTGCAGGCGCCACCGCTGTTCCTGCAGCTGGTGCTAATGCCGGTGCCGGTGCTGGTGCTGTTGTTGTTGTTGTTGCGGCGGGAGCAGCAGGTGCGGAGCCAGCGGAGGGCAGCGTCACGGCAGCAGCAGCAGCAGCAGCAGCTAGATGCTCGCCGCCGCTGGAAGCGAAAGGCAGCAGCTCCCCGTGTGTGTGCGGGAGCTCGGGGGGTCGATGCGTTTCTACTCGTTGCAAATCCGTATGGGACTGCGACCTCGGCTGTTCTCGCTGTTGCTGTTGTAGCGCCTGCGGTTGCGGCTCGGGGTGCGGCTTCGGCTGGTGGTTGAGGCCAGGCCCGGCAGACGCGGAAACACCAGCGGGAGCCGTCATCACCCTCCTGATTGCAGGAGCAGCCGCCGCTGTTGCTGTTGCTGTTGCGGGGCGGAAGCCCTGTACAGCAGGCAGAGTAGCTGTTGACCGGCCCAGTGGGGCTTGAAGCGCCGGCGGCAAGGGCCGTTGTTGCTCCTGTAGGGGGGCTGCAGCAGGGCTCGCCGCTGCTCCTGCTCCTGCTCCTGCCGCCGCCCCTGCCGCTACCCCTTGGCGTTGCGGCCCCACACCCCTTTCAGTGACCACAGCCGGCGCATGCAAGCCTGCAGCCGGCGCCTCCCCCGTCCCCGCCACCTCGGCCCCATGCAGTGACGCCCGACGTGCGGCCGGCGCCGGGCCGATTGGGATCACCAAGCGGCGCTTCTTCGTCAGGCTCGCGGGCGCCCACTCCTGAAGCGATATCCTCGACTGCCGTGGCGCGGCCGCGGTCCCAGAGGGTTGCACCGCGCCCGGAAGAACCGCATCCACAGGAGCCTCACCCGGGGCTGAGGAGGCTCCGGAACCATCACCACCACTAGCAACAGCAGCGGCAACCTCAGCAGCGCTTGGCGGTCCCAACTCAAGAGAGCCCGCGAGCCCCAGGGCATGGGCTGATGCATCCATGGGGCCGGTTCGCTGCTCCTGGCCCTCGCCTGGGCTTGGCGCCTCCAAAGCCTCGAGTTTTACAGCGGGAGGGATGTATGCATTGTGATCGTAGGGCCCACGGGTGGCTCCTTGGGACGCAGGGGCGGCTGTTGCTGTGGCGGCTGTGGCTGCCGTTGCCAGGGTAGCGGGTGGAGCCTCAAGTGTAGGTGGTGCAGGGGCTGCGGCGGCCGCAGCGGGTGCAGCTGCGGTGGTGGCGGCGGCAGCGGCCTCAGGGGCGGCAGTGGCTGCGGGAGTGCATGTTACAGGGGGAGGTGCCTGGGGCTCCGTTGCGGGGGTTTCGGAGGCCGGGGCGGGCGCGGATAGGTGGCGGTCTGACCCTGCCGCTTGCAAGTGGCTCCCAACTGGCTGCTGCTGCTGTAGAGGCTGCTGCCCTTGTGGCTGCTGCGGCTGCTCCAGGTGTTCATGTGGCCGTTCCGCTTGTAGCTGCTGCTGCTCTTGCTGCTGCTCTTGCTGCTGCCACTGCGGCTGCCACTGCTGCCGCTGCGGCTGCTGGTGCGTGCGAGGCGGCTGGGGCCGCAGGTGGCTCGGGAGCTCGACAGCAGGTGGCACCGTGCTGCGCCGCGCAGCAGGGGTGACGTGGAGGCGTGTCGTGGGGGCTGCTGCTGCTGGTGGTGGTGCGCTGGGTGCAGCGGGTGGCTGCGCTAACGAGGGAGGTAACGAGGGAGCGGTGGGCGCCTGTGCAACCCCTGCGGAGACCGGCTCGCCGCCCGCAGCATGATGCGGGATAGCGGCCGCAGCTGCATGGGAAGCAGCAGCTGCAGTTGCAACGCCTGCGATCCCGGCGGTGTCCGCTGCTTCGGGCGCACCCCACGCTAGTTGATGTTGACCTTGCTGCGGTTGCGGCTGCGGCTGTAGCTGAAACGGCTGTGGCAGCTGCGGCAGCTGCTGTGTTGGCTGTGCCTGTGGCGGCTGTGCCTGTGGCAGCTGTGGCCGCATCCCCGCATGCGCTTCCGGCTGCACATCGTTCACTCGCTGCTGTGCTTCCACCCCGGCTTCTGACGGCCGCTCGCCTGCCCCCCTCGCGTTCCCGGCTCCCGCCATCTCACCCGCTGCCACCGTTGCCGCCGCTGCTGCTGTCGCTGCTGCCGCTGTCACCTGCCCCTGCCCCTGTCCCTGCCCGCCGGCCGCCGCTAGGAGCGCCTCCGCTGCGGTCGTATCCCAGGGCACCATTCTTGGGGTTAGGCTGGCCCAGGTCTCATCCGACCAGGGGAGCACAGTGAGAATGCCGTACAGTTCATCTCGCAGGCAATCGTCCTGCAACATCTGCTGTAGCAGCACCTGCTGCTGTTGGTGCTGCTGGTTTTGGTGGTCTTGCGGACAGAGGCTATTTGCTGCGGGAGCGGCGAGAGGAAGGTGTGAGGCGTTGGCAACAACAGCGGCAGTGGGCGGTAGCGAGGATGAGGGTGCAAGGGAGGGCTGGTTAGGCTCGGCTGAACCAGGCTGCTGCTGCTGCTGTCGTTGTTGTTGTTGTTGCTGTTGCTGGTGTTGTTGGTGCTGGTGCTGGCGGCAGTAGCACTCCAGGGCTTCGTGGCACTTGGCCAGCTGCAGCAGCCGCATGACGGTGAAGCGAATCTGCAGCGGGGCATCATCGCGTGGTGGTGGAGGGGTTCGTCATCAACATGCGGTTGTGGAGGAGAGAAGGAGCAAGCATTCCGGAAGGTAATCACAAGGCATGCCATTCCCTTGAATGGCATGCGCGTGCGGCTTACCTCGTTCACTGTGAAGTGGACGGCCGTGCCCCTCAATCGCTGCTCCGCCGCCTCCGCCTCCGCTTGCTGCCACTGCTGACTGCTGGGGTGGCTGGGCAGCACCCAGCTGAGCGGGAAGGTTTGCGCAGCCGATCCCAGGAGCCCCATACTAAGGGAGCCAACAGGGCCTTCCACGCGCAACTTATTACTGCGTTCTGTGGGAGTTCGGCGGAGGAGGAAGCTGCAGGTGTGAATTAGGAAGAGTGTTGGGTGCGGTGATGCGTCAGCGACCTTGGGGGCTAGGCGACGCAAGCAAAGCTAGGTAAGACTGAGGTCTCGGAAACACAGTTTACATTGCGACTGGGCCTTCTATCTGCTACAAACCCGCCTAGCATCCAGCGCAATGCCCCATGATTGCTTAGTCAGGTGTGGGCATAGAGTACGTAAACTGAAGCATACGTATTTCTCAGCATAAACGTCTTAGTCGTCGCTTCTTACGCCAAGGCCTGTTATTTCCGGATACCCGCACGATGGGCGGCATGCTCACCCATCCTTTGCAGCCGCCGGAAGATCACGCCAGCCGGGGTAGCAATCGGTATCAGAGCCCCTCGAAGTGCTGTTTTGGCCTTAAGTGGAAGTCCCAGCTGCTCTAGCTGCACCGCAGTCCGAGTTAATGCAACAACCTCAGCCCGGTTCAGCATACATGAGCTTAGCACGTCCCTTAAAGGCAGCAGTCGCGCATTCGTCTCAGAAGTTGTGAGGCGACGGCGCTTGGCCGCTCTATCCTGTTCCATTGTATAAGACATCGGCGCCTACTGGCCCTCGCTTCTTACATTTGACAGTCAAGAAGAGGAAGGCAGTGTGTATGTGGTTTAAAGTTAAGAGTGCAATTTGCGTAACATATGCTGACCAGCGGAGCTTGAAGTCAATCTGTTTACTGATGTACGTTCATTGCACCCACCAAGAATTCCGCCGAGGGACACGCCACTGCATGACATCTTGCTTTGCCGTTTCAAAGCGGAAGGACCTCGTAATTGTCATAATAACAGGAACGCCATCTTGCGCTTTGTTATGCTTAAGAGGGCCCCGCGGGTCGCTTCAACTCCGGGCACAGGGTTCAAAAGGTGCGTGTCAACCCCATGCTGCGCCAACAGACTCCAACTCCTCGAAGCGCTAGCCTTCCGCTGCCATGGTCACCCGCCTAGTGCATCGTGGGAGATCCTTTACTAGGCAAGCTACACATCAAAGAACAAAAGAACCCTGTGAAAAAGAGCCCAAGCTGCGTCCCTTGCATGGCAGTGCTGCTCCCAGACACGCGGGTAGACCATCGATTGGTTCGCACCCCTGTGTCCTCAGGTAGCCAAGCCAGCGTTTGGACACGGCATTCCACGGCATCTGGATTCCTTTTACCGTGAGGCGTTCCCCGGAGCACAATCCAGGTGGGAGCCCTGTCGTACCGCCGTTCTGCTGCTACACTATCAAGTCTATGACATATGATTGGACCAACCTACTAAACTACACACAAGTGCCGCTCACCCGATGCCGTGCGCTTGCCGGTAACGTACGGCCTTGTACGGCATGCATGCGGTTGCATTTTAAGGAAACCCGCTCGCCACCGCAGCGGTGGTTCTCTGCCCGCCCTCTTGCCCCGTGACATCAACAATGAATGCAAAGAAACGTTATGCCGTTATTGTCAACGTACGACCAGCAAAGGCAGCAATCAATGTCTGGAGTGTGGTACATCCGCCATGTCCCCGACAAGAATGATTGCAGTGCCATAACGCGCGCGCAAGCAAAGACGCGACCCATGTTTACCAGTAAGCTTCCTAGCCTTCTAAAGCTCAACCTGTCCTCATACATACATAGGGGTACAACCCACAGTACTCCATACATCTCCGGCGTTTAAACGCAGACCCCCAGCTTCAGTGTAGTCCTCTTGTTACCGTACATGCAGCGCCAACCCGGAACATCCCCAAGCAGCCTGCCACCCTCGCTCCCACCGCGCCCAGTCACTAGCTGCGGCACCGAACGTTGACCATCCCTTTAATCCCTTGCCTGTCCTCCTTCGAGCCGCGTCACGCCAATTCGAGCAACATCCTGAACGTTTCAAACCTCATGCCCGCATCACCGCCCATCACAATCCACGACTGACAAAGATAGCAACCGCAGCAGCACTGGTTGAACTCAACAAGCAACCGCAAACCATAGGCCACACACAAACGGCACAGCGGATGCATAACACGTACACGGAGCACGACACGTACACGGAGCACAACACAGCCCAGAGCACAAAAGCGCGCTCAACACGCTCCCGCTTCCACTCTACCGTCTCCGCGGAGGTGTCGGCGACCTGCGGCGCCGCCAACCGTCAGGTGGGCCCAACGGATCCAACGGTCTGTCGTACATTGGATCTAGCAGCGGCCCTCCATGTATCGGCGGCCTGTAATGCTCGTCCAAAGCGTACGGCCCGCCAGCCACCATGCCGTACGGCCTTCCATCCATGGGGCTGCCGCTACGGCTTCTGTACGGCATCAGCCTGGGCGACGGCAGGAAGCCGCCGCCGCCGCCGCTACCTCTGTACGATAGCGGCGACGGCGACCGACCGCGTCGGTCCTGAAGCCACGGCGGCGGCGGCGGCCGCAGCGGAAAGACATCATCCCTGTACATGCGCGGAGGCGGCGAAGCGCATCTGCCTCTGTACGGAGATAGCTCGTCTCGGTGGCGCTCATCACGGGGAGCAGGAGCCGCGTCGCGGCGGGCTGGCGGCGACTCGCGACGACGTCGGCTGCCGCCTTCGGGCGGGCTGTGGCAACCAGGGCCGGGGGTGGCAACTAGCATGGCGCCCTGCTTGCCAAACTCCACGCGCCAGTGATCGGGGAAAGTGCGGCAGATGGCGATGAAGGGGCGGCCGTCGTTGCGCAGGACGCGCGCAGGCACGTGAAAGCCGAGCCTGGTTGTAAGGAGCGAAGGGGAAGACGTGAAAGGAAAAGGATGGATGGGGAAAGGAATGGGGTGACGAGATGCGTGCCGGCCTGAAAATCCGCGATCATGTACCGGTACTCTTCCAAGCTCCCATCTAACCTGCGGCGGGATGAGATTATCTTCATCCTGCCACCCACAGTGCCCCCTGTCCCGCTACCGTCCTGCCGTCAGCTTACCTGCCCAGCTTGTCCATACCCAAGCTGCCGCCGTGTCGCAGGATGGCCTCCCGGACGTCTCGCGCCCATGCTAGCCAGTCAAACTCCTCTCCCCGCCCTTCCCGAGCCCCCGCACCACCAGAGAAACCACCACCACCGCCAGCGCCGCCGGCGCCGCCAGCACCGCTGGACTTTCGCCCCTCAGCCGGCGGTGGTGACTTTGATCTAGGTGGTGACCTAGATCTTGATTTGGATCCACGCCCTGATCTGGGTCGGGATCTGGATCTCGTCGTACGGCGGCGTTTTGAGCTGCTGTTGCCAGCGGCCTCGGGCCGCTCCTCCTCGGGCCGCGCAGTGTGCCGACTGGCGCTGTCACGTTTGCGAGGAGTCTCCAGGGGTGTCTCCCTGTCCACAGCTTTGCTACGACCCGCATTAGCGTCCGTAGTAGTGGCGGCAGGGGACGGCGCCGCTGCCTCCTTCGCGGCTGGGGAGGAGTGAGCGCCGGCGTCAGGAGGCACCCCCGGAGGGGCCTCTCGCTTCCCCCCGGAGGCCACCGGCATGGCTCGTCCCTTCCCGCCGTCTTGCGCTGCTGCTGCTGTTGCTGCTGCTGCTGTCAACGTGTCTGCTTCATCGCGAGTGCTAGCCGCAGGAGCCGCATGTGCTGCGGCTGGGGCTGTGCATGCAGAGGCAGCGGGCGCTGCTGCCACCTCAGCCGCCGCGGGGGGCGCTGCTGCAGATGCGGATGTGGCGGGTGCTGTTGCTGCGTCGGCGGGGCGACCCGGAGCTTCCGACCCTGCAGGGGCGATGCTGGGATACAGGGGTGGTGGTGGTGGCGGCGGCAGCTGCTGTACGGCTGGAGAAGTGGGCGGAAGAGGAGGGGGTGGCGGGGGAAGCGCCAGGGGAGGTGGAGGCGGCTGCGGAAGCGGTGGTGGTGGCGGATGGAGTGTGGTTTGGGAAGCTGCGGAGGGCAGGGCCGGCAGCGGCTGTAGGAACGGGAGCGGCGGTGGGGCCTCCGAGGGCAGGGATGGCGGCAACAGCGGCAGCGCCCCCTCCACAGGCAGTAGCGACTCAGAGGTGCCCTCGGGGGCGGTTTGGCCGCTGGAGGCGGCATGAGATGCAACAACAGCAGCAGGGGCCGAAGCCAGGGGGGCTGCATCAAGATCTGCAGCGGCAGTTACAACATCGCCCTGTAGCGGTGCTGCTGCTTTGCTGCTTGGTTGGTGCTGACGTGGCTCCGCCATGGCTTGCTCCTGCTGCTGCTGGTGCCGCTGCTGCTTCCCCTCGCTGCTCCCCTTCACCACTTCGCCGCGGCTGTCCTTCTTGGCCGCTTCAGCAGTCGCTGCAGGCTGCTGCGGCCGGTGGGATCCCGGAGGCGGCTTGGCAGCGTTCGCAGACACATCCCGGCTGCCGCCATTGCCGGGATGCTCCCTCGCTTTATCCTGTTTCTTGTCTTTGTCCCGCTCCCAACTTCTGCCTTTCTCCCGCTCCCGCTCCCTCTCCTTCTGCCTCTCCTTCTCGCGCTCCCTCTCCTTCTCCTTCTCGCGCTCCCGCCCGCTCCTGCCCTCGCTGCTGCCCTTCGGAGCGCTGCCCGGACCGCCCTCCGCCCGCCTCTCCCTGCCCTTGTCCCTTGGTGGCGAGTCCTTGCGGCTGCTGCTGCTCCTTCCCTTCACACCCTCACCAACCGCTGCTGCTGCTGTCGCTGCAGCCGGCGCCGCTGGCGGCACTGCTTGCGGCTCCCCCCTGCCCGGGGCAGTCCTCGTTGCGGCTGCTGTCGTTACTGCGGCTGCTGCTGTTGTACTGCCGCATGGTGCTGCACACGCGGCTGATGTGTGTTTTGCTGCTGACGGTGTTGTTATCCTTGTCACTGTCGCTGTCGCTGCTGCTTCTGTCGCTGTTGTTGTTACTGCTGCTGTCGCTACTGCTTCCTCTGCTGCTGCTATTGTGGCGCCGCTGTGTGCTTTGGTAGCAGGAGCGGCTGCAGCCGACAGGGGTGGTGGAGGTGCTGCTGCTGTTGTGATCGCTGCCTCTGCTGGCAATGTTGGCGCGGACTCCGGAGCGGCGGAAGCAGCTGTTGCCGTTGTTGCTGCTGCCGCAGGGGCGCTACCGGACCCCTGCTGCCTGCCAACTGTCTGCTTGTCGTCTGCTCCTGCAACAGCCGTTGAGCTGTGTTGCCGCCGGCTCGCCCCACTGCCCTCCCCCCGCCGCTGCTCCTCCTTCTGCGCCCGGGGCGTGTGCTGCTCCTCGTCCCTCTTTTTCCGCTCCGCTGCGTCCTCCGTCTTCCGCCGTCGCTCCTCCTCTCTGCGGCGGCCTCCTTCCGCCTTCGCCTCCCCGCCTGGCTCCGTTCTAGTGCTCCGCGGGGCCCCCGCCTCCCCGCCTGTCCCCACCTCAACCCGCCGCCCGCTGCCCGCCTCCGGCCTTCCGTTCTGCGACGCTCCGCCAGAAGCCGCTCTACCGCGCTCTCCCTCCCTCCCCCGCTTCTCCTCCGGTCCCTTCTTCTCCCGGGCCTTGTCGCCACCTTTCAGCTTGCTGTCCTCCCTGGGTTTCTGCTCTCCCTTCCGACCTTCCGCATCCTTCACCTCCTCCCTGCCGTCGCGCCGCTTCTCTGACCCCTCCCGGGACTCCTCCCGCCGCCGCCGCCCGCTCCCCTCTTCAGCTCTAGCCCTCCCAGACACCTCCGCCTCCCGCTTTCCCCCACCTTCACCTTCCCTTCGCCGCCTTTCCTCCTCCCTTTCTCCCTCCCGCCTCTCCCGACGTCGTTCCCCGTCACACCGCCCCTCCCCATCACGCCTGCCCGCATCACCCTCCCGCCTCCTCCCCTCCTCCTCCCTCCCACGCGGCGACGCCCGCAGCAGTACATCCTCAGCCGTCCTGCGCCGCACATTCCGCCCCACATCCTCCGGAGATGCCCTGCGAGCAGTGCTACTCCCGCTGCGGCCCTTTCCGGGCTGCAATCCTGACGCCGACGATGACAGGGGCGGCTGCCGCTTCCCCTCGCCGTCCTTCTGCTCCTCTTTCCCGCCCGCAGGTCCGTCCTGAGTCGCTTCCCGACACCGCTTACGGCTCGTTGTCGTACCGCCGTTAGCTACCGGGCTGTGTTTGCTGCTGTCGCTGGGATCCGGCAGCTTTAGCCGGGGCACTACTACAGCTTTGACGCCAGCACCAGCCGGGGCGTTGCCAGCAGCAGCACCAGTCGCAGCGGTATCCGCAGCAGTATCCGCCGCCGCAGCAGCGCTCCTAGCAGACCCAGCGGGACTACCGGTATCCCCGCTGACAGCTGCACCGGTGCCGGCTGCAGGTTGGGCTAGAGAGGACGGCTCAGCCTCTGCCGTTGGAGCCGCTGGAGCGGCAGCAGCAGCAGCAGCAGCAGCTTTGGCTGCTGCTAGGGCCGCTTTCAGCACCGCCGCCGCTTCCTCCGGGGACACCGACTGCAGCACTGCAGCCGCTGCGTCGGCCTGGACGTGACACGGATGCAAGCCGGCCGCATCCCCCTCAACTTCAGGAGCAGCAAGGGAGCGACGGTGCCCCGGCTGCTGTCTCTGATACCCCTCCTCTTGTTGTTCTTGCTGCTCCGGCCTCTGCTCCCCCTGGCGGCGCAGGTCCTTAGAAGGGCCGTCCTGCGTGATTTCCCCAGCAGATCCCCAACGCGACTTCCGCGCTCCAGTCCGCTCTAGTGACGGCTCCAGCACCCCTGGCAGTGCTTGCCGCTGCAATAGTTGCGGGTGTAGCTCTTGTGGCGGTGCGTGCTGCTCGTCTACCGCCGGCAGGGGTGGCGGCGGCGGCGGCGGTAGTGGGTCAAGCGGCGGCGGCGGCGGTGACGGCGGCGGCGGTGACGGCGGCGGCGGTGGTGGCTGTGATGGCGGTGAGCTGGAGGGCGGCGGTCGCAGCGGCGGCGACGGCGACCGACTAGGCAGTGGCGGTGGATCTGGCAGCGGCGGCGGCGGCGCTCCGCGGCTCGCAAGCTGCATCGCTGCCTGCTCGCTCCAGGGAGCCCACTGCGGTACGTTTGTACGACAGGATTGCAGGTCCCAGGACGCTATCTGCTGCAAGGCACTTCGCAGCTTGTCGTACGAGGCGGATCCAGGTCCGGAGCAGACGTTGCCCCCTTCCGCATTCACCGTGGCTTCAGGCACCGCAGCTGCTCCGTTACCTGCGTCGTCCACCTTCCATTTCTGCTGCTGTGGTGGTTGCGAAGCGTGTGATGGTGTTGTGTCCGTGGGCTGAGGTGGCGGCGGCGGCAGCGGAAAGCCGTGCTGCCGGAGCAACTGCCCGCACCGCCAGAGCTTCACTATTTGCAGCGCGCAATCCACGGCCTGGCAGTTGTGACGGTGTGGGTTTGTCGGGTCCAGAAGGAGGGGAAGCGGAAAAAAGGTAGGGGTCATGGTCGACGCGGCAGTAATGCTAGGCAGCTAGGGCCCTTGTGCCCAGCCCTAGCCGTTGTATGTACGTCGCACGGCGTCATTTCACGCAACTCAACCCACCGTGGGCAACACCTTGGACCTTACGCACCTCGTAAGCCGTTAAGTGCTTCCAGCGCCCAGAAAGGATGTGCTGCGCTGCCGCGGCCTCCAATTCCTGCCATTCAGCTGAGCTTGGAGGGTCTGACAAGACGTCGCCGAGAGCGCAAATCTGGCCACCATCAAGAAGGACGAAGTTGCCGCCTAACAAAGGAGAAGCTGGAGTTGTTAGGCGGGCCCTAAAGCAGGCATTGGCTAGCAACCGTTTTCCCGCGCTCACCGAAATAATAACCAGCTGTCCTTCGTAGGTCCAGGAAGCCGTTTAACCTGACAGCAACAACTGCTGCTGGTATACTGACGCTGCGGGATTCCAGCACTGCAAGATGCTGCGCTGAAGAAGACAAAAAGCGGAATTCTTCGCGCCCGATCAGCATCGCGCACAGTACTTCGCGTGATGGCAATATTGCCCTGTGCGATGGCAATCCTAAATCTTCCATAGTGCAGGTGCTCACTACTCAAGTAAACCCTTAACAATGGCAAACGTCCTTTGGTTACACAATTCCAAACAAAGGGAAAGCGTAATAGTTAATTATATATGCGTATCGAGGTCATGCCATATGGGCTAGCGTAATTGAAGTGTACCGGTATGCGACGTGGCTTTGGACTAAGGAGCCGCGTCCAAAGTACGTTCAGGTTACAAATCATTACAGGTGGGAGCACTTAATGTTTTGGTTCCACGGCATTGACTGATGTTCGGCCCAAAGGTCACTATGTTACCGTACAGTACCGGTATCCTGCATCTGGTGGACCCCGCGCATAGTTTCTATTCCTTTCTTCATGGTTAACTTTTGGGAATGAACTGCAAAGCCTTGCGGAAGACTGCTCCGGGCTAGATATTGCGTTCACCGCTAAAGGTGCTGTCTGAGACTGGGTTTTGTACGACATGCCCCCCTAGCATGGCTCCCTCCTCTGAGTCTCTTGAGCACGCCTGAATTTTCATACCTACCTGCCATTGTGGCCACCTCTGGACTCTCTGCGCCGCTAGGCGGATGCGGCGCCGTTGTCAGTGCTGCATTGCACATCTGCTTGGGTAGCCACCCGAGAGGAGCTTCAACGAACATGCTCTTGTCCCCTTCAAATTCATGTTTTGGGGAGCCTACAGACCCCGTCCCCAGAGCCCAGAGGATTGGAATGGCCAAGTACTGTGTTACAAGCATATGCGGTGTACCCAGCAGGAGGCAACATAACCGCAGGCTGCAAAGAAATTAACTTGCCTTATTATTCCAACGACGTCCATCCTAAGGGCAACTCCAAATCTTGGGGCTAGTTAGCCGTCACATCTCACATGGCCCACTTACGCTAGCAATCACAAAGGTAATGCAACTAAGCGCCCGCCGGTCGTTAGTATATCCTAGCACTACCACTCCATCCGTTCTTGCTCGCCATCTTGTGACCCATGGGTCCCTATGAAGGTCCAATTGCAGAGCCCTTTGCCATGGCCACGATCCAAGATTGCCCGATTCACCCCAAGCTACGCTCACCTGCACTCAGACCTTACCAGCCTCACATGCGCATCCGAGTGCATACCACCAGCCACGCTTCTCCAGCGGACAGTTTCCTTACGTCATGTGAACCAAGCACACACCACACGACGGATGACACAACCACAACACACAATGACGCCCACGTGAGAAACAAAATTGCAACAAACAGCCAGCCTCTCTTCCACATGGCGGCTGTCCTAGTAGCTAAGCTGCTTGCCATAACACCCAAGGCCTTCACCTAGCCTGTAAAGGGTGAGCCACATACGCAAATCCATGAATGCGAACAACCTACCTGCCGTACTACCTAGGTCGTATAACACATAGACTGAAACAAGACAATGAGAAACCAATGCGGCACCATTGCTTCAACCACAACAGCAGGAGGCGACGGACACCGCTGTGAGCATGGTCCCAAGCCTCGTTGAGTTCTGGTTGCTCCAGGCTGGGGGCACAGACCGGTGCGGTCACACTCCAAGACAAGAAGTCGGTCAAGCAATGCTGTATCATGTCCAAGCCTAACTGCTGGTCACACCAGTCCCAGCTCACTCGTCTCAGACCCACCAAGCTAGTTCAACCAGACAACGGCGCTATGTACAGACAACTGTATCAACACGTATCGCAAGAGATACGGCACAGCACAAGTAAAGCCAACACTCTTGGCCAACACTATGAAGTCGCAAGATTTAGATTTAAGAGATAGGATAACTAAAGAGGGCACAGGAAAAGCGGGATAACTAGGCATCGAGTCATCACACCGCTACCTAGACAACGACAACCGCAAATGATGGCACAGGGTTCTGTACCTGGCGTGGGTAATAACTGAAAGAAATAACACGATGTAAATCACGGACATTACGGATTAAGCCAGCATCCGAGTCGTATTACCTCCTGCCAAGATCACCCGTACAGCATGTACCGTACACGCATCACACACGCGTGCTGAATGGCTGCAGCCAGCTATCGGCAAAAAACTGGCGGATAAATACAGACATCATCCACCAGGGCCAAGCCAGCAGGGCGTCTTTGGCCCGTCCAGCTGCTTATTGAAGGAATGACACTGGCAGTCTCCAAGACTAGGTCATACACAAGACCACACGTATTCCCTTGGCTTAACTCAGCCAACACAAACCCCCCATGCACCCTTGAATCGCAATCACAGCACGCTTTCAAGAGGACCCCACAACACCAACCCCTACACAGGCACCACTTTGTTATTAATCGACAGGGGCGGAACCGCAAAGAGCCGCAGCTTCCGAGTGGGTGAGTCCGGTCGGTCCAGACCCTCCGACACCGCAGCTCCCACCTTGTACTGGTAGTTGGCGGTTGCATCGTACGGCACAACCCTGGGCGGCTTGGTGTTCTGGGGAGCCTGTTTGCCTTCCTCGATGTAGTGCATGTTGGCCTTCCGCCGTGCGCGCCAGGATACCAACATGAAGATACCGACGCCGATGACCACCAATGTGAGTGCGCCCAACACCGCCCAGAGGACTGCAGGGAGGGCACGAGGGTTAGGCAAGAGAGTCAGACACTGAGATGAAGGAACAGGGTGGAAGAGGCACCAGGGTCCAGGGCTAACAATGGAGCTTATGCGGAGACGGGCTACATGGCTGCGCAGGAGCAGGTGCATGCATTATCAAGATGCAAGAGGGCTCCCATAGCGCCCCCACTCACCAATGAGGCCCACGGGGTACTTCTTCTTGGGCTCATAGCCTCCGCAATTGAAGGTGCGGACCTGGTCGGCAGTCAGGTTGTTGGCGCTGGCAAAGGCCTGTAAAGGGAAGGAGGGAGAAACGGGATGTCACAAGGGATTAGCTGCATCCATACTGCAGTGTAAAGTGATCGGAAGTGAACAGACAGTATAATGGACCTTGCCCAGCTGCCCACTCAGGTCTTGCAGCCCCACCCACGTAACCATCCGCCCGCTCACCTGAAGCAAGTACTCGCACGTCGCCTTCGGATTTGAAGTGCTAAACGTCACCAGCGTGCCAACAGTGCTCTCCGACCCTGTTGGCACGTAGCATGCGTCGCTTCCGAGCGCATTATACACTGCATTCGCGGCATTCGTGGCAGCAGCCACGGCGTCCGAGGCATTCCCAGTCATGGGCGTGTTCAGCGGCAGGCTAATGGTAATGGTGATGCGCGGATAGCACACCGTGCTAGTGTTGGCCGAGGTCTGCTGCAGGCTACGTCCGCGGCGGCGACGACCCGACGTTGTCACATTGGAAACGGAACCCGGCTTGACGTAGTTGTACTGACAGGATCCTGAAAGCTCGTCCACGCTAATGCCGTACTTGCTCGCGACCTGATTGAGCACGTTTTGGACGTCCGTGGGAGTGCAGCTCTTGACGAGGCCATAGTCCGGAAAGGAGACTTCCGAAGACATGATGTACGAAGACAACGTGCCTTGAATGTCAGAGCTGAACTGATCCGCAACCGCCGAGATGTTGAATGAGGTGCTGTTGATGACGTCATCCACAAAGATCTGGGAACGGAGGATGCTTGCCGTACGGTTGACCGTGTACGAGTAGTTGGTCAACGCCAACGGTGGCGGCGGCGATGGGACGAGGCGCGCCGGGTCGGCATTCAAATTGACCGAACCCGAGTTGGTGTCGTAAATCATGTTGTACGGAATCTTGAAGCGAACTGCCATCTGACGAACGCCACCGGTTGGAATGGTAATCGACTGCGACTGACCGTTGCGAGACGAAAACTGCGCATAGTCATCCGGATTGACCTGGTCAAAGTACTTAAACTTGAGGAACATATCCACGACCTTGGGCTTGAACCAGCTGAGGGTGTGGTTGCCAGCAGGGACGTTCTGAACGTTGTACTTCTCCGTAAATTCCAAGTCCAAAAAGTAGTCCTGCTTCTGGAAGTCGTTGCTCAGGCAGAGGTAACGCCAGCAATGCGAAAACATCAGCTCGCCCTTGGCTCCATCCCAGTACGGCGAGGGAACGCAACCGTGCTGCGTCACATTGGGGTTAGCCACCAGCGATGCCGTCATGAGTGCCGTGTTGCCGGGGCAAACACCGTCGCTGGGAACAGCGGTGGGGCAGGGGCAGATGACGTCAGGCGACGGCGGGTTGGGCGGACCAAACATCTGCACCGAGACGGACTGGTCGTCCAAACCCATGGGAACCAGAATCTCCAGATCGACCGAAGAGATGCCGGTGGAGGGCAGCGTGTACTTGCCAGACTTCTGGATGAGGATTGGGTCGCCGGTTGCTGGGTTGACCTTGAGAGTCACCGTCACACCGCGATTGATAGGCATGTTCACCCTGCCATAGCAATTGCAGTAGTTACCTAGTTAGTAACGAGTTAGGGCAGAGGTGAGCAAGTTGATCTCATAATCGTAAATACATCATAACCGTACATGCATCCAATACAGTAGCTAAAGCCCACATCGCAGAATTAATACAAAGAAAGACTAAGAGGACAAAGGAAGACTTCGCAAGCATTTAAGACTCACGATGTGTTCCAAGAACCGCCGGGCATGCTCTTGATGTTGTAGTCAGTCACGTTGGGGATGCTGATGCGGAAAGGCCGGATCGCAAACTGATCTGGCAGTTGACCAAACGACCAGCAATACGAGATCGCCATCTCGCCCGAAAAGAGATCATAGTTGGCCGGGTCCACGCACTGCATGCATGCAAGCAGGGCAAGGGTTGAGTTAAAGGGTTGAGTTAAAGGTGAGAATTTCCATGGGGGGTCACGCAAACAGGGCAGTGCAAAGGAATGCCACAACGTCTAAACACACCATAGCGCATGCAACCCGGAATCTACCTCCACGACGGGCCTAGACCCAGCGCACCTGTTTCACAGTCGAGTAGCTGTAGTCCTTGTTCCAATTGCTATCCGTGATATCCAGCAATACCATGACCTTGCCCACAGGGCAATCCGCATTACCGTTGGCCTTGTCCGGAATGGCGTGCTTGGGGCACATGTTGTACACCACGTCCACCAGCTGAACCGGCATCACGTTGAGCAAGAACGCAGCGCTGCGGTCGTCGCAATATTGCGGAACCATCAAATGCGCCGTGAACTTAGCCAGACCTCCGCCCGGCGTCGTGACCGTGTCTGCCTCGTTAAACAACAATGGGTTGTACTTGTCGTCGTTGACTGGATAGCCTTCGGCCCAAGTCTCCTCGGCGCAAGAAGGGCGCAGCATCGTCAGGGCGATACCCACAGAGGACTGCTGATACTCAGCCGGCAGGGTCACGTTGGGGGCCGTGAGGTCAATGTCGTCCAGGTCTAGAGATCCGTTCTGAACGACACAGCTACGACGCCAGCAAATGGGAAACACAAGAGCTCCGGTTACAGGATCTGTTGTTGGTGCGTCGACGCATTGCGTGGCGATCGTCTTGTTGAGGAGGCGCGAGTACCAGTGAACAGGGACGGTGTTGTTGTAGACAGAAGCGCAGTTGGTTTGCCCGGCGGTGAGGAGTGGCGGGCAGGCACAGAGTGATAGAGAAGTGGAGGGAGAGGGCGGGATGGGAGATGGAGGCATGGGAGAAGGCGGCTGGGGGCTGGGAGGGAGAGGGGAAGGCGATGGTGGGACGGGGCTGGGAGGGAGAGGGGAAGGCGATGGTGGGACGGGGCTGGGTGGGAGAGGGGAAGGAGAAGGCGGCTGGGGGCTGGGAGGGTCCGGCGAGGGAGACGGAGGAGGGTTCGAGCTCGCCACCGGTGAGGGCGGCAGGGGACTTGGAGACGGCGGCGTGGGAGAAGGAGGATCTGGGCTGGGAGAGGGAGGAGAAGGAGATGGCGGCTCCGGAGTGGGAGACGGAGGCGAGGGAGAGGGCGGGTCGGGGCTAGGAGACGGAGGCGAGGGAGAAGGCGGCTCGGGAGTCGGTGACGGTGGTGAGGGAGATGGTGACGGTGGTGAGGGAGATGGTGACGGCAGCATGACAGTCATGCCGCCATTGGTGTAGTTCGCCACAACCTCAACAGGGTAATCCGTGCCGCTTCCTCCGGGGGTCTGACCCTCTCCGGATCCCAGGGCAGTGTCGGAACCGCGAGACGTGCGTTCCGTAAAGGTACCCGGACCCTCTAGAGCGGGGGAATCCACACCGTAAGACGTGCCCTTGTCGTCGGGAAGCACGGGCGGATTCAAATAGTTCTTCACGGGGTCATCCTCGCCATCGTCCTTGACAATAGTAGGCTTGTTGTCGCGCTCCTCAGTTGTGTTGTTTGTAGAGTTGTTGGACGAAGGTGAAGGGGGAGGAGGTGAGGGTGAGGGTGATGGCGGAGAGGGGGAAGGCGATGGAGGCGGCGGGGAAGATGAGGCCGGGGTGTCCTTGAGGCTTCCGTCCTTCTTCTCTTCCTTGGCAATGTCTTCCGTGTTGTTTACGCCGCTGCTGGTAATGAGGTTGCCGTTAGGATCTAACTGTACGGCACTGGTGGGCGGAATGATAATGTAGATGCAGGTCTTGTCAACGACATTACCGTTGGAATCGTACACTGGGTAGCAACGACCCTTTCCGTCGTCGTCGGTTGCAGCAGGGGGAAGAGGAGGCGTGGGTGAAGGGGGGGTAGGTGAAGGAGGCAACGGAGAAGGAGGGAGGGGCGATGGCGGCTGGGGCGATGGGGGAACCGGGCTGGGAGGGAGAGGCGACGGAGGACTGGGTGAGGGAGGTACCGGTGAGGGCGGCTGGGGCGAGGGTGGCATGGGTGAGGGTGGCTGAGGAGAAGGAGGTACCGGAGAAGGCGGCTGAGGAGAAGGAGGGAGCGGCGATGGGGACGGGGGCATGGGTGACGGAGGCACTGGGCTGGGCGGCTGAGATGGAGGAGCCGGGAAAGGCGGCGGAGAAGGGGAAACAACTGGAGGACTTGGTGGAGTGGGGCTGGGCGGCTGGGGAGAAGGGGGCGTGGGGCTGGGCGGTTGCGGAGAAGGCGGCTGGGGGCTGGGAGGCTGGGGCGAGGGCGGCTGAGGAGAAGGCGGCGTGGGGCTAGGAGGCTGAGGAGAGGGCGGCTGTGGGCTGGGCGGCGTGGGGCTGGGTGGTTGTGGCGATGGCGGCCTTGGGCTAGGAGAAGGCGGAAGAGGGCTGGGCGAAGGAGGAAGGGGGCTTGGAGAAGGCGGTCTGGGGCTTGGAGAAGGCGGTAGCGGCGAGGGGGACGGCGGCGAGGGGGTGTTTAGCACCTGGCAAGATGTATCAGCGCACGAAATGGGCGTGTCGGGCGACGTCTTGGCCGTGCTGCTCTGACTGGTAACGGAACACTTGTTGCCGTCCGACGTCACCTTGTAGACGAGTGGGAGCGTCAGGGAAACCATGCCGTTCTTGACCTTCTCGCAAGTCGTTGCAACATTCGTCATCTGGTGCATGAAGGTGTAGCAACTGTACCATCCGTCACCGCCATTGTCTTCATTGTTGTTGGAGCCGTCTCCGTTGTTCTGCGGGTCATTATATGGACAGACGTGGTAAGGCAGGACAAGGGCATGTAGAAAACATTGCGGCATATGCTAATACTTACACACAGCCGAGGTGTAGGGAAGCACACTTCGGCACAGCGAATTAACATGCACAGGTCTAAGTAAGCAGCCAGGTATACGACAGGTCACGGCTCAACAAGCCAAGTATGTTGATGTAGCAATCACGTTACAGCCACAAGTCCACTGGTAGCTCACCTGGTAGCGAAACATGGGGACTTGCTCGTACACTGAACCCTTGCTGCCAACATAGGCAACGCTGAGCGTGCTGCGAGTGTCGGGCTTGCCGTTCTGGTACTGACCGTTGCCTTTGCCGTACAGAACCGAGCCGTCAGTTGTCAAGGAGGGACAGCTGACCGAGTTCCCCAGCATCCGGCGGCGGCGGGTAACGTTTGCATTCGTTGACGCTGATGCGGCGGCAATGGTTGACGACGGTACCTTGCCATTGTACGAAAAGTACGACAGCCACGGGCAGTCGAGGCGAACGGTTGCAATCAACCAACCCGCGCTCGTGCGGAAGGTAACGAGGGTACCGATGGCGCGTTCGGATGAGGAATCGCTGTTGGTGTATATAGGCTTCGACTGGATGCTACCCGGGCAGATGTCTTCATCGAGGACAATGCCGTTCAAGCTGTACGGAAGCCGACATGCCTGTAGAACGATGGTCAAGAACGGAAGGAATACGTCAAGCTACTTACACGGCTGAGTCAGAGCCAAGCAGAGCGTTGCTACAAGGCATGGGCCGGACACCAACCTACATATCAGGATCTTACCTGAACGTTTCCACCGTAGCCGTCGATTGTCTGCATGCACGAGGAAGGGAAAGGTTGGTATTAAGTTTAAGTCACGCTCCCTCGGCCTTCCATTTGTCAAGGCGGGGCAATGACACGACAAAGAACCCTATAGCTAGGCCACAGCATACCACTGACCTTGCACCCAGCGCAGTTCGGGCAAATCGTCTTGTTTCCACCCGATGTATAGTTGCAATAGTCGTATGCGTTGATTGGACAGCCATTCGTGCCCGTCTTGTAAACGACCGCTCCGTAAACGGCTGGCGCCACTGCTAAAAGCAATACAAGCGCCAGCACGCCGGTACAACCGGCGCGCATGCTGACAAAAGCCAATAGTTAAAGCGCAAAAGCGCGCGCCTGTCAGGGAGGGAAAGGTCCCATCGCCGGCGAACATTATGTAAGGTACTCACAAAATAGAACCGAGTTGCATGAACGCCAGCTTTAATAGCAGTGATTGGATTGTCGCTGCAGGAGACCATGTAGCGAACTAGCGGCGGCAGACAGCAAAGCACTGGAAATCAGCTAGACGGTAAAGCGAAGACGTCAACTCGACGGCCTTCCACTGCCCGCACCCGCGAAAGTATGAAGCTTAAGCCGCTGGCAACCCACTATTAGAGCTTAGCGTGGAGAATTCGCCAATTGACTAGCTATTTGTCATGTCAAAACGCTTCGAGCAAAACAGCTTAAGGACTCACCTCCAAATGGATTGGTCCAGTCCAATAACTCAATCCACGCAAATCTAGAAGCTTGTTATCTTAGGCGGACCTGCAGGGCAGCAAAACCAATGCAAAGGGACAAATTTTGCAGGAGAGAAGCAAGAGGCCAATAGTACCGGTACAAAGCCAGGACAGAGCCTAGCATTGTTTAACCATTGTTAAGCGTCAAGGCCAAAAACGACATGACCGCCGATACTCACCTATCCGTGCAGAAAGTCGCAGCGCTTTGTTCTATTTCTAGAAAGCTAGTTAACTTCTCTTGGTGTATATCGCAATTTTGTGTTGTGCAGGAAAGTAAAGGAAGGCTACTTGAATGCCCATCATGTACTTCAACACCTGTGCGCTACCTCTCAACAACAGGGCCCTATGGCCATAAAATGACATAGCTTAAACCAGCAGTACACCAAGTAGAATCCTATAAACGTATGTCTCCCGATTACTATGGTACCCGCCTTACCGTGTCGGCCATTATTGGTAATGGCGGTTGGCAGGCTCGCGGTACTTAAGTTCCGCAACAGGCCTGGGGGCAACGGGTTACGCGTTCTTGTCCTGTAGACGGAAATGTGGAGAATTGGCTGCCTTGCTCGCCTGGCTTGCGGACCTCATACTTACTAGGTTTGCGCCGACAGGCTATCAACTCGTCTATTCCGGGACGCAGCAAACACCGTGTCATGATCATGATTATGCAAGTATATAACTCGAGCACTTCCATGCATCCTCCCTGGGATTGTCTACCTGTTGTAAGAGTGTCAATACCTGCATTCTCGATGCTTGGACTACCGGCAGGCCGCAGGGCCGTGCCTCCCAGCAAGCCCCTTCTATTCCACCCAGTTGACAGCCATCCATATGAGTTCGCTTCTGCACCGTTCAAATCCATTCCGTCCTTAACTGTATGATTCGTGAATCGACCACACAAGGGCTACATCCTCGTTACATACCGGTAGACGTTCCAGCAGAAGGCGCATGCACATGCAACATCTTGACGCAGGACGATACCCTATGGCGTCGCATGCCAGCGTTACATGCACGAGCCACGAGCTCGGGGTTCAGCCGCTCGTGCCTCAGTAAGAGGCAGGCACGTGGTTGACAGCGGGCGGCGGGCATGTATGGGCACAAGTCCCGTGGCTATCCCAACAGGCCCCATGGACACAACACCCTTGCGAAGCGACTGCATGGCCTCCCAGGCATTGTGGGTAAGCGCCATGACTTGAGGCACAATGCGGTGCCATTGACAACGAGCAACGCAAAAAGGGCAGGTTCGTGTGACAATGTAAGCGGCGGGCCAACGAGCGGCATAGTTTAATATCCACGCTAGCTGCCACTGTTCTCATCGGAGGTATGTTTGGGCAGTCGGCGCATGAAGCCTTCAGTTGCAACGAAGTTGCTTGCATACGCCGCGCAGATGGGTGATTCAGAAGTTCAGTTTCGCACATGGTGCCCGCAAGTGTTATTGGTCTGCCAGAATTCTATCGTTAATCATATGTTATATGCGCTGTTTTACTAGCGCGTGTTTATCTCGCTTAGCGCGATAGCCTGGTATTCCGTACGGCACTTCGCGAAACCAAGGCTTGCTCCTCACATCTTGATAGCTCCACTCATCCTTCCTCACCAGAACCCTGATTTCCTTATAACACGTTCACCAAAGACCCTGCATGCGAGCTCACGGCTGCAGCGGATCGTCGCCGTCCTTGGCATTGCTGGTCGTTACCTTTCTGCTTATGTCCGCGATCAGCCTACAGCAACCTCAGAAAGTAAGGAAAGCACGATTGGAAAACACGAATTGAGGTTCTAACTTGACACGCCTGGACGTGATCACGGCTAGCCTGATACCCCGTCTGCACTGCACAGAACCCCTTCCCGCTCCTTCCCTTCATCTTTGCACAGAACGCATCCGAGGCCTCAGCGGCAGACATCTCCACTGGTGACAGTCCACCCAGTGAGGTCTTGGCCTTGCCCTCTCCTGCAAGCCAGGAAGCCACGGGAGCTGTGCCAACGCTGACTGTTGGTGAGTGGCGCGGCCGGGGTGCAAGCGTGCAAGATGTTCCAACCTAGCCCTGCTAACATGTACCTTGTACGTAGTTTTCTTGTTTGTGCGCTTGGAATGTCGTTGTTCATGTCAATCGTTGTATCTTCCATGGTGAACCGCTTCCATGGTGATCAAACCTTCCTAACGTCCCTGTTCGCCCATACCTGCGGCTGCGCTACACATGACCCCCCTCTGCGGCGACCGCGCATCCGATACCAGGCGGCAAAATCGCCCTCGACGCGCTGGGCCCAGCTATAGGTACGACACGAATATCCACTTGTACAACGTAACGCCCACCCAGCGTTGGCGTAATGGCTTGCCGTTATACCATTTGCACAGTAGTATTGCCCCTAGGGACGTTAAATGATATGACGGGCCAGTTTCCCTAACGGACAAAGTTTGAGCTCGTCGTTGTGCTGCTGATGCACTGCTCTGACGCTCCTACCTGCACCCTTACCTTTTCCTGCTCCTTGTTCGCTACACTCCAGTTGGCGAGGACGGCACGCTACGTCGAATTGCCAATTGGGCCAATCTGACGGAGCGGGAACAACAGGTGGCTCTGCGGCGCATCGGGCAGCGAAACCAGGTGAGAGGGGGGGCCTGCGTGCGTACGGCATCAAACACAGCATAGGAGAGGAGTCGTTGGTGCTCAGGTGTCGTTGTTGTCAGGGCTTGGGGCAAGGTGCAGTTAACTGGTGCTGCAAGGCACGCCAAGGAGTGGGTAGGCGCTAGGCGGCGGCTGACGGACTGTTTCCATCGAAGCTGTGTGCGTTTCCCTTCCCCCCCATCACGCTTCCCAGGCACGTTTGGCAGCCCTAAAGCAACAACAGCAGGAGCAGCAGTACCAGCAGGAGCAACTGGAAGGAAAGCAGCAGCAGGAACAACGGGAACAACAACGGGAACAACAACACGGGATCCAGCTGCCCATTGAGTCGAAGCAACAGTTGCTCCAGAAGCAACAGCAGCAGGTTAAGCAGGAGCTGTAGCAGCGACAAGGCTCTTTCTTTTGTATCCTCCCCTCATCACGCAGGAGCGACCCACGGGTCAGCCGTGTCCTAAACAGGCGCATGATCCTAGCCGTAGCAGCCGCGTCAGAAGCTACAGAGCTGGGGGTCGCTGAGGGAGGTCTGCAGGTGCTGCGTTTGGGAGCTTTGGACTTCATCTTGCTTGCGCTGCTGGCAGTTGTCGTGTGCTACATCTTACCCAGGAAGCTGCTGCGTCTGCTGACGTCAGCTCGCAGGCCGACTGCGACGCGAGGCGGCGGGGCCGTTGACAACAGGGGAGTCAGTGGTACGGCAGGAGGAGGTACGGCGGCGGTATTCTGCAAGGCGAGGAAGCAGGAGTGAAGCGTCCTCTGCAGTAAAGGTTAACTAGGCTTTTCCTTAGCGGAAGGGTCTGAGTTCGCAGCAAAGGCGGGACATTAAGTTTAAGAGGCATGGCAAGACGTGGAGGTGGTGGTGGTGGCGGCGCAGCAGCAGTAGCCACCGGTGCCAGCTGGCGGCAGCAGCAGCAGCTGGCGGCGCTGACGGCGGTGCTACAGCAGCTGCCGTCGGCGCATGCACCGCCGCTGCAGCTACTGCGGGGGCTGCAACGAACGTTGCTGTGTGTGGAGCACGTGTTGTACGGCACCGCCACTCCGAAAGGCGAGAAGGCTGCAGCAGCTGACGTGGACAGCAGTGCCGGTGGCGATGTGGGTCATGCAGCTGAGGCGCTGCAGGATGCCATTTCTGTCCAGGACCGCGAAGGGGAGGAGCTACCGGTGTCTCAACAGGGAGGCAGGTACTCTGCGGATTCTGAGCGACTGGCGGCGGAGAAGGCTGTCGTACAGCTACGGGAGCTGCTGGCGGAGGTTCTTCTCGGCGATGATAATGGAGGAGGAGGAGGAGGTGACGGCACCAGCAGTGGTACTCGTACTGGCATGAGTGCGGGTGCGGGTGCGGGTGCGGTTGCAGCTGCATGGGACGCCCGGCAGTACTACTGCGCGCTGCTGCACCACTACCTATCGCTCAGCTGCGACATCTTTGACGCGGTGTGCACAGCAGTGGAGGAAGGAGAGGTGACGGCTGTGTCAGTGAGGAGGGTGGAGGAGGGTGCTGTCAGCGGAGACGGAGAAGGCAACGCGTGTCAAGGGGGAGGAGGAGCACGCGGGGAGGGCGGTGGGTGGAGGATGTGGCGAGACGAGCTCGCGGCGGCTGCCCGGCGGCGGCTGCCAGCGTCCGTGTACGGCAGAATCGTTGCAGCCATGGGCTGGGAGGCCCATTTGGTGGATTTGCTGATGTGGGTTGGTGACCCAAGGGTCGCTTCGGCGGTCGCCAGCCGTGTCGTACGGCTTTGCCCGGATCTTGCGCCGGGCATGGCTGCTACGCTGGTGGCGGTGTTGAGGGAAAAGGGAGATGCAGTGCTGTCGAATTGCTGGCCGCCGGTTGTGCAACGTCCGCTGGCATGCTGGCTGCCTACAAGCCACGTATCCCGACTGGCTGAGAGCCCTGCTGTCATCTCTTCTTTTGCGGAAGCGGTGCAGCGAGCTGCGGCAGCTGCAGCTAGCGCCGTCCGGAATGAAGGAGACCGGTGGATGCCCTGCCTCCTGCTGCTTGCACGTGTTCTTATCGCCGCTATACGGCAACCGTACGGCAGCAGCAGCGCTGGCAGCGGGTCCCAGTCCCCCGCCCGCATGGCTTGCGAGGCTCTTCAGGAGGGGCTGTGCGCATGGCAGGACGTCCTTGTGGCTGACGTGGTGGCAAGCAGTAGCGGTTGCAGCAGCGCTGACGGCAGTAGCAGCGGCGGGGCACCGGGGTTCGTGAGGCTCCTGCAGGGGCAGTTGCTGCCGCTGCTGGACGAACTGGGACGGCAGCACATTGCAGCGCAGTTGCAGCAGCAACCTCAACAGCAACCACAACAGCAGGAAACTTCCAAGCAGCAGAGGTCACAACTGTTACCGTCGTACGCTTCCGTGATTCAGCTCCGAAGCCGCATCGCGTTGCTGTCTCTGGCCGTCGGCGCTGCAACCGCCACCGCCACCGCTGCAGCAGCAGCCAAAGGCAGCCAGATGCATGGGCTGCCGCCTGACACCGCAGAATCCGTACATCGGACTGACCCAGGCGGCTCAGCCCAGGTCCCCCGGGTTGCCTCAGGAACGGACCTGCTGACGCCTGACGGCGTCTGGAGCAACCTAGCCCCTGCAGGGCATTCCGGCAGCGGTGGGGCAAACTCAGCAGGCGGCCCGACATCATCTGTGTTGTTGACGGGCAGTGGAAGCAGTGGCGGCGATTCGGCAGCCCCACCGGCCCGACCGGTGTGGCTGCTTGCCGCCACTGTTGGCGACAGCCGCACGAAGACCTTCAGCTTCCGAACCTCTGGAATTGCCTCAGTGTTGGCGCTTCCAGCAATTAAGAAGCTGGAGGGCTCAGCGGCCTTTGGGCAGTGGCAGCAGCAACAGCAGCACAAGCCCAATACCACCTCGCGACCCGCGTCGACCCGTGGTTTGCGAGAGGCGCTGGCGGCTGCAGCCGTGGCGCTGCTGACGCCCGGCTTGGCGTCATGGCTGGCGGTCCAGCGCGACCCACGGGTCGGCGCCGTCGCGGGAGCGGATCCCTACAGCCCCTTTCGCATGGCGCTGGCTCTGTTGGAGTTCCTGCAGGTGGCTATGACAGGAAGTGATGAGGCCGTCAGGGAGGTGGTTGTTACAGCCGGCGAGGGGGCTGTGGCAGCCCGGGAGGGAGCTGTTGGTGCCGGAGAGGGAGCTGCAGCAGCCCTGACGGAGATGGCTGTTGAGGGGTCGCAGCTGCAACTGACAGTGCTCCGCATGTCAGCAGAGTGCATTGCGTGTGTGGGGGCGGCGGAGCAACAGGCGGCGCTGCAGGAGGTGATTGTGGCAGGACCGGCCTTCAGGAGGTACGTCATGTCCCGCGTAATACTGCACTGCGCTTGTTCCCCTTGTTCGCATGCTGCGCACCTGCACCTGAGGTAACCAAGCGCATAGGCAGGTCTCTTTTTCCGTCTTTCCATCATTTCATGCGGCCTACGTCGTAAAGGCCACTTTTCGATGCCCTGCCTTGCACTTCTCCCTCTTCCCTTACATGATTCTTCATTTCACTCCGACTTGTTACCCCTGCATGTACGACATGTGCTGTACGACACACCACAGCCTTCGATCCCTCCTGGCGGCTGATGCCGATCTCTGCGCCGCCGCCGGCCGAGCCCTCATCGCCGTCAGCAACCGTACGACAGCCGTGGAGGGCTCCCTGGACCGCCTGGCCCTCAGCGCGCAGCAGGAGGCGCAACGACTCGCCGCCGCCGCCAGGGAGCTTCTGCCGTACGCCGTACTAGCACCGTACGCCTGTGTACGGCGGTTGATCTTGGACGGCTTGACGCATGCAGGCCAACAGCCCTGGGTGCTGCAGCTCCTGAGGTGCTTCGCCACGGTGGCGACGGCGCCAGTGGCGGCGGCGGCGTCGGCGTCGCGAGGCGGAAGCTCCGCTCGCGTCGGTTCGACTTCCTCGGCATCGGTGGTGCTGGCGTGTCTGCAGGAGGTGTTGCGGGAGGCCTCGCGGTTGCTCCGGACTTCAGGGGATGTGAGGTCGCTGTTGGGGTTGGTGGATGGGTTAGTGGAGGCGGGGGTGGTGGCGCCCAGGCAACTTCTGGCAGAGCTTGCGATCGGGGCATTGGAGACGCGGGAGGGAGCAGGAGCAGCGGCGTCGGCGGAGGTTCGCTGCGCGTTGCTGCTAGTACGGCGTCTCCTCAGTGGTGGTGCTTCCGCCGCGCCGCGATTGTCGTACTCAACGGCGGCGGCGACGGAGCTGGCAGCGGCGAGGCCGGCGGCGCTGCTGCTAGCGGCGGCGCGGACGCTGACGTCGCTGTACGACAGTTACGAGAGCCGACGTCAGCTGGATGCCGCCGCCGTCGACGCCGCGGCGGAGGTACTGGAGCTTGGGGTCGAGCTGTACGGCAACCATCTGCTGACGTCAACAGCAGCTGGCGCCGCCGCTGCAGCATCTGCATCGGAGAGGAGAGGGCAGCTGGCGGAGCTGGCGGCTGGCTGCAACAGGCTTCCAATGTGAGGATGTACGGCACGGGAGCATTGGGGGTCATAAGAGGGCATGATAGGGATCATAAGAGCGGGCATAGGGGGTTTGCATTGGTTAGCGGCCATCCTTCCATTCTGCATCACTTTGAGCAACTTCCTGCATCTGCTTCCCAATCCCAGGCGCATCGCAGCCATGCTGCTGCCGCTACTCGAGCTGCCGGCAACAATCCAGACAGGCGCTGGCCTACCGGAGGAGAACACGGGAGACCGAACCGCTAACGCCGACGCCGAAGACGACGACGACGACGGCGGCGGCGCCATGCGCGCCCTGACAAGCAAGTTCTTACCGGCGGCGAAATGGCGCCCACGCAGCCTTCGAAGCGCGGACCCACGGGTCGCTCGCGACGTAGTTTACGACACACTGGCCTTCGCCGCTAGCAGCGACGCGCATGCGAGTCTTGTACGGCGGGCATTTTTGGACGCCGCTGTCGATGCAGACGCAGCTGCCGGGAGCGACGAAAGCGATCAGAGCGCCAATGATCACAGCGTGGTTGGAATAGCAGACTGCGATGCAGTTTGGGCAGCATGGGGTAGCGAGGTGGACCCCCCTCCAGCGGCGGTATCGGCAGCAGCAGATGCACGGTACGGCAGCAACAACGCTACAGCCCGCCATTTGGCGGCCACGGCAGCACGTGGGTTGCCTCAGCTGCCTCCTGCCATGCTGCTACAGGCGTTAATCGCCTCGTTAGCCGTTCTGCTGCCCACTGCCACTGCGAAGCAGGTACGGCGGCTGTTGCTGTCAGTGCTGCCGGCGGTTGTGCGGCTCGGCGGCGGTGCCGCTGCGTTGCTGCCGGGCCTACGAGAGGCGGTGGTGGCCTCGCGGCGGACGCAGCCTGGGAGCAGGCCGGACAAGGGTGGAGGAAGGATGGAGGCGGCGGAGGAAGCGGACTTGTTGGGGATGATAACAGAAGTGCTGGGAGCGGAGCTTCCGAGGGACGGACCCGCGGGTCGGCAGCAGTCCGCTGCGGACGTGGCTGTAGCATGCGGCATCTCCTGCTGTGCCGCGATTGAAGCCCTGAACGCTGCGGCTCTAGCAAGAACAGAGGCGGAGGCAACAACTCCAAGCGCGGTCAGTAGCGGCGGCGGCGGCACAGCGGGGACCCGGCAGGAGGATGATGACGGCGCCGTTGCGGCCGCTGCCGCGGCTGTGGTGGCGGACCGGTGTGCGGCGCATTTGGCGCTGTTGGTGACCAGGTTGGGGGCGCTGGCGGCTGAAGTGGCGGCTAGTGGTAGCGTGCGGCGACAGGAGGAGCAGCAGCAGCAGCTGCAGCTGCGACACCAGCTGGAAGGGGCCGGGGAGGGAGGTGCTGGGCGTGTTACGGTGGTGGCGGCGGTGCTGCTGTCGGGGCTGTGTGAAGCTGCGGCGACAGCGGCGGCAGCGGGCGCGGGGTTCGACGTTTGGCAGGTAGGTTGTTGGGGGTGGGGTAGGGGTGTGTGTATGGGGGGGTTGGGGAGTGGGGACTTTTAATGACGCCATTGTACGACGGCATTTGCTCCTACCGGTATGAGGGTGCAGGGACCGTATCCGGGCACATGCTTTGCACTACATACCCGTACCGATAATAGTAAAGATATGTATGCTTTTACTGGTAAGCCCGGTCACTTTCTACCCCTCCTTTATTTTACCCCTCCTTTATTTAACCCCTGCCATCAGGCGATCATCCTATCCGTGCTGCAGCACCTTGTGTCGGCCCTCGCTGCGGTGTCTTCCTCCTCCTCCTCACCCTTAGCAGCAGCAGCAGCGGCTACTGCTTCGGATGCCGCTCCTGCATCTAACGCTTCTGTCGGGGCTGGAGCAGACACCTGGACATGCGGCATGCTGCGGAGTGTGCGACGCACGCTGCGAGTGCTGCCCGGAACCGCACCTGAAGTGCTTTGGCGTGCCGTTGAACGGCTCTGTGAGGAGGAGGAAGAGGAGAAAGAGGAGGGGAGGGAGAGCGGGATGATGAACGCGGACGCGGGAAGAGCCGTGTCGAGTGGGTCGCTGGCTGCGGCGCTAGCTGCTTTGGAGGCGGAGGAGGGGTGTTGAGGGAGGGTAGCGATGGCGGTGGTGCTGCATGCAGAGGGGAGGGTACCGGTAAATGTAGTGTTTCATGCAGGCAGGGAGTAAACTGAGGAGAAGCTGACCATGCTTTTGGAAAGGCTCCCACCATGGGGGAAGGGGCTCGTGTGCCAGGAGCGAAAGAGCGCTCATGTGGCTTCTGACACGCTGTTGTCGACGGCTGTTGAAGCGCGCGTGTCGAGTTGATCACTCATGCAGGTTGGCAGTATAAGGAGACCAGCTGTAACAAGCAAGTGTCGCAGGCGCATTGATTACTGGCCTCCTCTCTCTCCCAATGACCCTTGCTGATTCCGGTGTTTGGTGGATTCCGGATTTCCGGTGTTTTTGGGGTGCGGCATGTCACCAAGTACAGCATGCCACAGAAGAAGTGCGTTCTCTGGGACTTAACGACAGGCGCCATGCGAGATGGCCCCAGCAGGCGACAGAAGTTCCAAAACCAACTGATGAGGACACACCGTCAAGCTCCACCTAAACAGGTCCTAACCGCTGCTACTGGGACGTCAGCCGTAAACTAACGAAACGTTGTGGATGCAAGACCCAGATTGTGGGAGTCTTACTCAGACGCCTTCACCCAGACGGGGGCGCCGCTTCAACAACACTACTAGAGTCCGACGCTTGACAGCACAGCGCTCTAAACACGCAGGAAAACAAGCCACCCAGTCGTCATTGCAAGCTCGGTTAGCACATGCACTGTCACGCAGCACCACGTTGCCCGGGCAGCCTTGAAGCAGCATGGGGGCCAGCAGAGGGGCAGCATGGAAGGGGGTTAACAGGAGAAGGGTGTCCCCCAAGGGCCTGGGGGCAGCCTGGGGTGCGAGCACGTCACACGAAAGAGCGCGTGGCTGTATATCCCGGTTGATGTATTCTGCAATGCCGGCGAATTGCGGCAAAGCTAACCAAAGTAAGCGTCATCATGGGTGTTCACAGCAACAGCCATGTACCCTACACACACCGCCGAGTCTGGTTCGCAACAAAGCCGTCTTCACGGCGGTTACGTGAGTTGATGCTGTTGCAGCGCTCAAAGGCAATGGCCGCCGGTTCTTGCTGTCATCTGGCGCGTCGGAGTCAAGCCGAATGCGGCGAACGTCAAGCATCAAGCCCATCCAACCATCCCTCCTGGCTCCTTAGGGGAAACCAAACGGAGCAGCTGCCACCCCTACACACACGCCCCACACCAGACCAGGTAAGGCGACTACAAGTGTCGAGATAGAATTAATTAATGCGCACGCGCGGAACGTCACTCGGTCACGGTAGCTCAAAAGTTGTAATACAAATTAGTCACAAGAGTGAGGAGTATAAGCCGTTGTCCGCCCTTTCCATGTCTCAAGCGCCACAAGGTCCAAAACCAGTAAAGCCACATCGCATGGGGAATGAGCTGCAACATGCTCTTATTGAGGCCCTCCCAACCAAGCAACCCGCCAACGCGTCAATCCATGCAACCCAGCCACCACACAGCAGCCATCGCGCGCCCCCAGCGCACGCATACGAATATGCATGCCGGATCATAGTCAGTTCACGCACGCGGAAAGGCAATACTGGTATCCAACAAGGAGATCTGCTGCAAGAGACCTACAGCGTGCGCATGCCCCGCTGCTGCTGGCACAGCGACATCCAGAAAGATAAACAGCCAGCGCCGCTCAGTAAACCAGGTAGCTGCTGCTCGAGCCGCCGCCGCCGCCTGCCCCAGCCGAGGCAGCAGCTGCAGCAGGCGCTGCCGCCGCCGCTGCTGCAGCCACCGGCGAGCGACCCAGCGCTTGTTGCAGGCCAAAGCTCTGCAGCCCACCGTTCGCCAGGACGCTCAAACCACCAATCTCCAGCGCTGCCGTCTGTAGGGAAAGTAACGGTAGTTGCTGCGGCAGGCCATTCTCCCGCTGCTGCTGTTGCTGCTGCTGCTCGTGCGGGTGCTGTCCGCCCGGCAGCTCAGCTAGGCCGCGTTGCTGCTTCGGTTGCGGCTCCTCAGCAGCACCGGTATGCTGCTCCTTCTCCTCCCCGAGGCTGCTGCCACCGCTGCCGCTGCTATGGTTGCTGTCAGCCGCGCGACGCTTACCCAGTGCCGTCTGCCTACCGGCCACACCCTCCTGCTCCCTTCCTGCTCCCTGAAAGTCCACATCGGCAGCCAGCGGAGCACGTCCTCCGGCGGCCGTTACAGCAGCAACAGGAACAACAGCGGCAGCGCCAGCGGAGGTAGCTAGGTGCAGCTGCAGGGCAGCCTCCACGGCGAACAGCAGCTGCGGCGAGGGCGGCGACTGACCGATGGCGGGGTTGCCCTCGGGAAGCGCGGTGGTCTCGGTGCCGTCCCCATGCGCGGCTGCTGCTGTATCTGACGGGACGAGTGCGGGATCCACAGCTCGATGGCTGCCTGACGGCAGGACGGGACGAGCAGAGGCAGCGGCGACGGAAGCACCCTCCTCCGGTCGTTCCGTCGGCTCCTCCAAGCCGGCGGTGCCGGCGCGCAAGGTTCCCTCCTTCTCCAGCGCTGGAGCTGCGTCCACGGCACTACCAACAGCAGCAACAGCAGTAGCAGCAGCCGTCGGCGGGTGTTGGGACTTCAGATAGGCGATTAAATCCGCCCCATGCAGCACCATATCAATGGAGTGAGGCGGGCGAGGCGGCGACGCCGGCGGGGGCCCAGGTCCTGGCCCGGCATCAGGTCTGTGCTTCGAGCCGGGAAAGGCCTTGCTGCTGGCGGCTGTGGCGACGCCGGCGTTCGAAGCCAGAAAGGCGGCGACATCGTCGTCCGCAGTAGCGACGTGCAGAAGCGGCGGGTGCTGCTGCTGGCCGGGCTCAGATTTGAGCGCGTTGTCCTCCGTTGCTGGCCGCTTGGGGCCTGCGTAATCCTGTGGGGAATGCTGCTGCTGCCCCTCAGCCTCCTCCTTCTCCCTCTGCTTTCCGTTCCCATTCTCCTCTGGGTAAGGAGCCCGTGTACGGGGCCGCCTGATAGCGGGGACCGAAGCAAGCAGTCCCTGCTGCTGGCGTCGCTGCTGCTGTGGATGTTGTTGCTGCTGCTGCAGCATCAGCAGCTGCTGCTGTAGCTGATGTGGGTCAGGGTAGAGCTGCAGCTGCAGCAACTGCTGCTGGCGCTGTTGCACCAGGCGCAGCAGGATCCTGGCGGCCGCGGGGTTGTTGAGGACCTCCTGCGTGAGGGCCGCATGCGTGCGTGCGTGAAGGGGCGGGCCGAGGAAGACAGGAGAGCAGAACACGAGCACCGATGCCATGCAGCTTCTATTGCAGCGAACAGTCAATCGGTCCTGAGCGACAAGCCAATCGGCTTTAACGCATTGAAGGACGCTCCCACACCACCTTGCAACCCAGTCAACCCAGATCACATTTGCAGCTTCCGGCAGCCCCCTACCGACCAGCACTCCCACCGTACCTGAGCCGCAAGCAGTGCCGTACGCGCCTCCTCATCCCTCACGTCCAACTCCTCCTCCTCCACCCTTACAGCCGCCGCCGCCGCCGCTGCTGCTGCTGCTGCCTCAGCTGCTGCCGCTGCCTCGGCCGCTGCTGCCGCCTCCACCGCCGCCGTCACCCCAAGAAGCGCCTGAGCGCGCCGCGAAGCGCTTCCCACTCCGTAACCCGCCGCCGCTGCAGCCCCGCCGCGTCTGCCGCCGCCGCCACCACCCATGCGCGCTGCCGCGCCCAAGCCCCGACCCACATCGCCCTCCTCATCCTCCTCCATGCCGCCCCCCTGCCCCACTTCATCACCGTACTCATCCTCCTCGCCCACCGCCTCCTCCTCAGAATAACCGCCGTACGGCACTCCATCCGTGTAGTGACTGCCGTACCCCTCGTCGTACGTGGGGTAGTCCGCAGCGGCTGGGTGCCAGGCGTCCGCTCCCTCCCCGGCGTAGTACCTACAGGGCAGGGGGGCGGCATGGGAGGTGAGGTAAGGTGAGGTGCAGGGCTCAAGTGCAGAAGGCAGTCTTGCGAATAAGCTGGTGGGCTTATCCACAGGTCGCGTTTCGTTGGCTGGCTCGGCTGGGGTAGGTACAGCGAGGGCCCTTCCTTGTGTGTTATGTGTTAGCGAGGACAAGGGTTCAACCACGCGAAGTAAGAATGCAGCATGCCGAGTGATCGGGGTGAGACGGACCTGCGGTTGCGGCCTCCCGCGTGTGATGCACCAGCGTATCCAGCTGTTCGGGGGTACTTCCTTTGCTGCTCGGCTGGACGCCTGCCGGGGTGGAAGGCAGGCGCACCCAAGTCGCTTCCATCCTCCTCAGCCATGCTGCAAGGAAGGAGGTGTCGCGTGGTCTGGGGCAGCGCGTTGGAAAAGTCAGGCGCCAGCATCCACGAATCCGGGTCATGTGGACACCTGAGAGCAGTGGAGGAAGGAAGCATGGTCAATGGAGTAGTTCGGGAGCCGGATTCGCTGGAAGGGGCAACACGGTCCACGTTTCTTACCTAAGGAACTTCTCGGTGGTGTAAAGGGTATGTCGTATGTGGCTCTTCCTGTGTAAATGAAGGGCGTTCCGGGCTTTTAAGCTGCTTGCCCAATCGGTTGATGCTTCAGATGCGGCTTAGGCTTACCAGTTGCGCCGGTCAGTTACTAACCGCCATCCTCCTGTCTTTCGGCACTTAACTCTACCAAAGTTCACACATGCCGCGTATATCTGCAGGTAAAGAGTTCCGGGAGCAAGTGGATGGAACACATCCGATGGGACACTGCCTTGTCCCAGCGTAGGATAGTAAAAGACGAAACAATAACGCATGGTTTAAACAGCCTTTGGGGAATGCTCCTGTCAACAGTTCCACACAGAAGCGGAAAAGTTAAGTTACCTCTTTGAGGGTCGCACTGCCCTTCTTGTTGCCAGCGCAAAGAATGGCAGCATGTACCAGGTCGTGAAAGGTGTTGAAGACCTCGCCCCTGTCAGGCAGAGAAAAGGTGCTTCACCATCCTGATTAATGATGGCTTCTCTTCCCGTTCCTTTCCGAACACTCACTCTTCCGGTGGCCTATATGTTTGCGACATTTGAAACCGTGGGCGTGATAATTGTCAAATGTCGACGCCTGACCCGAAAATTGGGTTAACAAAGACCAGCGCAGAGGGCGGGAGGTGCTGGGCGAGACCAGCCTCCAACCCTTTTTTGTGATTAAGGACAGATGTTAATCATTAGCATGTGCCAAATTTCACTCTACCGATAGAAAGGTTTCGGATAGTGCGTGTCCCATCCACGAGTGCTATAAACCTCAAGCGCAGCGGAAACGTATGAACCTTCAGTAAGAAGTAAACACTATACTTGCCATACGAATTCAAGAGCCGGTAGCGCCTGCCAAGCCTGTCGGAAGGGAACTGCGCGTACGGCGAAGGGACGAGATAATCGGCGAGGCCTGGCAAGTGGTAATCGCGTGCACAGGGCGCAAGCTGTTGGCATGGCTTATGCACCTCCCATTGAACTTAATACATCACAAATAGCCTCCTCTGCTGTCAGCAGCGCCTCGCACAACCCTCGGCCCACCTTGTCCCCATGTCCCACCCACTCCCATTCCCTTCAGGAAAGAGTATAATCCTGTTATTGGTAGGGTGACAAAGCATGGCTTTAGTAAGCATGCCGATCAGTCGGCATCTTCACTTATTGCAAGCTCACAACACGTATTCCATGCTGCATGCGTGTCATACGTCAACCCCAGAGAGACGAGCAGCCTGAACACCTTGCGGGGTCATATTTCAGTTACGGGTAGTGGGAACTGATGGGAGCGCTCATATACTCGACGTGGAGTGGATGCTGCACAGTTACACACAGGCACTCCTGGCGCTCTGCAAAGCCCACACGTGCCTGGTTGCATCCCCGGCTGCCATGACAAACGGGAGGAAAAAATACCAATGCTTGGTAGCCTATTGCCACACGGTACCAGTTTGTGGCAAACCTTTGCATGAGGCTGCCTTGTCAGCAATCTCTTTGTACGGCTCCGTTTAAGTACGAAAGTGTGCGACATGCGACACCGATACAATTCCGGGAAAGCGTGAGAGAGTATTCATTATATATACAGTATAGAGGGATTGCCGGGGGGCTGGGGCTGCTAGACACGCTGAACTGAACCACGATCTTTGCGCGAATCTGCGGACCACCCACGGCTTATAACTTTTGGGGGCTTGGGGATACGATAGAGGGCAGAAATCGAACATTACAAGCATTTGTTACTATTGTTACCTTAGCTTTTAGGACGTTAACGCCACCAAAATGTCGAAGCGCGTACCGATTGTTTGCCATGGTCACACGAGGCCAATTGTTGAGATTAACTATAGTCAGAACACACCAGAGGGTTACTTCCTGGCGTCGGCTTCCAAAGATGGGAAGCCAATGCTGCGGCATGGCGAGAACGGCGACTGGTATGGGACGTTTGAAGGCCACAAGGTGAGTCGACTATGGTTGCTTTGGTGTCTTGGCTTGCGTAAGTTGTGACTAGCGCCTTTTCTGGCGGTTAGTTAACATCGTAAAGGCTTGTTCTCTCTCCACAATTGTAGGGCGCAGTCTGGGCTTGCGTCCTAGACACACCGGCCCTTAAGTGCGCAACGGGGTCAGCGGACTTCACTGCAAGGGTCTGGGACGCTTGCGGCGGAGCCCAGCTGCACGAATTCCAACACAACCACATCGTGCGTTGCGTCAACTTTTCTTTCCATGGATCAAATAAGCTTGTAACGGGAGGTAAGGGACCCTATGGGTCGCTGGCGATCTCCTCCATCCCATTCATCTGCAATGTTCCTGACAAAAGCAAACACGCAGGCATGGAGAAAATTGTTCGCATCTATGATCTCCAAAAGCCAGAAGCTGAGGCAGTCAAACTGCCGGCAGGACCGGCGGGTATCCGTTCGGTCAACTTCATCCAAAACGACAACACCGTTATCTGCAGCTACGTTGACAAGCCGGTCGTTGGGTAGGTTCCTTGGATGTATGGGCAACCACGACTTATGGCTCTTGCTGTCCTGTAGGTGCTACAGGTTAAACGCTGCCTTATACAGCTCACGCCTCATCTTGGGTTTCTGCGCCGCAGGGTATACGACCTGCGCTCGCAGCAGCTCGTGAAGACCATCGAGACGGCATCGCCGGTTACCTCTATCGAGGTATGCAGCGGAGCATGGGGGGATCTGTACCACTTGCCGTCCGTGGGTTTCGGCGCGGGGAAACCCAAACAGGCTACGCCTTTGGCAGCCGTCCAGTACTCCATCCTCTTGCGGCACTTACACGTCGGCTGACGCTACACGTTGGAAACTTGCTTCGCGTGTTCCCTTCGCCGCAATGCCCAATGCCAGGTGTCCTTTGACCAAAAGCACGTCACGACGGCCGAGGGTGCATACGTGCGCTTCTTCGACGCGGCTACGCTGCAGCAGGAGAAGCAGCACAAGCTGACGGCGCCCGCCGAGTCCGCGAGCTACTGCGCCGCCAAGCGGAAGTTCGTGGCGGGTGGCGAGGACATGTGGGTTCACCTGTACGATTATGACACCGGCCAGGTGAGCACCGAAACCTGCGATGTGGGTCACACGCATGTCAACATGACCCCACACTCCGGCCCGTACCCCATGAACCCGATCCCGATCTGGGTCAGCTCTTACTGCGGTCGTCTGGCTGAGTTAGTTCGCTGGTCACCCAATCACCCTTGCCGGAACGTGTAATCTACCGGTATTCCCCGCGCGCACCCATTCTTGCCTCCACCTGCAGGAGCTCGAGTGCAACAAGGGCCATCACGGGCCGGTGCACACCATCCGCTGGGCTCCGACGTACGACGCGTACGCGAGCGGCTCCGAAGACGGCACGATACGCATTTGGTTCCCAGACAGCGCAGACGCTGCCGCTGCCGCCGCTCCTTAGGGGTGCTTGGCTGGCTGAGGTGTAGAGGAGTAGTGGAGGCGTTCGCAGGTTGCGAGGGCAGCAGGTGGGCTGGCAGCCAGTAGGGGTAACCAGGACACACAGGAGCGGGGTAGGCATCGTGATGCGAGCTGTGCCGAAATGCCGCTCCTAGTGGGGTGTAAGGGGTGCACGGGGTACGAGAGAGGAACCGAGTGAAAGTACGGAATTGTACGACCTCTTGAGGGAGTTTTGTGGATCTGGCTTTGGGGCATAGGCATAGATCTGCATACCAAAGTTGTGTACAGGCAGTGTGCTGGGAACTGTAGCAACGCGCTGGGTATTTGTTTTGCCCCGTCCTTGTTTGTTTCTTTGTTCGCAAACAATAGCAGCAACTCACGCCTTGGGTGGCGACAGAGGTAGTAGCATAACGCGATCATGAGAGGGTCGCAGCTGTTATAGGTGTGCAACGGTGACTTCCAAGACTTGCTTGGCAGGCATTAGCGTGCGGGCTGGGTGATGCGGTAGCGGACTTGCAGGATTGTCGCATAGCATGACACGGGGCCTGGGTTCTATGGTGGCGCCACCAGAACGCCGCCTAGTGTCTCGCTGACATGATGGCTCATCCCGAGTGGCTAAATGCAGGAGCGTGGTCCCTGCTGATCGGCTTAGGCTGCCTTGGGTTGTGTGCTTAGGTCAAGCGGATGACGGGGCTTCAAGCCGTGTGGATGGCACCTCACATGCCGCTTGCCCTCTGCGCTCCCGGCGGTGGCTGTCCCACATACACGGGGGGCATGTGTTACGTAGCGTGTTAGTTTGGGCGGACTTGGTAAATGGGGACAATTGGATGCATGCGCGCGAGGCTGCTCTGCACGTGGTGGATCAGCATAGCCTCATGTTGGAAGCTGAAGCGGCGCGGGTGCATACGGCGTGTGCTCGCGGCGCGGGTGCCGACATGACTAGCGGCCTGGGAGGCCTGGTACGGGCAGTGACCCGTACCTTGCTGTGGAGGAAAACGAAACTGGCGGTTGGATTGGGTGAGACGTTTGACTTGGCGGTGATGGCATGCGTGAATTGTCCAAGTGCTTCGATTCCAAAGAACTTTGAGAATGGATGGTGACGTGTGTGCGAGTTGGGTCTGCCAGCGTAAACTGCCAGTGACGAGAAGCGCAGGGCTGGCTTGCTTTGTGGAAGTTCAAGCGTCGCGGGCAGCGTACGTGATTACATGTGACTGGTGAAGGGATGATTGGGCGCATGGGTAGCGTGGAGCTCGCCGTGTCAGCTCATGCTTGGCTGCTGATGTGTGGAAGGTGTGGCAACTGACCAGGGCAGGGGCGTGTAGCCTGTTGTGTGAACGGGGTGCATGTCCGATGGGGTCGGGCCTGTTTGCAACTGGCGGTCATTGCGCGCAACCCTGAATGTAGGAGTGGTGGGTGGGAGGTATGGGTTTTGCCAGCGGCTTGTTGCCAGCCGTGGCTTATGGATGCCGCTGCACCTGCGATGCTGGCTGGGTGCATGTGCACACAGGTGATGCTGCTGGAGGGCAGGGGGCATGTGAGGGTGTCCTCAGGCTTTGCAAGAGGCAAGGTCGAGGCCTCACTCTCTTGCCGTCGTTTGCAAGACCTTGGCTCCTATAGTACAGATGAGCCAACTCTCCATCCGAGACCCTACTCGGCTGCAACATGCGCTCTGTGGCCGCATGTTGCAGCCTTCATGCGCACGCGTGGGACCCGTACAAACCTACTGTGAAAGTCTCTTTTGTTACATATACCGGCGGTAGTAACGCACCGCAGCTCATGACCGTCTTCTAACTCTGTTTGGACCTCACCCAAAACCTGGTGACTGTGGTTACGTGTACTCCACAACACTTATGGGTCAATCACCATGCTCGAAGTCCGTAAGGGCATTCCTAGGCATGGCAACCACAACTAGCACCGGACTATCAGTCCGCTCTTTATGGAGAGACGCCGTCCCCTGGAAGACAAGCTGTGTTCCTTCGCTTAGTAAAGATCCCCGCGTGCTGCCCAACGCAACGCAACCAGCCTCTACCTCAGGCCCTTTTGAAATCATTCCTGGAAGCGCCATAAGCCCACAACGTACGCCACCTGTCCTTGCAACAACGCCCAACTCCGTACCCAACTCCACAACCCCTACCCCATGCCTTCTACCTATTGTTACCAACTCAACATCCTTGTTAATAATCTTCTCCATTAACTTAAATCCCTACACCGCTCCTGACCCTGTGCATATACCGACTCAACTCATCCTACCTCGATCCAACTATCCTGTCCACTCACAAACATGCCGCCCATGCGACCCACGGGTCGGTCCAACGAACCTTTCGCTCTTTCCCAAGCTTCATCTTAAACATGCACTGTGTCGACCTCTTCCCCACCCGCTAGCTACCGGTATATCTTAGAAGTGTACGGTGATGACCTTGGCCTTCCCCATGTCGTACACCATGTCGACCGCCTCGCTGAGCGCCACCTGGCCGAAGCGTGTGATGTAGTTGGAGTTGAGCTTGAGCTCCCGGGGTGCGCCCTCGGGGTTGGCCTTGAGAGCCTGGGGGAGTTTGGGGGGGGGGGGTAGAATACACAGTGTGTGTGGTGGGGGGGGAGAGAGGTTGGATGGGTTGGGTGGGTTATGGATACGGATACAGTACACACCAGCTCGCAAGCATGCACGCACCCCCTCCCCCACCCTGCCTTCCTTCACCTGGGCCCACCTGCGCTAGCGCACACGCGCCGTCGTCCTTGATCTCGTTGTAGCCCAGATCCAGCTCCGCGAGCTTACTGTTCTCCGCAGCCTGCAACAGCAGCAGCAGGCCAGCAGCAGCGGGGGAAGTGGGGCAGGGGGGGTGGGTGCAAAGCAATGGGGGAACGGCACAACACGCCCAAGGATAGAACGTCGTAAAGAGGGAAGGAGGCACGGCAAGAGGTGAACGGCTGGAGAGAGCAGGAGAGCAGGAAGTTAACCCACGGCAAGACCTGTCGCTGCGACACTGCAGCGTGCGCCGCTTGCTCGCCTCCCCCAGCCCAGCCGCTACTACCGGCCACCCATCACACCTTGAGCCCCCTGGACAGCAGGATGGCTCCATCGTTCCCCAGCACATTCCCCCGCAGGTCCAGGTGTGTCAGTGTGGAGTTGAGCAGCAGCAGGTCGGACAGCGCGCGAGCCCCGTCGCCCCCCGCCACCTTGCACCAGCCCAGCTTGAGAGTGGAGAGCTGCGGTTTAATGGGGGATACACATTCCAAATTAGGCTGGATGATAGGATGGCATAAAGTCCAACTTGTTGACAGCTGAGGTTCGGGAGGGAGAGAGGAAGGTGAAGGGCCGGGATGGTGATGCCGTTGTGTGCAGGGAGACGACCGTAACCATGGTAACCCTTTTCCGGCCTCTTTCCTCAACTCCACCTGGTTAGTGGTTACCGGTATACGTCCCAGCGATACCGCAGATCCTCGCATGCCAACCCCCCCGGCAGCACAGCCCACCTTGGGAAGCCCAAACTTGGCGAGATCAGCGATGGTGCGGGTGCCCTCCGCCCCGAGCGGGTTGTAGCCCAGCTCGATGGAGGTGAGTGACCCATGGTTCCGAAGCGCCGCCGCCAGCGCCGCCACCCCCGTGGGCCCGATGTCGTTAGCTCCCAGATCCAGCACCGTAAGGCCCTTGTTGTCCGCTATGGCGTGAGCCATCTGGTGATGGTCCGCAGGACCGAGGTTGCAGGAAATCAAAGCACAAGTGAGGGCAAGGCAACTGGGAAAGGAAGGGCGACAGGATACCACCAAGCAAAGGAGAGTGGATATGCCCGTGCAAGACCCATCGCCACGTTATCCCCACACCTCCCCTCCATGGGATTGCGCTCCATTCCCCATTCTTTTTGTTATTTTCCCTCCCCCCTCTTCCCCCACCTCCTCCCACCCACTCACCTTTGCCACCCCCGCATCCCCGATGTCGTTCATGTACAGGTTGAGCTCCCGCAGCGACCGCTTGAGGCCCAGCAGCCGCGTCAGCGCCGCCGCCCCGCCGCCCGTGAGTCCGTTGTTGCCCAGATCCAGCACGCGGACCTCGCCGGGGTGCGACTGGGGCGGAGGGTGTGTGTGTGTGTGTGAGGGGTGCGGGGTGAGGGGTGAAAATTGGGAGTTGGGGAAGGCAGGAGGCAGGAGGGGTGCGGGTTAGAGGGGTGCGGGGTGGTCTTCTGGTCGCCTGGGGTGGGTGGGGCCTGAAGGACGGGGCTTGCAATGACGCTATGAGACGTAACCGCGGTAGTCTTCACCATGCGTTCAGCCCATCCCAAGCGGCCATGCCACGACAACACATACCTGCCACATCCCAGCCCCAACCCCACAACAGGCCGCTACGTTCCCCCACCCCATCCCTTGATTTTTTCGGGTGGGGTGGGATGTGCCTTGTATTTGTTTAGGAACCCATGGTGGTGAAGCCTCGTCATACACGTCAGTTTCCTTATTTCCACCCCACCCCCCACCCCCCCCACCATGAGTGCCTCGCAGATGGCCGCCACCCCCGCGTCCCCCATCGCGTTCCCCTTCAGGTGCAGCTGCTGCAGGCTGCTGTTGGAGCGCAGCGCGTCAGCCAGCGCCAGCGCACCCGCCTCACCCAGGTAGTTGTCGGTGAGGACCAGCACCTGGGGGCGGGGGGTGTTCGGGTGTAATGGGGTGGGGGGTAAAAGATGAATACCCAATGTGTGGGGTGGGGGTAGGGGGCATGGGGGGGATGCGTGTGTTTTGGGGGCCAGGGGCAGCAGGTGGGATGGGTGGGAGACGGGGTGACGGGGATCCAAAGAGGATTCAACCAGGATGGAAGCCCTCCATATTTCGGTAAGTTTTTAGCTCGCAATGCTTCAACCATCACTTCGGCTAGCGTCTACAGTTCTCTTTATCCCCCCCCCCCCACCTCTAGCGTGTTGTTGGCTGCCAGTGCTGCCGCCAGCGCCGCCGCCCCCTCCTGGTCGATTGCGTTGCCGCTGAGGTCCAGTCGCTTGAGCCGCGTGTTGAGCCGCAGCGCCTCGGCCAGGGCAGTGGCGCCCGCGTCCCCGATACCGTTCTGACCCAGGTCGAGCGTGGTGAGGTGCGGGTGCGCTTTGAAGGGGAAAGGGGTGAAGGTGGGGTGGTGGGGGTGAGGGGTGAGGTGGGGTGAAGTGGGAGCGGGCAGAGGGATGGGAAGGAACACGAGGGATGGCAGGGTTTGCTCGCTGGTCCTTAATTCCCTTCGTCACCGCCCGTCAACCCCGGGCCCCTGCTCACCATGCCAGCCTCCTCACCCGCCCGCCCGCCCCTCCCTGCTCACCCGCAACTGCCCCCGCCAGCACCTCCGCCCCCGCGTCCCCCAGGCTGTTGGTGTTGAGCACCAGCGTATCCAGCACGCAGCTGGGGAGCACCTGAAGGGCGGGGGCCGGGGGATGCATGGGGCGGGGGTGGTGCAGGAGGAGGGGCGATGAAGGGCGGGGGCCGGGTGATGCAAGGGGGCGGGGGTGATGCATGGGGGGCGGGGGTGATGCAGGCGGCGCGGGTGATGTAAGCCGTGTAACAGGGCAGGCAAAACACACCTCTATGTGTCGGGAAGGGGCAGCATGGGACAACGGATGGGAGCTGGAAGAGCAGCACTGACCAACAGACATCGCCGGGCCGCGCTGTTCCAACCGCCCGCCTGCCCCAGCCTGCCCCCCTGCCTACGGTACCTGCAACAGCGCAGCAACACCCACACCGCCCGGAATGCTAGCCTCCCCAGCACCAGCACCACCAGCACTGCTGCTGCTGCTGGCGGCAGCGGCGGCTGCACCTGCAGCCGAGCCTGCGGTGCCCGGGGGCCCCGCCGCTCCGATGCCGATTCCGTTCTTTGAGAGGTCCAGGGCGCGACACGCGGTGTTGAAGGCGAGCGCCTCCACCACGTAGGCAGTACCCTCGTCACCCAGGTTCTGAAGGGGAGCGAGAAGGGAGAAGAAGAGAGAAGGGGTGTGCGGGCTAGGGAAGAGGGCGACAGGCAAGGAAGGGGAAATGATAGCGGTAGAGGGACTGTGGGCATGATCAAAGGGGAGAGAGAGGTGAGAGGTTGTGAGGATGGTGCTTGGGTCACGTGCCTAGGACCTCATCTCCCGGGTGTCGTGGAAAGGGCCGATCAGCTGTCGCCCCTCACCCCCCCAACCAGCTCAAAGTCAATACCTTTGCGGAGAGGTCAACGGAGGGCAGCGTGCGCAGCTGGTCGCACATCTCGTTGAGACGTCCCTGGGCATCGCGTTGAAGACGCTTCTGCTGGATGCCCTGGGCAACCGTTTGAGGCAGCGTCTCAACAACGGTTTTCGCTTGGGATGTCACGTTGGAAAAGAACTTCTTGTACATGACTGCCAAGACGCCCAGACCCGCAACTGCGGCCAGAGCGACTGCCATGGGTGATATGCCACCGTCGCTGACCGCCGTCCGAGAAGGAATTTGATTAGGTTGGACATGTTGAGTGGTTCTGCGGCGGGCACGGGTCCGCGCGTCCACGTCCCTGCCGCTGCTAACTGTCCGCGTGGCTTCCATTCCCGAAACCGAGCTGGACGATGCATCGCCTGCAGCCTTTGCAACCAATAATCCTCTTGGGCAATCTCTAGTTCTCAAGCTGGCTGGAATAAGCCAAAGCCCTTGTTGGTGCGCTGGACCGTGTCGGCATGAGGCAACCTCAGGTGGCCTCAGAGCCCAGCCGCTGCAATACATTGTTATCGCAAGTATTCAAGATCACTTCGGTCTTTCCAATTGCTGTCCGTTCGCGGAGTAATGCCAAGGCACCGTTCAATACTGCACAGGGTCCAGTTGCAAGACCTATTCAAGATCAATCGTGTCTTTTACTATCCTGAAGGTCCCCAATAAGACATGGAAGGTTCTTCGCCACAAGCATCTGATTGCCAACTGCCTGCCAGTACAAAACGCCCAACGTATTTGATTCCATTTCCATTCAACACCCTTTCCCTGGCTACGACTTGGGCGGTGGCTTGCGCCCAAGACCAACAGCGTAAAATTCGCGGCTCATTGAGCGGCTTGCGTCCACGCGCATGCGAACCACCTTGGTGAAGTATCGCTGCATGTCTCGGATAAACTCCAACGTCCCAGATCCCTGCAGGAAAAGGGCCAGCGCAAATCTTGAAGTGCAATGTAAGCACAGTAAATTACAGTAGAAGATCAAACAACATGTTCTGAACAGGCGACATACAACAGCTGCGGAGAAGAACAGGTCTCACTAAACAGCTGCTGCCTTCGTACAACAACGCACCTCATACACCTTCATGACAAGGGCGCCCCCGGGCCGCAGGAAGCCCGTGTGCCGGAAGCCCAGCTGCTGCGCCAGGGCCTCGCCGTACAAGTCAAAATGGTAGCCCGTGGCGATGTGAAGTGCCGTACCCGCCAGTTCTAACGACAGCTCCACATCTGGTGGTCGCAGCGGCGATAGTGTGACAGCAGCAAAACGAACAGAATCAGTAAATGCAGCAGACATTAATGGGACTGGGAACTGTACAGTGCCTGTAAAGACTATAATTCTGGATCGACTGCTTCCACGTCCGTGTGGGCCCGGTTCCATAACTCCCAAACTCGCCCCATCACTCACCATTTACCCCGCTTGTGAACTGCAGCATGTCTGACAACACCGTGTCGAAACCCTGTGAAGGCAGGGAACGCGGGGGGGGGCAAGCGCTGGGTAGCAGGGAGGGGCCTCGGTACCATGCAACGAAGGAGGCCCGATGGCTGGCATGGCGGATGGGTGCATCACGTGTGCCACTATCACGTGCTGCAAAGCAGACGCCGACAGGCACCGACCGTACAAACTGACTGAACAAACTATCACCCGTCCACTAGTAACACGCACAACCCCAAGTCCTCCTAGCTAACGAAGCATTGCATGACCACCCAATTGCTGCCTCTACGACCCACGGGTCAGTCATGCACCTGCAACCCATGTATTACGGTACTGTCTCCAGCACAGGGTCCGTAGTACATCGCGGCTCAGTTACCATACCCCGCCCCACCCCAGCCCCCCGCACCCACCCCGGGCGCATACTCCTGCAGCAGTGAGGGCGGCAGGGTGCGCGCGTCCGCCTGGATGACGTGCACCCGGTTGTCGCAGTAGCGCTCGGGAACCGTGACGGGCTGGGGGGAGGGGGCGGGCGGGAGGCTGGGTTGAGTGCACTGGAAGGTTCAGGTAGCGGCAGCAGAGGTCACAAAGGTTCATTGACCCAGCGGGCAGGCAGCCCGGGAAGGCCTGGGGCAGGGGTGCGGTGGTGGGGATGGTATGGTTCACTCGTGGCGTTTCTGTGGTGACTTCATCTTCCGGTTACAGTACGTTCCGACTGGCGCCCAGGTTCCCAAACACACGGTAGGTCCAGCCAATTAGCCGATCTGATGTGAGTGAGCAGCCGCAAGGGGGCATTTGACGGATGACTCATTTCCCTTTCCCTCTCATGTACGGCAGCTGCCGCCACCCTGCTTGCCTTCCTGGATCCCCTGGTCCCCAACCACCCTGCTTCGCTTTTCATTTATACCCCCACCCCCCACCCGCACCTGAATGTCCACCCCCAGCACGGTGCCACCTCGCTCCCGGGGGCCCAGCTGCTGGCACGCCACCTGCATCCAGGCGCCCGGACTGCAACCCAGATCCAGAACCGTACCACCTGTGTACGGCAGGGTAGGTAGGGGGTGGTAGCGGGGCAAGGGCGGGTACGGCAATACGGTCGGAATGGGTGCGATTGTACGACAGGTGGTGTTGTTAGACACGTGGAGCAGCCGTACAGCCCGTACAGCTCGTACATAACCATGGCGACCAGGAGGCCAGCAGCTAGTCTCCTCTATTACCGGCACCCGCTGTGTCACTTACGCGACGAGCCGCCCTCACCGCTCTCACCTGGTTTTATGATTTTGTGCTTGTCCTGAATCTCCAGTAGCTTGTACGCAGCTCGGGAAACGTATCCCGTTTTCTGCGCGGCAAGGCCCTAGGTCAGCAGCAAGTGCTTTGCGGCAGCTCATGCGTACGTCACGCGGCGGCCGCGAAGGAGTCGCACGGATAAGCTGTACGGATAAGCTGTACGGATGAGCTGTACGGATATGCTGTATGGGTGAGCTGTACGGATAGGCTGCACGGATAAGCTGTACGGACGGCGGACGGCCTCTCTGGGGACACCAGGCTACCCGTGCGGAGCCAGAGGGTCGGGAAGCCAGGGGGGCACCCCCACGGCTGTGATGGTGGGGGTGGGGGTGGTGATGGGACGCAGCGTGCAGCACCCGTGCAGCACCCAGTGGGCCTTATCGGCGGGCATCCAGCCATGCAGCTGCATCGCGCGCGTTGCGGCTGCCTTACCTTGGCTTCCTTGAAGTAGTGGTCTGGCAGGGATTACGAAGGGCGGGATGAGGGCGGGGACGAGGGAGGGGACGGTAAGCCGGCAGCAGGGCATGACGTGGAGCGGCCGGAGGAAGTAAGGCGGTTGGTTATTGAAACCAGGGTGAGAGCAAACTTTGGGTATTGAGGAAGATTCGGATGGTGGTGGCGGTTGGGTGGGTGGGTCCGTATGGATGGGGCGGGATGGGGAATGCTTCGCTGGGCTTTATGGCTACCGCCGTCAGTGCTGCTCTGACCCTGGGTCAGGACTGCAAGGCACAGTTGGGTTGCGACGGTTGCGCTGCACTTACCATGTTGCACCTTTTTCGTCCAAGCCGCTAGGATTGGTCTATGGAGTCGTGACATGCCAAGCCTCCTTTGGGGGCAAGGGGCTTGGGCCATCTACATAGCAACGTCGCAGGGACCACGACTTCCGACGGCTGCGCCAAAATGTACTCTAACGGGTTAGATGTTATAAGGGATCTTTTGTAGAATAGAGGACTCAACGTCAGGCAATACTAAGTTCTGGTCGTTAGTGGGCAAGCAGAGACCGCCTCATGCTGCCGCTTTGCATAACGCTCGTCATAGAAGCAAGAACATCTGGTGACTCCCTTGGTGACCGCAGTATGGGTGCCGTGACTAAGCAATTCGGCGTGGGATGCCAGAATACGTACGACATGAAACCTGTTTAAGATTCATGTCGCGATTGCACGTATTCATCTCTGTAGACATCATACACCTTACATGCACCAACTTGCAACATCAATATCTGGGTTAAGACTTGCAAACTTTGTTCAGTTAGCAGAAGCCCCTTTGGCGCCATGCTTAGGCTAACGTCGTTGTCAAGAGAGGTATGTTTACGTTGCAGTTAACGTATTGAACGGAACCAAAGCCCACATGCCAGGGTTCTACGAGCCCAATGGACGTCCATCTGTCTCACACAAATGTTGCTTTTGTAGAGTTCTGGCCAGCCCAGATTCCGCGCACTTCTGGATGCGGCAATACGTAGGTGAGTCGCCCCGTAACGACGACGGAAGGTGAAGGGCTGCAAGTGCTCGAAAAGAGGAATGCCGAAGGTCTTGATGTATCATGCACTTCCCACATGCCCATAATGGGATCTGTCTCCTTCTACAGTTGCGGCGCTGCTGGTGGCGGGAGAGTGGATCCGGCGTCCCTTCAGGGCATGCTCAATCTCGTCCATGACAAGTTGTTATCCCCAGGTATTCCTGCACACAACGGGTATTTGCCTGCTGGGTAAACCTACTACGGCAAGTGTCTCCTACTTCTCTGTTTATTACCCATTTTCATCAGTTTTTATTTATGGGGTACGGCGTGTCGAGACGCCAGGACTCCTTTGCAGGCCTGGAATCTTCAAGGCCCAACTAATCCCCGCAATGCTTGAGAACACCGTCATTCATGCTTCTCCCTTACGTGTACTTCATTTGCATGTCCCATCGGCTATCTGCACAGGACGGCAGGGGCCACATCCTTACCAGTCCTCCCTTGCTCAGCTCCTCCCCAGAATCCCAACGTCCCTCCCACCATATCCCCCTCTTCCTTCCTCTTCCCTCGCCACCCCCACCTCTAGGTGACGCGCTGAGCTGCTTCAAGGGCTACTTCCGAGAGGGCCCTCCGGAGCAGCAGTACCAGGCGCTGCTGGTGAGGGGGGGACGGGGTGCCCTGGAGGGGGGGCAGCGGCGGCGGGCGGTCAACGGGAGCCAACACCCAAGGCTCCACCATGTGTTGCATGTGGCCATGTCCCTCTCCCCTCTCCTCCCTCGTCTTCTTTATTATCATTCCTCCTCCCTCCCCCCCGCTCCCTCCTCCTCCTCCACCTACCCCCTCTCCTCCTCTTCCCCCCCCTCTCCCGTCCCCTTTGCTTTTCCCTAACCTGTGGCTTCCTATGGTATGTTACGTGGCCTCCCCCCCACCACACCACACCCAGGTGCTCATCCAGTTCGTGGGCTGCGACCCGCACTTCGCCAACCTGCTTCACGCCGAGCTCGCCTCGCGGCGCTGGCGGGAGCGCTTCGTGTCCCTGGCCGCCTCCTGCCGCCACCCCGAGGTGCGCCCGCTGCTGGTGGCCTCGCTGGAGGGCTGGGCGGCCAGCTACCGCGCACACGACATTGGCGCGCACTACCAGGCCACGCTGCGGGAGATACGGGGCGCGGCGGGCAGCAGCGGAGGCGGAGCCGGACCTTTCCGACCGGGGAGTTCGGCAGGAGGAGGAGGAGGAGGGGGGTATCATGCGCAGAGCACGGGGGCTAGCGGCTACAGCACACAGTATACCGGAGCTGGAGCAGGAGGAGCGGGAGGGGTAGGAGCAGCGGGATTGCCGTACGGGTATACCCCGGGGGCTTATCCGCCGCCTCCGCACCACCAGCACCACCAGCACCACCCCTACCACCCGCCCGCGCCCCAGCCACCCCCCCGAGCTGCGGACCCGGCGGCTGTGTCTGCCAAGGTGAGGGAGGGGTTGATCATCCATCATCCATGCAAGACCATCATCCATGCAAGACCATCATCCATGCAAGACCATCATCCATGCAAGACCATCATCCATGCAAGCCAACATGAGGCGTTAGGCGGTGGACGTAACAGCCCTCGTCGCAACAACAGCTTGAAGAAAGCAGCCGCCGCCGTGAATGGACGGCTGCACCAGGCTGCACGGCCTATTGAAGTGGAGTCCGGCCCGTAGCTCCGTTACACTCCACCACCCCCTCACCCACCTCCCGCCCCCCCCCCCCAGCATCATTAAACACCTTGGGATTCTTCTTTCCCCTCCCCCCCAGCTGGCCCAGCTGGTGTCCGAGGTGGAGTCCCTGCGCGGCTGCAGTGGCGCACTGGAGGGCGCGCTGGCGGACTACAAGGCGCAGCGCTGCGGCTTCCCCGCACTGGCGGGGGCGCTGGAGCGGGGGCAGCGGGTGGCGGAGCGGGTGGCGGCGCTGCAGGCGGAGCTGGAGGTGGGGGGGGGAGGGGGTAAGGGGTAAGGGTGGGGAAGGGGAAGGAGGGCTGAGGTGTGAGGGTTGGGGAGTTGTGTTTGCTTGCTTGCTTTCCGAGGTACTGAGGCCCCTCCTGCTTTCATTTCCCCCTCTTCCCCAACACTCCGTATGGTGGCACCCTGCCGCCTCCTATCCCCTTCGCGCTGCCCTATGGTCTGGTATGGCCTATGGCTTCCTATGGCTTTCTATGGTCTGGTATGGCCTTCTTCCCCTTCCCTCCCCCCCGCCAGACCCTGCTAGGTGCCTCCGAGGGCGTTGACGAGGCGCTGGTGGGGCGCATCTTCGCGTGCAATGACACGGCGGTGGCGGCGCGGGAGGGCTGGCGGGCGCTGGCGGAGCAGGAGCTGGCGCCGGGTGGGGGCAGGATGGGGAGGGCGGGTGGGGAGGGCGGGTGGGTGTGGGAGGGAAAGGACAGTTCACGTGGCATGGCCCCTCGCCACGTGGCATGGCCCCTCGAGGGACAAGATGGGATCATATGAGTGCCTGGGGTAGGGGTGGGGCTCTGACACCATGCACGCAAGTAGCATGGTGGGTAGCGAAGGGAAGCTCGCCAGTAGCAGTGAAGGAGTTGGCTAATCGCTGATTGCTGATTCGTCTCCCTTCCGTTCTGTGTTATCGCTCCTGCCCTGCAGACGACGTGCCCGCTCTGCCCACCTCCTCCTCCGGCGCCGGTCCCTCCACCTCCACCTCAGCAGCAGCAGCAGCAGCCGCTGCCCCGCCGCCGCCTGCCCCGCCCAAGCCCGCCCCCAGCCCCATCGACCTGCTGCTAGGCGACGAAATCCCCTCCTCCGCACCACCTCCACCACCACCTCCCCCGACGGCACCCACACCTTTCAGCGCTGCGGCCGGGTCTGCGGGGTCTGCTGCCAACGGGTCGTTCTCCGTCCCCAACGGCGCTGCTGCTGCTGCTGCTGCCGGCGGCATGTGGGCTCATTCAGGGCCCTACACGTCCTCAGCAGCAGCGTCAGCACCAGCTGCGGCTCCCTCCTCCACCTCCTCCACCCCCATCGTGCCCGCGGGCGACGTGGAGGGTCTGCGGGCGCAGGTGTTGGCCCTGGCCGGCGAGTTGGAGCAGCAGCGGCGGGTGCACGCCACGGCGCTGGAGAGGCAGGAGGCGTTCCACCGCTCGGAGATGGCGCAGGTGCGGGGCAAGCAGGAGGAGAAGGAGTGCGTGGCAAGCAGGAGGAGTAGGAGTGCGTGGAGCGGGGTTTGTAAAGGGGCCAGCGGGGTTGGGGTTGCAGTTCGACGGTGGGAGGACTGCGGGTGCAGTGCTTGACCGTTGCGACCGTTGCCTCGCATCCTTGCTTCCCCTGTACTAGGCGATACTCATACTCACCCCTTCGGTGACGGTCCGCCCGCTCCTCGGCCCACCGCAGGTAAAAGCCCAGGCGCAGGCGCGTATCGCCGACTTGGAAGCCGCCCTGGCGGCCGCTCAGCAGCAGCAGCCACCACTCGCCTACCAGCAGCAGCAGCAGCAGCCGCTACCGTTGGGGCCCTTCACCTCCGCCGGGGGACCCTCCACGTCCGCCTCCACACCCGCAGCTTTGACGCCTGCCGTCTCCGGAGCGGCCGCTGCCGCAACCGCAGCAGCCGGCGGCAGCATTAATCAGTTTGGAGGGTACGGTGCGCCGTACGGCGGCCCTCCGCCGGCAGCGGCCCCCTCGTACCCGCCTATGGCACTAGCTAGCACCAACCCCTTCGCCAGCAGCTTCAACCCCGCCATGCAACAGCAGCAGCCGCCAGCGCCAGCGTTCGCTCCGTCCTTGCCAATGCCGACAGCGTCAGCAACGGTTGCACCGCCGTCAGCAGCAGCAGCAGCAGGCGCTGCGTCCGGAGCCGCTGCACCCAACCCGCTTGACATCTTGGGCGCGTTTGACGACCTGGCCCTCGCGCCCGCAGCAAAGCATCAACCGGCTGCGGGGCCGCCCATGCAGCAGCAGCAGCAGCAGGCGTTGCGGCCGTACCCCAACCTGCCCTCCGCGCCGCCGGCTGCCGCAGCCACGGCTGCTGGTGGCGGTGGAATGGATGCAGGGGGCTCCTGGGTTAACTTTGGCGTGTAGCTTCCTTGCATGCATGGTCCTTGCATGCATGGTCCTTGCATGCGGCGGGATTCGCAGTTGTACGGCATGAACCGAACTGGGTGTACGGCATGCACGGTGCTGTGTAGCAGCTCGGCATCTTGGATTGCAACTGATGACAGCTAACACGGCAGCTGGTTATTGGCTTGGTGGGAGGGCGGCTTTTCGTGGAAGGGCATGGATGGATACGCGTATGTGGGCATTGCAATCGTCACGGGCATTGCAGTGCATTGCAGGTGCGGGAGAGAGAGGTTTATGGTTGGGTAGGGGTCCCGGGGATGATGTGGCGTGACGAGGTGGGTACCGGTATGTGGGGCGCAGATGGGGTGTACCGTTGTCGTGAGGACTACTACCCGTGTAGTCACGCCGCATGTAGGGATGGCCTGGCGGATGCATGTATGTGGGGGCAGCGCCTGGGGTGTGGGTCGTGCTGTTGGTTGGCTGGAGTTCTTCTTGTTGCACAAACGCGTTTGGTGTGGCTTGGTGGTTGCGTGCGTGTTAGGGCTGATGGCACCGGTATATGGAAAGCGCATGTGCAGTGGTGAACAGATTGACAGTTCGCGCAGCAAATTGACAGTTCACGCAGCATATTGACACTTCGACATAAGGAAGGAGGAGATGGCAAAAGCTTGCTTCCTACTATGGCCTGTCGTACGGCATTGCAGTACGGCATTCTTATCGTAGTACGGCATCCATGAAGTATAGTGGCTTGTGATGTGTGTCACGTGGCGCTGCAGAAGCGCTGTGAGGCTGCCCTGCATTTGGCATTAGTACTTTTGTCATGCCAGCTCAGCAGATATCCGCTCGTCGCGGTACAGGAGCATCTTGGGCAGTGTGGTGTGTTGTTAGGGTCCGTGTTTCCCGCCCTTCCCTGCAGTCACCTGCTACTCCTTGGACGTGCCGTGCTCTGGCCCTGGGCCTTCTGCACGTGAACCTGGCATGCGGTTATTGAATTGCCTAGACCTTTGCGCAACTTGTGCTTCTGGTCTCTTGGATGCGTGGAACCGCAGGTCTGTGCGGGGTTTCGCCATGTCTTAGCGCGTATGCTTGCCGTGCTCTTGTCGTACATGAGGTACAAGAATGTTCGTACATGCTGCTGTATGGTGTAACCAAGTCGACTTGGGACGCTCTGGGCGCTATCTGGGTTGGTATGGGGTATAGGAGAGACCCAATGAGTCTGAGAGCAGCCACAGGCCGAGTCCGGACGTGAGGCTAGTTGCTGTTTGTGTCTCAGGGACGTGTCGCAGCGCCATAGCAATATACAAGTTTTGCAGCAAAATGCCAGACTGTCATGAGCACGTTCCTTCCCACCAATCCTCGTTATCCCCAAGATTGCACGGTATTTTCCGTACAATTCTCCATGCTTCCGGCTTCGCGATGGCTTTCTTCCTACAAAGGCCATTAACCCGGATATAGGCAAATTGGGTTCCTTCCCCATAAGATTCAAGTTTACGGGTACTTTCCTTTGCATCCTCCGATTAGCGAAAGAAGCAGTATAAATATAATTTTATTAGAATAAGGCCAGTTGAAAATAAAGATAACCAGAAAAGACTTAACAACGCCAGTTCCCCTAGCAGTCCTAGCTGACGTAATGGCAAGTGAGCTAAAGGAGCAGGTGGCCAACCTGCGAAAGCAGATAGACGACTTGACTCAGTTTGAGATGCTGGGACGGAGACAAGCTCTGCGGCAATTGCTAGACGCCGTGCGGAAGAAGCTGTTGGGGCGCGAGTTAGTAAACGATGAGCGCGGGGACGCGTGGAACAAGCAACTGGAGCAGATGAATGACTTCAAGGGCATTACAAAGGCGGCGGCAATGCTTACATCGTTCGGGCCTGCCGCGCAGAAATTGCACAGCAGCTGGACATCCTGCGAGTACGATGTGTCCATAGTTGCGCACGCCGTGACGACAGCACAGAAGCACGGCGACCTGTACCGGCAGCTATTCAAGCTCGCATACGAACTTGACGCAGATGAGGTAGTTGCCGCAGAGCTTTCAGATGCCTGAGGGCTTTGCAATTACTCCATCTTCGTCGAGCCCATACACGAGCTTGGATAGCTGCCGGCACAAACTGTCGATGCTCTGTGCTGCTGTCACGGCGTGTGCAGCCATTGACAGCTGGGCTGAAGTCGTAGCTTGTACAGGACCGAGCACCGAGGGGTATGCAAGGTTGCAGTTGGGGCTAAAGCCGCCGCGGTTCACCCAGAGGGAATTACTAGGGGATAGGGTACCCTTGTTGAAGCCCCGGCCTGTTCCCTGCGCCAACGCGGACACCACTTTTTTGTACCCGCGCTTTTGGTTCCGGTCTGCGGCTTTCTGTGACACTTTAAGCTGATAGGCAATCACCTGGCGAGGGACATGATTGGCATGATAGTAGAGCCTGCAGGGAGCTTGCGGCACTTGCGGGGCATGGTGCGGGAGGGCATTGTGACGCATGCAGTGCCATTGCTGCAGGCCCGCGTGGAGATTTGCTTCGATCCGTGATTGAGTGGTTGGGGCGGGGGTTCAACAGATGGGATTCCCTTATGATATAGGATTATCCCTGTGAGATCAGCTACTTGGATTTTTTGACAGTATTTGTTGACGCATTTTGTGCTCGCATTTCGTGTGCTACATGACGCAATGTAGTGTTTATCGTTTCCGGTACGGGCAGGTCCTATCCCCAACCAGCTAGATCTTTCAGGAGCGCAGTACGCAAGCGAATACCAGTAGCTGGTGTGCCGGTATGTCTGCTTGTCTGTTTAGGTTAGTGTGGTTTGTTAGTGCCTTGGTTGCACGTCCAATCTTTTCATATGAATTGCGTGTGTATGATACGAGCTGCGGGTTATTTCAATCTTCTCGTGGGGTGGTGTGCAGGTTGAGATTGGCATGCGGTGTACGTTGACATGTTACCTCCGGACCCCGACGAAAGAGGAAGAGGAAACACCATACTGTTTGGAAACTGGTGGTGTCACGAGGTCATGCATGCAAAGTCTCAAACGCAGATCTTTGTAAGGCCTATGGTTGCTAACAGTACACGCTCCGGCTGCGCAAGGATGGTTCCGTCGTGCTACCATCAGCTTCCCGCAGAACACTGGTAGCTAGCTCGGACACTAGCGATCTGACCCGCATGAGCTATCAGAGCTTCGTCGTCAGCGTACGTTCCGGTAACGTACCGGTACCGTATCAAGAAAGTACGACATCCATGGTTTTGCGTGCCACACGAACAGGGTTTTCCTACGCTGTGTAGCCCACGCTTTTTAACAATGCTTATTTCCAAGTGAGCTTGCAACCAAGATGTTTGGCCTGCTATTTAACTTTTACAATTTCTGCAAGAAGAAAACTGAACGCAAGATCACCCTAGCGCTTCTTGGGTTAGACAACGCCGGAAAGACAACACTGCTAAATACTTTAAAAGGCGAGGTTGACCAAGACACGACTCCAACGTTCGGCTTCAACAGCTCTACTTTACATGAAGGCAAATACAAAATAGAGGTCTTCGATCTTGGAGGTAGTAAAACTATTCGCAGCGTCTGGAAAAAGTACCTGGCTGAGGTGCATGCCATTGTCTACGTCGTGGACGCGGCCGACCCACAGCGCTTCGAGGAGTCACGGAAAACAATCCAGGATGTCCTCGACAATCAGTATATGCTCGACAAGCCTATTCTCATCTTTGCAAATAAGCAGGACCTACCTACCGCGGCCTCGGCCGCTGAGGTCATCAAAGGTCTGGGCATGGCTACCTGCAGAAACAACCACAACGTAGTCCCTTGCACCGCGAAAACACCCGCGGGCCAGCCTATCGATCAGCGCCTGCGAGAAGGCCTTCGATGGGCAGTGAGTTGCGTTGACCGAGAGTACGGCAGGCTAGACGCGCGCGTACAGACAGAAGCAGAAGCAGTAAGACAGGAGGAGGCGCGCAAAAAGAAGGAACGCGACGAGCGCCTCAAGCGGCAACGTGAGGAGCGGCTGCGGCTCCAGAAGCAGGAGGAGGAGCGAGCTCGGGAGGTGGAGAAGGAGAACGCGCTGCATGACGGCAAGGGGGCATCGCTGCTGGCGGTTACAGCCAACGGCCAGGCTGAGCAGCAGCAGGCGCCTCCGTCTGGCGGGCTACCGTCGGGTCTGGGGCACCTGCAGCTGCATCATGGGTTGGCGCTAGGGCTGCCGCACACAATAGACAGGTGCGTTGGTGGCTGTCATGGCTAAATCTGATTATGCTGATAGCTAGGAGGGGCCTGGCTTGACGGGACGGGGGAGCATGGGCCGCACCATGTTGCCCCTGAGGGGGGCATAGGTGCCAGGGCCACCCTCCTCCCTAGCTTCTTCATCACCGGCCTCCTCATGGCACACTGACCACCGCAACCAACGCCCCCTTCCCTCTCCCTCCTCCCCTCTTTTCCCCTCTCCTCCCGTCCCCATCAACAGCCCCGGCAAGCTGCCAGCCACCGGCCACCCGCCGGACCTGCCGCCCGCCTCCGACCTCATCCCCGCCCAGCAGGACCAAGGGCAGGACTCGAACCGGGGTCTCGCAGCCGCTGCGCCGGCAGCCTCCAGCGGCACCGGCGCCGCTCTGCCGCCGCTGCGCGTTCCGCCACACTGCATGGGGACAGCTGCGGCGGCGGCGGCGAAGCCACCGCAGCCGTCAGCTGCTGCTGCTGGGGGTGCGGCGTCGAGTCCACCTCCGCGCGGCAGCGACGACGGCGGCCCCGCAGCCGCCACATCATGTAGTCCTTTAACAGCAGGGTCAGGGCAGTCCCCGACCCGAACAACATCCGGAGGTGGTGGTGGTCAAGTCAGTGCTGCTGGCGGCACCGGGAGTAGCAGCGCAGCGACGGCTGGGGTATCCGCTGGCGGCACGGGCGGGGGCGGGGCCGCGGAGGAGCAGGGATGGGGCTACGCGCAACGATCGCGGTTGGGGCTGTCGTCGGGCGCGTCGGGGGGGCAGTCGGGCGGCGAGGCGCCGCACCGGGGGAGCTTCAGTGTGGTGCATCAGTCCAACAAGGTGGTGCCGCTGGGGACGGAGGGGGGGACGGAGGGGGCGGCGGCGGCGCCCGCTTAGCGACTTCTGGGATGGGTGGACAACGAGGTTTGGCAAGGGGGGGAGCGATTGGGTGTGCGGATGTGTGGGTTTGTTAAGGACAGTTGGCTGCGAGTCGGAACGCACTGTGATGATTGTGTGTGTGAAAGGCGGGCTTTACCACTGTTATGACGCAGCGGGCACGCTGTATAGAATATGGTCAAGCGTGTTATGTGCATGTAGGAGGTTAGGTACGGGGTGCATGAACTCGGGGTACCGGTATTGGTTAGCGGTTAGCGGTTAGTACTGTAGCGGTGAAGTACTTGGACTGGGTGTCATATTTCCGTGTTTTTAGGTGCCACTGAGGTGTGGGCGCTGTAAGCCGGTCCAAGGCTTACGGCATGCGCCGTGCAAGGCGTGCAGTGTTGGTAGGCGGGTGCTTCGTTGCACACACACCCCCAGGTGTCCTGTACACGTGTAGCAAGTATAGACTGCGTGGGCATTGCCCGGCAGTGCAATGAGACCACTGGGCGAGTCCTGGTGCTCGTGGAGAGGTAGGGCGCACCGTGGACGTACAGGTGTCGTGAAGCCCTCGTATGTCCCTGAGGGACGCAACGTTACAACAACATGATGCTTATTGCGGTAAGCTGCACGAAGGGTCCTTTCGAGCCCTATGCGACAGGAAGCCGGAGTTGACCGGTCCTCAAACTCGTAGCGATTAGCATTGACAACAAGCTAGTCACGGAAACGCTGCTATATGGCAACTGAAGTAGCTAGGGCATGACAGCACAATGCCCTAGCGACAACAAGGGCTAAACACATGTGCTGTGCAAAGATGCCAAGCCCGGAGCCCCGGACCATTCCACACGACCAGGATCGTCAGAGATCGGTGCTAGCCCTGCTAAAAGGTGCGCCCAAACTTAAAACACCCAAGGGCATAGCGGGCCACGAGCCCCCATGACCCATGGGTCTTTGCTATACTGCCATACCCCTTCAATCAAGTTCCGCACTACGATCCCTGCTCGCCCACAAGAGCAGAGGCGAGTGTGGCGCATGTTTCGTACGGTTGCCAAGGCACAACTGGCGCGTCGCATTCTTTCGCAATTCTTCACAAGACAAACAATGCCGTACGTATGTGTACCGTACAACGTACATACATACCCAACATACGTAAAACACATCGTCACGACAACAGAATAGGGCACTCAACATCAATCACAGTTAGATGTCGAGGTTCACGAATGCCATCTTCTCGCTCTTTCTCTCTCGTATAACGATACGCGAGACGTTGCGTATCCGCATGAAAGTAAGGTCCTTCTGTCCAATCTGCCGTACAAACCAACCCAGCCACATGGATTTGTTCGTACCAATGGCCGTACGGCTGCCCTAACGTGCGGCTCCGCAACGTCTGCATCGCCTTCGCGGCGGACTTTCGCAAGTTCCAAACAAACGGACATACCGTTCAACGCACCCCTCGGTAGCATTGTTAACAGGTGCAGATGCCAGCCAAGGCAAAACACATGCGCATAGCCAGTCCAGAAGGCTAAGAACGTAAGCGGCCACGGGTCCAACGACTGCTATCGTAACCCATAGAAGTCACCAATCCACTAACTCGCAAACCACAGCCCCACACACATGCACATGTCTCACCTAACCCACAAACCGCCTGAACACTGTAAGGTCTGTAACACAGCGCGGGAAACCATCCCAGTCTACAACAGCGCCGACACCCGCATGATGGCAGCGGGCGGGGAGATGCCGCAAGCCGCCGGCGGGGGCCACTTGCGCTCTAGCCATGCAAACGCCTTGGCCTCCAACGGAATCCACGCCATGCGATGGCTGCCGTACTTTCCCCGTAGCAGCGCAAGCGCCAGTACGGTGCTCCATGCGGGACCTCGTACGGCACCTCGGAGTGCGGTTTCGCGCAGCTGAGTCAGACTCTCCCGGAGACGCGCCTCTCGGGCGTCCGCAGCCATCTTCTCAGCGGGGGTGGCGGGCTTGGGGCCGCCTGTAGTGGAGGTGGGGGGTTACGGGTGAGATCGCGGAGGTGGAGAAGTGGGTTCAACCCGATGCCGAGTGACGTTATGGCGATGGTGCATTTGACGTCACAAGCAGCGCCGAGATCTGAACTGCTTGCCCATCGGTGCCGCTTTATGTAAAACACAATATAAAACACGGCGGATTGTTGCACCTGCACCCGTGTGCCCCGCCTGCACCTACTCATGCCCCACTGCACCCCACCTAGGGCTTCAACCACATGCGCCCCCCCCCGCTCACCTAGCACCGGCACCACCAGATGTCGACCGTTGCTAACCACCAGCTCCTCCACCTCAGCAACTGCCGGCCAGCTGCCGTCGGCCTGCTGCAACATCGACAGGCGGCCAATCACCGTCAGAAGATGAGCGGTCGCGAGCGAGGTGGCCGTTAGCGGCGGACCGATAGGGCCCTGCAGGGCCTTAATGGCTTCCAGGGGCGGGCTGGGAGGACCAGGGGGCTGAGGGGATGGGGCGGAGGGCAACGGCGGGGACTGCAGGGAACCCGAAGGCGGCAGTGGTGGTGCTGGTTGCGAGGGATGGTAGGAGAGCGGTTTGGAGGAGGAGGGCAGCGAGGGTTGGGGTGGCAAGGGAGGCAGCGGGGGTAGGGGTAGGCCGGAGGAGGCTGTGAGGGGCGATGAGTCCTGGACTTGGGGTGTGGGGGTCTCCCTGCCCCGACCGGGCGACGGATGCGGGTGCTGTTGGTGCGGGTGCTGTGGCAGCGGTGCGGAGTGCAGACGTGACACCGGGCGGATGGCGGGTGGCGGCGGTGCCTGTGTGAATGAGGTACGCATAGCGGGCGATGGCGGAGGCGACGGCGCCGCCGGCGGTGTTGTGGAGGAAGCGCCGTCGGTGCGGTTGAGGTGCAGGACTCCCGCGGGAACCGCTGCTGCTCCTGCTGCTGCTCCCGTTGCTGTTGTGCTGCTGCCGGGATGCAGGTCATGGGGCTCCGCGGAGCTCGCACGTCCACTGGCGGCTTGCTGCGCGCTAGCAGCAGAACTGAGGACGTGGGATGAGGAGGAAAGAAGAAAGTCAAAGAGGGCCGCAGTGGGATAGGGAGTCAGCACAGGCAAGCTGGGAGAACAGGATGTACGGTAGTTTAGGACTGTCACTGTCCTTCCATATGTTTCCTTAGCCCAGCCTTACTACGGCCGGTCCACCCCCCTGCCGCTTCAACCGTGAACACCCGCATGCGTCGTTTCCGCGAAGCATTCACTCACACCTTGCGGCCCCCATGCGGCCCCCCTGCATGCACCTTCCATGCCGCCTCCTATCCCCTTTGCTTTGCCCTAACCTGTGGCTTCCGATGCTATGGTATGGCCTTTGACCCCCCCCTGCATGCACCCCACCATCCACCCCCCCCCCCAGTCCCAACCTAAACCCCACGCACCCCTGCTGCACCGCCACCAGCATCCCAGACAGCTCCAACAACATCCGCCGCCGTCGGGCGCTCCCCGAGCGGCTGCTGCCGGCGCGGCCGCTGCCTCGCCTCGACCCAGCCAGCAACGGCGACCCCAACTGTGTCTGCTGCTGCTGCTGTTGTTGTTGCAATTGCTGAGGGTCGCTTGCTTCCGAACCCGAGCCCTCTCCTTCCGAGGAAATGACGGCGCGGACCAACGCGGCTAGAATCGCCGCTTCCGGCGGTTGTGGCGGCAGCGGCGGCGGCTCAGCGGCGTCGGCCTGCTCCTTCCCGCCGTGCGGATGGAGCCGATATCGCTCTCGTGCCGACGATGCTGGCGGCGGCGGCGGGGGCGGCGCCACCACCGGCGGCGTCAGCGCCGCAACGCCTCCGCCGCCGCCTCCGCCAGCCATCATGGCCATCGCCGCCGCCAGCTCAGCTGAAAACTCGTACGGCTGCTGCTGCTGCGGCGCCGTCAGCTGCAGCTGCTGTGACGTCTTGGTCGACAGGGCACCAGAGGCCGTCGTACTCCCCAGCCCTGCCGCCGCCGCGCCGCCGCTGCTGGTTGCCCCTGGCTGCTTGGGATCGTTCGGAGCCCCGGAGGCAGCCCCGTTAGCGGCCGCAGCAGCTGCCACCAGTTGTGCCGCCGCGGCTGCTGCTTCCTTGGCGGCGGCCGCCATGACCGCCATGATGGGCGCTGGCCACATGAAGTGCCCTTGTCGGTAGTCGCTGGGGCGGCTGGTGGTGGTTTGCAGGGTGTGCACGATGAGGCCTCGGTTGCCGGAGAGCGTCATGGAGATCTGCGGGGAGGAAGAGGAGGGTTTTAGGGTTTTAGGGTTTCGGGGTTTTTAGGGTGTTCGGATAAAATCGAGCCGCGTTAGGTTCTGGCCGTGACCGCAGCATACCGAGGAGGAGGAGGAGGTACGGTGGAATGACAGGTAGAGACTACAGAGGAGTAACCAACCGTTTGGCAACCGGCTCCACCGTGGCTTGCATGGGTTGCATGGTTTGAAGGAGAAGGAAGAGAGGAAAGAAGCAAAGCGCAGATGCTGGTAGGCAGCTACCGATAAGTAGCAAGTACCCAGGAAATAGCAGAGGAACAGGAATCCCAGGCTTGTCCGTGTGACCAGCGGTGACCAGAGGGTGCTTACCAGCGCCATCGCCGTGAAGGGCGTAACCAGGTTGAACGCCAGCGAACGCTGCGTCGCCCTCTTCCGCGCGGCCAGCTGCTTGGATGACGCCCAGGCCGCAGCAAAGGCCGCAGCAGCGGGCGCAACCAGCTGCAGCTGCGAGTTGCTTTGGCTCTGCCGGCCGTGATGATGATGGCCGTGGTGGCCGGGTCCGTGATGATGGTGCGTGCCGTGGTGACCGTGGTGACCCGTGGGTCCGTTGGTTCCGTTGGCGGCGTTGCTGCTGGCGGCTGCTGCGAGGGCGGCGATGAGGGCGGCGTTGGCAGCTGGGTTGTGCTCCCGGCCGTTGCGCGGTTTGCCGAGCGGCGGCAGCTCGTTGAAGAGCTCGGAAACCTCGCTGTTGGGGGGTGAACAACAGAGGGGTAGGGTCAGGCAGCGTGTACGTGCATACCGGCATATGAGAAGAGAGATGTAACGGAACTGATACCGGCATACCGGTACAAACCGAAAAAAAGCGCTACTTTCTATTCAAGGTAACATACCAACACATGCTTCACCAGCTGCTCCCACAGCTATGTCCCCGTACGTCCTCGCCCCCCCACCCCCACCGTTGTTTCACTTTTATATAATTTTTTACCCCCACCCCCGGTGGGGGATATGGGATTGAGATTCGTTGTTTCACTTATTTAATATTTCCAACCCCACCCCCGCACCCACCTCAGCGCGCACAGCACCGTCAGCAGCTGCCCTGCCGTACGAGATCTGGGATCCACCGAAACCTCCACATGCGCCGGTTTTCCGCTGGGCCACACCCCATGTAACACCAGCGCTGCTCCCGGCTGCATGCGAGACAGCCGAACCAACAACGACAGCGGCTCGCCGAGCGGCAGCGCGGGCGGCAGCTTGGCGGGGTGCTGGTCCCGGAGGAGCGACCCACGGGCCACCAGACGCAGCTGGCGCAGGTAGCGGCCGCTGACGGCACAGGAGGTGGCGAGGACCAGGGCGGCGCCGATTTCGGAGGGAGACTCGACCACCTGGATGAGGAGGAGAGAGGAAGGGAGTATATATGTTGCGGTGGGTTGCGGCAGAAGGCAGATGATTAATAAGGTATCATCGCTTGTCAGTGCTCAGGGCTAATGCGGCATTGCTTCGGCGGTGGTTACTGTATGTTGTACCGGGAACACGGAAAGGGCAAGGAAATGTACGCCAACGTCCGACAAACTCCTGCTTTACCTGAGTAAAGCCGCCATACATGTCCGCGAGGCGCTCAAAGTACGACATGGGTAGTTGCTCCATTTCCTCCCGCGCCTGTTCGTACATAAGCCCCTCCAAATGCTTCTGGTAGAGGTGACAAGCCAAAAGGTAGTTGGGACCGTTGACGGCGGCAGCAGCGGGGCTGCCTGGCGGGAAGGACGTGGTGGGCAGCGGCGGGAGCTCGTGTACGACAACAAAGATCGGAAAACCCAGATCCGGGGGCTCCGGACCGGCCACCGTGGACCATTCCTCGTCCTCCTCCTCAGCCCCCGGTGCTACTCCGTCGTTCGAGCGCGACTGCGGCGAAGTGCGCGATCGAGGCTGACCTTCCAGGTCGCTGTCGCTTTGAGCCGCGGATTCCGCCGCCGGCCGTCGGCTTGCAACGCTGTACGACCAACGCACGCCGTCGGTGCTGCTGTTGTTGCCGGTAAGGCCGGCGGCGGCGGCGGCGGCTGCTCCACCACCGCCAGCTCCGCCGCTGCGTCCCTGCCCGGACCGGGTCAGGGAGGACCTGGGCCGGTGCTCCGGTGCCGCCGGTGACAGCAGCAGTGCCGACTCTTCAGGCGCCCGGATGGTGCCGTCGCTGCCGCCGCCGCCGAGCACCGCCGCCGCCGCCGTCTCCCCGAACGTCGCCTCTGGCGTCAACGCAGCCGGCGACGGCGGCGGCGAGGACGACGAGACAGCTGCCGTACCAGCTGCCGCCGCCACCGATGCCGGCGCTCCCGTCGCCGCCTCCCCAAACGCCACATGCGGCTCAGCGCCCAAGGTAATACTCGACGTCTGCCGTAAGCCTATCGGACTCGAGGGACTTAACCTCCCGAGCGTCTCCTCTCCCTCAACACCCGCCACGGAGAGCCGCGACGGCACGCGCACGCCACCTCCGCCGGCGCCACTACCGCCCGACGTCGTCCCCGCTGCCGTACCCGCCCGACCCAGGGTGTTATTCCGACTCACGGCGCGACTACGAATGCGGCGAGAGGCCGCTCGGCTAACATTGCGACTGATCGCGCGGCTGACGGCGCGGCTGGGCGCGGCGGTGCCCGCGGGCGTTATGAACGGGAGGATGCCTTCGGACTGTGTCGGCTCGCGTGCCGGCAGTCGCTGACACAGCAATACGGCAGCCCTGCGACAACCGGGAGCCTTGGGTGTCCAAGACAGCTCCACCATTAGCTCGTGAATCCTGGAAATGGGTTGCGCCCATGCCACGAGTTTCCCCGGATCCGCAAGCAAGTCGTTAACCCAGGCGAGTGCCGTCGCCACGGTTTCACCCGTGACCGGCCGTGATACGCCCGGGAACAGCCAAACCGGCGATGCGGCTTCCGGTCGGCTCGCTTGCAGCGTTTCAAACAGCGAATGCGGTGTGTGTGGGGATGCGGGTGACGACGGCGGCCCCTGCAGCGACCCTTGGGTCTGACTCAACTGCTGCAAGCCCGACATCTGCCCCGGGCCCTGCTGTTGTTGCTGCAACAGCTGCTGTTGCTGCAGCCGACGAGCCGTCAGCAGCGATGACAGCTCCGAAGGCCAGGCAGGCGGCTCCTCATCGTCGTCACTCTCCGGCGGTGCCGGCGAAGCGGGGCAGATCACCACATTAAACAGCCCAGCACCCGCGGCAACGGCCGCCGCTATGGCTGCACTGCTCAGCCCCCCTCCAAGTCCTCCACCGCCGCCTCCACCGCCGCCGCCTGCACCCCCGCCGCCGCCGGCTCCGCCACCAACACCTCCGCTGCCACCGCTTCCCACACCTCCGCCCGCACCACCCGCACCCCCACCCGCTCCTCCTCCGCCGCCGCCGCCCCCGCCACTCCCCGCCAAGTCCGGCGCTACCGGCAAGCTCCGCAGGATCAGCAACAGCGTCTGTAGCAGCTGCATCAGGTGCGCGGCCATGCCGGAGGGACCGCACGCGTCCACCACAATCAGCAACTCAACCGGCGCCGGCGTCGGCGCGCCCGACAGCCCCGCACGTATCGCTGCTGCATGCGCCCGCGGTCCGGGCGCCACCTCATCTCCGAGCACCTCCTCCAACTCCGCGGGACTGAAATGGCTGCTGGGAACGAAGGTGACGGCGGCGCAGTGACGGCGGGAGGTCTTCTTGGGCTCCATGGCGGCGGCGGCGGCGCCGCCACCGCCGGCGCGGCGCATGGCATAGCTCGAGCCGACACCGCCGGCGTCGGCTCCACCGACACCGAGTGTCGTGGAGGAGTTGACAAGTTGGATGGATGGGGGTACGACGAGTTTTAGGGCGCGGGAGCCGAAGGCGGAGGAGGCGGGAGGAGGCGGTGCGGGGGCGGTTTCAGAGGAGGGCTCGGCGGAGGGGGCCGCACGGCGCGGGGCGGTGTCGGAGTCGGCTTCAGGTCCGGACTTGCTTGCGTCGTGTAGGATGGCGAAGGAGCGGATGGGCACGGGGAGCGCCACCTCGAATGTGACGGTGGTGATGTGGCGGGGACGCCATACCTGTGTGTTGGCAGTTCAGTTGGTTAATTGGCGGAAAAGGAGTGTGGAAGAAGAAGCCGAATAGTCCGAGGACAGGCGGGGGACATCAGGGTTCAGGTACGGGACTGAAGGGACACTGACACACGCTGCTGCTTGTAGGCGCTGTTGCATGTACGGCAATACAGCAACTTAGCAAGTATGTGCGGATGGACCTAGGGGCGAACTGTACGATAGGCGTACGGGGGCACGAAGTGTACGATCCCTAGCCAACATAGCCTATTTTTCCAATGTGTCACCGACCCACGGGTCCCACCTGGGTGTACCCCTGGATGAGCAGTGCGTCATAGTTGGGCTTGATGGTCATGTGGCGAGGTCCGGATACCAGGTTCAGGCCGCGGTGGCTGAGCACCTGAGGCAGGCAGGGATTGGGCGCAGGAGCAGCAGGCGTGAAAACACCGTGGATAATATTATTCACGGCCATATTCGTGCACCACAGTAACGCCTTCCACGCAGCAAGGTTAGGAGCATTCCGCTGTAATCACACGTATCACAATATCTCCCTAAAGCCCTTACCTCCAACTCAAAGCTCAAGTCGTAGAGATCGGACGGTTTATGCCGCGCTCGTCGTCCAGGATTGCCACCGCCGTACCAACCGCCGTCCCCCGTCGCCAACTGCTCCCGAGACATTGCCAGGTGCCACCCGGTCCTCGCAGGCGTCCAATTGCACACGTGAGTCAACGACAACGTGTTTCCCGCGCTTTCCAACTGTACGATGTACGATATCGTCACGAAAATGTCGCCGCGGACTTTTCCGAGCGGTACACGCAACACGGGTGCACGACCGCCGGGCCCGGGCGGGTGATTCCGGCGGCCAAAGGCTTTGGAAAAGATCTTGCCGGGTCCCGGATCGTCGTCCTCGTCGTCTTCCTCCAGCTCGATTCCGCCGCTGCCGCCGCGGCCCACCGCCTCCGCGAGCATTGTCGTACCGCCGATGGTAGCGGCGAACCTGAAATGGTGACGTCAGTAGCGGGGCAACCCAGGGAGGGAATGATACCGTCGCCTTAGTACCGGTTACATATTGGCGTGATTGGCGGTACAGTACAGTACACATGAAGTTGGGGATTGACAGTGAAAAGCAAGCAGACACTTGCAGCAGCAGCTGTTTTGCATGCCGGAAGCAAGCAGCAGCAGCAGCAGCAGCCTGGAGCCGCATCAGGACGAGTCATACGCTCACACCTACGTACATGCCGGCACGTCTCGTGTGCCTTGCGCCCCATAAGACCCAGCCTGCCCACTCCCTCCCAGCCCCCACCCCCTGTCCTCCCCCTCTTCCTTCCCTCTCCCCGCCCACCCCTGCTGCTGCTCCCCTCACCGCCCTCACCGCTGCAGAATGGCCCTGTGCGGCACCGGGAAGCGCAGCACCGCGTTCTGCACCACCACCGTACTCATGAACATGAGCGCCTCCGAGATCTCGGCCCATCCCAGATCGCACTGGTGGGGGAAGGAGGGAGGGAGGGAGGGAAGTGGGGTGGGCAGCAGAGGGAAGGAGCAGGGAGGCAGAGCTGAGATAGGAAGCAGGGAAGCAGGCATGGAGGAACAGAGGCGTGCGAGGCGGAGAGGACACCCAGACGAACGGCGTCAACGGCTAATGATGGCCCCTAAGGCCCTAACTCACCTCGAACTCCTAACCCGCCAAATCCTCCAACCACCCAGAGCCCGCCACCCCCCCATCTCCTCCTCCCACCTGCACCACTCCCTTGACCACGCGGCTCAACAGCGCCACACTCTCTCCTCCGTCGTCGCCTCCAAACAGTCCGCACACCTCCCCAGCCGGCGACGAAGCCGGCGTCAACCAGGCGTTAACGTCCAGAACAAGCTCCCCCGCACCGCACCGCACGTGACCCGGCGGCGCGCGAGCCACATGCGTCACCACTGACGCCGTCGGCGGCGGCGGCGCCGCCGCCGACGTTGATGACGTCATCGGCGTGCCGGCACGGTCAATGCCGTCACTGAGGTCAGTGGGGTTGCGCTGTTGCGGCGGCGGCGAGGCGTTACGCGACGGCGGTCTGGGAGGCGGATCCAGTTCCATCGGGATGTACAGCCCGGGTACGGTGGTAGCGCTCCCAGTGACGCCGCCGATGCCCAGGTGCGGCGAGCGGGGCCGTACGGCAGGCGGCATCCAGGGGGGGCCCAACAGGGCGGTTAGGGGGGTGACGCCGCGGGCCTCGGCGGCGCCGGCACCGGGCCCGCCGCCTGGGGCGCCGCCGCCGCCGGCAGCGGCGCTGCTGCCGAGTGGTGTTCTGAGGGGCACCGGGCGGGGTAAGGAGAAGGCGAACGGTTAGATGACCATAATGGAGATGCGGTGCACCGGGAAGTGCTGGTTAAATAAGGGTATGGTGTTAACGGTGCGCCCCTGTCCTGCAATCAGCTGCAGCCTTCAATGCGTTCGGCCCCCTTCCATTACCAATACATGATGTCAGATCGCTCACCGGAGCGTGTTGGGAGTGCCGGAACGGTTCACAGTGTGGTTCTTGAACGCCGCAAAGTCCGAGCTTGTCACAGGTCGACTCGCATTGTTGGGTGTGCACAGCTTGGGCGGCAGCTCCGTGTACTGCCGTACCAGTTCCGGATCCACTTCTACGACACGCTGCTGCCGTGATCGCAGCCGTACCCGTGTCGTACCCTCACCCCCTTCCTTTCCGTTGTTATAATTGCCGTTGTTGCCAGCGTCACCGTTGTTATTCAGGTTGGTGTTCACCATGCTGCTGCCAGCGGTGCCTCCCGCGCCGCTAACCGGCCCATCCCCGCTGCTCGAAAACCCATCCGCACCCTCCCCGGCTGCTCCTCCTCCCGCCGCTCCCCCCAACCCAGCATGCGCTGTGGAGTCCGCTCGTACCTCCATACCCGCCACGCCAACCGTGTGCACGCTGTGGTGGTGGTGGTTGCTGTGCGACCAGGTCGGCAGGCTGCTAGACACCCCGGTTGCGGCCGCCGCCGCCGCCGAGAGCTGCCCCCGCAGTCGCGTTCGTACACTGGAGGAGGAACGGCGGAGGCCGGACGCGCCCGCATCCGCCGCCAGGCTACGTCGCCAGCTTGCGGAGCGGTCCGACAGGGTGTGTTCGCGCTCCTGGGCGTGCAGCCTCGCGGTGGAGAGGGGCGAGCTGAGGAGGGAGGTGGCGGTGGTGGCGGCAGAGTGGATGGTGGAGGCGGCCTGCGGCGGGGGAGGTGGCGGAGGCGGCAGGGAGGCATCCAGGGAGGGCAGCGGACCGCTGTTACTGCCGCCGCTGACGCTGTTGCTGACGCCAACGGCTGGCGTGTCAGGGTGGGAGAAGCTGGCGGCTTGTCCGGGCGGCCGGCGCAGGCTGTTGCTGCTCCGGTGATGGTGCTGCTGCTGGCTGGCGTCATGCTGCTGCTGCTGGTGTTGGTATTGCTGAGCAGGGTGCTGATGCAGCTGGCGCAGGTAGTCCGCTAGGGCCACACCGTCGGAAGGAGCAGCAGCTGTTGTTGTTGCTGCTGTTGCTGCTACATCGGCGCCGGCGCCATTGACGCCCTCCGCTGCCTGACCGGTGGTATCTAGCGGGTGCTGTTCCCCGGCTTGGGGCTCAGGCGGCGGCAGGTGCAGCGGCGGCGCATAGCGGCTGAGGTAGTAGTGACGGAGGCTGTCGCCGCCGCTGCTGCTGCCGCCTCCGCCGCTACCGTACTCCCCGTCCTCCTCGCCATCGTCATTGCTCGTAACTGCCGCCTCCGCCGCTGCTGCTTCCGCCTCCTGAAGCGGCTGCAGCAGCGCTGGCTGCTGCTGTTGCTGGCCCGGCAGGGGCGCGTAAAGCGATGCTATGCCACTGACAGCACGGCTGTCGCTGCTGCCGCCGCTGCTGGCGGCGGCGCCGGCGCCAGCGGTGCTACTGCGCTCGTACGGCGAGCTCACACTACTGCCGTACGACGGCCCAGGCATCGGCGGCGTTACCTGGGGTGAAAGCACTTCCACGTGCCGGCGAGCCCGCCGTACGGCGGCGGCAGCACTGCCGACGCCACCGCTGCCAGCTAACGACGCCAGCGGCCGTAGCGGCATCGGCATTCCGGGAATTTCAGCTGGGGATGCAGCTCGCGAACTGCGTTTCCGGGTCGGCAGCGGCTCTAGGTAAGGGGAACGCCCGGGCGCGGTGTTGCCGCCTGCTGTAGGCATGGCCGCGACTGCATAGTCGACGGGACCCTGCAGGGGGTGCGATACGGCGCTGACGTGGGAGACCTGCCGTACGCCCTCTGTGTCGTACGCCGTACTGAGGACGTGGCGGTGCAGCTCCGGAACGCGAATGAGGGTCTCCTTAGTGGCGCCATAGTCAAAGTAGTTGATGACGGGGTCCACGCTGTTCGTTTTCAGGATGACAGGCTCAATGCGGGCAACCGTTTGCGGGGAGCTTGACCGGCTGCGTGCACCGCTGCCTGAGACTTCAACTGCTAGTGTGTGCTGAGGGCTTAAGGCCTCCGCGGTGGACTCATTAGCCAACATAGACGGTGTGGCGGCAAGCTGTGCGAGCGCCATGGTGTCAGGGATGCCTGGCTGGGGTTCCGGCTGGTCACGCGGCCGAGTCCCGTGCGCCACAAAGGGACTCGCATGTGGCTAAGGCCTCAGCATTAAGGACATGAAGAAGTGACACCGAGGTTTGCGCTTGTGGCGCTAGGCGAGTCGGCCACGACAGTGACCACCCCGTGAAAGCGGCCACTGACATCAAGATAGCTTGGAATAATATTCAGTAGATGTTGGTAATTCAATTTATGCTTGCATGGCTATGAAGGCCTTTGCAGGAAATATTCGAAGGATGGAAGTGTCATAAGTAAGAGTCACTTAGGATGCAATCTTACAAGGCATGGTCACCCTAGCCCGAGCGTATAACAGCAAAAGCGTTGTGACAAAGTTAGAAAGCTAGCCAAATGGGCTAGAGTACGGCAGTTAACGAGGTGCAGGGGGCACTTGGATAGGAGTTCGAAAGAGTTCCTAGGTATATGGCGTACCCTGTATACTTTCGAGATGTTCCCACGTAACTTTAATTCACTGTGACGATCTTCAACGACTATGCGTGTATCAATTTCTCCTCAGTGATATTTATAGAGGATTCAGTTTGGTATAATTTGGAAGGATGGAGGCAAGCCGCATAAGCATGACAGTTACAGGATAAAAGGATACGAAGACAAATGGCAGAGCTGGACCCGAGGGAGCGGCTTGCGCACACCATTGCAGCTCTTGAGAGGGGAGACTTCTCCGAAAGCGTGAGCAATGCTCAAGAGGTGAGCGTCTGACGAGAGACACATCGAGTCAAGCCCCTTCCACATGGAACAGAAGGCAATTAAGGGCAACCAAACGTTTCTAGCTTGATTACAGCTGTGTCTGACATTCCGATTACCTAAAATTGCCTAACACGTTTGTGCACATGTCCGCACCCGGAACATTCGCGCACCCGCGCTTCCTACAGGGAGTACCCTGGGGCCTCGCGTACACACTTGCGGTCCAAAAGGACTCTGTGGGTGCTGGTGCTGGGTTGCGGGGCCATGGGCGACCCAAACCGGGCCAGCACCCGGGCCCCATCGGGTTGCTGAAGCACCGAAAGGGACCGCTGGCCAAAGGTGAGGCCTCTCCCTTGCGCACAACCCCATCACACCAAACTGCTAGGAAGTGGCATGGCAACCCCTACACGGCAGATGGGGGCATCTTTCGCTCTCCTCAACGCCTCCTTCCCTTCCACCGTACCTCACACCATGCACCCATGCCCAGCAAAAGCCCCTTCCACACCCAACCCCAACCACCTTGACCGCCCGGCAGGTGAAGTCGCAGCCCCGCCCTTCGACCCCTTCGGCCGCACCACCACGCTGCTTGGGAACCCCGTGGAGGCCGCCTGGCGCTCCACCGTGGCTGCAACCATCCCGGAACCCCCACCCCTCGCACCCTCAGCCCTGCCTCCCGCGGTAGCCGGTGCCATCGGCCCCGCAGGCGCAGGCGCCTCCCTAGCATCCTCACCCACCACCACCGCAGCAGCAGCAGCAGGAGGTGCCGCCCTGTCCGGGACTGCAGCCCTGACCGGCAGTCCGGTTCCCGGGCTGAGCCCCAACCGGCCCTCCCTGGCTCCACTGCCGGGGAAGGCGGGGGGGCTGGCGGCGGCAGCGGCAGCGGGCGCCAGCAGCGGCGGAGCCGCCGCCGCTGCATCGCTCCTCCGGAACTCCCGCTCCTCCCATCCTGAGCTCCCGGCGGCGGTGGCGTCACCACCTGCAGCCGCTGCCGCGGCGGCGGCAGCTGCGGGTGCGGCGGGTGCCTGCCAGGGCAGCCCTGCGCGGCATGTGAAGCAGGCTGAGCTGGTGCAGGCGGTGGCGGCGAACCTGGGTTGGGGCGCCAGTCCCATGCGGTTGACGGAGGTGCCGGAGGCGTTCTGGAAGACGGTGTCGCCGGCGGTGCACTCGCAGATCGCGGAGTACCTGTTCGACCAGGTGAGGATGAGGAGGGGGGGAGTTGGAGGAGGGGGGTACCGCACTGTGAATGATGGGGCCGAGGTGTTGGTGAAGGCAGGTGAAGGCTACTGGGTATGAGGGGAGGAGGCATGGGCCGCGTGTGGGGAGGGGCAGGGCGGGGTCGTGAGGTCGGCGGCAGGCAGGCTCCCCAGGGAGGGTGTTGTAGAGGAAGAGGATGTGCATGTGGGATGTTCCGGTGTGTATCGTCGACACGCTGGGGTGGGGAGTAAGCGGTGGTAGCGATGTCCGAGTAGCACCCCTCCCCCTCCTCCTCCCCCCCCCCTCCGCCGCAGGACTACGACCCAGCCAAGTACCTATCCGCACAGCTGGAGGACCTCCACGCACGGCGCGGCACGCAGCTCAGCAAACGCGCCGCCAGCGTCGCCGCCGCCACACTCGCCGTCGCCGACCCGCCCCTGCCCGACGGCCGGCCCGGCGGCGGCCTCATACCCGACACGCGCGTCGCCAACGCCGCCACCACCACCATCACCGCCACCCCTCACCACCCCCACCACAAGAAAGACAGCGCCTCGCACGCCCATGGTCACGGCTCCGCAACCGCCCCACGCTCACCTTCACCCAGCAACACCGGCGCATACCCGCATGCGCCGCACTCGCCGTCCTTGGCCGCCGGTGGCGGTCGCGCCAGCCCCCCGCGTGTCACCACAGCCTCCAGCGGCAGCAGCGGCGGCGGGGCCTCTCCTCGCAGCCCTGTGCGACCCTCCTCTCCCTCCCCCGAGGAGGTAGCTCGATCCCCTGAAGCTGTGGCTAGGTCGACCCTGGCCACAGCTGCTGCCGTGGCGCCGGCCATGATGAGTAAGTATGAGGAGCAGCGGCTGCTGCGGTCCACGGTGGCGCTGTCGGCGGTGCTGACGGCGGATAACACGGGGGTGTTGGGCAGCGGCAACATCGATCGCGGCGTGGGCGTGCGCGCGAGGTCGCGCTGGTTCCAGCCGGACGGGAGCTTCCGCTGGCTGCCGTGTGTGGTGGCGGCGGTGTCGGACGATGGCACGGCGTTTGCGATAGAGTGGGAGCATATCCGTGAGTACCGTACATGGGGTGGATGGAGGATGCGTCGTCTCTTTAATTGGCGATAGGGTCGATCTTGGGCGTGTCTTGCCTGCGCCTATGTTGCTGTTGTGCAAGTACTGGTGGCCTAGCTGCGGTCGCACCCCCCGCATTTCCCGAGTATCCTAACGCGCTACCCCTCCCTCCCCCTGTTACATCATCCCATCCCGCACCTCACTCCGCACCTCATCTCGCGCCTCACCTCCCAGCCAAGACAAAGACCGTGTCTCGTTTCAACATCCTGTTCGAGGGGGAGAACGAGGCGGGGCTGCAGGAGCTCCGGAACGCCGCCATCGAGCACCAACGCCGCTTGCAGCAGCAGCTGCAGTACAACGCGGCCCGGGATTCCGTACCGCTCTCCGCGGCGCCGCCGCTGACGGACGCCATGCTGGAGGGCATCGTACGGCGACTCGGACTGGACTATTGGGATGCGCCCGCGCCGCCGCCGCCGCCCAGTGTCGACGGCGGCCTGAGTGTGATGATGATAACCAGCGCTAGCGTCAGCGGTGCGGGCGAGCTAATGGAGGATTTGGCGAATCGGAACGGCTCCATGGCCGCGGCTGCAGCGTCGCTGTCACAACGCGCGCGGTCGTTCAACAGCATGCAAAGCATCGCGCGGAGCGCTTGGGGCGGGGATCCGGACAGCACCGATGATGGCAGCAACGATGTGGGCACGGGGCTGAGTGACGATGAGGATTTCGAGCTGGACAATTGGGACGTGATGTCGCAGGCCCCGAACCGCAGCCTGAGCAACCGCGTTGGCCGGAGCAGTCGGGTCAGTCGGATGGTCCGCACGCCGGTGTCCTCGCGTTCCCTGGCCGTTACGCAATCGGGTTACGCGGTTTCGGTTGCCGCCACGGCGCGCAGCAACGGCGGTGCGGCGGGCACCAATGGTGGGGGCAGCGGCTCGGCAGTGGGTGCGGGGGGATCTGGGTCGGATGAGCCGGACGGAAGCACCGCGGCGCCCTCACCCTCGCGCGCTTCCTCGCGGAATTGGTCGTGTCGTACCATGCCGCCCAGTGCGGCCGCAGCGAGGATGCAGATGGCGGGCTTTAAGCGGCCGGCGCCGCCGCAAGTGCCAAGGTGGGTGACGAGCCCTCTCATTCTGAATCCCATTCTACTGGGTTCTTTCGGGCTACTTGAACGTTTTGGTACTAAGTTGCACAGAACCGTGAGGGGTATTCGATCTGTGTCCAAAGCAGCGTTTGCAAGCCCATGGTGAAAGTCCGTGTTGCTGGCTGCTTGTTTGCCCCTTGCCTGCTCCGCTGACGCTCTACTTTGTTTCCCTCTCTACTGCAGGCCAGCGCTGCGGCGGCGACTGCTGACGTGGCGCTACCTGCAGCGCGCGTGGCGGCGCTCCACCACGGAGGAGCCCGTGGAGCGCATCCGGCGGCACCTGGAGGACGCCCGCGTGGAATACGCCATTGTGAGGATCTGAGGAAGCGTGACTGACCCATGGGTCAGACAGCGTTCCTAAAATGTCCTTGTTTGTAGCGTGGCTAGCAATATCTGCTCGCCTCATTGAGAACACATGTTACTAGTTTGCTGCTGCTTGCAGCGTTGCTGTCCCTGACCTTATGTGCCTGCACATTTAATGGAGCATGGCCAGCCATGCTTCTAGCAAAGTAACCTCTACTCCTCACCGCCCCCGCCCACTGTCTCCACTACTACCGTCCGCAGGCCCACAACCACCACGTCTTCCGCGTCATGTTCGCGCGCATGTTCGGCAACGCGGGCGTGCCCGACCAGATCGAGGAGCTACTCATGGACATCTCCCGTACGGCAAATACGGATGAGGACGACGGCGGTTTGCTTGTCGTACATCGCCCCATCATGTCGCCCGGCCGGGTGCCTACCTCGGAAGGCCAAACAACCGTCAGCGGTCGTGGTTCGGCAGAGGGCGCGAATCCCTCCGTGCTGGTTCCCTGTCCCGCTGCGTTTGAGGAACCCGGGGACGGTGTGCCCCCAATGGGTGTTGCGGAGTACGGGCTGGCCGCACTGACTGAGTCGTCGCTGCTCGCGTCACTGCCGACACTGCATGCGTTACAACATGCCGGGTCGTATCTCGTCGCCATTCAGGCGCGCGACATCTTCGGCATGCAGTTGCTGCCCACTCGCAACATCTTTGTGCTCCGAGCGACGCGCGACAAGGTCGCCGCCGAACATCAGGCGTACCTGGATAGTCGGCGACGACCGACGACTGCGGCGATCTCGGCACCAACCTCAATCTCGGTCGGCGGTACGGTGTTCGAGTCGCGTCCTTTCCGAGCAGACGACTCCATTGACCTCATTACTTACCTCAACATCCAAGAAGGCGTTCGCAACGAGGAAGTACACGACCTGCGCACCCGTACCTGCCAGCAGCTGGCGTACATCATTGCTGACGCAGCGGACGAAGCGTTACGCGCCGCGGCGGCGGCCGCCGCCGCTGCCGCCGTCGCCGCATTCGAACGCGCCGGCGGCAAGCCGCGACATCCCGGCGGCGGCAACTGGCGTCAGGGCAGCAACCCATCCGGCAATGGGCTACCATGGACATCCAAGCAGCCGGGATCTGTGCTGTCGTACACGGGCGCTCGAGCGCAAGCAATGGCGCAGCAGGCCGCGGCGCAGGCTGCCTTCGACCCGGTGCCGTTCTTCCGGCTGACGTCCACACTGAACGTCGCGCTGTTTTACTCGCTGAGGACGTGGCTGCTGAAGGATCTCGAGACGTACGCCGCCGCAATGGAGTTGTACGGCACCGGCGGTGTCGACATTCACTTGTATGATGGTGTACCGCAGGAGGTTGGGCCCAACGGTAAGCCCCTCGTTGAGGCGCCAACGACCGCAACGGCTCCAGGGAGCGCGACGGCCGCAAAGGACGGCACTACCACCACCGACAGCAGCAGCACAACGGCTCCTGCAACAACAAACGTTGGCGGCTCTTTCTTCAAGCTTGGTACGCAGCAGCAGCAGCAAGGCAACAACGCCGGGGGGGCTAACAAGGGCCCTCCGCCCATCTCCTCTTCGCCTCCGATATCGCACCGAGGTCACGGCTGCGCTCCGCTGTTCTGCGTGACGCTTGAGGTGGTGGATGGGAAGGTCCGCTTCTCACCACCACTGGAGACTCTGTGCCAGGTTAGCAGGGCAAAGGGCAAGGCACGCGGTGAAATGCTCATTGGCCACTATGCCCCATGCCGCATGCTTTGCTGTGACCTCTTTTTGTATGCGGCGGAGGCGTCTGACTAAGCATGCCCTGCATGTGCCCCCTCCCTACAACATTTCCTACCCGTCTCCCCCCTTTTCCTATATCTACTCCCTCAAAAATCTACTCCCTTTCCTGCCTCCTCCTTCTCCTCCTCCCTCTCCCTCCCAGCGCCTGGTGGATTCCGTCACGCTAGCCCTGGAGGCCGTAAACACGCTACCCGGCCTAGAGATCTCCCTGCGCCAAACCTACAAGGACGCCTACCCCGTCGCAGCGCATGGAGCCGCGGGTACCGCCATGGCCGCAGCAGCCATGGCGGCGGCTGCGGCGTCCACCGCTGCGGCGGCGGCTGCCGCCGCCGCCGCCAACGGCGCCGCGGGTCCGGAGGCGGCTGCCGCTGCGGCTGCTGCGTTGCTGGTACCCTTCGAGGTGACTGCGACACTCAAGATGCCGCCCATCTTGGACGTCACCACGCCTGAGGTGGTGGCGGCGCTGCAGCGGATACTGGTGGGTGGTTACCTGATTAGGCCATCACTGCCATGGTAATGTAGAGACCCGAACTACTGCTCGCCCATTTGCAAAAGCTTTCCCTGCGTCATGGGCCATGTACTTTTGCACACCAGTACCATGCAGAGACACGCGTGTGTGCTCATGCCATGTCCCCCATGTGCTTATGCCGGCCGGTTTTCACATTGCACGCGCTGCACCACCAATACCACACCTGCCCCTGCACCTGCCTCCCACCCAACCCAACCCCAACCCCAACCCCCAGGACGCCGCCGAGAGCAGTCGGCGGCGCTGCGAGGCCCTGCTGATGAGCTTCCAGGAGCACACCAGCCTGCTGGGCGCGGACACGGTGATGCTGCGCTGCCGCCTGAGCATCAGCCGCCGGGCGGCCAGCATGGACGACTGGGTGGACATGATTGAGAAGTACAGGTGGGGGTGGGCGGGGTGGGGGCAGTCGGAGGGGTCAGACCGGTACCAGAACCACATGTTAGGGCGCAGCAATGGGGGGGGAGCCGTGGCACCGGTACGTGGTGAGCTCCGACACTCCGATATGCTCGCTGGCAGGAACCCCACCCTGTCAGCCTACCATGCACTCACCTGTATTGTGGCACCCGGCCGCCTCCTGCCCCCACTGTTTTGCCCTAACCTGTGGCTTCCAATGGTATGATATGGTCTCTCAACCCACCCTTCTCCCCCCCCTCATTATCACACCGCACTTTGGAATTTCTTTTCCCCCCTCTCCCCCCCCCTCAGCGCCCAAGAGGCCGCCATCCGCAGCGGCATGCCCTCCGAGGCCTGGCTGGGGCTGTTCCGGCTGGACTGCCGCGGGCTGAAGGACCACCTGGCCTCGCGCGCGCGGGAGCTGCGGGACCAGATCCTGCACTGGCTGCAGGCGGATGCGGCGGACGCGGCCAATACCACTCTGCTGCGGCTCAAGGTGAGAGGGGGGAGGGAGGAGGATGGGGAGGAGGGATGGGGCGGGGGCTGGGGATTAATACGGATACATGTTTCGTAGCTGGCTTGTAGGATTGTGTACTGTCGTGCTTGAAGGGTTAGTAGCAGCACGTAAGGTGGAAGAGGGAGGAGGGAGGGCCGTCTCCCTCTTGCGCCGGCATACGTGCGCAGCCTGACATTCCCCCTCCCCTCCCCCCTCCGCCTGCAGGAGCCCGCCGACGTGCTTGCCGCGGGTGCGGTGGACCTGGCTGCGCTGCACACGGTTCGCGAGCTGCTGCCCCGCGTGACGGCCATGGTGGGCGAGGTGCAACCCTACCTGGCCACCATGCGGGTCAACTCCGCCATCATGAACAAGTTCAAACACCCGGTGGGGGGGGGGAGTGGGGAGTGGGGGGGATGTGGAGGAGCACAAGAACACTGGCCGCGAGTGGTCCCCTATGGGGTATGGGAGCTTGGAGTGTGTGCCCGTGGAGAGTGCCCCTGCCTCTTGACAGATGGGTGTAAGCTAAATAGCTAATGCGGCGGGAGTTACGGGGCTTCTGAAGGGGCAGGATGGGGCAGTAAAAAGGGGTGCTGGAGTTGGAGAGGGTGCGCGTTACCACGTGCGCAAATTCACACAGTCCTTACACGCTACTAATCCGCCCCCCCTTCACCCCCCCTCTCCCCTCCCCTCCTCCCCCTCCCACCTTCAGCTCCCCGATGAGGAGTTCGGTGACATCTGGACGGCGCTCCGGCTGCCGGTGATCGCGCAGGAGCTGGCAACGGAGCGGCTGATCCACATGCGGGAGGACGAGGAGAGGTGCCTGGACCTGCTCAAGAGGGTGGGTGGGGGAGGGGCTGGGCGGGGGTGGCAACAGGGGTTGGGTTGGGGATTAGGTATACTGGGTCGCGAGGAGGCACTGACAGTGATCATAGTACTAGCGAGGGGTTACAGGAGCTGCAGGGGATGGCAGCTGGGGCTAGCAAGAAGGGCTGCAGGAGGGGCTGTGACACGTGGTGGGGGTGAAGGGGGGCTAGCAGGGGGGTGAGTGGGACGACTGAGGGGGATGACTTGATTGGTCAGCGTACCGTCTGTTGGTTTCTCCCCAAACCCCACCCCACCCCACCCCACCCCGACCCCTCTCTTGTCGTAGGACCTGCACGCCTTCTGCGAGCACGTTGCGTCGCTGCGGCGGCGGGTGGCGGAGCGGCAGCGGCTGGCGGACGAGAACAATGTGGACCGATACGTGGAGCAGTGCGTGGAGCTGGTGAGGCGGGGGAGGGGAAAAAAGAAATTCCAAAGTGTGGTGTGATAATGATATCAGCGGGGGAGGGGAGGGAGGGTGTGGGAGAGGAGGGTGTGCTGGCAGCCGGATGGAGACGTATGGTGGGTGGGGGATTGGATAAACTGAGCCGCGGAAACAGCGAAACACTGATCCTGACCGTGGGTGGGGTTGTAGGGGTGCTGGTGGTGCACACAGGCTGCGTTGAGTTGGGTTGGAGTAGCTGGGGGAAGGCATGGAAAGGGCCTGCTACAGGCGCCTGTACGCTTCACGGGAGATCCTCCTTTTCCCGCCTCTTTCCCCGCTTCTTCCCCGCCCCTTCCCCGCCCCTTCTCCGCCTCGTCCCCCACCTCTGCCCCCACCTCTGCCCCCCCTTTCCCCCTCCCCTCCTACCCCTCCCCCCCAGGACGCCGACCTTATTTCCGCCATCGAGCGCTCCCAGGCCCTCAACCGCATGGAGCTGCTGGCGGGCTGGGAGCACACCAACTTCGAGACGCTGCCGGCGCTGAGGAGGCAGCTGCAGCCGTACGCGGGTAGGAGGCGGGGGGCGGGTGGGGGGAGGCGGGGTGGAGGGGGGCGGGGAGGCGGGGGAGGGGAGGGGAGGGAGGTGAAGAATACCCAATGTGTTGAGAACCGTAATGAGAACGGCAAGCAAGGCGACAAGGGGAGGCGGGGAGAAGGAGGACATCCAAGGGGAGGCGGAGGGAGGTGAAGGTGAAGGTGAAGGGGGGGGGGGTCCAGCTGGTGCAGCCGCGATGAAGAGCCGTGACCGGGACCGCAGCAAGGAGGGTGTGAGCTCCTGAACCACCACCTCCTTCCCCTCCTCCTCCTCACCCCCTGCTGCTGACACCCCTCTTTACATTGCCCTCCCTTCCCCCCTCCCCACCATCACGCACTACCACTATCACACCACACATTGGAATTTCTTTTTTCCCCCTCTTTCCCTCCCCCCAGACCTGTGGCGGCTGGTCCAGGGCTTCCGCGAGCAGTACCAGACCTGGATGTACTCACCGCTCTTCGCGTTCGACCTGGACGTGCTGGAGACGCGCGTGCCGGGCTGGGCACGGCTGGTGGCCAAGCTAGACCGGGAGCTCAAGGGGCCACCGCATGCGTGAGTGTTTGCGGGGGCCGGGGGGTGTGTGTGAAGGGGGGGTGTGGAGTTGGAGTTGGAGGGAAGCAGGGCGGGAGGAGGTGCCAAGTTCCCGCCGGGTACTGCCGGGTTTTGCCAAGTACCTGGAATTACCCTGGCATTTTCCAGGTATCTAATAATGGATTAGCGCTTCCCCATCGTCTCCCTCCTCCTCCTCCTCCGTCCCTCCCCCGCACCTCTTCCCCCCCGCCCCCCCCCTCCCTCCAGTGTCGCCCGCAAGTACCACAAGCGGATCAGCGACTTCGAGGCCTTCGTGCCGCTCATCCGCGCCATGCGCACCAACGGACTGAGGCAACGGCACTGGGCGCGGCTGTTCGAGGAGGTGCAGGGTGGGTTGGTTGGGGGCGGGTGGGTTGGGGGTTTACGTGTGCGGGCATGAGTCTCAAGCAGTCATCTTGCCTGCCGCGATTGCCGCAGCAAACACTCAACCTCCACCACTCAACCCCCACCACTCAACCTCCCCAATCCCTCCCACTCCTCCCTCCTCCCCACTCCTCCTTTTCACCGCCCCCCCCCTCCCCCCCCTGCACAGCCCTGTCCAAGGTGGATCGAGACATCTGGACGCTGCACTCGCTGCTGGCCCTGCGGGTGCACGAGCACATGGCGCTGGTGCGCGACCTGGCGGACATGGCGGCGAGGGAGCTGACCATCGAACAGAGCCTGGACAAGATTGACGCGGGATTCCACGCGCTCATGCTGGCTCTGGCGCCCGTGCCGGAGAGCGGGTATGCGGGTAGGTGGGGGTGGGGCGTTGGGGTGAGGGGTGAGGGGGTGAACGGGTATGTGGATGACGTGCGGGGCGAGAACGGGTGAGTGGAAGTTCTCCTCCTCATGCTGTCCTCCTTCGCAACTCCTAACGCTTCTCCCCACTCCGCAACCCCTCTTCCTCCCAACCCCCCAGACGTGGTGACCCTGATCAACGGCGAGGACCTGCTTCGCTTCATCGACGACGCGCAGCTGCGGGTGCGGGGGCTGTCCACCTCCTTCTACGTGGGCCCCCACCGCGACTCGGTGGCGGCCTGGGACGAGATGCTGAGCAGCGTGCGCGCCATCCTGGATGCGTGGCTGGAGGTGCAGAACAGGTGGAACCACATCGCACCGCTGTTCGGGGCGCAGGCGTTCCATGAGCAGCTGCCGGAAGAGGTGAGGGGGGGGAGGGAGGGGTGTAGGGTTCTAGGGGAGGAGAGCGGAGAGGTGCGGAGGGGAGGGAAGTGCACTTGTATGGAACGGGAGGGGAGCTGGTGCGGTTGTAGGACGGCATGCTGCATGCTACTCTCCGCACCCGCTCTTACACAGGCAGCCCGCCAGCCCTGGGCAGGTTTGTCCACCCCAACATGCAACCCAACCGACCCCCCCCATTCCTCCATCTCTCCCCTGCCAGGGCGTTCGCTTCGAGGAGGTCACCATCGAGTGGCGCGCCTGCCAGTCCGTGGTAAAGCGGCACTGCAAGGTGTCGGAGCTGACCCGCCACACTAACCTGGCCTCGCAGCTGCGAGCCATGTCAGCCAAGCTGGAGGGGGTGGCGCGGGGCGTGATGGAGTACCTTGACGTGAAGCGCGCGGGCTTCCCGCGGTTCTACTTCCTGGGTAATCTGGAGATGGTGGAGATGATGGTGGGGTGAGTGCAGGGCGGTGGGGCGGGGAGGTAGAGGCGGGTGGGGGCGGGGGTGGGGGCGGGTGCGGCAGTGCGGGGTGCCGTACGGGGGTGACCTGGGAGCTAAGGTGCTGATGCAGTTAACACGGCCAGGTACACATCGGTAACCCTCTTATAACAGCCAGCCCACCTCTCCTGACCCCTCCCCCCCCTTCCCCCCCATGTGTATTCTTCTCCCCTCCCGCCCCCTCTCCCCCCAGCTCCCACGACCCCGCCGCCCTGGAGGCCTTCCTGCCCAAGTGCTTCCCCGGGGTACGCAAGGTGGGCTGCGTGAAGGTGGCCTCGCCCTCCAACCACAAACCCAACACCGGCGCCTCGGGGTCCGTGGACAGCCTGCGCTCCGGCTCCGCCACCCCCGCCTCCTCCGCCTCGCCGCCCGGCACCGCTTTCTACCCGGGGCGGCACCCGGGGGCACACACGCCCGAGCCGCCGGGGGGTCTGGCGGGCTTGGCGGCGTTCCTGCCTGGGTTCGGGCTGTCGGCGGCGGCGGCTGCGGGCATGAACTCGCCGACGCGGGTGTGGGGAGGGCCGCGGATTGAGTCGCTGATTTCGAATGAGGGGGAGGTGCTGGCGCTGCGGACGATTGTGGATCTGCAGGTAATAGGGGCACGGTTGGGGGTTGTGGGTGGACGGTGAAGGGAGGGTGAGGGGGCGGACCATTCTCATTGGCAACACACTGGCTATCCTTCCTTTCCCCTGCAATCCTAATCCCCCTACCTAATCCAGCCTAATGCGGACCTTTCCAACCCCTCTTAACAACCCCATTTTTCAACCCCTTCCCCCCTCCCCCCTCATCCCCAGGACCCCCGCACCGGCAAGCGCTGCGACGTGGAGTACTGGATGAGCGAGCTGGAGCGGCAGATGCGCGGCAGCCTGCGGGAGACGCTGCGGTTCGCGCTGGAGGCGGCGGGGCTGCAGACCTTCGCCGCCTGGCTGCTGGCGTGGCCCGCGCAGTGCCTGCTGGCGTGCACCAGCATCAACTGGTGCCGCGACATTCACGATATATACCAGGCAGGGGGCGGGGGAGGGGTGGGGGGGGGCCGGGGGACAAGGCGTTTGTTCGACCATGGCTTTCGTTCTCTGATAGAGCACCTTTGCCTTCGTTGTCGTCGTCGTTTGCTGTTGTCTTGAGCCGCGTCACAGTTACGACGGCTTCTACTCTGCTCCCTCGCGCCGTACTCTCATCCGTCCCCTCCCCCCCACCCCTGCAGGCTGGCGCCCCCTTCTCCACCCCCCTCCGCCGGCTTGAGGACATGCACCGCTCCCAGATCCACACGGTGGTGGACCTGCTGCTGGGGGGGACCCTGAGCCCCGTGCAGCGGGGGCTCATGGAGAACATGATCATAACAAAGGTGGGAGGTGGGGGGAGGGGGGGAATGGAAAGTATGATGAAGGTAGAGGAGGGAGACTTATATGGAAAGTTAAGCAACGGAGTCGTGAAGGGGGGGAGGGAGAGGAGAAAAAACGTGCGGGGAGACGGGCGTCAACTGGCCGGTCATCCGCGTGCAACTCGTGTGCTCGTCAACTGCACCGTTGGTGGTTTGTTGGGGCGCACTTGGTCCTCCCTCCTCCTCCTCCCTCAGTCAGTTAGTTCTTAGTTGTTTCCTCTTTTCCTCCACCCTCCCTTCTTCCCCTCCACCCCCCCCCCTGCCCCCCCCCCCCCAGGTGTACCACAACGAGGTGACCGCCCGTCTGCGAGAGCGGCGGCTGGACAGCGACAACGACTTCGAGTGGATCAAGGTGCTGCGCTTCTATCTGGAGGTAGGGGGGGCGGGGGGGGGGGGCTGGAACCCGTATCTTGACTTTCCCACGACCCACACCGTCGTCAATCCTGCTTTCCCACCCACCTACCTATCTTTAAATCACTCCTCCTACCAGTATCCTTATCCCCTAATCCCTATTCCCCCCCTGCCGGCCCCCCCCGCCCCACCCCCCAGGGTGCGGACTGCATCGCCCGCTGCGGCTACACCACCTACCCCTACGGCTATGAGTACCTGGGCAACAGCCCGCGACTGGTCATCACGCCCCTCACCGAGCGAGCCTTCTCATCCATGATGGCGGCGGTGCACCTGCACTATGGGGGCGCGCCGGAGGGGCCGGCGGGTAGGGCGGGGAAGGGGGGGGGGTAAAAAAGAAGTCCCAATCCGGAATTCCCCCCCTCCGGAGGGGGGGTCGGGAGGGGAAAGAGGGGAAGGAGGGGGAGCAGAGGGGGAGATGCATGCGCTGTTCGCCATGCAGCCCTGTGTTGGCATTGTTCCGCAGTTCTCTTCCGTGCTCCCTCCTTCCTTTTCGCTTTCCTCTTCTTTACTGCCGTTACTTTCTCCTCCCCCTCACCACCACCTCCTCCCCTCACATGCGGAAAACCTACCCCTATTCATCAATCCCCGTCACCAGGCACCGGCAAGACGGAGACGGTGAAGGAGCTGGCCAAGTGTCTGGGCAAGCAGTGTGTAGTGTTCAACACCACAGAGCAGCTGGAGAGCGGACACCTCACTCGGCTGCTCATGGGGATCATATCCACGGGCGCGTGGGCCTGCTTCGATGAGTTCAATCGCATGGACATGGAGGTAAGGGGGCTGGGAGCTGGGGGCCCGTGGGGAATAAAGGGGAAGGAATAGACGAGTGGGGGGGGGTCGGTGGGGGGGGAATGAGAGGATGACCCATGGGTCACGACGAGAGGCGGCTAACGGTGTACCTTCACGGTAATAATGGCATCGCTTCGCAGGTGTTGTCCGTGGTGGCGAAGCAGATCATGGTCATACAGACCGCCCTGGCTGCGGGGCAGCGCTACACGGTGTTCGAGGGACGCACCATGTACATCAACAACTCCCTCGCCATGTTCGTCACAATGAACCCCATGTACGAACACAGATCCGTACTGCCATCAAACCTAAAGGTACGTTGCCGTACACACGCTTGCCGTACACTCGCGTGTGTTTTACCCTTTTTGTGGACTGTCCTTTGACTTACATGTCGCCTGCTGCTCTCATGGGCAGTTTTGTTCCCGATGTTCCCGATGGCTTGGCGTTCGACGCCTTCACCAAGACGCTGTCGCTTTGGTTTTGGGTTTTGGTTTTGGGTTTTCTTTCCAACAGTGCCAAACCAAATACTCTTGTATGTACGGTAATACGGTAATGAACTCCCCGTTTGTCTCCCCTTTCTCACAGCTGCCCGCTTGCCTCCCCCTCCTCTTCCCCCTCCTCTCTCCCTCCCCCTTCCTCTCTCCCCCCCTCCCCCCCCCCAGGCCCTCTTCCGCCCTGTCGCCATGATGGTCCCCGACTACACCATGATCGCGGAGGTGTCGCTATACGCGGCGGGGTTCCAGACGGCGCAGCTGCTGGCGACAAAGCTGGTGTCGTGCCTCAAGGTGGTCTCTCGGGGGGGGACTCTGGGTGTTGGGGGCTGGGTGTGGGGGCTGCTTGGCGATGAGAGAGGGAGCGTGGGGAGCATGCGCAGAGGTTGGCGGTCGGAAAACACACAAGGGCCCACCAAACAAACAAGATACGTTTGTGGTTGCACGCCTCAACAGCTTGCACGACACCACAGCCGGGTTACCTCCCTCTCCATTCCCTCTCCCTGCCCTTCTCTCCCTAACCTATAGTTTTGTTATCGGTATATCTTTGCTCCCCTCTCTCCCTCCTCTTTCCTCCGCTCCGCAGATCGCGGGCGACCGCCTATCCGCCCAGCGCCACTACGACTTCCAAATGCGCACCCTCAAGTCCGTTCTCCTCATTGCCGCCCAGCTACGAAGCGAACGAGCCCTGGAGGCCCTCGCAGCCAAGGCGGCAGCGGCAGCCGCCGCCGCCGCCGCCGCGGCAGCGGCTGCTGCTGCTGCCCAGCAACAACAACAACAGCAACAACAACAACTCATCTCCCCTGCCCGGTCACCCTCCCCACAACCCGTGAGCCTCACCAATGTGGCTGCATGGGTGGACGCCGTACCTCGATCACCCTCACCCCCGCCGCTGCCGCCGCCGCCGCCACCTCCGCCGCCGCCGCCGGCTCCGCATGTCAGCGCCAGCGGTCGCGTCGCCAAGGAGGCTGTGGGGCGGCTGAGCGAGCAGGAGGAGGCGGCGCTGTGCAAGGTGGCGCTGCTGCGGTGCAACATGAGCAAGCTGCAGCAGGATGATGTGGCCATCTTCACCAGCATGGTGGAGAGGGAGTTCCCGCAGGTGGGTGTGTATGGGGGGGGGCGTGTGTGTATTGAGAAACTGGCGGCGAGTAGGAACGTACGGGATTGTCGGAAGGTGGGTTTGGGGCAACTTACGCCTCTCCTAGCCCCGTTGAAACCCTGAAATACGAGAGACCCTCCCCCCTACCTCCACCTCCCCACCCCTCCCCAACCAGGGAGTCCCCATGGACCCGCTGCACGCCACCATCGAGCGCTACCTGCACGACGCAGCGGAGGCCTGCGGCAAGAAGGCCACCCCCGAGCTCATCCTGCGCGCACTGCAGCTGCACGACATGCTGTCTATCCGCACCGGCATCATGCTGCTGGGCCCCGCGGCGTGCGGCAAGACCACCATGTGGGCGCTGCTGCAGCGCGCGCTGAGCCGCGTGGATGAGGAGGCGGGGGTGGGGCCGGTCACGGTGCATGAGATATTCCCAAAGGTACGTTGGCGGGCGTTGGTGCTTGCGGGCGTGCGAGGGGGTTTGCGACTGTGATCTTCCCCTTGTGAGGCTGTTCTTGCAAACAAACACGCGAGAGTGCGAACCGCCCATGCTCACTCCGCATCCCCGCCCCCCCCTGCAGGCCGTACACCCCAGCCACCTGTACGGCTCCTACAACACCGCCCACCAGCACTGGATCGACGGTGTGCTCACCGCAGCGCTGCGGGTGGCCTGCAGCCGCAGCACGGGGGGGGGCCGCGCCTGGCTCATCCTGGACGGTCCAGTGGACACTCGCTGGGTGGAGGCGCTGAACCCCGTGCTGGACGACAACCGCACGCTGTGTCTGAGCAGCGGCGAGATGATGCCGCTGCGGGAGGGGGTGAGCTTGCTGCTAGAGACGGACTCCATCACGCACGCCTCCCCCGCCACTGTCAGCCGTTGCGGCGTGGTGTACATGTCGCCGCCCGCGGACCTGTGGCGGTCGGTGCTGGAGTGCTGGCTGGAGAGGGTGGGTGGGGTGGGATTGGGGTGGATGGGGTGGGGTGGGGGCGGGTGTGTGTGTGTTTTAAGGACTGGCCGCGGTGTTTGCGGGTATGGGTGCTGGATGTTGGAGTGCTGGCTGGAGGGGGTGGGCGGGGGGTGGGGGGTTGGGGGGTTGGGGTGGGGGGGTTAGGGAACCTGACCTCATGTGTGTGGGGTGTGCGGGTGGGTGGTGGGTGAGGTGAGGTGGGTGGGTAGAGGGGAAGAAACCTGTTGTGGGTGGGAGTTGGCTGGTGGCGGGACGGTGGTAGTGGAGGTGGTGGTGCTATTATCTTTTCCATGCCCTGCTCGGCATCCCTTCTTACTGCCACCACTTCCCCCCTCCCTCACACCTCCCTTCCCACCCCTCCAGCTGACTCCCCCCGTGTCCGAGCACGTTGGCAAGATCCGCGCCACGCTGTGCTCCGTGTTCCCCGACCTGCTGCGCGCCTACACGGACAGCGCGGAGGTGGACGCGTGGGCGCCGCGGCACCAGCCCACCACCATCATGGTGGGGGTGCTGCGGCTCATGGAGGCGCTGCTAACACAGGTAAGGGGGGGTCAAAGACCATACCGAACCATAGGAAGGGGGGGAGGGGGAGGGAAGAAGAATAGCCAATGTGTTTGGGGGAGGGAGGGCGAGGGCGGGAGCGGGGAAGGGCTCGTCCCTCACGGCGTGCGTTGCTATTGCCTTTTCCCCCCTTATTTCTTCCTTCCTACCCGGTATCTGATTAAAGCTAGTAGCAGCTGAGCCGACTGTATTCCTTCCTCACTGTGTATTCACCCCTCCTCCCCCCCCTCCTCCTCCCCCCCCCGCAGTTCTGCCAGCCCCGCAGCTCCGACAGCGGCGACCGCCCGCTGCAGGCGCGGCTGGAGGCTGCCATCCTGTTCTCCACCGCCTGGGCCTTCGAGCCCTCGCTGCACCAGAAGAGCCGGCCCTTCTTCAACATCCTGCTCAGACAGGTGCGGTGGGGTGGGGGGGGAGGTGGGAGGTAAAGAGGAAACAACTAACTGACTGAGGGATGAGGCGTCAACATGGAGGTGGGAGGTGGTGGGGGGGCGGGTGGTGAAGGCCTCAGGTGGTGGTGCAGGTTGTGTGCCGCCCTGCGTACCTCCCCCCTCTCTTGCTTGCATTCAGGCATCGGGGGCTTTCATCACCCGGTAGGGGGGGTGCCACCATCATCACCCCCTTGGCCTCAATCTTACCCCTTCTCCCATCCCATTCCGCTAACCCAACTATCCAGCCTAATGCGGAATACACGCATCCCTATCAATCCCATCCCGCCCCCCTCCCGCCCCCCTCCCCGCCCCCCTCCCCGCTCCCCGCCCCCCTCCCGCCCCCCTCCCCGCCCCGCTCCCGCCCCCCTCCCGCTCCCCGCCCCCCTCCCGCCCCCCCCCAGCTGAGCGCCCGCAGCATCACCTACGACGCGGAGCGCGGCGGTGTGACGGTGGAGACTCGGTCCATGGGCTTCCACATCAGCCTGCCCACGGAGGGCAGCGTGTTCGACTACATGTTCGACTTCGCATCGCTCAAGTGGGTGACTACCGGGGTGGGGGTGGGGGTAGTAGTGCGGGCAGCAGCAGCAGCAGCAGGGGTGCATACCGGGCAGCAGTAGTGCGGGCAGCAGCAGGGATGGGCAGCGGCAGGAATAGCCAGGCAGCGGGGCGCTAGCGGTATTTAATATCCAGACGGGGCGCTAGCAGCTGCCCCTGCGACCCCTGCTGCCTGTCTGCGCGACACTGCACAGGCGTTATGCCCCTTCCCACAGTGGAGGTTCCTCTTCCACCTCCTCCCCGACGTGCTGTTAGCGCCGCCTATTGTGTGATGCGGCTCTGCCTCTCCCGCGTAACGCAATCCCGACTTTCTTCCCTGTCCCCGTTTTTTGTTTGTTCTGATGCCGCCTTCCTCACCCTACCTGTCTACCTGCACTCACCTTCTGTCCTCCACCCTTTTACTACCCCACCCTCACTGCATGCGCTCACTGGATTCGGGATTCGGGATTGGGACTCCGTTGATGCACTTATCTATATTTTTACCCTCCCCCTCCTCCCCCCACCAATCCACCCCCCCAGGTGGATCAGCTGGCAGGACCACCTGCGCATGCTGTCCGACTGGACCCGCCTCTCCGTCACCCCCGGCACCTTCATCCCCTTTGGCTTCCGCAGCCTGGTGCAGAGCAACGGACCCAGCGGCACGCAGGCGGGCGGCAGCGGCAGCAGCAAGGCGTTCATACTCACAGCGGACAACCTGCCAGCCATCTACCTGCTGCGCGCGCTCATCACACACAAGTGCAACATACTGGTGTCGGGACCCACGGGTCAGTGGATTGGGTCTGGGTCGGAGGGGTGTGACCCATGGGTCAATTCTCAACAGCAGCGCAATTTGCCGCCACCCGCAAGCTGTTTTCTCCGCGCTTTTTATACGCCCACTTTCCCCTTATCCCTTTAATACCTCGTCCTTTTCCCTCTCGTCTCATCCGTGTTTCTCCCCCTTCCCTCCCCTCCTGCCCCTGCCCAGGTGTGGGCAAGACCTCCCTCCTCAACGCCCTGCTCTACAGCGCCAAGGACTGGATGGCCAAGACCACAGCCGGCAGCGAGGACGACGAGGACGCGGTGCGGGAGAGCCCCTCACTTGGCGGCCCGGAGGAGGAGGAGAAGGAGGGGTCCACGGCTGCTGCGGCTGCTGCGGCCGCGGCGGTGGCGGCGGCTGCCTCCGTGGCGGCGGTCGTGGGCCCAATGGAGGAGCCCGAGGGGGGCAGTCGGCTGGGAGAGGGCGAGTCATGTGAGCTGTTGTGTGACACTGCTTACGGAGTTGTTGTTGCTGCGGCTGCTGGGGCTGTTGCGGCTGCTGGGGCTCTCCTGTGTCCCCACCTGTATGGCTGCATACCTGCCCTCTGCGCCTACCCATCCGCACACCGCTCATCCCAACCCCCAACCCGCAACTCATCCAACCCCACCGTTCCCCTTCCCGGTTTACCTCCTCCCTTCCCCCCTCCCTCCCCCCCTCCCCCCCAGACACCGACGAGGCCCCCTCCGCAATGAGCCAGGCGGACGAGCTGCCCACCGCCCCGGGCAGCGCGCAGGGCGGCAAGCCCGGCTCCGCGCTGTCTGGCGAGTCCGTCAGTCCGCTAGACGTGCTGTACCTCACTCTGAGCAGCCAGAGCTCCGCACGCGGCATCAAGCGCATGTTGGAGGGGTTGCTGACGCGGCGGCGGCGCATGGTGCTGGGGCCGCCGGTGGGCAAGACGGCGATACTGTGGGTGGACGATGTGAATGCGGCGGGGCGGGATGCCTTCGACACGCAGGTGGGATGGGTGGGGTGGGTGTGGGGGGGAGGGTATAGTTATGGTCATCTAAGTAGGTAGCTGAGGTATGGGGTGGGAGGTGGGGATGATGCGGGGGAATAGCGGATTGGAGAAGTGTTGGGAGGCAAAACAGGGGGAACAGCACACACGTTTGGTGTCAGCTGAGTGCTGCGGCGGTTGATCACCGCTTGCACCCCCTCCCCCCTCCCCTTCATTCCCCCCCTCCCCTTCATCCCCCCCCCAGGCCGCCCTGGAGGTGCTGCGCCACTGGACCATCAGCAGCAGCTGGCACGAGGAAGACAGCACTCGCAACAAGGAGGTGGTGGAGACCTGCCTGCTCGCCTCGCTCACAACGGCAGCGCACTCAAAACCGTGAGAGACAGGGGGAGGGGGGCGGGAAGAGGGGGAGAGCGGGAAGAGGGGGAACAGAGGGGCTGATGTGACAAGAGCCCCCCTACTGCACCTGATGACCTGCCCAGCACGTAAAGGGGGTAATCACTCGCACCAATCCACACCGGCCTCTTCCTAACCCGCTCTCCCCCCCCCGCTGCCCCCGCTGCTGCCTCCCCCCTGCATGCGTGCAGCTGCCCTCGCCGCTTCCTGTCCCAGCTGATGATGGTGGCTCTTCCTCCCATCAGCCACAGCGGCTTCCACTCCATCTTCACCGACATGGTTAAGAAGAGCATGACGGCAAACACAACACTGCCTAATGCACTGGTGAGGGGGGGTGAGGGGGAGGGGGGGGAGGGAACACCGCGAGCCTGGATTGCCTATTGCTAGGTATACGGTAGCGTTTGTTGTTAGCAGCCGCACTTCCTTCCTGTCTGCTCCCTTCCTCACCCCTTCCCTTCCTCTCTGCAACTTCTGCCCCCCGCCTCAGTCTCCATCCTATCCGCCACACCTCCTCCTCTCCCTCCTCCCCTCTCTCTGCTGCATCAGTCGGAATACGAGACGATTGGGACTCCCCTTACTTCACTTCCCATTTAATTTATCCCCTCCTCCTCCTCCTCCCCCCTCCTTGTTTGCATTTCTTATATAATTTTCCCCCCTCCTTGTTTTGCCCTAACTTGTGGTCTCCTATGGTTTGGTATGGTCTTTGACCCCCCCATGGAGGAGCCTCGTCATCCAGTTCGTCAGTTCGTTTTTCTTTATTTTTACCCCTCCTCGTCTCCCTCCTATTCAACCTCCTCTCCCCCCCCCAGGTTGATGTGCTGGTTGAAGCCACACTCGACCTCTACCGAAAGGTGGTGTCGGAGCTGCTGCCCTCGCCCACCAAGCCCCACTACGTCTTCTCCATCCTGCACGTGGCGCAGGTGTTCCAATCCATCTTCCACGCCACCCGCGCCAGCCGCTCCACGCCCGAGCAGATGGTGCGTGTGTGGCAGCACGAGGTCCTGCGCGTGTTCTATGACCGCCTGCTGGAGCCGGCGGCACGGAAGTGGATGGTGGAGACGGTGCAGGAGGTGAGGGGGAGGGGTGCGGGGGTGTGTGTTGGGGGTGGAAGTGGGGGGGGGGGGTAGCAGCGGTGGTGGTACACGGAGTCACTACCAGGGGTCACTTGAGGTGTGCCGGGAGGAGGAAACCTCCGGTCGGGAGTGGCGATGAGATAGGAACACAGAGAGAGAGCCTGAGAGCCAGCTTGGGTGCACCTTTGACCCCACTCGCCAACCCCCTCCCTTCCCTCTATCCCTTCCCTCTATCCCCATTGCTTTGCCCTAACCTGTGGTTCTGGTATATGTTCGACCCCCAACTCCGCCCGCCCAGGTGAGCAACCACTTCCTGTCCGCCTACGGCCCGCTGGTCCCGCCCGACCCCACGGAGATACTGCTGTGCACCTTCGCCACCACCGCGGGGGGCTACGAGCTGGCGGAGCACGTGCTGCGCAAGGCGGACAACGACAGCACGGCGGCGGACAACTGTCTGGAGGGGGAGAGCTCCGGGGAGACGGCGGGGGGCGGCGGGGGGTTGAGCGCTGAGCCCAGCGGTGTGACGTTTGGGGGGAGCAGCAGCGGCGGAGCGGGGAGGAGCGGGGAGGGGGGTGAGGAGGGAGGTGGTGGTGGAGGAGGAGGAGGTGGGAGGAGCGGAGGAGGTGCGAGTAGCACGACGGGTGGAGGTGGGAAGGGAGGGCATAAACGGGGGAAGGGCAAGGACCGGGATAGAGATCGGGACCGGGATAAGGACCGAGAGGGGGAAAAGGAGAAGGAAGGAGCAAGCGAGGGTGGCGCGGAGGGGGCCCCGGCCACATCCGCTACCGACGTCACCGTTATCAAGGGACGCGGGTTGGTCGTCACGGGGCCGGGCGGCATCTCCGTCAAGGTGAACACCTCCGCCGCCGCGGCAGCAGCGGCGGCGGCCGCCGCCGCCGCCTCCTCCCGCGCCGCGGTGCTCCCCCCCAGCGTCGTCCTCGCCGCCTCCACGGTGCTTCCCCAGATGTCGGGTGACAGGGCTCTGGAGCGGCTGTACGCGCTGGGTCCATGGGTTGACGACGGTCGGCCGCTGCGGACGGTTGTGGAGGAGCGGCTGCTGCTGGTGGCGCAGGAGTTCGCGGACCAGCTGTTCGGCGGGCGGGGGCCGGTGCAGGAGAGCATCTTCGTGTTCCGCAATGCGCTGATGCACCTGGCGCGCATCTCAAGGGTGCTGTCGATGGACCAGGTAAGGGGAAAAAAAGAAGATACCAAAATGTGGTGTGATAATGCTACACCAGGTAGGGGGGGAGCGAGGGGAGGGGGGTTAGGTGGACTGAGGGAGGGGGGGAGCGGTGGGGGGGCGATGGGGACGGGGGGCAAAAGTAAGGGAACTGATAAGGCAACTAACGAGCTGTGTGACACGGCTTCACCATGGGATGCACCGCGGGAGGGGGGGGAGCACCCTCCCCCCCTCTGCTTCCCTCTATCCCCATTGCTTTGCCCTAACCTGTGATCTTGCTATATCCCCCCTCCCCCCCACCTCCCCCTCCCCCCAGGGCCACCTAATGCTGCTGGGCCCCCCCGGCTGCGGCCGCCGCACACTGGCCCGCCTGGCTGCCTTCATGTGCCGCTGCACGCTGCTGGAGGCCAAGCTGAAGGACGAGCAGAAGGGGTTCGCGTGGCGAGACATGATCAAGAGCGCGCTGCTGTCGGCGGGCGTGCAGGGCAGGTGGGAGGGGTGGGAGGGGGCGTGTTACGCTGGTGGGGGGGGAGTCGGAACGCACCGCTTAGGCTGCGTGCAGGTGTGTTGCAATAGGGCGCACGCACCTCCCTCACCTCCCGTATGGTGCCCCCGCCTCCTGCTCCCCCGCCTCCTCCCCCATTGCCCCTGCCCCAACCTGTGGTTTCCTATGTTTCGGTATACGGTCTTTGTCCCCCTTCCACCCCTCCTCTCCACCCCTCCTCTCCTCCCCCTCCGCTCCGCAGGCCCGTGTGCGTCCTCCTAGTGGACCTGGGCCGCCCCTGCTCGCGCATGTTGGACGACGTGGACCAGCTCATGAGCACCGGCTCGCTGCCCGACCTGTTCAAACCCGAGGAGGTGGCGGCGGTGACGCAGCAGCTGAAGCCCATGGCGCGGGCGGCGGGGTTGACGTGGACGGACTTTGACCGCAGCGGAGGTGGGGGCGAGGGGGGGGTGGGAGGCGGGAGGTGGGGGGGCGGGTGCTGCTTGGGTTGGGCGGTGGGTGCGGGGTGGTGTGTGCTGGGTACGTTACCCTGCCCGCCTCCCACCCCATCCCAAGTCATACAGCTCGTTAGTTTCTTCTTTCTACACCCCCCCTATGGTTTCCTATGGTTCGGTATGGTCTTTGAACCCCTCCCGCCCCCCCTCCCCCGGAGCGGATCGGGCTGGCTCACATGTTGCAAACCATGATGATGCCTTATCACACGGTCAGTTAGTTGTTTCCTCATTATCCCCCCTTCCTCTCCCCCCCTGCAGGCACCAGCGACAACGTGTTGCGCCAGTTCTTCCTGGAGCGCTGCCGGGCCAACCTGCACTTCACGCTGGTGCTGGAGGCGGAGCCGGCGGTGCTGCAGCGCAAGGTGGTGGCCTTCCCCAAGCTCTTCCAGGCGGTGGCGGTCAACACAGTGGACGAGTGGGACAGGGACGCGCGCATGCATGTGAGGGGGGGGGCGGGAGGGGGAGGGGAGGGGGGCAGAAAGGGGGGGGACAGGGACGCGCGCATGCATGTGAGGGGGGGCAGGGGGAGTGGGGGGGCGGTGGGGCCGGTAGCGGTAGCGGTGATAGCGGTAGCGGTTGAATGTGATATTGGGGGCTGCCGGGTGAGGCCTGGGTGTGGGATGCGGAGCAGAGTGGGTACCGCACCCTACGTGGTATGTCCACTACCATGCATGACTCCACTCCCGCGTTCTTCTGCTCATAGTTGGGCTCTCAGCCCTCACCACCCCGCACCCTCGCAACCCCCCCCCTGCCTCAGGTGGCCGAGCGCTTCCTGGTGTCCCCCGAGGCGCTTGCGGTGGACCCCGAGGCGTGGGGCCGCGTGCTGCGGTGCGCGGTGGACATGCACGGCGCGCTGAAGCCGCATGTGGCCCGGCACAACAGCAAGGCGGGCTACAACACCTCCTTCATGGCCACCGCGGTGCAGTTCCTCAGGCTGCTGCGGCTGCTCAAGTGGGTGGAGGGGGGGGAGGGGAGGGAGGGAATTCCAATGTGTGGTGTGATAATGGTACAAATTGCTGACACGCCCAGGGAGGGAGGGGAGGGAGGAGAGGGATAGGAGGTAGTCGGCAGGCGGTGAAGGCAAGCAGGGTTTGGGTGGAGAACCACTTCGCTTTGGACTCCTGGTACGGTAGTGTTGCGCGAGGGGGCAGGAACGTAAGAGGGATGAGGAGAGCCGTCGCACCGCGCCCTCTGCTGCACCGCCTCACCCCGGACTTCTCCTCCCCCTGCCCTGCTTCCCCTCCTCCCCCCCACACACACACATTGGAATTTCTTTTTTCTCCCCCCCCCCCAGGTCCATGGTCCCCCACCGGCGCCAGGTGGTGTCCACGGCGCGTCACAAGTACCTACGGGGAGTGGCCAAGATGACGGACATGCAGGACAAGCTGAGCGCGCTGAGGGGGCAGATCGCGTCAATGGTGGGGGGGTGGGGGGCTATGGAGGGGGGCTATGGAAGGGGGCTATGGAGGGGGGCTATGGAGGGGGGCTATGGAGGGGGGCTATGGAGGGGGGCGGGTTGCGGCGGGGTGGTGAAGACAGGGCGGGACGGAGGCAGGACTGCCGTTACTGTGTTGCTAGGTGGAGGGGTGGGGAGGTGGAGGGGTGGGGAGACGGGGAGGTGGAGGGGTGGGGAGACGGGGAGGTGGAGGGGTGGGGAGGTGGGGAGGTGGGGAGGTGGGGAGGTGGGGAGGTGGAGGGGTGGGGAGGTGGGGAAAAAATTAAATATGTGAAAGGTGGGGAGGTGGAGAGGTGGGGAGCCTTTTGTCTGTCTGCTTGCGATGGATGGGGCGAAGATGTGAGGAACTCCCCTCCTCCTTCCTGGCACCCGACCGCACCCCACCCAGCCACCTTCCCATGGTGAAGCTCCCCATGACGTCGTACAGCTCTCGTCAGTTTCCCCTTTTTGGTATAAAGAGAGAGAGAACTGACCCATCCACTCACCCATCCACTCACCCATGCACCTCACCCACCCACCCACCCATGCACCCACCCACCCACCCACCCCCCCCCCCCCCCCCCCCCCCCTTCCCCCCTCAGGGTCCCGAACTGGAGCGCAGTCGCGCCGAGGTGCTCGCCCTGATGGACCTCATCGGGCGGCAGAAGGCGGAGGCGGAGGCGGCGCTGCAGCACTTCCTGCCCGCAGAGGCCTCCGCGCAGGCGGCGGTGGCGGAGTGCGAGGCGCTGAGAGCGGCGTGCGATGCGGCGCTGCGGGACGTGATGCCGCCGCTGCAGGCGGCGCTGAGGGAGCTGAGGCGGATCGACAAGGGCTCGATTGCGGAGCTGAAGGTGATGAGGAGTCCTCCCGTGGGTGAGTACCGGGGTGGTGGGTGGGTGGGTGCGGGGGTGGGGGGTGTTACTGGTGAGAGCTACAGCAGAAAGCCTGTTTGAATGCGGTAACCCAACGTCCTGCTCCTTTGCATGGACCCAACCTCGTCGCCCTTCTTTCTTTCCCCTCTTCCCCTCCCTCCCCTCCCTTCCCACCCCCCCAGGTGTGAAGCTGGTCATGCGCTGCATTTGCATCATGCTCGGCCGCATTCCCCCCCTGGTAGCTGCCCTGGAGGCCCGCGCCGCTCTGCGCCCCTCCTCGCCCTCACGCCTCTTTTCCACCTCCTCTCCCGGCGCCCCCGGCGGTAGCAGCAGCTACCCCTCCTCCCCCGGCGTCTCCTTCACCGCACTCGTCCGCCGCACCGCCTCCAACCCCGGCACTGGCCCCCCACCCTCCCTCGACCCCAACGACCCCATGAACCCCGCCCACCCCCACCACCGCGCCGTCGCCATGGCCTACAACGCCATCTACGCCCTGAACAACCCCGAAGCGGAGGACCCATCGGTGTCTGAAGCCTGGTGGTCGGAATCCATCAAACTTCTGGCGGATTTCCACTTCCTGGATATGCTGCTGGGGTACGACAAGGACGCCATGACGCCCCAAGTCGCGGCGCAGATTGAGGTGTTTGTGACGAATCCCATGTTTGACCCGGTTGCGATGGAGCGGACGAGCAAGGCGGCCGCGGCGATCTGCAAGTGGGTCAAGGCAATGGACATGTTCCAAAAGGGCCGGAAGGTAGGTGCGCGGAAGGGAGGGAGGGAGGGGGGAGGGAGGGAGGGGGGGGGAGGGAAAGGGCTAGAGGGCGAGAGCGAGGGAGGGAGAACGGGGAGGGAGACAAGGATGGCGGGGGAAGGGGTTATGAAGCCGGTGTGGAGGTGTGCGAGGTACGCCCACAGATGGGTACCTCTGCCACCGGGTATAGGCTCTCCTCTTCTGCTATCTTCCTGAGCCTTCAATAGACCGGGAGTCAGTCCCCCCCCTCCTCTCCTCCTGCTGGTTGCTTCACTTGTCATTTCTTGTCTCCCTCCACCTCCTCTTCCCTCCCCCCTCCTTTGTCTTGTGGCACCCATCCAACTCCTACCCCCATTGTTTTGCCCTAACTTGTGGTCTCCTATGGTTTGATATGGTCTTTGACCCCCCTCCAGCTTGTCGACCCCCGCCGCGCCGCCCTGATGGAAAGCGAGGACCGGCTGCTGGCGCAGCAGGGGCGGCTGCAGGAGAACCACCGCAAGCTGACGGCCATGCAGCAACGCATTGCGGTAAGGGGGGGGGGCGGGGGCGGGTTAGGTAGTGGTGGTGGTGGTGGGGGGGCGCCGGTTGGGGTTGGGAGCTGTGATGGGTGATGCGGATGAGAGGGTTGAGGCGGGGGAAGGGGCTGCTTTTTTTTAGCACTTCGGGTATTACCGTAGCGCTCTCGCACCTCCTTGCACCCTTTGCCTTGCCCGAACCTGTGGCTTCCTATGGCCTGCTTCCTACGGTCGTTCACCCCCCATTGGATATTCTTCTTTCCCCCCACCATACATGCACCTCACAGGAGCTGGAGGGCAAGCTGCAGCAGGCTCAGGCCTCCCGCGACCGCCTTGACGCCGACATGGCGGTGGCTCAGCGGAAGAGCGAGCAGGCGCAGCTGACCATAGCGGCGGTGGTGCGGGAGGTGGGTCGCTGGCAGAACAACGCGGAGGTGCAGGACAAGCGGCATGCGGAGGTGCTGGGGGAGGTGCTGCTGTCGGCGGCGCACATCGCGTACCTGGGGCCGGTGACGGGGACCATCCGGGTGCATGTGGAGGATGACTGGCAGGTGGGTTGGGAGGGGGGGTGATGGGGGGGGGTAAAAGAGGAAACTGACGCAAGAGGTGTGCGTGTGGGGGGTGGGGGTGGGGGTGGTACCAGGGTGTAAAGAGGGATTACAGGGACAACGTTAAGTAGTATGTATATGTGGCTACCGGAGTAGTAGTGTGCCAGTACCCCCAGTGTCAGTAGCCCCAGCTTCCTTCCTCTATTCCTAGTGCTGCTGCTGCTGCTGCTTCAACACATTGGGTATTCTTCTTTTTCCCCCTCCCCCCTCCCCCTTCTCCCCCCCTAACCCGCCCAGGACCTGCTCCGCCTGGCCGGTGTGGTGGCCCCCCGCCCCTTCAAGCTGGCGGACGTGCTGGCCTCGCAGGCGCAACAAGACACATGGCGCGACTCCGACCTGCCGCACAGTCGTACCGCGGTGGAGAACGCGGGCATCATGGCGGCGTGCGGGGGCTGGGTGCTGCTGCATGACCCGCAGGTGGGGGGGAGGAGGCGGGGAGGGAGGGAGGGGAGGGAGGGTTAGGAGGACGAGACGGATGGGCTGGATGGCGAGGTTTAAGGGGGCAGGGGGTTTGGGTATGTATGTGCGGTGTGACGGCGAGGTGACCCATGGGTCACTTCGGGTGTGTCCAGAAGTATCCAGAGCTGGGACTTCGGGAACTTAGGAGTTTCGTTTCCCCCATGTTTACCCCGTTTCCACCCCCCTCACCCGCCCCCTTCCCTCCTCCCTCCCTGCCCCCCCCCTCCAGGAGCTGGGCTACCGCTTCATCAAGGGCTTCTACGGCGGCGACGTGTGGCTGCAGGGCATTGGCGGTCGGCCCGTGGTCACCTTCGTGGTGCTGGACCAGTCGGACCCCGGATACAATGAGCAGCTGTTCAAGTAAGAGGGAGGGGGGCGGAGGGGGAGGGAGGGGGGAGGGGAAGGGCAGGGAGAGACATGCTCTTCACATGCGCTGAGGAGGTTTAGGTCCGGGGGCTTCCTTGTCCCTCACTCCTTCTCTTACTTTACTCTCTGGACGACCCTCTCTATCCCTCCCCCTCCCCTTGCCCCCACTGCTTTCCTCTATCCCCATGGCTTTGCCCTGACCTGCGGTTGTGGTATCTGGTACATCTCTGATCCTCCCCCCCTCCCCTCCCCTCCCCTCCCCCCCCCAGGGCCATCGAGATGGGCGCCACAGTGCTGCTTGAGAACTTTGACGACGACATGGACGACCTCACCGAGCAGCTGCTGGCGTGCAGGCTGGTGGGCGACACGCGGGGGGCGGTGGCCATACGGCTGGGGGACAACCTAATACCCTACCACAAGGAGTGAGTGCCGGGGGGGGCAGGGGGGGGATAGAGGATGATGATGAGTGATGGTGACCCGTGGGACGGGCAGTTGGTCAGCTACACGTTTTCGGGCGGGAGCTGCGAGTGGTGTGTGATAATAATGAGCATGCATGCTCTGCGAGATATGGTGTTCCATGTCTACTGTGTTAATGGTAAATTGAAACTGCGGATGGCTCATTAGTTCAGTTACAGTTTATATGTCTAATTGACGGACTGCGGACCCACTAATTAAATCAGTTATAGTCTAATTAAATAAGGCGCCCGCAGAGTCCCTCAACACGATTATAAATGCTTTAATGAGCATTTCGCAGTCTGGCACATTAACAATTACTACGGTAATATCCGAGTCCACGTTCTTGAAGCCCTCACGCAACCACCTCCTCTCTTCCTCTCCCCCCCCTCAATTCCCTCCCCTCCTCCCCTTCCCCCCTCGCAGCTTCCAGCTCTTCGTGACCACCCGCCTCCGAGCTCCCCGCTTCCCAGCTGACATGTTGCGCCACGTCACCGTGGTCAACTTCTCCATCACTCGCGGCCAGCTGTGCGAGCTGCTCATCACCGCCACCCTGCGCCACGAGATGCCGGAGCTGGAGCAGGAACACCTGGTCCTCACGCGGCAGAAGGCCAAGGGCGAGGCGGACCTGGTGCAGCTGGAAAACACGGTGCTGCAGGTGCGGGGGCGCGGGTTACCGGTAATAGGGTGTGTGCGCAGGGGAATGGGAGGGGGCGGGGGTTAATAGGGTGTGTGCGCATGGGAATGGGAGAGGGCGGCGCGAGAGATGCATGCTAGGCGTTCATTCCTGTCGGCAACATGAACGCGATGTCCCTTGCCCTCCCCTTACCCCACCCACCAACCCACACATTGGGTATCCTTCTCTCCCCTCCACCTCTCCTGCTTTATTCCCTCCCCCCCCCCCAGGCCATCACCGCCACCAGCACTGAGGAGCTGCTGGAGGAGAGCCAGGTGTACCAGCTGCTGCGAACACTGCAGGTGGGGGGGAGGAGGAGAACCTTGCGTTCAATGATAGTGGCAATCCAGGTGCAGGTGGGGGAGAGAGGGAAGAGGGGAACTAACAGGGTGTAGTGTGACCGACGGTGGGATTCTGACGGACGAACCCCTCGCCATCTGCCTCTAACCTCCCACAACCCTCCCACAACCTCCCCTAACCTCCCCCCTTCCCCCCCCCCGCAGGAGTCCACGGACGCCATCAAGGCCAAGGTGGCCCGCATAGAGGCCTCACAAAAGGCAATCAACGCGGTGCGCGCCGACACCGAAAAGTATTTCGTCGCTCGCGTGGTTCCCTTCTTCTTCTGCCTGGCCGACCTGGCCAACGTACGGCACACCTACCAGTTCGGACTGCACTGGTTCATGCGCCTGTTCAACGACGCGCTGGTGACGTGCCTGAAGAACAACACCGGCAAGGCGAGGCTGGCGAGTCTGACCATGCACTTTACCACCATGTTCTACGCGAATGTGAGTCGCTCGCTGTTTGACGAGGACAAGCTGCCCTTCGCGGTGATGATGATGGTGCGGTTCTTGGAGGTGAGGCGGGGGGGGGGTCGGGGGGCGGAGGGGGGGGGGGAGAAGGTGGTGGGTTGGGGTGCGGGCGGGGGAGCGGGCGGGGGAACTTGGTGGGGGGTGGCGGCGCTGACGGGGGGGAGATACTATGATGAGGTGGAGGAGGCGTGGGAGGGAGGGGGCTTTCTGCTTTTGGCATCAGTGTTCATTCTTCGCACACATCGCCCACCTGCATTGCCGCGGTCCATCTGGTCGAGAGACTCCAGACCAACATACGAGCTCCACCCCCCCCCCCCCCCCCAACCCCCCCCCCCCCCCCCCCCAGGCCAGCGGCTACGTGACCAAGGACGAGGCCAACCTGCTGCTATACGGCCGCGCCACCGACAGCACCTACACCGCCAAACCCACCTTCATGCGCCTCGCCTCGGGCCGGGCGGGCCTGGGTCGCCTGGCCGGCCACCAGCGCTCCCGCAACGGCTCCGCGCACACCCCGCAGCGGCTCCGCGCCCATAGCACCCGCTCGCTGCGACACCACAGCATCACCGCGATGAGCCGCGGCGCCACCGCGTCTGGAGCCCCCATGATACCCCTGTTCCCGATTCCGGGATCTGCTGCAGCGACGGGTGCGGGTGTGGAGGGCAACAGCGGCAGCGGCGGCACCAGCATGGGCGGCGGGGCGACCACCGCTGGGTCCTCAGCAGGCGGGGCGCTGGAGCCGACGGCGTCGCAGCTGGTGATTGAGGGGTTCGATTCCGCGGCGGCGGCGGTGGCGGCGGTGGCGGCAGCGGGGGGCGGCCTGCCGGGTGGTGTTCTGCCGGGGGGTATGATGGCGGGGGCTGTGTTGGAGCCCTACCAGCTGCACGCGGCCATGGGCGCCGTGACGCCGGACTCGCCCGGCGAGTCGCTGTACCACCCGCCACGGCGGGGAACACGGAGCGGCCGACAGCAGCCGCAACAGGAGGAACAGGAGCAGGGACAACAGGAGCAGCAGGAACATCAACCCAGGGAGGGCTCCTCTTCTGTAGAGCCTTTCAAGGAGCAGGAGGGCTTGGCCGCGGCCCGAGCGGCCCTCTCCGCTGCCGACGGGAGCGCGGAAGCCCGGCCGGAGACGCCGGATAACGGCGTTGGAGACCCCTTCAACGGGCTCTTCAAGCGCCGTGGCGGCAGCAAGGCGGCTGCTGCTGGCCTAGCCGGCGGCAGCTCCCCGACTGCTCTCCCCAGCTCACCCAGCCGCCTCTCCCAAGCCAGCAAAGGCACCGCCACTGCCGCCGCTACCTCCTCCTCCACCACCGCCGCCGCCGCCACCATCCAGCTCTTCCCCGTCCGATCCCCCTCCCACTCCACCACCACCATCGGCGCCGTGGCGGACCCGCTGCTTCCCTTCCTCTCCGAGCAGCGCTCCCGGCGGCTGTCGGGGCTGCTGCCCTCGCTGCTGTCCAACGACGCCGGCGCGCCCGCCTACCTGCCCGAGGAGCTGCGGCCCGACTGGATGCCGGATGACAGCTGGTCGCGACTGCGGGACCTGGGCAAACTGCAACCGTACAACCGGGTGCTTCCTGCACTGCTGGAGGATGAGGAGGGGTCGGAGGCGATGCGGCAGTACTGGGAGGCGCTGGCGAGGTGGGGAGGAGGAGGCGGGAGGGTGGGGGAAGGAAGGGGGGAGGGGATGATGCTTTTACAGCCGCCAGGGGGCACACACAACATCTTGCCTGCCTCAACACGTCAGCTGTTTCATATTCCCGTCGTTTCTTTAGAATCTTTACGCATGCATGAACTGACTGCTGAACACGCGTACCTCATCCGCTGCCGCTGCCACTCCCTCTGCCGCCCCCTCCCTCCCTCCCCCTCGCAGCCTGGAGAGTCCCTTCCAGGTCCGCGACCCCGCCGCGCCCGACCCGCTCGACCCGCCCCACCCGCGCCTCCGCGAGCTCAACACCTTCCAGCGGCTGCTGCTGGTGCGCTGCCTGCAGCCCCGCGGCTTCGTGCCGCAGGCGCAAGCAGCCGTGCGGGAGTACCTGGGCCCCGCATGCGTGGCAAATGAGCAGCTGGTGGATTTCGAAGCCATCTTTGCGGTGACGGAGGCCACCATGCCCATCGTGCTGATCAGTTCCACCGACCACACGCTGCCCTTCCTGCAGCAGTTCGCGGACAGTCGGGGGATCAGTGTGATGCACATGGCCATAGGGCGCGGGCAGGGGGCGGCCACGGACCGACTGATTCGAGCGGCAGTGTGTGAGTGCGGGGAGGGGAGGACGCTTGATGATGAGGAGGGCATGTGGCGGGTGTGTTGCTTGGTTGCTTGCTTGAGCCAGTTGCGTGTCCATTTTGCATTGGAGTCAGTTCTCGGCGGCAGTGCGAGAACAACCGCAACTCATGTCGCTTCCTTACCTCTTTCCCCTCCTCCTCACCCCTCCCCTCCTCACCCTTCCCCTCCCCAGCTCTGGACCGCTGGGTCATCCTGGAGAACAGCCACCTGGCGGGCGACTGGATGCCCAGCCTGTGCCGCCTGGTGCAGGCGCTGCCGCTGCTCAAGCCGCACACCAACTTCCGCCTCTGGCTCACCACCGTGCCCACCTCCGCCTACCCAGACATCATCCTGCAGTCCTCGCTGAAGCTCGTGATGGACCCCCCGCACGGCATCAAGGGCAACCTCATCCAGGTCATGTCACAGCTGCCCGTGGAGGTAGCCAGCAACAGTCGCTACGCGCAACAGTCGCTGCCCAGCTACGGAGCGGAACGAGACCCGGCTGCTGGAACGGGGGAGCCCAAGGACGACGTCATCGGTCGCAAGGTCACGATTCTTCCGCCGGAATGGAAGCAGCTGGTGTTGCGGCTGTGTCTCTTCCACGCGCTGCTGACCGAGCGGTTGCAGTACAGGGCGTTGGGGTGGCGGCGGCCGTACGAATTCACGGCGGCGGACATGCTGAGCGCGATCAACCAGATCATGTCCATCGTGCACACGCAGCCCTGTGTGGATATTGAGAGCACGCTGCCGGGGTTGCTGCATGTGGTGGGGCAGTGCTTGTACGGCGGGAAGGTGACGCATGATTGGGACCGGCGGCTGCTGGTGTGCCTTCTGAGTCAGCAGTTGCTGCCGTACGAGGGATCCGCGGCGACCACTGTGGAAAGGTGGGAGAGAGAGAGAGAGAGAGGTTAAGCAGGGAGAGAGAGAGGGAGAGATGGCAGGCGTGTGGTGGGGGAGGGCATGTGTTGAATGCGGGTGGCGGGAGGAGGGCAGCGCCTGATCTGTGCTATTCGTTCGTTTTTACAGCATCCAATGGAGCTAAGCACAGCACACAAGGCGCCCTTTACCAAACCCCTGTTTCCTCTTCCCTTCCTTTCCCTTCCTCCCTATACAGCCTGCTTCCCGAGCGCCTGGCCAGCTGCACCTGCGACCTCTCCACTGTCTCCAAGGAGCTCCGAAACCTGGCCATTCCGCGCGAGGACCCCCGACTGGTTGGCCTCTCCGCCGGCGCCGCCTCGGTCCGCTCCTCGCAATACACACGGCACGTGCTGGACACCCTCAAACGCGTCCAGCTGCTGCGTTCCACCGACGAGGCCGACCTCACCAAACCCCTGCAGCTGGCGTTGTCAGTGTGTCAGGACCTGTTGAAGCAGCTGCCCATGCACCCCCTGCCGCAAACACGCAGCGCCTGGGCTGCGCTGGTGTGTCCCGGGTCGGCTGGCGGGCGGGCGGGCTGGGATGGCAGGGAGGCGGGCGGAGCAGGAGCTTCGGGGGGTGCGGGAGGAGGAGGAGCAGGAGGCACGGGGGGTGCGGCGGGCGGGGGAGCGGCCGGGGCCGCGGCGAGGGAGGAGCGTCGGCGGCGGCAGGGCACCTTGGCGCCTGCGGTAGCTGCCATGACGACTGCGACGGGTGCCGCGGTGTATATGCCTCGGTACAAGGCGGTCAAGATGACGGAGGAGATGAGCGAGGCGGCGCTGGAGCGCTGGAACGCCATACACCCCGTCATGCAGCGCGCCCTAATCCAGGTGTTCAATGATGAGGTGGCGAGCTACGCGGCGGTGCTGTCAACCGTGCACGCCTCCATCCGCGCCGTGAACAGCGCCATCAAGGGTTACGAGGGACTGTCGGAGGCGATTGCGGAGCTGGTGCAGCAGCTGGCGCAGGGGCACGTTCCGCGCGCCTGGTTGAACCACCGGGTGGAGCTGCAGGTCGACAACATCGCCATCTGGCTGACGGACCTGCAGGCGAGGCTGGACTTCCTGTACGACTGGGCGGTGGAGGGGCCGCCGGTGGCGGTGCCGCTGGGGCTGCTCAGCCGCCCGCGCAGCTTCCTCACCGCGGTGCAGCAGAGCTTCGCGGAGCGGCTGGGCCGACCCGTGGGTCAGGTCACCATGGACAGTGTGGTGCTGCAGGCGGAGGAGGAGACGGTGTTGCCGAGGGAGCGGTTGGCGCAGCTGGGGTCGGCCGCGCTGGGGAGCACCTACCTAGCTGCGGCGGATGGGACCACGCTGCTGCTGAGCAAGCTGCTGTCAGAGGGTTGCTTGGTGAGTGGGCTGGTGTTGCAAGGAGCCAGGTGGGATGGGGTGCGGCGGGTGCTGGCGGAGCCGGAGCCGGGGGTGCTGCACAGTGCCATGCCGCTGCTGTGGCTGCGAGCCACCGCCACTCCCGCAGTGCCGCAGCTGGCACGTGCGTTGGCGCTGCCGGGAGCCACGCTGCCCACCCGCATTCACGACTCGTATGTGTGTCCGGTGTTCAAGTATGTGGCTGGGTTCGGGCGGCGTAACAATCTGCTGTTGGCGGACGCGGATGATTGCCTGACGACGGTGTTGCTGCCGTGTGGGGCGCGGAGGGCGGAGTTCTGGGCGGCGCATAATGTGGTGTTGATTGCGGTTCCCGACCCGTCGGCGGTGCTGGAGGCGGCGGGAGGGGCGTGGGCGGTGGGAGGGCCGGGTGGGGATGGAGAAGGGGGACCCGGGGCGAGTGGGATGCCTGCGTCGCTGCCGTTTGATGCCCCAATGTGGTGAGGGAGGGCGATGTGTGATCGGAGGAGGTTCCGTACACCGTCTATATAGAGGCTTGAAGCGTGCGATAGTTGCTGCTAGGTGGTGTTGTTTGTGTGCCGGGTGGTCAGGCGGGCGCAATGTATTGTAGCTAGTTGGCGGCTCGAGCATTCGTGTGAAGGATGCGACCCTAGGTGGGATGTGGGTAGCTGCGAGTAAGGTCCAGACGTACTATTGTGCATGTGCGCGTGTGTGACCGTTATATAGCGTTATAGGTGCCTTGCAAGGACACTAAGATGTGTGTACCGGGCGCTGCGACAAGGACGACCGGCAATCGCTTTTGCCATGGGTTGCGGAGATTGACAGCAGAAATTGTGCTTGTACAGAACAACAAATCCGTTCCGCGCATTCGTACGTATAATTGGAATCAGAAGCGTGTGAGCCTTTGCTTCGTATGATGCGGGGCGGCTGCGGGATTGGTCATGTCGTTACCGGTATACATGTTTGGGCTTTTTGTACCAGCCCATGTTATGATGGCAGGACAATTCACTCCAGGTGTCCTTAAACAAGGATTTTAGCAGCAATCGGAACGGATAGAAGTAGGAGGAACTTAACAAGAATAACAACGTTCAGGCTGTTACGGCTTTCCACGTCCAAGGTCAGGTCTACCGCGCAGACGCACTCACAATCGCGCTCTAACGCATTAGCACTTGCAGAGATAGTATCCTGTGCTTAGCGTTCCTTGCCCCAAAAACCGTGTACCGGTGTTTGAGCAAGGTTTGGCAGCGCTCAGGACGCCCTCCCTTAGCTTGGCCCATATGGCTAGCAGCAGCGATGCAGCAGATCCCGTCCTTATGGAACGAAGTGACGAAGACTTTCTGCGCATCACTGCCCGCAGCCAGGGGGCAGCGCAGCAGGTCAGCTTCAGTCGCTGGCTCGCGCACCGAGCTCGTTTAGCCGACATCATCCTGCCAATTTCGGAGCTGCTGCTGTTCAGCACGCCGTGCACCCTGCACTCTATTATTGCCATGATGTGTGGTCCGGGACCACACGGACTGGGTCCGGTGCTGCCGCTAAACGACCACGTCGTTAGCCATACGGCAACCCTGCTTGCCGACTTCCCCTGCAACACCAGTTACACCGGACAGCTGGCGTATGTACTGCGCACGGGGGCGATGGCTGACCCATGGGTCAAGCTGCGTGCCTGCGATGTCGGCTACTTCGGGCTAGTTCTGGCGAACATCCTCACTGTTAGCTTGGCGCTGCTCGCTCCCCACCATTACGAGCGGTTTCGAAACCCCCTGGTGGTCGCTGCAACTGTGTTCGGCTTGCTAAGTGCCCACGTAGCTGCTGCCTGGGTGCCTGAGGCTTTGCTGCCGCTGGGGCTCACGGCATTTTTCAGCGCGGCGCAGCGGCGGCTGGCGGTTGTGTACTACGGCTGGCGAGCTGTGATCGTGCATCGGGTAAGCTACCTTGAGTCGAGGACTAAGATACGGCATAGGACACTGATGCAGAGGCCAAACCATGTGGTGAAGACGCATGTCAGTGTGTACGGGAATCGGCGTCGGGACAAAACGATATGGCCAAGACTCCGGACATCTGCCTTACCCCTCCTAACACGGTGTATATAACTGCGCCCCCGCCAACAGCTGCCCGCATCACTTCAGCTGCTGGTCGGCCCCCTCCTGTGGCTGCTCTTAATCACCGCCATGCTCGCTGTGGACCGCCGGCTGCTGCCCCCGGGGGCCTCCCGGCCGCAGTACGTCACACCCGCCCAGGCAGCCCTGCTCTTCGTCGTGATGGCCGTACTGCCGTACCTGGTGGTACGAGCATGGGAGCGGGCTTACCTGCTTCCGCGCTATCGCGCCTACCTTCGCGACGTCAGCAGCAGCAGCAGCAGCAGCAGCTCCGTTCCCTGCAGTGAGAGGGCGCTAGGCTCCCATGGCGGTGATTCCTCTTCCGACAGTCTTGATACCGACGTGTGCAGCACGGAGGGCACGGCTGGGCCCATCTACCGATCCCCTTGGGGCGACCGCACCGTGGTAATCAGCCTAAAAGTACGGCTGCCGCGCGGAGAGGGCGGCAGCGGCGGCGGCGGCTTGAGCTTTGAGCAAGGGGCAACGCTCGTCACCAACGCGGCTAGGTCGGCGTTTGCTCAGAACGCTGCCGCCATGCGAGGCCGAGTGCGGCTGCAGTCGGTGGCCTGTGTGGAGGGCTGCGTGCAGCTGCTGATGGTGCTGCAGGGCGAGGGAGGGAAGGAGGGTGCTGGTCGACACAGGAGCCGTAGCCGTGTCATCAGGAAAACTGGGAGCGTCGAGGTGGTGGTGGCCGCGGTGGACGGCGGGGTGGACATGTCGGCGGTTCACTCGGCCCTTCAGGGGCTGCTGACTGCCGCCGTTGCTGACACGGAGGAGGCGCGTGCTGGCGGCAGCAGCAGTGGTGGCGCCTTCCATTGGCCACCCGTGCTGGCGCTGAAGCCTGCTGGAGGGCTCAAGGACGAGCAGGTACTGAGCGGCGGGGGCAAGAAGGAGAAGAAGGACGAGGAGGAGGAGGCGCAGGTGCTGGTGTTTGCCCCCTCCGTGTCGATGCGCGGGCTTGCCTCCGTGCGCTGCGTGGTGGCTGGGCGCATGGGGTCGGCAGGAGGAGAACGAGGAGGAGATGGAGGAGGAGGGCAGCGGCAGCAGGCGGTGGTGCACATGGACGAGGAGGTGGAGGTCGCCGCGGCTGTGGAGGAGGGTGCCCGTGTTGTCTTCAGGTGTGTATGTGGAGGCGTGGCATGTGAGTGGGACCCAGGTTGAAGTTAACTGCAAATTGTGGTGAGATGGCCCTACGATGTCTGCAGCGATTATAGGAAAGAAAGCTAGAAGTAGTGCCGAAGCTCATGCTGCACGTTAGGTGACATATGCATCTGTATCAGGAGCTACTACCTACTGATATGTATTGGCTTTGTCCAATCTTAATGCAGGCTGTCCCTCCCCCCCGCCGCCCTGCGCACCCCCGGAGCCCTGACGCTGCACCTGCTGCCGCCGCGCTCCCCTGCGCCGCCGCCGCCGGACCCGCAGCAGGCGGGGCCTGACGCGGCGGCCTCAGCGGCTGCGACGGCGCCGCTGGCCACCCTGCCGCTGCTGGTGCTGCCCGCCGCCGCAGCCCAGGAGGTACGGCAGCTGTACGGCAGTGTGCTCGGGGGCGACACGGTACGGCAGCTGGAGGGGATGCTGATGAGGAGGGATGCCCTTACCGGGAACTCTGCTGGAGCTGCAAACGCAATTCACGAGAGCGGCCTGATGAGCCTGGCGTACGACATCGGTGACACGCTACAGCTGCCGTACCACACAGCTGCGGATTCGGGTGAACCAGCCGACCCACGGGTCTTCGACATGCACCTCCTGCGCTTCTTTACCCGTCAGCGCATGTCCGCCTGCCGGGGTGTGGTCCAGGAGCTGACGGCTGCTGCCGAGGAGGGCGGAGAGGGAGGCGGCGAGTGGCTGCAGGGAGTGGTGCGGCAGCTAAGGCAGCTGGGGGCGGGAAAAAGGAGAGTGACTGTGACCCTTGCCGGCCTTCCACCTAACCCCAATGCCGCTAGCGCAGTGGAGGGCGGCGCCTCCACCAGTGGCGGCTCAAAGACCACAGCGGCAAACGCCGAAGCTGCTACCACGGATGCCGGCATGAGCTTTGCCCGCCCTCCCCGCCCTGACGCCTCCCGCTGGTCCCTGCTCGCCTGGTGGCTCCACGCGCTGCTGCTGGGCTTCTCCCCGCCCGCCCTGGAGCGATCCTACCAGGCCTTCAAGGCGGCGCAGTGCTTCTGCCTGGATCGGACGGCGCTGGCCTTGATGTTGATGTTTCGCTTTGTTTCCACGCTGCGCACCTACAGCATAGGCCCCAGCAGCGGTGGCCAGTGCGCCAGCAATGACACAATGCAGTACATGTCACTCGTCGAAGCTAGCGGCCGCGTGGCTCAATGGCGGCTGCAGCTGCTCTCACAGTCAGGGCTGTTGGCGACGGCAGTTGTGGTGCTGGCGCTCGCGTTTTTCACACGCCTGCATGTCAGGTGGGTGTACGGGTGTGCAGTGCGCGAGGCGACGTGCAATAAATCCCACCCGATGAGATGCGCTAGGTATAGTAATGTTAGTAAAGGAAAGCACAGTACGTCGCGTACTGTATCGGTAAGGAATACGTACTGTCCTCTGCTGAAGTTTCAGACGAGACACGTGTCATCCATGACATGAACGCCTGGGGTTCGCGCTGTTTGCGCTGCTGTGGGCTTGCATACTTGTATACGGCAATAGCGAAGGGCCAAGAAAGGTTTGGAGCGTGAAAAGAGCTGCGCTGCTGCGGGCTATCCAGCAGACGCCTGTAACTCGAGTCTTTCTTTGGGACCCGGACCTTCCTCCACTACCTTCATGACCTTTCAACTGTGCCCTCGGGCAGGCGCCGTAACACACTGCTGCTGCTGGCGGCTTACCTGGACGCAGCAGCCTTGATGGTGGTCACGTTCCCCGTGCCCTGGACAGCAACTCTGCTGCCCGTTCCGGATGTGTGGGTCGCAGTACTCCGCCGTTATCGCTTGCACTGGGTTCTTCGCAGCATTTGGGTGTCGGCGACGCTGCAGGTGATTAGGCTGGAACGCGGCCGTGACTAAGTTTGGCACCGAGTGGCAGTGCGCATGTGGCTCTGTAAACGGCCGTTATGGTGCCACGTTTCTTCTGCGTGAATGGCGCATCATCACATGTTTGCCAGATCTTACTTTGTTACGTTTCCTAACTTGCAAAGCCTGAGGGCACCCGTCTCCTCCTCACCTCAATCCCGTCCTGCTCCCGCAGTTGTCGCCATACCTTCAAGTACGGGCCACCCTGGCAAACCTGCCCCCTATTACCCTGCTCATGAGACACTTGTACGACGGCCGCTGGCGCCCTGCGCTGGTGTTCTCTACCAGCTGCGCGGTGTGCAGCATGATCCTCTCAGCCGTCATGGACTGGCGGGCGCGCCGGCGCTTTGTCACCTTGCGGGGACGTGCGTGAGGTACCCCGGTCCTTAAGGATTGCTTGGTTACAGTCGGCGACTTATTCAAATAAAAAAATGGGGTTCGTGAGTGGTCCCCGGTGGACCGGACAATGTTGTTGTGGGGTTCCGCTGTAACGCTGGGAGGTAGCATGCAATAAATCTGTTGTAACGTTATGATGACCCACGAAACTGTGGGGTTTTCGTAATTGGTTTATGCATGCGTGTAGACCTTAATGAGGTTTTAGTTCGTACATGGCTGAGGGCCATGCCAATCCAACGTACCTGACCCGATGTTCCATGCCTGGATTGGGGTTATGCAAGCAATCACAGTGCACGTGTACAGCTCAGACTTAAATTTTGTAGGTTGGGTTGAAGTACCCGGGATGTGTTTGTTATGTCGAGAAACAAGTTGCTATATGGAAATGATGTTGCTTTGTAGACTGGGTTGCCACCCATAGTGAGTGTTGGATACGTGCAAACTGAGGACAGAGTGTTGGACCTGGAAGACATTTCTACCTAATTGAGGAGGGGCCATTCCATTGACTGCTTTCCTTCTTTCTGCCTTTTGTCCAAGCCTTGTCCGCCTCCCCTAGGTTTTTTTGCTGTGTCTTTGGTTGCCTGTTGCGTTCTTGGTAGTTTGCCCCGTTTCTATCAGTTGGCTCCATCACCGGTGTGCCCTTCTTGGGAACCACCGTAACGGCCTCTCATTGCGTAAGCCATGAGCCGTAAGCGCCGCAAGCCGACCCTTGAACCCATGCGAATGTACCAACCTTTTACTCCAATTTTAGTTTGCCAGCCGATGCTTGAAAGGCAGCGCCGTCAGTATATTCATGACATGCATGGTGTAAAGGTCCGGAGTAAACAGCAACAAAAACAGCCGGGGCACGACACGTGAGGGTCAGAGCCTGCTGCGGGTAAAGTGCTGACAACAGCACCGTCCCACTGCTCATGTCTCCGCCATTAACTGCAAAATCCCGCAACTGCAGGCAGCAAAACACCTCTTTTCCCGACCTACGCAAGGGCTCGTCAACCCCCGTAATTAAGCCCACGCTTTCCACAATAGTCGGACAGCTGCGTGCCAAGGCACCCTCCGCAGCACTGTCATCAAGGCGCGTCACAACCGCAACCACCTCCCCCGCACGCCTCAAATGAGGCCCTGCCGCTTCAGGTCGTCGTACGTCTTCTTGCTGTACACGTTGCCCTGCGCGTCCTCGAACTCCTCATCGTCCGGCTTGAAGTCGCCTTTCGCCTTCTCCTGCGCGTGCCGGAACACACAACACATCAGCAACAACAAGCAAAACGTCATAAATGGTATAACACAGCGAAGCGATGCAAGCACACGCCTTGGCTTTAGCTGCCAGGACAGCGCTTAGCGCGCTTTGCTTGAGGGTAAAAGCCCTTTGCACCTTGCTCCGGACTGCCAGCGGGGATGTGCATGCGAGCTCCTGTCCAGCCGGTCCCTATCCCAACGGTCCCTATCTGAACGGTGTTACACTTCAGCGAGGCGTGCCTCTCCCTCCCTCCCTGCCGCACCTGGATGCTCTTCCACAGCTGCACCGCGTCCTCCATCTTGGTGACCTCGTAGAACATCTTGTTGTTGGGGATGCCCAGCGCGCGCATGCCGTTCTGGTGCCGGTACTCCTTGAAGTGCTTCTCGTACGCGCGCCTGTGTGAGCGAGGGTGGGGGACGGGAGGGAAGGAGCGAGCGGCGATGGTGGGGGTTTATGACGGAAGGACGAAACTAAAGAGCTGAGTGATATACAGGCTTATCCCTGGTCGCAAACATGGTAACCGGCCCATCAGAGGGAGGGGGACCGGGAAGGAAGAGTACTACCAGCTGCACGCAGCTGAAGCCATGTCCGCATCCGAGCACTTCACGGCACCGCAGAGCCCTACCGCACAGGCACAACATGGTCAACCACATCCATCCCCTCTTTAACTGTCTCTGGACCCCAAGCCCCGCACCACCCGCACCACCCGCACCTGCCCCAGTAGCTGTAGTTGCCGCAGATCTCGCACTTGAACTCCTGGTTGAGGCCGTGCAGCTTGTACAGCCAGTACGGGATGGGCTTGCCGTCCCAGCCCAGCGGCAGCTTGAGCGGGTTGTACACAAATTCGTCCTCCTCCTCGTCCTCCGGCGCCGCCACCTCCGCCTCCGCCTCCGCAAGCTCGGCCTGATGGGCCGTGATGGGACAAGAAGCGGCGCGGGGAACAAGAGGAAGAGAGGTTCCATCAGTGTGAAGCGGTGACGCAGCGGAGTGGACGGACGAAGATGACACATCAGAGAAGCACCCTCCATGCCGTCATCCGTGAGCATAGGAATTCCCAAGGTAACACAAACAACAAGCCCCCTCCTGAAACTCGGTCCCAACCGTCTCTTTCCCAACAGCCCTTCCTCCTCCTCCGCGCCGCGCCTCTTCCACCCACCTGCATCTCCTCGTACGTCTGCGACTGCTTCTTCTCCACCTTGCCCTTGGTGTCGGCGATCACGTTCACCAGCAGCTCCGCCATCTTGCGAACCTTCACCTCCAGCAGCGCCAACTGAGCGGGGCAGGGCAGGGGAGAGAGGGAGGGGGAGGGCAGGCATACGGGCAGGAATGAGGGAAAGGGGAAGGGGAAAAGAGGAAGGGACTAACTGCGTGACGCGGCTGCACCATGGGGGGGGGTGCGTCACGGTCGCCCACCCGTCCCGCCCAGCCCGAGTGAGTGGGGAGAGGGCAGGCAGGCACGCAGGAGGCTAGCAAGGGGCTGGGCAAGACTAGGGACTTAGCAGGGGGGAGGGCCATATCCTGCGCCACGGGCTAGGTTGGCGGTGTGATGTGGTGTACCGCTGGCGACTGCCGCGTCGCGGCGTCAGCAGCCAGGCGTTGCATGGGGAATCACGTCCATGGGTGGATATAACCACGCTGGCCTCCATAGCTGCGCTGCATGCCTTGTCAAGAAGTACATATGCCCGCAGCTGACCTCCCTTGGTACCAACCCCGCCCGTCACTGCTGTGCGCTACGTAGCCTCCCCGCTTGCAAGGCGGGCCGGTGCCTCCGCATCCCATGACCCTGCGCTCCAATAACCACCACACATGCACCTACGTTGCGCGCATGCGCCGCCTGCTTGCCGCCCGCCGCCGCGTCCCCAGCCGCCACCGGCGGCGCCACGCCCTTGGCAAAGTGCTTTCGGTCGAGCTGCGAGAGCGGCGTGTCGCGAGTGAGCCACAGCCGCGCCGCCCGCTCCTTGGTGGTGCCCCCGCACTTGAGCCCCAGCGAGGACAGCGCCTCCTTCAGCCGCTCGGCGCCTGCGGGGCGCAGGTGGGGGGGGGGCAACAAGCAGCAACAAGCATGAGGGGTTGGGGGGTCATGGGATTAGGACATACACCGCGAGAGGACGGCGTCAGAGGACCGTACACGTTTAACCGATATCCCACCGCTACCCCGGTCCGCCCCTACCACTATGCACCCTCCCACCGCCTCTTCACCTCCACCCATGCCTCTTCACCTCTCCTTTACTAATCAACTTCTCATCAACCTCCGCCAGCACCCCCCACCAGCCAGCCAGCCAGCCCCGCCCCCAGTGCCCCCCCGCACCCAGGATCTCCAGCTCCTCCGCGCTGCTGAACGCCTCCAGCTCCAGCCCGCTGGCGGAGGGCGCGGAGCTGCCCACACCGCGGTCCTCCCAGCCCGCCACCTGCCCCGCCTCCCAGCGGGGGGAGAACTCCTCCTCCACCTGGGCCGGGACGGGTCGACGTGGAGGCAACGCGATGCACGCATACCGATAACGAGATTAGGATTACAGCAAGGACCCTCAAAACGGCTGTCAGCCGTTATAGCGCCCATTAAGATCATGCCGTCTTTGGATTGATACCGCGCGGTAAGCCCAACACCGTGCTCCCGGCCGTTACCGGTACAGGCCATGGAACCACGCGCCGCCCGCCCTCCGGCCGCCCTTCCCTCCCTGCTCCCTCCCCTCCCTGCCCCCTACCTTGTCCAGGGTGCGCTGCAGCTGCGCCAGCGGCTGGGTGCGCTCGTAGAAGTGGCACAGGTAGCCCAGCAGCGCCTCCAGGTACTCGCTGCGGGGAGGGGGGAGAGAGGGAGGAGGGGAGGCGGGAGGGGGTGGGATAAAGAGGAAACCACTGACGTGATAAGGCGCCATCATGGTTTGCAACATGTGGGAGGAGGCGGGAGGTAGGCAGGGGCGAGGACGAGGGCAAACGAGGAGAAAGGCCATCGGTGTGGACGTGTGGTGCCCTGTGGTAGCGTGCTTGGTGCTGTGCAGTGTGCCCTTATGACCCAGTCGCCAGCCTGTGAGATACATCAGTACCCGTTGGTGGCGCCAGCTGCGTACCACTCATCGCCAATCTGCAGTGCACCACCAAAGAGGTGCATCCCTCCCAATCTCAAGCGCCGCCGCACCGCAGGTCAGCACACGCCATGCCCCCATGCAAACAACCCCCATGCTAGCAGCCCCCCCACCTGAACTGCTTGCTCATCTTCTGGTGCCGCGGCACGCTGCTAAAGTCCGAGAAGCTGGTCAGGTACTCGTAGTACTCCACCGGCTTCTCCACACCCTGCCCTGACGCTGCTGCCCCCGGCTCCGCCTCCTCGCTTCCATCCGCGCCCACACGCACCACAGCGCCGTCGTCGTCCCCCGTGGCGGTGCCCGCCTTGCCGGCGCCGGCGGCTTTCCCCCCTTTGCCCCGATGCTGCTGGTTTCGGAGGTTGAGGAAACGCTGGTAGAGGTCATGCAGGTCCAGGTAGCGCCCCAGGCCCTCCTCCCCGGTGAAGTCCACGTGCGGCTCCTCCTTCAGCAGCGGCGTGTCGTCCTCGGCCTGGGGGGGGGAGGCGAACAGAGGAATAAGGCGCTAATATCGCAGGAGGAAGTGTTAAGGGGTGTCAAGGGCCGACATGCGGTAGGCTCATGGAAGAGGGGTGTTGGGTGTTTGTGGCGGTCGACGGCCACCCGGTTGTAGGATAACCGGTGCCGGAGGACTGCTCTCCATGCAGGGATTGCTGCCTGGTGGTGTTGTCTGCCGCAGACAACCCCCCAGGCTTCCGGCTGCATGGGGGTATTCGGGTGCGCCCTGGGACCTACCTCTGTGAGGTCGTGGGTTGGGAACTTCCGGTGGTACTCCCGGATTTCCTTCAGCCGGTCATAGAATTTGCTGAAGACCTTGTCCTCCCCACCCAACGCCTCGATCTCCTCCTTCCTGGCCTTGTCCTCGTCTTCGTAAATTTTTTGCTGCGACGATTGAGAACATATCCCTTATTAAGCTCGCCAATCCCCACACAGCCCAAAGGCGTACAAGCTGCGTCCTCTTGGACACTAAGTAACGGGCAGGGCCTACCAGCTTGCGGGCTGCCTCTTGGATCTGGTCCAGCCGCTTCCGGACCCGGTGTGACTGCATAAGTTTGTCCTTATGTGACTTTGCATCCTGCTTTAGATCCTTCACAATAACGCGCTCAAACCGCTCCACATCTTCGTGCAGAGCTGCGGGCAAAGTGTCCCCATATTGGCTTCAATTCATGACAAGACTTTACATTATTTAATCTTACCGCGTGTCTGCTCCAGCAATGTTTCCGCCATGGATTTCTATGAACAGCTAAGCTGAATGCCGACCTTAGCCTGGGGCCGGCGGCCCCCCCTTAGCAGGGCTTGCTGTTGAAAGCGTCTGGTGTATATCAAGCAGGAACAGTTATTGACACAGCAGCAGTTTGAAGAAAGTAAACGACCTAGAGGATGTCCAACCTGGCAGGGCTAATAAACACGTGAGCAGTTTGGTTGTTAAATGTAGTGCGATATGTTTCGGACGTGAGAGCCACTAGGGTAGTCTCAAGGTATAGCCCTTACGAGTTATTGTGGGCAGCCGTACTGGAGATGGCCCCTATGGAAAGACTTTCGGTACAAGCAGTGCCTTTATTTGCCATTTGTACTTAACAATTATTCAGCGCCCACAATGCATGTGACAGGGAATTGATGGGTGTGACAGAACCACGGGACGGTGTTTAGCACACGGGAACGAGTTTGGCAACCATGCAGAAGGGAAGCTGTTCACTCGCTGTCCTTGCACGAGGGAAACGAAGTCCATTGCTGGATGGAGCTTTCGTATGGGATTCCTCCCATCCAGTTTCGTTCGTCTGTGGGAATCCAAGCAGCTCGCTGCTGCGGGCTGCCTCGCCTCCTGCCGAGCAGGACAAGACATACAGCGGCCCATACAATGTGACGTACGAGACTGCGAAGTAATGTACATGCAGTGTAGTGGGCTAGGCCACCTTGAAGTTGCCCACCTTGTCTACATCGCCTTGGCCTATGTAGTACACCACTTAGCTCTAGAACTACGTTGCAAACATCCCACCTACAAACCTTTACGCACGATACGCACGCAATAGGAAACACGCAAAAGCGAGCAAACATCCAGCGTAACACCATCCCGCTTATATACAATCCGTAAGCCTCCCAAAGCCATACCCGTGGTCTGCCTGCAGTGCAATGCGCCCAGACTCCTAACTCGTCTTTTCAACTACTAGAACTACGGTACCACCTGCCAATCAATCTAATGGAGGAGTTCTGAAGTACAACAAGGCATGAATCAAGATGATCACCAGCCTAGGTTCGCAACCAAGTGCAACAGACGACATGCTCTAGCGTTCCCGCCGTTTGCATGGCCTTGAGCAACTATCCCTGCCCGAAAAGCGCCATGGAGATCCTGCAAAGGAAACGTGCGACTAAATCCGTACCAACAACCTACGGGCACTGTGCCCCGATGCTCTACTTTGCGTCCACCCAGCAACAACTCCATAGCGTAAGCCCCCAAACCCCAGCTGAAAAACGCCTCCCAAACACCACCTGGTCTGTGTGCTGCTGAAGAGACAAACAGCAACGCACATACGCACTCATGCAGATTTCTACACCATAGCGCCCACCCTAGACGTCCTTTCGCGCCTCATCTTGCTGCGCCGGGTGTCTGAAAACCAGCGTGGAAGACGATTGCGGGAAGCTCTTCCTGCCAGTGTGGTGGTCCAGGTCGCCGCCGCTGCTCCGCATGCCTGTCGGCTGTGACGTCGCCTCGACTGATCCGAGCCGCGGGACCGTGAACGGCTGTCCGCCGCTAGCGCTCGGCGCAGGCCCGGTGCGCTTGTCGACAGCCGCCACGGTGGCAGGCTCCTGGCCAGTAGCTGGCGGGCTCCGAGAGTTCAGGATGGACGACAGAATCACAGTCCACAGGACGCCGATAGCGTTGCAGTAGAGGATTCGCTGAGAGGGTGGCACAAAGGCGAAGTTGATGATGTGTGCGAGAGGCCAGAGCACGTAGTTCGCCTTGAGGGTGGGCACCATCTTGCCACGCATGTACGCCAGGGCGTCGTGCGGGTGCCCCTCCCAGCAGCGCATCACCACGAACAACAGCGCGGTGGCAAGTGGGCTCATCAGCACCTGGTCCAGCGCCATCTTGGTAAGGACCGCTTGGGCGCTTGTCATGGCGTCGGGCATGATATACTGCGGGATGTAGGTGGGATGGGACGGGGAAAGAGGCGACAGCAAAGGCCAGTACGGGGGGAGGAGGGAGGGACCATGCGCGTGCGTGAGAAACACTGCTTCACGTCTCGAATTATCCACAGCATAGACATCACAGACACAGCAGACTAATAGCCAAAGGTTGCAGTGTAGGGTTTGGATACATCACCCGTGTAGGGTTAGGTTCACCACCCGTGTTCCCCTTCAGGGCACAATCGTAACGGTTGTTCATTCAGGACAGACGAGGTTGTAATGGTTTATAAGGAAGGGCTGTACCGCCCGAGACTTATGTAAGTACCTAACGAGCAATAACGCACCGTGTCGAGGAACTTGAACCATGCGTGTCCAATGGGTGTGCCCACCAGCGCGCCGTAAATGACCAGGCGGGATGTGCGCATGGCGTCAAACACGAAGGCGGGCGCCCCTTCACCACGGCCATGTGCCGCCTTCACGTCGTTCTGGTAGCTCAGATGCTGCGCCACAAGGTCTCCGATTATGGTCCCGACAATTCCTGCGCAGATTGACACGTTCAGTGCTATACGGCCTGCACTGTCGAATTCTGTGCTCCAGAACCGTATCACTTGCCTGTGGCGATCTTGGTAATAAGCGGATAGCTGTCCAGTGAGGCGCAGTAGAATGACCAAAAGGATGATAGCGGTTGTCGAGCTAGGACTGCCAGCGCGTACGCAACCAGCGGAAGCCTGCATTAGGAGCAGTACCGTAGGACAAACCGTTAGTACGGCGCAGTTTCAACAAACTCAACGCGTGGTCCCAGCATACTGAACGGGAATGGTTAGCACAGTACGATCCTCACCCGATCGCGCGACTGTTCCGGATGGCAGCGCGTAGGAGCGCGCGCGGGTGTGTCAGCAGGAACGCCGTCTGCCTTCCTGCCTGTGCCATTGCATCAAAGAGGTTGGGGACCTGCAAAAAGTATGAATGCATTAGCATAAACGCAAAAGCAAGGCTTCCTTCCTTGGCGCCAAGCTGAGTCACCAGCTTACAACAGTAGTCCAACTTACCCGCGGTGCGGCTGCGGCTGCTGCCGCACTAGATCCTGCGTGGAATATGACCTCTTGCGTAGCTGTTTCAGCTGGTCCAGCACCGGCGAAGGGGTCCTCCTGTGGAAATGAGTCATAGGTCAATGCGCCGGAGAAGACCAATCGAAACTAGCCGGTTGCTCACCGTAAGCGGGTGCCGAATAGATTTCGGCTTCACCACAGGAGCCTCTTCGTGGTGCTCGCCAGAGGGCTTAAAGTTGGTGGTTACCAGACGAGAGCGCTGTCGCCTGCGAATGTTGCAACAGATGGTGCTAAGTTGAGTGGAAGGAAAGGCCTCAGGTCTCTAGGAAGGCATATGGATTAATAATTATCCAGATGGTAAAGAGGAACTCCGTCAGCAGCTCTTGAGTTCCCAAGTAATTTCCCATGGCCACCTTGGTGAACGAGGCCCAGGAGCCAGAAGAGATGGACGACACACAGGCCGGTTGTGACAAGATGCTGGCCGAACAGGTCTTTTCAGGAGAACGTTGTTGCGAGACGCTGGGTTAAAGGACTTCGCATGCGCTCCCTGCAAACGAATGCCCTTTGGTGAGCTGATAGTCACGACTATTAGCTGCATCAGCAAGCACAACCCCGACTGGCTGACCTGAGCTGAAAGAGCGTGCATTTGCGTTGGTAGCCACTTAGCCTATCCGCCGTGATGTCTTAAGGCTGAACTCACGTCCAACGTCTGTCGATAGGTGTATTGTGGTACTTTTTGCAAGGTCTTGAGTTGTTAATAGTGATGATATTATGTGAGAACAAGACGAGGAGTTGATTTGTGTATTTATTGCAGCCTCTATTGCGGCCCCGGAACCTGCCAGCTGTTGCTTTCGTAGCTGCTACTCCCCATGCCGAACACCAAACTACGCACGTCTATTGATCACGTCAACATCACACAACAACAGGAAACTGTTGTATGTATACAGGATGCAAGTAATGGTAGATGGCCATGCAACTCCCTTCTATGACCTCACAAGCCAACCAACCCCTTCACAGCGCCACACGCTACAATGTGTTGCTTAAGCTCAGGCAATGATTTTTGCACTTTGCTGCAACCGTGGCATCGAAGCTCCTGGGTCTCCAGCTCTTTCTCCTCGTCTGGGCTGATCGGTGTATGCCGGCCTTGCGCAACCAGCTCTCGCTCCAAGTTGTCAAATGGGATGAAGAAGGGTGTGGTAAAACTGTTCCAGTGCTTCTTGTTCTTGAGGGACGGGGAGTCGAAGTCCTGCGTGAACGCCGTGGGTGGCGCAAAGCAAGCGGATACCGGCGGTGTCAGCCACACGTCAGCGCGGGCAGTGTGGTACGGACGGCTCCCCGAATAGAGTTTCACACCTGGGACACAACGTGCATGTGAAGTTGGCACATCGACGGCACAGCATGGAAGCCAAGCTTAAATGCTGCGGTCTCGGGGTCCTGCGGCGCAGACAGGGTTGTTTCTCAAGCTTCAGCGGAAGGCTTGTTTAACAGTTGTTGTGAGCTTACTAGCTACACACCTGCTTGCGCTGGTCACGCACCCACTCCTCCGCTACCCGGCGCATATGTGACAGCAGCGGGACATGCCGCGCGCGCAAGTCGGTAATGCTCCTCAGCGAGGGGTCGCGCGCGATCACCAGGGCATGATGCCGCGCCTTCGGGTAGGCGTCGGCAATTAGGATCACCTGCAAAATGGTATGGCGCACTGCTAAGTATCAGTTCTCAGCTCCCTTGCATGTTGCGGGTCTAAGGCACAAATCGAACACCGTTTCCCGCATGCGTAACTCGGCATACTTTCTAACCTGGTCGTCCTTGTGGAATATCTTCTGGCCCGAGTCCTCCGGGCTTAAGGCCACTTTCCTCAGGTGCTGCGCCCAAGGTGCGGTCAGCTTGAACCGTTTGTCCGAAGCCGTGTCTGCGCACAAGCAACCAACATGTACATTACATTCCCGTCCCCTACAGCGCTCCTCTGCAGAAATACAAAACCTACCCAAATCGCTTGGGTGCTTGCTGCTGCTGGCGTTCGCAGCACCGGCACCGGCCGGCCCACCATCCCTTGCGTTGCGCGTCGCCGAAGCCATCAGCACTGAGAAGGCGTTACGGCCGGATGCGCCTGCGCCGCTATCGCCGCCGGGCTGACTTGCCGGACTGCTTGTCCCTGCCTCTCGCGCACCTGTTTTACGCGACGTGACGGTGTGAAGCACCAATGGACAATGCAGCTTCGCCGCCAACAATGCCCTATTTTGAGTACGCTTTCAGAAAGGACTGTGTCAGGCTGCGTGCGGAATGAAGGTTGACAGCACTTCGCGATACCCGTGAGAAGCTGGACCTTGAGGAGGGCAGGGCACTGTACGGACATACCGGAGCTGCACAAACGTAACCGCTTTCGTAACCGTCATCTCAACCGCAACTGTCAAAGCACCGTCGTACCTGCTGTGCCCTCCTGTGGCTTGTCGCAGCTCTGCTTCTTCTTCTGCTCCACCACTGCCCCACCGGCATCTTCCGCTCCTCCGGGCTGCACCCCCACCGCCCGCCGCTTCGGGCTGCCTGCTGCAGCAAGCGGCACGGGGCTTGCCGGCCGCTTCCCCACCAGCTTCGCCGCGGCGGTTGTGCCAGCAGCACCGGCACCAGCCCGCCCAGCAGCTGCCTTCGCCGCAGGTGCTGCAGACGCCGCAGGTGCCGCGGTCCCCGCACCAGCCGCAGCCGCTGCTGCCGCACTCCTGCCCGACCCAGCGGCCGCTGCTGCCGGCTTGAAGAATGCCGTAATGCCCGCCGACGGCCGCTTGCGCTTCCCGGCATGTGCCTCCCATGCAGCTAGCGTCCTCGCCGCTTCTGCTAGGTATCTCTGCTTCTTACTGCCGCTCGGCGCCCGAGCTGACCCATGGGTCACTTGCGCTGACCCATGCGCTGCGCCGGCAGCGGCTTCGGCTGCCGTCGTAGCTGCCGCCGAGGAAGCTGCTGGCTCCTCTCTGCCGTACAGAGCCCAAGCAGCTACCGCCGCGGCGGCGTCTGCATCGTTATTGCAATCCATGATGGAGACGAAGCCCTCCGAGCAGGCAGGCGGCCAGCTGTTGCCGACCTGCTGCTGCTTGGCCATCTGGTACACAACCCGCTTGCCGCCGTTACCCTGCGAAAGGGAACGTACCCATGCAGCACGCCTTAGTCCAGCCCTAGCCCCCGCTTGCCCACCCAAGGCCCCGCACCCCGCGACCCCACCATGACCGCACGCACCTAGACACCCTCGCACACACAGCACGGTTTTGACTCTCCTGGCCAGTTCTGTTGCCGCACCTGCACACCGCCGGGGTGGTCCGTGCGGTCTGCCACGCGGCGCGCGCAGAGCTCCGGCGGCTGCTGCAGTGCCACGCAGTGCGCTGCCACACCCCGCTCGGCTGCCAGGGCTAGAAAGGAGCTGCGCTGCTGCGCATCGCCGTGGCACCTGGAGGAGATCCAGGAGGGGTCGAGGGAAGGGGAGGGGAGAGCAAGGTAAGTGAAGTAAGGCACTGTATGCTTCCCAAACCCACTTCCAGGCTGTGGGCGGGGTTAGCCGGGCCGCACCTGTCAATGATGCAGCACGCGCCCTGGGCCAGGGCCGCCTTGGCCGCCGTGATGCACTGCTCCCGACTGCCCGGGCGCCCGCCGCTGCGGATGGCATCCTGTGGCGGGGACCCCCGCCGCCGGCACGTCAAAAAGGTAAGAGTGATTTGGAACAACATGGATAACTCTCGTATGGCAGCCCGGGTGTTGGATCCTGGAACACCGGTGTACGGCAACAATCCTACGGCAGCATCCTTCCCACATCCCTCGCCCCTGCGCCTCCTACCTGGTTGATGTGCACCCATGCAATCGGGGAGGCCTCCATCAGAAGTCGGCTGAACGTGCTCTTGCCCGATCCAGGCAACCCAGCCAACAGCAGCACTACCGGCGGCCGCGTCGCCGCCGGCGGCTTGTCGTTCCCGACACCGCGCGCGCTGCCGGCGCCTCCACCGCCTCCGCCTCCACCGCTGCTGCGGCGCCCCTGGCCGCCCCTGGAGGGCCCTGGTGTGTCCCCTGCTGCTGCGGGCGCCTCCTCGCCGGGTGAGCTCGCTGCTGAGTTTGTACCCGCAGCTGTACCCGCAGCAGGTGCGGAGGCGGCTGCGGCTGTTGGAAGGTGGCGCGGTCGCGTGGGTCTACCCGGGCTTGCGCCTCCGTCATCTGAGGCGTAGGGGGAGGAAGGCAGCTTGTCCTCGTCTTGAATGTCGCCGGAGGAGGGGGCTTCGGCTGGTGCAGCGGCTTTTGAGGGGCTGGTAGTTGCTGCGGTGGGGGTGATGGGGTGCGCTAACGCGTCAGGCTCCGGCCGCGACTCGGGTTGCAGGTCAGCGGGGTCCATTTCAACTCGAATGGCGAGGTCGGGGCGGGTGCAGATGAGGCTGAAGGCTTCGCCGTCACCAAGGAGCGCAGACTGGCCTGTGTAAAATGCGTTAATGTTACTTGTTGGTATCATTTTCAAATAGATTTGTGTGGATACTGCGCAAGGAGAGCCAGTCGCATGGACCCATGCGAGGCGTCCCAGCGTACCCTGGCTTAGTTCATTATGCGGCTCCTGTTTAGACAGAACTAGTGTCGGATTTTGGGAGCCCTGACTTGTAAGTTTCAGTGCCGGATGGCCCTTGTCCGTTGTGGCGCTTACGACGCACTGCACCCTGCAAGCGCGCAACAAAGCAGTTGGAACCCTAGCTCTGTATAAGGCCTTCCAAATTTATAATACCTTGATACAGTAACCGCCTCTGCATACCGAGCAACATCGGCGCGACCTAAGGGCCGAAGCGTGCCGCGCGCAACGTTCAAAAATTTTCCAGTCGGAAAGAGGAGCTTCGCCATATGGTCAATACCGACATTGGTCCTAAACGGTATCAGTTGCAATCTTTACTCTGGAGAACCTCCTTCAGGACGGATGGTCTGTTGGACGTATCGCCCGAGGCAAGTGCCGTACATCACACGCCAACTGCTGCCATGTGGCCTCGCCGTCCATGCGATCTGCCCTGTACAACTGCCCTTTACCAGCATGGTCTTCACTTAGTGGATCCTGGCCTTGAGCATGTGCAGCAGTGCCGTGTCTTGTCAGCACGGGCATTGTTTGCCGACGCCGTACCCCTGCTCAGCGCCTGGCAGCATGCGGCCTGCCGTACGCATGTCGGAACTGTAGCAGTTGTGGCCCAGATAGCTTCATGCAAGGCAGGGGCAGCAGTCGCAGCACTCTTACACATAAGCCCCGGAGAACCGAAGACAAGGCATTCGTCCATGGCTAAAACTGAAGATACTCGTTTCCTTCGAAGCCCTACGGCACCACATGAATGCCTTCTGCATCATTATCAAGGAATGCCTTCTTCGCTCATCTTGCCACTCAAACCCTGGCCCTGCAAGTACGGCAAAAAAATCTGTACAGAAACACCCATACAATATGGAATCAGCGCTCAGATCGGACGGCAGTAGCATGGAGACCCGCAACACTGCTGCTAGGCTTTACCGCGAACACGCATGCATGAAGCCACAACACATGCATCATGCCAGCAGTACAAATAGTTGATTGCAGGTACAGTAAGATGTCAAGATGGACAAAACCGATGACAGCACGACCGCTTTGGAAGCGACGGACTGCAAAAGCAGGAGCATTTCCTGTACGACATACAAAGCCCTGGAAGCGGCACCGGCCCTGAAGCATGCGCATGGGCCTTTCTGCTTCAGTCCTGCAACCTTGGGTCCCATCCCCATCCTGCTGTCTCCCTCTCGTCCACAGCACAAAGGCCGGGACACCACTCGCTTCCACACAAGCAACCGTTACACCCCTCACAACGCGCTGTCGCCACTCGACTCGACTCTTTCCTAGACCCAACCAAGCCAACATGCAAGATATTTACATAATAGTAGCCCGAGAGGTGCCTTGAGTTCACAGCGCCTCCGCTGCTGGTACGCGCTCTGGTATGCAGCCCCTCCACCGGCAAAGCACACGGTTCGTTTCTTCCTCTTCATTCCACCGGCAAAGACGCACCCATGCAGCACCTTCCTAGCGACGCTCCTAATTCGCATCCAGCTGAGCAGCCAGCCAGCCAGCAGCATGCCAGCCGTCCGCACACCCTCACCGCTGCCCACTCGCCTCTTCCTCGTCAGAAAACCTCACCCGCCTAGCTCCGCCTCCCCCAACTGCCCCTCTAGCCGGCCCCACGTCGGACCCCGACCCAATCGACCCCGGCCGTACCTCCACCGCACCCATGCCGCCGCCTACACCCGAGCCCAACAACCTAGGCGTTTCACTACCTCCAACAACCCCTCCACCGCCTTGCACCGGTCCCACGGGTGGCAGACCTCGCACCCCCGGCGCTGCTGCCACAGCTACCGTGCCGGCGGTTGCAACATCATAACCCGCTGGTATTGCCCCTTGCTGCGGAAGTGGCGGCAGAAACGGCTTGCGCCCCATGCCGCCGCCTACTCCGAGTGCTTCCTCGTGCGTTGCAGCGTGGCTGCAGGAACCGTTCGGGACGCCGCCGCCATTGTTGCCGAAGGCCGCTGGAAACCCATAGGTGCCGTCGCCGCCACCGCCGCCGCCACCAGAGGAGTACGGCGCGCGCCCGTAGCCTGCGGGAGCGGAATCAGAATCCGATAGCGGTATTCGCTGTGCGCCGTACGACGAAGATCCGTACATGTTGTACGTGTCGTATAATAGGCTTCCGTCAACGCCCGCTGTGGCGGAGGCAGCTGCAGATGCCATGTCTCGGCGGGTTCTTACCAGCGCCGAAACGACGCAGAGGGCGAGGACGACCAGACAGATCATGCCGACCACCTTGACGGCCGTTGGGACGTTGCCAGAGGTGTTAGAGGCAACCGCTGACAGGGCCCAGATGAGTGTGAGGCCGTACGCTGCGTCACGGTGGCTGAGGAGGCGCCAGACGCCGCCTGGAAAAGAGTGAGTGGGGTGAAAGGAATCGGCAAGATGCAGGATTCGTGGATTCGCTCAAACGGGACATCATGCAACGAGCTAGCAACCGCTCCTACCGCTCCTTACGCTCCCAAACTATCCAAACCTTTGCGCGGCAAAGCACACAAGAGCCCAGTGGAGAACTGACATACACAGCACATGCACTACCACCACCACCACCGTATTGTCCTTCTCCCTGGTGTCACTCTGCCCCCTGCTCCACGCAGCCCCACCCACCCGCTGTCACCGCCACCGCCAGCACCGCTGCTGGCGCCACCAGACGCGCCGGCTCCACTCCGTACGACACAGGCACGATCAGCAGCCCCAACGCCGTGGCTACGGACAGCCAGGCTGCATTCACGGAGGTCGGCAGCTTATAGCAGATGTAGGCAGCTGCGGGCATGGCGGCATAGCCCCGAGCGCGCAGCTCGTGGGTGGTGCCGTTGAGGCGTTGCAGTGTGTGTTGGAAGGCTGCTAGGGCTGCGAGTAGTGCGGCTGCTGAGAGCCACATGCCGGCCATGCTCTGCCGTGTGAAGGCGAACTGCCAGAGGTTCTGGAAGAGCCAGCCAAGCTGCCAGCCATAGCCTGGGGAGAGGGTGATGATGGAGATGAGGGGCAACGGCGACACAGCGGGGGCTCTAAGGCTCTTCTTATTTATTGGGAGAAGGATGGTGGATGGTATGGCCTTTCGCGGTAGCCTCCTCGGCACACAACATGAAAAGGCGTCGCCAGCGTAAGCCCGCAGAGTTATATGATAAAACTGCATCTTATTCATAGCATACAGGGAAAGACACTGCCAATCCGCGCTCACCTATCTTGTTTACAACACTTGCTTTCCAGCCTCCCTCACGGTAGCCCTTGTTCAGGATTTGATACACAACACCAAGTCCTTGTAGGGCGAATATAAGCCCCCATATCGCAAAAGCCCAGCTGCAAGGAAAGTGCGCCAAAAAACTGTCTTACGCTGCAAACTGTACAGTGGCTGTAATGACAATATCAGGACACAAAAGATTTGAACTTTGTAATCAGGGGCTGGGCATTGTCAACAAGGGTTCTCTCACCCCGATGGCGTCAATGGCGTAGGGTATTTCGCAGACACCTCAGCATTCGTCTCGCCAAGAGCCCCAGTCGAGCTCAGGATGTTAACCAGGATGAGGAAAAGATAACCGAGGAAGTTTGTCAGGCGGAGCAGGAGCGGTGGGAGGTCGCCTTTGGCCCTTGGTGGGCTTGAAGGATTGCCTAACAAGACCCACATGACATCAAGCTCACTCCGGTCTACTTGTAATTATTGTTATGCAGCAACAAGAGTTACGTTTGGGGAAAGCTATATTTGAGCTGTGCGACTGCTGCTATGCTGACTATGCTGGCAGTGTTAAATACTGATTGTCTATGGCGCTTTTGCTCGAAGAACGCAGTTCTGCCAGTCGTGCAGGACAAAGCTCTAAAGCGTAGCTATCCGCAGTTGTCGTACCTTTTGGCGCTAGTTAACTGTCATGTCATGATGCGTGTGCGATAAATGGACCTTCTGCCTGTCTTCGACAGTAAAGGTGCTATGAAACGGAACCCTTTAATGTACGCAACTCCGTCAGAAGATTTAGGGGCCCTTAGCGTACGCATACACTTAACCTCCCTGGCTTAAGCCAGCATGCCCGTTGCAGTGAGTAGGCGACCCCTTGCATGTTACAGCTGCCCCGTAACAGTCCCTCGCACGAAAGCAAGATGGTTACCCCTGGAGCAGATCACTCTGTGGCTGGTGTATATGATGCAGCACGAACGAAAACGCTGGAGCCATATACGGTGTACGGTAAGCAAGAATCAGGGCTTGCCACTTACATGCTGATTGCGCTTTGCCGTTCCAATTGCAATGAAATGAACCAATGAACCAACCAAACATTGGCAGGGGCAATCCTGCCAGATCCGTCATATGTACTGGTAGCCGTACTACCCAATGTTGCATGCTCACTTAAGACCCGGTACTCGTTACTAGACAAGGACGGCAAAATAAACGACGATACTGTATCCGAAGGTGTCAAATCGGTTTATTAATCCCGTGAGCCAACCGCGCGTGACGCAGCGCAACTTCAGCGCTGGGCACCCCGGCGCCTTCAGCTGTTCGTCGGGAGTTGGGACCCACGGGTCTCACATAAGCACAGACGCATCCGAAGCTATACGAACATGACCATCCACCCGGCCACCATAACTATGATCAAGGCTTCTACGCCACGGACAACAATCGCTACTAACCGGGCGACGCCATGCCTTGCAGGCGCCTCAAGTCGTTAACTCTTCAACAGCCAAGTCCAATCCAAGTCAACGCTTCTGCAAAACCCGAGTCCGGGTCATAATTAGAGGAGGAAGTTCCAAATCAACAATTTCGATGTGCATTCCAACCGTAAGACTATATGCAGTCCTATCCTCTTAGTTAGTGGCCCGGGTACATCTGGTGGTAAGGAACCGTTGGAACCGTTGAATGCAGATCGCGACGACACAACCGGCTACCGGTATTGGACCGCACGCTGACATGCAACAACCAGCATCGTACCGTTACCGTTACCGTTACGGCTACCACTACCTGCTGTGTAAGCAGGCAAGCGAGATACACGACTACACAAGGCAAACGACCCATTCCAATCGCTACCCCTTCCCTCTTCCACACAACCCAGAGTGTCGTCTTGCAATGCGGTCCCAGTTGGCGTCATTTATCATTGCCTCCCTGCCAGCAGGCGCTAGTTTGTGGATGTAACAATCTCCGCATCCTCCGCGTTACCTGCCACCGCGTGTATCCAATTGAAGAAGTATCGAACCCGCAGAACGCAAGTTATGCTCACTAACCCCTACATGACTAGGCGTCTCGACGAGCGGGCTTCCCAAGCCCCCGATCAAAAATACTCTCAAGCGAGCGTCAGTGGCATAAAGGTCCCCAAATTGCTACAGGTCGCAAACTCGCAATATCGTGATACCAGAGCGTTTACTTTCGGCAAATCTCCTAAGCATGTTCGAACTCCGAAGGCCACGGCCAATATGTCGACAAGGTAAACCGCCAAACTCGGTTAGTTAGCCCCTGTAAGCTCAATTTTCAGGACATACTGCTCCCGCTCCGCTCTGCTGCGTGCAAAAACAATTCAGCTCAATCGCACGAACCAAACGACCCATGGGACACTGTATCCGCCGACCTCATATGAACTTCCAGCCCAGGCTCCGACATTTGACACGTCCCCCTCGTGATCCAAGCGCTTGCATGCACTCCCCCTCCTCCCACCCTCCTGCCTTCTTCCTCTCCGGCCTCCTCACCTCTCCCGCAGGCCCGGCTCCGTTGCCCCTTACTTAGCTCCACCAGATAGCCGCCACATCCTCCTCCACGCGCTCCCAATTGGCCGCCGCGGTGTGAGACGAGCTCATGCCCGGCGAGCCAACGACACTGCCGCCGGCGCCGCCGCCGTCCCAATGCAGCATGGGCAGGGGCGGCATCGGAGCCGTCACGCGGCGTGCGACGCGACCAGCGGGGGGGTTGGCGGGGTCGGCGGCGTCCGGGGTATTCCTGCTGCCAGGGCTGGTTGTGGTTGTGAAGGCGACGGTCGCGCGACGTGCGACGGGCGCGGCGGTGGGGCTCTGGGACGAGGTATTGGGGCCGGCGGCGGCAGTTGCATGAGTGATGGCGGGAGCGAAGGCGGAGAGGACAGTGCTTGGGCTGTAGGCCTTGGACGGGGAGAAGTCAACAGGAGCCGCAGCCTCGCCGCGGTCCGTCTCCATAGCCGTGGTAGCCATTGCTGCGTTTATATACAGAAAACTGGTGTTCTCCAAAGGAGTTTTGATGAGGCAGGGATAGCGGGTTGGAAGCGCGGAATTTCAAGGACGCGAGGCCTCTAGGGTTGTCTTGCTTCGCTGCTTACGCAAAAGTGACTTCAGTGATACGGTCCGAGGTTGCTGTAAAAGCAATTCGCGTATCTAAAAGGGAAGAGGAAGGGTTAAGAGTGTAGTGCGAAAGCAGATAAAAGAAGTGGCCCGGGGGTCATAAATGCTGTTTGGGTCCAGGCCAGATTCTAACCGTACAATCTGGCCTTCGCCTTGTAGGCTTTGAATCATTTGGTGTACAGCCGCCACAAAAAATAGTTTGTGGACTGACGGCTTAGTGTGTCATGGCATTGTTCCCTTGCATACTCCAGCAGAGAGGCTTGCAAATTGGCAAGTTGCTGGCATTGCGCGCGCCAGCACTTCGCAGCTTAGCGGAAGCCGCAGCACCAAAGCCGGCCGTCCAGCATCTTTATTCCGGTCATACCGCATAACTTGTAGCGAGAGGAAGAACGGTTCCATTTTTAAAGCGAAGCTACAAAACGCAGAGGCAAGCAGGGGCGACCGAAATGGCGGTGTGTTGCCTTGGTAGGACAGCAACAAGGAATCCACTACCAGGATATCCTCATCAAATTCCAGAGGCAACAGAATCCAACCGGACATCATAACCACTGCGATAATTCCGATAAAGCAATTCCGCAAGACAACACGCCGTTTCCTAACTCCACTGGTTGCTTGCACGCGTACGTTCACGTGCGTATTCTGCGAATATTACAACCCTCCAAAGGGAATCCGCTGCTGCTTTGGTTCGCTTCGCGGCTGCTTTGCTTAATCGTCGAAGGTATGGTCTGCGGCTCCGTGCCCCTTCACCTCCGCCGCCTGCGCCAGGATGTGCTCCGCCTTCTTGCGCTCGTCCCCGATGTCGTACCTGCGTCACCACGGCAGCAGCAGCAGCAGCAGCAGCAAGTCTCAGTCGCATGCTTCTCCTGACGCCCGATGTTGCCACCACCACCACTAACACCTCCCCCACTGGCTCAATTTATTTAATCGCCCATTTTCGGCACATGCCGCGCACGTTGGCACACTTCCTATAATCTTCCCCCTCCTTACTGCTGTCCCCTACTTCACTGCTGGTTGCGTTGTCCTTTGTCAACCCCGCCCCCTCGCACCACATGATGCATTCCATGTTGGAGCCTCGTCACACGGCAGTCCCTCCTCTTTCACCCCACATCGCCCCCACCTGCTGCTCCTCGCTCGGGCGCTGAAGCGGCTGCCCTGCGGCTCCTCGCCCCCCCGGCTGCCTAGCGCATCCTCCACTATCCGCCGCGGCGCAAACGCCTGCCCCTGCCGCTGCACGCGCGTCGCAAAGTCCAGGGTGAAGCCCGCGGGCAGACCCAGCTGCGAGGAACCTGGTGCCGCAGGCGATGCGGAATGCGTTGGTGATGGTGGTGGTGGTGGTATCAGGAGGAGGGAAGTGGGGAAGGAGGGTTAGGGTTTAAAGTTTCTAGTACTCTGTAATACCGGTAGTGGTGCAGCAGCAGCAGCAGCAGCAACGACATGTGCGGGGACTGCGGGCGACAGTCGTTGCTGGTGCGGACAAGGGCGTCAATGGGCCCAGCGCCGTAGAAGGCACCACCCAAGAACGCGGCCCGTCTCCTCCTTGTAGCCTCCTCCCAACAGGACTCCCGTGCGCCCTCCTGCAAACCCGTAGGCCCCAAGCCCCTCCCCACCGCTCACCGGACGGCGCGTCCTGCACCTGCTGCCACTTTACCGTCGCGTCCATGTCCCTCCGCCGGTCCTCCACACCCCCGCCCCCGCCGCCTGCCCCTGACGGCCCTCCCTCCTCCGCCACCGGCCCCACCACAGGCTCGAACGCCGCTGACACGGGATGTACGATATCCTTACTCAAACCGCCAGCTGCTGCTGCTGCTGCTGTCCGCTCGCCGGCGTCCTCGGCCGTGGATGCGGGCCCCACCAGCTCCACCGTGGGGACGCTGAGGAAGGGGTTGCTGCCTATGGCTACGTCTCCAGGGTGCGGGGGCACGGCTAGGAGCTGCTGTTTGAAGGTCAGGGTGGTCTTGGCAGCTTGGCGTCGGGTCTGCCGGATCACCTGCGAGAGAGTATGCGTGAAAGGAATGCCCACTCAAGTGCAAGCTGCTGACCCAGCCTGTTCCTCCCAACCAAGCCCTTTTCCGTTTGGACTAAGTTTGCTCGATCCGCTGGTCTGGCGAGCCCGATGACGCGCCCCACGCTGTCCGTACCTCGCTCTGCTTGACGGGGTCCTCTTCGTGACCGGGGAAGGCGGGCGTGCGCACGTAGGTGTGGCGGTCGGGGAAGGCTGGCAGCCAGGTTGGGATGTGCGCGGGCGGCTCCTCGCGCCGCTCCTCAAAGCTAGGTAGGGTGCGGCCCGGGGCGCGCACAGGGAACTCAGGTGGCAGCGGGTGCACGAAGCCCTGGTCGTAGGAGCCCGGGCCCTGTGGTCGAGGAGATGGGCAGGAGATGCCAGGTGAGGTTTGGCGCTGTGTGCAGTGGTTAGAAGCGACAGCTTGACAGATGGAAAGGAGGTTGGGGATGGAGGCCTTACAGCTGTTCGAAGGGAGGTACGGTCGGTATGGTTTGGGCAAGGGTGTGATGGACGACCGCGCCAACTGCCGCAACCACGCCACACACGAGCTGACTTGCGCTTGACAGATCACCTGTTCGTCCAGCCAGCTATCTAAGTATTTCCGCAAGTCGTCCATTGAAGTGCCCATGTCGGATAGCGCCAAGCTCAGGTCGCAAATGTTGAAATCGGTGCGGTGCGCCATTTCGGCGTATGAATGCGCAGCTGTACATACTTCTTGAATGTATTTAATCAGTAATTCTGCAAGGATTTCTATGGCAGACTCTTGTGCAGCCTCGAACCCCGTCAGCTCTGCCATTTGGGCCGCCACGACCCGCGCTACACGCCGTGAATAATCCTCTGCCATGGTAAGCAATTTAAAGTACTACCCTAAGCTCTGGATGCGGAAAGTCGGATTCTGTTATTTTCCACGGTGTTGGAGCCCAGACTTTAGCTCAACAATAGTATTTATCAAGGGTAAGGTAGATGTAGACGTATGTTACAGGAAAAAAACTGCATTGGTGCTGGCACTTTACAAGTAACCAGCCTCCCTCAGGGCCGAGGTGTACAGCACATTGTCCGCCCCCTCGGATAGGTTCTCGTAGTCCTTTACCCGGCAAATGACAACGTCGTGATCGCCTACATATGGCGAGAAACATGGGGCAGGCAGTTGACTTCGCTTCCTTACATACATCAGGAACAAGGCTGCGTGCCAGGGTTAGCACATGCATCACATGGCTTCACGACTGGTTTGCCACGATCCCAAAGCCCATGCCACGAGCAAAGTAACCCCCTTCAAAGCTCTTACCACATGGCATGAATTCCGAAATAACCTCAACCTCCATGACGCTCGCAGCATCTGCAAGGTGTAAGGACCGAACCTTCAGCCATTAAATATGCCGGCCCCGACTGCCCTCACACTCCTACCTTCAAGTGTCAGCAGGCCGTAGCGTTCTGTAAGCGCATATCCTGCCTCCCGGATGGCAGCATGCTTGTCCACGTCCTTCGCGCTGGTCTTCCCAAGCAGCTGGAAGAGGGGCGCGTGCTGGGTTTGCAACACCTGTGCATTCAATTTCACAATTTGCAACTTGGTTACATCTCCTGCCTAGTGTGACCCAATTAGCCTGCCTGGGCCGGTTTAGCGTAGCAGAATGGGGTGACCCAGATGGGCCACAGAACATGGCCTTTGTAAAGACACACCTGCAATACGCCCCTTCTGTGAACCATCATGTTTTCATGGCTCGCTGTGCCAAGATAGAGACCAAGCGCAACGCAACGATCCGGCTTTATGGCAACGGGAGCCAGGTATGTTATGAGGTTAAGCGACCCTCGTTTGGTTTGGTCAGACGCCGCTGTAGCAAGACTGTAGACAGGCTGACTGAATTTTGTGTACAGAGGTACACTCTGATCTGCGACCGCGCGGGGCTGTGTCACAAGCCGTCTGCTAAGCGGCTTCCGGTATAAGCTTGCAGACTGCGCTGTAAAGTATAGGCTTCCCATTATTTAACAGAGTAAGTACCTGGAATAATTTTGTTCTCCGAGCACCAGAAGAACTTCACTAAGCCATATGCGGTGCAACTTTTCATGCTGTGCTGGACGCGCACGCCGTGTACAGCAGCTCAGATTTCCGATGCCGCTCTTGCTACAAGAACTACGAGTCATAATGAAGACGTCCTAATCGACTTTCACGTAATCAGGATCTTGCCAGCTTTGCATTTGGGGCTCCTGCTGAATTGGGCCTCGATTTAAGTGTCCCGGGGACGGCGAGTCAAGTCAGGTTTCTTACCACGGCAATTCGTTAATTTTAGACATGTCCAATCCAGACGTGCCATGGAAGCGCTTTGTCGGCGAAAAACGAATTGCTGCTGAGCTGAAGGCCTTGCAACGCTCGCCCCTTGCCTCCGGGGATGCACCCCAAGTCTCGCATATCCATCTGGTAAGGGAAACTGGGAAGTCTGGTATAGTGGCCTATCCGATTCGGAATGTACTGTATGTTGCTTCATGTGATGCATGGCAAAGCTGCTGCTTTGCCGTTCCATACCCGGTAGTAGCTTGGGTTGTAGTCTCGAAATCCACCAAGTCGCATCAAGCTCCTCTCTTTTTGCTACCGTCTGCTAGTCCAACGTCCCTTGGGCCGGCCGTCCTCCATCCATGCCGCGCGTTCAGCTCTGGAAAGCACACCTTCCCAATGCCGCATACGTGCATTCCGCCGCATACGTGCATTCCAGTCTCCACGCTCCTGCTTACGCAGGTCGGTGATAACCTCTTCTGCTGGCGCTTTCGGGTCAAGCACTTTGATGAGGATGTGCCCAGCGGCAAGCAGCTCAATCGCGACCTACAAGAGCTCGGCCGCCAATACGGACAGGACTACCTGCTAATGGAAGTCAACTTTCCCCCCGACTACCCAACAGTGAGTTGCCGTGCGTAAGCCCCCCTTCAGCTAACGTCAACCCCCCACAAAAGCAAGGCCCCATCAACTCCTTCCCCGTGTATCAAACCACCCAACCGCATCACCCTGCTCGCTAAACTCCACCCCCTCTTCCTACTCTCCCCCCTCCTTCCCTGTTGACTTCGCAGCACCCGTTCTTCCTGCGTGTGGTGAGCCCCCGCTGCGTCATGTACAGCGGCCACGTCACCGCTGGCGGCTCCATCTGCATCGAGGCGCTGGTGCCCAGCGGCGGCCCCGGCGGCTGGCGGCCCGACTACTGCTTGGAGGGGCTGCTGGTGCTGGTGCTGGCGAACATGCTGCACGCAGAGGTACGGGAAGTACCGGTGGTCCCCCGCTTATGGGGGCATGGGGGTTGAGTACACGTGGTAGTAGCACCGCAGGTATCGGAGGAGGTGGTTCTGTGTGCAAGCCACAGACTGTATAACCTGTATGCAGGAGGTATGCCGTCAGTCAGCACTTTGTCGCCCATTATCGCCATACTGCCGTCGGCTACATCTCCGTTACCATATTCCTTTGCTACCATATTTTTCACTGCACAACTACATGAGCTGCGTTCTTGCCACTTCTCCGTTGCCCTCGCTGGCCCTTGGCTACCGGTATACCGGTATCTCTTCTTTCGCAGGTGGCTGCCGTACGCACCGCAACCGGGCCGGGTGGTATGGCTGGCCCCCTGCGTGTGGACCTCTCCCGGGGCCGCTACTGCCTGTGCGAGTACTCCAAGGCGGAGGCGCAGGCGGCGTACGACAGGACGGTGCAGAACCACGGGTGGAGCAGCAGCCGTGGCGGCCCGCAGGGAGCCGCTGCTGCTGCTGCTGCTGGCCGGATGCCGCTTCCCGCTGCTGCTGCTGCTGCTGCCGCTGCTGCCGCTGCGCCCCCTGCGCCCGCGGCTCCGGTGATGGGAGCAGCAGCAGCACTTGCCTTCGTCTTTGCTGCACCCCTGCCGCAGCAGCCTCAAGCCCTGCCTGCTGCTGTTCATACGGTCCCTGTTGCCGCTGCGGGTGCTGCCGCTACTGTGAGCGCGGCGGCTGGAGGTTCCTCGGCGCTTGACGCACCCGCGTCACGGACAAGAGGACGCACCAGGGCCCAGCAGCAGCAGCCGTCGTTAGCTGCGGCACAGTCATCCGCCACCGGTATCACCACCGCAACGAGTGGTGATGGCACAACCGACAAACGGAAGTCTGTTCGCACCCGCAGGGCTAACGTGGATGCCGCAGCCGCAACGGTACCTTCTGCTGCTGCACCCGCTGCTGCCCCCGCTGCTGCCGCTGCTGCCCCCGCGCCCGCATCCGCGCCTGCTCCCCCACCCGTTCCGGCGCCAGCGGCCCTGGCGGCGGCCGCACCTGCGTCCCGCGCTGCTGCACCAGCACCTCCTGCCCCGGTCGAGATCGTTGTGCTCTCAAGCGATGACGAAGACGACGTCTCTTCGCCGCCAGATGCCAAGAGCGCGGCGCCTCGGCGACCGCCCCGACACCCGGCACCCCAGAGCGGCGGCGCAGGCGGTGCCGGTCCATCCAACGCCCGGGCAGCGGTGGCAGCAGCAGCAGGAGGCGCTTCCGCAGCAGCAGCAGCAGCAGCTTCTGCTGTCGCTGTACCGGTGGCCGTTGGACAGAAGCGCCGGGGAAGAGCGGGAGCAAACAGGGCACAGGATGCGGATGTGGTCCTCCTGTTGGACGAGGAGGACGACGATGAGGTCGTTATTCTGAACGAGCGTGCGAAGCGGCGGCGCATGGGGCCGGACGTCGTCGACTTAACTACCACGGCCGTTGCAGCAGGTTTACCACGGGAGGGAGGCGCGGGACCGGGAATGCCGCTTCCTGGGGCGGCGGCGGCAGGAGCGGCATCGCTGGCCGCAGCCGTGGTAGCACCAGTGGCGGCGCGTACCGGTATCCTGTCAGCGGGTGCTGCTGCTTCTGCGGTGATCCGGGGCGGCGGTAGCGGTGGCGATGATGACGTCATTGCGGTTGTGGAGCGGGCTGCTGCGGACGCAGCCATGGCGGCCATACTGGAGCAGCTGGAGGCGGCGAAGGCCAAGTGCGAGGAGGAGCGGCGGGCACGAGAACGCCTGGAGGCAAAGGTGCGCGTCCTGCGCGATATGAAGTACCGTACATACGCGATATTCGGTGCCGTACATCGGTACCGTACGTGTTCCAGAGTGCGCGCTTGATACCCGTAAACACGGTACACACGTCTTGCGCCTCATGCCTTCCTACGGCTCACGTGCCACACGCAGATGCAAGACCTGGCGGCCAGGGCACTGCTAGCTGCGGCAGCCCCCCCGGGCGGCGGCGGCGCCGGCGGCGGCGCAGGACCCAGCAGCGGCGGCGGCCCCAGCGGCCCCGGCGACGTGTTGTTGTCCGCTCCGCCCCCGGCCTACTGGGAGCCCATGCGGGAGGCGGAGGGCTTCGGGGTGAAGCTGGTGGTGCTGCCGCTGCCAGGCGACAAGCAGGGCGGCACCAGCAGCATGGCCGCCCCCGGCTCCGGCAGCCCCCTGGCGCCGCCCCGCCTCTCCGCCGCCGCGCTGTCGGAGCTGCAGGCCAACGGGCTCAGCCGGGAGGACGCGGCCGCCCTGCTGCAGCACTGCAACGGCGACCGGGGGGAGGCCCTGCGGCTGGCCATGGAGGTGGGTGTGGAGGAGGAGGAGGAGGAGGGATGTTGGTGAAGTAATGATGCAGGGTTGGGCCCTGATGCATGGCTGAGGAATGTGGGGCGGGTATGTGCTTGTTGGGGAACAGCAATGGTTGGACGTGAGGGTCTTGGGGCTGAGGACAGCATCCTCTGTGTACGCACCCACCAATGCCGGTATCGGGACTAGTAGGCGTTTACCCGGTTCCAAACGGCTCTGTGTGTACCGTGACGTGCGCACTTCTGCTGCTTACCTGCATTTGGGCCCTAATGACGGTCCGTGCGCCCTTCTTGACGTGCCACGTCTCCCTGCTGTGGGCTCTGCCCCTCAGGCGGCGGACTGCGGGGGCATCATGGCGCTGCTCCGACGCCAGCGGAGCGCCGCTGCAGCCGCCGCGGGGGGCAGTGCGGGGGCGGCGGCCGCAGACGAGGCGGCAGCCAGGGCCGCTCGGGCAGCGGCGCTGCGGCGGGAGCTGGAGCGGGTACTAGCTCGCTTCGAGGTGAGTCCCGGCAGTGGTGGTGGTGGTGGTGGTGGTGGTGGTGGTGGTGTCCACATGCCTGGCTCCATCATCTTCGGTGTGGGTCTTTCGCCACGGCAACGCTTCGTTTCGCCTTGCTTACAACTAGCGCCACGCAGGGCCTTGACAAGCAGGGTACTACGGTATTGCCTGAATTATGAACGGCCGGTGCTGTCTTTCTATATCATCATTACCCGTCAACCTTTCTCTCAATTTGTGTATCGTTGTGTCCGCTGTGCCTCCGCTGTGCCTCCGCTGTGCCTCCGCTGTGCCTCCGCCGTGTCCGGTACCGCAGAAGGCCAGCGGTCACTCCCGCAGCCGGGTGGTGCGAGTGGAGCGGGTGCAGAACTGGCGCCTGTGGACCAAGTACTGCATCCGGAGGCGGTAGGGAGGCGCGCGCTGGCGACACACGGCAACAGCCCCCCTCCTCCTCCTCCACTATATGAGAAGTCTATATCAGACAGCCCTCGTCCTCCCTAGTTCCCTGTGAAATTACTTGAATGCACTACTACTGCTGACTGGCTGACTGCTGCTGCTTGCTGCGGCGCCGCTTGTTAGCCCTGGCCCTCCTTGACCAAACGAAACGCCTCGGCCTTTCCTCTCCGACCCTCTCCGCAGCGAGATTGAGGCGTGCGCCCGGCAGCACCCGCAGCAGCACCCGCAGCAGCACCCGCAGCAGCACCCGCAGCAGCAGGCGGCCACTGCAGCGGCTGTTTGGGCGCCTCCCGGTCTGAACGAGTTCTACATGTGGCATGGCACCTCCAAGGAGGTCATCAAGACCGTGATCACGGAGGGCTTCGACCTCCGCGTGTCCAACAGGTGTGGTCCAACAGGGCGCTCCGCAGGGCTCACCTTGTGCTCGCAGGGTGCCGTGCTACGTTGCTGGTGCCGGTGGGGCTTACGGGTTTGCCTTGGCGCTCAGTCTTGGGCTGTACCTTCGTGTACTTACATGACGGCACTGGCTGTACCGGCTGCAGCAGCACTCAGCACCTGAGCACCCTAACTAGGCACTGACTGGCACTTCATGTAGGTTGTTTTTGTTGGTGTGCAGCGAGGGATGGCTGCATTCTTGGTGGGTCCCCAGAGACCACAGCCAGCTGAGCCACATGCAGCCACATGCACATGCACACGCTTTCCAGCTTCCTCGTGCCTGTCATGTTGTCATGTTGCCATGTTGTCAAGTCGCTACCCGCATGCGCCACCTGCAGGGGCGGCGCCCTGGGTGAGGGTGTGTACTTCGCGGCCAACTCCAACTACAGCGTCGCCTACTGCAACAAGCTACCCATAGCGCCGTACCCGGCACCCGCGCCCGCGCCTGCTCCGCCCGCGGGCTGGGCCGGGGCTGGCAGGGCAGGCGCTCCCCGATTCCTCCCGCCATTTGGAGTGGGGTTGGCAGCGGCTGCAGGCGCAGCGGCTGCGGCTGCGCAGCCTGCGCACGCCGCAGCAGCAGCTGCAGCTGCTGCCATGAGCTCCTTGCAGGGCTGCTTCCCAGGCATGACGGGCGCTTTGATGCTCTGCCGGGTGGCTCTGGGCCGCATGGCTCTGGGGGGCGCCTGCATCCGCAAACCGCCCGCCGGGTCCGACTCGGTGTACTTGCAGGGCACGCTGCATGGTCCCGCCGGTGCATGGAACAGCGCAAGGAGGCAGCCGGGGGATGTTGGTGGTGACGACGCGGCGTTGTGGGACATTGGCAGCAGGCTGGGGGACAATCTGGTGGTGGCGGTGTTCGACAACGCGCAGGCCTACCCCGAGTACATTGTGCACTTTAATTAGTGTGTTGGTGTTTGGGGGGGGGGCGCGGACAGCGGGTTGATGTTTGGGGGTAAAGAGGAAGCAACGAACTGACCGTGTGGTAAGGCGTCATCATGGCTTGCAACATGTGAGCCAGCCCCACCCGCCCAGCTCGGTGGCGGAGGCGGCACCTTGCACGTGTGCGGCTGCGCAAGGCCGGTCTCGTGACGGCTTACGAAGCGGTGAGAGACGGGCCCAGACCGCTTCTTGGTGTTGTACACATACCGGTAATCAGAGCAGAGAGGGTACTTGCTTATTATCCAACACTTGCCTACATTTGTTAGCCGGCTGTGCACCCGGCGGGTGGGAGCTGCAGGGCTTACGTCTTAGACTGATAGTTACACGCAGGAACGCTTATAGCAGGGAGCATGGTCAAGCGTAGGTGCATGTGCGGGGCAGGAGGGTATGCTAAATAGGAGTAGGAGAGTAGGAGTAGGCCTGGCATTCTGTCCGCTTACAGATGGTGTAGGAAGGTAGGAGGTTTTAGCTGTACGACAGGTTTGCCTGCTTGCGAGGTGTTGTACGCTGGCAGGTATATGCTAGCAAGCACTCGCAAATGTGCTGTGTAGTTGAGTAGGACAAGAGCAAGCAATTGGGAGAGGTTCGCATGTGAACCGCGAGTACAGGCAGAACAGAGGTGAATCCTGTTGCATGCCGAGACTAATGAGACCGTCGCCTACCGATATGTATGGTTTCAGCTAGGTTCTCCAAGCAAAATGCGTTGTGAGTTCTTTTGCTGGTCTACTGTTCTTTATTGGAGGCTATGTGTGCTTTGCCTCGATTACATAACATGCCGCCAACCCATGGCATGGCTAGCCGTTTGTCTAGGTTTGCCATACCGTAGCCTATGTGTGTCTCATAGGACTCATACCCCGAAGGTTTTACTAATAGCGGTGTGGCACTCCTGCTGTAAGCCTGGGCGGTTACTGACATGTATTAACAAGCTGGATGATCATGACCCTTTGTGATGAACAGCGGATCAGCAACATGAATTGCCGTTGCAGTTGCAGTGACCCCCAAGAAGAGAACACCTTGTTGCTGTCGGGGAGTGGCTTGGTGCCGCAACCCTGCCAACGCCACCCACCGCTACTGCAGTACCAGCTACCTGCAGTACGGCACACAGCCGTACACCGCCATGCAGCACGGGATCCCAACGTAACGCTGCCGGGAAGGAGCCCCCGCCACGTCCATCGGCACTGTCCCACTGCCCACCGCCACGCCGCTGCACATGTTGCCATGTAGCACACGTTCATACCGTACCGTGCCTCACTCCGGAACCCCACAGTACCGGTAACACCCACTTGCTCGCACCCCGCGATCACACCCATCCACTCCACCCATCCACTCCTAACCCTACACTCACACCCGCGCTCGTGGCTTCCATCCCGTCGCCTCATCCTCGTAATCGTCTCCCCTCAGGATTGCCAATCCCCGCTTCCTGTACGCCTTGGCGGCCGGAACCACCCGCCCTTCCTCCCCACGCACCACCAGCCCTAGCCTGATCAAGTCATCAAGCAGCCGGGCCCGGTTCGGCTGCTTCTTCTTCGCATCAAAGAAGTCAGGCTCCCTGCACATCCACTCAATATAATCCACCGGCAGTTCGGTGAGCCGCCAGCCGCTGTGCTTGCCGAACCCCATCACAGCCTTCCCAGCGGCTTTCATCATGAACTGTACGAAGCGTTCAGTTGCCGACATGCTCGTCCTCGCCGCCATTGCTGCCGAGCTGCCTCCGCCGCTTGTTCCCGCAGTTCCTGGCGAGGTTGCTGCCGCCGCCGCCGCCGCCGCCTCGTCGGCAGCAGATACCGGTACGGCAGGTACGGGCACCTCCTCCTCGCAGAGCTCTAGCGCATGCCGGATGGCAACCTGCATCTCCCGGTGCCCCATCTCAGCTTTGTTCACCCTGCGGCGCTCAGCCATCCTGCCGTACTCGTTGTAGCCCTCCTGCAGCAGCTGAATGACGGTGCGACCCTCGGCGTCGGTTGCGGTGGGCGAGTAGCCGGCCTGTGTGTGGGGGGGGGGGAGCAGCAGGTGGTTGGGTTTGGGTGGTGTGGAAAGGTGTGAGCGGAGATGGGACCGGGATCTCGTCTAATTGGTAGGTTGCCCCTGCTGACTGGCTGGTGGCATGTACCAGAAGGCAGGGAGCGGGTGGGCACTGGGCAGGCAGGGAGCGGGTGGGGAGGCCCCTGCTGAATGGCTGGTCCGTACCAGAAGGCGGGTGACCACGTACCAGCAAGGAACACGACCACTGGACACGTGCCGAGGTAACGGTAACGTTAACATCCGGCTACACTACTGTATGTCCCTTAGCAGGGGGCGCTACATGCAGCGGGGGCGGCTGGGGCAGACCCCGCCACCAGCTCACCTACCGCCTATCTGGCGACTGCTCACCTTCTTCAGCACGGAAACCACTTGCCGCAGGTAGCAGGCCCTGTGTTTGTCCTGATAGCGGTCTTGCGGAGCAGCACCCTAAGCGGCGGTATGGGCACGCACAGCAGCATGGGGGGTAAGAATGAGGAAAACTGGCATAGGGGGGGGGGGGCCGTTTTCGGGATTAGTGGCCCTAGACTGCTACAATACGTGATAACATGAAGCGTTTATTGATGGAAATGGATGAGGATTGGTGCATCACTTCTTCTGCTGCTCGGCTGGGTAGCAAGCCCGGAAATTGTTAGATATTCACATGGCGTGGGTGGAGGGGCTTTCAGGCCAGCCCGGCCCATTCACCGGTGTATGCAGCTAACGAGCGTTTAATAAGACAACGGGTGCTTATACCATGCTATGCAGTAGGGGGTAGGCCCTATCAGCTGCGTGCCACTGCCAAACCAGTCATATGTCAAAAGCTCAAAACATGTCCTACCATTAAAACGTCACGGGATGGCAGGTCGGGCAGGCACTCCTTGTCGAGCAACCGTCCAACCTAACGTTCGAGGGTGCAGCAAACATGAACACAGGACGGGAAGGGGTCAGAGAGAAGCCAGCCCGTACACGGGTGGCGAGCGGTGGCAGCGGTTGATGCGTCGGACAAAGATCAGGGCTGTGGTGACAGTGTTTGATGCATGCATGTCTCATGGCTGTACAACAAGTGAGACCGTAGACGCGTGTTTAGGCCGCACGTACAAGAAATGCATGTCCAACAGATGCATGTTTAGTTTGGGTTACGGGCAGCAGCAGAAGTCTGCATCACCCAGGATACCCACCACCAAATGCATGGCAGTGCCGCCAGAGGAGGTCCGCAGGTCAACATCGGGACCCAACTCCAACAAGTCCTCCAAGTAGACCCTGTTGGGGTCAACGTCTTCTGCTGCTTTGGGCCTGCGGTCAGCATGCACATCGTTCTTGCTTGGGAAATGGGTCGGCGTAAAAAGAAGTGGCGACAGGCGCTGGAAGGCACCTGCAAGGAGGCGGGTGGTCGCTGCCCAGCTTGAGATGCAGGAAGCATGCCGGACCCAGGGGCGTGTCGGGATGCAGGCCGTGCTTCATAAGCAGCTTTTCAAGCTTTTCGGGCAGGCTGGTTGATTCTATGGCCGCGTAAGTATCCATTAGGAGGTGGTAAGTCTCCGACATCGAGGCCTTTGCATTTAGGGCCCTTTCGGCTGCCGCGCAAATCCTATCGCCGGCTCCATACTTAAAACACGGACGCTGCGACACTAGATCAAAATCCGCGCCCTCTTGTTCCGTCTGGCAGGTGCTGCGGAGGATGTCCATTCGAGTCGCCTTTCGCCGCTAATGTTCCCGACCCATATGCGACGATATTTTCTTATCAAATGAAAGAAAGTGTAAAGGATTTTATGCCACAGGTGTGGTAAGTATTAAGGCAAGTTCAGGAAGGCATGCCCTGCATGCAGTTCACAAGCATGACACGCACGCAATGTACGGCCGCGGCGGCGACCCGTCGGCTTGAACTGAACCCGCTTCAGCGGCACGCTCTTGTAGGGCGGCTTCTATTCACACTACAGCAAAACTTAATTGCCTGATAATCGCATCATGCACAACGAGCTAACATGTCTATCGCTGCCAAATTTCTTATTTGAAGGTCTTGCCCGTATGAGCAATTACACGACCGATACATGCTTTCCGCAGTCCGGATGAGCATGTTGCATGCATCTGGGCTATGGAGGTCACATCCGGTACTCCTTAAAAACTGCCAGATTGTTACATGGGGGGCTGTGTGTGGGGGGAATTATAATATAAGTGCAAACAACAAGAGTCCCAATCCCATACCCCAACATTGGGGGGGGGGGTTCCGGACCAGCCCGGCCCATTCGCCGGTGTATGCAGCTAACGAGCGTTTAAGAAGGCCAACGGGTGCTAATCGTGCTACGAGAGCTAAACCCCTGCGTGACCTGACCCAACCTCCTGCGCAACGCAAGATAAACACATGCACCCCTCATCCATGCTACCAAGCAATCATAACAGGCAACGTGTTTGCTCAGATGCCTGATAAGTCACAAACCCACGAACTTGCTTCGAACAACATACCGGTATACTACCTGCAATGGGCACCTTGGCAACACGGTCGCGGCAACCAACAGCAACCGACATCCCAACTGTTACGCCGCATCCAGCAGGCAAAGCGCAGCTTGCAGAAAACACAAGTCAGGACAAGCGCCTACACGGCGCGGCTTATGCTGTTGTTGAGAGTATTGCCAATAATCCGATAAACAGCAATGCAACTGCGACAATGGGCGGGGTCGCCAACACATGCCATGTTTGACAACGGAACCAGGCACAGATTTCAACCATGCGACATATGTACGGCGATCTGCCGTACTTTGCATGCTATATGTAGCGGTGCTCATATCCGTACATCTGCCTCGTCCAGCCTGCAATAATGCAATGCATCCATCCTCTCATGATACTACACATCCTCAAGCCACGACGCATGATAGCCCCAAGCGCGCAAGCCCCTCGGCTTCACAACTACTCCTCACCGCCCTCCGTTTCCTCCTGTCCTCCCTCATCCGCATCATCATTATCCCCCTCCTCCTCCTCCTCCTCCTCGTCGTCATCCCCCTCCTCGGCATCCTCCTCCTCGGCATCCCCCTCCTTCTCCAAGTACTCCTCATCATCCTCATCCGGGTCCAGAGGCACGGACCCCTCCGGCTCGAACCCCTCCTCATCCCACTCCTCCTCAACCTCAGCCTCATCCAACTCTCCTTGCGGGTCGTAACCCCACACGCAATCATCGTAACCCCAGTCCAGCCAGTCCAGTCGGCGCTTCCTGCCCGTCTGCGTGGTCGCCACCACCCGGCCTCCCGGCCGCGCCTGCCGCACCAGCCCCAGCCCCAACAGCTCCTCCAGCAGCACCTGCTTCCGTGGCGAGCCGTCGAAGAAGTCATCCACGCTACACATCCACTCGATGTAGCTTGCGGGCAGCTCGGTCAGCCGCCAGCCGCTGTGCTTGCCGAAGGGCATGCGCGCGTCTTGGAACGCCTCGGGTGTCGCCGGGGACGGAGGAGCTGCTGTGGCTGCTGCTGCCTTGGGGGATCGTGCAGCAGCAGCAGCAGAGGTCGCAGCGGCGGGGGATGCCTTGGAGGGGCTGGGGATGTGCGCGGGCGCCTGCTCCCCGCATAGCTCGAGGGCGGTGCGGATGGCGACTTGCATGCGCAGGTGCCCCTCGTCCGCGTCGAAATGCTTGAGGCAGTCCACCCTCCTGCTGTAGTCGTTGTAGCCCTCCTTCAGCAGCTGAATGACGGTGTGACCCGCTGCGTCGGTGGCGGTGGGCGAGTAGCCGGCCTGTGGGGGGGGGAGCAGGTAGGCAGGAGGGCATGGTGAGGCGGATCCGGGAGGGCGGGATGTGGCAGGGGCTGTGTGTTGTGGGCGGAAAACAGTGTCAAACAGAGATTGGAGGCTGCATCTGGTAGGCATGCGTGCAGGAGCTGCGTCAAGGTTCTATGCTGACTGGATGCAAGTCAGGGCAACGCCAGCCTGACTCAGCAGAATCAAAAACATGGGCGCGATGCGGTTCACCCACCTCCAGCATGAGGGGAAATGCCTCCTGCAGGAATTGAGCCCGGCCGTCATCTCCGTACAGGTCCCTAGGCGACACGCCCTGCAGGGGTGCGTATGTACCCTCAAGTGAGCAAGCGTCAAGCGGTAGGCGACAAGAGGGGAAAGGAGCACCGGTGTTTGTGCATGGCCCCATGCCTGACTTGTGGTCCAAGGACGGACTGAACGAGGAGTAGGCTGCTGGTAGGCTGCTGCAGCATGAACGGACCCGCGCAGATCGGTTTCAAGTCACGGTCCGCTGACGCCACAATCCCAGACTTCTTACTCCCCTAATCGTCAACAGGACGAACTGGAAGGATTCCCCCCTCCCTGTGATGTACCCACCATCAGGACCATGCGGCCGGGCAGGTCCGGATAGTACTGCTTCTTGAGCGCCTTGCTCACCTGTGCGCAAAGTAAATAAGGTAAGAGTGATATTTAAGTCTATCCGACAACTGCAAGCGGATGGCAAAGTGTCGGTTGGCAAAATGTTGGTGTTGCAAGCAATGCAAGATGTTGGTACTCACCACGAAGTGCAACGCAGTGCCGCCAGAGGAAGTCCTGATTTCAGGGTTCGGTCCAAGGTCGATTAGGTCTTCAAAGTAGACCTTGTTGGGATTGTAAGCTTGCGTCGTCTTCGGCCTGCATTTGGTTCGTTGGGCGAGTAACCCCAACAATTCAGGCAGGACGTGCCCCAGTGCGACAAACAACTTAACCCAGTATACATGAAGGGCGGCGGGCACTTGGCATGGAGCCTATATATCAGGTAGCAGGTCGAGCGAATGGGCGTGTCGGGATGTAAGCCGTGCCGCAAGAGCAGAGCCACCAACTTCTCCGGTATACAGTTGTCAGACGTCAGCGAGTATACGTCTGCCAGTTTGCCTAGTACTTTGGCTGGCGAGCATCCCGAAGCAAGAGCTGCCTCTGATGCGGTGTAAAGCTCCTTCTCGACGTCACCGCCGAAGACTTCGTCTCCGGTAAGGGGGTCTGTCGTAACGTAATCATTTGCCCTCTTGCAAGCACTGAGCAGCGCATCCATGTCAAATGAGGCGACCGCGCAGCTAGTGTGTGCGGGCGTATGATAACCCTCTAAGATGCAGCCGTTTGCACGCGGTGAAAATGGGTCTTTTTAACAAGTTGAACCTATGGTTTGCAATGATTTTTTTTGCGACTTTCTGCGTTAAGCTCTTGCTGTCGTCGCCACCCGTACAGCCATACCACAGCATACCACGACATTCCATGGCCATCGCATAGCAAGCCCTGCAAGCGCCGCTCGAGCAAGTCCTTTTCAACGCGCTATACGCAAATGAGCCATTTATGTGGCCCAACTGTTCGTCTTTTCCGTAACCTGCCTACAGGCAGATGCCCTTCGCCAGGCAGGTGCCCTTCGCCATTGGTCCGAAACATAAGACCTAAGTGTAGCCCGATATGATAGGTTTACGGCATTTGTATTTAACATTCGGGCCTAGACATTGGAGTTCTCGCCGAGGCAAGCCCCATGTGTCGGCTCATACGGTATACTCACCATGTGTGTGTCGTCACGCTGCGTCTTGCTGTGATTCGCATGTGTGCTTGTTTACGGTCTTGGCATAGCTACAAAACAATGCGCGTCCAGCGTTTGGACCCAAGGGTCAGAGGGTTTGAATGCCCCTTTCCGTTAAGCACAGGTCAATGACATGTATCAGCCTCAATGCCCCTCTTGCATCAACCTGCGCCGTGACGGCCATGCATGCTCAGACGCACCATCCCAACTCCCAAAGTTGCTTTTGCGACTTCAGGCTCACCAACATTACCAAGCAGTAACACCGCTTGCATGTTCAATGTAGGGCACGCCTTTCCTGCACGCCTGCCGGCGCAAGGTAAAACTTTGTCCGTTACATTGCCGCAATCGTGAGCAGCCGCTTCTAGGCTGCCCGCATGGGGCAAAAGCCCGGTTACTTGCCAGACGTGGCGTGGCTGCTGTCGCCGCTCCTTTCGTACTCAACAGCTGTTCCTACTACCACCTGAAAAGAGAGCGGGTGGCGCCAAGCATCGCTACCGTACTGTGTTACGTCTGTAGCGCTTATTCATATGCATGTCGTACTTTGCAGGGTTGGCTAAAACACCGCTGCAAAGCTTCTTCCTACTAGAGGAGCCGTCCTCAATCGTCATCTACGGCGGCCCGATACATATAAGATATAACGAACAACGGGCGCCTGAAATAGTTATACATTGCCTAAACACGACAACCCCGCTCACGCCCGGGCGCCTTCGATGTCATACACACGCCGTACAAACAGCGCCCCAAAACGCCGCAATAAACACGCCGAGCTCGCGCATTTGTGCTCCGGTCCCCAACAACCGCGCATGCATCACCATGTCTCGGGAAGCGGCTTCGGAACACAGCAACAGGTGACACCAGGAAATGCCCTCTCATCCTCTCTTACCACCAACAACACTACCGACAAAACCACGGCCATAAATAACCGCAAAAGGAGGGGTCCGCCAGGGTCCGCAATACATCCAACACACACGACTCGCCTGCCTAGACCCCTGCCACGTACTTCTCCCCATCCGTTGCCCTCTCCTCTCAACCTAGCCTGCGCCCCCCAGAATGGGTCCGTCCCGCTCAAATGGGCCCATCCCGGTTCATGCGCTCAAATGGGTCCGTCCCGATTCATGCGCTCGATGTACTTGTCGTAGTAGGTGGCGGCCTTCTCGAACTCGCCCATGTCGGTGAAGCAGTCCGCCATGGTGCCGTACGCGTCCGCATCCCCCGTGTACTCCCCGATCTCGCGGCTGATCTCCAGCACCCGCTCCAGGTGCTTCACCGCCTGTCGGTACTGGTGCGTCAGCCGGCAGGCGGCCGCCAGACCGCGCTGCGCACGCCGCTCCTGGATCTGAGGAGGCGGACCAGGCAGCGGGGGTGGTAGCAGGGGTGGAAAGAGAAATGAAGGAGTGAAGCAAGGGAGTCCCAGTAGGGGTGAGGGGTCCCAGTAGGGGTGAGGTGGCGTAAATACCGTGATGGGGCGGAGGCGGGCAGGCAGGGGCGGACAGGCGGCAGGCATGGGGCTAGGTCGAGGTCAACGTCGGATTGTTGGACTGCAGTCGCACCCCGGCCCCCCATGCCAGCCGTTACCGTAACATTCCCATCACCTCCGTTGACGCCTTATCCCTCAGTCAGTTAGTTGTTTCCACTTCACCGCCCCAGGGTAACACCTGCAGACATGATCCCGGCCCCCACAGTCCCCCCCCCCCCGCTGCCGCCTCGCCCGCCCCCGCCGCCAAAACCGTAGTTGTCGCCGCCCCGCCGCCCACCCCCCCGCCCGCCCCCCTACCTTGTCCCCAAGTGCCTTGGACAGCATAAGCGCCTTCTCGAAACGCAGCATGGCCCCCGCGCCGTTCTTCTCCTTCAGCAGCCGCTTGCCTGCCCGCAGCGCCTCCCGGCACTGCAGCTGGTCGCTGCTCATGTCCTCCTCTTCCATGCTGAGCAGCGTGAGCGCCGCAGGAGAGGAGGAGGGCAGCGGCGAGGGGGTGGGCGGCGGGGCGGCGACAACTACGGTTTTGGCGGCGGGGGCGGGCGAGGCGGCAGCGGGGCCGTCACCACGGTTGGGGGCAATGTTTAGGCCGCCGCGGGTGGCTGGCGGCGCGTAGCTCAGACCTGCATGGATGCGAAAGGGAAGGGCGGTGTAGGAATTCGGTCGGCTTGTGCCCATGGCTCGAGTCCTTCATGCAGCCTGACCGAGGGCTGGGAAAGCTAGGCTTTTCACAGGGCTTCCGCATCTTTATCGGTCGCCAAGAATGTATAACGGAACAAAACATCCTCCAGCCCACCGTCCGCACCCACAGCCCCTCTCACCTGGTGCGTACACGGTGCCCGCTCGCGCCTGCTGCCTTAGACTCAGGTTGATCGCCCGCAGCTGCTCGTTCAGGCGCTCGAGCTCCTCCTTCCGCCGCCGCGCCGTGACGCCGCCCACCAGCGCGCCGATCAACGCCACGAGTTCCGTAATACCCACCACGTCCACTCCGAAGGGCGTGGCGCAGAGCTTGCCCTCCTGCTGTTGGAGGGCGAAAGAGGGGAGGGGAAGGAATGGGGAGGAGATACGGGGAGCTGTTGTGAATCAGGCTGGGCTAGGTAGGGCAAGGGAAGCAGAACGGGGCTGTCGCTGTGGGGGTGACGTTTGGAAGGGCTGATGACCCGGGCTGACCTGTTGTTGCTGCTTGACCTCCTCCTCCAGTTTCTGTCGCTCAGCCAGCAGCTGCTCACGCGCCTCCGACTCCTTCTCCACGCGCAGCTTGTAGAGCTTCTCCTCCTCTGAAGCCAGAATTCCGCTGTCGTACAAGGGTGTTGGAGAAGGAGACCCGCGGATGGGAATTAGATGTAATGAAGACGAGAGAGAGTATGGTACCCTCTTTTGGCAACCAGGGTAAGCAAGTGAGGTCCGCCGGTCCCGGCGGGATGCCAGGAAGGCTGCAAGGGAGTGCTTCGGATTTGCGATACCTTTTAAGACTCTATAGACACCTTTCGCAGGCGTGTAGACTAATTACTTTTGAGACGTGTGGAAAGCCTAGGTGCGCGTGTGCCGGACGCAAGCATTTGCGACTTACTGTGCTCCTGTTGAAGAAAGGAATGCATCTGCCATGGCTGGCGCGCTGACCACCGAAATGCCCAGAGTCACCAAGCTTCCAAGAATTTGCCTGCGTGACTGTTCCGGGCTGCCGCCAGCCTGGCAGACGACATTGATAGGTCGTCGAGGCACACCTCTAGCACCCTGAAACGCTTGCCGTGAGCGAACACCTTGAGAGCGAAGCTCCTTAAGCTGCATGATGTGTGAGCCCCGGAATAAAGCTGCCTTCTTTCAAGGGTTGCTTTGGAATGCCAGTGAAAAAAGGCTTCAATTGCAGATCTAAGCTACCAGTACTTTCGATCTATTGCGATGTATACTGGAAACGAAGCAAGCAGTAGAAGAAGACGAGGAGGACTCCGATCTCTTGACGATACGTACGACACTTTTCGCAGGGAGACAAGGCAGCGTTGCCGACATGTTGCCAAACCTTTTTGCACAATTGCGGAGGTCAGGTTACAAACTTTATCTTTATCTTTCGTCGCCCCGCCTTGGTGCTGAAATTACAGTTTTGTTCAACAGTGCAAGCACAGCTGTGCAAGTGGGCCAATTGCTACTTTAAGACCTAAACGGGGTCCCAAGCAAATGCTAACAGCCAAACCGAAGTATTTAAACCTGCCTTCTCTGGCATATGGGCGGATTCGCAGTTAAGATTCTCCGGATTCCATCCTCAACAGCCAAAACGCAACGCGAGTTAACATAAAGGCTGAACGGAATGCGAGAGTCCACTGCGGTGCGGAAATGCCTGGAGTGCCAGGGTATTCCACACCTTGCCCTCGGCCCAAGGTTGGGCTCCAAAACTCCGCACCGTCCTGGGTGCCGTACAAGGTACAACGCATCAATCAGCATACAAACCCACATCACCCTGTCCTGCAGTCACTCTTTGCCACTCATTCACGCCAGCATCACAACCAGCGACACACACGCACTCGTTCTACCTCTCATGCACGTTTCGCTCACCTACCCTAGTTCACCTCCCCCAACGCCCCCAACCACCGCCACGCCTCCGCCCCTGCCCTCGCGCCGCCCACCCACGCTCTCCGCCCCCTTCATCCCCGCCCTCCTCCTCCTCATCTCCTTCATCCACCTCTCCACTCGCGCCCACCTCCCAAACCTCCCGCATCCCGGCCACCCTGTCATCCTCAACGTACCCCGATTCCGCCATCCCCAGCTGCTGCCTGCACGCCCCGCCCGAAGGCCCCACCAGACCTCCCAAATCCGCAAAACCCAGATGCGGCGGCCGGAACCCAAAGCCCCCCTCCTCCTCCTCCTCGGGATGCAGACCCAGATCCCCGATCAAGATCAGCCCATGCGCCTCGAGCGGGTGTTGCAGCTGCTGCCGCTGCTGCTGCAGCAGCAGATCGGGCGCCTCAGCCGGCAGGTCATCATGCAGCTTGCGCATGTGGATGTGGAGGCCCACATCAAAACGGTGAGGCCGAGTGACCTGGGGAGAATGGGAGGCAAAAGCGAGCATGATGTAGGATTTTGAGGAGAGAAGAGCGGTTAGAGGCGGTTAGTTAAGCCAAGAGATGGGCTAGGAAAACCAGAAAATGTGGTCAGACATGGTTGAAAGAGGTGTCGCCGCCCCCATCACACGTCTAAAGCCCACGCCGCCTCAAGCTCACACACGCCGCATCCAAGGCGCATGCAGCGCACCTGCAGGGCCTTCTTGGCGGAGTTGGACAGCACCTCCACCTTGCGACCCGACTGACCCACGGGTCCCAGGTCGCGAACCGAGGTCTCCGGCACACCTCCACCTCCACCACCGGCACCAACACCCGATCGTTCCGCATGCGTGCCACTCGACCCAGCCCCCGCCTTGGCCTCCTCCGCAGGAGTAGCGGCAGGGGCGCCAGGACCAGGCCCCGCACCGGCAGCCGGGTCAGTGGCCCCGGTAGCAGCTCCTGCAGCGGCTTCCGCTTTACCTGCGCCTGCTCCTGCAGCTGCGGCCGCCTCAGGAGATGAGGATGCCTGGGAAGCTGCCGGAGGCGGGGGTGTCACCGGCCGTATATCCAACCTAGCCACCAAGCCAACCTCCCCCGTATCGCTGCTGGTCAACGTAAGGCCCCTCCAGCCACCGCCCACGCCGCCGCCTTCCTTCGCGGCGCCGCGACCGCTTGTTGCCAGTCGCAGCGCGCTGCTGCCGCTGCCGCTGCTGCCGTCGGCGTCGCCGCCGTTGCCTCCAAGGATGCTGGCTGCGTCGGCGGCGACTCCGGCGAGTACAGCGCTGTCAACGTCGTCTAGCTGCCGTGCCCGTGCCCGCGCCTTCCACAGTTCCGCCCAACCTAGGTGCAGCAGCAGGTTTAGGCCGGCCAGGGTTTCCTGCTGTAGGGCAAGGCCGCCGCTGCCCCGGCGCTTGCGAGGGGATGATCCTCCTTGACCCCGCTGTCGTTGGTCCTTGTGTTTTGTTGTCCGGTGACCCGCCGCCGCCGCCGCTGCAGCTGCGGCGCCGACTGCCTCACTTGGGTGGCCGTTGCTGCTATCAATGATGCTGGCGGCATCGACTGAGGCCTGTTCGTTGGCCGAGTTCACCGTCGCTGAGGCTTCCGAAGCGGCCTCTGCCTGCTGCTGTTGTTGTTGCTCCTGTGCAGACTGAAGCTGCTGCTGCGCTTGCTGCGCGTCCACCTCCTCAGCCGCACCCCGCTGCTGCACCCGCTGCGCCTCTCCACCTCGCAGTTCCTGGTCGCCCTGTTGCTGCTCCTGCTGTTGTTCCTGCTGCTCCGAACATGGCGATGAGCTCGACCCGAGCTGCTGCTGCTGCTGGTGCGCCGCCGCCGCGCCCTCGCCGCCTGCCTCCCCCTGCGCCTCCTGCCGCAAGTGCTGCTGCCTTCGCCGCTGCTGCCTGCGCTGCGTCGTCTGGCTCCTAGCCGCTGCCGCCGCAGCAGCCATCGCGGGTGCGTTGCTGGCTGCCAGCTGCGCTAGGTGGTCTTCTAGGTAGGTGGGGCGCACGTTGATGTGGGTCGGCACCCCGATCTCACGCAGACCTGCACATGTGGTGGTGGCAGGTAGTGGTGGCGGAGGAGCTGCAGATGGCGGTGGTGCACAGGTTGAGGCGGTGCAGGTGGTGGCTTCACGGGTTGTGAAGCCAGGAAGCGGCTCAGGAGCTTCAAGGACGCAGGCCTCGTGCAGGCGTAATCACATGAGCGCAGACGAACGTGAAGGATGCTCTGATGACACATCACGACGACTACCCACTACCTAATTACATGGTGGTGCAAACAAACGGCGCGTGAAAGGCGCTGTGTGTGTTCACATCCCCTGTGCCCCCGTGTGTGTGTTTTTCCACCCGTGACCTCACCCCAGTGCGTCCGCGAGTAGAAGTCGTCCCACACGTCCGCCGCCGCCGCCGCGCACCACGCGCTGAAGCTGAGCACCCCCACCGCGGCGGTCGACACGGCGGCAAGCAACCCCCGCGGCGGGGCGAGGTGCGGACCGGAGGCGGCGGAGGCGGAGGAGGCGGGTCGGCGGTTGCCTGAAGGGCGCGTGGGGCGGAGGCGGGTCTTCTTCGGTTGTGGGGAGATGCGGGGGGTGTGCAGCTGTGGGGCTATACAGCATACCGTCTCGGAAATTGTGAGATGGCTGAGCTAGGACAGATGTGGACATGCACGCCGAGTGCCATGCAAGCATACAATGCATGCAAGCATGTCAGCCCCCATGCGGCCCCGCCCGGCCGACCCCCCACCTGCCCCACATTGCCTTGTCGGTTGTCACACATGGTGTGTCACTTCCTCTTTACCCCCTTCCTTGCCCCCCACCTGCCCCCAGTTCCCGAAGGAGCTCCTTGGCCTCGGGAATGCCGTCATCGCTGTCCTCCTCCTCGCCGCCGCCACCCCCGCCGCCAGCCGCCGTGGGGGGAGCGAACCTCGGAATGGGGAAACCTGCGGACGCACGTAACGCGGCACACAAGGGATCCAGCCGGACCAGCACCCGGTTTGTTGTTGACACCCGCGCCAGCTGACTGGTGAACAGCCACACAAGGAAAGCCACACCTACCAACTCAGGCGTCCAAAACACAGCGTTGGCCCTCTTTAACCCAGGCCGTGCGACGCACAGCTTGCGAGACCCAACAACCCCATCAGCAGGAGCAACGGAAGCTGCCCCTCCCTGCCAACCACTACCAAGCTATCCCTTCTACCCTCCTCACTCCGAACCCTCTGCCACCCGTCCTCCTTCCACTGCCATCATGCGTCAACATCACGCCTCATCCCGCCACCCACCCACCCACCCGCGCTGTGCACTGCCAGCACATCCAGCGCCCGCGCCACCTTCCACCGCGCCTCGGAGCGCTGCCGCCGCCAGCCCGCCACCTCCACCTCCCGCGCCACCACCGCCGCCGCCGCCAGCTGCTGCAGCGACAGGAAGGCGGGGTGCAGGCGGAGCAGCGTGCCGTCAAGCGCGCGGACGCTGAGGGTGATGCCCGGGATGAGGAACAGCGGTGTGCGGTTGCCGGAGCTGCTGCTGTCTCCGATAGGAATGCTGATGTTGGGGTTGAGGTTGGGGTGGGAGCTGGGGATGGTTGGGGTATCCGGGGAGGTGGAGTTGTCGAGAAGGTGGTCGGGCTGGGCCATCGGGATGGAAGCGGATGAGGGGGAAGAAGATGGGAAGAGGAAAGAGGGAGGAGTGGGATGGTCGTCCTTGTCGCCGCTGTCCCTGCTGTCACCTGTCATGCTGTAGACGTCGACCGGTGACTGATGTTGCTGCTGCTGCTGCTGCTGCTCAGGCTGTTGCGACTGAGGGCGCTCGGGTCCTGCAGCGTCCTCCGCCGTCTCCGCCACCGCCTCTGTGGCCGCCTGCTGCTGCTGCTGCGGCTCCTCCTCCTGCCCCACCACATCCAGCACCCAGTGGCTGGAACTGCTGTCATGGATGTTCAACGCGACCTGCGAGGGTCCGGCAGCATTGCAAACATGATGCACTCGGCATGGTAACAAACAAACCTCTGCAGCATGCTTTGCGTTAGGACACACGCATTGTCGCTCCCCTCCCACCTGTTCCTTCTTCCCTTCCCGTCCACGTTCGCCTTTCCCACTCACACCCTTCCTTCCTCCTGCACCGGAAGCGTGCCGCCCCCCTACCCAGCCCACCCACCCACCCACCCGTGGTCTTATCCTCAACCGGGGTCGGCGACCCTGGCCGCCCCCCGCCGCCCCGTCCTCTCCATCCTCCGCCTCTGATGTCATCGCCGCCTCCACCTCCGCCGCCTCCGCCGCCAGCCGATCCGCCTCCCGGCTGCTTTCCACCGCCTGCTCGTCCGCTGCGTCAGGGACCAGCCGGAAACGCCGCCGGGCAGGTTCAGCAGGTACGACAGTCGCGGTAGCGTTCCGCGACGAGGAGGCGCCTGGCGGAGGCGTTTGCTTGTCCTCTTGCTGTCGTGGCGGTTCCCCGGCACCAACTGCCACTGCTGCTGCCGCCGTACGGTGTCCGCTGCCGTACAGATCTGGCGTTACAGCTGTTGATGATGATGATGATGACGTCATCGTGGCGGAGGCGGAGGTGGCGGAGGTGACTGAGGCCACCAGGGCTTTGAGGGCCGCCTCCAGCGGCAGCCGTGCGACGTAGCTGCTGCCGCCGCTGCTGCTGCTGCCGTACTGCATCGTGGATCCCTCACCGTCGCCGCCGCCATCACCGTCACTCTCGACGCCGCCGTCACCCCTCCATCTCCCGTGTTTACCTTGCCGCCGCCGCTGCGTGTCAAACACGTTCCTCAGGGGGCCCGGCAACCAACCGCCCAGGCTCTTCTCCCCAACGCCGTCGCTGGTGCTGTCGCTGCCGCCGTCAGGGGCTCCGCTGCGTCTCTGGCGGCCGGCGGCATCGGCCCCGCCGCGTGCATCCCCCGCATCAGCGCTGGCAGTCACGCGATGAGAAGGATCAAGCCCGGTTGATGAGGATGAGGATGCTGATGAAGAGGAGGAGGAGCTGGGGTGCCCCCTGCCGCGATACCGCAGCAGGCCGAGGGAGCCACTGGCTGCTGCTGCTGCTGCGGCTGCCGGCGCGGCTGACCCGGTGCGATCGGCCGCATTCTGCCCGCCGAGGACGTTAGGAAGACCTTTGTGTGAACCGGCCGCGTCTCCGGGTGCTGTCAGAACAGCAGCGGCAGCAGCGCTACTCCTCTGTAGCGCCGCGTCCCTCCGCGCCGCCTCCTCCGCCGCCCCCCTGCCCACGAACATTCGCCGCTCCCCCGCCTCCGGCACCGACATGCGCAGCAGTAGCTCGCTGGCGGCGTCCAGCAGCTGGGGCTGGTGGGGGTGGTGGTGATGGTGGTTGGGTTGCTGCTGGGGGTGCTGGGGGTGCTGGCGGTTGGGGTCATGGGTCGTCTGGGAGGAGGCGAGGGCAGAGGTGGAAGAGGAGGAGGAGGAGGAGGGTGAGGGCGCAAGGGAGGAGAGGTGCTGGCTGTTCGCTGCGCCGGCGCCGGCGGCTGCAGCGGCTGAGATGGCGGCGACCAGGCGGCTTCCCAGGTCCCAGTCGTTCTGTGGGAGCGCACACATGGGCAGGTGCACAGCGTACATGGGGCATGGCAGATAACTGAGGTAAGAACGTAACCCGGGAGTGAGGGAGGTGAGGTCTGGGAGTGGGCGCGGACGGACGGCAAAGCCCAACCCCATTAGAGCAGCCATCCCGAATCCTTCACCGACAACCAACAACGAACTAGTAAGCAGTTAAGAGGTCGAAACGCACACTGCGCCAGCACACCTCGTGTACCGGGTACACTTACGCGTCCCAGATGCTGGCTGCAACAATGGTACACACAGCATGGGTGTACATATACCGGTATCGTGCCAGACCCCCCACCGCGCGCATCACACCTACCAGGTGCCCGAAACCCGCTGCCGCCGTGCTACAAGACAGAAACACGTCACCAACGGTCAACGTGGGGACGGAGTACGGCAACACCGCAGCAGGCCGGGAAGCGGCCGGCAGCTGCTGCGGCGGTGAATGCGGGTGATGCCGTCGCCGCCTGGGAGGCTTCACCTCGCCATGTTGTTGCGGAGCTTGCTGTCCCTGCTGCTGCTGCTGCTGTTGGTGTTGTTGAGGGGTAGCAGGTGGGTTCGTCCCGCTGCCGTCGCCGGATGCACCTGAAGCGGCTGCATGGGCACTACGGAAGGGCGTTCCCACAGGCCCTGAGGTTGATGCACTGCCGTAGAAATTGTACGGGCGGGAGGACGAGCCTGTAGTGAAGTGCAGCGTCTGCCGGCAAGCCCATCCCTGACGTCTGGGGCTGCGGGGTGAGTTGCGGGCTGCAGACAGCGCACCGCAACACCTGGCCGCCCTGCGCAGAGGGTGGCGGAAGGCGGGTGTACGGCATGCTCTTAAACAGCAGTTCCCGGGGCTGCAAGGAACCGTGGGTAGGCGTAAAAACAGGAAACATGCTAGCATGCGCCGTAGGATGGGCGGCGGAGCCGACTCGCCAGACCCCTCCTTAGTGAGTTTGGGCTAGACGCACCAGGCACGTGCGGCGCCATCGTCCAGCGAAATTACGAGGGTTGAGCCATCGGGTGGGCTGTAGTCAACTTCCCACAACACATCGACCTCGGCGGCGAGTGGATGGTCCTCATCGCCAGCACGAACGCTCGACTTTGCTACATCGTTTGGCGTATCCAAACCAGCCAACAGAAAATTTGCGCTACCATCACACGTGTAGCGCATTACAGCAGAGTCTGACCTTCAGAGTGCGGTTGCTCCAAGGAAAGGTAGATTCATCTATGCAGAACACTGTAATATACGTGTTTAGCCGCGGCGTGTGCAACCATGCAAATAACTGTGTTGGCGAGTGCTTACTTCATGCGCAAGTTCGGGAACACGGTCGGCTTTGGAGCAGCAAGCCTGGTCGCGCCGTACTTGCGGACGGCAAGTCCGCGCTCCCACAGTGAGTGATACATAGGCACAGCTTGTAAGCGTAGTACCCGTGGCTAAGCGTAACACTGTGAGGATTTTGTGGGAGGGGCTCATCTCGCCGATTCTTTTGTTAGGTCCCACGTAGACCAGCTTGGGGCACCATGGGTTGGAACGCTCTGCCATCGCTTGTTATTATTACTGGCATTTGGACCGTGGGCCTGTTCGCGCTGGACAAGGTTCAGGTGTTCCGTGAGGACAAGCCGGCGTGGGCCAACAACAAGGACCTGTGGCAGAAAGCCCTTTACCGGCGAGACTGGTACCTCAAGCGGGAAGAGGAGACTCTAGGTGCGCGTCGTTTGTTTCTTTGGCTTCGGTCTCTTTGCCATGGCCAACATACGTCCCCTTCCTTTGCCTCCCATTTCTTCGCAGCGATGGCCAAGTAAAGGCGATATTGCAGCATGCACTGGACATCTACTGCTATCTGTGGAGGCGACGGCTTTGGGCGATGATGGCCTTCGTGGATACTCCTAGCAGGATTAGCTTATGGCGTGGAGAAACGAGGCGTGCGATTGTTATATAGGATAGTGCTGGGGCCTGGTTTACAAATGATTTGTGAACACCCCATCGGGAGGCCTGGAGCTGTGTGTTGGCCCCGGCGATATCCCTCGGGACCCCAGCACGTGTAACACCGTCAGGTTCCAGATCGCGGACTCGACTGCTGCTCGCGCAGCTGCTTGCGCTGCTCCATGAAAGCCTGCATGCACACGCACAACGGCGCTACTGCTTAGTAAGCGTGGGTTGCGGTTGCAATCCTTGGCACACGGTTAGAAAGCCAAGGACAACTAGCGGGGTACCCTAGGCAGCATAAGACAGCGCTTTTGGTGAGGAGAGTAGGCATCTCCTGCCCTGGATCAGGCAACGTGGGGCTCGTCAGGCAGCCTCGCCACATGACATGTCAGCATGGGCCGTGGGACACAACACAGCCACGTCGTCCCGCCCTTACCTGGACTTCCTGCTCTTTGACCTTTCGTACGGCAGCCACGGTTGACAGGGATAAGCGGCCGATCCCCTCGAAAGCCACTTCCATGATGGGCCCTATGTTCACAATGCCAGCCACATAGTCCTTGACGCACTTCATGAACTCCCCTGCGGCACAAAGCAGCACTCGTCAGCCGGGTAGCGGTACTAATGTCAACATTGGCTCAGCCCAAAGCTACACGCCCCTCATCCAACCTACAAAACACCCTCTCATCCCTAAACAGTGAACCCCCATCCCACAACGCAGCCCAACCCCAACCCTGGCACACGCATTCCTTCTCCAGACAGCCCCATACGCCAATGTACCCTCCTGACGCACACAAACCGCAGGGGTCAGCAGTTCCGCCCGTCACCCTCACGCACCCGGGTTGTCCCGCCTGAGCAGCTCGGGTTCCGCGGCCTTGAGCAGCGCCAGCGCCACTCTGAACAACACCTTGGCGCCCTCGCCCAGCAGCGCGTCCAGCACCCGGCAGGCGGACTCGGCGGGCATGCTCACGCAGAACACCGTCTGTGCGGGAGGAAAAAATAAAATGAAACATGAAGCGACTGAATCCAAATGCGGGAGGAGGCGGGAGGGAGGGCAGCAGCATACGCATGCCTGAAGCGGAGTATGCACCATACGCATGCATCGGGGAAGGGGCAAGAAGAAGCACCATGCAGCATGCATGGCAACGTGCAGGGGGGTGGGAGCGCATTGAAGGGTGAATAGGAAAGGAAAGGACACAGGAGAGCCATGTTCTGATAGAGATGTGTACATTGTTTACCAGCAAGCTTGCAAGCGCCGTGAGCCACCACATTAACGCGCAGGAGCGGAGGCGGAACTGAACAGGTGTGCTGCTCCGCACACGCAAGTAGCAACCGGGGGGGCCCTGCTGGACCCGCCAGGAAACCCCCCTTTGCCTTGCCCTCACGTGTGGTTCGGTAATCCTTTGACCCACCAGGAACCAGTCCGTGGCGATGAGGGAGGTGTCGCAGGAGATGGTGTGCATGTGCGCACCCAGCCGCGGCAGCTTGGAGGCAACCAGGTCCTGCGGGCGGGGGGAGGGGGGCAGGGCGGGATGTAGCAGGGGCGAAGGGACCTAGGTGAGCCAAGGGATGGCGGAGGTAACGTGCAGGGATGGTTAAGCGCCCCGAGTGGAGCTAGCAGTGGGTAGCTCTCTGGTGTGTACCAAGCATGGGTCATTGAGCTCATGACTCATAAGATACCGGGAACCGGGTAGCAAGTGTACGGCAGAGCAAGAGGCCCCGCCACCCCTCGGCCTAGTGTGCCAGCCGCGCACGCACGCATGCATTCACCTGCAGGGTCTTCATCTCCACATGGCAGCCAGAGAGGTTGTGGCCGAAGGAGCCTGCGGGGCACAGCGGGCCACTCACCATACACACGTGCGCGCGTGGGGTTATACTCCTGGTGCAAACATACTCCGGGGCACTGGTACGAGATACACGCATGCAGAGGCAAAAGCACGCCCACCCTTGTAGCATATCTTCTCCACCAGCGCCGCCAGCAGCCAGAAGGTGACCTCCTCCTCGCACTCCACCGCCATCAGCAACACACCTGCATGCGGGTAATGCGGCAGCAGCAGTAGCAGCAGCGGCATATGCATCACCCGCACATCCCACCCTTAGTTGCTTGTGGGCTCAATAAGGATGCAACAGGAGAATCGAGTTGTTCCGTTAGTACTCTGGGAGACTCTGAAGCAGTAGAAGAAGAGACCAGTTGGCATCATCCGAGCAGCAGCAGCATGATGTGTCGTACGCTGTCTTTGCGCCCTGCGTCCCCCGCTGGACTTACCCACGATGAAGTTGAGGCCCTGGCAATAGCCGACCAGCTGGTTGTGCAGAGAGTAGGCGGTGAGGATGCGGCGCATGGCGGCTTGGCCGGTTTCAGCGCAGGAAAGGTAGGGGTGGCCGGGGAAGGTGCGAGGGAGGTCCTGGGGCGACAGGGTGTTGTACGACAGCAGGTCAAAAACGTAGTTTGACACTTTGACTGGAGGGTTCGGGCGGATTGAACGCACAGGGACGTTTGTACTGCACGTGCTTAATATAGGTTCGACGCCTTGAGCACTTTCACGCTAAGGGAAGTCGTCCACATGTTGCCCATGCTTAATGATGAGCTGCAACCTGAAAGGTCAACACCGCTGTCATGCATCCAACCGGCACCCATTGCACTTGCACCAACTTACGAGTTCAACCTGGGCAGCAGCCTTGCTAAGAGACGCTGCTTTGACCAAGTTCGTGTAGTAATGAGTTCCGGTCTGGGCCATCTTCAGCTGCTTCGCGCCCGATACCTCGAACCAAACCCATGCCCGCAACTTGGGCGGAACACCTCCGCGGATAAGCTTCTTAAGCTTTCTTGCGCTGCCAGGGAGCTGCTTCTCCGCTGCATACTTGCTCCAAGCCCTTTCCTGTACCGCGTAGGCAGATCGGGCTTGCTGATACTCAGCGGCTTGGTGGGGACTCTTATACGCAAGGGCAAACCCATAAATGTCGTGGGATATAGTAGCCATTTCGGGTCACAGAGGCAAGGTCGTTGCGAGTAGGTCGTTACACGTGCAGAAGCAGCAAGTTAGCGTCGAAGCATATCGTGAAGTATTTTTATGTCCAATTATACTCAATACACCTTACGGAAGGTCAAAAACGGACAGCGTCCGGTTGAACCGAAACATCGATGACACCAAGAAAGCCTTCATGCAATCGGCATACAACAAAACCAATGTCAACTGCTCGAGAAGTGTTAGTTAGTCCCTTTCATCATCTCTTCTCCGTTGAAAATCAGCGCTTCTTGAAAACAGCCCCAAGGATGGCTCGCACCGGACGGGTCGCGACGTCCGCCACCGTAACCACGCTAGCTATGGCAACGAACAGCACTGTGTGCGCCAACAGGAAGATGTTCTGGTTGTTGTTCTTGCCGTTGAGGGGTTTCTGAATACCACCGTGCACATGTCCCTGGGGTCGCTCCGGCTGCTCCTCGAGGTGCGGGTGCCCCAGGAGAGTTTCCACCGCCTCAGGAACACTGCCACTGCGCTCAATAGTCGTTGCCATATTGCTTCAATCAAACTGATAAGAAAGCTGGCGCTTAGCGAGAGGTATACCTTAACGTTGATTGCTTACGAATTGTTCCTAACAAATGTCGCCTGTTGATAATTGTCACTGCAGGTAAGCTATTGATTCCTTTTTAAGGTTGTCAGGTAAAAAATGCTGTCGAGCTGCTATTATGCTGCTTATCATGTGCCCTGGTTGAGTCAGATCCGTTACCGGACATCTTACCAACGCAAAGCGCGTGACTCATACTCGGTAAGTCATATACACCCGCGCCCCAACGCTCCATGACAGCCCCAACGCACCCGATGTCACTGCAGCGTTCCTTGTACCTTTATCACAGGCGCGTAGCGTGTCTGTACTGCCTTGTGCGACGACTCGTCACCGACGCATGTACACAACTACTCATATCATCGTAAAGGCAGGAATCGCTCACTCAAGTGCCAACGCTCGTCCGCTGCCGCAGGCGGCAAAACGCGACCCAATGCCCACAATTCACATCCGCACGCATAACTCGCGCGCAAATACTTCAAACCCAAATCACACAATACCAAGAAGCCCGCATGTCTACACCTCACCTCACAGCTCGCGACCGGATCTTTCCCAACCGTTCCCTGGCTTCCCTGCTCTTCCAGGCTTCGTCGCTACGCACGCGCTTCCTTCCAATCCCTCCTCCTTCCTCAATACCTACTGCTAGCCCTGCTGCCATGCTTTGCCGCCACCCCCGCCCCCGCCGCTCTCGACCCCCCACCAGCAGCAGCAGCAGCCCGTGCTGCCACCAAGCTCCGCATGTTGCGCCGCGCACACAGCATGTCCCCCGCCGCACACTCCACGCAATCCTTGCAGCTCTTACGACACATGCCCTCCAGCCCCACCATGTACGACATGTTGGACGAGCACTCGCCCGCCGCCACTCGGGCTGCGCAGTCGCGGGCTCGGTCGGTGCATGCGCCCGCCACCTTCATGGGGTCGTACTTGCCCATGTAGACCTTGTTGTGGATCCACTTGGTGGCGGTCCACTTGGTACCCTGACAGAGGGTGCGTGGGAGGGAGGGAGGGAGGGAGGAGGGATGGAGGTAGGGAGGGTGCGTGGGAAGGAGGGAGGGAGGGAGCGGGATTGCGGGGTGATGTGCGGGGAATCCGGGTCCCAGGCGCCAGCATGACACGACCTACCTGCCCTCCCAACAAGCCGACTCCTTATCACAAGATCACAACCCTGATGAAGATCATCAGACCCATGCAACCCCGCATGCCAGAAGGAGCCACAACAGCGCAGTACCCCCACACCAGATCTCCCCCTCCCTCCCTCCGTCCTCCGCCGCCTCACCTTGAGTGTGGGGCAGGACGCATGCAGCGTCTTTCGGTCCCCCTGCTGTCCCTGGATGTCCATGTCAAAGAAGAGCAGCGCGTCGCCCTTGCGCGGCTTGACGCTGATGCCCCACTCGGCGCCGCACTTGGAGGCGTTGGCAAGGGTCTGAAGGGTGCGGGGTTTAGAAGACGCACCGGTAGAAGGTGGCGTGAGGGAGGGAGGGAAGTGTTTGGGGGCCCGAAGAGATAGCGGCGGCAAGGTTGGTATTGTTGCCGGGGGTTACACGCCGGTACGCACACAAGGAGCGCGGCATCGTGAAAGAGAGGAAGATGGATGGCACGCAAGGATGACACGCATCCGAGGTCAGGAAGGAGAGTTGTGGTGCAACTGCTGGAAGGGGTTTGCTGAGCGCACAGCACGCGAGCCCCCATGTCCTCCACGCAGCCGACAACCCGACGCACCCCCCATCAATGTCACCACCCCCGCATGCCCGCACGCCCCCCACACACCTGCTGGGAGAGGTCGATGGCGTCCGCGAGCGGCAGGTTGGTCTCCCCGCCGAACTCCACATCTGCAGCAGCAGCACCAGCACGCAGCAGCCGGCACAGCCGGATACAAGGTGAAGGGGTATACTCGTATACAGCCGCAATGAGAAACGCCATGAAGGACGCCGTGAGGGACGCAACGTGGAACGTAGTTTTGAACCCCCATGCACTCCTTGCCCCCTTAGCCCACCCGACAGGTACCGAACCCCCCCCCCTCCAAGCTCACCCGACAGGTACATCACGACGGTGGCATATCGGTTGCCGTCCAGCAGGTAGGCCTTGTGGTGCACCGGGTCGTCAAACCAGTCCCTGAACAGGGGAGGCGGAGGAGCAGGAGGCGGAGGAGGGAGGAGGGAGAAGGGTGGTGGTGACCTGGTGAGCTTGGGAAGGGGAGGGAGGAGGTGCTGTGAGCCTAACAAGTAGGGCAGCGTCACAAGCGGGGCTGGAGAGACATGGGCAGCTGTGGATGGCGGCGGTTAGCCACGCCGACAAGGTTCAGGGTCACCACAAATATACAGCGCGCGTCGTACTGCTTAATAACCACCAAGGTTGCCGCGTTTCCTGCCCGGCCCCTGCGCCTCAAAAGCCGGCCGTCCATCCGAGTCTAGACCCAGCCGGCTTGTGTGTTGTTGCATGCCGCAAGCCCCCAGGTCTACCCTGTCTGGTCCCGCAACCGCCATGCCACTAGGCGCCACACAAGCTGCCGCAAGAGGAGGCCGTCGTACTTTTGGCCGTCGTACTCACCAGTGGGCGTCGTACTTTTGGCCGTCCACATATCGCAGGATCTGGGTCAGGGCGATACGAGGATGAGGGCCAGCAAAACGGACAAGGTGACCAGAAGGCCGGCGTAAGGACGCAACCAATGGCAGTCACGAAAGCATGGGGCCAAGGAGGGCCGAGAACGTGGGCCATGGACCCATGCATAGTGCTGTCTGTGTTCGCACCGTGTCCCAAGTGCCGGCAGGAACGTTACCCGGCAGCGATGTTACCTAGCCCTGCTACCCTGCCGCGTTACCGTACCCCTCATGTCTAGCCCTGCTACCGTTCCATGCTGCCGTACCCTCCAAGGCCCACACCTGCATGGGCTCTCCATACTCCGGCGGCAGGTGGGTCCACTCCGCTATCCGCTCCTCGATCTCCGCTATGACCGGGTCCTCGGCACGGCTGCAAGGGCGTATGGATGTGCCGTGTAGGGGCAGAGGTTGTAAGCACAGAGTCTACACGTTTACTCTTGAGATGCATCCGAAAACTTGGCTAGCATGCTTTCCAGTTTCTGCATCGGACCGCAATGTTTGTATGGTATGATTGTATCTCTTGCCGGGCGTGGCATAGCGGCTGATCCCACATGTCCCTTCACAAGGTCCGCTACGTGCACGTACCCGAAGGCTGCTCCAAAGCTTGTCCGAATGTCATCGAACTTGCTTGCACCCGTCTTTGCGTCAACGACTAGGGAGCGGCTCACCTGCGGAAGGGGGGTTGGTGGGTGCTGGTTCAAGTTCGGCGGCCACCCTGTGCGTCATCTGCAGATGTCACACATGTTCCAACCTCCGCCCGTGGTTCAGATACCCACCCGTTGCGTCCCAATATGGACTAGGTGGTCGCACTCCGCTTCTGACATAAAGTTGTGGTATACGAAGGCCCTCGGGTTCCAAGATATGGTTTCCACCCTGCGATGCAGGAACAACACAGCTCGCATTCAAGCTTGCTTTACAATTTCAGGAGCTTCCGTGGCGTCTGGAACTTACCATGGTTCCGTTCCATATCGATCTGCCTTCTGCATGGGCACTTAGTTGTCAGCGTGAAGCTTGCAACATCAACGGCTTGCGAAAGAACATGTCCTACCTTGCTACCACCTGAAGCTTCATAGGTTTCGCCTTTCCATCCAATTAAGACCTCTTCGGAATCACTGTTGCTTTGCATCAGAGCTGCGTTGCAGTTCAACAGCAGGGTTTACAATTTTCACAGTACCGCCAAAAATCCTTCGCTTATTTTGTATGTCAAGCCTACCTGTGACAGTGGAAGCAAGCACAAGGATAACTGAAGCTAACTTAATCATTGTGCATAAGTTACCGGGTACTTGTCATTCAACTGTTCGAGATAACAATTCCCGATTATGCAATACAGCAAGGCTTGTTCATGATCACAACTTCTAGAGCAACCTGCAGGAGTATCCTGTTGAAGGATGCAAGATTGCCCCGAAAGCGTACGTTAACGGTGTCGTACAGCGCAGATACGTGCCGTACTGCTGTTGTTGCGGACATGCCCACGCCGTATGGTACGCAACTGTTTCTTACAACGTGTCCCGTTCAGCCACTACAAAAGCCGGGAAACCGTAACAACAACCTGAACAAGTCCGTTCTGCTGGCGCAAACCTCCCGGCAGCACCCTACCACAGTGCAATCCTACCGTAAGCAGTCAGCGCCTGTTTCGCATCGCGCTCGTAGAGTAGGGCCCTCAACAACGCCCTCTTTTATGCGCATGCTCAGCCACGCTGGGGCCCCAACACAACTGGTATATTCTCTTGCTGGCAGCTACTGCCAACCGCCTCCACTCGTCCACTGCAAGCTACCGCCAAAGGCCTTCCCTACCCAGCTTCCGCAACCATGTCTTTCTCTTCTCGTTCCCCAACCTAACGGTGCAAAAGGGGAGCCAGGTCAGCTCCCGTGGACTACCTAAGGCGCAAGCTGATCGTGACATGTACGACAAGGTCTACAGTTCCTAAGCCTCAACATGCTAAGGTACCCAACATGGCCTGGGCGAAAAGCCCGATGTCTTGTCAATGAACTTGTATATTCCGGCATGTCAGCTTTGACTGCAAAGCTTACCACTTAGCCAAACCTACAAAACGACGTAAACGCAACCACTCCTGCGTAGTATACACTCACCTGCACATCACACCAACACACCAGCACCCAGACAAACCCACCGCACCGCACCCATCCAATTCCCAACACATCCCGCGTCCCACCACAACTCCTTATCCCCTCCCTCCTCAAATCCCCATTCTCCACATCCCCCATTCACTCCGCAGCCGCCGTCTGCGCCGCCTCCCGTACCGCCACAGCCCCAACGCCACTGCTCTGCTGCCGCTCCGGAACCCCGTACGGCAGTGCAAACGGCGGCCCACCATCCAGGGCGTTCATATAAGCCCCAACGGAGCAGTACCCGGTCTGCACCGGCTCATATCCCGCGGGCACGGGGCCGCTGCCAGGGGGCGCCAGGCGGATGGGGCCCAAACGCCAGTCGTTGCGGAGCAGTTGGTCGTTGTGCGTCGCGCGTCGAAGCTCGTCCTGCGCTGCGGCGATGAAGCGTACGGCCATGCGCTCTGCGGCGGCCCGCTCGTCCAGCAGGCGGGCAGCTAGGTCGGCACTGCCTCGGATGCGGCTGCGGGTAAAGGAATGGAAGGAGGGATGAGCGAGTTGGAAGAAGCAGGAAAGGAGGATCAGTGTTTGCCGCGGCGGTGCACGGAGACGACACAACTACAATTTCGTAACACACAGCCCTAACGGCTCTCAGCCGATAACCCGCAGACCCTTCCTTCCCTCACCTGCTTCGCCGGCTGCTGCCACCGCCCCATTCCGACTCCTCCCGCCCGCCCCGCCGCGACCGCCCGCCGCCTCCTCCTCCCCCAAACAGCTTCCGCTTGAGTACCCACAGCGCCACCACCGCCACCGCCCCCACTGCGCCCATCTGCGTGCGCCGCTTCACATCCGCCTTGGACCAGGCATTGGACACCGTGTTGACAAACGTCTTGGGCGCAGCCAACATGTGGTTGGTGGGGTTCGCGGACACGGAGGAGTTGTTGATCACCATGGCTCCGCCTGCCGTGGGCTCCTGACCCACATGCTTCACCAGCTGGGTAAACAGCATGTCGTTGGTCTCACACCGCGTTTGCAGCAGCGTCCGGACCGTCAGCGCCTCGTCTTGCAGCGCCAGCGGCAGCCGCGAGATGAAGTCATCCCGAAACACCGCGCCATGCCCTTCCAGGTACATCCGCAGCAGCTTGGCGTAGTCCTTGGTGGTGATCGCGCGACTGCTGTTGTTCCGCCCGTCCACAAACTCTGCCGTACCAAACTTCGCCAGGCACTCTCCCACCATCAGCATCTGCCGTACCAGCTCCTGCGCATCCGGCGACTCCCAGTTGGGGTCGCTGGCGACGGATGGGGGTGCGTCGGGCGCGGGTTGAGGCAGGCAGAGTGCCTCTCGATTGCGGTTGAGGTTGGAGAAGAGGCGGATGAAGGCTTTGTAGCGGTCCAGCGGCATGGGGCTCTCCGTTGCGGACAGGAGATCTGTCATGAAGCCGTTACCGCCGCAGCCCAGAGACAGGCCGCCTCCCTGGAGTGACAGGTGGCCGGAGGGTTGGCTTGCGATCAGGGCCATGTTGCCGTAGTTTCCGTTGCGGTCTCGGAAGCTTGGGGCGTTGAGGGAGAGGGAGAGTGCGGAGGAGCTGCGGAGGCCGGAGGCTGCGTGGTGGTGGTGGTTGCCGGAGAGCGGCGGCAGGGACATGGCGTGGTGGGGGGGTTGTTGCGAGGAAGAGGCGTAGGCGGGGGAGAGGTCGCTGCCGGTGACGTCGGAGATGTCGTGACCGGGGAAGGCGTCTAGGGGCATGCTGCGCAGGCGCTGTGTGGTGTCGTTGGCGGCGTAGGAGGTGGGGCTGCCGTTAGCTGCGGAGGTGCTGCTGCTGTGGGAGGTCTCGTCAAGCACGGCCATGTAGACGCTGTTGCCCTGCGCCATGGGCCGCTTCACCAGCCGCCAAAAGGAGCCCCCGTGACTGAACTTCTCGTGCGTGATCTGGCCTTTGGGCCAGGCCTCGAGGATTTCCTCGCGGGAGAGGAAGAATTGGAAGTTGGGGAAGAGGCGCTGCTCGTCGCCGGGGCGGACGTAGCTCTCGGCGACGCGGACTGGGACGCGCAGAGGTCCAATTGCCATGGACCCAACCGCCGAGAGCTGCAGGCGGGCAGGGGAAATGGGGACGGGAAATAAGTCGTGGTCCAAATGAAACTGTTTTCACAAAACTTAAGCCACGATGAGCATAGGAGCCCGCATAGGGCGCGCTATGGAGCTGAAGCACTCGTGCGAACATCGCGCCCGGACAGGCGCCATACGGGAAATGGGAAGCTGCAACTCGGGTAGGGGGTCAACTGGATTGCTGACGCAGCATATGGTTTGACGAAAGCACTGCAGGCGCTAGCACCCTAAGAGAAATAAGGCGACAACAAAAGCCATCCGAATAATGTCAGCAGCGTCCGAGGGGGGCGAGGCTTTGTAACGAAAATGCATGACAAGGTTGAAACGTAAGGGCCTCACGACCACCCATACAGAGCTTCCTGCAGAGCACCCTGCCACTACTTGTGCATGATATACGTACCTCAATCGGGTTCAGGTTCGCAACCTCAATTGGCCGAACCCTCAACGGAGATGAAATGCAGGCACCTTGGTAGGATCAGTGTAAGTGGCTTTTACTGCTGTTCTAAAGTTTGTACAGCGCGTGATGCGTGAAGACGTGACGGGCCTGGATGTTCAGCGGCCGACCAACGTTGCAGGTTTGCCACTGTAATCAAAAAACGCTAAAGTGATCACAAATGTTAAGCTTCTTGTGCAAAACTAAGACACTCAGAAGCTTGGCCGCAATGTGGTCACTGACGTGGAACTTGTTTTGTGAATTGACAGATCGTACGTTTGAGTACAACAAGGCTTGTCAGCATGCAGGTCCTGTCATGCACCGCGAATGCCTTGGTCTTATTCCTTAGTGCATTCTAATTAGGCAAGAAGTGACAGACATGGCCGACTCCACGCTTATCGCGTTGCTTCACAGCGTGGGACACGCAAATGGTCTGGCAGACGATTCATTTAATAACCTCGCCCATGTCCCAGTGTTCCAACACTTTGCGCATGTGTTGACAAAGGAAGACCACTATATTAGCCCTGAGGATGCTGAAATGGCACAAACGCAGCAAGCCTATGAAAACAACCAATACATGGCTGAAGAAGAAGTACAGCAGCTTGTGGAGCTCAGACTCAGCAACCCGGAGCAATTCGCAAACGAACTAGCAAACGATCCCGAGCTACGGGAGCTAATAGAGCAGATAGTCAAGGAAGACGACGTGACTAAGCAAGGAGACGAGCACCTTTCCCGCTCCAAAACACAGCTCTCCATTTTACAAGAAAGCGTACAGTCCATACGACAGCAACAACAGCAAGCGGAGCAGGGCCTCGCACGGCAGAGCCGTACATTGGAGCATCTCGCAGCCTCGGCTGCCAACCGCAACGCCTCAGACAACCGCACTGTGCAATCGGTCCAGGAGTGCGCACGCATCATGCAGGAGCTGCTGCACAAGTCCGCGGACCGCTGGCTGCTGCTGGTGCACCCACTGGACGAGCTGCGTGACGTGGAGAAGACCATCACCGCCGAGATCGCAAAGTAAGCAGAGCTGCAAACACCGCCCCGACTTCTTTACTTGCTTTGGCAGAAGGGCATGCGGAGTCCCACATCTGCATCCCATCCCAAGCCAGCCCATGCAACGTCTGCCCGCAAAACCCCCCATGCCAATCCCTACTCCTCTTCTCCCTCCATCCCACGCCATCACCACCGCAACCCAACCCTCCTTCCCCCTTCCCGCCTCCCGCCCCCCCACGCCTCAACAGGGCCAAGGAGCAGCTCTGCCCCGCCGACCTCGAGCGCCGCCTCTCCGAGCAGCAGGCGGCGCAGGGCGCGCTGCCCGACACGCCCTTCGCGCCCAGCGGTACGCGCATGCTGACGGGGCTGGAGCCGGAGCAGTACGCGAGCGTGCTGGCGGAGGCGGGGCGCATCGGCACCAGCGGCCGTATGATGCGCGACCGCACGGAGCGGCTGCAGGCGGAGCTGGCGGGGCTGCAGAGACAGGTGGGGGGGCTGAGGAGGGGGCGGAGCGGGGCTGCAGAGACAGGTGGGGTGGGTGGGAGGACTGAGGAAAGAATACCGGTACATAGGAAGTGAAGCAACTGGAGTCCAAATCCCATACCCTGACTGAGGACTGAGGAGGGGGGAGGAGCAGGGCTGCAGAGACTCCTCCTCCTAACCCAGCACCCGTTGCGTGAATAACGCCATGCACATTGCCCACCAGCCACCCCCCCACTTCCCCTCCCGACAACGTAGGCGGAGCTGCTGCAGCAGATCGCCGCCGAGGCTGCGGGCGGCTCGCGGCTGGGCGGGCTGGGCGGCTCCCTGGCTGCGGCGGAGTGGCAGCAGCAGCAGCGGGGCGACTCGGAGGCGCAGTGCCGGCTGCGGGAGGAGGCGGGGCTGCTGCAGGAGCAGCTCAACAGGTGGGCCGCAAGGGCGCAAGGAAGGGAGATGGTCCCTGTTTTGCCAACCTCAGACAACAACGCCTGCATGGACGATAAGAACCCGCCCCAACCAACCAACCTGCCCAACACACCGCTGCTAACCTACGCTTCCTTCTCCTGCGCCTGTTTTGCCTGAACAACACCCGTCTAGACAACCCCCACACCCTAACCAGCCTCCCAACACCCCACCTCCCCCCTCCTCCCCCCCTCTCCCCCCAGCCTTCACTCCGGCGAGGAGCGCCAGGCGCTGCTAGACCAGCAGGCTGCCGTGTTCACCGCGCAGGTGAGCAGGAGGAACAGGGCCCCCGTCCCCTGTCGCCCTGCCGAAGCTTTATTTTCTCCTCCTTTGTTGCTTTTGCGCTGCTGCTTTTGCTTCCCTCCTTGTTCCTCTCCATCCTTCTGCTCTTGCTGCTGCTGCCCTCTTCTTCCTCCCATGCTGCCTCCATGCCGCCTCCATGTGCCCTTGCGCGTTCCGCAGGTGAAGCGCGCGCTGTGGCTGCTGCGGCACCAGCAGCTGGGCTACATGACGCAGCTGCAGCGGCAGCTGCTGGAGGTGCTGCTGCAGCAGTGGGCGCGCACGGAGCTGGTGCAGGTGGGGGGGCGGGGGTGGGGTGCGTTGTGGGGCTGGTGCAGGTGGGGGGGCGTTGTGGGGCTGGTGCAGGTGGGGGGGCGTTGTGGGGCTGGTGCAGGTGGGGGTGCGTTGTGGGGCTGGTGCAGGTGGGGGGGCGTTGTGGGGCTGGTGCAGGTGGGGGGGTGTTGTGGGGCTGGTGCAGGTGGGGGGGTGTTGTGGGGCTGGTGCAGGTGGGGGGGCGTTGTGGGGCTGGTGCAGGTGGGGGTGCGTTGTGGGGCTGGTGCAGGTGGGGGGGCGTTGTGGGGCTGGTGCAGGTGGGGGGGCGTTGTGGGGCTGGTGCAGGTGGGGGGGCGTTGTGGGGCTGGTGCAGGTGGGGGGGCGTTGTGGGGCTGGTGCAGGTGGGGGTGCGTTGTGGGGCTGGTGCAGGTGGGGGGGCGTTGTGGGGCTGGTGCAGGTGGGGGGGCGTTGTGGGGCTGGTGCAGGTGGGGGGGCGTTGTGGGGCTGGTGCAGGTGGGGGGGCGTTGTGGGGCTGGTGCAGGTGGGGGGGCGTTGTGGGGCTGGTGCAGGTGGGGGGGCGTTGTGGGGCTGGTGCAGGTGGGGGGGCGTTGTGGGGCTGGTGCAGGTGGGGGGGCGTTGTGGGGCTGGTGCAGGTGGGGGGGCGTTGTGGGGCTGGTGCAGGTGGGGGGGCGTTGTGGGGTTGGTGCAGGTGGGGGGGCGTTGTGGGGCTGGTGCGATGGGATGCCACCTACATACCACACCCTCTCCCATACTGCACCCGAGTTGGCTTGACAAGTCACAGCATGACTCCTTTTCCTTACACCCTGCCGCCCGCTCTCCCCACCGGACCTCCCCACCCGCCCGCGGCCCGCCCCTCAGATGGTTCGTGCGGAGGAGCGCCGCTCGCTGCAGGACCTCTACATCACGCTGGGCTCCGTGTGTCAGGAGCTAGAGGAGGCAGCCCGAGCAGCAGCCGCCGAGGCGGAGGAGTTCCGAGCCGTGGCGGCTGCTGCGGAGGCGCAGGCGCTGCTGGCGTCCGACCGCGGCCCTCAGACGCTGCTGGGCGGCGAGGCGGCGCTGTGCTCGGCCTTTGCGCTGCTGGACAGCCAGCGGCAGCGGCTGGGGCTGCTAAGGCAGCAGCAGCAACAGCTGATGGCGCAGGCGATGCAGCAGCAGCAGCAGGAGGCTGCTACTGCGGATGCGGCGGGGGCGGCAGCTCAGCAGCAGCAGCAGCAGGGTTCAGGTGGCAGTGGCAGTGGTAACAACAACACCAGCAGCAGTACCAGCTTGGTGAATGGTGCCAGCTCAGCCCTGCCTAACGGTGGCGCCAGCGGCAGCAGCGCCGGCGCGGCGCTGCTGCTGCAGCCCGGCGGGAGCAGCAGCGCCAGCGGCGGCAACGCCTTCCTAGACAGTCTGCTGTCCGACCCCGCACAGCGCTCCGTGTCCCAGCTAGCCGCCGGGGTGGAAGCCGTGGCCGGCCCCCTCGCGCAGCTCGACGCGCGGCTGCAGCAGTGCGCATGCGGGGAGCTGCAGCGGCTGCTGAAGGAGGGGCAGGACGCCGCGGAGGCGGCAAGACAGCTGCTGGCGGGACCGGCGGCGGAGCCGCTGCCGCTGCCCGCCGCTCCCACCACCTCAACCGCTCCCACCAAGCAGCCGCCGCAGCCACAGCAGCAGCCGCTGACATCAGGGAAGTCGGGTGCTGCATCAGGCAGTATTACCTGCTGGCCTGTGCTGCGCGACCCTGCTTTCGAGCAGGAGCTGGCGGGCACCAAGGCGGATGTGGAGCGGGTGCTGGCGGACATCCAGGTGTACGTGTCGCGACAGAACATGCTGCTGGACGGGCAGCGGCGGCAGTCGGAGCAGTCGCGGCTGGAGCGGGGGGTGCTGGCGGGCTTTTGGAATGCGCCGGAGCAGCTGCTGCGGGAGTTGGCGGGGCTGAGGGAGCGGCTGGGGGCGCTGATGGGCTCGGCGCAGTAGTGCGGGGGAGGGAGGTGTGTGTGTGTGTGTGAGAGTGGTAAACTAGGTGAGGAGACGGGGAGCTAAACATAGGTGGTGCCACGGTAGGGAGGGGGTGTCGTGTGGTAGCGGTAGCTAGGAGCTGGGTCATCAGGTGGGGAGGAGCTGGGTTGAGGGGGGTGTTGGGAGGGAGGTATATGCAGGTGGTGGGTAGCGAAGGGAGCGCAGGTGGAAACGTGATTATCCGTGGAGTCGTGACACTGGCAGCGTCTTGAATGTTAGGGGCCGGACCCTTGGGGCGGCCCTTCAGGAGTCTTCGCTTGAGTTCATATCATGCACTGCACGACCACATGTATTAAATACTGTATGTATGCTGCCAATTTGCCGATGGTTTGGGCCTTTGGGGCGTGGATTCCATGTGGATCGCACGGCGACTGGCTGCATTGCAAACTCGCGACTGTAAACAGACCCTGAGATAATAAGGATATGTATACCTTCTCTTTCTTTGTAAAGCATTTGAAATGATCTGCTGGACAAGCCTTCTCTAGCATTTCCTTAAGAAGTGCAATTCTCCCAGGCTAGTGTTTTCTTTTTCCAGAAGTGATTTCTTTACCAAGAAATGGAAGCTGCATTAATTGCAAGGCTTGAAAAGGCGGTGGAGCGCCTCGAGAAGCTCGAGGTGCGGCCCATGGAAGCGATCCTGGCGGTTGGGAATGGACCTTTAAAAACACCAGTTATATCGATACGTTTAATTGTCTGCCCGTTCCTCAACCACTATTTGAAGGTGAATGTGGCATCCAAGCCTGCAGCATCGGCACCTTCGGGTGTCCCAGCACCTGCCGCGCCTTCCGCATCCACGCCAGCACCGGCAGCGGTCGGCGCAGCATCCGCGTTGGCCGACTGGGATAGCCTGATGTCGGCGCACTTTGGCCCCGTGAAGGCCTTGGTGCCGCACCTGCCTCAGGAGGTAACATTGCTGCTAGCGCATGAGATGCGCAAGAGGATAGTCCTGGTGCATCAGTCCTGGTGCTGTCTTGTTACCCAAACTGCTTGGGAATGCATGTGATTCCCCTTAAGCGGCTGTTGCAATGGCTGGGGCATGGTGGTGGTTAGCCGCCCCTCCCGCTTCCGTTGCAGCCATCGCTTTCACGCATCCGCACAACCGCTCCATACGCCCCCGCAACCGCTCCATTACCCTCCTCTGTCGCTCGCAGGCACAGCAAAGCATGCAAAGTTTTGAGCGGGCCTTCCAGGTATGCGGGGCTGTGTACTGTTGTGCTTGCACGCCGTACAGGCCTAAGGGGGGCGCCGTACCTTTAAACAAAAAACCCATTACTTTCCCACGCAGGCGACCCGGAGGGTGTTAGAGGTAGCAGCAGTTGCCAAGGTATGTTAGTATGGCAACAAGAAGAGGGCGAAGAGGAACCGCCCTTGTTCAACGCTCTTCCGTTTCCTCGCTTCCTTGCAGCTTTAGCCTCTGTTAAAACAAGTAACCCCATTAGCTCCACCATTAGCTCCACCCGTCCACCCGCTCTCCTCTGGGCTGGCTCACATGTTGCAAACCATGTTGACGACTTCTCACTCAGTCAGTTAGTTGTTTCCTCTTTACCCTCTCTCTTCTCCTCCCCAACTCTGCACCCCTCCTCAAACCCCAAAACCCTCTCCTCCTCCCACTGCATCGGGTATTCTCCCCTCCATGCAGAAGCCCGAGGGCCCCTCGGAGCTGCAGCAGCTGCTGGCCCCCGTGGCGGAGGCGATGGGGGAGGTGGCGGCAGCAGCGGAGGCGAGGAGAGTCAGCTGCCCGCACCACCTCAAGGTGCGGGGGGGGGAGGAGCGGGGCTGAGCTGAGCTGCAGGGGGGCTGCTGCGGGGCCCCCCTGCAGGAGCCCGGAGTCATGTGTGTAGATGCGGATGTGTGCTTGTGCTTGTCTCCTGCATGCTGCAGCTTACAGGCGACTGCTGTCCCAATGACCTGACTCCTGCCTCTCCACCCTCCTCTCCTCCTCTTGCCTCTCCTCCACCCTCCTCCCCCTGCAGGTGCTGTCGGAGTCCGCGGGGGCTCTCAACTTCCTGGCGTACAGCGGGCCGGGGTGCGGTGAGAGGGGGCAGGGGGCTGGGGCTGGGGTTTTGTCATAATGCTTGAGCATGGGGGAGGAGACGGGGCGGAGGGAGGGAGAGCGGCAAAGAGCAACCGTCTTGGGTAAGACAGGACTGTTCCATGCCGTTCAACCCGGCCCCTTCCTGGTTGAGACAGAGGGAGAGAGCACGGTATAACCATCCTTTACTGCCCCCCCCAGCTCGTCAGTTGCTTCGTCAGTGTCTCATCATATATATATATTTTTTTACCCCTCCCGGGGCTGTATGCGCATGTCCCACCGACCCACGGGTCATCCACCCAGGTCTGAGCCTGCCTCAGCAGCAGGTGGTGGATAGCTGCTCTTACCAACCCCCTTCCCTTGTGCGTGCATGTCCCACCGACCCACGGGTCACCCCCCACCCTTATCAGGTCTGAGCCTGCCCCGGCAGCAGGTTGTTGACAGCTGGCAAGCCGCGGAGTTCTTCGCCAACAAGGTGCTCATGGAGGCGCGGGGGCGGGACGAGAACCAGGTGGCGTGGGTGCGAGGAATGAAGGTGAGCGAGGGGGGGGACGGGAGAGGGGGGAGGGGAAGGGAGGCGGGAGAGAGTGCTGCATGCGTGCTAGTGAGTCGGGAGGGGCATGAAGACAAGCGTGCCCGCTACCTCCCTTGTTTTTCCGCCTGGGGGCCTTTCTCCGGGGCTTACTCCTCCAATTCTCCTCCCTTCCTCTCATTTTCCTCCTCCAACCCCCTTTCCCCCCTCCCCTCCCCCCCCGCAGTCCTTCATGCAGCAGCTGGAGCAGCTGGTTTCCCGCCACTGCGCCACAGGTCTGCGGTTCGACCCCGCCGGACTGCCGCTGCAAACCGCTCTCCTCGCCGGGCCTGCCAACGGGCCGGCACCGGCTGCTGCTGCTGCTGCACCTGCAGCACCTGCGGCGCCGGCTCCCCGCAAGGGTAGGTCGGTAGTAAATGCATATCACGCGCAACTTTCTTCGCTCTTTCCTCCCTGTCTTTCCTCGTTGTCCGCTGCAGCCCCTCCCTGACCCACACTGCTAACCCGGTCAGTGTTGCCGCGGCTCAGTTCATATAATCCCTTCCCTATCTCCCCCCAGGCGCCCCCCCGCCGCCCCCTCCCCCCGGTCCGCCCCCCAAGCCCCTCACCGCGGAGGAGCTGGGGCTGGCGGGTCCGGGGAGCAGGTCAGGCGGGGGAGCAGCAGCAGGAGGAGGAGGAGGAGGAGGTGACATGTCCGCCCTATTCAAGGAGCTGTCAAAGGTGTGTGAGGTGATGTGGGTTGGCTGCGGGGAGAGCGGCACACTTGCTGCGCGCGTGTAAACCCATGATCTCGGGTAAACGGTGAAAAACCCCATAACCCCTTCAAGATGACGACACGCCCCCTCGTGCACTTATACAACCCCCCACTCCCACCCCACCAGGGCGAGAGCATCCCATAACCCCTTCTTGATGGCGGCACGGCCCCACTCCTGAAGACACCCCCACACCCACACACCTCACTTAATACACCCACACCCCCCCACTCCCACCCCACCAGGGCGAGGGCATCACGTCGGGTCTGCGCCGCGTGACGGCCGACATGAAGGCCAAGAACCGGCCCGACAGGTCGGGAGCAGTGCCCGGAACCACCGCCGCCACTGCCGCCCCCGCCTCCACCTCCTCCGGCGGTGCAGGGGGCCGAGGGGGCCAGCAGCAGCCCACAGGAACACCCAAGTGAGTGAGACGTCCCCCTTGCTTGAGGAGTGAGAAGCCTCCCTTGCTGCTGACCTTCCCGCTACCAAGCCTCAGCAGTATGACGAGTATCCTGTTGGGGAGTTTGCCCCTGTCCCTGCCGGACTCCTTCATCAGGGGCTTCTTCCCTGCTACTTGTCACCATCGCCGCACCGCATCGGCCTGGTCGCTACCCCTTGCTGCTCCCCACTCCGCGCCCCGCTCCTTCCCTCTCTCCACTCCCCACCTCCTCCTCCCGCATCACGGTCAGTTCGTTGTCTCCCCTTTACCCCCCATCACCGCCCCCGCCATCCCCCGCTGCCAGACTTGAGCTGCAGGGCAGCAAGTGGGTTGTTGAGCACCACGTGGGGCGGGGGGACCTGCAGCTGACCAACGAGGCGCCCAAGAACTCCGTGTACGTGTACGGCTGCAGGGACTGCGTGCTGCAGGTGGGCCGGGGGGGGAGGGAGGGGGGGGTGGGAGGAGGAGGGTGAGGGAGAAGTGGGTGGGAGGGAGGAAAAATTATATAAGTGAAATTATGTAAGTGAGGAGGGGGGTGGGAAAGGGGGGGGGTTAAATGCACAGGGACTGCGTGCTGCAGGTGGGCCGGGGTGGGGGGGTGGGTTGGGGGGGTGGGGAGGAGGGGATGCAACTGTGATGTTTGTGCACCTGGGGGGCGCCTGTGGGGTTTTGCTTAAGACACACACACCCGCACGTGGAGCAGCTGTCACTGGCTCTGTCACCCACAGCACCCACCTACATCCGCCTGTCCCTCTTACTACTCCCTACCGCATGTACGACGTGTACCGCACACGAACCCTATACACACGTACCCACCCCATACACACACAGCCCATCCCACCCCCCCCGCATGCGGCCCCCCACCCCCAACACCCCCCCTCCAGATCCACGGCAAGGTGAACGCCATCTCGCTGGACAAGTGCGTGCGGGTGGGGGTTGTGTTTGGAGAGGTGATTGCGGTGGCGGAGGCGGTCAACTGCACCAGCGTGCAGCTGCAGGTGGGGGGGAGGCGGGGAGCGGGGGGGGGGGGCGGTGGAGGAGAAAGCAAAGCGGGGCAAGGGGGGAGGTGGGGCGAGTGGATAGGAGTGGCTGTGCGAGGGTTTTGATGGTTTCTGACGACACATCCTGATAAGGTCCGCTCCTCACACCGCTTTCCTCCCTGTTGCACCCCGTGGTCAAGCAGCCTTGTTACCGGGGGTACGTTAGTTCCTTTCCCACTACCGGTACTCTCCCCCTCCTCCTCCTTCTGCTGCCCCTGCCCCCTGCCCCCGCTCCCCCCGCCCTCAGGTGACGGGCAGTGTGCCCACTCTAAGCATTGAGAAGACCGACGGCGCGCAGCTCTTCGTCAGCCGCCGCTGCGCTGCCGACCCCAACTTCCAGGTAGGGGGGGTTGCGGGGTGGGGGGTGCGATTGCATGGAGGGGTGCGGAAGTGCGGGTGCGGGGGGGGGCCGCATGTCTGGATTGCTGCTGCCCGTGCATGCATGCATGGCATTGGGCAGGTAAACTTGCCAGTACGCCAGTAAGAGCTGCTGCTGATACACACACGCACACTGCTGACACACGCACCCTGGAACCCCCCGCCCCCCCCCCCCAGGTGGTCACCGCCAAGTGCTCTGCGGTCAATGTGGTCGTGATACCCGGGGGCGGTGGCGAGGAGGGGGCGGGTGGGCAGCCCGAGGAGGCGGAGCCGGAGGACCCGCGGGAGCATGCAGTGCCCGAGCAGTTCATCTCCACCTTCCAAGGGGGCAAGCTAGTGACGGTGAGGGGGAGAGGAGGAGGAGGGGCAGGCGGGGCGGGAGGAGGGGTAAAGAGGAAAAAAGTAGCTGACCGTGTGATCGGGCGTCATCATGGTTTGCAACATGTGAGGAGGTGGGGCGGGGGGGAGGGTTGGTTGAGCAGTGGTGAGGGGACAGGGGTTCGAGGCTTGGCTTATGTCTTGCGTTTTTGCGATCTGCGTCAGCAATGTTGCTGTTTGAAGGGTGGCCGTGAGGAGGGGATGAGGTGGGTACGTCCCTACGATGGCACATGCTCGTACACTCCCCCCCGCGCTTGTTGACCTCCCCTCTCCGCACCACATCCCCGTCACCCCTGCCCCGGCTAACTCGAATCCATGCACCAGGCGTTTGCCATTTAACATTCAACCCATTGGGACTTCTTCTCCCTCTTCCCCGGCTGCTGCTGCCTGTCCGGGCGCAGGTGGCCGCGGCCCACAGCGGAGCCTAGGAGGCAGGGAGATGAAGACAAGAGGCAGGGAGGGACGGGGGGGTGAAGAGGGTGCTCGAGGGGCCGCGCGAGCTGAGGGAGGGGGAAGATGAAGACAGGAAACTGGCAAGCTGCATTGGACCCGGCTGAGGGAATTCAAAAAGCCCTCGAGGGGCCGCGAGATCTGAGGGCGGCAGGGTTTCGGAGGTGGTCACATGCAAGGGGTTGTGGCCAACCCGGTCGTGTTTTGGGCTTGTTTTGGGGTGTGCACGATAGATCGCACGCGAGCGCGCGTTACAACAGCAGGGCAGAGGGGTCAGCGGGTCTTCCATTGGGGTCAAGAGTCCAATCAAGGACGCGGTGTGATGATCAATGCCGTTCCGTTGTGATGTGAGCGGGGCTGAGGGGTGGTGGTGTTACGTTGGGGACAGCGGTGAGCTTTTTGGCGGTGTAGGCGCGCTTGAAGGAAAGCAGGGGGCGGCGGGCGGGGCACTTAGGAGGGTCTGGTAGGAGGAGTCGGCTCCAAGTTGGGAGGGACACTCGAACGCGACTTCTTCTGCAGATGCTGCATGTGGCTGCTGATGGAGGCGGCTGTGGCATGGTGGTACGGAACCCGGAATGAGTGTCGTACATGCGTCATTGCTTTTAGCCTTGCTGTTGCACTTGGAACGGTTCGGAATGCATGCTGGATCTTATACTGGTGGTTCTCCCCATGCTATTTGGAACGCTCGAACGTTGGGGATTCCATAAAGTCAATCGTACCTTTGTAATTGCACCATACTTGCTAGTGCGAGCCGCTCGTGAACCAAACAATAACACAACCCAAGTATGCACCAATGCACGCCATGTGTAAAAGCTAGCCGTGCTCACATCACGCGCTTCCAATTGCTACTGCTAAGACAACCCGCCCGGCCGTCAGGGCCATGGATCCAGGTTCCAGGGCCATGCTGGGCTTGTACGACAGGTAGTGCAAACAGCAAACGCCCGCCTTGCATGTTTAATTTGTCGCTCGTTAAACCTCATCGCTTATGCAAGCACCACACATTGTAGCCGCAATGAGCCGCAATCCGCAATAGCACCAGCAGGAGGGAGCAGCTCCCGCACATACGGCACGTACGGCAACAATGTGCACGGCACTGATGGCACTGCAAAACCAGCAATATGTAGATAAAGAGTTGTGCGGTCGCAATACCGGTACCTTCCACTATGCAAGCTGCTCTATCATGCTCCCGGCCTCGTGCAGATGTGTCATGCATGCGTCAAGGGGTGCGCCAGCAAGCCGGCGCTAAGCAAGGTGAGAGGCCGCTGAAGGACGCCTCAGGTTACGTGCTGACGGTACAACCCTTACAACAATACCTGCCCGACCAAGACATGACGACGCCAAGCATGCCTTCTGCTTCCAACGCCTGACACAAAACGGAAGGGACGCCCCAACACTACTGTCAACAATACAGTTCCCCGAATGGGGCACAGAAACGAGTTTTGCCACTGCTCCATGGCGCATGTGACATATGACGGCGCAAATCCTAATCCGCTACCAACAACATGCATGGCTTGTAACAACGCACCCACAAATATCTACCACCAACCAACAACCACCCCTTCTGCTACATGCTAGAAACAAGTCAACACACACCCACACCCAAAAAAATATCACTATGCCAGGTCAGCATCCAGTCAGTTATCCACTTTGAACCTCCTTCCTTGCTTCTTGCCTGGCTAAGGCGCAGACCGCGCGTTTTATTGTCCGCCTAAGCCAAGCAGAAATGGGGCAGCAAGCCCCTGCACAGCCAGCTAGCTAGGGGTTTACTCGGTCTACCGGCATCCGACCCGGCACCTACCAAGCACTCGTCTACATGGGTTAATCACACTATCGCACAATTTCGACCTTATTTCAACCTTATTGACCAAGCAAGTAACCCATCCATTAAGCTACCACAAACCCAATCAGCCCCATTCGCCTCCCATGAAGCATCTCCAAGGACTAGCGGCGGGACTTCACCTGCTAACAAAAGAGCTATGCAAAACTAACCGCGGCCGTAAGCAGAGGTGCATCCGCACGCACACGAAGTGAATGATCTGTGCAACCGTGCCTAATTGAGCTAGCGGAACGCGCGTCCGGACCTACCTAATGCACCTTCCCGCGTTACCGGGCAATGCTAACCATGAGCTTAGGCTCCTTTCAACTGCGTGCGCACAAACATGCACAATGCCTTGGCGACGCGAACTATGCAAGATACCGGCTTCAAACACTAAACCGCACATGCTACCGTCTCTCACTACCGTTTCCCTTTCAGCAGACGCGACTTTCTCCAATTCATGCCGATTAGATACCATAGGTTTAAAGACGCGTCCGCATCTTCATGCCCCGCGCTTGGCCGCTGCACACACTTAAGCGGCCCAACCGGCTGAATCCACATCGCAATATGCAAAATCAGCGAAGCTTAACAGCAAATATTTGAGGCCTGAAACGTTTAATACGCTGATCCTTTCTTGCGGCAGTGCTGCGGATTGCAACGGCATCGCCAACAAACATCAGTATACGCAGTACAGCGCGCCAAGTAATAATAATAATATCAAACGTTATACGAGTAAGCTAGTTTTCGTTTTCCTGGGCGCCAGCCTTACGCTTTCGTGAAGCGACCTGCCGCTCTGGCTGCAGCAGCAGCTGCTGCTGCTGCTGCTGCTGCTCAAAACCCGGCCCTCGCTCAAACCGTGGCTCCGGCAAACGTCCTTGCAGCCACTCAGCTCCTTGTCCTCCTCCCTCCTGCCGCTCTTCCTGACGCTGCTGCTGCTGTCGTAGCGGGCTGGCCCTGAGGCGCGCGTCCATCAACAGGCTGCGCGGACTCGCCTCACGCTCTTGCTGCTGCCACTGCTGCTGCTGCTGCTGCTGCGGTGGCAACAGCGACTGAGCGGCGCTTGCCGGCTGCTGAAAGCGCTGCTGCGGATGCTGCTGATGAGGGTAACGTACGACATACTGTGCCGGAGGAGCCGCGGGATGGAAGGAGGGCCGGCTTACCGCCGCAGACACAAGGCCCGGGTAGTGGCGGCCGTACAAACGTCCGTCGTACGGCATTCCCGCTGGGTAAGGCAGCACCAGCGGCGGCGGCGGCGTCCCTTCGCCTTCCGACGGTGCTTCAGTCGCAGCGTGGCGCCGGTAGGGACTGTGCCCGGCGGGGGTCCTCATGGGCTGGGCCGCAGGGTTGTACGGATGGTGTTGTTGTTCGTACGGCAAGACAGCGCCGTACGGGTACGACGGCCGCCAGGCATGCGGCCTTGTCGCGGGTCGGGGGCTGTAGTACCGTACGGCGTACGGATGTGGCGGAGGCGCCGGGTACGGCAACCAAGGCCCTGGCGGAGGCGCATGGTACGGATTGGCATGCGCCCGCATTCCCTCCTCATCGCCCGGAGCGTCGCCGCCGCCGCCGCTGCCGCCACGGGCGCTATAGCCCGCGAAGTGCATTCCTGCGGGCGTCGGCGCCGCCGCTGCTGCTGCCGTCCTTGCTGCTGCCGCTGCCGCTGGCGGCGGGGCGGCGGAGGTGAACATTGCCCCGCCGCTACGGTTTCCGGCTGGAGGGCTGTACGGCAGCGGCAGCGGCGGCTTTCCTGGATCCGGGCACGTCGGCCAATGCGGACCCACCATCGGCAGCGCCGTCGGAGGACCGTATGGCAGTTGATAGTGCTGCTGCGGCGGTGCCGGTGCCGCCATCCAAGCGCCCAACGGCCAGCGCGACGGCGGCGGCCTCACAGCCGCCGCCGCCGCTGCCGCCAGTGGCGAGGAGCTACTCCGCAACATCTCTCTTGTTGTAGCATACGATGGCGGCGGCGACGGCATGTAGTGCTGCTGCTGCGACTGCTGCTGCGGCGGCGGCCAGCCAGCAGTTCTCTCGCCACCGCTCCAGCTATGAGAAGGCGGACGCGGTTGCAAGTGCAATGACAGCGGCGACGTGGGCATCTCGTAGCCACCCCAGCTGCCGGCGCCGCCGCCGCCGGCCACCGCTGCAGCCGCCGTCGGGGCCCAACCGTCCATCATACGCGGCCGTGTGCCTTCCGCAGCTGCGGCGGCAGCGGCGCTCTGAGCCTCTTCCTCCCTGTCGTCGGGCGCCGTACTCCTCACGGTGGAACTGGCGTCGCCGCCGCCAGGCAACCAGACGGGCACGTCCTGCCCCGCCTCCGCCTCCGCCTCTGCTGCCGCCGGTCGTTGCTGCACAGCAAGACGCTGATGCCGTACTGGCGGCGCCGACCGCAGCGGCGACGGCGACCTACGCCATCCGTACAGCAGCTGCGACGGCGCCGCCAGGTGTCGTACTGCATGCGGAACGGCGTGTACGGCAGCATCTGGATCCCAATCCGAGCCGGACGTCCCGTCATTCGATAGTGCAGCAGTCGCCCCCGCCGCCGCCGCCGCCGTCGGCAGCGGCGGCAACGGCAGCAGCATCGGCCTTGCCAGTGGTGACGGCCCCCGCCGATGGCGCAGCGGCGGCGGCGGCGCCGTCAGCGGCTCGGAGCGCGGTTGATGCGCCGCTGACGTCATGCCTGCATGGAACCTCAATGGCATCTGGCCCGCCCATTCCTCATTAGGCAACCAGGGCTGTGTACTGGCAGCCATAGGGCCCCGTCCCTCCAAGCTTGCTCTTCCAAACGGCCCAGCGGTCCTGACAGCCGTCGCCGCAGCTACGCCCTTAATACCGTCGCCCGCAGCAGCGGTAGCAGCAACTGCAGGAAAACCGGTAGCGTGGAAACTACTTCCAACGGTCGCGACCGCCGTAGCGACAGTTGCTGTTGCGGGTTCAGCGGCCACTGCAGCCGCTCTTGGCGCTACGCTAGCAGTATGCAGCGGGGGAGCCTCGGCAAGCGCTACACTACCCATGCGGGCGCCGTACGCGGCACGGGCATCGGTAGCAGCAACCGTTGGTGACCTCGTAACGCCAGCAGCATTCCTACCACGGGCACGAGTCGCAGCAGCTGCCGCAGTGGCGGTAGCGGGTGGGGCGTCGTCGCCGGCGTCGGCAGTAGCAGCTCCCGTCCTCACAGCAGCAGCAGCTTCAGCAGGAGTGGCAGCAGCAGCAGCCGTGTTCAATCTGTTCGCGGAGGCATTGGCATCGGCGGTGCCGTCGGGGCTAGGGGCAGTGCCCCTCGGCAGGAGGATCCCCCCGGGAGCCCCTCTTCCACGCCGTCTGCTGCTTCCCTTGAGCACCTGTGTGTGTGGGTGTGTGACAAGGAGGAGAGGAAGCACATGGAGCATGGTGTCTGAGCCTGGTGTGGTGAAGTTTATTGGCGGTGGAACTGGTATTATTCGCGGTGAGGCTTGCGTTGGTTGGAATGATAGGAATGATAGAGGGCAACAGCTGCTGGTGGTGATGAATAAAAAAACCCTAAAAAAACCCTAAGGCCATACAGCCTTACAGCGCCCGGCCACCCAATCACTTAGGCCGGTGCTGTTTTTATTCCTCTTATAATTATTACCACGGCTGAATTGAATGACCCCCCCTCCCACCGCCCACCGCCCACCCGCCTCACCGGCAGCCCGTGCCTCTCCAGCCAGCTGCCCAGCCGCTCCAGCTGCGGCAGCACCCGGATGGATCGGTGCCACTTGGCTGTCACCGCGCCGCCAGCCTGCGAGGGGCCAAGGAGGGGTGGGTAAAGAAACACAGAAAAGAGGCAGAGACACTGTAATCCCATTTACAGGAGGGGTAAGATTGAGGGAACTGACGAGGCAACTAATAGAAGGAGGTCGGCCAGGAAAGGCTGACAGCGACCCATGGGCCAGAAATGGGTCGGATGCTTACAAAAGCTCAGAAAAGCGGCAAAGAAGGAATGGCAGCAGCAGCAGCAGCAGCAACAACAGCAACAGCACCACCAAAGCCTCGACGTTTCCCGGCCTGCCCGCCTCCTTTTGCTTTGACCCCCCTAACCCGCGACATCAACTACCGGTACCCTGTTTCTCTCTGTCTGACCCTGAAACTCACCCTCTCAAACTGGCTCCTGCTCAGGAAGACTCCTGAGCCCGGCGGCCGCTCGATGCAGTCCCCTCCCGCCAGGTACCGCTCCGGATGGAACAGCCCCAACTCCTTACACTCCATGTCGCTGCGTAACTGCAACTCGAAGCCCCCCAGAACCACCCTGTGCCGACCCCACATCAGCGGCGTTTCCGCCGCCGTCTCCGCCTCTGCCGCTGCCCTTGTCGCCGTCGTTGTTGTTGCGCCTCCTCCCGAGTCTTCCGACGTTGCTGCCGATGTGCGTGCAGCAGCACCAGCCGCTGTTGCGGAGGGCGGGGGCAGTGAGGACCGCGAGGTGGCTGTTTCCTGGCTGGGGGCCGCCGCGTCCGTGGTATCCGTTGAAGCAGCCGGAAGCAGCCGGAGGGCGACGGCCTCCGGAGCAGGAACGCCGCTGCCGCCGGCTGTCGCCCCAGCTGCAGCGCCGAGACATCGCAGCCGTTTGCACTGCGGGGGGCCGCCCGCTTGCGGCTGCTGGGATGCGGCGGCAGGGTCGCTGGGGGGCCGCTTAGAGGCGGGCATGGCGACCGTCACAGGGACGGGCGGTGGCAGCGGCGGGGGCTGCTGTGGGGGCTGCGGCAGGGGCTGCGGTAGCTGCTGCAGCGGTTGCGGTTGGGACGCAAGTTGATTCTGGGAGCGCTGCGACCGCAGCTGCGGCTGTGGCTGTGGTTGTGGCAGCGGGGCCAGCAGATGAGGCTGAAGAGCCGTGGGGCTTGCGGTTGCAACCGGCTGCCTGCGTGGAAAGCTGCAGGGGGCGCCGCCGATAGGAGCAACCTCGCCATCACCACCGCCGCCGCCATCTCCGTCGCTGTAGCGGCAGTAGCTCCCAACCTGCCTCCCCGCCTCCTGACGCGCAGCAGCAGCAGCAGTAGCAGCAGCCATCGAGGGGGCCTGCACCTCCTCCATCGCACGCGTGTTGCATGCAGCCTCAGCCCGCGGGCTGGGGCGGTGGGGGCTGAGGCCAGGTGGGCTGAGAAGTCGGAGGCTGAGATCAAGGGGACTAAGACTGGGACGATGGGGGCTGGGATGTTGGGGGCTGAGACGGTCGGGGCTGAGACGTTGGGGGCTGAAGTCCGCTTGTGCACCCCCTCGGCGGAGCTCCAGGCGCCCCCCTAGGTTGGTTTCATGATATTCCTCCGTTGCCGCCGCCTCCTGCCCTTCCACCGTCATGTCGTCTCCCACCCGAGGTGAAACCCGCATGCTGAAGTCATCTGGCTGCCTCCCGCCGAGGTCCACCTGCGCCCCGCCGCCGCCAGCAGCAGCAGCAGCAGCAGCAGCAGGAGGGCTTCCTTGCCGGCCCATTCGTAGCTGACCTGCCAGTGCCAAAAGCTGCTGTTGCACTTGGGACTCTGACGCAGACTGCAGCAGCTGTAACCGCAAATGCTGCAACAGCCATTCACGTTCTTGCGGAGCGTCGCCAGCTGTGCGGCGGCAAGCGGGCACCGGCTGAGGCGGCTGTAGCGGTGGCGGCTGTAGCGGCGGCTGTGGTGGTGGCTGTAGCGGCTGTAGCGCCGGCGGTGGCGGTGATTGCCGTACGGCAGAAAGCGACTGCACGGGCGGCAGTTGCCGTACGTCAGGCGCTGACGACGCCAGCAGTGACGTGGGGAGCATGTCGACTCGCAGCAGGGAGTTGTACGGCTTGAACGCATGTGGGGAGGTGGTGGAGCTCTGGAGGGAGGGGCGTGTAAGGTCAGCATGACTGCTGCTGACGCCTTCAAGAGAGAGCGGAGGAGGACGAGGAGGAACGGAGGGGCGGGCGAGCGTCGGCGGTGCAAGATGCCGATGTTCGGAATCCCCCCCGGGAGACTTAGGAGCAGCTCTTTGAGGGTGTGAGTGGAGGAGGGAACCGGGCCCCCTTTCCAATGCGTCGAGCATGTTGCTTGCAGCCATGACTGTAACAGGGCCAGAAGCTGGACCTCCTGCGCCGCTTCTGGCTGAAGCAGCGGCGGCGGTGTCAGCAGCACCAACGGCACTGCTGCTCAATCGGTTTAGGCTGCTGCCCCGGCCCCCGTCCAGCTTGACATCCGGAGTGCTGTCAGCTAACAGCAAACGGCTGCCCATGAAGCCACGAAGGTCCGTAGCTGCCGGCTGCTGGCGTGGAGATGCTACAGCCGCTGCTGCTGCTGCTGCAGTTGCTGCTGCAGCTGCTGCTGCAGTTGCTGCAATTGGAGGTGTTGCGGCGGCCGCTCTTGGTGCTGCTGCAGCTTCAGCAAACATTTCAGTTAAGTCAGCAAAGGGCAGTCGTCTGGCAGTTGGAGGTGTCCGGTAACTAACGCGGCCACCGCCGCCAGTACCCAGACTCAAAGTATTGCTTCTTGGAAGGTTGCGGGTGAGCGATAAGCGCGTTTCAAGGCCGGCGCGCTCGGGGCCGCCGGAGCCAGATTGCGGATGCCGTTGAAACCGCTGCTCTGCTGCATTTCCGCCGCCCCCGCTGCCATCACCATCCATACTAGCGCCCCTGGCAGCCCTGGCAGCGGTTTCCGGCAGCGTAGCTTCATTACCGCCCGCGTCGCTGGATACAATGTTTCCACCGAACACCCCCATATCGTCGCGAAGCTTCGGACTAGATTGTCGACCCAGCTCGAGGGCTGGCGGAGGCAATGCCATGGCTGGAGTTGGCTGTTGGCCGAGCAGGTAAGGCGTCCGGGAAATGGAGCTTGGAGAAAGAGCTGCTTCTGGCGAACCGGCAGTATGCAAAAGAGGGGCTCCAGGGCTCCTGGCTTGCTGCAATAGCCTGGGAACTGCCATGGATGCCGCATCGTTGCAGGAGTTCAACAGCTTCAGCAGTTCAGGCGTAAGGTCGCTGCCAATCAAATTCTGAAGAACAGAATGTCGATACGTGTCATGTGGCGGTGACAAATTACGCGAAGGAGGGTTCCATGTATAGCCACCGTTGGGCGCGAGCATCGCATGCTGCGCGTCCTCTCCCTCATTCGCATCTAACTCCTGGGAGCGCCCGGACTTCGTGTTGTGCATTAATATCTGCTCCAGCACTCATTGGGGCGAAGCCTGACAGATAGACGTGCACCGCTGGAAGCCCGACAACATGCTGCTAGCCGTTCGACGAATATAGCCATGCCGATATGACTCTGTGACAACTGCCACCGTTCAGTAAGGTAACTCGAACCTGTAGAAGCCACTCATGTGCGGTCAGAAATCCTGCGGCCTGTTCACCCGTTGGCGCGCGACAAAACCTGGGGCCTTGTCGACGCGTGGCCGGCTACGCGTTCAGAGCCTGCAGCAAATAATATTGATTTCGGTTATGTTGCGATGCGGGAGCTTTGCCAGCGAAACAGTGCGGGCAAATCCACATACAGTGACATTTGCTACGAGTTCATTTCCGCACACATGCCGCTTTTTGTTTATGCCTTGCCACATGACATACCATCACCTAGAGAACCGTGCTTCTAAGGGCGCGTTATACACCAACATCTTACATGGCCTAGGGACAGTGCCAGAAACGAAACCTCTCACACAGGCCTCAAAAACAGAGAGTCCTACCAGTACAATTTATGTTCATAGACCCCTACCTCTAACAAGCGCAATGTGCAGCTCAGGGATGCGTTGGCTGCCAGGATGTCCTCTTGTTGCGAAGGCGAGCCGGATCGCCCCAGGTGCAACTAAACCAGTACAGGTTAGGTAATATGTCTACAATGTCATGGCCAGCTGTTACTGTGAGCAGGATGTTGCTACGACGACGAGCCCGCCTTTGCTCAAGGCAAAGCCGCGTCAACAGGAGCACACAGTTTACTAATTAACCTTCTGAGTAGCAACCCATACATTCATGTCTTTTGAGCTCGCATTTGCGCCTACCAAACTTCGTCCATTCGTACAGCTAATGGCTGGCGTGCGATACCAGCCCATCCATACAATGCACGCACCGCCCAAAATACTCCTCGCAAATAAACCAAACATTTACAGCATACTAATGAGAAAAATGTAGCTTAGGGACACTTCTGCTCTGGCTCTCGGCTAGCCAACCAGTTAGTTGGGACGACGCGTGGCCTAGCAGAGCATGTATGTAAACGATTAATGTATTTACATACATATATACATGTTTTCCAGTCCGCTCTCGTACTGTGTTAAGCGGACCAGGGACAAGTCAGGACGAGATAACGCTTGGCGGGCCGCGTCAGACTGCGTCGTGACCAATTCTAGCTCTTAGCTCGTAGGCGCCCCTCCTACCTATCTAATCCAAATCCCAAAGCGTCCACGGAACTGCACCAGCAATCCATTCCCTTGCAATGTATGCATTCCCTTCGACGTGCCTGCAGAAACTGTAGTTCAGTCACGTTGCACGTACGCCCGATCATTCGCATGTTGGCAGTCAAGATTGATCCTATTCATAAGCTAGCTAAGCGCAATTCAAACCAACACAATCTGCATCCGGTTGCCACCTCTGGCACACAGCCCACCATGCTTCGCCTGTCCTGCCAGCCGGGCAGGACTGCGCAGTACTAGGAGGGAGGTGCCGTCCATCCCCTATCCAGCTGATCCTGATACGTTAGCATCCTTGTAAGCAGCAGCATTCCGGCAATACCGCTCAGCAGCTTTCAGCGTTATACCTACCGAACCGCATAAGAAACTCCACCCGACGAGCTGCATTACGCAGCTAGGGTCCTAACCGCGCGCTCGGCCAGGCTGCGCCCGAAACACGTATACTTTAATACAACATACCCTACCCTACCTTGAACGACGCACAGCTGCGGAAGCGTGAGGAAGGCCGCGCTAGGCGACGAAAGGATTAGGCAATGCGTTGCCTGCTGTACACCCTAGTCGATGGGAACAGGCTCCCACCCGTCAGGGAAGCCAACCCCTGCACCCTGTGTGCACTAATACGAGTCCGAACACTGCCACCTCGGGCCACCGCTTGGAGGGAGCGCTGCGACGGGGTTGCAACATGCATGGATGCCTCCTGGGGTAGCCTTCAAAGGACCCCCCTCCTGACGCGTGTCGGGAGCAGGACCTCTCCTGGTCCATGGAAAGAGGACTCCTCCGGCTGCGTGTGGGGAAGGTTGCGCGCAGGTGCTGCCTCCAGCAGCAAGTGTCCCGACGGGCCAGCGGCACATCCCGAACACACACCGCCATACCGCGATATCATGGGTTCATGGCTCGTATCGCCAGCCACCAGGGCTGTCATATCATCAGGCGCTGGTCTGTGATCGGTCCAGCTGCTGGCTGGTCCCTGGGTGTGTTTTGTATGCGGACCCATCCGACACTGCTGTGCACTGCACAACAGCCCAACCAGCTAGCTGTGCAGGCGGAGACTGGCGGAGGCTGTGGGGGTGGGGCGGAGGCTGTGGGGGTGGGGCGGAGGCTGTGGGGGTGGGGCGGAGGCTGACATCAGCAGCGGGTAGGCTGGGCGCTGAGCTGCGCCGTACATCCTTGTGGTGGTGTTGGCCGGGGCTGCAGCTGCCGTTCGCGGGGCCTTGGTTTCACATGGATTTGCTCTGATGGTTTCGCATGGTTGTCGGTTTCGGCCTGCTGGCCATGCCGAGGCAGGGGCAGGGTGGCGGATGAGGGGGACGGCGGAGTTGGAACGCAGAATGGGGGAGGGCGCCAGGGACGTGTGTGTGGTACGGCAGGTGCGTGTATATGAAGCAGTAGCACATGGAATAGGGCAGGGCTCAGGGTTTGCGTGTGGCAAACAGCTGGCAAATATGAGGGAGGGGATGGTGGTAGTGGGATTGGGAAAAGGGTGGAAGGAGGTGAAGAAGGAGCAATCTGAACTCTGATTGGACTAGAGTGAAGACTGCTACTGGTATTACTGTTTACTCTGACGACGGCTATTGTACTGAGCTCCGTCCCAGGGGGCGTGGTGATGCGTGCCTGTACTGGCCGCGTGGGCCCACGGGCCAACAAGCAACTTCGGCAAAGCAGACCCACCAACAGCGTGTCTCCTAGCAAGCTGATAATTAGCAATGGTTTCAGCGTTGTAAGCGGAAGATGTGCAGGGACTGCAACACTGCAAACATGGCTGTACACTTGCATGACAAATACCTGGTGGAAATGAAGACCGTTAATCGCCATAAAGACAGAGAAGTGATATTTGCAAACGCGTTTCTGTCTACGTATGATACGCAGTTCGTCTCTGCAGTGTTTTCATCTGAGTTGGGCGTTGAGGCCCACTACTAGTAGCACCAGCCAAAGGGCTACGATTTATTGACGTTAAAAGTAACATACGTATAGGATAAGGGTATCATTTTCTTTACAATCAGCCTTGAACGTCACTTTGGCTTGGCATGGCGGCGAAAGACCCTCGCACCGTCTTCGTCCGCGGCGTTAGCTTTGACGCCGACGAAAAGGACCTTGAGGGTACTTTCTCGGACGTCGGCCCCGTCAAGCAATGCTTCCTTGTCCGCGTCAAAGGCCAGCCGAAGCATCGCGGCTTTGGTTTCGTCCAGTATGCGCTGCAAGAGGATGCGGAACGGGCAGTAGAGGAGCTTAACGGCAAAAGCTTGAAAGGCAGAAAGATTCAGGTGTGCGTTCGGTGCACTAAACGCCGCCGCATCGTTGCTGCCTGTTGCTTGCAAGCGAGCGTCTAAAATTCCACCCTCATACAAGACCCTTCACAACCTCACTTACACCTCACAATCCTTGCAGGTTGAGGTTGCCGATAAGCGCGCGCCGCTGGAAGAGCGCAAGAAGAAGCGCAAATTGGACCAGGATGCCGCGGGCGGGGAGGGCGCCGAAGGCGCCCCCGCCCCCGCCCCCGCTCCCGAGGAGCAGCAGCAACAGCAGCTCAAGCAGCAGCGCGGCAAGCCCGCCTCTGCTGCCACCACCACCACCACCGAAACTGCGCCTTCCTCCGCTGCCGCACCACCGGCAGCAGCAGCAGCCCCCGCCGCCCCCGCACCGCCTGCCAAGCGGCAGCGGGCCGAAAAGCCCGGCAAGGGCGCCGCCTCCGCCTCCGCCGCCTCCGGGGAAGGGGGTGACCGTCACAAGCTGCTTCGCGCGGTAGCGGTGGGCAATCTGACGCCGGCAGCGGTGGCTCAGGCCATTGCAGCTGCCCGCAAGGCGGGTCCGGTGGAGGAGATCATGAACCCCGCACCCCAGGTGAGTCGGTATGGCTGGGGGGAGGAATGAAGACGGGGAGGGGGGGCTTCTTCGGCTGCGGTAACCAGGGTAACCTGGCTGGGGCCGGGGGGAGGAATGCGGGCGCATGGCGGGTCCCATGAAGGGGCCGACGCCGCATGGCGGCATGTGACATGGTAGTAGGTCGCTCCTTGCCGCCACCACCTCACCACCCCTCTCCTTCCGTCCTTCCCTCCCTCCCTCCCTCCCTCCCGTCCCCCCCAGGATGTGGTGCAGCAGGCCAAGCTGGAGGCGGACGGGTGCAGCGGGAAGGTCTTCATAGCGGTGTACAAGACGGTGAAGGACGCCATGACGGCGGTCTCCCGGCTGCACAACCGCACGCTCCGACTGCAGGCCCCGCAGCAGCAGCAGCAGGGGGGCGGAAAGGGAGGCAAGAAGGGCGGCAAGGGGAAGGGGAAGGGAAAGGGCAAGGGGAAGCGTGGGAAGGCCGATGACGACTCGGATGAGGATGCGGATGAGGAGGAGGAAGCGGCAGCAGCAGGAGGGGAGCAGCAGCAGCAGCAGCAGGGGGCCGAGGGAGGCAAGGAGGAGGAGGGGAAGGAGGCGCAGGGGTCAGTCCGGCTGTGGGCTCGTGAGGTGAAGGGCGAGGGGGCGCATGTGAAGCAGTGGCGCGTAATCTTCAGGAACCTGCCCTTCAAGGTGCGATGGGAAGGGGGAGAGGGAGTATGGTGACGGGGAAAAGAAGAATGTGTTGGGAAGGGGTCAGGGTTGTTGGAGGCTGTGGGTGTGCCATGGAAGGGAGGTGGGCAGCAGCTGCACCTCCAGAGCAGGAGGGAGGGGGTGGTCGAGGAAAGGCCTTGGGTTGAAAGCTTCCTTGCCCTAGCCCTGGCGGGGTGCACCTGTTCCTGCCAACCTCCTACAGCGCACACAACCGCCTGGCTCCCTCCACCCTGTTGCTAATGTCTTGCTCCCCTTTCTCAACCCTCTCTCAACCCCTCCCCCTGCCCTGCCCCTCACCCCCCAGGTGACGGAGGCGGCGCTGCTCAAGTCTCTGGAGCCGGTTGGCTTCGTGTGGGACCTGAAGCTGCCTCGGGGGCCGGATGGTGAGGGGCTGGGGGGGGGAGCTGCGGGGGAGCTGGGGGGAGCGCAGGAGGAGGAGGAGGAGGAGGAGGAGGCACATGCTCCTCCCAGTTTGCGATTGTCATTCAACACACTGGGTCTTCTCCTCCGAGCAGCCCCTACCGCCTTCCCCCACCTCCGCACCCCCATTCCCCACACCCGCACTTCCCCCCGCACCCCCCCACCACCCCAGGTCGCATCAAGGGCTTCGCCTTCGCCTCATTCACCTGCCGCGCTCACGCCGAGAAGGCCATCTCCTCCCTCAACGGTCGGGAGCTGTTGGGGCGGCTGGTGGTGGTGGATTGGGCTGTCAGCAAGACGCAGTACGAGGCGGTGGTCAAGAAGTCGGCGGCCGCTGCTGCAGGGACGGCGGCGGGAGAGGGAGAGGATGCGGAGGAAGAGGGAGACAAGGAGGAGGATCCGGACCGACCGACTTTAGGTGAGGGTGGGAGGGCGGGAGGAAGGCGGGAGGTTGGAGGGAGGAGGGTGTGTTTGGGGGGCTTGGGAGACATGCACTATGCCGGGTGTTGGGGGCGGCAACATGCCGGGCATGACACCGTGTGTTTAGATAACAGGCCGCGAGGCGGAACGTGGCAACGTGCACTGTGGCAGCTTTGCTGGTTCGGGGTTGCATTGCTTGTTTGGCTGCTAGCTGAGGGCTTCTGGGCGGGTGGGGGTGGGGGTTAACGCCTCTGCCTCATTTGCTGCGGATGCAGAGGAGCCGGAAGGCACGGAGGACGAGGAGGGAGAGGAGGAGGACGAGGAGGGCGAGGAGGGCGAAGATTCGGAGGAGGAGGAGATTGGGCTGAGTAGCGACGACGAGGATGGGGAAATCCTGGATGACGACGATGATGAAGAAGAGGAGGAAGACGAAGACGAGGAGACATTGGCATCCGACGATGATGACGAGGAGGGCGACGGCGAGGAGGAGGACGAGATGGAAGACGAGGAGGAGGGCGAGGAGGAGGGAGATGAGGAGGACAAGGAGGCGGCTCGGGAGCGGGGCATTCTCAGCAGCGCCTTGCAGGCGGTGCTGGGCCAGGAAGAGGAGCAGGAAGAGCAGGGGAAGGGGCAGAAGGGCGAGAAGGGGAAGCAGGCGAAGGAGGAGGCGCGGGGAAAGGCAGCCAAGCAGCAGCCGATTAAGAAGCCGGACTGGCAGGGAGCTGAGGTGGAGGACCCGGGTGAGTGGGGGCGGGGGGGGGCTCCCCTGGCGCGGGGTGGAGCGGGGTGGGCCTGCTAGCTAGCTGGCTTGCTGACGTGGATAGCGCTGCTAGGAGGCATGGGTCTAATGTGTAATGGGGATGGGGATGTGGTCGTGGAGTGTGTAGGTTTCCAAGCTGCGAGGGTGTGCGGCGGGGGAAGGGGAAGGGCGGTGCGAGGAATGGGTTCAGCGCTGTGGGTTAACTGGGTTGGGGAGCTTGTGGCATGTGCATCTCTTCAACGCCTCCCTTCACTCCTCTCCCCACCCTTTTATTCCTGACATTGCCCGCCTGCCTCCCTTTCCTGCTCCCTCCCCCTCCCCGCACGCATGCCAGATGCCGCCGCAGCCGGAGAAGGTGACGCCCCCGGCTCCCGCCCCCGCCCCGCCCCCTCGCTGGACACCACTGTGTTTGTGCGCGGTCTGCCGCTGGACGTCACAGCGCTGCAGCTGCAGGCGCGATTGGAGCTGTTTGGCCCCGTCAAGGCGTGCAGGTGGGAGGGAGGGTGGGGAGGGTGGGGTGGAGTCCCCTCATGCTCGTGGCATGTGCATGTGCCCCTGGACCCCCGCGTATGAACTGCCTAAACAAGCGCTCTCCGCCTACACGAGCTCCTCCGCCTGCCGCTGTGCTCCCTACAGTCCCGTCGTCTTGGGCCCTCACCGATACGCTGCATGGACCCCCCCCCACCCACCACGTATGCGCTCACTGCATGCGTCGGAGTATGGTATTGTTGGGACTCCACTTGCTGCACATGCCACTTACCCCCCACCCCACCACTACCCTGCCCCGGCCCCTCAGGCTGGTGATGGACAAGACGGCGGGCAAGCCCAAGGGCACCGCCTTCGTGGAGTTCAGGGAGGCGGAGGCGGCGGCCAAGGCGGCGGAGGCGTGTGCGCGAGGACGGTAAGAGGGGGAGGTGTGGGGGAGGGGGAGAGGTGTTTGGAAGACGGAGGAGGTGTGGGGGTGTTTGAGGGAGGCGCAGGGGTAAAGAGGATACAACTAACGAGGGGGGAGGGGTGTTTACAGCAGGACGGTAGGAGGAGGAGCGTGTGTCGTACGCTTCCCCATCCGCGCCGTGTGCGTTGGACTTACAGGGGCTGCGTCACAGCCCTCTGTAACAGTCCACATCGGAACAAAAAAACTACCCCACCCCACCCCACTCATATGGTTCCCCTTGACCCTCCCCCTCTTCTCTCCCCCTCCCCCTCATTATTAGTGTCTCATTATTTTTTACCCTCCCCCTCCCCTCCCCCCTCCCTGCCCCACCCCACCCCCCCAGTCGCCACGAGGGTCCCGGCATCACGGTCGCGGGCCGGCAGCTGGAGGTGGACCTGGCGCTGAGCGGGGAGGGGGCTCGCAGCTTGGCGGTGAGGCGGGGGGGAGTGGCAGTGAGGTTTGGGGGGCGAGAGGTGGAGGGAATGGCTGGAGAGGACGAAGATGGAGGTGTTAGGCGCGGGGAGTACCTCCTCCCGCACCTCCTCTTTGCAGCAGAGCAGGATGCATGTAGTCCAGGGTTGCTCAGCAGTCTCGGGAGTGGATCCACCACCACCTTCTCCTGTTCGCTCGGCCTTCCTTTCTTTCCTTTCTTCGTGCTGCTTGGGTCTTCCTACTTCCGTACTTACCCCCCCGTCCCTCCCGTCCCTCCCTCCCCCCCTCCCAACTAGACCCAGCGCCAGGGTGTCAAGACCGCCTCCAAGGACCGCCGCAACCTCTACCTGTCCAAGGAGGGGGTCATCGCGGAGGGGTCGCCGGCGTGGAGGGGCATGTCGGCACAGGACCAGTTGGGTGGCGCGGAGGGGGAGGGGGGCCTGGGCTTGGGGGGTAAAAAGAGGAAACCGACGAGCTGTATGACATGTAGGCTTCACCATGGGTTGGGTTCAAGGGGCTGGATAGGCCGGGTGGGTCAGGAGTGGGCCTGCACCGTCCTCCTGTTCTTCCGGCGCTGCTTGTGTTTACCTGTAGAAATTTCCCTAGGAAGACGCACCCAATCCAGAGCAACCTACCCCCCTGTTGAAACTAACTAACTGCCACACCCCTTTCACGCCCCACCCTCACCCCCACCCTCACCTCCCCAGGGCCCGACGCAAGCGAGCAGCCGAGGAGAAGAACACCAAGCTCCGCTCACCCAACTTTGTGGTCAGCCGCACTCGCCTCTCCGTCCGCAATATCCCGCCTGATTGGAACGAGGCGCAGCTGCGGCGGATGTTCACGGAGGCTGTACGGCAGCGGGCGACCAAGGAGAGTCCGCGTGTCGTACAAGCCAAGATCCTGCGGGAGGAGGGCAAGTACGACGCCAGCGGGGCGCGCAAATCCAAGGTCGGTTGGCTGGTTGAGTGCTTGGTTGTTCGTTGGTTGGTTGGGGGCTCTTGGGGGCTGCTTATCCTCTTCTTCCTCTTCTCCTCGCCATACATAACATACACCCCACATACATCGACCTGCCTTCCCAGTTGGGAGTTCAGTTGCATCCCCCGTCCCGTTGGGTCCTGACTTCCTAGTTTCGCGGTCTCAGTATATCTCTCAGTGTAACCCTCTCCTTCTCTGCTCCTCGCCCCTCTCTCCTCTCAATCATCCAACCGCACGCCTGCAGGGTCTTGGCTTTGTTGAGTTCGCGGACCACGACCACGCGCTGGTGGCGCTACGGCAGCTGAACAACAACCCGGGCACCCCCTGGGGGCGGGAGCGGCGACCCATCGTGGAGTTCGCCATTGAGAATGTCAAGGTAGGGTGGGGGGTGGCGGGGTGTGTGGATTTAAAACGTGCGCGAACTGGGACTGTGCGGGTACCAGTATGTTAAGAAAACTGGCCGCGAGCAGGAACGTACTGAAGTGTCGGACGTTGATGTATGTGTGAATGTGCGGGTGCGCGATACCGGTACCTTTCAGCCTTTCAGCCCTGCATCCTTCCTCACGTCCGGCCTCGGACCATGCTTTCCACCCTCCCACTCGCTCTCACTCAGGTCCTCAAGAAGATCGAGCACCTGCGTGAGAAGGCCGCTGCCAACAAGGAACAGCAGCTGCAGCAGTCGCAACAACAACAGGGCGACAGGAAGAAGAAGAAGGAAGACAGGAGGAAGGGCGGCGCGGCCGAGGGAGCGGACGGCCCGGCCGAGGGAGGTGCTGCTGCGGAGGAGGGCGGCAAGAAGGGCAAGAAGGATAAGAAGGGGAAGAAGGACCGCGATGCGAAGGCCACCAACACCGCCGCTGCTGCTGCTGCTGCTGCTGACGGGGCTGAGGAGGGAGGCAAGGAGGAGGGCGGAGGCAAGCCTGACGGTGGCCGTCGGGACAGGAAGGCGCGCAAAGACAAGCGGGGCGCATCATCCGATAAGAAGGCCGAGGGCAGGGGCAAGGCTGACGGCCAGGCAGAGGGCGGTGAGGGAGGTGAGGGCGGGCTGTCCAAGCGACAGCGGCAGCGTCTGCGTCAGAAGGAGCGCGTGGAGCGGAAGAAGCAGCTCCTGAAGGAGGGGGGGATGCCGGCACTTGTGGCGGAGGTGGAGGCGGTGAAGCAGCAGCGGCAACAGGTGTGTGGGGGCGGGGCGGGGAAAGGAGCAGAACAGGCCACAACGGGAAGGAGGGGCGGGGTGCTCGCATTTCTTATCGGTATGTTCTTCTTCCAGGGTCCTGTGCCCACCATATGCTTCTTGCTTGCATGTACTGGTAGTATTCTTCGTTTGCTTGATCCTGACAGTGGTTCCTGCTTTGATTCCCCATCGCGCCGTACGGTATATATGCACAGGGCGGCGCTGCTGCTGCGGCCAAGCCACAAGCCAAACCGCCCCCGCAACAGCAGCAGCAGCAGCGGCAGCAGAGGAAGCGGCGAGCGGAGGAGGATGAGCTGACCCGCATTGCGGAGCAGGGACTGAAGGCGGACGGTGAGAGGGGAGGAGGAGGCGGCAGGGATGAGGCGTGCGTGCGTGCGTGGGCCGGGGGGGGGGTCCGTGCCTGCTCGCTTTGCTTTGCTTTGCTTTGCTTGCGGTGTTGGTGACACCAGAGACTGTCAGGAACCCGGTGGGGGCGGATTCATTGTTCCGGTTGGTATTGCTCGACCTCATGTTGCTTTGGTTGGCGGATCCGTTGCCTCCTGGCCTTTCCCAGCTTCAGTTCGCTTTCCATGCTAGGCGGCCCATGCCATGCCAGGCGGGCACACCAAGCATACCGCTACCTACCTACTACACCTACTCATCCTACCTCTCACGCCGTCATGTGTGTCCCCCCCCACTGCCCCCCCCATCTCTCTCTCCCCCAACACAGGAGGCGATCAGAAGCGCCGCCGCCGCAATACGCTGCACGAGGAGGGCGAGGGCCGCGTGGACCGCCTAGACCGGCTGGTGGAGCAGTACAAGGCCAAGTTGTCGGGCGGGGGAGCTGGGGCTGGGGGGGCAAAAGCAGCGGGGGCTGGAGGTTCAAAAGCAGCAGGCCGCGGATCCAACAAGGGCGCTCCCAGGGGTGGGCCCAAGGGCGGGTCCAAGGGCAAGGCTCAGCAGCAGAAGGACGGCGGAGCTGCTGGCAAGGGCGGTGACAAGGGCGGTGCTGCCGGAAAGGCGGGAGCGAAGGCGGCGGGGGCGGGTGGTGGTGGTGTGGCGGCGCTGGTGGCGGGGGCGGCTGCCGGGGGGCTGAGGAGGTGGTTCGACTAGGCGGCTCGCGGCGGCTTGCGGCGGGTGGTAAGGTGTTTGGTTGAGCGTTGAGCACTTGAGCTGCAGCGGGTGGGGTGCGGTTCGACTAGGCGCGGGCGGGCGGCACCATGTCATGCGTTGAGCTGCAGCGGGTTGGCGTGTGGTGGAATACGGTAGCCGGGGAATGTGTGCTGCTGTGCGGGCTGTGAGCTTGGATGCAGGATGCTTGCAGGGGTGGCGTGGGGGTGAGGACGCCAGGCGGGAGCGTGTTTGTTGGTCGGTGAAAGGGGGCCTTGCAATGGGGTGCTGCGCGGAGGAGAAGGGGGTTAAGCAGTCAGCTGGGTTGTGTTGGGTGGAAATGAGGCGAGGAATGGGGGGGGATAAATGCTTTTACAGTCGTGCCGTACGGTACACAGGATGCGCCCAGGGGGGAGCGGTGTGCCCCCCTCCTTTTTTACCGTGCACCAGGAATTACTTTGGTACTGCTGATACTGTTTTGGAGCGCCCGAAACGAGGGTGCAGGGTGTCCTGGCAGGTGTCTCTCTCGCGCGCGCGAGCGTGCGGTGTAATCGTCGTTTCCGGCTGTGTTGCAGCACATGCACGGAGCTGCTGTGCCCTCAACGAGCGGGCATGGGAGGAGGGGAATGCCGCGGTGCCTCCTCCTCAAGAGAGAGGAGGAGGTTGGAGGAAGTACGATGCTCTACCCCCACGCGGTGCTGCCTGGTTGGCTTGTGACCTTGTGTGTTGGGTCACAGCATTGGCTCCTTGGCAATCCCACTGCGGACCATAGCTCTAGCCAGCAGCTTAAAGATTCCTTCCTTCTTAAGGACGAGCGAAAGATTCCTTCCTTCCTTCTTAAGGACGAGCGAAAGATTTCCGTCCTTCCTTTTGAAGAACGAGAAGGATGGATGTGAACGCACGCAGCGCCACTTTCCAAGAGCGTGGATGAGACGTGCAACAAGCAATAACAGGTATTTCACAGGTCGTGGCTTCTCATGCGGCTCATTTGCATCCTGACGTCCGGAAAAGACAACGAAACAGGTACTGCTGTCCAGCCAAAGCCCCAAGCCACACACGCCATACCAACATACCGGTACGGTAATTATCCCCGCCCTGGCCCAAAACCGCAACTGTGTACATGCTAAAGCAGCACACATGTCTGAACAATTCAGCACTCCTACATGTTGTCGAATTGTTGATGCTGTACAGCCTCTTGGGCCCCCCACCCCTTGGGGCCTCGCCTGGGGCCCCAACCCCCCTAGTGGCCCCGCCACGCACCAGCATTGCCCACCTAGTTACGTAACGTGCCTAGTCACAACGCGCACCCGCGAGCCAGCACCCCCGTCGTCCACGAAAACACATGCAGTTAACCAACAAGCATCCCCCGCAACCCCGGTGCCAGCGACATTGTGCCACCTGCGCCTGCATGCGTGCATGCCTCTGCCCATGCGGGGAGGGGCACCAGAACCCCCGCTCGCCCCTCACCCACCCGGCCCGCCGCCCCCCCACCCAGGTCCTCCATGCTCCTCCCCTCCGCTGCTCAATACCCCCCTCAATCCGCCTCCATCGGCGCCGGCCCGCCCTCCCGCTCCTCCGCCGCCGCCCCCTCCCCTTCTCCCGGCGCTGCTCCACCCGCTGCCGCCCCCTGCGCCTCACCCCCCTCTCCCGCCGCCGCCCCCTCCGCCTGCATCTCCCCCTCTCCTGCCGCCGCCCCCGCCCCCTCTCCTGCCCCCGCCTCCTCCTCCTCCTTTAACGCCGCCACGTAGGGAGCCACGCCCTCATCCTCCAGCAGTGTGAAGGGCAGTTGGCGGCCCACCACCGCCACCGAGCAGTTGGCGGACGTGAGCTCGCCCTCGCTGAGGCTGGCGGACAGCGCGCGCAGGCCGTGGCGCACCAGCTCGTCCAGGGAGGCGGAGGGGAAGGACTCGAAGTGCTTTTCCAGGTAGGTCTTGGCAGCCTGGAGGGGGAGGAGGACGGCAGGGCGGGCGTGAGGGAGGGAACATTATAGGTAAGTGCAACAACACAGTCCCAATCCCGAATCCTGACTCATGGAAGGGACGGAAGGAGGGAGATTGAGAAGGAGCCGTATTCCGCGTTAGGCTGGATGGTTGGGTTAGCGGTCTCCCCCTTCCTTCTTGCCCCCCTTCCTTCCCCCCCACCTCGGGATATGAGATTGGGACTCCAGTTGCCACACTTATCACTTGCTACCCCTTCCCTTCCCCCACCTGCGACAGCTCGTCAGTTGCATCGTCAGTGTCTCATTATCCTTTTTACCCCACCTGCGACCGCGCCCCGATGGCCATCGCCTTGTACTCGTAGTAGTTCCCGCTGGGGCAGGTGTTGTACAGGTGCGCCCCCGCCGCGTCCACCCCCGCCACCAGCAGACCCACGCCGTACGGCCGCTTCCAGGAGCGCTGAGTGCATACCTGAGCCTTGTCAGCAATCTGCCGTACCAGCCGGCCCACCGGCATGGAGCTCTCGTACACGTATCTGCGGGAGGGTGGGTGGGGGTGGGCGGGAGGTTGCGGGCATGCGGGCAGATGGGGGGTTGCGTTGGGCGCATGGATGCATGCAGAGGGGAAAAGGGGTGACGGCGGATGAGGGGTTGGGGTGAGGGGGGTACCCATTCCCCTATGGTGAATTGGTGGTAATTGTTTTTCGTCCCTCCCCGTCCCCCTGCTGCATGTGGTTCAGCCCCCAGCCGCAACCCGCCCTGTGTGTGCTTTCCTGATGCGCCCTCCCCACCCGCCTCACCGCACGCCGCGCACCTGCTGCTGGTGTTGCACGCCTCCCCGCCACCCACCCCCATGCTCGTTCTCCAACCCCTTCCCACCCTCACCATCACCCAATGCAGCAACCCATCGCGAAGCCGCCTCATCATACAGCTCGTCCGTTTCCTCTTTTTAGCCCCCGTGCTCGTTCTCCAACCCCACCACCCGCCCCCCGCCCACCCACCCATGGTGAAGCCTTGTCATACAGTTCGTTAGTTGCCTCGTCAGTTTTCGCTATTTTTACCCGCCCGCCCCTGCCCCCCCCCCCACCTGTGGTTGATGCACTCATTGCGCATGTACTTGCACAGCGAGCGGCCGTCGCCCGTGAGTCCCGCGATTGCGATACCCATGTGGTCATCGATCTTGAAGACCTTGCGCTGGAAGGAGGAGAGCTCCGACTGGGACCGCTTGAGGGTGGCGAGGACCACGTGGGTGGAGCTCTAGGGAGGGGGGGAGAGGGGGGTTTGGGGGAAGGAGGGCGATTGGGGGCTCGGGGAAGGGGTAAGGAAAGGAGGGGTAAGGGGAGGAAGAGGGGGAATGAAGCAGGGGGAGCAGAGGGGGAGGTGTTGGGGGTAAGGGGCAGGGTGGTGAGCGAGGTGGCGGAGGGAGGGAAGGCTTTGGGGGATGGGGGGTAAAGGAGGGAGGATGAGTGGCGATGGGGTGGGGCTGTGGTTGCGTTGTAGGGGGCGATGGAAGGTGCAGGGGCGGGCCAAGCAAGTATTGTGACTCCTCCGCAGCGCGAATGACGCAAATTGCGGAGCATTGATTGTCCCGAGCTAGGATTATTAAGCTGGCTTAGGTACCGCTGATCGGCAGCGTTCGCCTTAGCTAATGCAACACCGTGCACCTCACCGTGAGTCCCACAGCACAGCTGCCCTGTTTGACTGCCTCCATTGCATACTCCACTTGGAATAGACGGCCCTGAGGGCTCCATGTAGTTACGTCCGTATCATACTGCGTCAAGGAGCGCGGGTTGGCATCGTGTAAGCCCGACTTCTCAACAAAAGTAAGAAAGATAAGCTGGCTCCGCAACGATCTTGCACACCTGGTTCCTAAACATGGTGGCAAGCCTAAAAGAGCGTTGCGCTCTCGGGGAGGGTACAGATCTTTAACTGAGAGTACCAAGCCGTGCACCCACGACAAATTATGTTGCCTACACTAAAGAATGTAAGGAATGCACCTCGCATATGGAATGCAATGAACCTGGCGATGCTGCTCGATGGTGTCATCGTGGTATTGTACGGCAACCCGCTTGAGCCCTCTATACATGAAGACTGGATTCATATTTAGTCTGCCAAGCGACTTATATTGCTTCCTGCTTCGGCCGTGCGTTGTTTTTGACTGGCTGTGGCTTAGAGCCGGCACAGCCTGCCATCACTGCTTACTTCCGAGACTTAGTCTCTGTTTAGTGTGCACGCTCTTCACCATGGGCAACAACTTCTCTGTGCGCGCTGATGCTGAGCCTGTGGTCGTTGAGGTGCGGAAAGGACGGCTGGCTTGCTGTTTCGGCATGGAGGCTCAGCGTAGGCCTTCTGACTTGCAGGAGGAGGTCGCTGCCCCTCCGCCGCCGCCTGCCCCTAAGCCCGTCAAGGCTAAGCCTGTGACCCTGGAGGTGCGGAAAGCTGCTTGGACCAGCCGTCTAGCTTGCTCTTGCTTAATGGTGGGCTGGTTGTTCCGCAGTCGCTGTCGCCCGAGGAGCTGGATGCTCTGAAGAGCGAGGTCGTCTCGGAGGTTGTGGCGAAGGTTGCTGGCGAGGTATGACCGCTGCATTTCTGCGGGTCTTGATGTCGGTACAATCAGCACGCTCTTGGTACCTTTGCGCAGGATGGCGAGAAGCTGCAGGACTTCATGGAGGCCGAGGTGCGTATCCATTTAATTGCAAAATGCTTTTTTCCTTCACTTTTATGGTCCTGGGCTAAATTTGTCTGCCGATGCCCTTGCAGGTTATCACCGCGCCCTACGACCCTCGCTTCCCCAACCGCAACCAGGCTCGCCACTGCTTTGTGCGCTTCAACGAGTACTACAAGTGCGTGTGTCTGGTTTTGCCTACGCAGCGGTTTCTGTGCCCTTCGAGCTCATGGGCGCTCACTCGCTTGCATATTCCCCTATACAGGTGCATCTACGAGCGCGGTGAGGAGCACGCTCGTTGCCAGTTCTACCAGAAGGCTTACCAATCCATCTGCCCAAGCGAGTGGGTAAGTAACTCGTTGCGTCCTTTCAGCGTTTGAGGTCCTCCAAGCGTCAAGAGTGCTTTGTTGGCTTGCATCCAGAACCCCAGAGGTATCTGTGCTACCTTTTAGCATTAGGGTCCCTTCACTATTGGAGGGGGTAATGAGATTTAGTCTGTGACTATTCCTGACGTGGGAAATCCCTGAATCCATACCATGCAGATTGAGAGCTGGCAGGAGCTGCGCGAGAAGGGCCTGTGGACCGGCAAGTTCTAAACTGCCCCGCAATGGGCAGTTAGGCAAGCGTGGGCACATGCACACGTAGCCATGGTCGCAGAATGGCAGGCACAGTGGAGCTATCTGGATGTATCCAGGGGCGTCACCTGTGTTTTGCCCCACGCGACGTCAACACCCCCGGCTTAGCAACAATGAAGCAGATAGAGATGTACTTGGTGATCGCGTATCGTGTCAGGGGTTCAGCGCAAACTATATGCTATGGGCGTCCCCATAGGGTATGTTCCGCTACCTGACTGTAGTAAGTTAGCGTGCGTTTTTACAGTTGGGTTTGTGGTGATGGGGCAACCCATTAGGGCCAAAGCTTATGGCCCTCTGTAAACTAGTTTCCATCATTTCGCCACCACTTATTTCGCGTTTACGTGCTTTATGTGACTTTGCTTCACGCACAACATACCCCTCTCTACTCAGCAAGAGCTAGCACATAGCGATGCTCACCAAAAGGATACATACTCGTATCAACGCCAGCCCTTTCTCACAGAGCAAAGTTGTAAAGCTTTTCCCGGTAGTATTTCACAATCCTCAAGCTTGCGTACACTGGGGAGGGAACGTTAGGGCGCATCGGCGTCGGGTCGGTGGACTCCGTGCCCTGAAGCCCCAACTGGAACCTGTCACAGATGTTGGCGCGGCTCCTTCTGATAGTTTTGATTTGCAGGTAAATGTACATCATGAATGGCCGAAGTGAAGCCTGTCGTCCTACCCCATGCTTTGCATCGGGGCATCACGCAGGCCAAAATGGAATTTCTACGCGAGGACTTGAAACATCTGTTCGACGACAAAGGCATAGATGCATCCGCGTGAGTACAGTAGCGAACTTGCTGGTGGTGCTGGTGCAAGCATAGGCGGTATCAATAGCATTAATGCAACCCTTAAGTCATACCGCTCCATTCTCATATGCTGTATACTGCCATAAACGTTGCTGCTTGCATGACAATTGCTTCAGCACTGTGCGGGGAGCAAGCTGCCCATCGCGGATGAGCAGGCGACCGGGTTACAAGGCCCCCAGTTAACTCTTCCCAATACCCCAAGTTCTGCAGCGGACCAAGAATACGAACCCATCAGAAATCAGCCTTCCGAACCTTCTTGTTGTACACCGTTGTCGTACCATACACCCTGTTCATCCCAATCCGTACCCTACTGTCCTTCACCGTTATAACCCACTCCTGCTCCTGCTCGCCCTGCACTCGCCCTTGCTGGCGATCTCACTGCCTCCCGTATTGCTGCCCCACAACTCAACATCCCGTAGGCAACCATTGTACCTACTTCATTTGTACCTCATTCATTCAAGTACCTACACCATGTACCTACACCGCTGTGCTGATGAGTGATTACCCCGGCGCCTCGCAGCTACGAGGCCGTGGTTGACTTCCGAGACCCCATCACCCGCCACACCTCCCTCGCCGGCTACCTACTCAACATCGCCTTCCTGCGAGCCGCCTTCGACCCGCGCTTCACCCTGCACGACGCGCGCTGTACGGCACCCGACTCCATCACCACTCGCTGGACCATGAGCATGCGCTTCACGCCCGCAGCCGCCCTGCCCACCGCCGGGCTCTGGAACCCCACCATCACCTTTACCGGTGCGTGCGCGCATGCAGGGGCTCTCCGAGGCATTCACCTTCGCGAACGCCTTGTGAAGACGAGAAAAGAAATGCATGCCGCCACATCCTCGTCTTCCACTGCAAAGATCAAACCGCGCGATTCCGTACTTATGCTCTCGGCAATCCCAACATTCTGGTCAGGTGATCGTGTTCTGAAGACATGTACCGTACCCCCTGGCATCCCCCGGTGCCCCCGCACCTCACGCCCCTTCTGCTCCCCCCCCGGCCCCGCCCCCCAGGCACCTCCACCTACGTTTTCAACCCCGCCAGCGGCAAGATCTGCCGCCACATCGACACGTGGGACTCCATCCGCCGCCAGGTGTGTGTGGGTGGGGGGAGGAAACTGACGAGCTGTAGGGGGCTGCTGGGGGGCCTGGAGGCTTATAGCAGCAGGAGGGAGGGAGGGAGGGAGCTGAATCCCAAAGACATTCTTTGCACATTGAAGGCATTATCGGTCCCTGCCCACTGCCGTGCCCTTCCCTGCCCCTCCCTGCCCCCCTGTCTCGGTTTACGGTAAGCAACGATTCGGTAAGTAATTTGAGATGCGTGTTATTAGTGCTTCCGAATGCGCTCACTGCATGAGTCGGGATATGGGATTGGGATTTGTTGTTTCACTTTTATATAATTTTTGCCCCCCCCCCGACCCCCCTCCCCAGGAGTTCTTCTCACCCGAGGGGTTCCTGGACTTTCTGCGGCAGCTGACATCGCTGCACGCCACCCCGCCACTGGACACCCCCCGCTACGTCGTACTCAGGTCAGGAGGGGGGTAAGGAGGAAACACTAACTACCCGTGTGATACGGTGTCAGCATGGTTTGCAACATGTGAGGCAGGGCTGGGCCGGGCCGGGCCGGGCACAGCGGGGCTGTGCGTGCGTGTTTCACCGGTCTCCGGTAAGAATTGAATTGACCGCAGCGGGTTTGACACACCACAACGATTTGGAAGCCCGTCAAGCTTCATTCCGCCCGGTCCCATTGGGGTTAACTCTTTGGTGCCTGCCGCATGTACGGCAGGCGCGCGCGTGACTACGAGGTACGACAGTACGAGCCGTACCTTGTGGCTGAGACGACCATGGAGGAGGCAGCCGGAGGTCGGGAGCAGGAGCAGGCGCAGATGCACGACGTCACACAACCGCGGGAAGCACATCATCAGCAGGAATCGGCAGCAGCAGCAGCACCAGCACCGGCAGCAGCGGCAGGACCAGAAGCGGCTCCAGCAGCAGGCGGCTTACCGGTGGTTAACCCGGCGGGTGCGGGGAGCCGCGCCTTCAACACCCTGGCCCGCTACATCTTTGGCGACAATGCGACGGGTGCCCGGATGGCCATGACCACCCCCGTGTTCAGCGACACCTCCGGAACCATGAGCTTCGTGGTCGCCACGGCCTCCTCCTCCTCCTCCTCCTCCTCCGCTGCTGCAGACAAGGTGGGGTGCATGAGGCATCGGTTTGGGTCGGATCAACCGACCGAAACCCACCAACCCGTATCTCTCTCCTGTTCAATCATCCCCAAACCAATCATCATCAACCAATCCCACGATCGCTTGTCTCCGGCAGGATCCCGCCTCCCTGCCGCCGCCCAACTCGCCCGCCGTGTCCCTGCGCTGGGTGGAGGGCGGGGTGTGGGCGGCGCGCGTGTTCGGAGGCCGAGCGAGCGAGCAGGAGAGCAGTCGGCAGGCGCAGCTGCTCAGGTGGGCTCAGGTGGGCGGGGTAGTGCCTCTCTCCGGAGCCTCTTGCGGGGGCCCTCTATCTAGGACTGCTGTGCACCAACCGCCTAGGTTGACCCGCCCCGCAACAAACAACAGGCATTGCTCTCAATTCACCGTTTCCGGGATGCCCAAGTAGCCTAAGAGTGGTTACTGTGTTGGAGTCCGAGTTAGATTCCATGTTCCCGGTATATGCTTGCATGTTCGATTACTAACTTGCTATCATAGTGTGATGTTTGCTCTTCTTCCGCCCCCCGCCGGCTACGGCACCCTTCATAAGATACACGTGTCACTCACCCTGTCGTTGCGTTGCGCCTTACAACCACACACGTGCCGCGACAGGGATTCCCTGGCACGTGACCGCCTGCGCTGCGGCTGCCCGCACCGCTGGACCCTGGCGCGCTACAACGACCCCGCCACACCGCCAGCCTTCACACGCAACGAGGTGCTGCTGCTGTTGGGGCAGTTCGACACCTGGCAGTAGCAACAGCAGCAGCAACAGCATTGAGTGGAGTATGGGTTGTGAGGGGGGAGGTGGAGGAAGTGCGATGGAGGTGTGGGAGGATAGACGGGGCTTGCGTGGAGGGGCAGAGCGGGTTGCATTGCGGGGGCAGGTCGTGAAGGGGAGGAAGGTGGTGGCATGGTGGCATGTGTTTTAGGCTGAACGTTGTACACAACGAGGGGAATGAGAGAGAGGGGGAGTTGCTGGTGTGGTTGCTGTGACGGTGGCTATGTGCTGTAGTGCAGACTGTGGAGAGGAGGTGTTTATGTGAGGGTAGATGTGGCAGCTTGGCCTGCAGACTGTGTATAACCCATACGGTACTGCTGCGGGCGTTTGCAAACAGAGTGGCTCAAACGCCCTAGGCTAGGTCACACATACCGGTACATCGTTCGTGCGCGCTTTGGATGAGCCTGTGGGGGAATCAAGCAGCAGCAGCGTGGCCGGAGGTGATGAAGTTGGCCAGTGCGCAGTTGCCACCGCCGGCATCATTTGCATGCTCCGCTGACCCGGCCCCGCCACCGCCAGCATGGCGGACCAGCCCGAGCGCCAGCAGCCACGACCGCTTGCGGGCCGTAGGAGCTGCCGTGGCGGCGGCAGTGCCGGCGGCTGACGGTGCGGGCTCCGGCTGTGCTGCGGCAGCGGCCTGCCCGCTCCATGCATGCAGGGAGGACGACCGCAGTGTGGCTAGCGGGGAGCCGCCTGCAGCAGCGGAGTCGCCTCCGGCGCCGGTGCTGGTGGAGCTGGGGTTGGAGGCGGCGTTGTTCGCGGCCGCAGGCATGGCCGCTGACGCCGGGGCGGCGGCGGCGGCAGCAACGGGGTTGCCGTCGCCGCCGTCAGCTTTGCTCCGTACCACAAACTCAACCTACGGTAGAGGGCCATGTAAGGATTGTATCACAAGTAGGGCCGACTCAACACAGCTGCTTGTCCCGCGTAAAGTAAATAGATTTCACAACAAGCCGCGGGGTCCTGGAGGCCATCAGCCTTACCTCCGCTACGAGGCACCCAGTGTCGGCACGGCCGCCACCGCCTCTGCCACCTGCCGCTGCAGCAGCTCCGCCCGACCCTCCGGGGTCTGTTTGCAGCTGCAGCTGTAGCTGCGCGGCTTGCAACCCCTGCGCTCCGAGCAACAGCGGCACTTCGCGGCTCTTACACGCCTTCAGGAGTCCCTCCGAAACCGCGGACGGCGCCGCTGCTGTTGTCACTGACTCGGCCGCCGCCGCAGTGTCGCCTGGTACAACCCTTAGGCGAACGGATGCCTGTGGACGGCATGCATGGTCCAGTAGGCTCAATGGGGTCAAGCTTCGTTATCATGCCAGCATACTAGCACGAAAACCCGGTGGAAACGAGGGTTCGGCGGCATGGATTCGCAGCCCCACTGAGATTGGACTGGAAGGAAGTGGAGGTAATGCATGTAAGTTTCTATGCTAAAGAGCACGGTATGAGTTGCAACGCGTCCGCTCTTTGGGTCGCAATGGAACTGACTCGTCGTCGCGCCTTGGCGCCTTTGGCTCTGCCATGTCGCGCTGACATTTGCCATTGGCCTACCTTGGCGGCCTTCGCTTGAGACCAACTAATGGTAACGCCGCGTGCCGCATCCGCTTGGAAGCCTGAGGTGGAGTGCTTGCGCCGCACTGTGCTCAGCAACCGCGGTGTCCGCACGATGACCTGGAAGCCGGATGCAGCCGACGTGCGCGTTACAGTGCTGGTGCAATACAAACCCAAACCTAACTGACGCACCTCCAACACTAAACGGTTGTAGCTGGACGGAAGACCACGCACGTCCCAAAGTTCAAGTGAGTAGTCGGAAGCCATGTTCAACCGTCGAAGCTTCCGCCGTCAGGCAACAAGTTAGAGCTCAATACATTGGGCAAGCGGTAGGGTAAGTAGCGACGTGGACTACTGCAGACGGGAACATACGGGAATATTTAAGCTAAGGGCTTCGTATGCCAGGAAGGGTAATCCTACGCCATGTAACTTTGAGCAAGTTTAGTTATGTGCGATGGAAAACGTCAAGCTGATGAACGCGATGGGAATGAAACATACAGTCGTATCTTGGGTGTAGCTCTGATGGTGCCTAATTTTTCGGACTCCCTAACTTCGGCCAGGTCGCCAAACCTGCCGTAACCTCCCTTATCCCATGGCTTCAGACCAAGTTGTCTTAGAACAAAACATTCATATTTAAGTATAGTAGAAGTCTAGGCCACTATTTGCTGGAAAAGACGCGGGTAGACGGACAACCAACGTAAAAGTTGCCATCGGGGCTGGAAAAAATTTCGGCCAGTTGACCGCTTGGCGCTTATACATTCATTTCGCTCATATGAATAACAGCAAGCGACCTTGGTTTATCAATGTAAGCGCCTTGGATGGCGGTTCTGCTGAGGCGCTTTCAGGGGCTTGTTCAGAAAACCGCATGCAGATGCATGGGGGGTTCCAAGGTCAAGCTTTAAGGACCATTGTAGGAAAGCTGAGGTCAGCAGTATAACTCCACAACAGTGCCTTCAAATTGCTGACCACCGGAGCGCCGAGCGGCTAGACTAGGCGATTAATGTCCTCGGTCGGTGAACTTAGCCGGACCTTCTGCAATGGCCCATATGACACCATAGACCCCTGGTTTACATCATAATGATGTTCTGTGTGTAATACGCGGTTGCGAATTTGCTTAATGGCGGTGCAAAGGTTGCAAACGGGTGCTGGCCGAAATCAGGCTAGGCCAACTTTCGGGGTGAATTTTCTTATCGCACCTGCTGGCCTTGTTGCTTTGTTTGACGTCTGCCGGCTTTGAAACTCCAGACTATATATATTAAAGACTTCAAAACGCGCGATAAACGCCTCGGTAAGGCCCGTTCGGCAATCTAGGGCTGGAAAATCGCGCGATAAACGCCTCGGTAAGGCCCGTTCGGCAATCTAGGGCTGGAAAATCGCGCGATAAACGCCTCGGTAAGGCCCGTTCGGCAATCTAGGGCTGGAAAATCGCGGCCGGCCGAAATATGGAACAATCAGAGCTAGCTCAGAAAGGTTCGACGAGCAAGAGCATCGCGCTCATGTAGTCGTATTAAAGGGAACTCCCAATGGCATAGTGGAAGAAGTCAGTACCTGGATACACACCAGCAATCCCACGGATCGCCATGGCGGTCATGCACGCTGTGAACGTGAGTGCTCCTGCCCTGGTCTGATTATGATTACGATTACATGGTACGGTGTAGGGCTCTCCCACCCCACCGGACAACCCCACGAACCTAGCTGGTCGAGAGGTGCAACAAAAGGACGAATACAGCAGGCCGACAAGAACTGTCAAAGGCAATCTCTGTAGTGAGTCTTGAACCTATACTCGTACTGTAGTAGATGGCATGCAGGAAATTCGCTAACTTCAACAACATCAAAGCTCCATATTATCCTAGCCAAACTTTGTATATATAACTTGTGTACCCTCCGCTTTGACAAGCCTGTGTGAGTGAGTTGTTACAAGCTGTAAGGCTCGTAAGGCCCAGACGAGCCAGGAGGCTCATGGACCGCACACACAAACAAAACAAACAGAGTAAATAATAATAAAAAAAGAAAATTTCACATGTAACCGAAAACAAAAAGCAGAAAGTAGCAAGCAGTAACCAGCCTAAGTGTCAAGACTAGTTGCCCTGACATGCCTGATCCTGTCTACCACTTTAGCAAGCAATCTTTGATTAGGAGTACTCATAACACTAAGCATACCCTGATCTAAAACAACACCATTGTTCACCAGCTCATCCCTAATCTCATTATAGGCGGGACATTCCAGCAGCACATGCAACTCATCCTCCACCGCATCTCGGCAGCCACACATCCTGCACCAGCGCTCACTGCGGACAACCCCATGCGGTCGGTTAACAGCTAGTGGCCAAGCACATAGACGAAGCCTATACCAAAAATTAAACACGCATTTCGCCCAGAAGTACTGCCATGGCCATTGTGAAAACTCCGCAAACAGAATATGGTTGGCTGGTAACTTACTGCAAGAAACACGCCGTTTCTTCGCCGTTTTCTACGGCGTGTTTGGCCCGATGTGCACAACCCTGCGGTACCGCAGGAAACCCGGCTTAGACCAATCTCCTAAACTGTCCCAAGCAGCGTGCAGAAACGTTATGGACAAGCTCAGCAGACCACCCCTGCCAATATGCCATTCAGCAATGGGCCGGATCCCCTTCACTCATGTTGCCGCAATGGCCTCCACAACAACTATGTATGGCACGTGTCACCCCGCTCCAACGGCTGCGAATTCTCCTAGATTAACTGTTGTTGCCGTCGCGCAGCTAAGGATGCAGCTTGCTTGATGTTCTGTGGGATGCTGTGGGATGTGAAAGGAATGCAGTCAAAAGAACGGAATCGACGATCGAGGGGACCTAGCAAGCTCAAGTACTGACATATCCCACTGTCTGGACGGCCCGCAGGGCGCTGCAACAAGCTTTTTGTGCGGGGATAGGAGCGATAATCATCAGACGTGTGAGGCCCAGGAGGTGCGAGCGGGTGGTGCACCAACAACGCGCCACCCGAGAAGTCGGCTTGGACATCACGCACCTTACACCGAGGCCATGCGCCTGACTTGTGTGGCACTTGGTAGGTGGTCGGGCCTGCATACAGCAGCGCACCAAGGCACAATTTAAGTACGCAGTGTACCCTGCACCCCAACCCCACGCAACCCCACTCCATCCATCACCCGAAATCCTTCACATGCGCAACTTGCGGGCACGGATGTGGAGGTTAAGCACACGCAGAGCGTAAGGATTGGTGGTGTTTGCCTACCTGTCGTAAGTGAGAACGTTGAAGCGAATGAACTCTACTCGTTTTGAGATTGGTGACGGGTAGTCTCCTGGATCGCACTCAAGCAGAAGCGCGTCGGCCTTCGCTTCAGCAGCCTGTCTGCTCGACGGTGCCGGCGGGTGGCCAACGTCCACCAGGCAACCTGCCACCTGTTCGTGAAGCTCCTTCACAGCCTCATTCTCGCTGTCCGCAATAACCATGGCGCCAACGACGTCTGGAACCCAGGCCTCAAACCAGAGTGCACCAAAGCACCAGATGACGGCGAAGTATCCCAGCTCCATCCCCTGCGTTGATATTAATGCAGCTGTGTGAGCGATATATATAATGCAGGCGAAGCTGCTTCAAGTTCGAGCAGCGGCTCCGCGGCTCCTGGCCCCAATCTAATGATCCAACCCTTGCCTTACCTTTGGGTGCCTGCTCGCGCTGTCTCCTTTATGTCCCTATTCCGGCTGCTGAGCTAACAGATGACAGCGTCCGCTGGCCTTGCAATCGTCAATGCGTTTAGCCACGCGCTTCGCTTCCGCTTTTGCAGACCTGGGCACACTCTTTCCTTGAGCGTGGTCTGTGTATGTGTAGTGGTTGCAGTCAGAGTCGCCGTAAACAGCGTGGTTGTTTCGGTTGAAGCGAAAGAACGTGAGGCCTAAATCCTTCACGGCGTAAGAGTTGAACCTGTCCCAGTCCATACAGCTAGGTCTCCAGCTTTTTGTGACAAACAGTTTGGGCTTATATGACCGCCGCTACCCCGCCGTTCTTACGCGAGGCCCCGTTCACCGCCAGGAGCGAAGTACGACTGATGACCTGGCAGAGGAAAGCCCACAGGCCCCATGCCCGCGGGATCCGGTGACTTTTGCGGAAAAGTCAGACGTAAAAGTCATCTACAAACGCGGTGACTTTTACCCTTAGTAGCTTAACAGTAAATTGTTAGATATAGGCTACTAGTTGACTTTTAGGCTGCTTGCTTCGCAGCTCGTGAGCTAACACGTTAACTTAATTTTATGCATGCCTAGCCACCCACCACCACAGAAACCTGCCAACATCCAGCCTTACTCACCTTTAAGCATTATACGCTCGTCACTGCATATCTCAGGTGTCGATAGGAAAGCGCAGGCCTAGCCCCGGTGTCCTTCGGCGACTAAATGCCCACGTTTAAAGGATAGGTCATGTAACCTAACAACTGTGAATCATACCGCGGGGCCATGCTTGTTGGGGAGGCGAGAACGGGTGCTACTCTATCTGTCCCCGTGCAGCGCCTGCCTTCCCCTCATGCACCCCTGCCTCCCTTGCCGCTTCCCAGCCAGTTCTGTGCCTACCACCCTCATGCCTTCCATGCGCGGCATTTCCCTTCTCATGCGCTTCGCGGCCCCCTGTAGGGTTCCTAACTCCCTATGCCCTTCCCTGTACCGTGCCTGCCTCTCCATGGCCTTGCCAGCCCGGGGCCTGCCTCCCGACGCCCGTTCATGTGCAGCACCTGCCCCTCCCTGCCCTTCCCTGTGCGGCGCTTGCGTCCTTAGACCCGTCTCTGCACGGCCCCAGCCTACCTTTGTGCCTGCCCCTGCGCAGTACCGCTTGTCCTCCCGTGGGATTCCCATGCCCTTACCCGTGGGCCCCGTCGGCGCCAGTGTCCATGCCCTTCTCCGTGTGGTGCCGCTACGGCCCTCTGAGGGACATTCCCCGTGTGGCGCCTGCCTCCCCACGCCCTTCCCGTTGCTTCACCTGCTCGACCTGCCCTGTGCTTTACCCCTCATTTCTCCTTTGCCACACCCGAGGTAGGGGCGCTCTTTTGTCATACTGCCTCCCCTGCGTTGCTGCTGCTGCAACGTGTGCTGTCTGGGACGTCCACATGGAGCAGACATACACCCTTCGGAGAAGCCAAAATCACTCCCAAGGACTGGTCAATCTCTACCTTGGTGGTTGGTTACCCTCAGACCGTGGTACGACGTCCTGCAATTGACTTTGGTGGCTGCAAAACGCAAAAGCGTGTCGTCGTCCAGGAGACCTCTCGCGTGTGAGGTGAATGTAATAACTAACTGCACCACGACGACATATCCGAACCTTACAACTTGTCGGCTGACGGCTGATGACAAAAGGGGAAAGCCCAGGCTTATAACCCGGGAGGACGGCGCCTCAGTCTCATTTCCAGGGCTTAATCCCGAAAAATGGGTGCTTCGGTACAGCTATCGCTCCGTTGAGCAGATGCCGATCTCCTGGTAGCGTCAGAGGGCCCAAATACCGGTACCCACATGTCGACCACGATGCACCCTGCTGCATGCTGCTGACTAACTGACACCATGTACGCTGATGACCGCCTTACGCCCAACGTCTGTGGCAAGAGATGCGGTGAAGGGACCGCACATCCCTCGCTCCTCTGGATCACGCAGTAGGTAGGCATGTGGCGTACCTCCCGCAGAGCACGCGGGCGGTGGGGACACCCAAAACGTTTCGCGTGTGTCAAGTGATGCCCACCCCCGGTGACCGTCTAGATTGCCAGGACTAGTACGAACAGCAGTGTGGCACGCGGCGCCTGTGTGAGGACGAGGCTACTGCGCTTCTGTCCCCTCCCTTATGGCTAGGGTGTATGCGACCGCAAGCTATGGCTGTGTGGCCTAATGCGGCGCCCTGCCGTGTGTGTACGGTATTGTTGTGTCTAAGTAAGATCGAGATGCGGAAGCGAGCGGAAGTAAACTATCGAGATGTGACGCAAGCGGAAGCGTGTATGGCGTAGGCTATGACCTACTTGCACTAGGCTACGGTGCGGGCTGATAACCGCCGTCTGACGGCACCGCCCACCTGTACCACCCTTGAAGGTTGCCGACCGGTTATGCCCTCGCAGCAGTTGGCCGTGAGGAGTCTTCAGACCTGGGCTTGAAGGGGTATGTACAACCACTGGGGTATGAGCTAGGCCAGGGTGTTAGTGTGTTAGCCCGAGGTGGGGTAAGAGTGAGGGAGACCTATGCAAGTAAACCCTATTATGTACGACTGACGAGTCGTACCAGGCGCACACCGTTAGGGTGTGCGGCTACCTAAAGGCTTAGCAAACCGTTACGGTTGCAGGCGTTCAGCGTAACAACCTAACTGCTGTGCCAGTGTAAGCTGCTATGTACGGCTGACGAGTCGTATCGAGACAAACCGTTGCTGTTGGGTAACTAACTAGCTAACCGCCTAACCGCTGACGGTAAGCGTCAAAGTGTGCACTCGAGCGAGGTATGGAGGCGCCCCGGTCCCCGGTAGGGATCCGTGTTCCGTGTTCCCATTAATATACCGGCTGTCCAGCGAGGACCATGTTCCGTGTTCCCACCTTCCAAACACCTCGAATGCCTATATCTCCAACTCCTTGCTGTAAATGTCACCCAGTTGATGTCGGAGTCATTAATTGGCACTGGATTCCCGCAAGAAACACGCTTCCATGTGATCCCGTGCTCCAACTTACTTCCAAGCACCTTAAGTCCGTACCCCGTGTTCAGTACACGACTCATTTAAAGTGTTTTCTGGCCTGGACGACCTCCGACACGGTCCTACTACACAAAAAGGGAGATCCCCTCAACATCAAGAACAAGCGGCCCATCGCCCTCGCAAATACTCTTTACAAGCTATGGACAAGCATGATCACTGTTAACACGGTCATGTTCAGCCCCATAGCACGAATCTTCTCGGACACACAAGAAGGTTTCCTGCAAGGTCGCAATACAGAACGGCAAGTTCAAAACCTACTGCATGTAATTGAAGATGCAGCCCTAACGGGACAAAACCTGTTCCTGCTGTACACAGACTACAGCTCCGCCTTCAACACAATAGACCAGGACAAGCTCCTAATGATTATGCACGACCTGGGCTACCCCACTGACCTAATTGACACGGTAAAGGGTCTCTACAGCACCGCCAGAACGCGCATCAAAACGGAGCACGGGCATGCAAAAGACATCCTGATAGAACGGGGGACTGTGCAGGGTGACACGCTGTCGCCCATCCTCTTTATCATCTTCCTAGAGCCCCTCCTGAGATGGTTACACTATGGCGGGAGGGGATACAGATACGGATGCCTCACAGACAAGGAGAACGATCAATTCAACTTCAGCTCCGGTGCTTACGCGGACGACATGGCAACAGCCACCAACACAGTGTCAAACATGCGGATACAATGTCGGAAGATAGAACAATACGCCAAGTGGGGCGGACTCAAAGTCAACGTAGACAAATGCCACCTGACTGGCATCCTACATGGACAACCAGACAACGAACTTAGAGGGGGTCCCGACAGCAAGCCCTACCGGGTCACCCTCGAAAGAATGCTTAAAGACCAAATCCAGATAGGGAGTGAAAGCATTCCATACCACCCACCGGCCACGGCCTACAAGTACCTAGGCGTCTACATCACCCTTACGCTGAACTGGGCAACGCAAGTGAAACAAGTCCGAGCCATGGTCAAAGAAAAGGGGGCATGTATAGAATCCTCGCGTGCAACCCCCGACCAGAAGCTACGGATGATCAACACATGCATCCATCCGGCCGTTGCGTACAGCCTACCCACCATGGCGTACACCCCAACAGACATTGCTATCCTTGACGGAATGATTGCGGGCACGGCCAAGCGCTGCTATCAACTGCCGCGCAGCTTCCCGACCCGAGCCACCCTACAACCGGTGCAGGCTCTTGGCCTCGGCGTGGGATCCGTTCGTGAGCTGTACATCAAAAAGGCCGCCCGCTGTCTCGTGCAATCACTGAACGACAGCGGCCGCCTAGGTGTGGTCTCCAGAGCCCTACTACACCTCCAGAGAAACCGTGCGGGGGAGATCCCTATGCATGAATTCAAAAGAGAGAGCCGCTTCTACACCAACCTTAAGCAGCTTGCAATTCTCAAGGAAGCAGGCATTGAGCTCACAGACCAGGGCACATCATACAGTACGACCGTCAACAGTCTTGCCCGACTGTACACTGCAACAAAGACGCCAACCCCCAGACAGAGGATCACACTGCGGATCATCCAACCACTACTAGAGCTCGGCTACGACCTGCATGAGCTCGTAGACAGGAATACCCAACAGCACCTCATTACAACAACTCAGCTCAAAAATATTGGAGGAAGTCGGATCAAACGGCGGCACCTAGTCGCTCTCAACCGCCTAAGTCTCGCCATCAGTTCAGCAACTTCGGGACACAACAATGGCCACATGAAAGCCAGCACTTATACCAGCACGAAACCCCTAAGCCCGGAGCACCGGATAATCCCGGAAACACCAATTTTAACGGAGTTAATGAGGACTAGTACGCTGCCCAAGCCCATCGTAAGGGAAAACATCCGACGCTTCATCGAGCGACGCCGGAACGAGGGGGATCCAGCTGTGGCGGAGCATGAAGACCACGCGGCTATGGTGGACGGTGGCGACGCTCCCCAAACGATGGCGGCACATGAGAGGGTAGCCGACGGGTCGGACGGAGCCACGCCTGCGCAGCCGGAGGCCAACCGCAAAAGTAGGGGGGCCCGGCGGTTAACAAAAAGGCAACGCCTGGAGGCCTACATAGCAGCAAATACGCGCACGGTGCCCCATGGATGCGAAGATGACAGGGCCGAGACGGCAGAAGACATGCCTGCTGACCCAGTGGGAACTAGCTGGACGTACTTCGGCCCCGGCCTGTACAAGCAACTATGTGCTCGACACAAACGAATAGGGCAGACAGGTACCGAAGGCGCCCAAGCGGTGAGGGTGAGGCGCCTCCCGTCCCGCGTGCAAGCCCTTCTGGACAGCAACACTGGGAGAGAGGCCGCATGGATAGGGGATCCTGAAAATAACCAAACACCACGCACAGGGCTTAACGTGCGCCTGGACCTACCAGACTTTGCTTCGTGGGCCCTGTGTCCAATCATTTAGGACAAGTACGGCTTTTATCATCATATGTTGCTGTAAGGGTTTGGCCGTGCAGCTTGGCCTGCAGGCTGTGTATTTCCCATACAGTCAGGGGTCCCCAAACTCGGGGGGTTGCATGTGTGTGTGTGTGTGTGTTTTTGTTAACTGTTTTGTTTGTTGGTTTTTCTGTTGGAGTGTTGTGGTTTTGTTTTGTTTTGGGCGTTTTTTTCCTTCGTTTTCTTTTCCTGTGGAGGGAGGCTGTTTGGTTGTTTTCAGCCTTCAGTGGTGGCAGGTCACCCATCCTTGTCCTGTCTGGCGTGTTGTCTGTTGCAGTTCCTTTCTCCTCTGTCAGGTGGGCTTGTAGGTGGTGTTTTCCAGGGGTGCTTCCCTGGTATCCAGTGGTTTTTGTTTCCTCCGCTGGCTTCTTGGTGGTCTTTCTGTCCTACCTCTGTAACAGTCCACATCGGAAAAAAATACGGTACTGCTGCTGACGTTTGCGGACAGAGTGATTCATTAAACACCCTAGGAAGCTAGGATGGCCGCACATATATCGTTTAGTGCTTATCTTTGTACGTGTTGGACGCTCTTCAGAGCTTGCTTCTTGCCAGTCACTACCGGTCTTTTCTTTCCCGACCTGGCCCAGGAGCCGGAGCCGGCATTCGTCACGAGCCCATACACAGCAAGCGAACAAAAGCATACGGATGCAACTAAAGCTAAAAGGGAGAGTTGTCGTACATCATTACATTGCCGTGTATTTGTACGGACGTCCGGACCACAGCAGACCAACATAGATGGTTCCATTGCTTCGTCATGTAGGCCCGCATGTGTGTGTTTTCGGAGTGGGAAGTGTCGTACAGCTCTCGTTGGGTAAGCAGTCAATGTCAACGTCCAACGTGTCATGTGAGCGAGAGCTCGTGTCCGAGAGAGATCTGCCACCCCCCCTTGGATGCGAAACTCCCAACAGGTTAGATCAGTGGATCGTAACTCGGTGAGGGACACATCCAAACTCCCAAACCGCATCACCAGGTGTAAGGCGTCCTAGTGAGATTGGCGTTAACCGTTCAGCGTCGCTTGTCCCTTGGGACCCATGGGTCGCCTCGCAAGCAAGCCCTCCAAGCCTACATGTGCTCCATTGCACCGCACCCGTACCAGCACGCCCCCTGGCTAAAACAACCACACACGCACTCCCACCCTCCTTCGCAAGCCCCACACAACACACGCCCCCTCCTCCCTCCCAAGCTACCCGCTTGCTTGCTGGCCGCCCACGCACCAACACACACCAACACCTCACCCATGCGGCAATAATCCCGTCTCAACACCCTCCCACAGTACTCACCACAGCTGAAACCACCCATCCCTCCCATCCTCTCCCTGCATGAATCCCCAGCACTCAACTACACACGCTCACAGTACGTTCCGACTCGCGGCCAGTTTTCTAAACACACGCTCGTCTTACTCCACGCACGCGCGCCACTCATCACCTCCTTCCCCCTCACGTGACCCTCCTTACTTCTGCTGCTGCCCCCCAACCACCACCCCAACCCCCGCCGAAACCCCTCCCGCTCCCCCTCCTCCCCCCATCAGCCCCTCCCTGCTTCCCGGCGGCACCGGCTCCCACCCGTGCAGCTTCCCCCAGCTGTACAGCTCATGTAACACCCGCTGCAACGAGTCGCTAGCCACCAGCTCCAGGTACTTGTGGTACAAACGCATTGCGGTGCGCGCGTCCTCAATCGCATCGTGACCGCCCATCCACTGCTGTGGCGGCTGCGGCGCATGCGCATGCGGGTGCTGGGGATGGGGGTGCGGGTGGCCGTGGGAGTGATGCGGGTGAGGGTGGTGGGAGTGCGGGTGGGGGTGGTGACCCATGGGTCCGTGGTGACCCATCATGTGGGGTGACCCCGACCCCGCCGCGGGTCCTTGTTGGATGCATGCGCCCAGCAGGAAGGAGGCGAGGAAGCGCAGGGAGAGCTTGCGGCCGCCGCGGAAGCGGAAGAGCTCGGAGGTGTCGATCACCTGCGGGGATGGGGGGGTGAGGCGGTGGGGGCGGTGGGCCGGTGAGAAGGGAAGGAAAGGAAAAGCGGTTCACCCCACTCTCTCTCTTCTTCCCCTTCTATTTGTTGTCAGTGCCACGCATGCAGTACCCCCCGCTTCCTGACCCTTCCCAACTACGGCCCTCCCTGCTGCCCTGCTAAGCCCCTTCCCTGCCCCGCCTTGTCATACAGCTCATTAGTTGCCTCCTCAGTTCTCCCTATCTTTACCCCCCCCCCCCCCCGCTGCCCCCCCCCCCCGGCTGCCCACCTGCTCCGGCGGCACCACCATGTTGAGGCAGCGGAAGTCCTTGCGCAGGTCGTGACCCACGAACACACACCCGCAGTCAAGCAGGTACCTGGGGGGCAGGGGGGGGAGGGGTTGGGGAGGGGAAGAGGGTTGGAGCACGAAGGATTGCAGCAGCAGGTTAGATACCGATGGATAGACCCATCCCGCGTTGTTCCCGCCCTCTTTCTCCCCACTGCCTTTCAGCCGTCCCGCTCCCCAACACACCCCTCTTCAGTAGCCTCTCTCCGCCCCACGCATCCCCCATCACCTCCCCCTACACCCCCCATACCCTCCCCTCACACCCCCCTCCTCCCCCTCCTTACTTGAGTTTTAGGTAGGTGTGTTTGAGGGTGGTGGTGTAGTGTCTGCTGACCGCCGGGTCCAGGTCCCCCGGCTGGATGCCGCTCCACCGGGTCAGGTAGTCGTACACCGGCTCCACCGCGCGAACGTAGTCGTCAACACAGCAGCTGCCGGCCAGGGGGCCGGGCTCAGCCACCACCACCGCCACACGGGCCAGGGTTAGACTGGGGGAGGGGGGGGAAGGAAAGGGAGGGGGAAAACATAGATCATTGCATCAACGGAGACCCAATCCCGAATCCCGAGGGAGGAGGAGGAGGAGGGGTTGGGAGGAGGCGGAGCACACACTGCTGTAGCCCGGGCTGCCTCTAACAGCGCCCTCAATACCGGCACCCTTCCCCCCACCACACCGCTCCTCAGCCCTCACTCCTCTCCCACCGTGACTGCTTCATCTGTACCAGGTCCACGCCTCCTCCTCCTCCTCCCGCTCCCCCTCCCGCCAGCCCACTGAGGTCCCCCGCTGACGCCACGGACACCACCGCGCGGCTCTCGGGCGGCGAGGAGGCCACGAACTCCGCATCGATCGCGAAGCGCAGGCCGGGGCGGGGGGCCAGTCGGGACAGGTCGAGGGGGCGGAACCTGTGAGGGTTGGGGGTGGCGGGGAGGGTAGAGGAGGGTAGTGGTGGGGGTGTGGGGGTGGGGGTATTAGGTAAAGGGAGTTGTGAGGAAACACGTATGTGGGTAATGCAGCGCGTTTCTGGGCGACAGGAATGGGCGGTTGGTATGCAAGGACGGGCACCCCCCCCCTATTTCTCGCCCCCCTGCCCCCACCTGAAGGGAGGCAGTCCCGCCATGGGTCCCTGCAGCGGCGGGGCGGAGCACAGCTGCCTGAACTGGTCCGGAGTGAGGCGAGGAGAGGCGGGAGACGCGGAGGAGGAGGAGGAGGAAGAGGAGGAGGGGGCTGCTGCTGCGGTGCCGTTGGTGGAAGCGGCAGGCCGCTGGGGGCCTCCCTTGCCGTTGCTGCTGCCGCCGCCTCCGCTAGCAGTCCGTGCGGCGAGGTGGGGTGGTTGTTGGGATGGGGCTTTGGAGGCGGGGGGTGGTGTGGAGGCGGCGGCGGCGGCAAAGGTGGGAGCGGTGGCGGGGGTGGGGGGAGCGGGCGGCACGAGGTGCGCCAGGTGGGGGGGCGGTGGCACGCTGCGGTACTGCAGGAGGCAGGGGAGCTTCTGGTTGCAGTAGGTGGCGGTTACCTCGTGCGGTTGGCAGTTGGGGAAGACGGAGAAGTCGTTGAAGAGGACCCATTCGGGACCCTGGGGCAGCAGCAGCAGCAGCAGCGGGAAACGTGTAGCGGGGAGGGAAACGAGTCAGAGGGAAACGCGGCCGGGAGGGAAAGGTGTTGAGGGCGGGGGGCGGAAGGGGCCGCGTACCGGGGTGGGGGTGTTGTTGACAACCCTTTCTGAGCGAGGACCCATACCGGTACCGGTGTTACCCCCACCTGCGGGTGCCCTCGGGCTGTTGACGCCGGTGCTGACGCCGCTGCCGACCCCTCAGCCGCAGACCCCCCCTTGGCGCCTGCTGCTGCGCCTGCTGCTACTGCCGCCCCGCCATCTGCTACCGGGCTGTCAGGACCTGTGCGGGGCGAGCCGAGGCAGCAGGAGGGGGAGGTCAGCAGATACGGCAGCGGTGCCCCAGCCCCACTAAACCCCAACCCACTAACCTAATCGCCCCACCTAGCCCCTCCACCCACCTAGCCCCAATCCGGATGCGAAGATGTCATCCAGGTTGTCCGGCAGGGAGATGCCGTACGACCCCGCCAGCACCGCAGCACTCAGGGAGCCGCTGCCGCCGCCGCCGGCGCTGCCGCCACTGGAACCGCGACTGCGGCTTCCGCCGCCGCTGTTGCCGCGGGACGTCCGAGCGAGCGACGACGGCGCGGTGATGGTTGTGGTCGCTGTCACTGCTGCGGTGGCAGCAGTGGTGGCGGAGGCGGAGGTGACGGAGGTTGTTGTGGTGGCAGCAGTGGCGGTGACGGTGGCGGAGGCGGGAGCTGCAGCAGCGCCTCCGCCGGCAGATCCGTGACTGGGTCGTCTCGCGCCCGCAGTCGCTGTTGCCGCCGCCGTCACTACCGTCGTCGTGGTCGCTGTTAGCACCCCGGGTCGCGGTGTGACGAAGGCGGCCATGGAGCCCTGCGGGGGCTTGCTCAGTCGGGGCTCGGGTTGCTCGTCCCAGTACTGCTGCGGAACCTGTACGGGAGGGGGGTTGGGGTCTTTGTCGTACAAGCAGTAGCGGGGGTTCTGTCGTACAGGCAAAAGTTGGGGTTTTGCCGTACAAACAATAGATGGGGTCCTGTCCTATAAGCAGTAGAACAAGCCAGTGACAGGTGCGTGTTTACACTTAACAGGACAACATGCAAGGCGCCGGCTGGCGCTGGATACAAGATCTGCAGGACGTCTCAACACTTCTGCGGAGCGGCTCCCCCCACCTGCATGAGTCGGGATATGGGATCGCGACTCATTGCTTCACTTATATATTTTCCCCCCTACCTTGATCATCGACACCAGGTGCCCCTGCTGCGGCTTGGCTCCGGGGCGGGGTGCGGAAGAGGATGAGGCGCCGGGATCTGCCACGTCATCGAAATCCCGGATTTGAAATACGGCACCGCAGAGCTCGTACACGCAGGAAACTACACCCGGCTCGTACAGGGAAGCACCTGTAGGTAGGTACGTGTGCAGGAGCAACTGTGTTATTACATGCTTACATCAGCTACGGATTGTACGGGAGGCACGTTGAGAAGGGCGCTTATTGACGGGTAAGAAAAGACAAAACGAGGGTTTCCAACGGACGCGCCAGCATATCAATCCACAAGGAGACCACTGCCACTGCCACTGCCGCTCCCCTGCCCCTGCTGCCCCTGCTGCTCCCCCCCTCACTCACCCAGTTGCTCGTACAGCTGCGCTGCCGTGTCCGCCTGGTGCACCTCCACCTCCCACTGCGCGGGGCGGCTGAGGATGGCGAGCGCCCAGGCCATGCGGTGCGCCTCGCCGGGGGGGATGACACCGTCTGGGGGTGGGAGGAGGGGAGGAGGGGGAAAAGAAGAATAGCCAATGTGTTGGATGAGAATGGCATACAAGACGAGGAGATTCAACGGACTAGCCGAACGGAGTGCTGCTTATCGGTAACCAAAAGGGAAGGTACGATCCCAGCACGTTTGTTGCTCCCCTCCCCTCCCCTCCCCCTGAGCTGCAACCCCCCGCCTTACCCCACCCTCCCCCCCACCTGCCCCCCTGGCCGGCAGCCACCACTCCGCCTCCTCGCTGTCCCCCACCGCCACATTCACCGTCAGCAGCGGCGGCAGCGACACAGGCACTCGGACCTGCGGGGCGGGGTGAGGGGAGGTAAAAAATATATATATGATGATGAGACACTGACGAGGGGGGGAGGGAGTTTACAGATGTTTGCAGCAATGGAGTCAAAAGACATACCAGAACCACAGGTTAGGGCAAAGCAATGCCCTAAAACTTGCGGTTCCCTCTGGTTCGAATTGTCTCTGGCGCCCCTGTCCTGCCCCCGCACCTCCCCTGCCTCCCCACCTCCCCCGCCATTCTCATTTATTCCCCGCCCCCCCTCCCTTATGGTTCGGTATGATCTTTGACGCCCCCCCCGCCCCGGGCGGGTCGGGCTGGCTCACATGTTGCAAACCATGATGACGCCTTATCACACGATCACTTCAGTTGTTTCCTCTTTACCCCCCCTCCCCAGCCTCCCCAAGCCCCCTCCCCACCTTGCGCACCAGCGCGTACCCCCGCTCCGCGTTAACCCAGGCGCGGGTGGCGGATGCGGCCAGCAGCGAGCGGCGCAGTAGCTCCGAGAAGGGCGGGACGGAGCCGGGGGAGGGGTCGTCCTGGGGTAGGGGGTGAGGGGAAGTGGGGGGAGGTGGGGGAGGTGGGGGGAGGGAGAGAGGGGAGGAAGGATAAGGGAGTTGGTTACGGGGGAGGGAGGAGGGGGAGAGTGGAAAGGAAGAAGGCAGGGGCATGGGTACTCCTACTTTAATACGAAGGGAAACACATCACAGGCTTCGTCACATGGCTGCCAGCCGCCAGTTGCCACCCTCTCCCGCCCCCCTGCCCATCCCAGTTGCGCGCCCCTCCTCCCCCCCGGCCCCCACCTGCTGCCCCCCCGCTCCCCCGGGCAGTCTGTTGAGTCCCAGCTGCCGCGCCTCCTCCGCCGCCCTGGCCGCCTTGTCGCGGGAGGCGGGGTACTGCAGGTCGACCTAGGGGGGGGGGGAGGGAGGGGGGGAGGGGGGGATGAGGAGGAGGAGGGGAGGGGAGGGAGGAAGAGGATGGGGTGTGTTAAGAAAAACAGGGCCGCGAGGGGAGTGTGTACGTGTCAAAGGAAACAGGCCGCGAGCAGGAGCGTACTGTGACCGGTTGTGTTTGCGTGTTTGCGTGCAGTGGCAGTGCAGGAGCGGAAGACCCAGCCATCGGACAGTCCGTGAACAATCACAACCCACAACCCCTACTTCCCCCCCTTCCTCTCCCTCTCCCTCCCCCCGCACCTGGAACGCCCGTGCGTCCCTCACCGACTCGCCGCCGCCCTCCGTCAGACTGGTCATGCGCAGGCGGAAGGCAATACCCATGAGCGCCTGCAAAGGAAGGAGGGGGAAGGGGGGTTAGTAGGGATACATATTCCCCCTTAGGCGGGATGTTAGGATTGCGTACATTGACCCCCCTCCGTTCCCCCCTCCCGCACCTCCAGTGCCGGCGCTAGGGCCGCATTGGCGGGTGCGGGCTGCGGGGAGATGCCGGAGCGGAAGGGGCCGGGGGCGGGGGTGCGCGCGTTGCTGGCGTCCCTGGGGGGAGGGGAGGGGGTAAATAGGGATACTTATACCGCAATTGGCTGGATTCCAGGGGGAAGGGCGAGGGAGGAGCAGGAGGGCCTGCAGCGTCCAAGACCCGGTCGTCGGTAGAACGACAAAGGCACAACCCGAGTAGAAAGCGGGAGCGGCAGGAGCGGCACATCGGGGTTGAGCAACCCGCAAGCGAAGTACCTCCACCCTCAACACTACGCACCCTCCACCCCCCCCCACCCCACCTGTGCAGCTGCTCCATCACAAACCGCGACAACGCCGCCAGCCGCCTCGACAGCTCCGTCTCCCCGCTGCCCGCCCCGCCGCCCCCCAGTGCCGCCAGCGCGCCTGCAGCCGCCCCCGCGTCCCCCGCCGCCCCCGCCGCGGGCCCTATGCCGCCCCCGTCCAGCAGCCCCAGTGCGGCCGCCTCGCGTAGGGAGCGGAGCGTGCGGAGCAGGTTGGTGGCCTGGGGGGGGGGGGAAGGGGGGAGAGGGGGGGAAGAGGAGGAGGTGGGTAAAAAGAGGGAACTAACGAGGTGTATGGCGAGGCTGAGGAGGTGGGGGAGAGGAGAAGGTGGAGAGGAGAGATAGGACCAGGCTGGTAAGGATTCCCGCAACCTCGAACGCTCAACCCTCACGCGCCAATGAAGTGCTGGGACTCGAACAAACAGCCCTAACCCAACAGAGCTTATTCCCCCCCTTGATGCATTTATCTATATCCCCCCCCACACACACACACACCTGGCACGGCAGCCCCCCCGCCCGCTGCAGCATGGCGAACAGGAAGCCCATCTCGCAGGTGAGGCAGAACTCGGTGTCGGGCTCGGGCACGTGGCGCAGCACCAGCTGCCGGAACTCGGGGATGAAGTAGAAGGCCTGGGGGGGGAGGGGAGGGGGGAGGGGGTGGAGGTGAGAAGAAGGATATCCCATGTGCTGTGGGACAGTGAGGAGGAGGGGGGAGAGTGAAGGGAGGAGGAACGGGGAAAGGGCGGTGCCGGGGGGGGGGTTTGGGAGGTTACCGGTACCACGCCTGCCTCCCTCCCTTCACTCCTTCCCTACCGCCCATGGTGGAGCTCTGCCCCCTCCCCTACACCCCTCCCCTACACCCCTCCCCTACACCCCTTCCCCTCCTCCTCCCGCCCCCACCTGCAGCAGCGCGTTGCAGTACGCATTGGGCAGGTCGTTCTCCAGCCCCGCCAGCCGCGTGCGGTTGTAGTAGGAGAAGTCGAACTCCTCCCACTTGAGTCGCCCGTAGTGGCGGATCTCAACGTGCTGGTAGCGCAGGGGCAGAACCACACCGCCTTCGTGGGGGGGGGAGCGGGGGAGGCGGGGGAGGGCGTAAGGGGGAGGCGGTGGGGGGTGCCAGAATAGGAGGCGGATTGCGAAGCAGTAGGAAAGGAAGACGCGGAAGCAGCAGCAGTCAAAAGAGGAAGGGAATGAGCGGTCCCTCCCCTCTCCCTCCCATGCCTCCCCCCTCCACACCCTCACCCTCCGCCACCCGTTGCCGCTGCCTCTCCGCTCGCGCCACCGCGGGGTCCGCGCCCCTCTCCTGCCGCATGCTCAGCCGACCCGCGGGTCCGTGCCTCAGCCCCGCCAGCTCCCGCAGCAGCTCCCCATGCGGCTTGGAGCGCGAGAAGTGCGGATTGGGCAGGTAGCCCACACCGTCCACCTGGGGGGGGGGGGCGGTGGAAGAAAGGGGGGAGGAAGGGGGTCAAATTAGACCAAACCATAGGAAACCACGAACGGGCAAAGCAATTGGGGAACGAGGCGGCAGGGGTCTATAAACGCAAACGGAGGGTTAGTGGGGAGGAGGGTGGAGGAAGGGTGGGGCGGTGAGATGCGGTATTACCTCATGGTTGTAAGGAATAGTGGGAAACGGCAGTAGGGCATGACAAGGGAGTGCTCCCCCATGGTGTGGTGAAGCCTACATCGGCTACATGTCCTACAGCCTGTTAGTTTTGGTCCCCTAAACACCCCACCCACCACCCTCCCGTAACCCCACCCATGACCCCCTCCCACCCCACCACCCCACCCCACCCACCACGCGCATGTCCTTGCGCAGTGCGGGCTCCAGTGCCCGGGGTGGCAGTCCCACAGAGGCCGTCTCGTGGGGCGGCAGGTCGGAGGCCAGGGAGGGCTGGGCGGCGGAGGAGGTGGAGGAGGGGGTGGGGGGGTACTGGGGGGCGGAGGAGAAGCAGTCGTCCTCCTGCGGGGGCCGGGGGCGGCAGGGTGGGGTAAAGAGGAAACAACTAACTGACTGAGGGATAAGGCGTCAACATGGATTGCAACATGGGGCGGAGGGGGAGGGGGAGAAGGGTTATGGGGGCGGGGTGTGGGTTAGATGCAGGCCACGCAGCGCATGAGAGTGCGGGTGCATGGGGGAGGGGGGGTGCTAGGTCTGCTAGGTCCAATCTTGGGACCAACCCTCCTCCTCCTCCCCTCAGGCACACAGCACATGGGGTATCCTCCCCCCTCCCCCTCCCCCTGTACCCCATGGTGAAGCCTACATGTCATACAGCTCGTCAGTTGCTTCGTCAGTGTCTCATTATCTATTTTTTTACCCCCCTTGCCCCGCCCCCCACCTGCAGCTCCCCCCTCCACCTCCCCCCGCCCCACCCCCCCCCCCCCCCCCACCTGCAGCTCCACCGCGGGTCGGCCCCGGCTAGGCACCAGAGGCACCCCCGAGCCGCCGCCCTTGTTCACCCGGGGGCAGGGGGACAGACCGGAGCCGCTGGCGCCACCGCCTGCATGCATGCAGGTCACGTTGTCAACACACATGGCACAGCTGCGGTTCACATGCGCACCTATCCCAACTGCTTGCTCTTGTTTCCGCTCAACTACACATGGCATAGCTGCGCTGGAATGCTAGAACTCACACGAAAACACTCACGCGGCCAGGTTTCTTAACACACGCACACAGTGATTCAGTACATATTCCACCTCGCGGCCAGTTTCCTCAACACAACATATGGTATGAAAGCCACACATGTCATTCAACGTGCGGTGCTCAACACGGCCGCACACCCCAACCGCGGCCAGTTATTTTAACACACCCCAGCCGCACCTGCCCCCATGTCCCCCCACACGTGCACGTAACCCCCGCTGCCGCCCAGTGCGATGAGGTCCCCGCTGGGGCTGAGGGCGGCGGTGGAGAGCGTGTCGGAGGCCATGTCGGCCTGGAAGGGGGGCGGGGGGGGGGGAGGGGTAGAAGAGCAAACCATAGGAAACCACGAAAGGAAGGGGGGGCCGGATGGAAGCGAACCCATGGTGGCCTCGTCACACAGCTCGTCAGTTTCCACCCTTTCACCCCTCCTACCCCCATCGCTTTTCCCTAACCTGTGGTTTCCTATGGTTTGGTACCTGGTCTGTGACCCCCCCACCCCCCACCTGGTACACATGCGCCGCCGCCCCGGTGGCGGTGTCCGCGATGCAGAACAGCGCGGAGGGCAGCGCCAGCAGCAGCGAGGCGGGCAGCAGCGGGTGGAAGGCCAGGCAGCAGGGCGGGCCGGCGGAGGGGAGGGAGTACAGCGGGCGCAGCCCGCCGGAGCGCAGGTCGAAGATCTGGGGGGGTCAAAGACCATCGCACCAAACCGTAGGAAATCACAGGTTAGGGCAAAGCATTGGGGATAGGGGTGGCAGGATGCCAGAAACAAAGTGATCTGGGGGTCAAAGCCGTACCAAACTATAGGAAACCACACAGGTGGGGGTGGGGTGGGGTGGAGGGAAGGAGAGAAGGAGAAGGGGGAGGGGGCGGGTCGTGGGTGAATCCTCATCCCCACGTCCTCCTACCGCCTACCGCCCCTCTGTTTTGCCCTCATTCGTGGCTTCCTATCGTGCGATCTATTTTGAGGCCCCCCCGTTCCCTTCCTCTTTGCCCCCTCCTTTGGAATTTCTTTTTCCCCCACCTTGACACAGTTCTCCGGCACAGGACTGCCCGCCCGCAGCCCGTACCCCGCAGCCGCCACCGTGTCCCCCCGCGCATCCAGCGCCGCCACCCCGCCGGGAGCAGCCATCAGGGCGGCCTCAACCTGAAAGGGAAGGGAAGGGGGAGGGGTTCGGGGAGCAAAGATATGCGGGACGAGGAAAGGTGTGGGGGGCGATGGGCGGGGTAATGTGTGCGTAACCCCCTCCTCACCCTCAGCTTCCCCCGCGGGTCGATGAGCGCCAGTCGCCCAAGCGATGTGGCGGCACACAGCGCCCCCCGACCCGCGGGTCCGCGCAGCAGCGTGATGCCCTCGCCCGCAGCCAGGCCCAACACATCCTGGGGCGGGGGAGAGGGGAGAAAGAGGGGAGAAAGAGGGGAGAAAGAGGGGAGAAAGAGGGGAGAAAGAGAAGGATTAACAAAGAAACATACTCCGCATTAGGCTAAAAAGTTGGGTTAAGAGAGGGGGAGGGGAGGAACAACAAACGATAGGAAGAGGGATGATGGGATCCCGGATGACCTGATGCGCACCATGCGGTCACGGTAGCGACAAGAGCAACAAGGATAGCCTTCCGCATTGCATACACACACATACACACACAAACCCCGCATCCCCCTGCCATTCCCCCTGCCCCTACATCCTCACCCCCCTCACCCCCCCCCGCCCCCACCTGCTCCACCACCACTGCCCCTGTGCCCAGGTCCACCAGCGTCATGAGCGGCCCGCTGCGACCCACCACAGCACGAACCGCACCACCACCCCCTGCACCTCCTCCTCCTCCGCCGCCGCCTCCTCCGTCCAGACACAGCGCTGAGAACTGTCCCGTCTGTGTGCGGCACAGGAGGGGGGTAGCAGGAGTAGAGGCGGTAAGAGGAGAGAGGGTAATGCAATGGAGGCGTTGACAGGGTGTCGCGGGCAGCGCCCCCCCCCGCCTTCTTCCAACCCCATGGCCCGACACGTCATGCTCCACCTCATCGTCCAGCTCATGCAACCCGATATTGCAGTCCAGTATGCGGTACACCTCTCTCCCATCTGCCCACCTCCCACCCCCACCTCATCTCCCATCTCCCCACCTCATCCCCCCCCCCCCCACCCCCACCTCATCGTTCAGCCTCCAGCGGGGAGCTCCGCCCAGACCGTTCAGCACCAACCTGCAGCGGCGACAGCAACAACCACCCCACCCCGCCCCTGGTGAAGAAGAGCCAAGCAGCAGCAAAGTTGCGTGACAGCAGCAGCCGCAGCCGCAACAGGTGATGTACATACGCACAGGTATGAGACGGCGGGGCACCAACAGCAGCAGCACACCAACGGCGTGTGCTGCTGCTATGAGACCCTGCATGCATGCATATGCCCCTGTGCCTCTATGTGTGTTGCTTTGTTGCCATCTAGCCGCTCTCTGCTGCTCCTCCCGCCCCTGCCCCCCGCCCCCACACCTACAATCCCCACACCCCCACCTGTGCTGGCTGAGTGACAGCACGCCCTCCCCCGCCGCCTGCACCTCCAGCACCGGGCCGCCAGGGTGCGCCTGCCAGTGCGCGTAGGGCTGCAGCGAGGGACACTGCAGCGTGTAGAGGTGGCCCGAGTCCGTGCCTGGGGGAGCGGAGCGGAGGGGAGGAGGAAGGGAGGGAGGGGGGCTGAAGAGGAGGGGGTGGTTGGGGTGCGGGAGGGTGTGGGAATGTGCTGAGGTGGGTAGCGTGCAGACGCCTGACTCCTGCTTGGCAGCATGGCATCATGGCGCTCACCTGCCCACAGCGCCTCGCAGTGCGGGCTGAACTGCATGGCGGTGACCTGATGGGGTTAGGGAAGGGGTAAGCAAGGAGGCAAAGATTGGGTAAGGGGTTGCGGCGGTAGCCTACGATGCCAGCGACCCTTGCTTGCACATGGACGCATAAATATGGACTTATTTGAGGAGCGCTGCTTTAATAAACTGTAGTGTTGATGACCACTGGTGGGTGTTCCTTACGAAGATTTGCGACCGGGAACATTATGGTCATTGCGTAAGCCATGCACTTGCGCAGGCGACTTACCGCAGATGGATACATGGCATCCAGCGGCGCCACAGACAGTTCGCCCAATCCATAAGCGCTGTACATCTTGCCTCCGTTACAATTCGTCTGGGTAAGTCCTTGAAAGTATAAAAGCCGACAGCCAAGCGCTCAACGGTCAACTCATCAGGATTCCTTCCTGCCTATAGATGTCATTGTGTAATGCATGTGATCGTTACTCCGCCTGCAGACAAACCTATCGGAGTTTGACGGCAATTAGCCATGCTACCGAACGCCTTTAGGCGCTATTCTGGGTGATACCGAGATCCATTGTTGAGACTGTAAGACAGCGTCTTCCGTGAAACTAGGAACGTGCGACTGCAATTAGTCAAAGGCCATGAATCCGTACTTCCGTTGAAACCGTCTGCATGATCTCAGTGCTTGGATGGCCCGATCCAGCAGGATTGTCAAGAGGCGCCCTCGCCTTAGCTCCATACTAGCACCTCCCTGCAAAGCATGCGTGCTTTATCGCGACATCTCCCGAGCAAAGGTCACCCGCGCACGCTCCCCGCCCCACATGACCAATATGGAAAAGGCTGCATGTGTGGTATTCCTCCTTACAGAAGCCATGCATCGACACATGGCGCTATCATTCCAGACGCCAACGTCGTCACTGATCGCACTGTGCAAACCTATGTACGGCATATGGTCCAAGAGTAAAGCGACGACCAAGGGGGCCTACAATCCATGTTCTGCACACGGCGCCCGGCTTTGTGAAGCCCTGCTTGTTAACAAGCAAGGCTCTGTACGTGGTACCGGTCGCCCTTTTGCATCGCCGGATATGCAGCGGAGCACCGTGTGGTGGTGGACACTGGACCAACCCCGTCGCGCCCCAACAACAACGGCCGGAGGGCCGTGGTGCGGTACCCTGATCGTCACCCCCTTTCGCGTCGCACGTCACCGACCCCGCCTAACACAAAACCCAAAAGTCGTCGCTCGCAAACAAATGCACCTGTATTCGGTTTCGGTTCCAGCCTTCCGCGCAGGCCCAAGCCGCACGCACGCTTCAGCTGCAATGGAGTCAGCCGGGTAAGTTGCAGCAAAGCAGCAAAAGACGCGGCTGCACGCAGCTTTGGACCGTTTGCATACAACAACAGTTTGAACAGCAACTCGCCAAGCTCCACTGTGCCAGACCCAATAAGCCCCCAACTCCGCAATCAAATAAGGCTTCATGCCAACATCATCCGGCGACGCTGCTGTGTCCAGCTGCCCACTTGAATGCAAGGAGGCGGGCCCGCTCGGTGTATATGCCCTACAAACCCGCCCATGGGCCATTGAACGACCAAGAAACGCCACCACCTGTACACCTTTGCACCTGAACCCGAGAAACATAATCACCACCATCAACAACTTCTAACCCGTGCAAGAAGGAAGCATGGCTGCATGGGGGGGATACGGTCTAACCGCAAACACCGAAATCAACCGCCGTGGTGGTTAGTGGTGCCGTACACATGATGTGCCATATGCCGTACAGAAAGCCGCGACGGAGTTCTTCCTCTTCTTTATCTTCACAGGTCGGAGTCGTGGCGCACCCAGGCCATGTGGGCGGGGGCGTCCCAGGTCGACTCCAGGGTCAGGCGGTTGTGGAAGAACTCGTCACTGCGCAGCGGGGGAACAGTCGGGGAAAAGACAGGAACAAGGATAAGAAGGTAACGTAGGCTGTAAAAGGGTAACGAAAGGAAGGAAGTTGGTAACAGCGGCACGATAACAACCCGTGAACTGTTGAGGAAGAGCAGCAGCAGGGGCAGCGTGCAGGAGGGGAGGGGAACCATGCATCCATGATGGTCACGAGTGTTCAGGAGTGTTCAACCTCCCCTTCCAACGCGCGCCCCCCCGCCTCATTTTCCTACTTTTGCCCCCCAAACGCGCTGCTTCCTCTGCCCTCTCTCCCCCTCCGTCCTCACCCGGTCTCGTCGTCCTTGACGCGGGTCCAGGCCATCGCGTCGGGCAGCTCCCACACGCTCTCGCCCGTCTCCACGTTGAAGAAGTAGGACTTCTTGGACTCTGTGTGAGGGGGACCAGCAGCAGCAGCAGCGGCAGGAGGAGCACCAGCCGGGGGATCAGGAAGAACAGACGGAGGCAGCGGCACGTGATGACCGCAGCAGCAACACCGGCAGCAGACTGCGGCTAGATTGCAACATGCGCTCTGGAACGCAGGCGCAGCGCGAGGGCACGACACCCACCCACATCCCTCAGCCCTCCGTCCCGCCCGACCCACATCCCTTTTGCCCCTCACCCTCGTCCTTGAGCTCACGCCAGACGGTGTGGTAGGCGGGGTCGATCCAGGCGAACTCGCCGGTCTTCTCGTTGTACCTGCGGCGTCAGGTGCGGGGCGGCAGGCAGACAGTGCAGGTGAGGGGCAACAGACGGGGCATGTGTGGGGCGGCAACAGACAGTGCAGGTGTAGGGCGGAAGGCAGCGCAGATGCCCGCCAGCACACGGCAGCAGGCACACAGCCCCCTCATGCCCCACACAGCCCCACACCCACATGCGGTTCCTCAGTTCCCTCTTCCCTGTCAACCCCCATGCAGGGCCCCGCGCCCCTCCCCGTCCTCACCAGCGCACGTTGATGTTCTTGTCCATGTCGGCCAGCATGTCCTTGGGCACCTCCTCCGGCACCGCCAGCTGCGTGGCGTTCACCTTCCAGTTGTAGTACATGACCTGCGTGTCGCGACGCACCTTCACCCACGCCAGGGACTGAGGGCGGGGAGCAGGGGGAGGGGGAGGAGGGAGAGGAGGAGGAGGAGGAGGGAGATCAGCAGGTTAGCAGGTGAAGCAGGCAGACAGGCCGGGGTACAGAAGGCCACTGCGGGTGATGCGGTCAAACAGCTCGACATCCGGCACCCCAACAGCCCACCAACATATATACACGAAGCGCTTGCAAGACCGTCCCAACAAGCCCATGCTCCTCCTTCCTTACCACTCTACCCACCATCCTCCCACACCGCATCCACCTCCGCAGCCCTCCTCCCTCAAGTCCCACAACCCTCCTCCATCTACCAACCCCCCATCCCCATCACCAACCCCACCACCACCCCCACCACCTACCGGCGGCACGTCGTGCACCTCCTGTCCGGTGATGGCGTTCACGTACTTGATGGGGTGTCCCTGCACGTCCACCCGCTGCCAGGCGCAGGAGGAGGGCGTGTTCCAGCGGCTGTCGCCGGTGCGCGTGTTGAACCAGTACTCCTCCGCGGGGGTGGACTCGCCGCTCAGAGAGGCGGCTGCAGGTGCGGTAGGAGGAGTGGGGAGAAGGAGAGCAGGTTACAACAGAGGTAAGAGCTGGAACCGGTTAGTTCGCTCAACCGTAACAACCCAGATACAACCCAGATTCCATTTCACAGGAAACAAGAAGCGAGGTACCCTGTCATGTGTTACGGGATAGAGCATGTGCTGCTGCGCGGAAGCTGGAAGACTTCAGGCCGTCAGCCGCTATCAGCCTGCTGAGAGCACATGCTGGAAGTACATGCTGCAAGCACATCCTGAAAGCACACGCGAGGCATACTCACTGGAGGGCTTGGTGGCGCGGGTCCAGCTGCCTGGGGTGTCCTCGAAGGCCATGGGGCCGTCCTTGTCGTACGCGGCGATCAGCTCGCGGATCTCCTTGGTGGGCGCGAACTCGCGCGCCTTCTTGCCGGACTTGTCCTCCACGTTGACGTCGGCGCCGTACTGCAGCAGCATGCGGGCGATCTGCGGACAGGCGGTACAGGGACGCGGAAGGGGGCGTGGCTGTTTGGAAGGAGGGAAGAGGGAAGGATGCGAGGAGGAGGATGTGAAGGAAAGGACAAGGGAGGAGAAGGGCACGACGCATGGGGGTGGTGGTTTGAATCGTCGGTGGTCAAGGTAGTGGAAGAGGCTTTTAGCGCAAGTACTCTCGCTTTGGGGTTTTTGCCGATGATCAAGTTCCAATCCCAGCAAGCTTTGTCTTGGACTATGGGCCATAGACGGGCTGTTTGGCAAGCTATGCGGCATACCTGGGGCAGGTTCTGCTGGAAGGCCACATGCAGCGGCGTCGCGCCAGTAGCCGGATCCTTCGACTTGGCAAAAGCGCCATACTGCAGCAGAGCGTCAACGAACTTGATTTCCTTCGTGCGCACGGCCTCGATTAGAGGCAGGCGACCCTTCGAGTCCGGCTGGTTGACGTCCATATCATCGCGTTGCAACTCATCCACAAACCCATCGAACTGCTTCTGCGCTTATGAAAAACAAATGTCCAGTCAGAAGGTTTCATGTTGTGAGCTGAGGAACGCTCATGTGACCGGGAGTTGAGCGGCCTGCATACTAATCGTCCCCGGACGCTCACAAGCTTAACACTGTGGCAGCACTAAGATCATTCCTGATCCATACTAACACTCACTGCCACCCGCAGCCTAACTGGGAGTGCTAAGACGGACCTTCTTCACCAGATCAACCAGCTTATCCGTGAGGTTGACATTAATCTTTGCTGCAGTGGCGCCCAGGACCGCCACTGTCAGCAGTAAACATAGTAGTTTGCAGCCCGCCATTACTGAGCCAGCACCACTATCTACAACCAGATGTTAAGTAAGCGAACAGTCCAGCGTTATCAAGTCTTTAAGTGTAGGTTGTATCTATTAGAACTATTCGTCGTGAGGATATGAAACGGCGAATACAAGACGATTAAGAGTCCGCAGCAATTTATTGCATCGGATCCGGACACCTGTCCAGGTGTGCCTGTTCGCACCATGTCATGTTAAACAGAAGATAACCATACGGCTTTGCACCATACATCATACTCTGGTCTGTGTTTATACTCCTGCATGCAAGCTAAACAACAAAATCTATAAGTGGTCCAAAACTTGACCCGTGGACCGCCCGCGCCCGCCCTACAGCATTCTCTAGCCAGGTCGAGCTCCAGTTAAAGGGTCAACTACCTTGCAGCTGGTAGCTGGCGGCCACACCTGCTGCCTCCCCGCAACAAAAATTCCCGTGGCTTGTATGCAAGTGTAACAATCGGCATCCATGCGCACAAGCCCCCCAACCCGCCATCGGGTATGTCACATACATGAAAGCTGGCAAAGTCGATTCCAGACGCGAGAGAATGACTGTGCTGCAGCATGCCGCGCTGGTTTGACGGTACTGGGCAACGCCTTACTGTGCATCTACCGGTAGTCCTTTTAGGGCCCGGGCCTAAGACGTATAACGGGAGTAAGGGGGAATCGGGATTGTCAATCACAATGCCGCTAAATGGGGCTCGGGGAAGAATGGGGGCCAGCATAGTTACCGCCGTGGAGAAAGCTGCATGCGCACCATGCACCGTTGCAGCACTTGCAGGACTGCGAGTTCTGCCACTCGCGATGCTCGCGACTCCCTTTGTTGTTTATGGAGCAAACTCAGTTTTCTACCAATGGTTGCGCAAAGCCCCCATCACCAGAGCAACACCTTTCGTACAAAGCCCCATCTGCTCTGCAGCATAGAGAGATGCAAAAAGTAAATAACTTTCTACCACCCCTTACAAGCTTCATTCAAGTAATCCTAGTTAACCTGCTAACCCTAAGCGCTTAAGCCGATAGCCAGTACCTCCAACGGTCATCCATTCAAGTCATTTGTTCCGAGTCATTTGCGCCCCGGCTTATATTGCGAAGTTGCATTGAGATCATAGATACAGAGTAATGTCCCGTGTAGTGAACCAACCCCGTGGACCAGGAGGGCCTGTTCGTAAGCATCCAGAGCCATCAAAGCATGCAGAAGAATCTGAAGACGATGAATACAGCGATGACGGAGGCCGGTACGTCTTACTGGAACTTACGACATGGTTGCAGCTTAAGCGGCATGTCATGGTTGACCATGCTACGCTCTTCCTCCTGCGCAACAGTACGCATACCTGTGTCAGTACAATAGTGACTGAAACGCTGCAGGTCAGCGGACGAGATCGGTAAGACCTTTACCTATCGGAGCACGTTGACACCATCTGAAGCAGCAGCATTGGAAAGCTTTAAGAGGCGCGACCGAGATGACTCCGAGGAGGAACTCTACCCCTTGCCTCCAAGACAGCGAGTAAGGTCGCCACCAGCTCTACATGCGCAAGTCATGATGCCTTCCCAGTAAGCATCTGCTGATCGCCCAAATCCATCCCTAATCCGCAGAATGTCACCTACGTTGACCTCCGACGGCCCCTCCGCTCCCGCTCCCTGGGTTCCGACTGGGAGGCACTGTGCATGGCCTTGTCCCATTCCGGCAACACGCTGGCCATCGGCGGCCGACAGGGTGTGGTGCAGGTGAGCGCAGCACAGGTGCCTGAGGGCCTGAGAGGCAACCAAGCGATGACACGCCTGTGGGGTTCCAGGAAATGCACCCAGACAGGCAACACGCCCTGCTTGTCGCAATTTTGTGATAGTTTCCTGTAGCGGTGGTCTCACCAGAATCTTCCGTCCTCGTTGCCTCCCTGCCTGAGGCGCTTAGCCCCTTCTGTCGCCATCCTCCCCTTCCTCCGTCCCACCCCCGCCCCCTTCCCTCCTAACCCCCTTCCTCAGCTGCTCAACCCAGCCACCCTAGAACCCATGGACACACTCGTCATGTCGCAGCTCCTCTCCTCCTCCTCCTCCTCCTCCTCCTTCACCTCCTCTGCCGCCGCCTCCACCTCAAGCAACGCCGCCGGCAGCAGCTTCGGTCCCAACGCCGCCGGATCTCGAGCGGGAGCAGCGGGGACAGCAACAGCAACAACGACAGCAAGGACAGCAACAGCGGGGTCAACAGGAGCAGCGGCAGTGGGGGCAGCGGCAGGTGACCCTGGCCAGGGCGACCCTAGCGGCGGCGGCGGCTTGCCAGGCGGCAGCAGCAGGGGCAGCAGCAGCGCTGACGGCGGGAGTGCGGGTGTGATAACGTCGGTGTGCTTTCGGCCGGACCTGCCGTCAAGCAGGATGGAGAACGTGCTGTTGGTGGCGCAGGTGGGATGGGGAGGGCAGGGGCTGGGGACGCTGGGGACGCAGGGTTTACCGGAGGCCGCGAGGGAAGGAGCGGGTCGAAGAGGGGCCCGACCGCCCCTCCGTCCGCCCTGTGGCCTGCCGCCGCTCTTCTCTCAACCCCCCTGCCTTTGCCCCTTCATCGTTCTCCCGTATTTGGACCTGGTTTGCAATTCAATTCTCGCCATTAAGTGGGATAGTTCGCCTAGCTATCGTACCGGCAGGTGGTCTTTTCACATAACCCTCCAAGCCTCCATTCACCCCCTATTTCCCACCACCCACACCAACCCCACCGCACCCCACCGCACCCCCCAGGGCGACTCCATCTCGCACCTGCATGTGGGCACCCGGCGGCTGCTGCACCGCTGCCGGGAGGCGGGCAACAAGGTCAACACGCTGGCCATGAGGCAGGATGGGGAGGTACGACAAGGGGGCGGGGGAAAATAGGGGGGAGGGAAAGAGGCAACTGACGAGCGGGGAGAGGAAGGAAGAAGAAGACAAGACCCCATGAAGACCCCAGTTAGCTTGTTGGGAATCCTATTTTAAGCCAGAACTAAGCAGCATCATGTTGGAGGTCTCATCGCGCTTAGGGCTGATGTCTTCCGCTCTCATCTCCCTGCTGTTCTCCTCCCCTGCAATGCAACGCCAGGTGTTTGCATCCGCCGGTTCCGATTACGTCGTACGAGTGTACGACGAGGCAAGCTGCTCGGTATGTCGTACACTGGATCACGGAGACGGCGTAACCACCAACGGTCACACCAACCACGTCTTCGCGCTTGCATGGCATCCGGGGGACCCCCAGGTACGTTGCGCGGCTGGCGGGGGAGAGGGGAGCAAGAGGAGCGCTGGGCGTGTGTGTGTTATGGAAACTGGCCGCGAGATGGAACGTGCTGTGGTTGCCGGAAGGTGAAGCTTGTGTGTGACCGGCACCCCCCCCCCCCGGTCCCCTCCCCCCGCAGGTGCTGCTGTCGGGCGGGTGGGACAACCGGGTCCTGGTGTGGGACCTGCGGGTGCACAGGTGGGGGGGGGTGTCGGCCGGGGGGGGAGGGGTGCACAGGTGGGGTGGGGGGGTGCCGGCCGGGGGTAAAAAGAAGGAAACTGACGAACTGGATGACGAGGCTTTACCACGTGTTGCTAATTGAACCCGGCCCACCGTCCGGGGGCGGTGAGGAGGAGGAGGAGGAGGAGGGGGAGGAGGCGGGGGAGGAGGAGCTGCGCACGTGGGACAAGGACCTGCCACGTGTGATGGGGGCACAGGGCTCCACAATGGGTTCAACATGGAGTGGGCGGGTGGGCGACCGCGACCCAGCGGGTCTCCCTTACACTCCAGCCCCAAGCCCGCAGCCCCTCAAACGCCGCCCCCATGCCACCGGCGTGACCCACCCACCGCACACAAGACACGACCCTGAGCGGAATGCCCTTTGTAAGGGTGCACCTAGTAAGGGTGCACACGCATAATGTGACATCAGCCGTACCGGAGGCAACAACACAAAAGCCGTACCTCGCCTCCTGCCGTGTGGGGCTCCGTGGACTCGGCGGTTAGCTGGTTGACCATGTCGTTGTGCACCGTAGTTACTTCGTAGTTTCTTGTCCGCTTCTTCATCCCCCCCCCCCGTGCCCCTCCCGCGCAGGTCCGTTCGCTCCATCTCCGGACCGCACCTCTGTGGCGACGCGCTGGACCTCCAACCCGGCAGCTGCAGTGGCAGCAGCAACATCAGCGGCAGCAGCAGCGGTGCTGGTGGTGTCCTGCTGACGGGCAGCTGGCGTCACAGCGCCCCGCTGCAGCTGTGGGACCTGGGCAGCGGCCGCCTGCTGAGCAACCTGCCCTGGTGGCAGCCGCAGCAGGACGCGTGCCTGCCGTACGCGGCGCGGTTCGGGCGCGGGCAGGGCGCGGAGGGGTGCGTGATGGCGGGCGGGAGCGGCAGCCAGCCGGTGGTGCGCGTGTATAAGATGGTGAGGGCGGGGGTGGGTGGGTGCTAGGTGGTGAGGGCATGGGGGCGGGTTGGGTGGTAGAGGCAGGACGTGTCGGTGATGGGAAGGGGCCGCAATGGTGGGGTTAAGAACAACATGTCAGCGTCTCAAAACGCGGTGCTCCCGGTGACTCCCGGGTGCTTCCCTCATGCCATCCCCCCCCCCCACCGTGCCCTCAACCCGCAGAACGACCCGGGCGACGTGGAGCTGCAGTTCTCAGTGCGGCTGGATCGCCCCGTGCACGCATTGGTGCAGCTGAAGCCGACCCAAGCCGCCAGCGGACCCATGGGTCAGTCTGGCCCGGTGTTGGCGGTGTGCTGTGACAAAGAGATACACACCGTGTCTCTGGCTCCAGGGGGAGCAGAGGCCAGGTGAGGGCTTGGGGCCCCCTAGGGGAAAGCTGCGGCTATGATGTGAGTGCGGCTGTGGATCTGGGATTGGGTTGGGGAGGACAGGCGCTGGGGAAAAGAGGAAACAAGTAACTGGGGAGGTGGGGTCTGTGTGGACGTCTGGCGGTGTGGGTTGAAGGCCTTTGTCTTTTTCGCCGCGTAGCGTAGCGCCATGTATGCGTGCGGCTATGTGTGGGCGGGCGGTGGTTCCTCAAGCGGGGTTGGAGGAGCCGGGAGGCTTTCGAGGAGCATGGAACGGAGTTGTAAAGAGACATGGGTCTAGCAGAAGTAATTCGTGCTTGTGAGGGAGAGGCATCCTCAGCGACGTCCTCGCGGAAGTAAAGGGAGATAGCGCTGCAAAAGGCTGACATTTAGCCGATTCTTTGCGATGGGTTGTTGATGTCTGTGGGGTACTTGCACCTTACCGGGAAGGCAACGTCCTAGTAGGCATGCGTATGGCCTGTTCTGGACGACAGGACGTATGATCTGGGGCAGGGTCGATCCGATATGCTGCAATATGCTCCTGGATTAACTTAATGCGCGGAATTTGTGTACGAGCTGTAGCGAGTTCCTTGCATGAACCGAGCGGGATGCGGAGTTAATGCTTTGCATTCCCCTTCACGCCCAACCGCAATCGATGTTTTCGAGGTTACGCTTGAAGGATAGTAGATGCTCGGGGATCCTGGCCTCATAGGGGAGCTGGCACCGCTTCGCAGTTGCTGCGTGAAGGGTTGCGTCCGTTGCACTTCCCACGCACCTTTCGCACCTGTTGTTAGGTAAGCGTCGAACCTGACACGATAAAAGCAACATATGTATAATGTTGTAAAGAAAACATGCAACCGCTTCTGGATCAAATTTACCGGACGGGAAACATCTGTGCTGCATGTTCCGGGGGCCGCCAGCGAAGCATGGCAACCGGCTGCAGCGTTCATAATGCATAACTACTAAGCAACAAACGGTTGGTGACTTTACTTGTATGCTAACCTGCGTATCACACGTATGTCCCTTAGGATCGATAAGTGCAGACGTGACTAGGCCTGACCCACAAGTGTAAACTCGCTGTCTGCGTTGGTAGCAAGGGATACTATGAACTTTAACAGCAAACGATCTGTCACCGATGAGCAAAATGAGCGGCACAAACGGCTATTGGCAGGCATCCTTAAGGAAGAGGGGAATAAGAGCTGCGCTGATTGCAAGACTCGCAATCCGACATGGGCTAGCGTCAACCTCGGTGTCTTTGTCTGCCTGACGTGCTCGGGCATCCACCGGTCGCTTGGTGTGCACATTTCTCAAGTCCGGTCGTGCAACCTGGACACCTGGCTGCCCAAGCAAGTGGAATTCTGCAGGGTCATGGGCAATGTGAAGGGCAACAAGTACTGGGAAGCACGGCTTCCAAAGGACTTCAGGCGCCCACCAAGCGGCAACCCCAACCCAGAACTCGCGGCATTCATCCGCGCTAAGTACGTGGACAGAGCCTTTGCTGCCATGGATGCACAGCCACCAACGATCGATAACTACCTTGACCATCCATACGCCAAAGACGCCGATTCCTCCTCGGCACCACCAACCACCGCAACTTCCGCTGCGCCATCGGCCCAGGCGCCACCCTCCGCCCAGCGGTCAACGCCCACCAAGGCCGCAGCGTTGACCACCGACCTGCTGGGCGGGTTCGACGAGCTTGCGGGCATCTCAGCTCCGCCCAACTCGCAAACGCCACACTCCGCACCCCCAGCCAACAGCGATCCCTTCAGCTCCTTCATCTCCGCACCCCCAGCAGCCACCACCACCACCTCCTCGGCTCAGGGAGCATGCTCCCTGGAGTGGACCGACTTCCACGCCGCGGCTCCGGTGCCTCCGGTGGTCCTCGCGCCCCCGCCCCCGCAGCCGCTGCTGCTGCCTCCTCAGTCCTCCGGCCTCTCCCACCAGCGCAGCTATTCCATCAGCGAGGGCGTGCCTACCAACACCACCGGCAGCGGCTCCTCCGCCTCGAGCGCCTTTTCCGTCCAGCCCACGCGCTTCTCCGTCGCCCAAGCAGCGGGCTCCTCTACGCACGCCAGCCACGGCCACCACCACCATCACCACCAGCATCAGCACCACCCCGCACAACAGCCCCACCATCCTATTGCAACCACCGGCAGCAGCAGCAGCCACCACAAGACCAGCTCCTCCGACCCCTTCGGCTCCTCCATGCTGCACACGGAAGACCTGCTCGCGGGGCTCACCATCCATCATGTCATGGAATCCATGGCCGTACCGCCCGCCGCCGTACCTGCTGCCGTACCTGCCGCAGGCGGCTCGCTCTCTTCCTCCTGCTTGGCTAACGGCATGAGCGGTAACGGCCTCGGGAGCTCCGCAGCCCTACCGGCTGCTGCTGCGGCGGCGGACCCTTTCCAGTTCAGCTCCTCGGCGTCATCTGGGGATGTGCTGCCGCCGCCGCCCTCACGAGGCGGCAGTCACCGGCGGCAGCGCTCCAATGTGAAGTCCTCGGAGGAAATCCTGCGGCTGTTTGACACGGAACCCTCCACGGGGAAGACGCCGTCAAACTCGGGATTTGCCGTAGCAGCAGGAGGTGGCGGGTTTACGGCGACGACGACGGCGGGTGCTGTTGCTACGCAGCAGGACGATGACCCTTTCGGCGACTTTATCAGCTGTAGCAGCAGCAGCAGCGTGGCAGCAGCAGCAGCTGCTGCTAACACGGGGACGTTGCCGCAGGCTAATAGCAGCAGTGGCAAGCAGCAGCCGGGACCGCTTCATTTGCATGTGAATGGAGGGGCAGCAGCTGCAGCAGCAGCAGCCAACGGTCTGGTCGGTAGCGGCGTAGTAGGTGGCGTAGGGGGGTATGCGGGAATGCCAAACCTGTTGTAAGTAAGACATGGTTGCATGCGCGGGCCTACGAGAGGCGCACGGGATACAGCATGAGCCAATGCTGATGTGGGTCAGAGCGAACCTCAAACCTTTTGGAAGGAAACCGCAAGTTCGGGGACACGCAGACACGAGGGAGAGGAGGCGGAGGATTGGAAAGTCGCATCTGGGTGGACTGCCGTTCTGACCTGACCCACACACGGCATGCGGCACACGGCTAGAGGGTAGCCGCAAGCCGCGTCGGCGATCGGCGTGTGAAGCTGTTAGGTGCCGATTCGGCCGATGACGGGATGCGGTGGAGGTAGGAGGAGTGTATGTGTGTTAGGGAAACTTGCCGCGAGTCGGAACGTGCTGTGATTGCCGGGAGATGAAACCCCCATAGAGGAGTGTGTGTTTGCACCGTTTTGAGTGGTGTTGCTGCTGGTGTCCTCCGCTGCTGCTCTGGGAGCTGCTGCTTCAGGGCTATTACAGGGCACAGCTGGAACTTGCTTTGGCGAGGTGCACGGTGCATGGGGCCAGCGAAGAATGACGGTTTGGGGGGTTACACAGATTACAGCGTGCGTGCGTGGTGTGGTGTGGCTGGGTGGCCGCCCTGGGATGTGGGTTACATCGGATTGGTGAGGAGCAGCCAGGGACTTGCGGCGAGGGGCTGATGTTTTGTGTACTTGGGACGAGGGCAAGTAGCTCGGAAGGGTCGCGGAGGGTGGTTGTGAGGCTGATCAGAGGTGAGCATTGGGGTATTGGGTGTATTGAAAGCCGTGGATACCGGTATTGGAAACAGAAAGTCGAACTTGCCAGTGGGCATCACAGCTGTTTGGGCTGCCGGACCATTTGATATCGGGAGACGCGGCCATGAGACACACGCACCCTCGTGCCGTGTGCGGGCACCCGGGGGGGAAAGACTGTGGGTGGGGGAGACTGGGGGTTTAGGATAAGGAAACTGACGAACTGGGGGAGGAGGCGGCACTTAGCAGCGCCCCATGCAGACGCGGCAGCAGCGGAGGCACCCTACACATGGCCTCAAGCTTGGGCCGGGGCTATGGAAGCACTGATGGGACGATGGGACCTTGAGAACCTTGTTTGTATTGCAGCTGTGTTGATGGTAAGGGGCACTGGCATATCCGGTATACGGTATGGTGGAGGGACCGAGTGACGAGTTTCGGTTTGTGAATGGTGTAGGCCCGATAGGCCCGTAGCTTCTTACGTCGAAGTCTCATAGGACGAGCGACTCTGGACGCAGAGTAGAGTTCATTGCCGGCTTTTGCATGGATGCCGTTGAGGCATGTGGTGGGCAACGGACTTCTTACGGCATCTAGAACGAGATGTGCTGCGGTTGCATGTGTGATGTGGTGATTTGGTCGCATGCCTTTGATCGCAGATCTGACACGGCTGCTGCCGTATTGCCGTCCAGCCGGGGCCATTCGAAGCCAGATAGAGAGATCTCCAGCGGTATGTTTCCACGTGATATCCTGCGTTTTGCTGTTTCAGCTGCCACATCAGGTCTGTGTACAAGTACTTTTGCTACAGAGACTCCAAACGATGACCGAATTCTCTTGAAGCGAAAAGGAAGTCGTCGACGAAAGGATAGCACGGCGTTAATTGGCATTGGCAATAATATGTATAACTTGGGACCTTGGACATATAACCGTAGCTACGCATTAGCAGGTTAACCTGCTGTAAATAAGCGAGGCCGTCCGCTTTTGTCTCCGTGTTCAAGCAAAACACCGTAGTTACCATATCTACATGTCCTATATGCACGTCGAGTACCCTAGCGTTCTCTCCTCGTCTGGAAACACCTCCGAACACCTCCATGCTACATTGCGCCCATGCTACAGCGCATGGGCAAGGCACCCTTGCAAACGCCGCGTAGCTGTGTAGCTGCCAGCATGCGCACAAACCCTCTCAATTCTCCTCACTGTACAGCACTAGCAGCCGATGTACAGCACTGGCAGCCTCCACACCGAACCGCCGCCTGCACTGCATAACCTAACCTTACTGCGTTGGGAAGGCTGGCGCCCCAAACGGGTTATCCGTCTCTCCAAAAGGGTCCTCATCCCCAAAGCCAAGCACGGGAGCAGGCGCCGCAGCAGCGGGGGTGGGCTTCCCAGCTGCTGCTGCCGGCTGCGGCTGCTCCGGTCGCGACTGGGCCGCCGCTGCCGGCGCCGGCTCCGCCACAAACGCGTTATCCTCCTCCCCAAACCCAAAGGCTGCCGTACCGAACGACGGCGGCGCCGCAACCCGACCCGTAGCGAAGGGGTTGTCCGCCAGGGCGCCGCTATCCGCTTGCGGCAGCAACCCCGCCTCCGCCGCTGTTGCTGCTTCCGTCGCTGCTGCTGGGCCGCTGCTGGTCTCCACCCTCGCCGGAGCTGTGGCGAAGGCGTCGTCCCCACCCGGATGCCCTCCTCCCGCCGTCGACGTCACCGCTGGCGGCGGCGCCGGCGGCGATGCAGCTGCTGTTGTTGTTGCTGCGGTCGTTGTGGCGGTTGCAAACGCAGGGGACTCCACAAACACAAAGCCCGAGCCGAAGGCGCCTTGGGCGCTGGGTGCAGCAGCAGCAGCAGCAGCAGCCGCGGCGGCGGCGAGTGGCGTCGTGATGACGTCAGGCGCCGCCGCCGCCACCTCCGCTGCCGCCACGGGAGCCACCAAGGCAATATCGCTGAACGCTGAGGTTCCGTTGATTCCGGAACGAGGTTCGGGAGACGCCGCAGGAGCAGCAGCCGACAGGTCGAAGCTCGGAACGGGTGCTGCGGGTGCTGTCTCTGGTGCTGCTGTTGCGGTTGTCGGGGCGGCAGCGGGGGCTGCGAAGGCAGCCTCTCCAAAGGCATCATCGTCATCAAAGGCCGCTGCTGCGGTGGTGTGCTGACCCGACGGGGCTGCCGCCGCCGAGACAGCTGCCGCGGGAACGGCAGGAGCAGTGATCGTGGTAGCGCCGTCATTACCGGCGGCCCCGAATGCCGGCGGGTCTTCAAACCCAACGTCAAACCCAGCACTGCTTGTCGGCTTGGCTGCGGAAACAGGGGCTGCTGGTCCGCTGCCACCGCCGCTGCCGCCGCTGCCCGCAGCAGTAAAGGCCGGCGGGTCGCCGAATGCAGGCGGGTCATCGAAAGCCGCTGCACCTCCAAACCCTGCGCTGTCACTGGGAAAAGCCTTAGCGGCAGCGGCAGCAGCAGCAGGCTGCCCCCACGCGGCGAAATCCTCACCCGGCAGCGCACCCCGCATGGCCGGAGCCGGAGCCGGAGCGGCGGGGGCAGCAGCAGCAGCGGCAGCTGGTGCGGCTGGCTTGCCGGGTTGGGCAGCAGCAGGGGCGGCAGCCGCGGCAGCAGGGGCCGGTGCAGGGGGGGCTGGTGCGGCCTTGACGATGGGCCGGGGCGCGTCAGCTCCTGGGAGGGCGTTGACGATGACGTAGCCGCGTGCGTCTGCGTCGTCGTCCGCCCAGTCCTGGACGCCTGCAGGGCCACACAGGTGGGGTGGGGGTGGGGACAAACATGCGGTGGGGGGGCACACGTGATGTGATGTCTCTGGTGTCTGAAGTCTGATGTGGTGTGGTGTGGCATTCCACAATAGCAGCGCTTGCCAGGTCAAGTCAGGCCCGGTCCCCACAGCAGGCAAGTGAAGTCCTAAAGGACGGCACGCCCTGCTCCTCAGCGGCCCATTAGCCGAAGAAAACCTTCCTCCTTAGCCGAGAAGCTTCAAGCCGAGGTCCCACAACACCTCCTAAGCCCTCCTCAGCCCCAATACACCCCCCCTCCCACCTGCCGCAACCTCCTCCGCCCACACATGAAGCCCAGTAAGGGTGGCGGGCAGGGCCTCGAACGGCACCACAGCGCCGCCCCGCTGAGCTAGTCCGTACAGTCCGCGGTACACAGCGGCAGCACGCGACAGCAGCCCGGGTACGGCAGCCACAGCGCCTGCGGCCCGAGCCTGCTTCAGCTCCGCCTGCAAGGTCTCCAGGGCGCTCTGGCAGCCCTCCACCTCCGCCGCCGCGTCCTGGTCGGCCGCCTGCAGGGCCGCCAGCTGCGAGCGAGCCGCCTCGTGCTGCCTGCGGAGGCCGTCAATCTGGGCAGCGGGGCGGCGAGCGGGGCGAGGAGGGGGGGACAAAGAAATTCCAAAGTGTGGCGTGATAATATGATACAAGTTATAATAATAGTTGTGATGATACAGGACATACCAGAACCACAGGTCCGGGCAAAGCAGTTGGGACGGAGGAGGGCAAGGCGGGGGTCAGGGGAAGCCAGAGGAGGATGGAGGGCGAGGTAAGGACAAAGAAGTGGACAAGAAGACCATTACAGGTGTAGACATAACAGTAAAGAGTATTCCGGCGTCGCTATATACACGGCCCTACATGGCCCCACCTTGGCCATCTTGGCGTTTCTCACAGCCTCCAGTGCCGTACAGCGGCTGCTCAGCTCCCCCAACTCGCCCTCCAGTCGGGCCACGTCAGCGGGGCCCATGCGCTCGGCGGCAGCCGCCTCTCCCTGGCAGCGGGGGGAGGGGAGCGAACGGCGGCAGGAAGAGAGGGAATAAAAGAAGGGAAAAACTACAAGAGGGTCCTCCACCTTCGCTTCGCAAACTCCGGTCCCTACAAGCCTCCTCAACACTGCCGACAGGTCCCCCGCCCTAATATTGACCGGTGCTAACACCTACTATCCTGGTCTGCTCCACCCACCTCCAGCCTCCTCATCTTCTCCTCCAGCTCCGTCTTCTGCCCCATCAGCTCCAGGATGTGCGCATGCACCGCCGCCGACTTCTCGCTGGCAGCCTGGGCGGCGGCGTAGGCCTGTACGACAGCATGTTGGCGGATGTGTCGTACACAAACATGCGCACATGGTTTCAGAAACAAAACACGCACACACATGCATGCGGCCACTTATTTTAACACATGCATGCATGCATGTCATAAGCTCGCACAGCAGCTGTCTATAGCTTCACAACTCCCCTCCTAACCACCCACCCACCCACCCACCCACCACCCGCCCCCTCTCACCGCATCATACCGCTTCCTGCTCGCCTCCACCTCCTCCTCCAGCCTCCTCGCCTGGTCCTGGCTGGTCAGCAGCGCCACCTCCGCCCGCTTGCGGAACACCACGAGCTCCTGCAGCGCCGCCGTCAGCGCACCCTGCCGCGCACGCGCCTCTGCACTGCGCTCCTCGGCGGTCTGCAGCGCGCGCTGCTGGGCCTCCGCGGCCTGCTGCTCTTCCTGGAGCTTAGCGCTGGGGGGGAGCGGGAGTGCGGGCGGGCGGGCAGGCGGTGGTGTTAAGAAAACTGGCCGCGAGGAAGAAGGTAGCGTAATTAGCGATGGTGTACGTGCGGTGGGAAGGGGGTGGCGATGGGGAGAGGGGTGCGGTGTGATGTGTGGGGCGGGGTTGCTCAGGAGTCAACCAACTGAGCCAGCACCGCAATTAAACACTCTTAAGCAATATGGCCAACGGAAAGCCTTGCCGACATCAGGCTCTAAGCACACATGCGGACACACCGGGCCGCTGGCTCACCGGTCCATCGCGGACACCCCCGCCAGCAGTCCCGCAGGCACCACAGGCACCTGGGAGGCAGGCCCGGCCGCAGCAGCAGCTGACGGCGGCGGCGCCAACCGCTCGCCGCTCGACAGCTCCATTCGTGGCGGCAGCGCAGCCGGCGGCGGCGGAGCCGCCATGGGCGAGGTCTGCGGCGCCGCCAGTACGGCGGTGATGTTGCTGCTCGTACCGAACTGGGACTGCAGGGACCAGCCGCCGCCAGCGGCGGCGGCGGCGCCGGAAGGCGCCGCTGGCTGCTGCTGCTGCGGTGGCAGGGTGCTGGATGCGAGGGGCGGGAATCCCGATAGTCCCGGCGGCAGGTAGCGGGGCAGCGGCAGGCCGCGTTTGACGCAGTCGATGAGGTAGAGGTAGGCCACGAATTGCGGTCCGGTGAGGCGGCCCTCGGAGCCCGCCACCAGGTTCCAAATGTCGCGCAGGGCGGCCTTGTCCAGCCCGGACTGCAGGAAGAGGTTGAAGCACTCGGCGCCCTGGGGGGTGCGGTGCGGTGTGGAGGAGGGAGGGGAGAGGGGCAGCAGCAGCGGGAGGAGTGAGAAGACGGGAGAGGAGTGGAGAGAATTGCTGGGTGTTTGCTGGCGTATGCAGGCGTATGGGTGCAGGGAGGTGGCAGACAGCGGTTTGCACATCCCCAAGACGCTTGCTCGCATGCGCGTCCCTTCTTCTCTTTCCACAACCCAAAAACCACGAGGCACGGCCTCACCGTCACGTAGCCATCCCGGTCCGTGTCGAGCTGTACGAACATGGCTTGGAACCTTTGGAGCTCCAGAGCCGTCAGTGCGGGGTAGCCCCCCGCAGGCATGGCCGCCGCGGAGCCGCCTGTTTGCTGGGGGGTGTACGATACCGTCGGTACGATGCCCCCGCCAGTCGGCTGCGTAGTGTACGACGGAGGCGGCGGTACGATTCCACCCGTAACTTGAGCATTGTACGGCTGTGGAGGTACGGCAGCGATGGATTGACCTGTAATTTGAGCGCTGTAGGGGCTGGGGCTGCTGCCGGGGACCGGGGAGGGAGAGGCTGACTGCTCCAGGCCTCGGAGGGATGGAGGAGGTAGACTGGGGCCTACGCCGGCGATAATGGCCCGCGCCTGTTCGATGGGTAGCTGGCCGCCATGAGCCTGGGCATGGGAACGGGTAATGGTGAAGATGAGGAGTTATCTTCACCATAAGAGCAGAGAAGACACAGAGAAAAGGTGGAAGGTATGGAGTACCGCTGCCATAAAGCTTGTTAATGTGTTGAGGAGCATCCATGCGGCTACGCGAGTTCGCAGGGCCATGGCCCAACCGATTGCTTGCTCACCTGGGCCAATGCCACCAGGCGCATTGCCGACGAGAACTGGAACTGGTTAAGCTTTGCAGCTCCTCCTGATGACAGCTCCCAGATCTGTCGTTAGCGACGTGGCAGTTGCAAAGGATGGTGAATGGCACGACGCCCAAGTGAGGCCTTGCAGAAGTCCATGTCCGCCAACAATTACGTTCATAGATCAAGCTGTATATGATTTGGAGGAATGCCCACCTGTCCAAGGACAGCTTGCGGGAGTCCTGACCGCGTGAAGAACGATACTGCTTCCGCACCACCAACCGCCCCATCCCTATCCGCATCCGCGATGCGAAACCATTGCTCATAAAGCTGTTGAGCCATAGTGCCTGGTCGTGACTACCTAGTTTGCCCTGATGTCATGTGGAGCAAAGGGACGCAATAATCAGCCAACGAGGGGTTAAACAGATGTGGTTCAAGGGCAAGTAGGGAAGAAAGCAAGTCAGGGAGTATATGCCATTGTGTACGTGAGAAGAGAACCGTCAGCAGCTGTCGTGCAAGCGTGATCTGAGGGCCAACTTCTTAAGCATCCAAGCTCAACAAACGTCAGGACTGGATACACAGCACTTGCAAAGCTGAGCTGATCGGCTTACCAAACCTTCTTCCTGTGCATACCTGCCTGCTGAGCTACTAGCTGGGCAGGTCTTTAGGCCTCTCTTGTGTTTCTACTTCATCTCTGGTGCTGTTGTTCTGCGCTTACCTATAGTAGGAAGGACTGGCTCATATCCTCGAAGACAGCACCGCTCTGGAAGATGGCTGCAACATTGCCGGAGCAGGAGGACGAGTATCGGATCAAACGCATACAATTCTTCGGTCGGTCATGTACACCGATCTTCATGCAAAATCGTAACGGACCGTGCCCGCTGCTGGCACTGGTGAGTCGTAGAAAGGGGCGGGAGCTGGTTGCAGCTGCGGAGGAAACCCTTTTCCCGATAGTATCATATAACGGCTTTTCTCTTTCATGCCATTATGCTTGTACCCTTACATAGGCGAACGTGCTTTCGCTGCGCAATCAGCTGCCCGATATTGGCACATCAACCACATGCATCAGCCAAAAGCGCCTCATCGCGATGGTTGCGGAGCGTTTGCTGGACGCCAACCCAACTGGCGCGGGAAGCGGCGGCGCCTATGAAGCGGACTTGCAGCAGAATCTGTCTGACAGCCTTGACAGCCTTCATAGATTGGCTGTCGGGATGGATGTCAACGTGCGCTTCAATAGCGTCTTCGGGTGCGTGCCCAAGCGTAAACACCGGGATTAGCATTTCGATGCATCTAATCAGTACTGTTGGCGAATAAAGTGAAGGCAGAGTGCTCTGACGACGGCCAGGGAACGGAAGACCGCTTGCACCTAGCTCGACATCCTATCGGCTAGCTCCGCCTATGCTTCTAACCAACGTGGAGTCCCCGCTTCCACACCCTCGCCAGCATCATGCCTTGCCATGAAAGCAGCGCATGCCTGTCCCTATGGCTCTACAACCCCGCCTCTCCATACCGGTAACAACCCCCTCTCTAATCCCCTGTTTTCTCACCAACAAACAAAAACAATCAACGGAACAGGTTCGAGCCCACCCAGTACGTGAGCATCTTCGACCTGCTGGATGTGTCGCTGTGCCACGGCTGGCTGGTGGATCCGCATGGGGACAGCGAGGCGGCGGCCGTGGTGGGCTCCCGCAGCTACAATGAACTCATCGAGATGATCGTAACCACAATGGAGACCCTGCAGCAGCAGCCCCCGGCTCCTGCTCCTCACCAGCCCCAGCAGCAGGCGCTGCAGCCTTCTCCTCCTCAGCAGCAAGTCCAGCAGCAGCAGCAGCCTCAGGCGCAGCAGCAGCACGTGCAGGAGCAGCAGCAGCAGCACCAACAGCCAGAGGAGCTGCACCAACAGCAGCAGCAAGTGGAGGACCAGCCCCAACTCGCCTCCAGGGACTTGCCGCAGGTAATTGCCGTTGCCCTGCAAGCGGCGCCACCCGGCTCTCCCCGGTCCGATGGCTCCTCCCAAGAGGCTGTCTCCCCCTCCGGCGCTGCTGCAGCAGCTGCTGCTGCCATCCCAACCCCGCCCTCGGCACCAACTCTAGAAGGAGGAGACGAGGGGCTGGCGGCGATGCCTCCGTCCGCTGCGGCCGTGTGGAGCTCGGCGGCGGCGAACCTGCTGCCTGAAGCGGCACCGTCACAGCATGCGGCTGCGGCTCCGGACGTAGGCGGCAACGACGGTGGCAACGACGGTGGCAACGGGGCAGGCAGCAGCAGCAGCGGTAGTGGTCATGCAGCCGGTGGCGGGGCGGTGGGGGTGGTGGTACCGCCCTTTACTCTCAACCTTGGAGACTCGCTGCTGCTGTTGGCGGAGGGCGGTGAGAGGAGCGTGCCCACGGAGACATCTGCTGCGCCGCCACCGCCACCTCCGCCTCCTCCGCCACCGGCAATGCAGCCGGTGCTCGGTGTGCATTCGGATGCGTACTGCCCGCAACCGCAGCAGCCACAGCAGCCGGCAGCACCACCGCCGGCTGAGCAACGGGACCTCATTTGCTTTGATGACTTCGAGGAGCAACCTCCGCCGTCGCCTCCTCCACCGCCACCTCCCCCTCCGCTGGCCCCTCCGCCCTCCCCACCGCCACCACCGCCGCTCCCAGCCGACGCGGTGCCCCCCTCCACCACTCCCACCTTCGCCACCACCTCCACCACCCCCATGCCTCCGCCTCCGCCTCCCGCCCCGGCTGCCGCTCCTACCGGCACCTCCCTCACCTACCCATATTCCTACTCATCACCATCACCCGACGCGGCGGCTGCAGCCCCCACCAGCGCCGCGGCGGCTGGCGGCGGAACAGCAGAGACGGCTGCAGCCCCCAGCAGCTCCGGCTCCGGCTCAGGCTCACAGCCATACAGCGGCAGCGCCGGCAGTGCTGGCACTAGCAGCACCCCGGGCTCGGGCCCCTCGCTCCCTTTGGGCCCCTCGGGCTCCTCTGGTGCCGCGGGGGATGCCGCGTGGGACCGCCTGGCTCGGCGCGCGTACGAGGTGATGGTGGCGCGCGACTTCCTGGAGACCACCTGCTCGCAGCTGACTGCGGTGGGGCTGTCGGAGCTGCGGCGGGGGCTCAAGGATAATCAGTGAGCGGCGGGGGGGGGCGGTGTGATGGGGTGTAAGGGACCGTGGAAGGCGTTGAAGCCCCTTTGAGGAGCTTCGTGCGCCTGTTGCGTCGAGAAACTGAGCCGTTCCCTGGTTTGGAACTGCTTTAGGGATGGGGCGCCCGCGTTACCTTGGCCTGTGTCCATGTCTTGCTCATGAGTCATGACCCGTCCTGCTTGCCTTCTGCCTGCTTGCTTGCCTGCCCTCCTTTCCTCCGCAGGCTTGCCGTGTTCTTCCGGAACAACCACTTCTCCGTCATCTTCAAGCGGGGGGCCAGCGGGCAGCTGTACCTGCTGGTCACGGATCAGGGCTACCTCAATGAGGGTGAGGGAGAGGGCTTCCAGCACTGCCGGGGCCGCCGATTGGGTCCATCAGGGGACATTCAAAGCCGCTCATGCAGCCCATGCTGCTGATCCCTGTGACTACTCCTGTACCCGCCAATACCCGTTCTTACCTGTGAATGTACCCTGGCCATGTTCCTGCTGTTTTTCCTCACCTTTTCATTGGCTGCAGCGGACGTTGTGTGGGAGCATCTGTCCAGTGTGGCCGGGGACAACCAGCTGTGTGACGCGAACTTCTCGCCCTTCAAGCCGCACCGCGATGCCTCAGCGGCGGCAGCAGCGGCTGGCGGCGGCGGTGGAGGTGAGATGAGCGAGGCTGATGCGGCCGCCATTGCCGCGGTGCTGGCGGAGGACGATGCGCAGACGCTGGATCTCACCGGGCTGGATCTGAACCAGCAACAGCAGCAGCCTGCGAGGCAGGGCGCGCAACAGCAGCAGCCACAGCAACAGCAAATGCAGCAGCAGAGTTTGCAACAGCAGCAGCAGTGGGAGCAGTGGCAGCGACAACAGCAATGGCAACAGCAGCAGCTACCCCAGGGCTACCCACAACCTCAGCAGCAGCAACAGCAGTGGCAGCCGCAGCAGTCGCAACCACAGCAGCCGCAGCAGCCACAGCAAGCGTTGGGCTGGGCAGGTGGTCACCCGCAGGCTGGTACGGCAACGCCAGATGCAGTGTACGGCAATCTACCGTACGAGCAACAGCCGTACAACCACCTGCCCTACCAGCCCCAGCATGGGGGCCACCCCGACCTGGACGCTGACATGGCGCTTGCGTTGAGGCTTCAGGAGGAGGAGGAGATGGCGGCAGCTGCAGAGCGGCAAGCGCGGCAGCAGCAGCAGCAGCAACCGCAACAGCAGCAGGGCCAGCAGCTGGACGGTTCTCGGGTAAGTGGTGGTTACCGGTAGGAGGGAAGGGCCATTGAGGTTTAGACAGCTTGCAAGTTGTCATCGCTCTTGGGCTGTGAAAGCCGCCAGTCCTCAACAGTAGCCTAACGGCTTTTGTCCTCGGCCTGTTTCTTGCTTGCTTGTAACAGGAACAGCAACAACAACGCAGGGGCACTTATACGCCCGCTTACCAACAGCAGCAGCAACGGCAGCAGCTGCAGGGGCAGCAGCAGCGACCCACGGGTCAGGCAGGCGCCCGAGGTGGGGCGCCACAGCGGCCCGCAGCCCAGCAGGAGGACAGCAAGTGCGCCATCATGTAGTGTGCGAGGTCGCCCCATCAGGATACGTTCCGCAGGATTCGCTGTATTGGCGGTACGTTTGGTCGATTGTGTTTTTGCCTGGGAAATGCGCGGATCCGTACCTGGGTGTCTTGCTAATGAAGAGACATGCAGCAACAAGTGAAGGCGTTGCAGGGTTGGTGCGTAGGCGTACGAAATTGGACGCGCTGGTATGACTGCTTGCTTCATTCTTGGGTTGTAGGCAGGTATCTAATGCTGCATTAAGTGCGGGTGTGGCTCATAGGTGTCATGTATTCCCTGTTGTCGCGGCTTGTGCAGGCTACCGTGACATGGGGTGCCCTGTTCGGTTTGACGACGTGTGCGGCTCAAGAAAGCGGCAATTGGGTCCTCGCATGCTTGCAGGAAATGTGGGGCCGGAAGCAGGATGCGTATCGTGGTGTGGAGTCGTAGCTTACATTCATTTACGAGCCTGCGTGCTTTGAAGGACGGCGCTTGCGCGTTTCTAGCATTAGGATTCAGTGGATTCTATATTTTCAGGGTGCCGCTGTTATCGGTTCGTGCAAGACTGGCAGGCATGGCAAGGGATGACGGCCCGTGCATAAGGAGTAATATGCCTGCAATGTAAGGTACCTGGTTAGTTGCATGGTTGGCACAACGTGTCTGATGCTTCCACCAATGCATACAGCCGCTACATTCAATCGGGGTTAGGTGCGATGTTCAGTAAACCAGAGGACATCCCATACCTTCAATGCCCCAACCATTCATTCCACGGGCCATATCCCATATGCCCCAGCTTTCCAAAACACAGTACACCCAAGAGGCGCGCAGCCCATGCGAACACAATTTGTGTATTATCACATGCATCCTTTGCCGCGCGTCGTACACTCGTCGTACAGCACGCTTGCAGCCTCTCCATCACAGCACCCTCCCAGCTTGGCACAAAACCCTGCTCTCCCATCAGCCAGCACATGGTCCCCGCGGTAACGCGTACGGCAGTGCCTACACCCAACAATGCATCTCACCAGTTCCTTAAGCATCATGCATACTTACGTTCCTAAGACCCCAACGCCATGCGGCGCCGCTGCTCTACAACGCCCCTGCGTACCGTACATACGTTACGGCAGCCATCGTACACACCGCACAAGTCGTCACCCTGCATTGAGTGCTTAAATTACGAGCTCACGGGTCCAGACAGGACACTCATGGACATGACTTAACAAGTTCATCCTAAAATTACGATTGAAGCGAAAATACACGCGCCGCTGAATGGCTAGCCGACACGTGCTCCTCACCCGTACACCCGCACATACCGAGCCGCTCTGTAACTCCCTACATGTTCCCTAAATTCACACATGCAGCTGGGTTACCAGCGGACGTCATCCTAGCGCTCCGTCTGCCAACACGGCCAGATCCCACTCGACAAAACACCTGCCAGACACTTAGCAATGTTAGCATACACACAGCACTGCCGAAGTTAGGCGCAACTACACATTGTACACCGTAACACTTGTAGCACACGGCAGCAAACCTTATGCAAAGCCTCATGACTAGGTAACAAACACACTTCGGGCTAGCCTGGCATAAGCGGGAATGTCCTGTACGGAAATGCCCTGTCCCAGAAATCCTATGTACAACCAGTCAGCAATACACACCGGCTGCGAACCCGCGGAACCACCAGCAGTAGACCCTTAAGCCTGCTTCAGCTCCCCGAAAAAGTGCCACCGAAGCCCTACCAAACCGCACCATAGTTAACTCCGCGCAGACGGCAATTGGTGCAAATGAACTGGAAGTCACCACAGCCGGTGGCCCTGGAGCCGAGTGACTAGCATGGAGATGGAGGTAGGTATAACCATTATGTTGATGAACAGCGGGATGGCAAACAACGGCGAGCGCCAGCACCAAGGCCAGCACCAGGACCTTAGGATGCGAAGCATGTCCGATTGTCTATTGTACAGAGCCGGGAAGAATTGGTACAAGGTGAAGATGCTGATCAGGTCGAGCGGCTGCTTGGCCAGAAGCATCTGAGCCGCCACTAGGACGATGATGTAGATCAAGGTCACCAACCGAAGTCGCTCTGTAGGCACCGGATGAACCGCGATCATTAAACAGGAATAACGAGAGCGGTGTTTGCTTCTTTTAGTGCCTTCACAGCAAATCCATAGCCACAAGACGCGTCGAACGAGGCGTAATGTGTAGCAGAGCTGTACCAAAAGCAGAGACCTAAATTGCGTCTGGCGGGAAAACAGAGTAGCAAAGAGGCCTTGCCTTCAAACTTAAGAACAACCAGCAGGTTGCGGCCACCACCCTCTGCGTCGAGTATGACAGCTAAGCCGTCTTTTGGGGGGCGGAGGGATAGAAGTTTCAATGCTTCCGCACGCTGGGGCACGTCGTCGCCGGGAAGAGAATTGGTCCGTCGAAATCTCTCCAACAACGTGTGGTCCAACAACACGATGGGCTCTGGCTCCATTTCCTGAGCGCAATAGTACCGCTTCCAAAAGGGATAGCTGTCGTCAGCTGGGCAGCTTGCTTCACCAAGATGTAAAATAGTAAAGGTCAACTCGCATGCCTTTCAATTTAAACGCCTTTCACAGTGGTATAGTTAGGAAGTGCCTCGGTGACGCAATTACCAAAGCAAATGTACGGGGCGCCTTTATCGCGAAATATTTTTCTCTTCTATCCTCCATGTTCGTTTTTTCCCGCACTTGTGTACTTTAAGTTGAATGCCAGGTCACATGTAACGTTTTGGTAGTAACCGTCATTGTCCTGTCGCCTGATGCAATCTCCGTACGCTGTTTCCGAGGGCGTCACGGACACCCTATGGTTGCTGCAAACGCAACTCAAGCGTCGACTGGTAGGGGCTATGGGCTCCACACCCGTGTTGGACAGGGAAGTCGGCCACGCCCCTTTGCATGGTGTCGTACCGTTGTACTGTTGTTGGAACCGATTGGGATATCTCCTAGCTGTCCCGTTGACAGCACTGATCTCGCCTCGAGTAAAAATGCCTCTTTTAGCATCTGGGTCAGGCGTCATAGCACTACCTAAACCTCGTAGGTCGTAGGTCGTAGCAGAAGACACGGGACACGAGTAGCCGGTGAAACCCTAGCTGTACATGGAGCGGCCGCCTAAGCGTGGCGGATGTGGCGGAGAAGTCCATTGGCTGATCCGGCAATGCCGGGTAACAGTTGCTGCCCGCGGTGAGCTACACACCTACACACCATCCAGTCAGCAGTGCTCTCCGGCGCAGGTATGCCGCATCAGACACCCTCCACTCAAGGGTCATGGCAAACCCTTTTGACAGCGGGTCTAGCCACCGATGTTGAAAACACGCGCGCATCGGAAGCGCACAGGTAAAGTTCGGTCGGATATTCCTGGGAATCCGAATTATAAAAATGGGTTGCCAGTGCAGGGCCTGCGCAAAAGGAAGGCAACCACAGGGTTCATCGTTGTATAACAAAACATGGCATACAGCTTCAGCACTTCTTCTTTTATCTTCTTTGCACTTTATTCTTCCAGTATAAGCATTCATAAAGGTTGAATATTTCCGCACTTGGCTGCGTGGGCGCCGTACATCATCACAGCCTGGGCAGCGACACCACCACATCCTCCGCCGCCGCGTCAGACGGCGCCAGGTGTTGGGAGGTGCAGTTGTCGGCAGATGTCATGCAGCCAGGCAGCAGCCCCTCCAGCAGCCCAGGCTGCCGTACCGGCACCTGCAGACGTGGCCACACCGCGCAACGAATGGCAGCTCAAGTCAGTAACGTTCCGGCGCTCAGCTGCTTTTTTAACACAACACACGACACAAACGCAAAACAGCAGGACCCCACCATGTCAGTGGAAGGAGTGCTAGGAAGTGCTGGCAAGGGGTCGCAGCTCGGCAGCTGGCCTTGTAGGCTTTTGGTAACCAGCGTCCTCACGTCTTACCCAGGACCCCAGCACGCAGCGGGTAAAACCTCCTAGCCGGACAACCACCCACCACCACGACCCTCATCCAGCCTCCTACGGTCATCTCCCCATCCCGCCCACTCCTCCCCTACCCACTCCTCCCTTCCCACACCGCCTCTACCCACACCTCCCCCCACCCTTTATTTCTTTACCCACCAGCTCCACATAGTCCACCAGCGCCCCCCGCCACCTCGCCTCCCCCGCCGGCAGCGCCGCCGCCTGCCCCGCCGCATCCCCCGCCGCCAGCTGCGCCATCACGCAGTGCAGCGTCACGTCGGCGCCGCGCCGCATGCACAGCCTCCCCAGCTGCAACGTCCGCCAGCTGCCTGGCGGTCCCAGCGGCCCCGCGGGATCCAGCTGCCGCCAGGCACACCCCGCCAGGCTGCCGTACATGGGAGCCAACCATGGCGGCACGTGGCGCGGACCGCCGGCCAGGGCTGCGTCGCGGCGCTTGGCGGAGGCGGAGGCGAGATGCCCGAGGGCCTCGGTGAGATGGGCATGTGGCTGCTCCTGGGGTGAGGGTGCGGCGGGTGCGGAGGAGGAGGCGGATAGCGGTGTGGCTGCTGCTGCTGCGGAGGAGTTGGAGAAGGAGGTGGCTTGGGAGGGTTCGGGCGAGGCCTGAGGCGGGTGGGGCTGGGGCGCCAGGGGTTCAATTTCTTCGGCATGCGGGGCGGGTGCCGGCGGTGGCTGCTGCTGTCCCTGACCGGCACGCAAGCCCTCGCGGAGGTGCTGCACCTGCGAGCTGCCACCGCCGACCGACACCGTGCGAACCGCAGCTGCTGCTGCTGGTGCTGCTGGTGGTGCTGCGGGCGGCTGTGGGTAGGCGGTTTGTTCATGATGCCGCGCAGGGTGTGTCTCGACGTGCTGCTGGTGCTGCTGCTGGTGGTGCTGCTGCTGCCCTCCATGCGTTCCCGGTTCCAAGAAGGACGCGGCGCCAGAGTGTGGGAGTACCGAGGTGCTTGACGCCCGTCGCAACATGCAGGACGGCAGCCAGCGCGACGTCCTTACCCGTGGTGCTACTGCTGCTGCTGTTGATTGTGGTGCCGTTGGCTGCAGCGGCGGCACAGGCATCCTGCCATTCAGCCTCCTCCCAGCCGCGGCGTTGTGGTGCCTGCTGCTGCTGCTGCTGTCGGGGCTCGTTGGCTGGGGGCCCGTGACACCACCGAGTGGGGCCCCTGATTGCTTGCGGGTCTTTTTCGGGAGCGTGTTTGGGTTTGTGGGTTTGCTGAACACGGTTCGAATGTTGCAGTAGCCGCGCACGTAGCCGGGCTGCAGCATCACGCGCATCAACACGTTGTACTGTCCGGGCTGCACGCGGCGGAAGACGGTGGTGAAGGAGAGGTCTCGGCGGCCGTCGATATGCAGGACCTGCATGCGGCCGGGATGGATGGAGGATTGTGGGAGGAGGGAGTTTGCTGGACACAGGAGAGGAGACTCCGACACCAGCAATGTTGGAGGAGGAACACAGACAGAGGAAGGACACAAGACCCGCACAGAGGAAGGAGCGGGAATCTAGCTTAGCGCTGGTGGGTTTCGTGTGTAATGGCATCGGACCCCGGCAGTGTACCCACCTTTTGGAAGCGCGACCCTGCGTGTTCCACGGGCTCTGATGTACGCGGCGCATCGGAGAGGAATGCTGGCCTCTGTAACGATAGCCGCCGAAATTGAGCACGGAGCTCGGGCATGCTTTGGTCGCGTAAGAAACTTAAGTCTACAACACATGGAGAGCACGCTCAGGATAGCCAGTCAGCAAGCCCTGCACAACTTTAGGACCTTACCCCTAGGCATCTCCTCTTGCGGAAACGAGCGAAATATCAAGGCGGACCAGACTCCAGGAGCTTGGGATGCGTTTCGCAACACCTTGCAAGTGCAACAAAGGGCTGCTATGCTACGAGCGTCGAGAAAATGGTAAACTTGCTCCAGAACATCTGTTGGAAGGCTGTCCAGCGCTCGGTCGCTTGCAGAAGCTTGTCCTCTGCGCGAGCGGTCTCCATCGCGAACAACCATCCCACTATTTACTTTATGCAATAGAAGCTGCACCGGGCTAGACATCTTGGTCAGTGCTGGCAGAATTTTGGCATCAAGGTTGGTGACGACTGACGTGCCAATGTGCGTGGCCGTCAACGGCGACGGTACAAGTACCTATAATATCCATATATCAGGAGAGAGAGGTAACTGTATCCTCATACAAGCCACAGGGTCGTTCCAGCAAAATACAAGCATGCGTGCGTCACCAATGACCAACAGTTACGGCAGCGAGGTTCATCGTCATGGCCCCATGGTGCTAAACAGGAAGCGTTTAACACCACAGCAGTACCGGTATTAACCATGTTCCTTCTCTATGCAGTGTCAATCAATGTCGCCCGTCTCTGCCGTACAACTGTTAGGTACACAGGGCCTTACGACGTTACGAGCCTCTAGCTTGTTAACATCATCATCGATACGGGACCGCCGAGGGGCAAAGCAGCAAGGGTGGTAGGGATGATATGGTTCGTGTGGGCACAAGCCGGCAAGCATCCCGAAGACCTCTGTTAGGCGCGGCTGGGGCAGTCTCTCAACTCGAAGTAGGAGGGGCAAGACGCATTTTCCTTGCCACCATATTGACCTGGCCGCTTGGGTGGACCACCTGCTATCATGAACTTACTGTACACATATGCAATGCGCAACCCGTATGGTACAGGGAAAACGAAATTTGAATGTGTGGTGTGATAGTGGTACATTTAGCTGACAAGCCCTGATGTAGGGTGGGGTAATGGACGTGCGGTTAGGGCTGGGGCGGCGTGGGACGTGAAGTGAGGAAGGTGCGGATGGAGCTGCATTGTGTTACTAAAGTGGGCCAAGATGTGGCAGCAGTGCTGAGCGAGCAGTGGCACGTTTTACTGGAGTTCTCGTTCGACCTGGCCCCCTTGGCCAGTGCTGTGGCCTCTTCATGAAAGCCTTGCTAAAGCAGCGGGGATAGAAGGAAAGGGGAGTCAGTGGATGGCTAAGAAGGCAGCTTATTTGATACCATATAATGCTGTAGACCCATGCTGTGTAGACCTCCTGTGAACTACACACATTTCTATTGAGGCTTAAGCTGGGATAGGGTGCAGAACAACACGGCGTGCTTGACATTTTGTAGTGTACTAAAGTTGGATGGAAGGAAGCAAGAAGGTGGGCGGCCGCTTTCGCACACAACTGTGATGCAAAGACTCGCAAGCACACGCAGCGTTCAAGGTATCTTTAGTTGCCGCTGTAAAGAGAACGTTCTATGTATGAGTCCAGAGGCGGGGAAGTGAACGGGGCTCGTCAACCGCCCAATGACGACAGCTACTGCGTAGATAACTCGACATTCTGGAGAGAGACATGCTTAGATAGCTGGTGTAAAGAAGAATTTAATTGGATTGTAGGTAATGGGTAGTATTGTTGCGTTTCGGAACGTCGCATGGCCTTCCTTAAGAGTGGTAGCGTGTTCTCGAATACGTACTCGCATGAACGGGCAATTCTTCTAAGTCGTGTCAGTCTTTTTGGGAAGCAAAAGAAGTGTATTTTTGCTAAATAGCAAGTCGCCCTCGTGGCTATTGGAGAGAGTGCACGCATAGCTTCCTAAAGTACGACGCTAGCATGCAACCCAACTAGTTGCAAACCCTGCAAGCAACTTGTAACGATTCACCAACGCATAGCTGCTTAGTACATGAATCTGATTACGCTCTTGTAGCAGGCTGTCCTTAGGTATTGCGTAGCCTTCTACACGCATTTTACGGCCCATTGGCTAGGAACACGTCATCCTTACACGGTGGACTTGCAATAACCTGCCCAACAATGTTAATAGCTTTTACAAGTGATCATTGCCTGCGCCGGGCGTCTTTTAAACGGCAGACCCATGTAACTCAGGTCTTGCTTCTCATCCTATTGTTATGCTCAAGTTTAATTGGTAAGCTGGACTTACAATCCCACATATCCGACTCTGAAAGCTTTCCTATTGAGCGTCGAAGGTGACTTGCATGCGGGAACTGGAGAGTCGAAGGTCACTTGCGGCCGATTCGACGCGAGTGAAAATTCCCTTTCTTCCCAATACGCGGCCTCAGGTACGGAATGCGCAACCAAGAAGAAGCCACCGCCGCCACCAGTCCGCTCAAAACCTCCTTCCCCAGCTCCAAGGCCTCCTCCAAAGTCCAGCAAAAAATCCCCCCCACCTGCTCCAAAGCCTCCGAGCCCCAATCCTCCCTCCCCCAGTCCTCCCCCTCCTCCTCCTCCACCGTCACCCCCTCCATCACCACCTACTGTTGGTAAGCCTCTTCCCAGCCGAACGCGCCTCGTGCAGTTTTGTGCTTACCTGCCCACGTCGCTCACCCCCTGACTCGCTCGCCCCCCCCCGCAAAACAACTGCAAACAACAGAAACGAAGAATGGCATCCGCCTGGTGGGCGGAGATGGCAGCGGCTACGGTCGGTTGGAGGTGTCGTCAAACAGCTCCTGGCTCACCAGCACGGTGACGTGGCGGGCGCTGTGCGACGACGGCAGCTTCACGGTGGAATACGCGCAGGTGCGTTACGCGGCACACCTTGGGAAGCATCTCTATATCACTTGGAGGATCCAATCGGTGTACGGCAAAAGAAACAATGAGGATAATCAGGGTATGGTCTGAAATAGAAGCACGGAATGGCTTCCAGGCGTAACTTCAGGATGCACCCCAGCACATGGGTTGTGCCAGGTGGTTAGCGTGGGCTCGCTCCCATCCATTCGGCTGCCCAGGCCCTTTATAAGACTTGCTCTTGGGGAAAAAACGCCCTGTCTGATCCATGCATGGTCACATTCCGTTTGGTGTGACCTCGTTTGGCGGTTCTCTTGTGCGCCGTGTTCGTCTTGGGTCCGACTTCCGCGACCCCCCAACTCCCCCCAGACGTTCTGCAAGCTGCTCGGTTACAAGTTCGGCCGCCAGATCCATGCTGAGGGCACCAGCACCCTGGCCGCGAACGACACCATGTGAGCAGCTGTGGGGGGCGGGCTGGGGGGGGGGCTGGGGGGTCAAAGACCATACCAAACCATAGGAGACCACAAGTTAGGGCAAAGCAATGGGGGTAGGAGTTGGCAGGGCGCCACAAGACAAAGTGTTGGTTAGGATTCCCAGGCCTGGGTTAGGGCAAAGCGAAGGGGGCGGGTTGGGGGAGGACGGCGCCACAAACGAAGAAACTGACGAGCTGCATGACACATAGGCTTCATTACGGAGTGCAGACATGGTATAGCCGACCCATTTCCGCTCCCATTCCCCAAGCAAACCAACAAGTAGGGGTCTGGGGCTGGAGCGACACGTGCGGTTTGGGGGACTGGGGGCTGGGAGGCCACCCATGTTGGTTTGGAGGGACTCCTCCTCCCGAACAGCGACCCGGGGGTCGCTGCCTGCCCGTCTGCCCTGGAAGCGACACTCTGAAGCCCGCCTTCCTTGGCTCGCCGGGTCGCCAGACGCTTCCCCTCCCTCCCTCCCCGCCCTGCCCCCCTCTCCTCCCCGCCTCCCCAGCCTCCACCCCCTGGGCACCCTCAAGTGCATGAGTGTGGCCGCCTCGCCGCCCCCCTCGCCCCTCGACACCAGCCCCCTCAGCCACCACCGCCGCGCACTGCTGTCCATCCGCCGCGGCACCGTCCTGTTCCCGCCGCGCGCCAAGTACTACTGCTCCTTCCAGCTGGGGACCTGCGCAGCGGGGTCGGAGCTGGTGGCGCTGCAGTGCTCAGGTGGGCCGGGGGCGGGGGCGGGGGCGGGCCTGGGGCGCCACCGAGGTCTCATGTGGGTGCGTGGACAAAGAAGAAGAAACGAAACAGTCATGCAGAGTCACGTGGGTGGGCCCCACGGACGTCACTCACCATCACCGGCCCCTGCCCCCGCTGCCCTCCTGTGCTGCCCCCCCTGTGTGCAGACACGCGGCTGCCCCCCACTCCGCCGCCGCCGCCAGCACCTCCGAGCCCCCCAGCCAGTAAGTGATCCCCCTCTGCGGGCTCAGCCGCCCCCCCTCCTTGCATGTACGCTCCTCCGCCGCCCCCCCCCCCTTGCATGCGGACTGCATCCTTACCTTGGTTGCTTGTGGCATTGCACACGAAAGACACCTCCACCTCTCTCAACCGCTTGATCACCCCATGCCTGCTCTCCACTCTCCCCCTCCTCCCCGCCACCATCCCCGCAGTCCCCGCCAGCCAGACCGGCCGCATCCGCGTCATCGGCTCGGGGCAGGGCGCGCAACCCTGGGTGGAGCCCAATCTGTGCACGGGCGCCGACCCCGACTCGGGCTGCACCCTGCTGTCGCGCGTGGAGCTGCTGGTGACCGACCCCACCAACCCCGCCGGGGCCGTGTGGGCGCCTCTCTGCTACCCCGCGGCTGACAGCGGCATGCAGGAGTACTGGGATTACAACGTGGCGGATGTGGCTTGCAAGCAGGTGTTAAAATAACTGGCCGCGAGGCAGTGCGTGGGGCCATGGCGTGCTGGGGGGGTTGGGGGGTGGGGGCTTGGGGTAGGTGGGGGCATGTGGGGAAAAAATAAAATAAGTGAAACAACGAATCCCAAATCCCATATCCCGACTCATGCAGTGAGCGCATGTGGGGAGGGAGCACAGCAGGGAGTGTGACACACGGGTCGGTTCCCATGTCGCAATGGCCCTGACTTATACATGCGCGGCCCTTTTTTTGCGCTTGCGAGACTCAGCCCCACCACTTTCCTGGTCCTGCAGTACTATGGCTACATCCCCGGCCGGAAAGACAACTACTATTACTTGGTGAACGGTTCGCCCTACACGCCCTTCAACATTCCCGGGCTCCTGCCGCCTCCGTCCCTACCAGCCACCCCCAACTCCTCGCCTTCAAACCCGCCCGCGTCGCCTTCCCTATCCTCTCCCGCCATGCCGCCACCCCCGCCGCTCTCCCCTGGTAAGCGTGGTGAGCTCCCACCAACCTACCACTTGGACGGCCTGAACATGAGATTGTGGTTGCGCATTTTCAGGGCCCGCTTGCATTTGTTGAAGACTTGAACAAAGGGCGGTTTGTGTTTCATACCTCTTTGTGGTAATAACCCCGTTCTATATGGGCCCCGTCTGAGTATTAGGACAGTGCTGTCACGAGGGGTATATGCAACTATAATGCGCCAACAGAACATCTTAGCACCCTAGTTTGCTTTATACTGAAAAACGGCTCTTATGTGTTTGCAGGTGAACGGGTCTTTGAGACCTACAGCTACAGGGCTTGGGCGAGCGTCAACCTCACCGCAATGTCCTACGCAGCCTCGGTTCAGGACCTAGGACTCGAGGTGCGAGAGGCGGTGGCGAGGGTGGGGGGGATTTGGGTGAAGTGGGAGCCGGGTGTTGCGGCGTTGTGTAGAAAGCGGGGGTCGGCTGGGGGTTCCAACACATGCCCCCAACTAAAAGGTGGAAATCCGTTGTGTGTTTCGACCTCTCCCTGACCCACACTGCGGTATCGCGCCTGTTGTTGTGCCCCACAGGTAACCACGGAGCCTTGCGAGAGCGGTCAACTCTTCGCCATCCAGTGTAGCGCACTCGTGATGTGAGTAACCCTTTCCCCCGGGGGGGGAAAGAAGGCCCCCCCGGTGTCAGGGTCAGGGTCAGGGTCGGTTTTTCCCGCGGCTCAGTTTTGCTAAGCCCCCGGGGGGGCACTGGGAGCATCTTGTGGCCGACTGCTTAGCGTGATGAGCCGAGCAGATGCCAAGCACGTGGGGGAGGGTAGTGGAGGTAGTGGGGTTGGGTTTTGGATAGGGGTAGCGAAGCCGCATGTTGTGTATGTATGTGCGGAGCATTGGGCTGGGACAGCGCCCATGCTCCAAGCATGGTAGCAGCGGCGTGTGCGCGCATCCTTTTGCATGGTGTGTTTGTCAATTGGGCGCCCTGAGGGTTAGGAGGATGAGGTGTGAAGTTGGATGGCTGTAATGTTACGTTGAAGGTTGGTTGGATTTAGGGAGTTGGACCGAGTAGTCTTGTACGAAAGAGGAAGGAAGCAAGGAAAAGCCGTTGCCAGTGGCTCCAATGAGCGCTACTACTCGCCGTGCTTTTTAGACGAGGCCGAGCGGAGGATGTTGGGGTCCTTCCTGCTGGTGAGGAGTAATGAGTGCATTGCAGATGTAGCATATGGGCGTAGAGGGATTAAGACATGTTTGCTTGGTGATCGTTGAAGTGGCTGGCTTTATCTTAAAGGACTTTGTTAGCATGCGGTTTTAGAAGATTTGGTTTTGTACGGCAGCCAATTTGCGAATACTGCTTTGCCGTACAGTAGTTATATAAAAGGCGTGCGATGACTACGGTTATTATGCGTGCGCGCGTACGAAGAAGGTAGACCTGGTCATTCCTTAAGACTGCTGTTTCAGCAAGGTGCGTGCGCATGAAGTGATCCACCAGTGTAGATAAGTTGATATCAATTCGTTTTGGGCTGTCCTGAGGTTGATATTGTTTCAGTGCAATCAAATCACGGAGCTTACCGGTATAGGGCAGCTTCCGGACTTCCAAAGGCCGGTTATAAAGGATGGCTCGCGCTGTTCCTGTTGGTGTGTATACCGCGCGCTTCATTAATCGCTCGCGCATCCCCTCAGTGAGGAAACCCCTCGAGGTGAACCCTAGCCTGGTGTCCGGGCCTTGCTAGAAGCGGCAGGCTCCATTTGAGCAAGATGGATATGTTGGGAGGCATGGCGAAATATCTAGGACGTAGCGAAGCTGTACTTGAGCCCTCATGATCTGCCTGCCTCTTCGTTGGAACCTTTGGTTGGTTCCAAACATCTTTCCTGCCTTGTTGTGCCTCTGTGGGATTGGGAATCCGACGCGTCATGTAGGTTGTAGCACGCATAACCGGTAGTAGCTATCCGGTTCGTTCCCCGTGTGAACCCGAGTGACAGTGTTGTCTAGTGAATGAATGACCGTTACTGTAAACATTTGTACCTCCTATCATCCTAACAACTGCGCTAGTAAGTCAGGCGTGAGGTAACTGCACTGCACTGCTTTGAAGCGCCTTTGCGTTTAGCTTCCCCTTACATCATGCATCTTGGGCTACGGCCCCTGCTATCAACTGACACCCGCTGCAGCTCTTTCTTAACATCAAAACACAGTTAACGAGTGAAACGGCAGGCAAAGAGTAAATCATGCTACCACCGCTCCCGCATACAGATTGCCGTACATGCAGATAACTGACACGTAGCCAAGTCGACTTCCCATCACATTGCGGTTGCCCGCCGCTCCAAGCCTAGCCAGCGCGAACCCCCCAAACCCCAGCAGTGTCCTACTGTACAGTACATGTCTGCAACCCCACTTCCATGTAAAGTCGTACCAGCTATTCATCTCCCTGTTAAAAATATGCCCGACTGTCTGCCAGACTCTCTGCAAATGGCGCCCTTCCCTTTTTTGCCTCGGTCGTCAATCCTCCCAGGCTCGGCCCCGTTGTGACGCTCGAATGCACGACCCTTGGATTGTGATGTGAAGACGTGATGTGAGGAGTTAAGACAACACCAACCGCCAAAAAGTGCCGTACGCTCTCACAAAAACCGGGCACTTCAGTGAGTCCCAGAGCACGGCAGCTTCTGGCATCTAGCAGCTCCAAGCTGCCCCACGTCGCCCCATGCAAACCCCAGCCACACCCTCCTCCTGTCCCTCACCCTCGTTCTGACCATTGAAACCCGACGGCCAAAGCAAAAGCCCCGCAATGGCACCAGCCATACGCATTGCACGAGGGGCAATACGAAGTGTGTCTCTCTCTCTCCTCTGTGGTACATGGAAGGCTGCGGTGACCAGATGTGACACAGCAGTCCATGTAGCACACTGCAAAAGGGCTATACATCAAGTGCTTCTCTCTAGCAAGTCTCTCCCATCAGTTTTGCCATGCTTGAATGTCCAAACGCACGGCGGCGGTTGCACCTGCAACCCCCAGCAGTTCACACACACAGCAAATCCAGAGCACAGCAGAAACGCACTTCCCAGCCGGCACATGTGGACATGTCTGATCAGTAACACCAACAACACACAAGAGCACGGAATAACAGACAAGTGCGCGGAATAAGCCAACCCTAACCAAACTGAAACGCATCATGACCGTTAGAAACCCACCTAGAAGCACCTTCAGCGCTACTTGAAGTGGCAAACGAACGGGACATCCAATGCGCACCCCCCGACTCTCTAGGAGCCTGCTCCTCACACCTCACGATCACCCGCGGGACCTCTGTCATCGCACCCCTCCTTCCTGCGATAAGAAAGCATACACACCCAGCTACGAACTTCTGGCCCACTTCTGGCCCACTTGGCCTGCTTATCTAGATACAGTCATAGGCACACAGCTCTCCCCATCACACAATCGCCTGTTTGCTGCTGCCCCAACCTCATATCCCCCATGTCGCCACCACCGCCACCCCAGGCAACCGGCCCCCTTTTCCTCCTCCTCCTCCTCCTCAACTCTCACCGTCCACCGTCCTCCGCGACGACAAGAACGAAGCAGGAAGCATGGAAGCAGCCATTACCAACCAACAACACACCACCCACCCCTTCCTCCTCCTCCTCCTCCCTCCTCCTACCCCAACGACCTCTCAACCATAGCTCCTATACCCTACCGAGCCTCCCACCTACAGAATGCCATTTATAACTCGCTGGTAGTAGTCGTACTGCCGCGTCCGCCACGCATCCAAGCTCTCCGCTATCAGCTGCAACACATGCGCCACACACTGCACATCCGTGAGGGAGCTGCGGGGCGGCACACGCTTCTCAAGCGCCTTCACCGAGCGGTCACCGCCCTTGAAGCAGGGGAAGCCGCTTCGCGACATGATGCGCACCAGCATCAAGATCCGTTCGCGTTGCTTGTCAGCCCGCAGCGCCAGGAAGCCTTGGATCATGAGGACCTTGAAATAGTCAAACATCTCGGAGGGCTTGCCGTCGCTGTCGCTGTCCATCACCTCGAGCAGCTCGCGTGTGAGCTTGAAGGGCGCGGACTCAAAGTTGACGCCGCCTGGGGAATTGGAGAGCAGGAAGCCGTAGTCGATGTGGACCAGTCGGCCGTCGTCGTCGAGCAGTATGTTACCTGGGAGGCGGGTGACGGTGAGGGTGAGGGTGCGGGTGCAGGTGCGGGTGAGGGTGAAGGAGAGGGAAACGAGGAGGGAGGGAGTGAAGAGCGGGATGGGCAGGAAAGAGGTGAGTACATGAACGCGGGTACACGGGTATACCGTATACGGACTTCTAAACAATATGCTTTTTAGGTAGGTTCATTAGCAGTCATCCAAAAGCGGTGACTGCGGGTCCGCGTCATCGGTCCTTACCGTTGTGTCGGTCCTTGATCTGCAGCATGTAGCAAATCAACGAGTACGCCGCAAGGCTCTCCGTGAAGCGCCGCTGCGCCGCCACGCAGGCGGGTGTGCCGGAGCGGCCAAACTTGGCGAAGAAGTGGTCCGAGAGGGAGGTGCCGGTTGTGGAGCGGGACTTGATGGTGTGTATGGAGAGGGTGTTGGGAACCATCTCGATGAGCGCCGTCCTGCATGGGTGTCGTACACATGTGTCCCCATGCAAACGTTTAGGTAGAGGAATAAGCTACTGGGCGTTTAGGAGAAAATTAAAGCAACCTAGGCACCTCAGGTTGGGTGGCAAGCAGTGTTGCAGACAAAGTAACCTCAGTCCTATATTGCAGCATCGCAAACAAGCAGCATACCGGTGCTGCACTTTGCACATCGACATACTCCGGGAACACCGCAGCTGAAACCACACAGACTAACAAGTAACAGTCAACAAAGCAGACCAACACCAATCTCACTTGTTTGAGGTGACGAGTACTTCGTAGTTCCGCACCCACAGCGGCAAGCCCGCCTCCCGGAATATCTCGCCAAAGGTGCGCACCAGCTGCAGCGCCAACAGCTCCTGGGGGCGCCAACGGGCGGGACACCGTGAGGTGGGCACCGTACATTCCGTCGTGACGGGGCGAAGGGGAGGATGGGAATCCTTCTCGCCAAGCCACGGGAGACAACACGAAAACAGGGGCAAGCCATGTGCCAACCACAATCTTACCTCACACCATTCGCTCAGCAGGCAGTGGGCAGCCCGCCTCCCATCCTCTAGCGTACGCATTCCGCACCCAACAACCCCCATCGCCACGGCCACCCCCATCGCCACGGCCAAGGACCCCCACGCACCTGCCGGCAGTCATCTCCGCTCTTCACGATCACACACCGCAACGCCCACCCCGCGCGGCAGCCGTGAGGCGACTCTCGCTGGATGCGTTTCACCTTGGCCGCCCACCGCTCGCCGTACACCGCCTCCGCCTCCCGCCGCCGGCGCTCCTCAAGCGCCTCGCCGTCCCGACGTCCGCCGCCCGCAGAGCCCTTCACAGCGCTGCCGCCGCCGTTGCTGAGCCCCGTCGCCGCCGCCGCCGCTGCAACAGATGACGTGGGCGCTAGCGCCGCCACCGGAGGGACACCAGCGGAGGAGGTGCCGGCAGCGCTGCTGCAGCCACCCCCGGCGGTACTTCGCTGCGATTGTACGGCAGATGCCGACGGTGCTACTGCTGGTGCTGCTGCCTCTGCTGGAGACGCGGCAGTGCTCGTGGCGGCGCTAGCGGAGGCAATCGCCGCGGCGACGGCGCTACTGCCAGTGTTGTTGCTGTTGCTGTTGCTGCTACCGCTGATCAACTTGGCCAGTCTACTTGCGGCGCCGCTGCCTGACGTCGTGGTGGTTGTATTGGTTGCGGAGGCGGCGCCATGCGTCGGCGGCGTTTGGCTGGCGGTAGCAGCAGCAGCAGCGGCAGCGGGGCCGCCCCGCACCGGACTGCCGCCTCGTGACCCCGATGCAGACATCATGGAAGACATCAAGGACGACGCCAGCGAAGACGAACCCTCCGGGTGTTGAGATGCATGCTGCGATTGCTGTCCGGCAGCGCGAGACAGCATGCGGGTTAGGGAGGACTGCAGGCTCGCCGCGAGGCCGGAAGACGACGAGGAGCTTGTCCCAGTCGCCGCCGCCGCAGCAGCAGCCGCCGCAGCTGGTGGTTGCGGTTGCAATTCCACCGGTGATGCCGCCGGTGGCGCTCCGGACCTCACCTCATGCGCCCCTGGGGTGTTGCCTTTTACGGGTGTTGTGGAGAAAGATGGCTCGGATTCCTGCGTCGCCAGGCCCTCGCCCTCCTCGCTGGGTCGCTCCTGGAGGCTGTAGGAGGTGGGGGCGCCACGGCCGCCGGGGCTGTACGGCATAGGGCCCAAGGGAGGCCCGCATTCGTACGGCGGCGGCATCTGATGGATCTTGTATTTGCCTGGCGAGAAGAGGAGTAGGGATGACCTCGTGATTTGGGTTGCAATGGCATTGGGGATCTGGGCAATCTAGGTGCGACGCGCGTTGGTGCAATGGGCGGACAGACGGTTCAACCTCGGCGCATCAAACGGGTTGGGGCCCCTACTAACCTGCCAGCATCTCAATCGCTTCATGGGAGGGCATGCGGCGGCTCTTGCGGTGAGGTGACGGAATGGCCAGATTCAGCCCCTGCGCCACCTCAAACGATACCTGGACCAGCTTCCCGCTCGCTGCGGACGCGACAGGCCACGGGCGGTGCGGCATGAGGTGCCCACCGCCCTTGCTGCTGACAGCCGCACCGCCGCCGCTGTTGTTGCTGCTGCCTGCAGTCACCGCCGCTGCCACCGTGTTACCGCCCACGGGCCCCGTCATCAACTGCCCAGAGGATGATGAGGCCGGCATGGCTCCGAGTGCTCCGCTATTGTCCATGTCGTCCTCAGCGGTGGGCTTGCGGCACAGACCAAAGCGTGACAGCAGCGCTAGCGCCTTGCTCTTGTCCAGCAGGCCGCTATCCGAGCCGCTGCCACCACCGTTGCCGCCGCTTTCCTCTGAGGTTCCTGTGGGTGTCGGCAGTGCTGCTGCTGCTGCTGCGAGCGCTGAGGCGGCCTTTGTACGGCCGCCGAGAACGGCAGCGATTGGCAGTGATACAGATCCAGACGCGATCGGAGAGTCCGCGTTGTCGTGGTGCTTCGTCGTCTCCATGCTAGGACCTCCGTTGATGGCGTTTGCAGGGGCCACAGCGGTGTTGCCAGAGGCGTTACCCGCCCGCTCGCCGGGGATTTGCGTTGTGGCGGGCGCTTGAGAGGCATGCCGGCCTGACCCCGAGGATGCCACAGCAGCCGCCGAGGGGTGGCTTGCTGCAGCAGCAGCGTAGGAGTGTTGGTGCTGCGAATGGGATGCGGGGGGCTGTGGTAGCACGCGTATCCGCACGCGAACCATGGGAGCTTCCCCGCGCAGGGACGCTTGGAGGCGAGATAGCTTTGAAGCCACGATGGGATCGGACACAGCCTTGTTGGAAGGGTGGCCCAGGCAGCCTGCGGGAAGGAGGCGGGCAGGCAAGACGCACATGCATGCACGCGATTAATGCATACACAGCACATGCAGCCAAAGCAACCAAGCCTTGCAGGGAAACCATGAGAAGCGCACACGCATGGGGTATGTCTGTACTATACTGTACTGCACTCGGTACGACACTGTACTACACTGCGCTGTATTGCACTGTCTGCGCCAATACGTACCCGACGTCATGAGCTCCTGCACCTCCTCCTTCGTGAGGTCTCCCCCCGCATGCCGCCCCAGCCCCTGCACACCCTGCGCCGCGCCTCCTCCGCTGCTGCCGCCCCCACCCAGGAAGCCCCGGGGCCCGAGTGGGGCCCGATGGGGTGGCTGATGGGAAGCAGCAGCCCCAGCTACTGCATGTGGCCGGCTGGTGCCACCGCTGCTGCTGCCGGATGATACCCCGTTGGAATGGCCGGACAGGGCCGGCAGCACGGGCAGGGACACGAGGTGGGCGGTGGTTGCGGCGGCCGCTGCTGCAGCTGCGGAAGCGATTTCGCCGTCGCGAGCGTGTTCAGGGCTGCCGACATCGGGGTTGGAGAAGCACAGCGACCTGAGCCAAGGGAAGTGGCGGGGGCGCAGCAAGGTAAGAGCCATCCAGCAGTCTTGGTTAGGGATGTCCATGGGCCCAAGGGAGCCGTTTTGAGACAGGGCTACGGTACGACGCATATGCACCGTAATCGCCTTCACGTTACCCTGCACCCACGCCCCGTTCCCCACGCACCTTACAACGCTGAAGCCGCTTGAGCTAGCCCGACCCACACCGCTCGAGCCGCCTGCATGCCCGCCGCCTGCACCTCCCCCGCCGGCGGCTGGCACGCCCGCGCTGCTGCTACCTGCGCTGCCTCCGGACCCGGAGGCATCCTCCACGCGATCGCCCATCACCCGCCGCAGCAGGTTACTCATGCCGCCTGACGCATGCGACGCGCCGTGCGGGGAGACCTCCTTGGCAGCGCTGATCGGGCTCATGCTGCCCAAGGGCAACGGCAGCGGCGGCGGCCGAGGCGGCAGGACGGCGACCGACGCGGTGGGGGCTGCTGCCGGCGCCTGCGGCGGCTGTGGTGCGAAGAGTCGTGGGGTGAGGGATTGTGCGCCGCTGCTGGCTGCACTGACGGTGCTGAGTTGCGGTAAGGACGGTACGACGGGCTCGGTTGCGCCGCTTGTGGAGGTCGTACTGGCGGTTGCGGCGGCGGTTGATGATGCCATGGCGGTTGCAACGGTTGCAACGGTTGCCATGTTGGATGTGGAGGCGCTGCGTGTGGGGATGAAGATAGCTGCCATGGAGGTGTTGGACGAGGGCGCCATTCCTGTGGAACTGCTGCTCGCTTGCATTGCCGCCGAGGATGACAAGACCTGCATGTTGTTGCCGTTAACGTTGCTAGCAGGTGCTACTGCTGCTGCTGCACTCGCAGCTTCCCCTGCTGCGCTAATGGCCAGTGTAACACCCAGGCTGGGGGCGGTTGCAAGCGGGGGAGAGTTGACAGTTTCCATGGGAACGCTCCCACCCCCGGAGCCGCATGTTGCTGGTCCCGCAGATACGGATGGACTGACCCGCTCCTCAGACAGCAAGCTTGCGTAGACGCCCGCACAGGCGTACGTGGGCGTGGGCGCAGCCAGGACGTGGTTCAACGCAGACTGCTGCTGCGTCGCAGCCGACCCATGGGTCACACCGTGCTGTAGCTGCTGCGGAGGCGGCGGTGGTTGACCTGAGATTGGGCTACCGCCTCTTGAGCTGGTTCGGAATTGCGAGGAGGAGGATGCGGAGGGGCTAAGCGCCGCCGGGGTGTCTGTGTTGACGGTGGAAGCGGTGTCGGCAGTGCCCGGGCCGCCGTGGGAGGGAAGGCTGACCCGCCCGCTGATCACGCTGCCAACCTGAGATTCACAAGGTCGACAAGGTTCACAAGGTCGACAAGGAGGCTGAGGATGCAAGACAAGGAGGTATTTTTTTATAGTCGGTTGAAAAATACTACCCCAGCAAGTCACTACCTGCCGGGAGCGCGGCCTGCACATTGGACACTGCTCACTGCGCGCGATCGCATAGCGCTGCGCTGCAATCTCCCCAAGTTGTACGACACAGTTGTATGACACATAGCAGAACCCGCGAACCTCGCCGGATCGCACCACCAAACAATAACAACCACATACCCCCCTCCCGCCACCCCACCTGGCTGCAACCATCATGCCCGTCAAGGTGCCCAGGACCCGCCGGAGCATGCGCCTTGGCAGCACCCGCCGCCGCACCAGCACCGGCAGCAGCAGCAGCCGCACCAGCCGCCGCCGCCCTTGGAGAGGTCTGGTGCATGAAGTGATGCTGGTGTTGGGCGCCGATCCCGGTTAGCGCAATGCCGTACGTTTCCCGACGCCCAAACTCCACCACCGGGGCGGGAGACGGCTGCGGGCCGTTACCGCCAAAGGCTGTGGCGCCGCCTCCGACGCAGCTGGCAACGCCGCCTGCTGCTGAGGACGAACTGGTTTCGTAGCGGCTGCCAAAGGCCTCCGAAGCGCCCGGCACTCCGGTCCACCCCGGGTCGCCTCCGCACTCGTTCTGGCCCTCCAGCACCTCCACGTACAGCAGAAAGGGCGCCTGCGGGCAGCATCAGAAACAACATAGCAACAATGCACAAGATGAATGGTTAAGACCTCAACGCATGCCGGTAGCGTGCGTGAGCTAGAAAGCAGAAGGTTCTCAACGCTCCTTTTCCGATGATGGGCGGCTGCGCTAGTGTTGTTGCTGGCTGTACACGGCTGGCTGTACCGTACTGTACACGGCTCCGCAACAACAAGTCACACCTCGCAACGCAACGCCACTCCGCATCAAAGGGCTAATGAAACCATTGCCCAGGTCCAAAAGTCCCCCAACCGCAACCCTCGTGATCCCGCATGCAGGCCGCTGTTCCTTTACTTCGCATGCGTACCTTCTCCCGGGAGTTGAGCAGCACCGCCTCGCGTGCCGTCAGCCGCAGCACCCGGTCCCCTCCACGGCCCATGGGGAACCAGATGGCGACATCGCGCCGGTTGTTGTCCTCGATCTGGCGGTTGATGCACTCCAGACCCAACCGCAACGCGCGGTGGCGCTCCTCCTGCCGGGATGAGCGGGACAGGGGAGGGCAGCGGTGCAGTGTGATTTACAAGGGGGTGTGAACAAGGGTTGGCTACAACCCCAGCGCTGGGTGTTACGTGCTCTCTCCTTTTTCGTCAGGTTGCTGATTGGCCAGCATGGAACTGTTAGGGTTAGCAACCCAAGGGATCCTGTAAGCTCCTCCAAACCACGAAACCAACCCGTATTGCATCCAAGATGGACCTGCACCCAACAGGCACACCCTCCAAGCTCCAACACAAGACCCAACGCAAGCAGCCCACGCCCAGGCCTTGCCTGCGAGTAGCTGGTAAGCGTGGAAGACGCCTCGCACAGCGCCTCCACAAAGTCCAGCGTCGCCCCAAACGTGTCGAAACGCACCCGGCTCAGCGGCGACATGGGCCGATTGCCGTACTCGTCATCGCTCATGACGCCCTCCTCCTCCGTCGCAGCCACATAGCCGCTCCCCTGCTGCTTGCTGCGCTCCAGCAACGCACTCACGCCCTCACCGTCACCCAGCTCACGACGTAGGGATTGGATGCGCTCCGCAAGTGTGTTGGTTGCAGCGCTCACGGCGTTGGCAGCGGCGGCAAGGGCGTTGACGCGGCTCCCTGAAGCCGGGCCTGCCACGGGCGCTGTCGTTGCTGGGCATGTTGCTACCGTCGACCCGACTGCTGCTGTTGCTGCATGGGAAGTTGTGGTTGTGTTCGCATGGGCAGCAGCTGCAGCTGTGGCCGCTGGTGCGGAATCCGCTAGGCCACTGCCGCTCTGCACTCCCGCTGCAGTCCAGCCGGGATGAGAGGAGGGGGCTGCCACGTCAGCAGCAGCTGCGAGGGCTTCACGGGTGACCTGCCCAAACACACTGTTCAAAGCCGCAGCTACCTCCCCTCCTGCCGTACACCGAGGGCTGGTGAGGGCCGTCACGATCGAAGCCTCGGAGGCGAGTGCTGCTCCTGTAGAGCCCGCCACCCCTGAGCCGGCTGCTGCTGCTGCTTCCGTCGAGGGCAGTACCCCCTCCCCTTCAGGCGGACCCGCCGGTGCCGATGCTGCCGCGCCGGATTCCTCACCCCGCTGCTCCTGCTTGTCTAGTATGCAGCCCAGGTCCAGTTGCAAGCCGCCGCTCCTCCTAGTGGGCAGCACCAGCTCAGTTCCACTGACACCCGCCGGACCTGGTCCAGCCTCCGGAGGCTCGTCAGCAGTCGTTGTTGCAACAACACCGCTGCCGCTGCTGCCGCTGCAGGCGCCGTTCTGCTTTCCGGGGCCGCCGCAAGCTGCTGCGGCGGCGGCTGCAGCTGCAGCAGCCACCCAGCCGGGTCCTGGCGGGGACATGACCATGCTGCATGGTGGCTGTATAGCCACGTCTTGAGACACCCGCTGCTGCAGCGGGAGACCGGGGTGGCTGGGTGTGTGCAGCTCGGGGGGCTGCAGCTGTTTCTGCGGCACCGGGACCGGGTTGTGGTGCGGGTGGTGGTGGAGGCCTGCTGGCGGCAGCAGGTGGTGCTGCGGGTGGGGTTGCGGGAAGGTGAGGTGCGAGGTGAGGCACATGGAGGTGCCCGGGCTGAAGGGCGGGCTGAAGGGAGGGCTCATGGACTGCACCAGGAGCTGGCTGTTGTGGGGGCTGAGGGGGTCCAGCTTGGGGTTGCGGATGGGGACCTCCTGGAGAAGGAGAAGAGAGGGAGGAGTTGGAGGAGTTGGTCATGAGGTTGGAAAGGTGGTAAGCGTTGCGCTTGCAAAGCAGGAATGCGCGGGAGTTGAGGGCAGCAGCAGCGGCAGCGGCAGCAACAGCCGTGGCAAGGTGAGGGGGAGAGGTGACCGTGCAGCATTTCTACTATCTGCACATTGGGGGGGCGGTAAACTCGCTACAAGTGGCTCTTCTTGGCAGGGGTGAAAGCCCGGTGTCTGGGCACGTACCCATTTTCCTTCCAGGGCAGCCTTGTAAGCTCGCTCCCGGAAGCTTTCCAGGGCTTTGTTTTTAGGATGGTCCTGGCATAGCGCCACCAATAACCATTGCGCCTGCAGGGTCCCATCCAAACGCCTGTCAGTGCTTGTTCTGCAGCGAATGGCCTGAAACTGAAGCCCTAAACTACAAATCTCGGAAGAGTAAGCACAGCAGCTCGCCTTAATCGCCACGCGGAAAGATTTGGAGCAGAGGTCGACGATTGCGCGCTCAAGGGCCTGCCCGGGCTTGCTCACAGCCATGTACACGAACTGCAGCAAGAACTTTTCAATCGCCTCCTCCCCAAGCTCGTGCAGCCTGTTGCACACATAGTCGTGCACTAGAGGCTGCGTATTCTGGTACTGATTAAGATACCTGCAACAAGGTGTATGAATCGGGTTTGCCGCCGAGGCAAGTTTGCTTCGTGCAGTTACCCTGTCCAACAAAGCCCCTCACTCACGTTACAGTAGCCCACTCATCAAACGGAGTTCCCTCAAGGAACCGTATTAGCAGCTCAACCTTCCCGTCTTTGACCTCCTTGTCAGACGAAGCTGACCACTTCGCCAGCGACTTTAAAGCTCCCAAAGACATTATCTCATCAGATATACATCACCGTCCGTCGAGGGAGAGCAAAAAGAGTCCATGTGACCGTGCACTGCCTATCGCATCCAGAATACTAGTGAAGTATACATGATCTTTGCTTTCATAAAAATCATTTACAACCAGTTTGCGTAGTTGGCGCTCAAGCAGCTTGCACGTCAAGGCTTTTGGTGGGAGGTGAACTAGCTTTTCGTGAAAAGCTGAGGTCATACGCTACAAAAACAGAAAAACAGCTTGGAACATAGTGTCGTCGGCTGGGTAACGTGACGGGGGGGGCTGCGTACGTCGAGTACCGCAGGGGTGTCCAGCACCATGCGCCGCCCATTGTCGACTTACGGCCATATGACATGACAATATGCAGCGCATGACAGCAAGTTTAATTGGGCAAATTGAAAAACTCGTGATCCCGCGTAGGTTGCAACAAACAGGTGCCAAGCTCCTCGCCAGCCGTGAATTGGCTTTATCTGTTCACCCTTGCTTTCCTAGGACCGCGCTATCCAATTACACAATGATGCTCAACGCTAAGCTACCGCAACTCGGAAAGGGGCTACCACGCACGGCGGCAGTTCCGGTGGTGTCTGTCGTCTTCTCATCGCCCCTCGGCCATGGCAGCGTCCAGCAGCCCTTCGTCGCAGCTGAATGGCGATGCCAACAGCGTCGTCTATTGAGCAGGCGGACCAATTTCGCCCAACAGGCCCTGCAAGATGCTCAACCGGACAGCCCCGCGGCGGCATCTGTACCGGCGCAGCTTGTCCCACCCACCGACCCCAACGCCTACTGTGTTCTGAACTTCTACCACTTGACACCCATTGCTGATCCGCAGGCGGTGAGTTATGCCGGCTTGCAGTGCTTGGCTCATGCGCTGAAGCGGTGCCAATACTTCAATGCATGTGCCCCTTGCGTCATACTTGCCGCGCGACTCGCCAAACCTGACTCTATACTTTTTTTCAGAGTATTTAGAAACAATTCAACTATCAAAGCACCATTTTTGCGGCTTTCCTTGCTCTTCACCGATTCATCCTTTATTTGTACCGCCGTACCGCAGGCCGTGGAAGAGCACCGCGCCTATGTCGAGCGGCAAGGCCTGGACATCCGCGGCCGTATCTACATCTCTTCCCAGGGCATGAACTGCCAGTACGGAGGCACTGTCGCGGATGCAACGGCTTACGTGGAGTGGGTCAAACAGCAGCCGGGCTTCGAGGTGAGCACAATTCGGTACTCCTTTAGACCGCCCTAGGAACCGGAACCTGCGATGCATCCTTCCTGGATTGAGCCCATGGGTGTCGAGTACCTTCGTGTGGGTTGGGTTTTATTCCCTTGCCAGCCGGGTCCCTGGCGAGTGGCGACCTGATTCCCGGCTTGACTCCGCTGGCTCATATCGACCAAGTCACCAACAACAACAACGAGCGCCCGGGATCCTTGCCGTCCTCATCCCCTCCTCCTCACCCCGCATCCATGCACCAGCAGCTTGTCACCTACTTTGTTCATTCTCACTTCAACGCACTCGGTCTGCTTCTGTTCCCCTCCTCCTCCTCCTCCTGCCCCTCACCCCGCAGGGCCTGTTCTACACCGTGTGGCCCTCCGAGGGCCACGCCTACCCCAAGCTGCGCCTCAAGTACAAGCCCAACCTGATCAGCCTGGCGGGTGGCATGGAGGTGATGCCCATCACCGACCCCGCGGCACGGGCCACACCGCTGCCGCCCAACAAGTGGAAGGAGATGGTCGGACAGGCAAAGGTACGCCAGGGCGCGAGGCGAAGAGGGGTAATGTGGCGTTTATATAGTGTGCTTTATGGGGTATTTTGAGCACTTCGGCAGGTATCAGGTTTGAGAGAGACCCATGGGTCGATAAGGTGCGTAACACATGCCCAAATTCGAGATCGTACGCCACGTGGTCGTATTTGTCCTCCTCCTTACACGGTAGGAAGGCGTCATTGTGGCAGATTGTGTTTTTCTCAACCCGCCAAAACCCCACCGTCCCCCCTCCCTCCCAGGAGAAGAACGACATGGTGGTGCTCGACCTGCGCAACGACTACGAGTGGGACGCGGGCCACTTTGTTGGCGCGGATCGGCCGGCGGAGGAGGTGTTCGCTGAGACACCTGTGGGCGAGGGCGAACAGGAGGTGCCGCAGCCGCTGCAGGGCAAAGACAAGGACACCACCGTGCTGGTAGGGAGGGCGTGCGCGGAAGAAAAGAAGGGGGGTGGCGTGTGGGTTACGCAGGGTTGCGCAGGTTTTCGTGGCGATTGTGGCTAATAACAAAAGGTAATAAGGGCTTACTATTCACCACGTGCCCCGCTAACTTCATCTGTCGCGTGGACATCCGTGTTAGTACGACAACACCCGCAAACATACCGCAAAAACGTAAAATAAACCGCAAAAATTGGTCACAATACCAACCCCGCAGATGTACTGCACGGGCGGTATTCGCTGCGACGTCTACTCCACCTTCCTGCGCAAGAAGGGCTTCAACAACCTGTACACGCTGGAGTACGGCGTGCAGAACTACTTCCGCCACGAGGGCGGCGCGCACTGGAACGGCAGTCTGTTTGTGTTTGATGCGCGTATGGCCATCTCTCCCAACACCACGGGTAAGCAGGGGCACACATACACGGCTGTGTGGCTGGTGGGTGTGCCATGCATGCATGCATGCAGGCGGGAGGGCTGCGTGGGTGCTACATGCTTGCTTGCTCGTGCCTGCTACGTTTGCTGTTGGTCACACCTTACCTGTACTTCCCAACCTCCTTGGTTTTCTGTCACAAGTCCCTCACACAATAAACCCTCAACTAACTTTGATTCCACATTACCTTGTTCTATTACCGTAAGTTGCCACACCTCCTTACCCTATACCTCGCTATCTCCATAACGTTCCACATTTAAATGAAAAAACGCCTCCGTAACAAAACCCAACACAGAGTCCGGCGCGCTGCCTGCCGCCGTGCCCTGCTCGCTGTGCGGCTCGGAGCCGGAGCTGCCTCACGTCAACTGCGCCAACGTGGACTGCAACGAGCTCTTCATCGCCTGCGCCGCCTGCAAGAGCCGCCTGAAGGGCTGCTGCTGCGAGGAGTGCATGAGCGCGCCCCGGCTGCTGCGGCCGGCCAAGCTGGAAGGCGGACAGTACGGTGCGTTGGAGGAGGGGATGGTGGTAGGGGTGTGAACTGATACCTACTGACCGTGCTGGGAGGTATTGTTGTTCCGCAGCGGTCTGGAATGCAAGGGAGGGTGGTCAGTAGAAAGTACTTGCTGGTTCTTTCCAGTTGCACGGAGAAACATGCATCGGCTGTGTGGTAGCCCACAAAAGACTGACACACTGTGTGATTGCCCGCCTCCCGCAGGCTCCTGGGGTAACTACGCGGACCGCGATGAGATGGGTCCCATCATGGCCCAGGGGCGCTCGCACGAGGGGCGCGTGGCTCGCCGCACCCGGCGACGTGAGGCGCTGAAGGAGCGGCGGTTGGAGTTCCTGGAGCAGAAGCTGGCGCGCAAGCAGAAGGTGAGGGAGGGAGGGGGGAAGAGGAGGCGAAGCGGTAACGTACGAAAATTTGCGAACTCGTAATGTTGTGGCGGCACTATGAGTGCTACGATATGTTACTATATGTTGTCTTTGATAAGAACCAGCGCCTTAACTGACTAATGGTGGCCTGAGGATCCCGCTCGTTGACTGGCTGATGAATGCCCTGCCGCCGTGCGATGTGACCAACACACAGGAACGTGCGGAGGGTGAGGAGGCGGCGGCGCCTGAGGTCTCGGCCGAGAAGAAGGAGGAGGCGCTGGTGGGCGCAGCGTGATGAGGGGGTGATGATCCTGGATTTCCCCTTTGGATGTTTGGACGGTTCCCTTCCGCAATCTTAAAGACTTGTAAGTGTGAAAAGCTAGCTGACGGCATGCTGTGTGGAGGACGCATGCAGGTGCTGGATTTGGCTTTTGTGACGCTCCCTCAATGAATTACCGTTACAGTGTTTGGGGGGCTGTGGCGATGAGACCTCCGCTCTGTTGCTGCGGATTGCGGCTCAGGAGAAGGGGCTTCACCAGCCTATGGGCTGCGGGTGCGATTGTGTTTGTGACGTCGCCGTTTGATTCTGGGCGCCATAGGGGCTTTGCCGGCCTTCATTGGGCCACCAATCGGCGCCCCGCAACCTTTCCACAAGAGACGACAACTTGCCTGGTTGTGTGGCTGTGAATCAGCGTCGCACAAGGGCTTTCCTACGTGCGTGGAAGTTGTATGGAGTGTTTGTTTGCCACCTGCCGTTTTTCCCTGCCTGCCTGAGAGTGGGTGGGCGGCAAACTGAGAGATGTGCATCCTCAGCTTTGGAGGGCTGCACAGCACACGTGTGCGAGAGAAAGAGAGGAAACGTACTTGCTTGGCACATGACCAAACTCCAGACAGCAATGCTGTTGCTAGGCGCCTTGATACGGTCTTGCTCCTTGCTGAGGTACATGTATAGCTGTTAGGCCTTGTGCCTGCTGCAGCATCCATATCGCCTGTCTGCGCCACACTGCTGTATACAAGGGGACAAGAACACAAGATCTTGTCACGAGATTTCCTCGGTGTAGGGTGTACTCGTGCTATCCAGACTCGTGCATCACCGTGAGCTTGCGACCTTACTTCACTGGACACACTTTACTTGCTCCCGCGCGAGATGACGCCACCCTTGACGCTAAGGGCGACGCATGTAATATTGAAGCATGTTAGACCCATCGTCCAAGTGCAAGTGATTTCGGTCGATTTGATTTGGACCACGTCAAATGCCATGTCCGGCAAGCCCGATAATGTCCAACTGACCCTCCATTAGCCACGCAAACCGCGCCCCGGCATCCACAACAAGTCGTTTGCTGCAAGCCAAGCCAGCTGTGTACTGCTGCTGCTGCGTCAAGCATGGTCTCATGCTGGTACGGCGGGGTACGGGTACGGCAGGGCAATTCAACTGAGCCAGCAGCGGCGGACAGCCGGTCCAAGAAACATGTGCCCAAGCACATTGCAAGCGGTGCGTTCCACCACTACCGTGTCCGGCTGCCAGGTGTTCCCCCATTACCGGTAAAGAAAGCTAGCCCAGGGCTAGCCTTCTAACCAAGCCCAGCAGACAGTCACAACGCCAGCAGCGACGGTAAAGGTGTGTCGTCCCCGCGGTCCCCCGGTCCCTCTTTAAGTAAGGTGCAAGACCCCGAAAATCATCAGGCGTGACGAGTGTGCAAGCCACCATCATGCATGCCCACTTGCCTAGCAAGCGCCTGCTGCTCGTAACACCGCAACAACCCCGGCAGGCCACATGCCGGTCGCCATCCGGAAAGCCCACGCCGACGGTTGGCTTGCCTTGTCCGGTGGTCAATACAACCCAGCTTCCCCTCCTCCTCGTCAATTTCTTCCTCTGTACCCTCCTCCTCCCACCCCAACCGCCACAGCCGCCTCATGCTAGGACACCGTTGTGCTGCGCTGCGGCGGACGGCGGATGCGAGGGTGCGTACCGAGGCAGCTGCGCCCTCCGCTCCTCGATGGAGTACTCCTCGTCCGTCCACACCACCACGGACCCGTCGGCGGCGGCGGCAGGGGGCGGCGCCGCGCCTGCAGGGCCCCCGGGCGCGGAGGAGGGCGCGGATGGCGCACCGGGCGGGGGTGCACCTGCATGCACGCATGGGTGGGATTTAGGGTTAGGCGAGGGTCCGTTGACGAAGCGCGCTTGACGGTACGTTACAGCCCCTCGTTTTGCCCCTGAATCCGCACCGCCCCCCTCAACGCCTAATCCGTCACACCCAAACCCCCACACTAATCCATGCCCCTCACGTCTCACCTATGGGGAACAGCGCCGGCGGCTGCCCCGGCCCCCCCGGCGGCCCTTGCCCGATGGGGAACAGCGGCGGCGGCATCCCAGGCGCCCCATGCGGCGGCGGCATGTACGGCGGAGGGTACGACCCGTGCGGCCGGGGTGCCCCGGGGGGCGGCATGCCGGGCTGTGGCGGGGCGCCTGGGGGGTGCGGCATCCCCGGGTGCGGCGGCGGCATCCCGGGGTGCGGGTGCATGCCTGCGGGGAGAGGACGGGAAAAGCAGAGCAGCAGCAGCGAGAAGAGCAGCAGCAGCACTGTTCGTTAGCGCCGAGGTAAGATCCGTATTGTGATGTGGTAGGGTACTGGATAAGGAGGCAGCTGCTTGGTTGCAGCAGCCGCAGCATGCGGACGCTGGCAGGCATGCAGCGCCGTCAGGAGGTCAGGGCGGTCAGGGGGCGCACCGCTGCAGTGGTGCGAAGGGACTCGGGGTGCGTCTGCCCATGTAAAGGGTCCCGCCCCGCACACAGAACACGTCGTAAAACCTTTTCGACAATCCAGTACTTGCGGCCAGGTGTTTTAGCACTCGTCAAGGCAATGTTGCCCCTGACAACATCCCGTGACACAGCCCAGCCGAACAGTTAACAACAGCGGACAACAAGCTGATTAGCTCCAGGGCAACCCAGTTGAGAGAAGCAAATGGTGTGTGACATGTTCTGAAGCAGGGCCAAAAAGGCTTACCTGGCGGGGGCGGCATGCCGGGTCGAGGGGGGTAGCCCGGTGGTGGCGCACCGTACGGCGGTGGGGCTCCGTAGGGGGGCGGGGGCATGCCCGGCCGTGGTGGGTAGCCCGGGGGAGGCGGCCCGTAGGGTGAATAGCCGTAGGGCCTGCGGGTTGTTCAACGAGGGAGGGAAAACATGGCGGGAACGAGGTTGCAGGGGAAGCCACGTAACACGCATGCATGGCGGTATGTACGGTAATTAGCAGGCAGCAGCAATGGCGACAAGCGCCCCCACATATCATGCGCGGATTGTGGGGGGCGTTCGGGGGGGGCCGTTGCCGCATGCAACAACGCCAGCACCCCCTTTGCTCGCGCGCTGCGCAGAGCAGCATGCACCAGGCATGCATCCATGTAGCCGCAGGTGCACACTCACCACCATGTGCACGCTTCCACGGTCTCGCGGAAGCACACACACAAAGGGTACCGGTACTCGTTCACGCCGCCATGCAGACCAACATTGGGGCCGTTTAACAGAACCCGACCCGCATCCCGATCCCGACCAGCTTAACGCACAAAACCTCCGTTATCACCCGTTTCCCAACTTACGGCGGAGCTCCGTAGGGGCCGGGCGGGTACCCCATCGGGGGTTGCGGCATTCCCCCCGCATGCATGCCCGGAGGCGGGGGTCCGACGGGGGGGAAGGCCCCGGGTGCTGCTGCCATGGGCGGAGGCGGCGGTGCGGGTGCCGGGGGCGGTGTTACGTCATCGTCATCGTCCATGCGTGCTTTCTTTGCTGCGGGCCCCTCGCCTGGGGTGTGGGAAAAGGAAAGGGTGGGGGGGAGCTGGGACTGTCGGTGGGCGATTGGGAGCACTGGGAGGAGTACAGGAGCAGAATGGCACCAGGCGCCATTGAAAACCCAACCTGCATGCCGCTACATGTGGGGGACTGGGAGGCAGCAGCCAGCCTACCAAGTGGGACCAGGAACGAGTGGTCCCTCTGGCTTGATACTCCTTGAACCCCTTGACCGCAGTTTGGCACACCCCCTTGCAACTCATCCAGCAGCAGCTCACATGGGATTGCGCCTTTGGGGCAACATCCCCAGTGCTGGTTGCCAGGACCCCAAACGCACCTTGAAGCTTAGCTGGACGAACGTCGTCCGGCACTCCCGCCATTCCAAAGATCTCCACGCTCATGGAGTCCCGTCCTGCTTTAGCCGCAGGGACCCTGCCCGCCAAAAGTCCGTGTGTGCGCATTAAGATCGTGCTGCGGCCAAATCGTTTCCCAACCCATACCGCAACTTACGCATTGATGGTAAGCTTATGCACCTGGAACGCGTGGGTGGCAAGCCCCTGTGCCGTGTTCATTTTCCGGTTGCACCTGCGCAAGCAGGCGCGGCGGGCAGCATTTCATGCAGGATAGGACGACAAACCGTCTGCCTCACCGGCATCCCCTGTACAAGCAGCATTCAACCCTCACTCTGGGCATTTAAAGTGCTTGTTCTTCTGGTGCACAATCAGCGCAGCCTCGTCGTCAAAAATACGGTCACAATAGTAGCAGAAAACCGTCTCCTGCTCCTTATTCTTCTTCTTTTTCCCCATTTCTACGCTCCTCTGCGCCTAGATCAGCCGCGGCAAGGCTAGTTCCTAGGAGTTATCAACGCCGCCAAACGAGCTATATTCTTGTCAAGTACCGGTACCGTTCAAGACTCTTCACCGCACTCGTAGTAAGGAGGGAGCAAGCAAGTGAAAACCCTGTATAACCGTCTATGAAGTTTGCAACTGCAGTGGTAGTGCAGACGGCGCAAAATCTTAACCTTGTCTCTAACAGCGTAGTCGTATGGGATACATTTCCAACGACTGGTTACGCAAGCAAGAGACGTTGGTGGGGCAGACGTACGGATTGTCGTACGAGGATGGAGTCGGCATTAGCACGCTTTTATTTTCCTCTTCACTTGATAGCAGTCTCATGTAAAGGTTTCAAGCACGAAGGATGGGCGAGCAGTCCAGCGCGCCAAAAAATATGATATCCGTCACCGTTACCTCCCCATTTTTGTAGCCAATGCTTGTTACTTGCCTAGTCTTTTCATACTTGGGGGTTCTCCCGCTCGTGGACGGCGCTGCTTAGGGCTCTAGGACTTTAAAATTGGAGGAGGCGCCGCCTGTGGCATGAACGGCCTCAGGGCCCTCACATATAGGCCGGTAGGTGTGAAGAGCTACTTTGTGCTGGCTACCCGGCCGTGGGCGCGCGAGGATTCGAGTGGCCGGGATGGTTTCCCTGACGGGTTGGAAAAGGCCGAACGGCTTTATATGCTCCATTTCTAGGTATTCGTTTAGAGAAGAAGCTGATCTTTAGCTTCTCTGTTTGGAACTCCAGCTATGGCTTATTCCAACGCTGGAGTTGTTCGCGCGCACCCGTCTCCTTCTCCGATGGCCTATGTTATATCATGAATATCTGGTTTTCGGCCTGGACATCTCTTAACCGGCCAGGCGTCATTTACAGAATGGCGCCCTTACGGTCTGGATTTGCGCGCGTGTAGATGCCTCGGACAAGCTCTGCTAGCTCTTCCATATTCTCGCCCTAATTTGATGATGTTTAAGCTGTCTGCATTTTGTGTCATCCCTGCGCTGCAGGGGCTAGAGGAGGGGTACGGGGCTCAGCTATGACCAAGGTGGAGTGCCCCGCGCCTGGATTCAAAGGTCTGAAATGGAAGTGGATACAGGACCATGCTAAGGAGCAACAGGAGCGGGAGAAGGAGCGGCCACCACCGGGACAGCCTCCCGCGCAGCACCTAGACTTGCGAGAGCAGCCATTACAGCAGGACGGGGCCATAAGCCAGGGCGCCCAACCTGAACGCTCCTCGGTTGGCCAACCCTCTGCATCGGCTCAGTATGAGCTAGCTTCATCCCCACCAGAGCAGCATAGCGGGCTTCAGCGGCATTCGGGTGGTGGGGCGTCACAGCTAACTCAACCTGCCTGTCCCGTAAAGGTACGGCGTGTCTGCCTGCCTAACCGCCGCCGCCGGTTCCTCCCTTCGAGCATCCATGCGAAAGGGCCGGACTTTTACACAAGCCATTTTCTGTTATGGGAAAGTGGAACCCTGAGGCCCCATGCTCCTTTCGTTCTATGCAAGCTGTCTGATGGGTGCCCTTCTGTTTGTGACTCAGGTCGAGGTGGGTCAGCAACTGTCTTTGCCAGGTTCCCAGCCTGCTTCGGTCGCTGCTGCGCCGTCAGGGCAGGCGCCGCCAGCACAGGCAGAAACCAAGCTCCGAACCCACGATGAGGTAGGTGTGTCCCTGTGATATGAGCGCATAACACGTTACGCCTATGGATGCTTGACCCAAATCGCCCTTTAAGGACCATGCTTGCCCACGTCCCAGGCACAGATGCGACCGCATGCTGCGTCCATGCACTTCCAGTCGAATTCTCTCCTTATTATTGCCTTCAACATGCCGTCTCTGTTTGTCGTCCACAGGCACCAAAGTCACGCGCGACAGGACCTCAGCCGCCTGCTGCACCTAACGCCGCGACTGGGGATGCCTCGGGGAATGCACAGGCGGGAGCGTCTTCAGCCCCATCGGTGGGGCCGGTAGCAGGGGGCCAGACAGCGACAGCTGGCCTCACAGGGTCTCCACGCGTGTCCACTGGCACTGCAACGTCGGTTGATGCCCCTTTGCCTGGTACAGCTACCGCCCCCGCAGTGTCCCTGGGACGCAAGTCCTCTGACGCGGCTGACGCTACTCATGCACCTGCACCGGCAACTGCAGCCACAATGACCCCAACGGCAATAGCGTTACCAACCCAGCAAGCAACAGCTTTAGCAGCCGGGTCGCTCACGCTTCCTAATCTAGCCCCGCTGCAAGCAGCAGCCGGGTCAGTTCCTGCGTCCGCACCCACACAGCCCACGGCTTCCGTGCAAGCCACAGCACCGCCAGCAGCAGCATCCACCATCCCAGCGGCTGCTGCGGCCGCAGCAGCATCCACCGGGGTCCCGGCGCCCAACCCTGCGACGGCCTCCACGGCTGCTGCCCGCTTGCGGCTACCCCCCACCCGAGCCCCGTCGGCGGTGCTGGCACCAGCCAAGGCAAAGGGAGGGGATGACTTTGAATCCATGTTTACACCGCTTTCATCCCTGCCCGTGGCGAAAGCGGAGACGCCGCGGGAGGGGGCATGCGGAGGCGCAAGTCGCGCAAGCAGCTTGGTGCTGGGGCCGCACACGGGTGCAGCTGGGGTCGCCGGCGGCAGCTCTGGGGGCGCTGCTGGAGTCGCCGCAGTAGACGCGGGGGAGCGGAAGGTCCCACTCAAGAAGGTACGGCAGGGGAGTTTGTCGTCGTCATAGCGCATCCCCCAAGGATGGGCAACTATGGGCAACGGAGCACCCCCTGTATGTTTGCTCGCCGTTTCCGTTTTGACGTCCTGGTCCCTTTGCACCCTCTTGTAACGTGTTTGGCGATATGGTTACATTGATGTCCCAAACTCTGTCCTTAGGTGTTGGCCCCCACCTGCACCTCGCTTGCTTATCATGTGCCTACGTCCATGCTTTCTACCAGGCGTCACGATTGCCCGACAGCCGGTCAGTTGGCACCCAGCCGCCCCCTGCCGAGCCAACGGATGCAGACAACGGTCCCACCTCGGCTCGTAGTCGGACTCCCGCGGCGCAGGCCGCACCTGCTTCCTGCCTCTCCCCGAGGGAGCCAGCAAGCGGGGGCGCAGCTACCGGCGGCTCGCACAGGGCGCAAACTCAGCCGCATGGGCAAGCGCAGCAGCAGCAGCACCAACCAGCTTCAGGGCATCCGCAGCAGCAGCAGCAGCGGCCCTCTAGTGCAAAGCATGTTGCTCGGGGGGAGTTGAAGGAGGCGAGTCGGGGTGGACGAGAGCAGGCGGAAACCGTCGCCGGCACCGCAACGACACCTGCGGGCGGGTCGGGGTCCCAGGCGGCAGCAGCTGGAACCGCGATAGCAGGGCGAGCGGCGGGGACGGACAAAGGAGCGGGGACGGTTGGCGGAGAGACGGCGGACAGAAAGCGGCCCAGAACGGAAAGCGCGAAGCCAAAGGTGGGTGTACGGGTATTAGAGCACTTGAGTTTGCAGACCTTCGGCCAACCGCAGTTGGAATTTGTTGGCCGTAAGCTATACCAATGGGTAAGGGGTCATCGGTCCTGGTGTGCGGCACATGGAATTGCTTGAGGGTACACCGTACACTCAGTGGGCGATGCGTTGCTAGGAGGAAGGATACCTCATGCCCCGCACTACAGTGACAACATTGTAACTGTATTGCTGGTGCAAGGCTGGTAGCTTATAGCTGTAGGCTGTCTGACGTCCTGCCGGGCCCTCTGCGCAGGCTGTCGGTCCGTCCGCAACTGGCGGCGAAGCTGCTGCTACCGCTTTGGCGGAGGCTGGATTGCCGTACTCGGAGACCCTGGCGGACCGAGTGAAGCGCACCAAGCGCACCACGACATCCTCAAGTGACCATGATGGCCCGCACTCGCTCGGGAACAGCGCTGAACGTGCGCCTGGTCAGGGCACACCCACGGCCGGCGGCTGCGTTGAGGCGCAGGGAGGTGAGGGGGCGGGGGCGGTACCGCCCCGTCCCGCAACTTCCGCTGAGGCCCAGTCCCGCGGTGCTGAGGCGCTCCACGCCAGCGCCTCCAACCGGCAAAAACAGTGTCCCGGGGGGAGTGAGAAGCCAGGGAGGGGTCCTGGAGGCAGGGTAGGCGGCAGCAGTGCAGCAGCAGCAGCAGCATCAAAGCCGCAGCAAGGGCAACATCAGCCACCCGGGCATCGGGACAAACCCCCAGGGCGGGGCGACGAGCCGCCGGGTGCTTTAGGGCCATCTGAGCGGGGAGCGGAGAAGGGCGGGGAGCAGCAGCAGCAGCCTAGCAATGCCATGCGGGCATCCGGGGGCGGAGCTGCAACGGATAGCAGCTGTGGCGGCGCGGGCGCGGGCGGCGGGCCACCAGCTGCTTCCCAACGGGGACCAACAGCACCGACGTCTGGGAAAACCACTGGCGGAAATGGGTCATCTGCGGGTGCGGGCGGAGTGAAGCGGCATGCAGAAGCCCCGACGGCACGCCGGCCGGCCGGCCCGCCCGCCAAGCTGCCCCGCACAGACCCGCATCTCCCACGTCCCCATGCAGCCCATGGGTTGGACCGGCGAAGCGGCAGCGGTGCTCCTGCTGCCGTTGGTGCAGATGCGGCCGCAAACGCGCCAACGGCGACCAACGGCCGGACCACCGGACCCCCACCGCCGCCGCCCTCGGGTAAACCCCCGCACCGCACACCTGGCGTGAAGGTAGAGCCGGCGCATGCTGCAGCGGAGGGCCAGGCGCAGCAGCCGTCTGGCGTCGCAGCCGCTGCGACGGGCGCAGGTGCGGGTTCGGGTCGGTCGCCTCCGGCTCCCCCACCTCCCCGTCCAGGGCGGGCGCAGGGTGATGCAGACATGCCTGCGGCGGGCAGTTGCAAGGGCGCGGTTGCCGGCAGCCGAGGCTCCAAGGACGGCATGGGGGACAAGGGCGCATGCGGGCCGCGCGGCGGTGGCGCAGCTGCCGCCTGTGGGGCCGGCGCGGCTACCACCACCACCGAACCTAAAACGGACTCGGACACTCGGACGCCTCGAATGGTGGAGTGCTTTTTCGAGTTTGAGCAGCCCTGTCGAATACTGGGTGGTGGCTCGGCGTCTGTGTCTGGGTTGGGGTCCAGCGGCTCCCTGCAGGGCTTGCCTGGCATGGTCGGCCGGGGCGCTGGAGGGGGAGGTATGCTGCGTGCCGGCATGGGGGTTGCGGCTGCGCCTGCCACGCCGCAGCATTTGGATTTGGGCAAGATCCGCACGTTCAAGGAGCTCTGGGCGCAGCTGGCGGCGTTGTACGACGGTGTACTGCCGGACGAGATGGACTCGAAGATCATATACCTGGTGAGCTGTGTGCTGGGGGTTAGTAGGATGTACCGCTTGGAATGCTACCTGCCTAGTGTGTGTCCCATGGTGGGCGTACGCAGAGCGGGAAAACGTGCATCCAGGAAGCTTAGCACGTGCGCACAGCCCCATTCCCAACTGTTCAACTTCTTCTAAAACGTTCCTCCTCCGAACTAACACCGCCAGGACGAGGAGGGTGACTGGATCATGGTAACGCCAGATGAGCCCTGGTCGTCCGTCGCTGCCGCCGCAACCAAGATGCTCATCACCAACCGTACCTAGGCAGTGCCTGCATGGATGGTCTCTGCAAGCGCGCCTCGGCTGGATGGGACACACTGCCCCCGCTGTGGGCTGGCATGTAGGGAACCGGCGTTCCGGCTGCGAATTTTGCAGCTAACCTGCTTGCGCCGAGTGCGTTGGTCGAGGATGGACTGGGTGGCAGCATGTGCTTCGACGTGTGCGCTGCGCTGTGTTGACGTAACGAACGAGAAGCAGCAGTTGCCTCGGCTGCTCAACAACGAGTGTATCCCCTTTTTTTACCTGGACTGTCAATTTTGAGGCCCATCGTCGTGCGATGCAGTGAGCTCATGCCTGGTTAGCGGTGGCAAGGTGTCATGCGGCGTGGAGCATGGGTTCGACATGCATGTGGGAGGCAGCGGAAGCAGGTTTGCAACTCTTACTAGCAGGAGATGACTCGTTCCCTGTTATCCAGTGTGAATTCGCTGTGCTATGCAGTGCGTTTTCCTCGTCCTTGGGAGCTTCTTGGAGGTCTCCTTTTGCGGGTGTGGAGTTCGTGGTTGCATGTGCGCGCACGCATGGCAACGAGTGCTGGCGGGAGGGATGGATTTAGTGGTTGTAGTTATGGTGGTGTAGCAGGGTTGACGCAAGCGTTGACTTGGTCGACTGGGAGTGCTGGCTCATTCTTTCGTAGCAGGGTCGCTGCCCCTAACAGTAGCGCTTTTGTTGGGAGGCACGACAGCTAGGTGGCGTCGCTGTGCGGGTGTGGGCTTTTTAGAAAGGGGGACTAATAGCAGCAGCCCTTTAAAGGCCGTACAAATTTACCGCAGGCTGTTATCCGCTGTTTTCTCGACTGGGGAGAGTGGCGCGAGAGGTATGAGGAGAGGTGGTTGGCCTAAAGGTGACGATTGCGGCGAGCCCGTGCCCTGGGCATTCGGGACCGAATGCTTAGGGTGCGTTTAGGGGCCTTGATGCTATTATCATGCGGCACAAGTGGAATGAGGATCATCATCATTCCAGAGGGTTCCTTAGATTTAGTGCGGCTCGTAGGGGTAGGTTTTGTTGAAACGCCGCTAGACATTTAGTTGTCAAGCAAGGGGACTGGCGCGGAGTTCGTCCCGCCCTGGTGCCCACACATGTCATAAGGGTGCTTGCATGGGTGCATGGGCAGGTAGGGGTAGTTACAAGAGTAGCTGAACGTAGTATGATGTTCAGTGCTGGTTAGCGCCAAAGCGCGATTCAGCCGGTGGTTACGCTTTTTGCTCCGCGTGCGTAGCTTTTTGTACTAAGGATACGGTTTGCGGGTGGAATTTACCTATGCAACCTGGCATGCGCACCCATGCGTCTATGCCCTTGTAAAGTTATTCGCTGCGTGCGCACGGTCAATTCAACGCGCGCTGCATTAAGGCAGTTGCTAAGGCTTAGTTTCAATCCCTTGCGTACTACGGCGTAGTGCACTCTGAACCTGTCAGTCACACAATTCAAACTATCCATCCGTCAGGACCCACCGCCGTGATCCGATCTAAGCTGCAAGCCTATACGGTTATTAGATATGTGCAGCAGTGGACAGGTGTGTGAAGCCAAATACATTATGATGTTAGCAGCGAATTTGCAGCGTTTCTATCCAGGTCCGCCCAGTTACACTGTCCTTGTCGCCAGAATAGTATTGCTAGCAGCGAGCGCGTATTCTATGTATGCGTATGCGTGAGCATAGCGCGCATAGGTGCAATGTGAGGCTGCAAGGGATGAGGAGAGGCTGCCGTACTTGGATTTCGAACTACCCATCATAGGGCTAGCCGGTCAATTGCTTGGAATCTTGTGGTCGCTTAGATCGGTTGATGCTACGTAGGTTGTATCGGATATGACTGAACCAATTGATTTAACTGACGATGGCAGTGATGCCACCGTCATTGCATCGAAGTCAGGGGACGAGGGCACCAAAAGGAAACTTGCAGCCCTTTGTGAAGGCCTTAGCGATACGCTGCGGGTTGCGGATGCCCCCGCACGGAAGCGATTAAGGACTGCAGTCGATGGAGTCGAGTTCCCGGTTCCCGCACCCAAGAACGATTTGCCGCAGGGACGTGGAACAGCAGTAGGAGCCTCAGAGTCATCCAAGCCAGCCGCACCGCAGACCTTGGCCCCGGCTGCAGCAGCAGCCCAGGCAGCTGCTCCTCAAGCAGCGCCTTCCGCTGCACCTCCTGTGGACAACAACTTTCTCGCGCAGCTCCACGCTGAGCGGCTCTCACGCATGACTGAAGCCAGCAAAGCGGCCCTACGGAGTCCCTGCAAGGCGGAGGCTCCCAAGAGTGACCAGCCGAGCCATCCGAGCCACCCCAGGCAACCCTTCCCAACTGCTGACGCGAGCACAGCGGCTAGCCGCGTGGGAGCCGCGTCCACGTCCGAGCAACGCGCAGCTGGAGCGCCCTCAGCAGCATCAAGCCCTGCCAGGACCCTCTCAGTCCTCACGTACAACCTATGGTGCGTACGTGCGTTACATGCGCGTAACAACAGTTGCCCCTTTTCCTCCGCCTGAACTTTCGCACGCCCAGGCTTGTACCGGTAGCTAAACCAGTCTGAAACTCCCTCGGCGTGCAGCAGCCTTTCTCTTCTTCTCCCTCCCTCCCTCCCTCCCTCCCTCCCTTCCCCCTCCTCCCATACTCCAGTTGCTGCACTTCTCACTTATTCTTTCTCCTCCTCGACTCCTCCTGCTCCCGCTCCCCTTCTAAAAGGTTTAACGAGGAAGTGGAGCTGGTCGCACGCATGCGTGCCGTGGGTGACATCATCGAGCGAGAGGGCTTCCCCGACCTGCTGCTATTCCAGGTGGGGTACCGGTATATGGAGCTGCCGTACAATCATATCAGGCGATGGCGACTTTGACTTCACTTCCACCGACTAACTAACGTCCTAATTTAATCCTAACGGCCGTGCAGGAGGTGACTCAGAACATCGCGCTCCTTTTCCGCCAAAGCGCCTGGTTCCGCCGCTACCACTGCTCGCCCGTCCCAGACCAGGTGCGCTCTGCCCACCTCGTCTGGGTTCTTGTGTCAGCAGCACTGACCTTGTATGAAAGCTTATTGCATCCTCTAACCCTGACCCAAATCAGGCGATGGGCTTTTCACTGGTTTACGCGCATGGTTGGGTTGCTTGTTAGGACTCCCAGTTTGTTGTGGACAGGCAATGCTTGCCGCGGGCCTCGTACTTGACCTCTACGGGTTTCTCTTCCCGTTCCCTTGATCTCTACGCCGGCTCTTGACATCCTCTCCTCCACCCTTTACCATCGTTTTCGGTTCACCTTCCGCGCTCCCACTCGTACTGCAGCCGTACTTCACGCTGCTCCTAGCGCGGCGCGACACCGCCACCCTGCCCGCCATGCAGCCCTGGATGAACAAGGACTTCTCCAACTCCCTCATGGGTGAGAGCGGAAAACACGGGCTAACCGTATGACAGGGCTTTAGAGAGGGAGGGGCCGTAGGACGGGGTTTGGGAACGAGAAAATCGGACGGTGCATATAGCAGTGCCCTGTAGCCGCATCATTTCCTCCGAGGACGGAGGCCAACATTGCTACCCAAAATCCGAACCAAAGTAAGGCCTGGGTAACTGGCCCATTGTCGTCGTTTGCGTAGGTCGAGGCATCCTGTACACGCGGGTAGCGGTGGGCGGACGACCCCTGGTGGTCGGCACCACACACTTGGAGAGTCCCGTGGGTCAGGGGCAGCAGCAGATGGTGCCGCAGCGGCAGGAGCAGATGGGTATCGCTATCCGGGAGCTAGAGGCGGCGGCGGGGCCAGCAGGGGACGTCTTGCTTGCAGGTGAGTCCTCTGAGGGCAAGGACTCCATGAAAACCCATTTCACTTATAATTTAAAACTCGCTTCTGAAGTAGGTCGGTTCAACTGTGACAACTGACAACAAACTTTGGGGCCATTTAGGTATGCCGTCGTACTGCCGTACGCGCTCCTTCACGATGTCACCCTCGCACCGTCGTACGGTTGGAACCCTCAAATCCCCAAACCCCAGGCGACATGAACTGGACGGACCACCGCGACGGCGCTGTTCCACTGCCGCCTGGCTGGTGCGACGCCTGGCAGGTCCTCATGCCCAACCAGCCCGGGCTGACTTGGAATCCAGCCTGCAACCCCATGCTCACAAGGTAGGTGGGTGGGCTGCATGGGATGTACCATGAGCATTGGCAGGCTAGTAGGATTGGCGAAGAGGAGGGATTACTCATGTCTTCATGTGACAGGATTCCAACACGGGTTGTCACAGGGTGGGTACGTTGGCGGCATCAGCATTGGCAGGCTCATGGTGGACGGACTAGGCTGCGCGGCGTGTAGAACGAGGATGGGGCTTGAAGCTGAGGCATGAAGGCTGCCGCTGCGGGAGTGACGGCGGCTAGAGCTGTGTTGTATGGCAGCGCAAGCTGGACACTCGGGGAGGTCGCTCGGCCGCTGACATGTAGATGCCCATGCATGTACCGATGCAGCAAAAGAAAGCAGCTTCTCCATCACTACCGTAACCCTGTTTTCACTTACCACCCGCAGCCGCTTCAAAGGCTCTCGGTTGGACCGCGTCCTGTGTCGGCTGTCGGGCGGCGCTGGAGGCGGGTCCGCATCCTCGTCCACGTCAGCCGGTGGGCGCGGCGGTGGTGGGTCCGGCTGGCGGCTGGGGGAAATCAAGCTGGTGGGCACACAGGCCCTGCCTGGCGTGACGTATGAGGCCAAGGGCAAGCGTCTGCCGGTGAGTTTGTGCCTTCCAGGATGCCTTGTCCCGCGGCTTAAGCTCCTTTATTTTGCCTTCGGGGCCACCTGGCAAGGCTTTTTGCGACAAAGTTGAATGGGTGTAATCAGCTAAAGCACACCGTAGCATTGTAGCCTAGCTGTTGGATTCATTTCACCGGTATTCACTGCATGCCTTCTAGGTTCTAGCGCTGAGTACCGGTACCAAAAGTGCGTGGCAACCCCTCTCGGCTGCGCAGGTGCTTCCGTCCGACCACTTTGGGCTGCTTGTGAAGCTGCTTCCAGCGGATGCAACACCTGCGGCCGCCGCTTCCGGGCACGTCCTGGGCGCCGCTGCACAAGCACCGTCCTCTGCTGCCACGGCCGTTGCCATGGAGCGGGGCCGTGGGGGTTCTGCCGCAGGGACCGCGCGAGGCCCCAGCGGCGGTGCTGCCCCTGCTGCGGCAAACGGCAGCAGCAATGCCGCTAGGGAGTCCGCTGCTGTGCGCAACAGCCAGCAGCGCCCGCAGACGCAACAGAATCCACCCTTGCGGCGGTTGCCGGCGGCACAGCAGCAGCAGCAGGGGCCGGCGCCGTCGGGATCCCGGGCCGCGCGCAAGGTCACTGAGGTTGATCTGTCGACCGAGGACGCGGATGATGATGTCATTGTGCTGTAGGTTGTTCGCACGGGCTGTAGATAGAGCGGGGAAGCGAGGCGGGGGCGCAGCTGCAGAGGGTGCCGCATGTGGGTTAGCTGTAGAGACAGATACAGAAGCAATACTGCCTGCAGGTGCGGCTGTCCGAGTGTCCGTACAGTGTGTTAAGCTGGATGCGTCGTTTGCGTACGAACGAGCGCTGCAGGCGATGTTGCTTGGCGTGCTCTCGCTTGGCCTCTGAAGACGCGAGGGTGAAGTGGGTGGTCCCCATTGACGTTGCTGCACGAATCCGGACTCGTGTCTGCGAGACTGAGGGGTGCTGGAAATGTACGTGAGGTTCCAGCGGCTAAAATGCCGGGAACCTACTATGGAATGAGGACTCCTTTTAATAGATGGATGCATTGCACACGGGCGGGCTTGGAATGTGTGGTCGGCTATGCAAGCCATGTACAACGGCACCATACACATTGCCACGTAGCACGCTCTGAGGCCATAATTACAAGCGGTTTCCATCCTTGACTGATCCACCTCGCATCCCTGCAGGGTCACTTGACACAAAGCCCACGAGCAGGTCCACACTACGCACCTGCGTGGAAACCTGCAAAGTCGTACAAACACACAGATCTTGTCACATGTGCCGGTTATCGAGTCCCGCGGCCAGCCTTATGCCGACCAGCGCCGCTGTGTCAAGACGGCCACATACAAAGTGGTGCAATACGTGCATGCTTCACTGCACTCTTCCACTTGGCGTCTTGGGGGCGACTAACCGGCAATCCAGCAAAGCTCATCAATCCCCCATCGTTGCGTACATGCGCGCAGTCCCGAGTAGTGCGCATGCATCCCCACCCGCAACCAGCACCGCCGCTACGCATGTCAGGTAGCACAAGTCACATAGCACAAAGTAAACTTGTCAACTAACGCTGCTGTTGGCAGGTCCAGGCTTGCGTCAACAGAACAGTCGGCAGCATTACGTGTTGGGTTGTAGAATCGCGTCGTCAAGTCGTCAGTGGACGGTACATACCGCTGCCATGAGCACAGTAAGAGACGTACGGGAGAACTCGACACCAGAATCCTCGACAGTAACCCAGTCAACCAAGCGTCAGGAGCCGCCCAGGCATGGCTGCCATGCCAGTTCCCAGACCAATGTGACCCTTAGGTAAAGCCCATGCAGCGATGACACGTCTGTGAAATGAATCTAAATTGACTGACAGCAAGTTAAGCACACAGTCCCAATCAATAGCAGCAACCGATACTGCCTAATGCGGGTACTCGGCGTGAACGAAGCCACATTGCACGTTCACCCACAACCAATTCAACACGCGTCCACCGTCTCCATGCAAGGCTGCACGCCGACCCTATATGCCCAGCCCCACTCTACAGAGCATCCGTCCAAAGATCAACCTATTTGTCACCAGAAGGTCCATTGGTGATACAACAGTGCGCTGAGTTAGGGGTGTCGTGTCGTCACAGGGCCGTCAGCCCCCTTCAACTCCCTCAGGCTAGATGCAGGGATGCTCTGGGGGGAGGGTACTGACTGGTCACGTCACGTTCGAATAAGCGCACAGTCCTACACAGTCCGCGCAACTACACTGCCGTCCGTTGCTCCGAACGCTGGCAAAACGCTGCTGTCGTACCTGCACACCTCCACGCCAGGCTACACGGAAGTAGAAGGAGACGCGGCACCACGGGAGGCGGCAGCATGGGAGTACGAATACATAAAGAGGGAGGCATCAGCGCATCACAAGACTCTACTCGTTGGCACACCGGATGCAACGACCATCTCACCGCGAGGCCCAAACAGCACACACCCAAACGGACGCATCAGTGCGCCACAGTGAAGAATGCAGTGGAGCCGCTGTCAGCTAGGACCAGTGAGCGGCCCCGGAAGGACACCAGCGGCACAGAGCGGGTGCTGCTGTAGGCGCGCACGGCGGGGCGCAGCGGTGGGGCGTCCGCTGGCACGACAGGAGCTAGGGGGTCGGCACGGGGGCGGAAGGACAGCTGCCGGCAGCGGTGCAGCTGCTCCTGGCGCCGGTGCGTGGCTGCCTCGGTCTGCGAGCAAAGGAAGTCACAGGGCCGGGATGGGGTCAGTTCGTGTGGTTATTGTTACGCGTCTTTGACGTCTCTGGCTGGTAATGGCTGGTAATACAAAGAAGGAAAGAACACAAACTTTGAATGGAGGCGCAGCCATGGATATTAGCACATTACCGGCACCCCAGGGCTTACCTGTGCATGCGGCGTCAGCGGAACTCCGATGGCTGCGGTGCCCAGCCCCTCCGCCGCCTCATCAGCCGCCGCGACGGCGAACTCGCCGCTGTCCGCCGCGCTCCCCGACTCCATTGCAGCAGCCTCCTGCAGCGGCGGAGACGGAGGGGTGCAGCGCAGCACAGCAACCGCTCAGACCGACCAGACAACCGTAAGCACATTCCCCCAAGTCTCCCCAAGACGGCAAAGCCTCACCAAGGGCGCTGCGATGGGCCCCAATTCCCACTCCCACGTTACGGTACCCTACTCACCAGCAACAACGCCCGCTCCGGAAGACGAGCCACGAACGGTGCGTAGTCCGATCGAAACACCACCGCCCAGGGCGCCGGGCTCGCTCCCACCCACGCCATCAACCGCACGCCTGTTAGCTCCCGCAGCAGAGTACAGCTGCTGGCGTGCCACAACCGTACGACACCATCCTCTAACGACCCGGTGGCTAGCAACAGACCCGCGGGACTGTGCCGTACTCCGTCTACAGAGGATTTGGAGGCTGTGGAGTGTCCATGGGGGCTGCTGGCGGTGCATTCGCCGGTGCGGGGGTTCCAGGTGCTCAGCTGGCCGTCGCGGCTGATGGTTGCGAGGGAGGAGCTGTCGGGGGCGAAGTCGAGGCCGTACACGTGGTCTCGGTGCTGCAGCCGCGCAACCTGAAGCAGGGACGATGGTTATTGGCGTGATGGTTCGGAGGGAAACAGAGGACTGCGCTATTGCTAAGGAGAAGCTCACTACTAATTAAAGCCGCCGGGTAAGGCTGTAACGGAAACCAATTTCTCCCACTTCCCTAACAATAGGTCCTCCTATACTCCCTGACCACCGGCTGTTACGTCAAAAAGGCTTCCTCCCTCCTTCCCTCCCTCCTCACCGGCTCCGGCTCAATCTCGTCCACGGCCGCGCGGATGGCCTCCTCATGGTCCCACACGCACACCAGCCCACAGTCCGAGGACGACGCCAGCAGCCGCCCGTCAGGACTGTACTGCAGCCCCTGCGTCAGCATGGCGTGTCCATGCAGCCGCGCCGCCAACGTGCCGAACGGCAAGGACCAGATCAGCACCGTACCGTCGTCGTGCGCCGAAGCCAGGTGCGAGCCGCTAGGGTTGAACACCACGCTACATGCCAGCGTGACCCAGCCTCCAGCGCCGTGGCCGTGGCGGCGGAAGCCTGACGGGGACTGTCCGGTGCGCAGCGGGGGCAGGGAGCAGGAGTCGGCGGCAACGGAGGCGGATACGGAGGCGGCTCCGCCGCCGCCGCTGCCGGCGCGCCTGACGCTGTCGCCGGAGGGTCCCAATGCAGAGTCGGCTTGAATGGCGGCAAGCAGTCGTGTGGATGCGGGGTCCACATCGGGTGTGGACCAAACGCAGATACAGCCATCGTCCGAGGCGGAGGCTAGTAGGAAGCCGTCAGCGCTGTAGACGACGCGACCCACGGGTCGGCGGTGGTCGCTAAGCAGCCGTGCGAAGCGATGCGGCGCGGCGGAGTCCCAAATGCACACGGCGCCGTCCGCCAGGCCAGCGGCTAGCTGCGTGCCGTTGGGGTTGTGGGAGAGGCAGGAAACAACGCCTGCAGGGACAGCGCGAAAGAGAAGCAACATTCAAAGGTTTAAACTAACCCTCACATTCCAGAAACCGCGCTTCTCAACCAACCGCCATGAAGCCCTCATCCATCATTCCTTCACCTTCCCCAACCTTTCCCACTCACCGGGAGCCGGACATCTGCCGCTGCTCACGACCTCATCCCCCCGCAGGATGGCTCCACCTGCCGGCGCCGACCCCACACTGCCGTACTGCCCAACGCCGCCACCCGCCGCTCCTCCTCCCGCGCCGCCTGCACCCACACCCACCCCCAAGCCCCCTCCAGCGCCGCCGTTCTCCACTCGCAGCGCTTCGCTCCGGTGCAGCACCGCGCCCACGTCCCACAGCCGCACGCCGTCCTCGTTGCCGCCCGTCGCCAGCACCTGGCCACAGGGGCTGAAGGCCAGCGCATTGACGGCGAAGGAGTGGCCCCGCAGGCAGGCGGTCTGCGACCACTGGCCCCGCGTGTTGGCGTTCCAGAGGCACACGTCTCCGTCGTCCCCTGGAGCACAGCAAGGGAGGGGTAAAGAGGTGGGCATGCGCGACGGATGCTGTGAGCCGAAGCCAAGACGTCAGCACAGTCGCAGTTCGCATCATGTGGCACCAAGCACTGGGACACTGGCTTCCCGTTGCAGAACCTCATCCTAGACGCCAATCAAGGAAACGGCATCGGCAGCGGCTGCTGCCTTCGCAGCCCTCCTCCCAACGCTGCTACAGCAGTGCCCTGGGGACACATACTATGGGGACTTCATCTTACGGCAATTACAGTACGTTCCGACTCGCGGCCAGTTGTCTTAACACACGCGCGCACCTGCCGTCGCCAGCAGCAGCCCCCCAGGACTGAACGCAATGGCCCGCACCGGCGCCGCGCCCGGGCCCCCCGACAGCGCCTGCTGCTGGTGCCCCGTGGCCACATCCCACAGCACCACCTCGCTCGCGCCCTCCGCCACGGACGCCAGCAGCAGCCCGGAGGGGCTGTAGTGCACGCAGCGTACGGCAAGGTTTGGTTCGTACGCTCGCAGCACGCTGACGTGGAGCGGGTTCAGCCGCTCCAGGTGCCACACGCGGATGGTTCCGTTGGCGCATGCGAGCGCCAGGACCTGAGGAGCGGTGGAGGGTGGACACGGGGTAATGTGTGAGCAGGGGCAGGTGAGGAAGGATGGAAATGGGAGAGGTCAGCAATTGGTCTTGGCTGAAAACGAGGACGCGTCAGAGGCTCGGAAGGGACGCCGCTCGTACCTGCCCATCTGGCGCGAAGCTGGCATGCCGGGCCGCAGTACCCCGGTTCAGTACGGGCATGGTGGAGCTGCGCACGCCCTTCACCGGATCCCAAACCGTTACCGTGCCGTCTCCGTACACAACCGCTAAAAGATGGCCATCTGGACTGTACGCCAAGTGCCGTACAATCACGTTGCGCGGGCCCAGTAGCAGCCGTATAACGGGATCTGGATGCGGCTCGCTGAACGTCACCAGCGGACCGGATCCTGAATCCAATGCACGCACGCGTACAGCACAATCCGTTGAGGACCCAACCGCCAACAGCCTCCCAGTCGGGTGCAGGTCAGCGCACGGCACGGACGGGCTGTACCCTGTTAGCAACGCCACGCGACGAGCCGTAGCATGGTCCCATATGAGGACCGAACCCGCGGCAGTGGAGGCTGCCAGCAGACGGCTGCGGCGGTCAAACACAAGCCCTGTCACACCGCCCGTGTGCCCATGAAGCTGTGTGATCGCCACGTTCCAGAAAGGCGGCGGGTTCAATAGCACGCACTGTGGCCGGCAGCCTTTCCGGCTGGGAACGCCGCCTCCGCCACCATGGCCCCCGCCGCCAGCGCCGCCGCTGGCGGCGCTGCTACCCGTGGGTGACGTCAGCGCATCGTCGCTGCTGCTCGTACGAGCACCGCCGCCGCTGCCGCCGCAGTCGCTGCCGTCAGCTCTGCATCGCTCGGCGGCGCCGTCGCCATCCGCGTCATCTCCGGCGCCGCTGGGCCGGCAGCTGGTCTCCCCACTCGCTGTGGTGCAGGAGGCGCGGCGGTGGGAGGCCGCGGCGGAAGCGCTGCCGTTGGCGGCGGCAGCGGCGGCGGCTGCCGCCGCTGCCACGAGCCGTGCAAGCAGCGTGCGTGTTGGCACCGCCTGCCAGAGGGGTATGACGGCGTGGGGGTGCGCGCGCAGGGCCCCCATGTTGTAGCGAAGCCAGCGGAGGCTCTCCGAAACCACCTCGGTCTTGTGCGTCATGCGGAGCAGGGTGAGGAAGAAGGTGCCCTCCTCCTTGGTGCGGAAAACCTGGGAACAAAGGGGAATACGGGTAAAAGCAACGATGTTCGTCAGATATGCAATCGGAATACTCAGCACGACTACGAGTATAAAGCCTGGGTAAACAATGATGTGAGGGTTCATATGGCCCAAACAATTGACCGACCAACCTGCTCCAGATAATCCGCGTCCATGAGCAGCCTTTCGCCGCCCGTCACCTCCTCCTCGCTCAGTAGCAAGTGCAGTACGGCATATCGCAGCCCGTACGCGTCCAGTGATCGTACATCCGCCTCGGCCATCTGACGATAGTGCTGACCCAGCACTGCATGGCCGACCCGCGGGTCACATGCGAACTGCTTGGCTGCGCGCTTGTCCATCAGCCAGTTCTCCAGGGAGGGGTCTGCCATCAGGAATACGCCGTCGCGTACGTTAAATAGGACCTCCCATGCCGGCAAGCGCTGCAGCACGCCCTCAAAGCCCATGGCGGCCAACTGATGCCGACTGAGGCGCTCCTGGGCCGCCACCGCGACACAGAGCAACCGCATGACCTGGCGGGTGTGAAGGCGGGATGGAGATGCGTGGCAGCATGGGTTGAATGCATGGCAGTTGTTTCCGAGCCGGCAATCGTGCATGGACTCCTAGGATGAGATGCATGCAGAGCAGTCTGCGCCCTTCATTGCTTGACACATTTTGGCACACCGCCATGCCTTGTAGAAGTGACAACTCCGCTCTCTGTCGCGAGCCCCCTACCTGCGCATGCAAGCTCCTCGCCGCCGACACCTGCGCCGACAGGTTGGCCAGCTCCGCCTGATGCGCCGCATGGTTCTGCTGCACCTGCCGCTGGTGCGCCTGCAGCTGCGCATGCAGCTGGGCGGGCGGCGGAGCGCGCGCCATGCCCCCGGCGCCCGCGCCGCCGGCAGCCAGCGCAGCGGCAGCCGCCGCCGCCTTCTGCTCCAGCGCCGCCAGCTGCGCCTGCGCCTGCGTGTGGATCTGCGCCACCTGGGCCTTGTACTGCGCGTGGCGGCGCTCCGCCGCCCCCACGGTTCGGTCGTAGTGCTGCGAGAAGACCGCGTGGTAGGCCTCCCCCAGGGAGGAGGGCAGCGGGCTGGGCAGCTCGCGGAGCTGCAGGATGACGGTGTAGAAGAGCACGTGCAAGTGCTCCGGAACCTGCGGAGGGAGGGAGGGAGGAGGGAAGACAGCAAACGAGGAGGAGAGATGAGAAGGTCGGCGGGCGGAGGTAGGGTGTTGAGAGGCCGCACGCAGCAATGAGCTACCAAAATCCTAACAGCGCCAAAACCCACCAACAGGCCGTCACTATACCTCGTGGACTCCAACCCAGGATTATGACACCGACCCAAATCACTCCGCCCCTCAGTCCCGCACCACTTCCCTGTCTGCCGCACTCACCCCATCATGAGCCCCCGCCCTTTCACCATAATTCACCCACAACCTAGGTGGTCAGGTTTTCGTCAGCCCTCCAACCCAACCCAACCCAGCCCAACCCCACCTGGTTGAGGTCATGCAGCAGGAAGGCCGCCGCCTCCTCCCCGAACTTGTGCTGCAGCCGCTGCTGCATGGCCACCACCGACAGCTGTCCCAGCGCGGCGGTGTCGCGGTCCAGCGGAGTGGAGCGGTTGGGCTCCAGGTTGAGCAGGTAGCGACCCTTGGGTCGGTGAGTGGAGGAAGGGAAAGGGAAGGGCGGGGGGTGAAGGTGGATGTAAGTTGGAGGAAGGGAATGGAGGATCGGCGGAGTCCGATGAGGTGGACGGGAGAGGTGGGTAGATGCGGAATGGGTGAGTAGAGGGTGTTTGCAACGTGTCTATACTTGCATGCACGTCTTTGGACGGAACTAGGAAAACGGAGGAGAGGAGAAGGGTGCCATAACGGTTAGCGAGCGAGCTGCGTGCATTGGGTTAGAGTTCCGGTCCGGGACCGTTAAACAAGGCGAGGACAGAGGAGGAGGAGGAGCTTGCGGGGCGTCAAGTACCTGCGACGAGGAGCCAACACCCGCCTCGCCCTTTGCGGGGCTGGCGGTCCGCTTGGTTGCCTCCTCCTGCACGCGTATCAAGTGCTCAGTGACAGCAAGCATCTGCGTGGCGTAAAGGTCGGCCTCGGAGGCGGTGCGTGGGAGGGCGAGCGGGGAGGCGGAGCGGCCGGCCCCGGAGGACCAGGAGTCCATCACCCTGCAGAGGGCCAGTGGGAGGGGAGGGGGATTGCGTTGAGTGAGTGTGTTTTGTGGAGAGCTGGGAGGCAGGGAGGGCGGGGGGAAAGTGTGGAGGAAGCGAAGTGGTATGGGGCAGCCGTGGGTGGCGGTGGAGGTGTGTGTAAAGAGTTGCGAGTCTGCGTAGGATGGATTAAGGTGAGTTCGGCTAGGGTATGACGTAAGAGGAAGAGGAGGTTAGAGGGGAAGGAGGACGGGAGGACGCCCATGTCGCAGGATGGCCAGCAAAACAGTGCAGTTTTAAATTGAATGGCGAATCATTCTTGTAAAACGCATCGCTATCTCGCGTCAGTGCGACTCCAACCCGGTGGAGCAGCAGTCAGGCGCAACAACGTGCTTCACAACAGGTTTCAGATGCCTTCGTGTGAAAGCACAATGGCATCCAGGTCCCAGCTCCGCATCGTGAAGGCAAGACCTACCGTGGGGGAGATTTTGCTGGGCTGGTAGGGGGAGAAACTGAGGCTGCTGCCAGCGCGCTGCCCGTGCTGCCAGCAGCGCGACGCAGGGTGGAGGCTGGGCTGGCTGGAGCCGCCAGCAGAGATAGCGACAGCGGGGCATGGCTGGGTGCATGCCCCGTGCTTAGGGCGCCGGTTGACCGGCCACAGTAATGCTGGGAGGGAGGGGCCGATGCAGGAGGTGGCGTTGGAAGTTGCAAGGAACCGGTGTTGGTGTTGTTGCTATATAAGTATCTCGCTTGGAGTGTCGAGGTTGCAAAGGGGTTGCTTCGAGCTGAACTAAAGGGTCTGGTGCGCGCGCTAGGGCTCCTGGAAGAGTCGCGTCCACCGGCGGAGTAGCTGGGCCGCTGGCGTGCTGAAGCCGCGTACGGCGACGCTGGCATACTCCCGCAGAGGCTGAATCGGTGAGCTAAATCGTCGACGTTATCCAAATTTAAGCATGATGTAGGAGTTGCCGGCCGACCCTTTGCTGTGCGCGCGCGCCGCGGAGGGCTCCATGGACTATGCAAGTCGTCCATGACCGGCGGCGTGTAGGGCGCAAGAAGCCTACGGGCGAAAAGGTGTATATTCGTTATAACATATGAGATACTGGCAATGGTGGGCACGTCAGTCGGTTCGCGAACATCGGACCGCTTCGCTGGGGAAAAGCTTCTCCTAGGGCCCGGTTATGTATAACTTGTGGTCAGAAACAAGAAGTGTCCCTAGCAGCTAGGTGGAACATGTGCTGTGTAACTGATAAAAGAAAGTTGTCATCCCTCCATAGATAACAGAGAAGCTGACCCGTTGTTTTGTAGCTACGAGACTAGTGGACATTGCTGTTTACTTAGGCATAGCATACCCGTCCCAAGGCGCCCGCCCGGCTCCAAGGCTCCGCGGCCTAGTATCAAAGGTCGATTCCATACGATCGCAGTTGTGTTTCCTCCATTATATCAATTCATATGAACGCGGTAAGTTGGTTTTTGCGTAGAGCGGCTTGGTAACCCTATGAGCTGAGGGACCGTACGGAGTCGCCGTGCAACACAGGGTAGTCGGGACCATTCTTACCTCCACCTCACCGCTTCACCACCGGGCTTATGCAGCCTGCCAGCATAGGCCGTACTCTGCCCTTCGGAGAAGCTTTGGACGGGCCTTGCTGCCAGCGGCAAGTTACTCCAAGAGACATTTGCAATGCCCGTTGAACATGCCTGAGCCCAACCTTCAAGACGTTCGTGCCGTTTCCGTGGCATATTTCGAATGTGATATGACTACTATTTTGTTGTTTATGGTACACGCGCTTCCTTCAACCGCAGCTTCTTCTGACGTACTCGCCCTATGCAAAGCTACGACGTCCAGGGGCCCTGCAACCGCCGTCCCATTACCTCGGCTGCAAACATAACTGCCAACCGCGCGCGGCCAATCCAATCCACATAGGACAATGCTGTCAGGGTGTTCTATCCTGCAGGCCGCATTAGCAACACCGGGACGCGCGATCCGATTATGCGCGGCGTGGTGAAGTGGCCCCGCTTTGCACAGACAAAGATGCTTACCCGCCCCCTCCCAGGCTTCCCTTGGAACCAAACACACGCAAACCTTGGCACCCGGCTCAGTCGCCGTCAACAGCAGGCACGGCAGCAGTTCACCCAATAGAACTGCAGTGACCTGCCCGTACGGACAACAAAGCCCGTGCCGTACATTCCATCCGTACATGTATGGCCATGGTCCACCGTAAAGCTGGGCGGCCTTCTGACAAAAACATGCTGTGGGTGGGCAGGTAGGGTAGGAATTGCCACTCAAACGTGCTGTAAAGTACTGCATGCTGACCGTGATATGCCAGATGCCAGCCGCATGTTACAGGGACCTACAGAGCACCTTCCAGTCGGGTGATGTCCCCAGCATGCTGTCACACCACACATTGGAATTTCTTTTTCCTCATGCTCATGCTCGCATCAGGCGGCGACAACGTGTATCTCGAGGTAGCTCTCTACATGTCGAGTTACGGAATACCGTCGTAGCTGTTGTTTGGGTCGCTCCCACGGGTGTGAATCACACCATACATGGGGATCACGACCCTGCACCAACTAAAGCATTACCACGTGTCATTGAGCACCTCAACTCAAGGCGCGGTTGCTGCAAGTGTCAGCATGCGTCCTGTGTCGTAACTAGCTAACTAAGTACGGGTAGCCGCACCAAATACGAACCGAGACGGCCACGATTGGGCACAAGCGTTGCACCCCTCGCATCGCATCGCACCGCAGCCGACCACAGGAGGAAACCGCACCGCAGCCTGACCTGAACCTTGCCGTGCGCACTTACACACCACCATCCATAGCTTATTTAGGAACAATAGGAATTTGGAGGGTCTAGTCAGGGTCGTCACACGGTTGGTTAGTTCCTGCCTCTTTTTACCACATCGTCCAAAACTTGCACCCCTCCCCCTCCGCCCTCAAGAGACCTTTCGCATCGGGGCGTTGCACCACGCCACCCGCCAGCTGAGCACATGGTGAAGCCTCGTCATTCCGTTCATCAATTTCTTTTATTTTACCACATACACCACTAGCCTTACTCTCCCCCTACAGCAGCACAGCTAGTACCCGCAAACCTCTGAAGCCTGCTCAGCCCTGGCACACGCACCCCAGCCCCTGCACGCAATCCCGCAGCCGGATGGGCTGCAGGCTGTGGCCGTCGAAGCTGAGGTTCACGCAGGGCAGCGGCAACACGCCGTTCAGCCGCCCCAGCACGGCCGGCAGCATGGCGGCAGCAGCAGGAGTGCGTGCTGCCGCACCGCCCGCCGAGCTGACAGGCCCCACTCCGGCTGCTCCTGCCGCTGCAACGCCCGCCGAGCTGGAGTAGTCGGCCATGCGGGACCCGGAGCCCGGCGAGGGCGACTGGCTGGCGGGCAGCTGCTGGGACGGTGGGGCGGGCGAGGCTGCTGCTGCTGCTGCTGCGCCCTGCCAGGGCTGCCCGGAAGCCTCCTGCGGCACTGAGGAGGAGAATGGGGTTGCCCAGGCAGCACCAGCAGCAGCAGCCGTACCAGCAGCAGCAGCCGGGTTGGCGGTCGATGCAGCCAGGGAGGGCCCGGGCGCCACCGCCGCCGAGCCCAGGCTGCCGTCTTGTGCGGGGTGGGAGTACTGGCTGATGAGGCGCAGCAGGTGGGCGTGCAGCAGCTGGTGGGCCTGTGTGATGGGGGGAGGTACGGCAGGGAGGGAGGGGAAGGTACGGCAGAAAAGGATCACGAGAATCACGCCGTGAATGCATGTACGGTAACAACCCTTGGTGCAGGTGGAGGAGGGAATACCTATAGGAAGCGGCGGGTAGCACAGATACCGGTAGCAACGTAGCAAAGGACACCATACCGGTAGTACCGTGGACGTCGCCCCACGCCCACAAGCACCCCATGCACCCCCCCCAACCGTTCACCTAACCCCCGCATCCATGCGCCCCAGCAACCCTCTCTACACGGCCCCTCCCTCCCAGCTACCACAACTCCCCATTCCCCCCACCCAGCCCCCCACCCTCCACCCCCCACCCCACCTGCAGCTGCGCCTGCCTGCCCGCCGGCGACAGGAACTCCGCCGCCTGCGCCGCGCCGCACACCGCCCGGCACAGCGCCAGCGGGTGCAGCGGCACGCCCAGCTGCACACCCAGCGGCACCCAACCGCCACTGGCAGCAGCAGCAGCTTCAGGAGCAGCAGCAGCGGCCTCAGAGGCAGAACCCTCGGCGGTGGTAGCAGCAGCGGAGGCGGCGGTCTGACCCACATCCGCACCAGCACTGGTGCTGATGCTGCCGGTTGTAACATGGCAGCTGCTCCTTGCATTGCCGGGGGCTGGCGAGCGTTCAGTTTGGTTGATGATGGAACTTGCGTCGACGGAGGGCCCCGAGGATGGCACAGCGGTGGGGGTGGGTTGTGGTTGGTTGGTCTGGAGGGATGATGATGATGAGGAGGAGGGGTGGGGAGCGGCGGGTGCGGCTCGACCGGAGGCAGATCCCGATGAGTAGCTATGTTGTAGCAGCAGCTGCTGCTGGGGGGAGGAGGAGGAGGAGGAGGCGGGTGCGGCTGGGCCGCCATGGCTGGCAGGCGGCACGTCGGCTGTGTGGCTCCGGTGGAGAGAAGAAGAAGAGGAGGCGGAGGCCGCTGCTGCTGCTGTCGGCTGCTGCCCTTCTTGTTCCCCGTGCTGTTGTCGTTGCTGCTTTACTTGTGGTTGCTGCTGTTGTTGTTGGTTGGGCGCAGCGGTGTGGGTGTGCTGCCCCGGTTCTACCGGCGGTGGGTGCGTTGAGGGCGGGTGCGGGTGCGGGTGCGGGTGGTGTGTTCGCATGAGGCGCATGTGCCCCACGCAGCGCGCGAGGCCCAGCTGCCGCAGCGCCCCCACCAGCTCGGGCTGCAGGAGGACGGGGACGGCCTGACCGCCGCGGCGCGAGATGCCTGGCCGCGCATGCATGCAAGCGGGGTGGGGAGGGGGAAGCGAGGAGGAGGGTGACATACAGGGGTGGTACGAAGGTTACAGGGGTGTTAAACTTGCCAGGAGGCTTTCGTAGCTGCCAACGTAAAACAAACCCATCTCCAAGCACACATGGACATCTCGAAAGAGAAACACGCAGCCGCTGTTGCCTCAGCTCCCAAACCAACGTGCATACCATGCCCTCACGCACCCTCACACGCAACAAAACTGTGGTCCGCTAGACCCCCCCCCCCCAATCCCTGGAGGCAGCGCTCACCTGACACCACCAGGGGTCCGTGAGGGGCAACACCGCCACCACCACCGCCACCGCTGACTGCCGCTGCTGCCGCCTCCGCTCCACCGTCGCTCCCTCGCACCCTCTCCTCCTCCTTGGCCTCCTCCTTGGCCTCCTCCTTGGCCTCATCCTTCACTGTTGCAGCGGAGAGTGATAATGATGAGGAGGAGGCCGCAGGCACCTCCGGGGCCGCAGGCAGCGGCAACGGCAGCGGCAGGGGTACGTCCACCACGTCCGGGCTCCAGCCCTCTGCCGTACAGTCCAGCGGCTGTACGAGCACCGCCGTACGACTGAGCAGTTCGTTGAGGGTGTACAGCAGGAAGGCGGCCTCCACCAGCATTACCTGCGGGGTTACGTGGGGGGTTGTGTGTTGAGAAAACACACGGGCGGCGAAGACAGCCCCCTCCTTCTTCCCTCACTTAACTCGGCCGGCCGGCATGCATGTCCCACACATGCTTTGCACCCTCCCCTGCCCTGCCCCTCTCCCCACCTGTCCCTCGCCCCCCTGCGCGCGCACCGCCCTGCCCGCCTCGCTGTCCTCGTCCCACGGAGTCAGCAGCGCGTGCGAGCAGGCGTCCAGCGGGTGCGGCAGCCGCAGCACACGCTGGCCGCACACGAACACGGTGCAGGGCGGGCCGCACCTGGGGGGGGAGGAGCGGTTGGGGAGTAGCGGTTGGGAGGGGAGGTGGGCGGGGAGGGGAGTAGCGGTTGGGGATTAATATGGGCGGGGCGGGGAGTAGCGGTTGGGTAGGAGAAGCGATGGCTAGGGAGGAAAACACAGAGTAGAAACGAAGCACTGGGAACCCAACCACACGGCTGGATTGGAGGCGGTGGTGGACGAAAGACACGCGAGGCAAGTCCTGCCCCCATCCTTCCACCCCCTCTAATATATCCCCCACCTAGCCGCCGCGTACAGCGCTAGGGACATCCAGGGGCTGCCCGCCTCCAGGGAGGGGCCGTAGAAGGCGGGGCCGGGCAGGTGGGGTGACAGCGGCAGTGCGGGCGGGGGCAGCGGACTGATGGGTACCAGCGCGCAGTAGGCGTGGTGGAGGACCTGGGGGGTGTGGGGTGGGGTGGGGGCGGGGAGGGGGTGGGGGGTGGAGAGAGGGGAAACAACGCGGGTAGGGGTGGCGGTATGATACGGGGTCCAACCACGGGGTCAGTGTTGCATCATGGCTTCACGGCTCAGTGCAGCACCCCTCCCCCACCCATCCACCCAACCCATGTTGAAGCCTCGTCATCCAGTTCGTCAGTCCTAAACCCCCACCCCCCCACCCTGCACGCCGCCGCCGGGTGCAGCCCCGCTAGGCTCTCCTTCCGCAGCAGCTCCAGCGGGCGCCCCGGACCCGCACTCGCCCGCACCGCCTGCAGCAGCGAGGCCAGCGCGGCGGAGTAGTGGGTGAGGCGCAGCAGGTCACCTTCGAAGGACTGGCCTGGGGGGGCGGGAGGGGGGTAAAGAGGAAACAAGAGGGGGGGAAGGGGAGAGGGAGGGAGGGGGAAGGGTCAAAGACGATACCAAGCCATAGGAAACCACAGGTTAGGGCAAAGCAAGGGGGAGGAGGGAAGTTGCCCCGAGGACAACAGGAGGGCGACATGTTCAAAGCCCGTGACAAACATACATACATACAGTCACGTGAGATGTGAACGTGAGATGTGACCCGTGGTTCACACACGTGCTCTTCCTCCTCCCGCCGCCTCCTGCTGCCCCCCCCCGTCCTCCGCCTCCTCCAATGCTGCACTCCTACTAACATGATGCACCCGCACCCGCACCCGCACCCGCACCTGCTTCGTACGACGCCCACAGCTCGTCTATCAGCTCGCTCATCACCTCCTCGCCCGCCACCCGCCCGCCCTCGAACAGCGTGACAGCGTGGCGCTTCAGACCTGCGAGGGCAGGGGGGGGGGGAAGAGATGAAGCGGTAAAAATGGGGAAACAGACGAGCGCTTCTCCTGCTTCACTTCTACTGCCTTATCACCCATGCTACCCCGTTCCACCCATGCTAACCCGCCCGCCCCCCCATGCCCCCCACCCGGCGAGAGCGCCCCCATCATGAGGTAGCCGGTCGCCTCCGCATCCACCACCACCGCCACGCCGCCCCCGCAGACCTCGCCACTACCCGCCTCCTCCTGCTGCCCCGCCTGCTGCCCCGGCGGCTGCAGGGCCCCCAGCTGCAGGCCGGAAGCAGCCAACCGCAGGGGCTGCCCCTGCTGCTGGTGTTGCTGTCCCTGCTGCCCCTGCGGTCGTGCAGCATGGATGTTGCTGTTGGGGTCGAGCGTGTCGGTGTCCGTTTCCTCGTCAGCGGTGGTGAGGTCGGAGGTGGAGTCGCCCGTAGCGGTGCCGCCAGTGGAGTTCTTGAGGGAGGTGTTGAGCTGGGTGAAGACTGGGCAGGGGAGGGGGGTAGGGAGGGAGGGGATGCAGAGGAGGGGGAGGAGGGGGCTGGGCTGGGTTGGGCTGGAAGGGTGGTTGGCTGGAACCCCTCGTGTGATGCAACCCCCTCGTTGGTGGAGAGCCTTGAGGAGTCACATGCCAACCTTCCCTCCCTCCCTTTCCCTCCCCACCTTCTTCCTTACCCTCCCTCTCTCCCTCCCTTCCACCACTCTCGCCTCTCCCTACCCACCTGGAGACGTCAGCACCGGCAGCTGCCCCCCCGCCCCCCCCGCCGCCGCCTCCGTCACCCGCGTGGCAAACCCCAGCCTGCACGCCACCCCCAGCGCCGCCTGCAGGTCGGGCAGCCCCACCCCCAGGATGCCTGCCAGCTGCGCCACACTCAGCCGCTCGCTGTTGGCAACGAACACGCCGTACAGCAGCGTCTCCAGCGGGTCGGCGCCCGCCTCGCCCGCCGCGGTGGTCTTGTTTGACACGAAACCCTGGGAGGTGCAGCGTGTGGGGTGGGTGGGGGGGGGAGGGGGAGAGGGGAGGGGGACAAGCGGTGAGGGAATACGTGCCAGAGTGGGTGCATAGCTCAGGCATGCAGGGAAGGGAGGCTGGGGCCCCTCCCTCTTCCCCTCTCCTCCCTCCTCCACCCCAGCTCCTCCTCCTCCCTCCCCCACCCCCACCCCCACCTCCACCTCCACCTCCAGCCCCTCCCCTCCCACCTTCCCTCATCCCTCTTTCAGTTTCCTTATTTTACCCCCCCGCACCTCCAGCGGCGGAATGGCGAACCTGTCCCCCGCCTCCACCGGCACCTCCAGGTACGCCAGCCCCCGCCGCAGCAGCGCACGCACCACCCCGGGCGGCTGCAGGTCGCGCACCCGCATGTCGCCCCCCGCGGCGTGCGGCGGAAGCGCGGCGGTCTTCAGCAGCGCCAGCTCCTCGGGGCCCAGCTCGGCGTACTCGGAGGCGCCTGGGGGGGTGGGGAGGGAAGGGACGGAGTCCCAAACCCATATTGGGACTCATGAGGGGGGAAGACGAGGGGGGAAACGTACACGCTGCGCTTTGTGTGGTAAGAAAACTGGCCGCGAGGGATGGATGCTTTATGATTGACGATTGAGCCAGCCCGCACCTATGTTGACCCCCCTCCCCCCACATGAGCCCGCCCGCACCTATGTTGACCCCCCTCCCCCCATGAGCCCGCCCGCACCTATGTTGACCCCCCTCCCCCCATGAGCCCGCCCGCACCTATGTTGACCCCCCTCCCCCCATGAGCCCGCCCGCACCTATGTTGACCCCCCTCCCCCCACATGAGCCCGCCCGCACCTATGTTGACCACCGCCACGCGCCACCAGGGCTCCAGTCGGGGGTTGGGGGCGGGCTCCTGGGGGGCAGGGGGGGGAGGGGCGGGGTAAGTGAGGGATGGGGACCCCAATGGTCACATTAGGTCGCATGGTCGGCCTTCTTCCTCTTGTTCCTCCCTCCCTCTCCCTCCCCGGTCCCTCCTCCCTCCTCCCTTTTGTTTTGCCTGTTCGTGGCTTCCTACGGTTTGGTCTATTTCGACCCTCCTCCTCCCCTCCCCCACCTGCGGCAGCTGCTCCCTCGCAATGCCCTCCCGGTTGATGTTGACCCGCCACATCAGGCGCCGCGCCTTGCAGGCGTTGAGCGCCGCAATGTAGCCGTTACGACCGATGCCCAGCACACCCAGCGCGTCGGCGGCCTGGTGGTGCGGGAGGGCAGTTGGAGGGGGGGGGTCAGGAGAAGGCAAATCATAGGAAACCCTAATTTAGGGCGAAACAATGGGGGGGGCGAAGGGTCAGGACATAGCGATACCGCTGATAAGGTTAAGGAGGGTCGGGCGGGGAAGGGAGGTGCAGGAGAGGGGAAGAGCACGACGTGAGGCAAGAGGGTGGCAGGGAGGTACTGGAAGGCCGGTTACTCCCAACAAACGAGCTCGCACATCACATTACATCAGGGGACGTCACCCCACCACAACAGCCGTGCCGTACACACACATACCGGTACATACACACACCAGTTATTTTAACACACGTCCGTACCGTGAAGTTGGGTATTCTGTCGTACGATCTCTCCTCCTTGAGTACGGCAACCATCATATCTAGGTAGTACTTGAAGGGCGTGACTCGCGCCACCCGGCACACGTAGTCGGAGAGGTGGTACGGAAACAGCTGTGTGTTTTTACGTGGGTACGACACACGCGAGGGGGGTGGCACGTAGGGAAAAGGGGAGGCCCAAACCACATGGGGCAGGGAGGAGGGCAGAGAGGGTTGGGTTGAGTGGGTGAGTGGGGTCGGGGGTGAGTGGGGTGGAGGTCGTGAGTCGTGGGTCGTGAGTCGGGGGTGAGTGGGGTGGAGGTATGCCGGGTTAGGGCATGCGCATGCAGAGGGCTTCACCTCGATCGTCCAACCCCACGCAAGCCAATACTTGGTTTTTGGCACCCTGCCGCTTCCTATCCATTTTTTTGCCCGAACCTGTGGTTTCCGATGGTTCGGTGCGGTGTTTGACCCCCCGCAGGCCCTTCAGATGCTCAGCGAATTCCCTTGCTTCTTGCGCATCCTCCTCTTGCTCATAGTCTTGGAAGGGACTTGGCAACCTTTAGTAATGGATTGCTCATCCCGCATCCGTGATTGCTCATCCCGCATCCGTGCTTCCTCACCCCCGTCCGTGCTTTCTCACCCGCATCCAAGCCTTGTAGGACTTCAGGAGGTCCTCGTAATACTCCTGCTGCCCCATCACTGTGCACGCAAGGCTGGTGGCCCAGGGCAGGCCTCGCTGGATGCAATGCTCCTTGACCCTGTACGACATAGCACATATAGACAAGGAATATCGACCTTTTATGAGGACTGTTGCGGAATGACAGGATTTGCAAAGATATGGAGTGATTGGGGATTGGATTTATGGTATGGGGGCGCAGGATGTGAGCCCAACCGCTGGGATGAGGGATTAACCGCAGGGCTGGAAGACAACCCCCGCTGCCTCGATGATGTATACCTGGTCCTCCATTCATTGGGAGATATAAGGCTCCTTATACGCGGTGGCAAGTCGTCATACACTCTACCGCTTGCTATCGCACGCTGGACGATTTCCTGTGAAGCCATTTCCCGGAGCTTTTTGTCTTCAGTTCGCTGCAAAGTGATCCGAGCTCTTCACCCACTAAATGTTGCAACCCTCGCACTACTCATCTAACGCCTAAGCGAGATCGAGCATGGGGAGCCAGCAGTAGAGCAGTTGGTGTTGCACGAACTAACAGTACCGTATTGACAATACCCGGGTGCGTCATCTCCTTGTTTTCTGTGGCATTGCAATATAAAGTTTACGCGTTTCTGTCTAAGCGGAGTTGTACGAAGGTAAAGCGCGATTGTAACTTTCCTGACCATTGCGGCTTTCTCAGTTTAATTGATCATCTCTTCTTCATTTCTCTATATCTATACTACAAAGAAACAACCATGTCATCTGAAGCTGGGGAACAACCCCTCCTTACGAAGAATCGCCAAATGCAAGCAATGGTCCGCAGGTGTGAACGAAGTATAAATGTAACCCGGGGTTTCTTTTCTTCATCAATCGTAGTTCTGGTAGCGCCGCCTGGGCGCCTTCCTGACGTCTGCCTGCGGGGCGGCTCTGCCACCTAACGTCATGTTGCCGACGGTACCTTCCAGCATGGTATCTCGACAACCGCTCACTTGCATACTTGAATAGCCACGGTTCCCTAATCTGTTTCAATCCTTTCCTAACTCCTCCCTAAACCCTATGCTAGGACCGGGAACTCCAGCATGAGCTCAGAGATGTGTATCCTTGCGCTGCTTGGAGCCTCTGGGCTCGTCGGCATCGTCTCAAACAACGCCATCGTGACCGCAACCCTCTTCGTTGGCGGCTTTCTGATGTGGGCCTGCTTCACACTTCCCGAGTGCCTAAAGCCATCCCAGCCATCTAAGCCCGCACCGGAGGCAGACGCCTCAAAAGCCGCAGCTGCAGCAGCCAAGTCGGACGACGCTGCCGCAGCCGCGGCTGCGCTGCCGCTGCCTGCTCCCGATGCGGTCATGTCGCTCATCAAGCGCCGCCGCTCCGTGTTCCCTCGGGACTACAGCGGGGAGGAGGTACCGCGGGAGCAGGTAGAGATGCTGCTGGAGGTGCGTCCAGTACCGGTACTCATTCCCCGCCTCCCTCTCCATGCTCCCTTTCCCGCCTCCCTCTCCATGCTCCCTTTCCCGCCTCCCTCTCCATGCTCCCTTTCCCGCCTCCCTCTCCATGCTCCCTTTCCCGGCTCTCTCCACATTCCCACTGCCCGCCCGCAGGCTGCCAACTGGGCTCCCACGCACGGGATGACGGAGCCCTGGCGGTAGGCCGGGACGAGGGGAGTCTGTCAGGGTGCTCCATCACTTTTGCAGGGCTATCTTGTGCAGGGGTACTATTCGATCAGGCAGCTGGCAGGGTAGCAGGATAAAAGCTGCAGAGGGTGTAGAGCTGCATGCGCGACCCATGGGTCAGGGTTGCTTGACTCGACCCAGGGCCTCCGCCTACCGGCTGCTGGGTGGCAAGGAGGTTGCCGTGCGTGTCAGAACATGATCCTGCTGGCGGTGTCCGGGCTTGGGTTTTCTCTTAATGATCCCCGGCTCTCCTTTTCTGATGGCGCCGTATCGTCCGCGTTGTGTCATCTCCTCTCCTCCCCTCTTTTCCAGTTGCTTCATTTTTCGACTTAATCGTCCCGCCCCCTCTCCTCCCTCGCAGTTTCGTGGTTCTGCGCGGCGCCTCCAAGACCGCCATGGAGGACCTCACGCTGGAGCTCTGCCGTACACGCCTGGCGCCCGAGCAGGCCGCCAAGACGCTGGAGAAGCTGGAGAAGAAGCGCGGCAGCACATGGGGAAAGGTAGGGGGCCGTTACATGGTGTGTCAGTTGGTATACACCAAACACAGCTACTAACTCGCATCATCATGCGCCTCATGTCCTCTTGCTGCAACGGACCCGGCTCGCGTGCTGCTGCTACTGCTGCTGCTGATGCTGCGCTCCCCGCCACCCATCTGCGTCCGCCCGCCCCGCCCCGCCAGGTGTCCTGCTACATCGCCATCTGCTGCAAGCGCCAGGCCAAGCCCGGCAAGATGATGCCCGAGTGGGAGGAGATGGCGGCGGTGTCGTGTGCCGTACAGGTGTGATGTGAAGCGGCGGGGCGGGGCGGGGGTTGGAGAGACGGGGAAGGGGGCGGCGGAGGAAAGGTGGGCGGACTCCTGTAACCACCTTCATCTCCGAACCCGAACGTGACTGTACCCCGACTCCCGGTATCTTGACATGTCGCGTGGCCTTGTGCCCTGCACCCCTGATACGTCACGCACCTGCACCCCTTGTCAACCCCTGTCACCCCCTGTCCTCCGTGTGTCCTGCCCCGCATCAGAACATGTACCTGATGTCCACCTCGCTGGGACTGGGCGGCTACTGGAGCAGCTGGCAGGAGGTGAGGGGGAGGGGGTGAGGTGGCGATGTGGGTGTAGAGAAAACGGGGCGTGAGTCGAGACTGAATGGTACTGCGATTGCCGGGCGGTGGGTCTCTCCCTTTCCCTCTCCCACTTACTTGGACCTGATTTTGGTCTCGTCTCGACCCCTCTTCGCCACCTTTCATCCCCCCCGTCATCACCACCCGCTCATACACACACACACGCCCCCAGGTTGCCCGCGAGTCCCCCGAGATGAAGGAGCTGCTGGGCCTGTCTCCCGAGGACCGCGTGATGGGGTTCTTCACGCTGGGTCGGGTGGCGGCGGGGCGGCTGGAGGGCTATCGGGGCAGCAGGGGGGACTGGCGGGACAAGGTGGCATGGCAGGAGTGAGGAGGGGGAGAGGGAGGAGAGGAGGAGCGGGAGGTGAAGGAGTGGTTGAGGTGTGCAGAGGGCGGGGAGAGAGAGGGCAAAGGGATTGGGGTCGTGTCTGTGATTGGTTAAGAGTGGAGGTGGGAGGGAAAAAATTATATAAGTGAAACAACGAGTCCCAATCCCATATCCCGACTCATGCAGTGAGCAGGAGGAGGAGGAGGTTGAGCGAGGTTCGTGGGCGACGCTAGGCAGTGAGCTAGCTTGTTACGAGGTGTCATGCGTTCCTCTACGCTGCAACAGTTCCATACTTGGATACGAACGCTCAATGGAGCGTCAACAGCAGGGACGCATCCTTAAGGGGCGCATCCATTGTACGGAGTCTCTGTCACATGGCTTGCATCCGTGTGGCCCATCCAATTGCGTGCGAAGTATTGTTTCTAGGTCTTGCTTATTGTGAAGCACCGCGTGGGTTTATTGTGACGCGACAGTGGCTCATTGGGGCTGTTGACCATTGGCACTGCGCGGCATGTAGCCATGGGTTCGCAGGACAGCCAAAATTGTCTGGGTTGTCTACATTTCTCAAGTGGAATGCCCTAACCTATTGCAAGCATGGGGTACTCCGACGCAATGCTTTTTAGCAACTTTGCCAATCCGGCAATTTGGCGACATACGGTAGACCTCCATCGCGAGGTTCCTGCCCCTGTAAATGGCAGTTTCAAGTAAGATTTTCCTTGACAACCATAAAAATAGATGATTACGTTATCTGTTGGGCCATGCGCTTCATGGCTGGTTCAAAGGCTGTTGCAAATAATGCAATGTAGACTTTGGAGGGTAAAGCGAGGACGGCTAGAAGTCGCTAAAGGCTAGTGTAATCAAGCAGACAATGCCCAGCAGAAGGGCAAGCGGCTTGCAAACTGCCAAGAATGGCGACGCCGTACCTTCCGCCGCGATCACAACTAAAGCAATAATCAGAGGCGACAGCTTTGACTTTAAAGCACATTTGAAAGTCGAAGATAACCATGATAGCCGGCTAGAAGGATGGCACTTGTTTTGCGGCAAGGATAGTGCCTGTCTCTTTGCGACGCCTGTTAGCCAATGTACCACTTTGGCAATACAAACTTTTATACGCTTGCTGACGCCTGTAACAAATATATACTCCTGTTCTAGAGCTCCCGCTACCTTGTCCACCGCTAAACCCCTACAGCCATCGTGGCCCCTCTCTGATAGCGCGCAACTTCACACCCGGCGTCCCAGCCCTGCACCATCGCCCACCACGCAACCCAAACCCACCCGCCATGACCCCAGCCAGATGCCTCACAATCCTCACGGGAGCCTCTCGCGGCCTGGGCGCTGCCCTCGCACGCATCCTGGCGTCCAGAGGCCCTCCGCTGCCCTCCGCGGCTGCCGCCACAGCAGCAGCCCCGGCCTCACCCACCTGCAGCGCTGCTGGAGGCGGTTCAGGGCTGACCGATGTTCCGAAGTGCGGCGGGCAGGTGAGGCCCCGGCCAGCAGCCTGGAGCCATGACATCGTCCTCCTGGCGAGCAATCAGGCGCGGTTAGAGGGCTTTGTACGGCAGGATTTGATGCCTCTCCTGCAACGAGGCCAGGATGGAGGGCAGCGGCAACACAACCACCAAGAGCAGCTGCAGCAGCAGCAAGAGTGGCGGGCAGGAAGGCAGGACACGGCGAGTAGCGCCTCCCGCTCGGCTGCCTGCCCGCCTGTGGGCCCTGACTACCGGTCCTGTCAAGGGGCAGCAGAGCGGGCGGAAGCGGCAGCCGAAGCAGGTCCAGCAGGGGAAGCAGGCGCGGCAGCAGCAGGATCTGCCACAGCAGCAGCAGGAGCAGCGCAGTCCGCAAACATGACACGCATCCGCACCCTGTCGTTCGACCTGGGTGAGCTGGATGAGCTGGAAGCCAACGTCGCTAGCCTCCTGTCACATGCGGCAGCACCGGTAGCACCAGCGACAGCGCCAGCGGCGGCAGCGTCACTCACCCCAGCTGCCGCCTCCCCAGCGGCGGGAGGCGGGGCTGACTTGGGCTCGGTCCCCCTCCTGAGCCCTCAGCAGGGCGGTAACCCAGCAGCAGCAGGAGGAGGAGGAAGGGGAGTGCTGCCGCTGCCGCCCGCGGCATACACTCACGTCCTTCTCATCCACAACGCGGGCCAGGTGGGTGTGGCGCAGGTGTTGCGTGCCTCCACACAGCGTTTGTGTGCGTTCTTACCTGCGAGGTGTCAACAGCCTGCCGTGTAGCGGTACATGTGCGCGACATGGGGCCTATGTGCAGGACCGGTTTGGCCTACAAGGGCTACAAGCCTGCAACCCTGGCGTTGTCTCTGTCGGCAATCCTGGCATACATCCCCTTATATCCAGCCCAATTTTGCATCCTCCGGCTAAGCGCAACCTTCTTCCCTATACGGCAATCCTTACCTATCCTTTTACAACCTACTCGACGGGACTGCCTCACCCAACCAGGTGGGCGACCTGGCTCCTCTGGAGCTCCAAACCCTGGACAACATGCGCCGCCAGGTGACGGCATGACGACCCCAGCATGTGAAATAATGAATACCCGAAGCACAGCCCTGTCGTACAGGTTTTTCGTTTATGTCGTACAGCCCTGTCGTAAATGTTCTTCCTTTTATTATAAAGTGTAAATCTCACGTCGCTGTGTAGCTGCACGGGTCACCATCACAGTGAAATGGTCCACAAACGGAGTCCTCTGATTACCTGTGTTCATTATCTCAAACCTTCTCCCCTCACCACATGACCGCATCAACGTACTCGCCTCCAGACCGACCTCAACGTCACCTCCTTCACACACCTCACTGCGGCGCTGCTGCGAGCCTTCCTGCATGCGCCGCTGCCTAAACCCCTGCAGCCGCTGTCTGGCGGAAGCGCTGCTGAAACACCACTGGCAGCGGGCTCGTTGGAAGCGGTGCTGTCGCAGCGGCAGCAGCAGCTGCAGCGACAACAACAACAGCAGCGACAACAACAACAGCGGCAGCAGCAGCAACAGCAGCAGGATGAGGGGGAAGCAGCGAAGCTACGGCAAGCGCAGCAATTATCCCCTTCCTTGCATCATGCACAGCAACAGCCAGAGCCGGTAGCGGCTACTGCTGCTGGTCACCAACCGCTACGCCGTTGCATCACCATAGTCAACATCTCGTCGGTTAGCGTTGATAAGCCGTACGAAAACTTTTCGTTGTACGGCCTGGGTAAGGCGGCTCGTCACATGTTGGTTCGCAGCATCGCGCATGAAGCGGCGCTGCGAGATGCGGAGGCTGCAGCAGCGGCTGCGGCGGCAACAGCAGCAGCAGCGCCCTCTCCCAGCGGCTGCAGTTCACATGGCAGCAGCAGCCCTCGCATTGGCAATTGCAGTAGCAATAGCTGCAGTAGCAATAGCAATGGCAGTACGGGTAATGCGTGCTTGTCTGATGCGGCTTGCCAGGCGGGCAGACAGGCGGCTGGGTGGTCGGCGCCGGCGCGGGTACGAGCCCTGAGCTACGCGCCCGGAGCCATTAACACGGAGATGCAGGTAGGTTCTGGGCGGTTATTAAGGACAGTTGGTTGTTGTCGGCAACTACGGCTTATGCTGTTAAGTACGGCACAGCCGAATCTGCAACATTATCGTACATTTCTTGATGTAGAACCGAGGGATGAAAGACACAGTTGTTGGGGTGCAGGCGGCGGCACGAGAGGCGCTCCCGCCGGGTCCGTTGAAGGCGCGGTTTGAGGACAACGCGCGTGCGGGACGCCTGGTTGACCCATGGGTCAGTGCGGCCGTTTTGTATGACATCCTCACCGAAGATGCGTACGGCAACGGCGACCACGTTGATTACTACACGGTGTCATCGACAGCCGGGACGTTGCACCCTCTAGCGGATCATGCAGCAGCAGCAGCGGCGGGGACAGCAGCGGAGAAGGAAGCTCTTGTTGATGGAGCATGCTAGTGGGCTGCCTGGTTGCTAGCAAGTGTTTTTGAAGACGCGCGTTTACCAAGTGTTTCCGTGTGCTGGTTGCTTTTATGAGGGGGTGCTGCGTTGCATGGTTGCGAGAGACTGCGATGCCATGTGGTGCCCGTGGCAATCCTCCAGTCATTCGCCAAACGGTACCAACAGCACCCGGCTGACTCGTGCGTGCTAGCCCGTGCGTATCGAGCATTGCGTGAGTGAAGCGCATGCGTATTGGGGATGTCTACGCTGTAAACGTAACATCGAACACGGAACTACGTCGTACCCAGTGCTGGACGACGAACGGAAACCAGTGAAGAACGACGCTGCACGTCCGTACGTCCAACGGGTATAACAGCCCCACTAAGTTAGTCGGTTAACCGAACGGAATAACAGACCATCCGTCTACCGTCAAACAAACTGCACCAAATTTTTCGCCAATTCCAGGCCCAATATACTAATCCTCCCCTCCGAACCAACAGTTAGTTGTCAACTGCCAATAGCCACACCGTCCCGCAACGTCCCGAATATTACAACGCCACAACGTCCCAACCAATTGTGCGCCAAAGGCCAGCATCAGGAACCGAGTTCAGATAGGATAAAGTGGGCTATGCAGTTATAGGGGTTCAGCCTCATACAACCTGAAGAGTAACAGTTGGCTAGAAATTTACGGGTCTATCTGGGTTACCAAAACACAATGTTGGAGTGAGAACATATCACTGCGTCCTACCTATCAGGTGCAATACTCTTAACGGCTGCAAAGAACGTTTTTATACGACCCACATAGCTACCTACACCGTTAGTCAATTGCATGTAACATTGTAAACCAGCATTAACCCTTGTAAAAGTTGTTGACAAGTACCGGTAGTATGTGTAGCTGTGCAGCTACCAATTGTTCTTGTTGCCTGTTTTAGCTACCTGTTAGCTACATTCCCTCCACCACAACCATTTGTGACCAACCGGCCTCGCCTGAAGGAACGGACACCTATGCTTCAATTCGTACGTACCGCGCGCGCATTAATATCAATTGCGGCTTGACGTGTCATCCCATTTCATCACACATGTTGACGCCAAACACATCAGCATTACATTTCAGGCTATCCAAGACAGTCAAGTGATCACTTCTGTAGCCCAGACACGACACTATCCATTACGCCATTACGGCAATGCCACCAACACACCAAGTCATTAGCACAACAAAACCCCAGACGGTCACATTCGCAGCCGCCAAAGACAACATCCTGCAACTTTTCTCCATTACTTACTCGATGATCCCTGTTTGTCCTCGCCCTTGCCGTTTTGACTCGGGGGACGACCCACTTTGAGAGCGTTCTCGACCAGCCTCTCCACATCAATGTCCTGCCCCAACTCGCTGAGCAGCTTGGCAATGTGTTTGGCCTCCTCACGCGTGTACCGCACGAAGGGACGTACCTGCAGTACGGAAGATGACACCGTACATACGGGGCGGTACGGAACATGAGGTAAACCAATCCCGCATGTAAGAGGGCGGTCGGGACAAATTAGGCTATATATGCCATATTAGGAACGCGAGTTGTCATGTATGTGTCCTAAATCCTGTCGACACGTTAAAATACCAGGTATGAAACTGAAGACCATGCACGTGAGCAACAATAGGACAAAAACCAAAAACTTGCAAAGAAATGAAGGATGAAGGAAATTATATATAAGAATGTAAAGGAAACTGTTAATGGAAAGTATTAACAAGCACAGTTGGTAAAAACGTGTAGCTCACCAGGTAAAACATGAAGAGCAGGATGAGCACGAATGACGCCACCAGCAGCCCCACATGGATCGCCCGCACGTTGTGGATGCGGTCCATCAACATGCCCTCGTAGTAGTCACGCACGCGCAGCAGCCCATCCCGCGCGTCGTTCAGGCCAACCTAGGCACACGGCAGTTATAAGGGGAGGAAAAGGTTCGGGGCAAGGAAGGGAATTGTAAAGCCGCTTGTGTACGTATGTGTTATGGGCATGGGCGGCCTGAATAGGTACATATGTAGGCACGTGCGCCACGCACACCAGCCAGCAGCGGTTGGTGGTGTAAGAGCGCTGCAGCAGGTTAGGAGGCGCGGTGCACACCACATGGAAGATCAAAATGCCGCAGGTAACGTAAATGCCCTGCAACTGCAACGCGTGGTGACTACTGTAACGCACGCCGGGTTCTAGCCCATATGAGCCTGGATGCACTTGGCATTCCTTGGTTGCTGGTGGCCCAGACAGCCAGCCCGCCACCGGACACCGGTAGCAAAGTGACCCCCTAGCTACCTGGAACGCGAAGGACAGGTGCGGGTTCTGCAGGTTGACGTCCTCGTCCGGGTCAGCCAACAGCAGGTCGCACTCGCGCAGCATGGTCCTCATGATGGTGCTCATGCCCTGGTGAGTGGCCTGGGTTGGGCGGGGGATTGGCCAGGAACACGCACAGGGGAGGGCATGTAGTTCACCAGTAGGGGCAGGGGCAGCGAAGCAGCGGCGAACCAAGTAAGCGCGCATTTACTTCATTCATTAGGTGTCCAGAACATTAGCAAAGAGCCGAAGACGGGTGGTATGCAAGGCTGCAGGAGCCGCACACCAGAAGCAGCACGTTTAGCAAAGAGCCGAAGATGGGTGGTATGCAAGGCTGCAGGAGCCGCACACCAGAAGCAGCACGTTTTGTTATGCAAACTGCACGTGTGTATCTTTGACGGAGCTGGCCTCGTAGCGTCATGAGCCATAGCTTACCGCGTAGTACGGATGCCCGACTGGGAAGCAGCTGCTCTCGTTGTAGCGCATGCACTGCGTGGTTTCGAACAGCATCTCGCCCAACAGGCCACCGCTGTGAGCAATGCCGTCAGACGGGCCGATGCGGTGGTAGCTGATGGTGAGGTTGAGGTCGTAGATCTGCGTTTTGAAATCGAGATCCAAGCAAGGTACGGCAGAATGATCCGGGGCGCCACCAGGCAGCAAAAGCATGGGTGAGGTATAATGAACAAGAGTATAACATAACCCGTGTCTGATGCGCAAACGGGTCGAGGCTAGCGAGCAGTTCCTAGCAAGTCATCCTTTCCGACCCATGGGTCGTTGTTAGCTTCGCGCCCGCCCAACTTACGCTTTCGTTGAAACGTTTGGATCCGTACAGCAGCACGTCCCACTCCAGGGAGGCCGTTAAGCGACGCGCCAAGAGGTATTCCCGGTACTTGTCCAGCAGCGCTCGGTTCTCGAGGACGTTGAGCTCGTGAGCGAAGTACGACAGCCGACTCACACGCCACACGTTGAAGTTAGCCACTGCGGGAGTTAGGGCAATACGCCGTCAGTGCGTTGGTTATGGCAGCGATGGCAGGAGCATATATGAGGAAGATAGCATGGCATCAATACCGGTAGTGCTACCTTGCTTCTCAATTCGTGTGGCCACATTACGGCAGGAGTCTATCTAGGCCCCGTTCCCTTCAGTTGTCTAGCAACTACCTAATGAATGCAATGGCAACCCCTTACCGTTGAGGGTCTCCGTCGGCTGGTATACATTCTGCAGGTGGCATCACGAGATCGTGTGTAACAATTTAGGTACATAATGTATAAGGCATGTCAGTTGCACAGCAGTAATCTCACATCTTTGTAGCTCACATACTTACTGCACGACACCCCACAGTCCCCACACTTAGCCACTTATCCCAACGAAGTTGTACGACAACGCACTTCGAATCCTACAGTATCTAAATCTACACCATTAGTTTACACCACACCGCAAATGACTTACCCCCACGACGTTGTACGACACGGCGTACAAACTGATAATGAGCACCGCCCACACCATGATGGGCAGCACCAGCCACCAGTTCTGGAGCGAATGCGCCACGAGCACCTTGTTCGTACCAGCCATCTTGGACTTCCGCCGGAAGAAACGAGACGTTTGCTGTACGGCATGTCTCGTACCCGCCACCAACCGTTTCTTCATAAGCTCCGCAACTCGTTGGCTCTTAACCGCCATCAGCGTTCCCGCTCGCCTCAGTGACGCAACAGCCGCTGTACGGAACTTTAACACCGGCGAAGCGTCGGTTGAGATTCCCGTTGAGCTGTCATCCCAACCACCACCGCCGTCCGCTCCGCCGCGGCGTTTGGATGTTGCCATTCCTGAAGGCGCGTCGCTGTGCAGATGCGAGGTAACGTGCATCGCATACCGCCGAGACCTGCTACCCATTCTGGGTTGTACCTCCATCCCCGCACCACCGCCGCCAAACCGGACTCCGTCCTCCCCCCCGCCGCCCCCGCCCAGCGGCCCTGTCACCTGCCGCCCCAGCCGCCTTGCCCCGGGCTCCCCCTCGCCGCCTAACGGACGGCGATCCGTATCATGCAAGCCCACATTGCCCACACCCACAAACGACGTTCTAAGTCCCGGAGGACTTCGGCTTGCAAGCGGCAGCCTACGAGCGACACCCGGGTCGTCTTGGGCCTGCAGCTGTCTTGCGGAGGTAAACGTGGGAATGTTTTCGTAGACGACGCTTCGACGACGAGCGGAATGGTTCGCTGTTGCACCCTTTTGCGCGGCTCCTCCCTCCTGGGATGCGTCGTCACTGGCTTGCGAGTCGTCACCGCCGTCGGCGTCGACTCGCCGGCTAGCCAGGGTCTTGATGGTTGCGGAGGGAATGGCGAGGAAGACCGAGAACAGCGAACAACGGTACTTGCTGACCTGTAAGGTGCGATAGGTGCATCCGGAATGTAAGAAGGGGTTGCGGAAGCGTGTGAATTGTGTTCACACACAAATTGCTGTTCACCCTCTCAATCTCTCTTGCTCTTTCCATCTCAATGCGCAATCACGTCTCCGCGAGAAGAGGCACGAAGTAGGGGCTTAGGAAGAGCTAGCAGTAACCAGCGGCTACACGACATGGCAGTAGAATGCTGCTAGGCATGCATGCGTTGCCGTACGTACGGATCCGGAAATCACCTGCATGAGTCTGTACGACAGGTAGGCGCAGGCGGTACCGCAGATGCAGCACGCCTCCACCACCAGCAGCGCCAGCATGACCCGGTTCACCAGATCAGCCTGGTCAATACACTTGAGCACCAGCGTGTCAAGCATCTGGCAGCGGGGACATGGCAGCAGCAGGGAAATTCAGATGGACAGCAGGGGAACAGGGGGAGGTGTAGGGGACATTTTAAGGGTGGGGGGCTGGGTGCGGAGTAGTATGGAACAATTTGGAAGCATGCTGACCGCCCTGCACGTAGTACCCGCACTAAACAGCAGGCAATGATAACATATGCAATGTTTGGCCGTTGTAATGTGAGAAACCACAGGATTCAATGGCCTTCTCGCGCGTTCATGCACCAGGTTCCTAAGTTTTCGTCAGCCAAAACATGACGAAAAGGGGACAGCAGCACAGACAGGGCATGCTTGCTTCTGTCGTACCTCCACATAAGCATCCGTCAAGTGCCAAATGGCCTCCTGATGGATGTAGCGGAAGGAGCCGGTGTCCGTTAGGTTGGTGCTCAGCTCGTCCACGTAATGCCGGTGGTTGGCCTGCGGTCCGGTGGTTTGATTAGTTGGTTCGTTGCGATTGAATGAGGACGCCAAGTAGTTGTTTGCACGAGATCCACCGTGATAGCTTGCAAAATATCCTTGCATGCAGGCAGGCAGGCAACCATGTCAATACGCTAAACCCCTAAAACACCGAACACCGAATATTACAGAATCAATCGTAACCCTGCAGCGCCCCGCTGCTCGTCTTGCCATTACCTAATGCTCACCTGAATGTCTCGGGCGCTATCCACGAACTGTTTGCCCATATCAAACAGCGACATTAGTGCGGTGGAGTAGGTGGGCGGTGTCGAACTTGGATCCACTAGCAACGATACCCGCGTCATCTTGTCCTCCCACAGCCGCCCCAACAGACTGCTGCTGCCAGCCTTGCCGAAACGCAGGTAGGCCTCCACGTGACGTCGCTCGAACTCATCGGTTGCGTTGCCTAATGTGGCTTGGTAGGCGTCCATGTCGGATAAGAGGTAGAGCGGATCCTGTGGGTTTTGTCACGTGTGGCCAAAACAAGCGGTGGTAAGATTGCTCGGCCTGATCAGGACGTATACGGGAAAAAAATATACGACAGACAGACATCACTGATGCGTGATGCCGCCGTCAAAAGGTGTGCGCGTACTTCAAGGCTCAAGTACCCGTAATCAGTATCAGTCAGAGCGTTGTTAGCCGTAGTAACGTACCTGTGTGCGGTTCTTGTGTAGCTGGTCCAGGACGCGTGAAGCGACGGCGGCGCGATGCATGAAGTCCAGAGTGACGCCGCTGCGGCTCATTCCTCGCACGCAGGTGGACAGCTGCAGCAGCAAGGTGCAGGTAGATAGGAGCCGGGAAGCAAGAGTAAGCGTGATAGAGGCCGGTTATGGCCGCATGGATAAACCTCGCTATCTACTCCAGGCGCAAGGGGCAAGATAAGGTTCAACTGGGAGAATGATGGCAAAAGCAGGGCAGGGAAGGCGGTCAGATGAGAGTCAACTGCAATCCACCGGGTGTGCCGTACCTTGGAGAGCAGGATGAAGATGCCGATGGCGCAGGCCAGATGGCTGGCGGTGAGGAGCAGTGCGATCAGCCGGCTGTGGTTCCAGAAGCGGTTGATGGCGTTGCGCGCCTGGGGCCGCTCCAGAACCTGCAGCGCCAGGGATTTGCGGCGTCAGCCAACGGGAAAATTATTAGGCGTCGCAGTTGTGGTAAGGAGGGACGTGACATTTGCTGCTTGATCAGGCGCCATGTACGGCATATGTCATTGTGCGCATGGCGGCAAGATGCGCACCAATAAAGGGAAGCGAGTAATGTAGACATAATCTCAGATTTATTAGAGTCGTATGTTACGCGTAAACCCAGATGTATGCAGACACTATAATTGTACGAACAGTGCGCCTTCAGGTCGACAGGAATGCTTGACAGTGGCGATTTTAGCACAAAGCAATCAGCAATGCCTTCTTGAGACGTACCTTGCTGATACGCCTGAGTCGCTTGCCCCGTTGGAAGTCGGCCTGCACGGAAAGACAACATCGCGGCGCGACGAGACCCCTCACTTTCTACCCGAGCTCTTCTTGTCTTCTAGGCTGCTTGTCAGCAAGGTATAAAAGCATACCCTAGAAAGCAACTACGTTGTCCGTTTAGGGTAACAAAGTTCAGTAACATACAATACAACACATGTCGCATACTTCGTGCCCTTTGCTGCCACCGTTCCTCCAAAACCACAGACGCCCCAACCCGCATACCTGCCGCTGCGAGTCTGCCACCGGCGCATCGTTTACACCCAAGTACGACGACTCCAGCTCACTAACCACATCCGTGGCCCCGTCTTGCCGTGCAGACGCAGAAGCAACCGCCGCAGCGGCATTCAGCACCGGCAAACTCTCGTACATCGCAACCTGCGCGTAACCGGGGTCTGCGGAGGTCTCCCCCCACGCCGCCGCGTTGTGAGCGCCTGCCATCTGCATCCCCGGCATAGACGACGGCAGCGCTCCGGCATGGTATGCGTTCTGAAGACCGCCTTGTAGGTGCTGCTGCAAGCCCTGAAGCCCCATGCTGGGAGGATCACTGCTAGCGAGGCCACCGTACTGGCTGGCGGTTGGCATGGGCGGCAGCGCGAGAAGGATACCTGACGGTTGGTGGATGGAATCTGTTGGACCCTGCAACTGAATGCCCTCGCCACCGTAAATGCTGGAGCGGCGAAGCTCCGGGCCCAGCCGAACTGGGGTGTTCATGAGGTTGGCCCCGGTTGCTGACATTTGCAGGTAGCGCAGCGAGCGGGGGTCCTTGTCGGAGGCTGCGGTGCTGCTCAGGCGAGTGCCCTCCACCCAATCCCGTGTGAAGCGATCCCGCAGGTGTTGCGTCCCAGCGTCTAGCCCCTGTTGCGGTCGGCGGGGTGTAGCAATCACAGCCGGCAGTTTCAGGGTCAGCGCTTTCGACGTGGGGAATAGGACTAGAATAGGGTGCAGCTACACAGCCTATCCTTTTATTTAACCTGTCTCACCTTAGCTCACGGGTCTCACCATCTCAGTAAGCGCAGCTTGTGAGGCCCTTTTATGACGCACAGCACTACAGTGTGCTTTTCTGCCCCTACTACCGTATGCGTCACACACACTGCACGCACGTACCATGTTCGTCTGCGACAGCCCACTCTCTTGCAGCACCATCCCAGCCGTCAACGACATCTTCGGGTGGTTACTCTCAGCCGGCGGCACCAGCAGCAGCTGTATGGCATCCGCAAGATTCGCAGCACCCGCCGCTGCTGCCCCTCCTCCTCCGCCTCCTGCCGTTCCCGCACTTCCGCGCATCAGTTGCTCCTGCTGCTGTTGTTGCTGCTGCTGCTGTTGGTGTATCGTCGCAGCAAAGGAGCCCACTCGTATCCCAGCATGGGTCACCGAAGCCACCGCACCGACCTCCGGCAGGGCTGGTAGGTGCGACACCGGCCCCTCTGCTCGCTCGGAGTTGGTGTTCTGTCGGTTAAGGCTGTCATTACTGTCGGTGGTGGGGCGCCGGCGGTGCGAGTGCCGGCCGCCGGTGCTGTCTTCTGCAGTGCTCCAGGGCCCGCGGCGGCGAGAGCTCCCGAACTTCTTGGCTCGGAAGTCCATAAGCCGGCCATCCGGTCCCATGCCGGGTGCGGAGGGGCGGTCTGGGGTGGTGAGGGAGGCCTCATCTGCTGCGGGGCCCAGCGTGGCTAGGGCCTCCAGCCGCTCCCGGAGCACCGGGTCGTCCTCATCACCGCTCAGGCTGCGAGGCAGGCATTGAGAGGGCGGGGGCCGGCGGCGAATCGAGGGGTTAGGAGTGCATGGGAGCATGTGGGGATGTAAGGGATGGGAAGCAGCACACAGAGGGAGCACGCACATGGCAGCTAAGGGGATTTGCGCGTGTGAGCTAGCCCGTCTTGGAGCTACCGTAGTAAAGCTGTGGGATTGCTAGGCAGCCGGGTGAAATGGCAGCAGGGCCGCAGGTAAGTGATTGTGGCACATGCGGCATGACATACTGAACACAACACATGTGGCGGCTTTAATCACGGCGGCACTTTTACGACAGAACTTCACTTTGCTGCTGACTTTATTAACCGTCAGCGGCGGTGAACTACCGGTTAACGGGTTCGTTGGTCCGGGGCCCGTTCGTCCTTACCAGTCGCTCTTCATGGTTCTTGGTGAGGACAATCCCTGCGATTGGCTGTCATGCTGCGAGTCCTCACGCTCCCCCGCTTGCTCCTGCGGCTGCTGCGGGCTCTCCTTGCCCTCCCCAACATCCGCCTGCTGCTGCTGCTGCTGCTCGGGCGGCAGAGGCGGCTCGAAGCGGAGCTGCCGTAGCGGAGATGCCCCGTGCGCTTGGCCTCCTGTCGCCTGCAGTGTAGGGTTGGGTTCATCACATCATTAACTTCTTGCGAAACACTGTAATAACCGGCATTCGTTATGCATGGTGTTTCACACGCATGGCCTGCCCTGCAGGCTGTATGTATGCGTGCCCCCTCTTTTCCCTAGAATTAACGCCTGGGGCACCTGTCAGTGCACTAAACCAAACCAGTCCGAACACACACTTCTGTCCTGTTGTCACATAAAAAGAGGCTTGGAAACCTGCACCACCCGGCCCCACCTTTGCCTCCGCTGCCGCTGCTTCTGCGGCTCCCTCTGGTTGATCATCCGGCGGACGCCGCCCTCCGGAGCCATGCCGTACGAAAAGGCTGTTGTTGAACGCAACGCTCCAACGGCTAGCCGGGGACGGCTGCTGCGGGTTAAGCAGCTTCGCGCTCTCTAGCGGCTGACTCTCATCCACAGGCTGCTGCGAGCCGCCATCCTGCCACTCTTGAAGGGACGCGGGAAGGGTCGCCCGAGGGGATCTCAGCCCTTGTGAGGTACCAAGACTGCGGTCCCGCTGCAGTTGCGGTGGATGCTGCTGCGTCGCCGCCACCATGCGCTGCGCAGCCAGGAATCGAGCGCCGGTTTCCGTCAGCTGCGGTCCCCGGTCCCCGGCAGCAGCAGCCCCTGCGCTTCCTCCTCCTCCCCTCGCTGAGGCCCCTTGTAACGCTGCTGCCGCTGCTAAGGAGCCTGCCGCGCCCGTCCTGCCTTCTACCGAGTAACCTTGTACGGTCGGCGGTTGCGGCAGTAACGAGGTCATGTGCTGCTGCTGCTGCTGCTGTGGCACCTGCGGCAGCGTATGCGCACGCTGCGTGTTATGCTGCTGCTTTTGCTGATGTAGCGGAATAGACCGTTGCGGTGACAGACGTGAGTGCGCTGCTGCTGTGTTGCCCACTGGAGGAGGTGCCGCAACGGGGCCGCCGGGGGCTGCTGCGGGGTTGGCAGCAGCAGGTGTGCGGACGAGCGTACCCGGACCGCATAGCGCCCCCAGGGCTGCGTTGAAGGCGCCCGCGGGTGTGGCGTTTTCGACGTTGGATTTTATGTACAGGTGCGCGCGGATGAACATGGAGCTAGCAGAGGTCTTCTTGGGGAGGGCCTGGAGGTGGGCAGAGCGGAGCGGTGGGGGGCATGAAGGTGGGATGATGATGAGAGAATGAGCAGGAGTTTAAGCCATTATTGCACTCGAGCAAAAGGACAGCATGGGGCTGGTCAGGACAGAAGATTAGGCAGCTGTGTCCGATTCTTGCAGGGTGAACAGCAGGTGGGTCCAACAGTCCCTGGACGATCCAGTACCGGTAGCCCATGAACATCGGCAGGTGTGCAATCTCTCTCCACTCGACCCCCAAAACATCATACACTTCTGTCAAAAGTTAAATGCCACTCCAAACTTCAACCCACGCCAGTTGTGTTGTGCCTTCCCTGTCCTCCCTCACCTGGAGGGAGAGGTGCAGGGGCCGCCCATCCGCATGACGTGTTGTGATGTAGAGTACCGGGCCGGGGGTGCGGTTCTTGCGGTGGGACATGCTCGACTTGAGCACGCCGCCGTTGGAGGATTGCTTGGCCTTGGAGATGCGGTGCGGTGCTGGGTGTCCCTTGCCCGCGGGCGAGGACTTGTCGGACGCGAACAGGAAATCCACGATGGAGGTGCCTTGCGGGATGCACAACACGTCCCGAAGGTTGAACTGCGTGAGAGCAGTCGAGGAGACGCCAAACATGGGCCCTGCAGAGCGGGTGAAGGCAGGAGGTGGTGCAGGCGGGTTAATATCTTGTTACGGAGGCGTGCACGAAGAAGGGAGCGTCGTGTGTAGCGTGGTGCAAGCACACAGGGCCGGGTCGGGCAGGGACTCACCGGGCGGGTGCAGCTCGTCGATCATGGCCTGCCGGATGTCCCCGTCCTTGCTGACTTCCAGCATGGCCGCCACCTTGTCCGGATGCCAGATGGAAATAACCAGGTTGTCCTCGCCAGAGGTGCCGTCAACCTCCAGGATGACTGGGCGCGGCGGCAGGCCGAAGTTTTGGCCGTTCTGGATAAGACACGCAAGAGCGGAGAGAAATTGGGTTGAGAGGATAAGACGAAGAAGGGGACATCGGACGAAGGGCGATTTGGTTGGGTTTGGACAGACCGAATATAGCAGGGAGCAGGACAGGGATAGTTCATGACGTCAGTACCGTCACCCATTCACGTCACAATGTCTCCAGTGGCTAGAAGAAGGACACCGGCGATGCAAACAAAACCCTGTTGTCAGCACTCATCCGGCAGCACTCCTCATCATCATCAGTCCTCACCTGTCGCTGTAGCCGGCCCGCCTTCGCTGCTAGGCGACTCCGTGCCAGCGCTGCCGCTGCAATGGCGTTAAAGGAGATGGTCCTACTGCCCGACCCGGCCAGCAGCCGACCACTCGGAAGCTGAGCAAATGAACTCGACCCGGCCGCCAGATTCGGAGAAGGTAAATCAGCCGCCTGCTGCTGTGACTGCTGCGGCTGCGACTGCAGCAACTGGAGCAGCGGCGGAGCGGGCGGCGGAGCTTCAGAGGAGCCGGCACGCATGCTTGCTACCTGTCGCAACTGCATGGTGCTACTCAATACCCTCTGTGCTAGCACCGTGGCGTCTGAGCCCAGGGGATCCCCGCTGAGCCGCTCCACGGGCGAGGGTGCTTGGTACCGCGTCAGCCGCTGTCGCATGGCCCCCCAGCGGTGGTGCCCTCCTAGGCCCAAGCCCAGGCCCTCCTCAACACCTCCACCATCCGTCCTGCTGTCCAGCAGGCGCACAGCGGCTATCAAAGGCGCGCTCGAACGACCCTCGATTGTTATTTCGGTTGAGGCGTTGATGTCATGCTGCCCGGAAGCTGTGGCGGCGCCGCCAGCTGGGCCTGATGTTAGGGTTCCGGTGGCTGTGGCGTTTGCGGATCCGGAGCTTACTGGTTTCGGGGCGGTTGTTGAATCCTGGCCAATGGAGCCGGCGGCGGCAGAACGGATGGTGGCGGTTGGGTGCGGGTCTGGGGGCGCATCAGCGGCCGCTTCCCCGGACGCCGTATCGCCTTGGGAGTGGCGGGTGGTGAGCAGCTGCGGCAGCAGTGGGCCAGCAGCAGGGGAGTACCGGTACTTGTGTTAGCGTGGACATGCACGGGACTTGTACCCTGCTTTTGGTTGGTTGGTTGGTCGATAAGACGTGCACATCTGGGCTTCTAGATTGCCTCTACCCGAAAAGCATGCGTGGACAGCGTAACCCTTCAACGCAATGCTTTCTTACCACTTCGCTCCGCCGGCTGCCCTGCTTTTGGTACGCTTTTGTGGCCGTAGCCCCCGTTGACCAGAGGTCAGCGGTCGCGGACTCGATGACTTGGCTGGTGCCGAATTTGGTGCGGATGTAGACAGGCGCGAGACGCTCAATGGACCTGCGCAGTGCAGGCAGCGAAATGGCCACGAGTTATGGTAAAATACGTAAAATACCCAGTTTGAAGTACCGGTATCGGGTGTTTAACGAACATGCAAGGCATGTATGAACCCACTTAGCGGCCTCATATTAGCATATGTGGGTTATAACACGAACGCTAACAGTTCCACCTAGCATCCAGCTATCAGCTGTGGCGTTCAAGGCCGTGCTACAGCAAACCCAACAGGGTCCCAGCAAGCAGCGCCAAGCCCAGCAGCTTACATCAATCGAAGCGCTTCGAGCACATCTTCTTGCTCCTCCTCGCTCTGGGCCGCAGCCGCAAGCTCGGGAAAGAATTTGAACACGTTTGTGCCCACCAGGTGCTCCGGCATGATGCCAAACAGCGCGGGCGAGCAAGACGTGCTGATCAGTGACAGTACCTCTCCGTTGGGGCTGACCTGTGGTAGGGTGAGGAAGTAAGGAGGCAGGCGGGAGGTAGGAGGCAGGCGGGAGGTAGGAGGCAGGGTTCTGTCTGTTGCACGGACCCAATAGGGAAGCAAGGGCGGTGAATGGGATGCAAAGCAGGCACAGCTGGGACGGAGATTCGCGTACGGCGTTGAGTGGGTACTGCGGGGGTACCGGTATTCTTATCGGAACCGCGAGACCCCGCCACGTACCTCTAGCTTTATCCTCCTTTCATCCAGCCCTGCTTCGATACTGCTCTTGGTCACCTCCACCACCGTGAGCAGGTTCTCCTCGCCCTCCGCCTTGTGGCTGATGGACAGCCGGACCTGTGGCAAGTACGGTATTCCGAAGTGGACGAGCGTGGACGGGTTTTGTTATTATCAGTACATGGTGCACCCGTGGACGTGGGTTTGTCACGCATGCAGGCCCACACCCCAACCGTTTCGAGGTTTGAATTAAGAAAAATCTGAAAAGCCACGAAGGAACCTTAACAGTGCCATACAAAAGGCCACTGGGCGTGGCATTGAACTGATGATGAGGCTTGGGGACACCTGACGTGCAGCGCCTCGCGTGCTCCGTACCCCCCCCTCGTCTTCCCCACCTCCGCCCCCTCGCGGCCAACTCACCGGCACAAGGACCTTGTTGCTGGAGCACATGAACACCGTTTGGCCGTTGCGGCAGGTGTGCGGCGACTTGTGCTGCATCATCTCGCGGATTCCGCAGGAGTGCAGCATCTGGTAGTGCGGCGGCATCAGAGCCTGCCAGGGCGAGCGAGCGGGTTGCTTTGAGCAGCAGGAAGCGCTGGGAAAGGAACGTGTACGAGATTGAGCTACTCAGCAGTTAAACGCATTACGGCCGGTGCTGTCGTACATAATGCCTAAAGAAACGTGTGCAACTGTGCTTGAAGCCGAATGCTGGATGGCAGGGTAGGTAGCAAGTCTCAGGGGCATACATGCGAAGCGAAGATGTTCTTAGGCGCCGAACACGTGGTGTACAGCACTCCGGACTTCGTGCTTAGTGCTTACCTCTGATGTGAGCACCCCAAGACTGCGCGGCGTGAAACCCAGAAGCTGCACGGGAGGAAGCAGGAAGCCGTAAATCATTTGCAACGAGCAACTCCCTTCATACATACGGTATGTTACATCCACAGGCACGGGGAACGGCTACGGAGCTTTCAAGCACCTGGAGTATCCTGATCTGGATACCCACCCGATCCTGGCCATGCGCCCATGACTACCTACCTGACTCATGGCCGAACTGGCAAACACGATGTTGCCGCTGCGATTGAAGACCACAAGCGGTGGAGCCGTCTGCGTGTTTGGGTAGAGCCGCAGGCAGCGTGGGAGTCGTACCAAATGAAGAAAGATATGATACATGCTGCACAACATGCATGAGGCCAACGCGGATGGGGAGGGAGGTCGGGGGCTTTGCAAACGCCATGCAATATGGCTGCCGCACACATTGGCGTCATGCAATCAGACATCAGGACCATGCAACCAACGTGCATGTGAGAGAGGAGTTGGAGTTGAAATATATGTTTTTGCTTGAGGAAAGCAACGAAGGCAAAGCCGGCGAAGACATTATCCAGTACATAAGAACGCAGCTGTTGAGTGAATCTGCGAGGAACGAAGCAGGTCGCGTGCACGACACATTCCGCAACTCCTGACCATGGTTACAGGCGTGACGTTGACGATGTGGAGCGGCTCGTCCGCAGTGCCTGCGGGCGGACGGGGCGGACAGCAGCAGGGAACGCGGCGGGGGTGGCAGCAGCCGGGTTCGGACGGGGACAGCAAGGTACAGAAGGCTCGGAAGGAATCCATGTGCCACAGGAAATAATGATATGACCGCAGGAAATGACGATATCCAGGAACATGCTCGGCAGCAGGGTGCAGCAGGCGCCCAAGATGCGGTCATGGATGGCGGCCAAGCAAATAAAGTGCAAGTGTGGCACCCTCCCTACCTCCGCGCTGTATGGTAATGTCCACCTGCACCAGGCTGGCGTACTTGTGTTGCACGTGCAGTCCCTTGCGTGTCACGCCCTGGGCGGCCAGCTCGTCCTCGGGGCACGCTAGCGCCATGTTCATCAGCCTGGGGGGCGGGGGCAGGGGTACGGTCGGCGGTGAGGAGTGGCCATGCCTACATCTTGAAGGTAACAATGCAGGCGCGACACATAAAGCAAGGCATATGAGCCTTAAATTCGCGAAGCGCTTCGTCATTTCCCGATGAACAAGATGGATGGACTTCAAACCCACTGCAAGCAGCAGTCCAGTCCCAGCAGTTGCAGCAGCCCCCCTTCCCCCAGCTAATGCATGGCTATCCTTTCCTTCCTCTCCCCCTCCCAGCCAGCCACCGCTAGCTCCCTCACCCTCCCTCACTCACTCCTGCAGCTCGTCCTGCTCCACCACCAGGTCCTTGAAGTTGCGCCCCACCACCTCCACCGGCGGCACCCCGAACACGTCCTGGAAGCGCTGGTCCACGGACAGCGTGACGCCGCTGGTGAGGCACCACACTTGGATGGTGCTGGCGTCGGCCTCGATGGCCTGATGGGGGGGAGGGAGGGCGGGGGTTGGTGGAGGGGGGCAGGGGAGGTGAGGGATAGAGGGAGGAAGGACAGGAGGTGGAGGAGGAGGAAGGGGGGAGGGTAGTACGTGGAGGTAAGTACGCGGAGGTACGTGTGTTACCCCAACAACTTGAGCGGTATGACGTGCGTGCGTGATGCATTGGCGCAGGTGTGTGACGGGAAGGAGGAAACGCCGCCCACGTCACGTAGGAGGAGGTTACGGAGGTGAGTAAGTGTGAGGGTAGATAAACAGAACACACACTAGCTGGCGCTGAGCCAGGGGCACTGTGTGCGCAGCGAGGCACCCACTCGCTCACCCACCCACCCATTCAGTCGGGATATGGGATTGGGACTTGTTGTTTCACTTTAATAATTTTTTACCCACCCACCCACTCACCCGCATCACCCCCATGAAGGTACTGCGTCGAGGAGGAGCAGCCGCAGCAGCAGGACGGATGGGAGTCCGCAAAGGTTGCCGGTTATTACAGATTCATGGCGACGGGAAGGCAGGGGAGAATGGAACAAGGGACAGAGCACGCCGGGTAATCAGGCATGCGTGTTTATATGTACTGCACGAGGATGGCCCGCTGACGAGAACTTGGGGTAGGATAGGCTTCTATGGGCAGCTACTAGGGCGTCCGCAAACAGAGGGTAAACATAGATGTGTCAACACAAACACTCACGCACCTGTCTTGCCCCTGTCCGCTGAGCTTAGTAACGGCCAGGCGAATGGGAAACATGTAGCGCCTCCGGTGCAGTGCGACGACCTGCGTGCCGCACAAAACTGCTCGGGTTACTCCAGTGCAAAGTCCTCAACTTCCGCAGACCTCATGAACTATGGCACCGCCCCCGGGGAAACACGGACCAAGGATCGGAGGAAGGTGTACGGATTTGTCGCACGGAACACTCACCTGACGCACGGTGCCAAGGATTTTCGCCCGACCTGCAGGGTAGGAAAGGCGGAACGGGTTCTGTTCATGCTAGAGAATGAAGGCACTCAACAGCTCGATCTCCATTTAACACACAGCTGTCCTGTTGCAAGAGACCCATGGGTCATCACCATTTCCCCGAAACCCACACATGCCGTACCGGTCGCGAGGTAGGCCCCCATGTAGCCCTGGTGCCGGGAGCTGAACGGGGCTGGCATCAGCATGCTCACTGATTGACCATCAAGCTCGGAAGCCTTGTAACCAAACAGCTTTTGCAGCGTTTTATTGGACATTTGAATGATACCAGCGGCGTTGATGACAAGTACGGCGTATGCCTTGTCATCAACCTACAGTACAAGTAGGCGGGTACGGCAGTAACGTAAAGTTCAGTAATCGTCGTACCGGCATACAACATGATGGACCGCATACGGTATCAATTAAGACAGGTGGGGGATATGCAGCTTCATTTGTGTCCTTACATACATATTTCACGAACCTGTGTGAGCATGGCTTTGTTGTCAACGCTGTACAATATGGTGTCCTGCGCCGCTGCTTGCTGCTCCTCCAGGCGATCCGCTTTCCTGCAAGAGGGGAAAAGAAAAAAAAACAGTAAAATTCAGTTAGGCACGTTCAATGGATTTCGGGCTTAAACCTAATGGCATGTATGTTGTTAAATCATGACTGAGATGCGCATGCATGAGCTGGTGACAACAAGGCATTGTGGAGCGGGGGATAGTGCATTTTGTACAACTAACTGTAAGCATATACATCCCGTGCAAGGCGGTCATGTCTCATGTGTCAACCACGACGCAGCATTCCGCCAAAGCCAACACGCCTAACCCGACTTCAACCCAGCTTGAGCAAGCACCGAGCAACATGCGCACTAGCATGTATTTACAACACCCAGGCCGATTCCCGCCCAGGTAACCGCTGCCCTTACTCGTAAAGCTGAGATGCACGCCAGGGATTGTTCATCACCTCCTCCTGAAAGCGCGCGTAGCTCCGAAGCAGCTTGACGCTATTGGGGTACCTGTACGGCAGCACGCAAAACCGCATGCAATGGATCCGCTAGCACTTCCATCAACATGACCCGCAATCAGATGAATCAACGTCCCAACAGACATCCATGAAGCCACTACAGCAAGACCTATCATAGTAACAATGAAAATGCCATTACAGGTACACTGGTGTGGATTATTCAGGCCGCAGCAACAAGTGCCCTTTGAGGGTAACACTAGCTACAACCCCGGGCCGCCCCCGCCCCGCCCACCTGTCCAGCACCATGCGATATGTCTGCGTGGCGGTCTTCTGCGCCGCCTCGATGTTGTTGAAGGCGGAGGTGAGCTGCGAGAAGTGGATCTGGCCGTGCAGCAGCAGCCGCCAGAAGGCTTGCTGGGTGGTGAGTGCGCGCTGAGTGGCACGGGCCAGCAGCCTGCGAGCAGGTCACAGGAAGGAAGGAAGTTGATTTTTGCGGATAAGCTGTTGCTGCTGACGAGGAAAGAGTGAAGCAGGAAGTCGTCTATCCCAACTTTCACGTGTCGACAACAGCGACCGCACCCGCTGTTACGCCGCAATGCCGCAAACCTAGAAGGCTCACCGAAACCCCTCATCATCCCGCTCAAATTTGATTTCCCGCTCTGCCCCCACCTACACGCCTCGGCGCCCGCATGCGCAAACTCCTTACGCCCACAACCGTTCTTCTGCCCCTAAAAATGCACGCATGCACTTCACCTTCCGACAATCACAGTACGTTCCTACTCACGGCCAGTTTTCTTAACACACCTGTAGTTCCGCTGGAACTCCACGTACGACACCAGGTCCACCGCGCTCTCGCCCGTGGTCTGCGTGTGCGCGCGTTGCATGTGCTGCTGCTCACGCACGAAGATTGCAAACTTCTGGACATAGCCCGGGTTCAGCTTCTTGGCAGCCATGAGCTGGCTTTGACCCGCCTGGTACAGCGTCTGCACCTCGATCAGCAGATTGGAGTAGAGGACGTGCACGTAGGACTCATTGGGAAACAGCACAATGCCGGCTTTAAGGATGCGCTCCGAGAGTTTCACGGACGCCTCGTCCTGCGTGCCGGACTCCTGCCCCGGTGTACGGCAAACGCGAGCCACCACCTCCACTTCGTACATGTCGATGAACCTAGTCAGGTAGGGCGCGCGATGATGAAGAACAGCGGGCAACATTATTGATTGGAAACCACATGAAAGAGCGGTTAGCAGAGTCGTTGGCAGCAGGAACGGAATGTGCGTACGTTGACGTACGGTTTGTTGCAGCAGCGCATGGCGCATGGCGCATTTGCTAGAAACACGACTTCAAGCCGTACAAATGATCAGCAACAGGGACGCATAAAAACGACGCTTACTCGTAGATATCGCGCGGCTTGGAGTCGCTTTGTGCGTTCTGGAAGGCGCGGAGGGCCTTCTGCACAAAGTAGTTGAGTCGGATCCAGGAGATGACGATGCCCGCTGCCACCGTGCCGGGGATTCCCAGCAGCGCGATGTAAGTGAGTCGCCGAGCCATGTGGCTGTGAGAGTCCTTGGCGCTGTCCACACACCTGGCAGGGAGGGCAGGGAAGGGTAGGGAGGGGGGGAGATAACGTGAAGCGCCCCAGCACACAGCACCCCAGCAGCAGCGCCCCGGCATGCACGCAGCACCCCAGCACCCCAGCGTACATGCAACATCCCGGCACGTGGCGCCCCAGCACACATGCGACCATCATGCAACATCCCAGCACACAGCACCCCAGCACACATGCATGCAGCACACCTGCGCCCCAGCAGCCACCCACCACCCACCTGAGCACCACCATCATCACGCTGACCCACGTAAGGCCCAAATTGAACCCGGCTCGCACGTGATTCATCCAAGCGGTTAAGAACGGCACCTGCAGCAGGCGGCGTGGAAGTGAAGTCCTGGTTTTTGCGACCGTTTCCTTGCCAAACTCTACCGGTCCTCCAGACTCTAAAATGTATCGTGCATTTTGATTTACTAATGTGTTCAGCAAAAACCTCGTTTTACGACCGACTGCGCCGCACCCCGCAGCCCCCGGTAACCCACCCATCGTGCGGTTGTGTAGAACTGCAGCGCCATGGTCGCAGCGAACACGATGGCTTGCAGCTTGGGCACATCCACCACCAGGATTGCTGAGGCAAGCAGGAACACCGTCTTGGCAGCCAGGTTGAGCAGCTGCGGGGGAAAATAAATGATACGTTCAGCAACGGAGTCCCAATCCCAAATCCAGATTCGGTGGAGAGGGATCAAAGACCATAGCGAACCATAGGAAACCCCAGGTTGGGGCAAGGGAGGAGGAGGCGTGGGGGGGGGGGTGCGAGGGCGAAACACGTGGGGACGAAACCGTGGTGACGCATGGCAGCCCAGCAGGCCAGCAAAAACACGAATAAAGCGGGCATCAAGCTTGATTCAGCAGCTGCTATGGAGCCAGGTTTGGCCATAGTACCTACAACTGACTCCTCTACCGGTACTCCCACTCACCATCACACCCAAACCCCCGAACCCCCGCTCCCCCGGCCGCCCTCACCTCCACATGCGGATGTGCCGCCGCCAGCAGCCCATCCGCCAGCGGGTCCAGCTCGAAGTCCGCCGCGGTGGTAACGAACACGATTGCGGAGAAGAGCACGAGCAGGAAGATGGAGATCAGCATGTTGAAGACGTAGGGGTAGTCCAGGCAGCCTGGGGGAGGGTGGGAGGGTGCGGAGGGCCGTGGATGGTGGCAGTGGTGGCAAGGTTGGGAGTACTCTTTTTCTTCGCTGCAGGCGGACGCGCCGCGCGTTGCGAGTGTGTAGGGACACCATCTCACGCCCCTTGATTCAGGGCCTCGTCACACAGCATATCAGCAACCAACCAACTCACGTTTGTCCGGGTACTTGTCCAGATAGCCGCGCTCGAAGTTGCTCTCGTCGGGGGCCAGCCAGTGACAGTTGATGTTGCTTAGGAAGATGCCGCACGCCGACACGTAAAAGGTCTGCGATTGCACAATAGCAGCAGCAGCGGTGGCGGCAGCCCGTAACTAAGCGGTAGCTAGGGGCCGGTGCGCAACGAGGGTTGTATGGAGGGCTTTAGGGTTGTCGAGCCGCCTGCATGCATGTACTGGCACAGCAGGCGCACAGCAGCAGGGCTCCCAGGGGTTTGGGGGGAGGCTGCGGGCTCGTCCTTTCGCCACGAGACTGCACGTACAGGCAGGGCTGGGCTGCATGGTTATCTTTAAACCCCATTTGTGGAACCCCTGTGGAACCCCTTCGAGACACATTTGCACCATCCAAGGCTGCTTAATACCAGGGTTACCACGCACCTGGAAGAACATGCTGACGACCACACGCAACGTCCAAACGGGCCTGCAGAGGTTAGGGAAGGGCGCGGTCAAGCGGGGCAGCAATTCGCTGCTAATCGCCTTTGTACCGTAAGCAGAACCCTCAAACGCCCGACGCGGGTGCCAAGGCAGCAGGACCATGCGATAGGCCTGTCAGGCGCGACCCCGAAGGTGCGCGCATTGGTTAGGTGTCTAGCTGCTGACCACTCACCAAACATACGCAAACTGGCAGACCGATGCGGGTTTGCATGTGGTGAAGCGAAGCGGGAGGGCGGGCAGTGAAGGGACGGGGCGGACCGTCAGTGAGGGGGAGGCAGGAAAAGGGAGGACGGGAAGTGCAAGGATTGCGACACTAGAAACCTGTGGTGATTGTCGATCATCGGGTGCACGATAGAAGCGCGCTTGTGCGTCTGAGCAGCCTAGCTTGCATTGTATGCCCCACATGTTAAGGAAAGATGGCTGCTGTTTCACAAACAGACGCGCCCCATCCTGCCCGGAACCGCCTGTCGGTTTTCCCAGTAGCAAAATGCTCCAGCCTGCGGCTCCATCCTCCCCCACACACACCTTGTGCCGCTTGAAGCAGTAGCCCACGTAAGCACACAAGCCCAGGCTGCACAGCAGCAGCAGGGCTACGGCGTACAGGAACCCTGCGTGCACGACACCCTTCGCGTTAGCCGCAACACGGTACGACATACGGTACGACGTACCGCAGTGCACCAGACGACATCGGAGCTTATAACACCCTCCCCACCTGTGTACATGGAGTAGTTCTGCAGGGGGATGGGGGATGGGAGAAAGGGGTTGGGATGGGCTGGGCGATGGATTTAAGCAGCTAACAGTGTTGGCGCTAGCTAGCCACGATACGAAAACACCCTGCAGGTCGCACACAGGCGACGCAGCAATCCCACGACGGCCGCCTGTCTGCCCCAACCCGCTCCTTGCTGCATCCCGACTACCCCGGCTGGACTCCACGCAGCACCCGGCGCCGGCGCCCGCAGCCCTACCATGGAGGACAGCTTGGTCCGGAAGTCCAGGTACGACAAGCCCTCCCACAGCCTGTGTCCGCAAGCGTAGGTTTGTTGGGTTAAACAGCAGCAGCAGCATTCAGAGGGCTCAGGGCAGCACGGACAGCCCTTCCAGTCGGTCGCAGCTGGGAGGGCATTCTGGGACCACGGCCGGCACCCAACAAAAGGACAACACCAGCCGTGACAGACCGGTGTAACCACACAGCCCAGCTGCCGTGAAGTGAGCATTCTGTGTTGTACGTGTAACTGGTGCAACTGGTGTCAGTGCCGTTCGGGCTTCAGAGCAGTCACGACAGGTCACCAGGGTACTGCCGTACAAGGCCCATGCTGCTGTTCCTCCTCGCCAGCAGCCCCCGCCAAGAGCCACCATCACCAAGAGTCGTACTTTCGTTCACAGCCTGGCGTTTCTCCTTCTCCTACCTCGCCTCAGGTCCCTATCCTGGTGAGCGTCCCCTCCCGTCCCAGTCCATTTCTTTCTCATTAACCCACCGTGTCAACCTGTTGGCCGCCCCCCCTCCCTCCCAGCCGGCGCCTCCCTCCCCACCACTGCCCCACCATGTGAACTTGCTGACAGCCCCCCCTCCCTCCCCACCCCCCCTCCCTCCCCACCCTCCCTCCCTCCCTCCCTCCCTCCCAGCCGGCGCCTCCCTGCCCCAGCCACCCCCACCATGTGAACTTGCTGACCGCCCCCCCTCCCTCCCAGCCGGCGCCTCCCTCCCCATCGCTGCCCCCACCACGTGAACTTGCTGGTCCACTCCGAGGCCCAGGGGAACCAGCCGTACGTTGGCGACAGCAGCACCACCAGCTGCTGCAGGAAGTCGAGAACCATCTTGAGCAGCGCTATCCATTTGGAGCCGTCAACTTTCTCCTGCAGGGGGGCAGAGGTGCAGATGTGTGGCGGGTGCATAGCGGTACACGGCAGGCGGGAAGGCAGGCGGGAAGGCGAAAGCACAAAGCACGGGGCGCACGAAGGCGCGGGGCAGCAGGAGGGTCACGCCACATTATCACATCCCGAACGACTAGGTGTACGACCCGCTAACCAGACCGACCAGACATTACCATGTAGCAACGCAGTGGGGCTACAGAAGCTTGGCGGCCACATGACAAGCAGAGGGGTAAACTGGCTCTTTGGATTGTGTACGGTAGTACCCATCAGCCACGCTTCTTGAGATGTTTGACACCCCAGCACCACCCACGCTGCTAAGGCGGGGGTACTGCCCCGTTCGTACCCTCGTACCTTGCTGAGGGTGTACAGAACTCCAAAGATGGCCAACTCCACGGCCTGCAAGACGACGTCGTACAATGTGGGCGTTACAAGAGTCATGCGAGGATTTTTTTGTCGGCCAGGAACCAGAAGGATAAGGTCCAGGTATCAATTGTGTGCCCCCAGGGCGTTGGAGGGTTCCCAGCGATGCTGGGGAGGGAAGGGACATAGCCCCCCGCCCAGTACTAAAACGCCTGTTCCCTTGGGAGCTGAAACTTCCAGCTGCTAGAACCAGACTCGGCAATCAAAGCTAGAAACCCGCCCGTATTTACCTGTGCCGTTGTCGCGACATCGTCGTCTCCTCGCTCGTCCCCGTCAAGTGCGTCTCGAAGGGGAAGGCTGGCCACCCTGTGAATTGGCAACGAAGAGCTTATAAGTGCCAGGATAGGCGTATTCGCTTTAGTATAAAGGTTGATTTGCTGTAAGGAGGCATAATTGACACGCAAGCAGCTTTGTCATACGTGTCTTGTTGTAATGTAAATTCTATCCGGAGATTGCCCTTACCGGCGGCCGGCTGAGCTGCTCGCCGTGCTCCCGACATCGCTTAGTTGCTCACTAACAAGCGAGCCACGGCCGGGAAGCTTCCCCATAACTGGGTACTTCGTCAAAGATGTGGGCCTATCCTGGCGGAGTGCCGCCAGTTAACTTCCGACATGAAACATGGCAACGTCTAATGTCCAGTAGGATATATGCAGTGAATAGCAAGGGTCTCCAAGGCGAGTGTGGGTCCCTCACGCAGTCGTCGCTTAAGCCATTCTAACAGCTTCCCTTGCCGCTCGTCAAAGTTCTTCTAGCGGGTCCATAATCTGTATATTCCTATATAATGTATAGGTTATAAGTGCTCGGGAACCTGTGGAAACTCAGAAACGAGCGCTTGCTATGCTTGCGGCAACGACCAAGTCAAGTTGCCGTAACCGAAATTTACTACCTTTGTGTTCCCTTGCCTTTATCGCATGAACGAGCAAATAGGCACAGCTCGCTTTTGTTAAGTTGCCTTAGGATTCCCTTTTTTGTACAAGGTCTCACAGAAATAGAACACCAAAATATCACGCAATTCCCAAAATCTCTTAGGAGATCTAGTTCACGTAAGCGTGCATACATTGCTGTGTAGCTTCGGTTTACTGACTTCGAAGCGTATTTGTCCCCAAATATCTGCTGTGCTTGGATGACCTCCGCCCAGGCCTTTGCGTAAGCAAGGCATGTTTTTGGGAACTTAGTAGTCAACATAGATGGCTTGAAAAGGTTTCTAGCTGATCAGGGCGGTGCTTTCCTGGGTCGGAGCACGGCACCACGGCAGGGGATCATTGGGGATGGCACTCTCAAGCTGCATCAAGAGTGGCGTGCTGTTCGTTGCCTTTAACCAAGACTGCACATGCGTAGCGCTCGGAAGTCAGCAGGGCGTGCACATATACAATGTACATACGCACAAACTCTGTTACCGCTACACCATCGGTGCAGTCAGGTACGCTGGATGGAAGCCTTGGCTGGACTATGTATCTTAGACGATTGCAACGACGAAAGCGCACGTGGTAGCCTTCCCTTTAAACCCTGACAAATGGTTATGCCCTCAATACTGCCGTCGGTTATTGCTTTCACGGTGTACGGCATGGCCACATGGACAGTAACTCGCGGGTAGCCACCTAGTCGCCTGCTAACACAAAAGCGTACCTTTCCACTGCGCCTTTTACCGTGCCGCAGTATTGTGGAAATGCTCTTCTGCACAAGTCTTGTGGGCTACGTGGGAGCAGGTGAGAGGATGGCAAACATGAACATTGCAACACCTCTTCCGGTCCGTCGCCGCCATTGCTGCTCAGCTCAACACATCTAATCTTATCTTCACCACCCACCCTCCTACCCTACCCGCCAGCTATGTACGACTCATCTACCCCGTTGCTGACTGTGTGTTGTTTGCAACTTCCCAACCGCCCCCAACCAACCGCTGTGCAATCCCCCTGCCGTACAACGTCCGTTTGTCAGGCGAGCAGCCCGCGCTCACCCCCCGCAAGCTCACCATCATGAACACGAGTGCCAGCCGCACCATACAGGAGCTCAGCTACCCGACCTCCGTGCTGGCTGTGCGCATGAACAGGCAGAGGTGGGGTAGCTGAGCCTGGTACTGAGGATGCAGTAGGGAATTAACTCAATTGTAAACCCAAAATGTGACGCCGAGTTGACGTGCACCCTACATTTGACCCTCCCACACACACCTCCTTCCGCGCCCCTTCCCGGCCTACCCTCCGCTGGAGCTGCTTTGCCCAACTTCCTGGTTTGCTCTCCTGCCGCCCTCCCAACCGCCCCACCGCGCCCCCATTCAGGCTGGTCGTCGTGACGGCCAAGCGCGCGCATGTGTACGGCATGCACAACCTGGCCTGCCTGCGGGTGATCGATACGGAAGATAGCCCCGCCGGGGTGGGTGTGCGAGTGCGTGCGGGAGGGGGCTGGATGGCGCTGGGGTGGCTGGCTGGGGCCTGCTGCAGAGGGGGGTTGCCGGTATACCCAACTGAGGGCTGCTGCTGAGGGGTTATGCGCTTAGACCCAAATGAGTCGCCGGGGGCGGCTGACGGGATCGTATAGGCTTTATAGGAGGAGGAGAAGGGGCCAGAGCTGGGACTGTAACTGGGGCGGGAGTTGTTGGCAAGGGCCTTGAGGACATGGCATGAAAGCAGCATGGCCTTCTTGTTCCTTCTTTTCACTGTTATGTTAAGCTGCTTCTCCCTTCTCCTCCTTTACTTACCGTATTGAGATTGCTGCACGTACTGCCGTACGACACGCACGGCGTACGACATACGGCACATACGACCGCAGGGCTGCTGTGCGCTGACGGCTTGCCACGAGCCCAACTTGCTGGCCCTACCCGCGTCCGCATCCTCGGTACGTTGCTCGTTGTAGTGAAGTACGCCTGGCCACGACAGGCAGCTCTCTCTTGTTGTTACAGCCAGCTCTCTCGATGTTGTTGTCAGTAATGCCTGATTCCTATAGCATCATGCCGTACGCGTGCCGTACGCATCATGCCGGAAGCCGGTCGTTACTTGGCTCCTGCTGCACCCTGGAATGGGCTCCTGCGTCCCGGCCGCTGCCGCCCGGAAGTGCGCGACGTGGGCCGCACCTGGGAGTGCTCCTGGGCTATACCGTACTCGTGTTTACGGTGTGCCGGCTGAGATGCTGCAAGTCACTGTATGTGAGGAGGCGTGAGTTACAACTCACGCTGTTGGTTGCCTCCGGGCTCCTCTCAGGGTGCGGTGCGCATATACGACCTGGCCCAGGACGGAGGCAACGTGCTGAGTGAAGTCCGCGCGCACCAGACACCCGTGGTGAGACCGGCAGCCTCATCGGTGCGATGTGCCGTACAGCTGACGTACACTGGTTTACGCAGATCTAGTGTACTACAGTAGTGATATTCACGGCAACTAAACTATTCTGTTTAGTTGCCGTGATTCTAGCAACTAATAAACAGAAGGATGCATACCGCAGTCACCCGTATTGAAGCCGCGGATGGCTCTTATCCTCCATGGGTCACGACCCATGGGTCACTTGACCCCTCCCCGCACATGCCCTGTGTGCGCCACGCTCTTGCGTCCCCCGCTCCCAAACACACATACACGCACATGTACCTACAGGTTACTCCCGCTTTTTCAACACACACCCAGGTCACGCTAGCCTGGAGCAGCGACGGTGCGTTGCTGGCGACTGCCTCCGCCAAGGGCACCGTCATCCGTGTTCACCGCATGCCGGGGGCGGCGCGCAGCCACAGCTTCCGACGCGGCGCCACCTCCGCCGCCATCCAGTCCATGGCTTTCAGCGCTCCCGGGCTGCCGGTGCAGCTGCTGGTGGCGGCGAGCAGTCACGGCACGGTTCATGTGTTTCGGTTGCAGGTACGGCAGGGCGCTGTCTTGGGGAGAGGGAAGTTGACGGGGGTAGTGTGTATCGTTCGTATACAGGTAGTTAGTAGGGGACGGGAGTGAAGGACAGAAGCAGACCTTGTGAGGGATAAAATAGGAAACTGACGAGGTGAGGGAGGAAGGGAGGTGGAAAGGTTGTGGGGCTGGGTGCTGGGTGCAATAGGCATGCATGCAGGGTCGCAATGCTATGTGCTAGGGCAGAAAGGCGCTCGCTTATATGGGATTTATGACGGGATCGGAGCAAAAGGGTAAACACCTTTGACTGGAAGGAAAACAGTAACGAAGTGGGTAAGCACACGGCGGCTGTCTCACCCCGCTCATGTGCGCATGTTCCGCACCCGCGTGTCCCCAGGATCCGGAGCCTCCCGGGGTGTCCTCCCGGCCTGCCTCCGCCGCCGCGGGTTTGCTGTCGGCCGTGGTTCGGTACTCGGTGGGCGACATGGTGAGGGGGGCCGGGGGGGGGGCAATCTCGGGAGGGGGGAAAACACATATACGGGAGCTGCGTGGTGCTTATATATGTACCTGTTGCGGCACGCCGACAGACGGAAGGGGCCAGCCAGCGCATTGGCTAGCTGGAAGGGCAATCACTTCATATGCTCGGCTCCTAGCGGAGATTCCGTCGATGTATGTATGGGTTCGTTGGGAGCCGGCCTGCGATGAACAACTCCTGCACATGGAGTACTAAACTTGGTTACATGCGCGTGGGGTACGGCATGCCAAGGCGTGTCTCCAGCACCTAGGGTTTTGTGAACCTCCAGCACGCACGAGTGTTCCGACCCTCGTCCCCTGCGTCGCCTCCACACTTCCCAAACTCCCTACCATTCGTCAACAGGTGGAGCCCGCTCGGAACATCGCGACCATTCGACTTCCGCAGTCAGTGGGCGCCGCCACATGCGCCTTCCGAATGGGGCCGCCGCCGGGACAGGAGGCAGCGGCGGAGGCGGGGGCAGCAGCCGCAGCTGCAGGTGAGGCGGCAGCAGCTGCTGCTGCTGCAGCTCCCTCCGGACTGCAGCCACGAGATCTCACCAGCAGCAGTACCGCTGCCGCTGCAGCAGCCATGGCTGCTACTGCCGGCGGCGTCGGTGCAGGCATCACCCCCGGCGTCGCCGCCACACCCCACACATCCGCCGCGGCCGGCACGCTGCTGCCGACTCGCAGCTCTAGCGGCTACAGCGACAGCGACCTGCTTGTTGCAACCTCCGCAGGGGGCGGCGCAGTGAACCGGGGTGCGGGAGGCGGCGATGGTGGGGTACCGTCGGAGGGGCTGCGAGTGGTGATCATGGTGGCCACTCAGGAGGGGCTGCTGTACGAGTACAGCCTGAGCGACCTGCTGAATCCCGCTGGGCCCAAGTGCAACCTGGAGGGGGAGTGGTCGATGCTGGGGAGCGGGAGCATCCTGGGGTAGGCTGGTGGGTAGCTATCCTGGGGTGGCGGATGGGGAGTACAGCCGCTGCGGTGGTGTGGGTACAGAGGAAACAACTAACAACTGACCGTGTCATAAGGCATCATCATGGTTTGCAACATGTGAGCCAGCCCGACCCGCCCAGCCTGAATTAGCCAAGCCAGGTGGTGTGGGTAGGTAAGGGGGCTGTTGTAAACAGCAGGCGGCAAACAGGAGGTGGGTTGGAAGGTAGGGGCCGACACAAGCGGGGCAGGATGTACGTATAGTTTGCGTGGATGTGCAGGCTGAGGCATGCCGGAAAGGAAGATGTGCAGGCTGAGGCATGCCGGAAAGGAAGAGGCAGGTTGTGAGCATGTTGTGTGCTGCATGTAGCATTCCCTTTGGCGGTCGTACATTGTAGAGGTATGTCGTTTGCAGGTGGTCCGACAGTTAAGTAGGTGATTGGCTGTTGGTTTGGCAGGTGTATAGCTAGCACATGCAGTGGTGCGCGTCGAAGCAGGGATCAAGCGTTTGCCCTCCGTGGCCGTCCATGGCCGTACTTGCGTTTCCGTTGATAATGTTTAAAGAGGTTGGAAAGTAAAAGCTTACAAGCACAATAGCAAACACGAACCTGAAAAGAGGTAATGGACAATGGAGGAACTTACGATTATTGAGGAAGAGAGGTCATACTGACGTGGCCCGTGAGCTTCCTCTTGTACGGCACCGGACCAGCTTGACAGCTCGACAAGCTGCGTGCGTGTCGCAACCCGGCACGGACAACAACGAAACCAAACCGGTTTCCAGTTTCTACGACGAGCAGCAGGCAGTCATAAAGATACAACCAGTGAAACCTACAGCAATGCGCCAGTCACGATGCGGACTTTCCCTGTCATCCTACGTCCGGTCCTACTTCGATCTCTTGAAGCTGCCAATGGCTGCCAATCCCGTAGCTCTACATATTGTACTCCACTCGCCTCCTGCCTGCCCGCTACGTGATACTGGACCTGCCAGCGAGCACTAGCATTTAAATGCCCCTCTTGGGTAGCGCCTCCAGCTGCATTGCTAGGTGACAAACGCATTTGATCGCAAAAAAGGATAAAAAGGGAGTCCCATGCCATGTGCTGTTCCCGCCTACATGCACCGTTAACGCCGGCTGCATAGGTCATTATGCGGGTGAAATGCATGGCTGCAAACCGAAGCCGTACCCAACCGGCCCAACGAGGACTTCACAGCATTAAAACAACAGGATCCATTCCAACAACACTTCACCCGCCAGTTCACGGTGAACAGTACATACATAACGGCAAGCTACACGTCGACAGATGGAGCACAGAAGCACACATCCTCCCTGCTCCCTCACAGCGCCCCCACAGCCATGACACGCATGACGTGAGGCCCATTCCCTCACAACTCCTTACAGCAGCAGCCATTAGTGACCCGACTGCCCTTCCTCCTACAGGGTAAAGCCAACCAGCTCTCTTATCCGTCCTTCCCTGCATCCGCCCTCCCTCCCGCAAACAGGCGCAACTGACATTTCCCGCTTGCTCTCCAACCCGCACCATCACTCCCCCTCCTCCCCCTGCTCCCCAGCCGCCTCCACCTGCGGCCCCCCCACGCAGCAGCACCCCCCGCTCCCCGCCAGCCCCACCACCAGGATGTCCTCATCCGTGCCAAACGACCGCCGCGCCACATCCAACGCCGCCGCCGACACTCTCAGCTCCGAAACCGCCGCCGCCGGATCTCGTACGACATACTCCGCCGTCGTGCTGTCGTACCCCACCAGCAGCACGTAGTGCCCCAGGTAGCCCAGCTCCACGCCGCACAGCGCGGGGAGGCACATGTCGGCGGCGGCAGCCAGCCAGGGGTCCAGCTTGCGCTTGTCCACCAGGAGGATGATGAGACACTCGCCGGAGAGCAGCCAGGACTGCGGAGGGGTAAGGGAAGAGGGATAAAGGAAGGAGACGCAATGTGTTGACTGATACCATGAATGGCAAGCTCGCGGCCAGTTCTTATAACACGAACCGCTGCCACGTGCAACAACACAAACCCACGCCATTCTCCACCTGCCCTCCCCGCTTCCCCCCACCTGCAGCTCCTCCCCGCTGACGGACCGCTGCTGCAGTGCGATGCCCGCGGCCGCCGCCTCCCTGAACAGCCTGCTGACGCGGCGCTCGTCGTCCTCCATGTGCTCCATGTAGAAGCTCTCGTTGGCGAAGGCGGGGTTGGGGCCCAGCGTGATGGTGTGGAAGGCCACGCGCAGGCCGAAGCGGCGCAGCAGGTGTGCCAGGTCCACCGTCCACACGCTGGGAGGAGCAGGAGGAGGGAGGCAGGAGGAGGGGGATGGGACGGTGGAGGAAAGACCAAGGAGGAGAGGAGTGAAGGGAGTGCGGGGAGAAGGAGAGAGAGGGCATTGAGAGGAAGGATCTGCAGGTGCCAGGGCCGCCGCGCTTGGTAAACCTGTCCACGATGGTTATACCGGTTCCAAGTCCGCGTTTTGTGTCGGTTGGTTTCACGGCCCTATTCCACGGCCCTATTAAGTCCGGCTGCAAGGTCATGCCGGACTGGGTACAGCCCGCGGCGGGTGTCACCTACCTAGTGGTGTCGCAGAGGTGGCGCAGGGTCTGGTAGTCGCAATTGGGGAAGCCGGAGGCCTCCAGAATCATCTGCACGCAGGCTAGCCCGCAATCCCTGCATGACAGGCGGGACCGTGTTCGCGGGGGACGTACGGCGTACGACGTACGGCGGGATTTAGAGCCACTGGCTGAAGTACAGCGTTGACAGCTGCTGCGAGGAACATGTTGCATGGTAAGCAGCCTGGTAACTACCCCGCCCACGGACTGCAGAGTTAGTACTACCGCGCATGCCCCTTCCTCCTTCAGTGTGTTGTTATAGCTTGTGCTATGGCATCCGGTTCCAACTCTTACCAATTGAAATGCTGCTTGCAGTGGGGGACGTGTGCGTGTACCACGCTCTGCACTCCCTGGCTGCAAGGCACCGACGTCGAGACACAAGGTGCCGATGAGGATGAGCCAGGTGTTGCCGAAGGTGCCGATGAGGATGAGCCAGGTGTTGCCGAAGGCCACAGCAGCCATGAAGAGGGTGCCTTGGGGGGGGAAGTAACTGGAGGGTTCTGGGACGACACCGTGGTTGTGGTGGGGTCCACGCAATTGGAGCCACTATGACAGTTCGTCTGCGCTACTTCACAGATGTGCCCCGCAAGCGTCATCGTCTCCGGCGGCATCAGAGGATGCCAGATGGCTGCTGCGGGGCGTGCTCCGCGAGCTTACAGCTACATCGTCTAGTAGGGCCTACTGGACGTTGAGCAGTTGGTGATCACCAGGATATATTGTGCAGTTCTTATCAGTGTGTGGGAGGGTTGCTAAAGAAGAAAGCGTATCGTAGAAAGCTAGGCTTCGACCGTAGGCTTCAAATGAAAGGTTAGGATACAACTTGCTTAAGCAGTGACGTCTACTGCGTGCGTGTAGCTGCCAATTTGATATATTGATAACGGACTGGATTGTTGAGCTCCTTGGTCCTTGCCCTGCCTATTACGTACAGCCGTGCAGCTGACTGGACTCCTTGTGACTCTTGGGTGTAAGCCCCTCGCACAGATAGCCGTTTCTAGCCTCGCTAGGAGTATTTGCACTGACATAAACTCTGATTTGCGTCTGCCCTATACCAGGAAACGGCTCCACTCCGCTAGCTAAGTCACGGCCGCTGTCTAATTTCGCACCAACAGTCACCATAGAGTATTACTTTCTATAGTTGCTAGGGTCTTTTGCTGAGCAGAGGACGCTTGGTAAAGCTTGTACTCGTCGCTGGGCATCCTGCTCAGACTGCTCCTGCCACAGCTCATCCTAGCAGCCTTTTGGAGTGGCGCTGCAAACATAAGAAATGGTAAGACGCACTGATAACACGGCAAGACGGCCAGAGGACCCACATGCTCCGCCTCCCGGCGTCTGTCCGGCAGGGAAATACAACCTCGCACAAGCACGAGGTTCCCGTAGGCTCAGAACATGAGCACTACACCCGCCACGCGTCACCACCTCTCAGCCCGGGATCGCCGCTGACGTACAGCCCGCAAATACCCATGGAGCCCATATCACGTGCCGAGGATGTGGCAAATCGCAATGCTCCAGAATTCCACGGGGTAGCCGGCTGGCCGGCACAACCAAAGCTTGTACCGGTCGTCATCGTATGTGAGTCACGCGAACATGGGAACATGGGCCGGTAGAAGAGCACTTGTATGGTAGTTGCAGGCGCTGTCGGCCCCGTTTGCTAGTTCAATGCGCAGCAAGCTAGGGGATTGGTTTGTCTGCTGGGAGTCTGCGCCTGTTGAAGCCCTTACGGCGGAAGGACGCGGTGAACCCATAACTCCGCAAGCCCGCTCTTACCGCTGCCGGCGCCGCACCCGCTGCACGCACACGGCTTCCCACCCAGGGAGCCACGGGGGAAGCCATGTGGAGGTGGAGGGCTCCTTCGACAACTGGACCACCCGACAGCCGCTGCAGCGCTCCGGAAAGGACTTCACCATCATCAAACTGCTGCCGCCGGGCGTGTACCAGGTAGGGCTGCCGAGTACAGAGGAGGGAAGAGCAGCTTGGTAGGGCGGTTGACTGGTTGTTGTTCGTGGGGTGCGTGAAAGAGATCTGGGCTGCTTGCGCCGGGCCCAAGGACGGTGCGTGCGTTGCAGAGTGGCCGGGTACATGAAAGCCCTTTTGACCGCGTGTCCCACGGGTCGCGCCGCCCGCCCTGCAGTTCAAGTTCATCGTGGATGGCGAGTGGAAGTACGACCCCAACCAGCCGGCCATGTTTGACGAGATGCGGAACGTGAACAACGTGATTGAGGTGCACGAGTATGTGCCGGAGAACTTGGAGGGGGTGTCAGGGTTCGACCCACCTCCCTCGCCGCCCTCCAGGTGGGTGGGTGTGCCTGTGTCGGGGCCTTCCATAGGAGCTCGACTGCCGACTCCTATGTGACTGCTTGGTTGTTCTTAACGTGCTTCACTCACCCTAACCGGCTGCTTTAGTGTCCTCCCATAGCGTTCCTTACACGACCGCCGTCGCACCTGTGCCGCCGTGTTCCTTTTTGCAAGCCCTGTCCGTTTTCCGTTTGTAAGCCATGCCCCCTTCCCCATGCTTGTATGTCATGGGTAAAGTACCGGGCACTAATTCCCATGTGTTCCGCTCCCTCCGCAGCTACAACTGCCCCAACCCGGTGGCGGACGACTACGCCAAGGAGCCGCCCGTCATGCCGCCGCACCTGCAGCTCACGCTGCTCAACGTGCCGCCCGCACTGGACGCGCAAGCAGCGCTGCCGCGGCCGCAACACGTCATCCTCAACCACGTGTACTGCCAACGAGGCCAGGTAGGAGGAGGAGCTCCCGCTCTCGGGTGGCGAGAGGGTTAAGAGTAGCATGCGGCTAGCTTAGGTGGCAGCTAGCCGGATACCGGATATGATGCACCAAAAGGCGCTTGGGTGGTTCTGGCAGTCCGCCTGGGGCCAGGCAGGTGGTACCGGTTTACGGATACCGTAATCCAGCAGGGGCGATTCTCGTTATGGTTAGGAACACGCGACAGATGATGGCATCTTCGTTTGTTACAGGTCATGTTAGTACGTCCGTCATTACATGCCGGTGTTATTCTCGCCCTCGTGGAACCCCGGCGCAGAACATCCAAGCGCTGGTGGTGGGTACGACGACGCGGTACAAGTCCAAGTACATCACCACCGTCATGTACAAGCCCAAGGGGCGGCGGCGCGTGCTCGACAGCGGCCTGCGGACCGACGGCTAACGGCTCGAGAGAGCCACCATGGACGAGTGTGTGATACGAGCTGTCGTGCCCTATAAACCCGCTTATGATGGCTTGGAAGGCCCTCGGCAGTGTAAAATGGCAGTGTAAAAAGGCAACTGCACGACTCGGTTAAAGTCTGGTATTAGTGCCGCATTATTGGCACCATTAAGCCCCCAGAGCAATGTCAGCAGTACATCGATAAGCTCAGCAGCCGAACAGGTCTAGACCACAACCGTCCGCAGAATGCCGCTCAGGGCTCGGTAGAGTCCGTCTGGCTTGACGTGCTATTCGCCAGAGGTGCAGCGGTGGTATTCGCCTGAGACGCAGAGGTAACATTGGCCGTGTTGGGTGCAGTGACGTTCGCCTGGGGCACCGAGGCGTTCGCTGCCGGCTTCGACGCTGGCGGAGGTGGGGGCGGCCCGGCTCCAGCCTCCGCTGGGGGCGGGAACTCCTCAAAGAACTCCTCCTCTTTGCCGCTACCACCTGCCGCCGCCTCCTCCGCTTCCTCCTCCTCCAGTGCCTCGAGCTCCTTCTCCAACTCCTCCTCGTAATCCTCCTCTCCAAGCCCCTCCTCATAGTCCTCCCCCTCAAGCTCCTCTTCGATCTCCTTTTCAATCTCCTCCTCCTCGATCTCCTCCGCAGAAAGCTCCGGGGATAACTGCGGGAAGAAACGCAAGAAGTGCAGAAGGGCGGGGTAATGTTAAGAGGTAACAAATGCACGGGAGACACGCTTGCGTTGTTTCTTGTCGCGTCGTTCTGCCGCTGTAACTATACGACACTGAATTAGACTGAGGCCGGAAGATATGCATAGCATGCAAGCCATTTATATGTGGAAGACGAGCAACATTGCAGGGCAGCAGTTCCAACCCACGAGGGGCGGGACTATCCCGGGTCTGCCCACACCCCAGCGTCGTACCGTGCTGTTGTTGCCGCCGCTGCCGATGCCGCTGTAATCGCCGAGGGCATCCGCTTCCGTTGCTTCCTTGGAAGCGTCACCATCATTGCCCTCAGAGGGGGAGGAGTCCAGTGAGGATAGCGCCGCTGCGTCTGGCTGCTCTGCGGATGGGTCCTTAGCTTCCCCAGCATCATCATCATCGGAGGCTGCTGCGCCAGACCCCGACTTGGTGGCGTCTGGGGCTGTGCTGGAATGTGAGGCCGGCGGCGGAGGGTTTGTTCGGGAGGCGACGGCTCCGGAGGGGACGATGCCTGCATGGGGTGCAGACAGCAGCGGCGTTGGTACGGGCCATGGAACAGGCAAGGAGCACGGAAGGTGGTAGTATAGTGTACAACAGTGTCAACAAGCATGTGGAGGTTGCTACTTGGGGCCATGCCGTACGCCCTGAGTGCTAGAGCTAGCTGCATTTGCATGACATGCGTTGAAGAAGGCAGCGTTGGCTAACTTGCTCGTGTTAAGGTGGCCAAGGACCCCTGGGGCCACCCATTCGCATACAGGGTCAATCTAGGCACAGGGCTGGGGCGGCACACTTAACAAGCAATCATGTCATCAAAATCTCGACCATGCATCCTTGACATACCTGCGGGTACCGACTTGGCTTTGAAGGCAAGCACCATGCACAGAATTACCACCACCAGCACCCCTCCGCCTATGCAGATGCTACGCTTAAACGAGAGTAGAGTTTTCTGGTGCTGTTGCTCTTTGACCCGTGCCTGCAAGCAACCACCAAATGGATTGTCATGTAAATTGTCAATACCGGTAACAGCTACATGCACATCCACATTGCCTTCGCACCTCCACTCTTAGCTTGCCGTTTAGCACTTGATGCGGTGCCTCCACGTCGTCCATAGTCTGCTCCTTGGACTTTGCATCCTTGTAAAACCCCTGGCTTGTGAGCTCCGCCTCAATTAACCGAGACAGCTCGGACGCCATCGCTCAACCGTTTTAGAAAACAGTAGAGTTCCTTTGTGTTTTGCACAAATTATAACCACCAGGCATAAGCAGCAAAAACAACGCGGGAAGGGTGGATCAAGGGGCGTGTGCTATGTTGATAGGTAGCGCCTCAGCAAATAATGATCAGCATAGATGCTTGAAGTTGGCGCGAATTGAAGCGCAAGGACAAAACTATGCTTCAATGGTGCCGTACACCATTGCCTCCCTTTCAACTCCCTTCATACTCCGTGGCACATGCAGCCTCGTATACGATGGCACATGTTCCACTTCACTAGGTCATCTGAATCTGAATCCCACTGAATCATTGGCACACCTACCGGCTACCATGCAGCGTGTTGTGATAAAGCCCTTTAGGTCAGCAGGCCCCGCTTCTTGTGCCCGTGTTCTTAATCTAAACAGGAGACCTATATACTTTGTACCAAGAGCACAGGCCACCGACAACGAGGAGCAAAAAGCTAGCTTAAGCAGCGTGGTGCGCACTGCCAATCCATGCGATTGATGTGATTCCTTCAGGCGGGATTACTCTGAAACCTCATTGGGTGTTGCATTCTACGGACAGGATGGCGAAAAGCTGTCTAGCGACGAGTCGTCACGGCTAAGTGCTCTTCGACGACAACAGCAAGTCGACCTCGCCAAAGACACAAACCCCATACAGGTGAGTGGCCGGCGCAAGGCAACCCACCTCCACCACCTCCAGAGTACCCTAGGGGGCTTACACGCCATGGTACGGTACATGCAGGGTGCTCTTGAGGAAGCGCAACTAATCACATGGCCCAAGCCGCAAAAGGTAAGATTTACCAAAAGCTGTGCTTGTCTGGGGCTCATGGATCTTGCCCCGTCAAGCGGTACTGTTACATGGTCCCTTACTTGTTGAAGGGGTGCTGGGGTTAATGGTAGCTATAGGCTATGTGCGCATACCCATTGCATACCTCCAGGGGATGTGCAGCGCTTGCTGGGAGACTAAATGCTTGACGACGGTCAGCCTATGCACACTCTCCCTTGCAATGCCGACGTCTTCAGCCGACATGTCTTCCCGCTGAGGTCGCGGCAGACTGAGCAGTCCAGCACCCTTCTTTGGTTTGGGAACCCAGTTGCTGCACTCCTAATTTATTTTTTTCCCTTCTTCCACACTTCCCGCGCTCCCACAGGCGGCTCTTGACACCGTGTTGGTGTTGTTCATCGTGGTGGGGTCCGGGGCGATGCTGTTCGGAATGAATGTGCTGCTAGCGGAGCTCTCGGAATGGTGGTACCACCTGGCCTGAACGCGCCGGGGCGCTGTAGCTGCCCGTGCTGTCACGAGGGGAAAGAAGGGTGCACTAGTGTGTTGAGCGCAATTTTGGAAGGAGTGCGCTTTAAGTTTAGGAAGAGGCTCGAGTGGGGATGCTGGTATGGGTGTGTTTTTGGCGGTGTACTAGCTTGTCGTGCGTGTCGTGAAGCGTGTTAGAGCGTGCAATTTGTAGGAATGCCGTCGCATGTCGGATTATCGTAGTTACGTCTGGAGTAACAGGAGGGTTTGCCATACGGTATTGCTGGTTGTGGGGTGTTTTGTCTTTACCCCGCCTGGAGGACCAGTGTCCTCCAGGCGTCCTGGAGGACCAGTGTACGACCAGCGTTGGGCAGCAGTTGGGTGTATAGGGCCAACTCCACGACAACCCATGGACAGATGGACTTCACACCAGTTGTGGTTACTGAGGTTTCGAAGTCCTTTCCCTGGAGCAAATGATGCTACTGGTTGTGGGGCATGCCCTCACCTCGCCTGGAATATACCAGTGTGACCATCGCTCGTTGTTACCATGAATTGAAAACCCTGGGCGACCATTGAATGTAGGTTCACGCGCGCAGCTTGACACGCCCACTGCAGCACAACAACACACTGCAGCCAACACAGCCGGACACAGTAGTAAAGCACATTTTGCGACGCTCCGCATAAGGCCCTATTACGCGTCCGTTTTGGGCCACCCCACACGACAGGTGTCTACTGGTCTTTACGGGTAGCACCGTTGTGCGGCGATACCCCACTTCCCTCCGCGGCATCACACCGCGCGAAACACACACTGGCCAGTTTTCTTAACACACACTGGTACCTAATGCCAGTCCCGTAGTAGTAACGCATGCCCAACATGCACAGGCGCGTCCACAAAAACGGTGGTGCCCCCTAAGCAGTCGGCTTCTTAGGGCCCCCAACCAACGTCGTTCACGCGTTTCGTGCGGCCCACTCGTTAGCTCAAGTCTGCGCTCTCCGTGCTAGCCAGCCGCCCTGCAAAAGATGTTCGAACACTCCTTCCATGTAACGCTAGATAAAGAAAACTAGGAATCCGGTCCCCTAGATATTGCACTGACACACGCCGCTTAAACTGTTGCACATTCGTCTCAGGTCATGTGCCCACCGTTAATAAAGGTACACGCTCCCCACATGGCCGCAAGAAAGGCCAAGCAACCCCTCCGCGACAAAGCAACCACACCTCTCACCACCACATCCGCATTACCGCATTACAAGTAAGCCGACAGGTCATTGCCCGCGTCCTTCTCCTCCGGCACGGGCGCCGGTGGGTTCGCCGGCTTGCCGTTCGGGTCCCCGATGAACGACTTCCTCAACGAGTCGCGCTTGACCGCCATATTCCGCATCTTGTCCATGGTGCTCTGCAGCTGCTTGCTCGTCGCTGCGGGGAGAGGTGCGTACGGCAAAACACGCGGGATTGACACAGGGTTGAGCACGTGCATGCCTCAGCAGCAGGCATTTACTGCAACTAACTTTGTGACTGACCGGTACCGTCACCCATTGCCACAACCCCAGGCCTAGCACTCTTTCCTCTTCTCCCCAGCCCATCGCCCTTCCCTATCCGCATCAGGCCTAGATGCACCCAGCCCACCACTAGATGCACCCAGCACCGGCAATTGGTCAGGTTCGTCCAAAGCCATCATGGCTGGGCGCACTTCACTTCCCACTACCCCACCACTCCCTACCCCCGCCCCGCCCTACCCTCGTCCGCCGTGGTGGGTGTCTGCCCCCGCACCCAGGGGTGTGCCAGCGCCTGCTCCGCCGTGAGTCGCTTGCCGGAGTCCACCGTAAGCAGCTTGGCAACCACGTCCTTGGCCTCGGGCGAGATGTTCTCCCATATGGGGTCGTCCGCGTCGTAGTTGCCCTTTTTGATCTTCTCGAACAACACCGCGTCGTTGTCGTCGTCTGCGGGGTGTGCGTGTTGGGGTGCGGCGCGAAGCAGAGCAGGAGAGCCGCAGCAACCTCAAAGCCCCAGAGAGATCCCCAAGGAAACGGGACAGGAGCAACATAGCTTAAGTGGTTCTGTGGGTGTGAGCGGCGTGCAAGTTAGCAGCTGGAGCGAGGATGATCTTACTGGCCGCCCTGAATGCGCGGTGACATGTTATATACATCGCCATGCACTAGGAATAATCAGCGGCATCCGGCCACACCCCCTCCGAGCAACAACCCAGTCAGCAACCCATCCCCCCTCCCTCCACAGCACCCAAGGCTCACCGAAGGGTGAATACCCCGACAGCAGGATGAAGAGGATCACGCCCACACTCCACATGTCCACCGCGGGGGAGTACTCCTTGAGGCCGTCCCCCACCCCCAGCACCTCCGGCGCCACGTACTGCGGGCTGCCGCACATGGTGGACAGCACCGTCTCGGGCGAGAAGAACTTGCTCAGCCCAAAATCCGCAATCTTGACGGGCGAGTCGTCTCGCTCGTTGAGCATCACCATGTTTTCTAGCTTCAGATCGCGGTGAACGATGCCTGAGTGGGTGTGCGTGTGAGGAGGATTGGCAGGTAGGAAGGGAAGGGGATAAGATGATAAAGGGAAGAAGAAGGTGGGAAGGGACAGCGGTTCAACGTTGCAAGGGTTTACGGCGAAATGCGCATGTGGGTCGTGTTGGTTTTGCGGGGTCAAGGGCCCGGCAAGAGGGTTGGCCCGCTCGAGGCACGACAGGTGCAGCTATCGTGCTTGTGCACAGTCATAAGGTGGGGTTGTTAAGACTTCACAGGCTGCATCGGGGCAGCATCTGAGCTAACTCCTTGCCGTTGCGCAAAGCGTCATGCAGCTGGGACCGAGATATCGTCCTTACGACTGACCCTCGAAACCCCGACTTTAAAGAACCCGACCGAATGCCTGCATGGCAGCAGCAACTGTGCATGACAGCCAAGCGACCACTGGCCCTTACCAACTGCTTGGTAAGGCTCAGCGAGCAGCAACAACCCAGCCATGAAAGCCCCCACTTCCCCTCTGGCCCCCACTTGCCCTGCTTGTGCAAGTACGCCACGCCGGAGAGGATCTGCCGGATGAGGGCTGATGCGTCCTTTTCGGTGTAGTTGCCCTTCTCGGTCACCCTGCATGGAGCCGCAGCAGCAGGGGAGTACGACACACGCACAGCAGAGCTTGAGCTGGACACAAGCGTACGGCTGTGATGAGGCAAAAGCTACATGGAGCGCAAATGACGAGTAGTATCATAGGAACTTCATCCAGCCCTACGAAGTTCACACAGCCGTACAAGGCTGCAGGCCCCTGCACAACCGCAAATCCCGGCTTTTGCCCGCGGCACCTGTCGAGCAGCTCCCCTCCTGTTACAAGCTCGGTGACCAAGTACACCTTGCGTGGTGTGATGTACACGTCATAGAGCTTGATGCAGTTCGGGTGATCCACCTGAGCACCATGGCCCCGCCCATTGTTAGTTCGCGTGGCCAAACTTAAGCCCCTCCGGGAAACTTGTCGCGGAGCAGCACCATGAACAAACGGTCACCTTGAGCAGGACTTGGATTTCACGCTCAAGGGAGTTGTCACCGGCCGCATAGCGCGATTTATCAACCACCTGCGAAGTGTAAACATGGTTACAGTACTGTCCGCAAGCGACGGCGCGCCGCTCGTCGCCCGTACCTTGATGGCGACCGGGTCCCCTGTCTTCTTGTCTCGCCCCTTCTTCACGACCGCAAAGCCTGAGATCGTCGTGCATCGTCTTTAGCAGACGCGCCTCAAACGGGCTCGTGTGTCTGTAAAGCAGACCCCTTTGCGCGCTCTCACCTCCCACGCCCACTGTTTCACCAACTTCATAACGCTCAAGGAAGTCCTGTACCGTCGCTGCATATCCAAAGTGACGAAAATTCATCACTGAGATGCATTTGAGCCTAGCTGATCTACTTGGGCAGTCCTCGGCTCACCGTTGGCGTACACCTGGGGCTTCCTGCTTGTGCTCGCTTCCTCCGCGCTTGCCATGATCTGTTTTCCTATTACCTATGATGGGGAACTCTTGATGTCTCTCTTTTAACAGGTCATGTTCTTGGTGTGAGCAATGCCTGTTGAGATGATGTGTCTATGAAAGGGCCAAAGCAACGGTCGCGGTAAGCAGGTTATGTATAGCATAAACTCTTGCTAGGGAATACTGTATCACTTGCTCACATTAGGGTCTACATTGTCCCTGTTCCCTGGAGTTTTGAGGGCAGTTCTCTGGAAATCTAACCCGGTTACTTCGGCTAGGTTATAGAATTCCTTTTGATATTCCAATCTGTAGTGCTGTGTACACAATACGCGCTGCTCTTGGTGGTGTGCCAAGTTTGCATGCCACCATCGAAGAGCGTTCTTCGGTTATATCCAGTTTCTTTATTCCATTACAATTATTGAATACATTCAGTGCAGTAATAGAGCTGGGCACTGGAGACATAAGGGTTCTGTTCAGCGACCCGGGGGCCACATCTATACACCTATCCCAACCACCCAGTGCAACCGGGACAAAGAGCTCTGCGGTCTACGCGTGTTGAGATTGCACCACCCACAACCCATGTCGTTATTGTCAAGAGACGAGCACGGCTACCAGACTCCGTAACATTGGCACAAAAATATGTGTATGATAGCCGCCATCGGTTGGGTAGATCTCCGGATCTAAAAGCTGATCTTCGAGTATGAAGAAAGACTCTTTCCTACCAGGCTCGTCTTAAAGGGATCGTCGGGGTATGGACAATGGCTACGAGGATGGGGTAGTATTCTAACTTACAGTCATCGTCTGCCTTGTCATTTATTTCTCATTACGCGCATTTACTGCGTTGACACACATTCCCCCAAATAGGAAGGCGTTGGCAACCCTATACCGCCCAGAGCACTTCCTGACTACCTAAGCAGTTTAACATATACGAGCGTAAAAGGCATGGACAAGTACGCCAATCCGATACAGCTTCATCCCCCATAGGCGCCTCCGGAGTCTTGAACCCTAGGAAAAGGCGGGAGGACTGACCAACCCCACTAAACCAACGCTACTGTAACCCAATCCTAACTGTCCAAGCAAGAAGGCGCGGGTCAATGGCCCAGCACCGAATGAACCTTCCCATTGGCATCCTAACAAGCCTAGCCAAAATGTTAGATGACACAAAAGTCCTACCATTATCTTACGCCAACAGCAAGTTGGGAGGCATGGCTCTTTAGTACAATCCTGATCGACCCTGACCTCCGCTTGCAACGTGTTTCCAGTCGTACTTAAGGCCTGCGCGCCAGCACTCATCTTATCACCGCTAGGAGGCGTTACCACCGCCCCGTGCTAAGGAACTAAGGAAACTCCGCCCCGTATATGTACCGAACTGCACGGCTTGCTGCCCGGACCCTCCTCCTGCGGTCACACGCTCCGCCCCAAACCCGCTACCCCTCCCTACGGCGTCTGGTTTTCCCAACCGACCGCCACAGTGGAAAGTACTTACCAAGGTGAGGTACCTACATGGGCACCATAGATGAATTGCAAGCTTAAGGTAATAGTTACCGCCCCAACTCCGCCATGAGCCTACCGCCCTAATCAGGATCAGCTACATCCTCTGGCATCCGACGCTGCTCTTCCTGTCATCGTGACCCCAGCCATCACAGCTTCTTTCCTCACATTCCGTCTTTCCGCTTCCAACAACCCCAACATGGACATCCGCACAGATCGCCTACCCCGACCGCACGCGGCTGACTACAGGTCCTCGGACGACGACGGTGGCTCTGCAAGCGCCTCCGGCACCGGCGCCTTGCCCCGCTCCGCTAGCTGTCGCGAGCAGAACGACACCGCATCCCCAACCGTGACGAAGATCCAGTCTCGCCCCAGCATGTCCGGCACGCCCGCCGTCTCCAACGCCTTGATCACCTTGGCGCTGGGGTTGCACAGCACCAGCTGCGTGCCCCCGTTCGCAAAGTGCTCGATCCAGCCCTCCAGCGCGTGAATGCCGGTGGCGTCGATGTGGGTCACGGGCGACATGTCCATGATGGCAAACTCCAGCTTGGCGCCTGCGGGGTGCAACCGGGGTGGTCAGCAAACGCTGGCAGCCCAACGTGCATGCAGGTCTGACACCGAGGCCAGCTAGCCCTTACTCCATCCCTGCCTCTCCTTGGGTTGCAACTTCAATTTACACTTCATAGCAGCCCCATAGCATTGAAGTTTTTCTTTCCCCTACCCACTCGCCCCAGGCCTCACCGCGCTCTGCACTCCAAGCGCGATGCCGCGCCTCGTACGCACGCAGGCGGTCCTTGATCCACTGCACATTGGCGAAGTAGATGGGCGCGTCGATACGGCAGACCATGACGCCCGGCACCAGCTGGGAGTTGGGGTACTGCTTAATGTTTCGGTAGACGCCGGAGCCGGGGATGCGGCCCAGCAGCGCCGTGTGGGGGAAGGCGGACTCGTAGATGACAATCAGCATGGCCAGGCCGATGGCGATGCCCAGACCGATCTCGATGGAGATGAAGAGGGTTCCCAGGAAGGAAGCCATCCACACGATGAAGTCGAGCTTATTGACCTGTGTGGGTGGCGGGCCAAGGAGTGCGCGAATGAAGGAGGGGTGTGGGATTCACAACAACTATTTACCGGTGCTGTGCGTTATATGCTTCTCAACAGGCAGCAACAAAACGACGCTCCCGGGCCAAAGGATGCATTTCACGAAGCCGAGTGACCACACGCTCTTAGTCGACAGAACACCCCTCGCCATCTATGCGCTCTGTTTACACCATCGTACCGCCTTATACTTTCACTGCCTTTACACATGTAACCTTGGTGTTTTATATATGTAACCTTGGTGTTTTACACATTTAACCTTGGTATTTTACACATTTAACCTTGGTGTTTTACGCATGTAACCTTGGTGTAACCCCCACTCACCTTGAACAGGTAGATCGCCTGCTCGTACTCCAGCAGCCCGGTGACGCTGCTGCACACAATCGCGCCCAGCGTGCAGTACGGCAGCTTCTCAAACACCGGCGTCATGAACAGCAGCACGAACCCCACCACAAGGGCCGTCACTATACCGGACAGACCCGTCTTGGCGCCTGGCAGGGGCAGAGGCGGGGAGCAGAACACGCAAGCGAAAGTGTGTTAAAATCAACTGAGCCGCGTAAATGTTGTGCGCTGTGACATCCAGAGAGGCAGACCCTGGCAGTGCTCCGGCTTACACCATCAAGCATGCCACCTACAATGACCTTGCCAACTGATGTACGGAAATGTCACATGTACGGGTCAAGTTGCTTGTTGCAGTCGCTCCACCCCTAGCCTGGGAAGCAGCAAATCCCTAGCCTCGGCTCAGAGGCGCCAACACGCCTCCTCCAGGCACCAGTCCCAGCACTTCAGCCGCAACCCACCCGACTCGTTGTTGACAGCTGAGCGGGAAAAGGAGCCCGTCGTGCTGTAGCAGTGGAAAGCGGAGCCTACAAAGTTCGCCAGGCCCAGGCCCACAATCTCCTGGTTTGGAACGAGGTCATACTTGTTCTTGTTGGCCAGGGCGCGCGCAATGGAGGTCGACTCCAGCAGGTCCACCAACATAACCACCTGCAGGCGGCAGAGCAGGCGGGCCGGAACAACGCCACAGATCAGCGACCCATGGGTCAGCTGCTGCACCAGGAAGCTCACCCTGCGGCCTGAGCGATTCTCCTTTCGGTTGCCTTACAGTCATAAGCAAGTTACGGGTACCGCACGTAAACGGGCCGCATAAGGCGCAGGCTCCTCGGTAGGCGAGTCTTTATTAAGCCGCTTCCATACATTGCACCTCCTGTTCCGCCGGGCCCCTACTACTCACCACAGCGATGGGCAGGAGGTCCAAGAAGTCCGGCATGGGCGACCACCAGCCCACAGTGGGCGCGGGCAGGCCCTTCTGGATGGACCCGATGACCTTGATGCCCTTCTGGTCCACGTGGCCGATGTAGACGGCGCACAGTGCGATGATGCAGACCGTGATGGGGCCCAGCGGCCGCAACCAGCGGAAGCGCTTGCTGCGCTTGCCGATCTCCTTCATGGTGACCAGCAGGATGAGGAAGGTGCTGCCCATGATAAACTCCTGCGCGCAGGGAGTCCATCACGGAGAGGGTAAGGGGCGGGAAGGGGGCGGATGGGAAGAGGTCTTGACAGCCTGGCCCGCCTTGTTCTGCAGCCCCCGCTCGACTTGGGTTGGCTCCATGCATCCCAAGCAAAGCCCCCAAGCTGAGTCCGCCGCGCCACGGCGATTGCACCTTGGCTATCGTGACGTGACCTCACCTGCCACTTGAGGTTGTGCATGTTGTCAATGTAGTTCTTGACCTGGTCGTGTAGCCGGTCCTTGCGCGGAATGCTGAACCCCAGGATGTACTTGATCTGCAGCGGATTCCAAAGCGGGGGAGGTAGGGAGCCGAAGGCTTGAGAAGGCGTACACTTCAGATGCAACATGAAGCACATATCTAAGCATTCACCATGTGCGCATGAATGTCTGTAAACCCTTGACGACTACAACACGTGTGCGGTGTAACAGTGTTGCCCACATCCGGTTTGGGTTCACCGACGCACCTGTGACAGGCCGATGGTGATGGCGGCTCCTGATGTGAAGCCCCCAATAACCTGCGTGGTACCGTACATGGTGGTAATGCTTTGGAAGAGGAAAGTGGTCATGGTCATCCCGCGGCACGGAGAAAATTTCTATACGGTACCTAGTCCAGCCCCAATCACCCAGCCCCGCTCACCGAATGGCTGAGGAAGTTGGTCACGAAGCCGAGACGGAAGACGCCGACGGAGGTGTACAGCACAGCGACGAGCAGCGACAACTGGATGGCCAGGTGGTTGTACCGCTCCTGGATGGGCTCCTGCAGCGGGTTGAGTGAGCAGTTGACCGTTACAGTGGCTCCCAAGGGTCAAGTCAGAGGGGCAGGATCCAGGACGAAGTAATCCGAGTTGCTTTAAAGCCAACGCCGCAAAGCGTGTGCCGACGAGGGAGGTGGCGGCGAACTGATGCTACTAATGGGCCCTTTCACAGCACGTCCCCAGGTCCACAGGACCAAAGACCATAAAGTGGGAAGAGCGCTGGGCGCCAGGCCACCATGCCCTTCAACACGCACCCAGTAAACCTTCCGGTCCTTCACTCACATCAGCGCACGCGCGTCTCCCTTCCCGACATCCCTCCATGCAAGCCCAGAACCAGCATGACCCATGAGCGCACCTGAGCCGCCGTCAGCACGTTGGGATTGCTGATGGTGTCAGCCCCCTCCACCAGGTCCTTCAGGCTGCTCCCAATCAGCAGCGACGTAACCGCCACCGGCCCAACCGCCAACTGTCGCGAGCTGCCAACCAACGCGTACGCCAGCACCGGCAGGAAAGCGCCGTACAGGCCGATCACCGAGGGCAATCCCGCGAGGTTGGCGTACGACATACCTATAAAAGCAATGCGCGGGAGCTTTAACGGCGGCTCCGATGGCGGGAGTACAGCCCTACACAGCTAGCCATGCTAACCAGCCCAAGGGGGTAATAGCTCAGGCCCAGTCCTTACTCCTATGACCCAGAACCCCTATCCAGCTGTAAGCCTCCTTTTAACGCCTCATTCCCCAGCTAGGGCTCCTAAGCTAGACAGGAATATCAAAACCCACAACGACCCTACTTTGCGGCACCACCATGAAGCCCACTGAGATGCCCGCCACGAAATCCGCCTGCAAGGGGGGAGCGGGTACGCATGAGGCAACGGAAAAATCGTGTGGCAGGCTCCTGAGAGCGGATTGCCAATGTGTGTGCTGAGCCTCCCCAGCCGGCTAGGCGCGCCCATGAACGACCCATATCCCATATTGCACAGGCCTTGATACCTAGGTACCGCCCGTCCACACGTGCAGCGTAGGGAGCCAGTGACATTATGTGTGCCGCCACACCCTCCCGGTGGGATTGCTGAAAGGGATGTCCGAATGCCTTGTACCCAACGCATTGCGGCTTACCCATAAATATTCTTTAATCTTATACGTGCGTAGCCAGCGCACGCAAGGCAAGAACAACGCTAACCAGTCCAGCCACGTGTACGTCTCCACCTTCAGCTTGTAGCTGCAAGTGAGGAGGGGTATGCTCATTGCTTCATCGCCATAACATGTGTATCCACATGTAACTTGTAAGTAGTTATTAAGCAACAAAAACAGTCGCCCGCTAGATACCTTGACTTGGAGCGCTCCCACATCCGGGTTATCGTCCCCTGCATGCTGCCTTGGTCCCTTTCCTCCTGCCAAGGAAATTCCAACCCTGCGCCGCCTGTTGAAGCAGCATTCTCCATACGCACAGTGACGCGACCTTCATCGACTGGAGCAGAGCTGCTAAGCTCCATTCCAACTGTCCCTGTGGCTTCGTGAAGAAGAGAAGAAGTTTGCGGCGGATCTCCGGGTGGTTGTTGCGAGCTACCACTGCTTTGGTTCCGCCGCATTACTGTAATAGCGGTCGTATTACTTCTTTGGTAGCAGCACAACAGCTTCGCGTATAAGGGCTGGTCCTATGGTGGTCCTATCCTATTGTGCAAGTCAGATAATTAAGCAAATTACCTGGAATATCCGGGTAAGACTGCTAGACTCTCTGACAGGCGTGCTGACCAACGTACGGAAACATCGGCCGGCAACGGCAAGCGTTTACGGAACGCGCGGTGTGCTCAGTTTGTTAATCCTTAGTCATCGTCGTGAAGGGCGTCCACACCCTGGGCGAGGCCATCAGGCCGGGGCTATGACTACTCGGCTTCGGAGCTGGCCGGGCTGAAAGCATCGTCGCTCCGAGGTTTCCGGTTTGATGCGACCTGTATGCCTCTGTTCAGCACTTGTAACAAGAATTCCTTTACAGGTGCGCAAACGTCATTCTTAAGAGTCAGTCAATGCACTCATCGACGGCTCGCAACGACAAAGATCCTCGCCTGTCTTGCAAGCCTGTCCCGGTAGTCAACGAAACTATGACTGATTCTTTGGGGGGAACCCATATGGAAAGGCGTCATTAAGGTGACACGAACCCTGTGACCGCCCCTTTCCCTCCGTGGGAAAAGCAAATGCCTCTTGGGTCAGGCATCCTGGTATCACCCCCAACATTTGCACTCTGGCACCAGATTGCAGCAGTGGAAGCTTAATGGCAAGAACCGCAGTCGAAGTTACCGGTATACGGTTATATACGAGGCCAATGATTGCGCTCTCTCTTCTAGGTAGGAGTAGCTAATGTTCGCCAGGTGTTCATCAGCCACACGCCATGCGCACATACCTCTCCATGCAAGTCTTGGGAGGAGGTTTGATAGTGACTGGGTGCATATGTCAGGGTACTGAACAGGTGCAGCATATACCGTGAGAACACGGCAGGTAACGGCATGCCCCGCATCGGCTTGAAGTTGTACGGCGGCTTTGAGCTAGCTGCAAGTCAGGTGTGATTGGAGGTGATGGGCTCATCCAAGGCATGCCGAGTAGGCGCAGTAAGGACTCTTCCAGCAACCCGTTCGGACAAGCCTTGGTTGAGCTGTGCCGTGAAGCTGAGCTGCTTATTATGAATGGTCGTGTGCCCGGTGATATGGAGGGTGAGTTCACGTTCTATCACGCCCACGGCCTGGCCTGTAGTATGATTGACCTCTTTATCTGCTCGCCTGCTTTGGTTTCGCGGGCATCGCAACTGCAAGTGCTGGGCATTCCCATTGCTACGGAGGGGCCCAAAGTGGGATCGAGGCTCAGCGATCACTGCCCGGTGACACTCACTCTGGACGTCGGATTAGGAGGAACGCGTAGGGGTGGTATCAGGGATTCCTCTCGCATGGGGAAGCGTGAGTGGGAGCGGTTCACGCGCCTGTTTGAGGTAGAGGATGCTGCTGTCGTACAGAAGATCGACGAGGCTGTCAACCAACTGGGGCATGGTCTCAACAGCACGGAGGTTGTTACTGTGGTCTGTCGGGCTCTTAAGAAGGCTATTGACGCCGCGTTTCGCCTGGATAGGAGGCAGGGGGCCAGTTCTAGTGCAGGCAGGACGGACAAGGATGCGCCTTGGTGGACACCTGAGTGTGCGGAGGCCCGGGAGGCTATGTTTGCTCAAAAGGCGCTCATGCGTGCTAACGGTCTGCTGGGGGATCAGGATGCCAAAGCTGAGTTCAGTCGGTTGCGCACGAAGTATCAACGTCTTCGCAGAGAGGCTAAGGACAAGTTCCGGGTCATGCATTTTGAAGGAGTTATCGAAGAATGTCGGGGGGATCCACGGGCGCTTTGGGGTCGGCTGAATAGTAGGCTTAGTCAGGGGTGCCCTATCACGGATGTCAATAGTTGGGGAGCCTATTTCAACGCGCTGTTTAATGGGGAAGTCAATGCGTTTAACGAAGTTTCCGCGGACACCATCCTTAGTACCATCAACGGTGTGCCACATGGGAGGGGGAGAGGATGGGCCAGGGCGACAGGCGATCGGGTAGCACGAGTCACTGCTGCTGCCGCACTTAACGTTCCGTTTACTTTGGCTGAAGTCATCGCTGCGCTGAAGTCCCTGCGTAATAACAAGTCTGGTGGTTTAGGCAGAGTGCCGGCTGAATGTTTCAAGTGTGCGACGAGAGAGGTTGAGGGTAGGAGGATGTACGTTTTAGCTCCTTACCTGCTCAAGCTACTAGAGCATATCCGCAGCACGGGGGATTACCCTGAGCAGTTTGAGATCTCTGCGCTTACGCCCATTCACAAGAAAGGCGATGTGATGGAGAAGGGTAACTATAGGGGATTAGCAGTGGGTGGTGTTTTGTCTAAGCTGTATGCGTTTATGTTGGAGCATAGGCTGTCTCGTTGGGGCGAGCTGGTGGGAGCTAGGTCGCCGTATCAGGGAGGTTTCCGACGCAAGCGGGGTACCTGCCACAATCTGTTTCTGTTACGTCACCTGACGGACAAACATAAGGGGGGGCGAGACGCAGTTGACCCCCTGTTCGTTTGTCAGATTGACTTTGAGAAAGCGTTTGACAAGGTGCCACGTGATCTTTTGTGGTTAAGGTTGGAGGAACGGGGTGTACATGGCGCTATGTTGGAGGCTCTCAAGACTTGTTACAACAAGGTCATGATGCGTGTCAGGGTAGACGGAGTGACGGGGGATCCTTTTGAATCTTCGCAGGGAGTCAAGCAAGGTTGCCCTCTCAGCCCTACGCTTTACGGGATTTTTGGCGAGGGGTTTGCTGACTATGTTGACGCTAAGGATAAGTGGCTCCCTGATGCTATGCGCGCCAAGCAGCAGACTCCTCATGCGGATGGCCGGCGTATCCCGTTGGAACTGTATGCCGACGACCTCAGCCTTTTCGCTACGACGCACAGACGGCTGATTGTGCTGCTCGCTGATTTGAGAGAGTGGTGTGAGGCCTTTGGGATGCGGGTGAATGTTCGTAAATGTGAATTGATGGTTTTCCACCCTCGTGCCAATATCCGTGAGGCTTTTGCTTCCCTTTGCCCCGTGGTGTGGACTTCTATTGAGGGAAATGCGCGAGTACCTATGGTTATTCCCTGGGTACAACGAGCCCGTTACCTTGGTTTGCACTTTGGTCCTGGCACACCTTTTGTTTCCTGCACAGAGGAACTGTTGACCTCTGGCCGACGTGCTATGTTTTCTCTTCAGCGTAAATTAAAACGCCTAGGTCTCTTGGTCCCTGCTGTTGCAGTTAAGTGCTTCGACGTGCAAGTCCGCTCCATCTTGTCGTACGGTGTCCAGGTGTGGGGGCCTGATGTGGTGCTGAAGTTAATGACGGACTGCGAGAATGCCGCGAGGTACTTTGACAGATCCTTGCGGGACCCAATGGTGCAGTTACAAAGGGGATTTCTTCGGGAGATTGCGGGTGTTAAAGTCTCGCCGGATAAGTTGCTGTTTAAGGAGTTTAACCAGCGCCCCCTGCATGTCTTTTGGTTGGAACTGTTTCTGAGGTTTTGGAATGACCTGGTCAAGCAGAAGGACACGGTCTACCACCAGGCGTTGCGAGGTGAAATTCGTTCGGCCCTCAGTACTGAGCATTATGATGGCTGGGGTTCTAAGGTGTTGAAGATTCTGAAAATGTTAGGGACGGATTTGACGGCCTTGGGGGGTGAGTTGGACTTGAATGCGCGTGTGGAACGTATTGCTGGCACGGAGCTAAATGTGTCTACTCTCACTAAAAAGTTTGCTGATAGAATGGATGCGGATTGGGAGGATAGGAGTTTGGAAGATGACCCGCGGCTTTTCAACCCAGTAGACCCCGTACCTGGGGTTGGAGTTAAGATGTGCAGGTACAAAAATTGGATGGGTGACCCGGTTGACAGGGGGTACATTACTCAGCGGCAGCATGTGAACCTGATGCGTTTTCGGCTGTGTGTGTGGGGCATTGAAGCCAATCGCCCTAGGGGTAGGCAACGAGTAGCGCGTGTCTGTCCTATGTGTGCCGTGCAGGGGTCGCCGGGGAGAGTGGAAGATGAGAAGCACATCCTCATTGAATGTCCCGCTTACGATGATTTGCGTGACAAGATATGGGAAAGTGGTGTCTCACGGGATGCTGATATGATTGCTGTCATGGGCATGGAGAATCAGGCATTGCTTGCTAGTGTAATCACTAGCATGCGAAGTCGCAGGATTGCGCAGACAGGGTTTATCATATGATTAGCGTTCTGTTTGTTGTCTCTTTTGTTTGCTTTTTCTTCATTTGGTTGTTTTCGCGTTTTGTGCTCGCGATCCATGAGCCTTCTGGCTCGGACGGATCTTACGAGCTCGGTACGAAGCTTGTAACACATACATACATACATACATACATACATACATACAGGTGTGCCGTGTGTAAACTAGATAGCACTTCCTTTATTGCACGACTTTCAGGGTGAATAGGTAAACACATGATAATCGCCAATTGTTGGTAGCGACATGGCCCCTAAAAAGAAGAAAACAGGAAGGAAAAGGCAGGCATATCCACCGTCGACGTTTGAGTATAAGCCACCTAGCATTTACGAGCTAGGAGTTAAACCGTATTTATTCGTGAAGTGCAAGTAGGTTTGACGAAGGCTCCAATGCCAACATGCTACCGTATGTGCAGGGCACATTGGAATTAACCTTTGAGCTTTGTTTCAGGATATGCTGCACAGCTTTGCCTCATTTGAACTTCGACTGGCCGGCAGTCCCGACGGAGCTCACCGTAGGAGCCATTAAAGAAGCAATTAAGAAACGCCACGGCGGAGGCCTTCCCCAGCTCACCCTCTACAAGGACGTGGTGAGGATATAATGGCGTCTTGCCGCGGCCTACGAGCAGTAGGCGAAACTCACCCGTGTGCGCATGTCATCCCTTCTGTCCGCCGGTATATGGACGCGAATATCTCCTACACAGGTGAACCCGGAACACTCCCTGGCTGAAGTTGCGGATGACACCATGCTCAAGGATCTGGGCATCCACGGCGTTTACGTGGGTGGGTTACACGCTCCTGATGAACACCACCGTTCATGGCCAAAGCAAGTTGCTATCTTTCCTTTCGCCTTAAGAACCTACCCGTCCTTGCGCCATGCCATGACTACCACCTTGTTCACACTGCCCAGGCAACAACCGCGAGGCTGCGCTGCCGCTTGTCACCTTCTTCTACGACTTCACTGCAGTGTGCTTCGATGACGCCGTCGCTGCTGTGGAGCCGGACGCCATCCAGTCCAAACACGACATATCGCTGAAGCTCTACCGCAAACTCACTGCGCCGCAACTCCAAAAGGCGCTGCCAAATCCTGCAGCGCCCGCTGCCGGCTCCACAGCTGTTGAGGCTGGGGCAGTTGTAGGTGGGATGGGTGGGTTCGGGGGGGCTGGCGTGCGGACGGCTGGTAAGTTTGCGTGAAGGGGCCCAATTGGCGAGATCTCAGCATGGCACCAGACGCGCGGGGAGTGGTTTGCTGGCAGAGGATTTGTGCGCTGTCTTGTAACACCAGCGGTAGCATGGTCTTGAGCTTTGTTTCGGACGTGGGATGTTGGGCGCCTCACGTCCAACCAGCTCGCTAAACTTTAGCACAAGGAATGGGGGCTTCATTGTGACGCGCGCGTTTTCATCTTATGGGCTGTTGGGAAGCGTGCGTTATCTGGGCGGCAGGGCCGTGGTGCAGCGCGCTGCGCTCGGCTGTGTCGTCTTGGCATTGCATCATTCATTACATCTGGAAAGGAATAAGAGTTAACAGTGGATGGGTGGGTGGATGGTATATCCTGGGGTTTGGCATGAGTACTGTCAGCCAATTAGGTTACTGTGCGCTTGCAGTGAATGCAATCTTGAAGACTATCTTACTCTGTATTATGCATTGCAACGTCAATGCTTTTCTGTAGAATACTTCTTGACTTGGAACTACGAATGCATTCATTTTCATGACCCTAATGTTCAATGTCCCTTGGGGACGCTGGAATCAGGGGTTTGGATGTCTGTTTATGCCTATCGTGCTTACTTTTCCGGGGCACTTTGCCTCTCTTAAGACGTTGAAAGGAAGAAGTGATACCAGCAGTCCCGGTGGGGCTGCAAAGGTCCCCGGGTGGAAGGTGGAAGGGCAGGCATACCGGTATGCATGCTGTTCATGGGGGCGCATGGCTGTTGTTGGTGCTCAAGGGTATTCGCTGGTGAGAGCGCTGTGCGTAGTATGAGACACAGGCAGCCGCGTGCATGGCTACGGCCACTGAGCCGTGCATCATTGGAATTGCACAAGCGCTTTGGAGTCGCTTTGAGTTGTGCCGCAAGCGGGAGGAGGTTAGCTGCTCGCCAGGGCTGAGCTGCCTTAGGCTTGGATATCGGCATGTGTTTAGAGTGCACAGGAAGGTGTAGGTCCTTACAGACTCGCCGCCTTGGTGTATTAATTGTGAGCATGGCGATGATGGTGTAATGGGCGCGCAACTTGAAGCTATTCACTTTGTGCAATTGTCCACAATTTCATGCGAATGGCGAGCAGTTTACGTGCATAGTGTGATGTTCAGATGCGTGTTGGCGCAAGTTGGTCAGGGAAGACCCATGGGTCAGGCCGGTTTCCCGGCGGTTACTGCCGGGGCCGCGTGCCGTGTCACCAACTTGAACTTGGTCGCGCGGTCTCTGTCCTCGGGCGCATACATTGGGATCTGATACACTGTTACCTGTACTGAACGGAATGGAGAAGTCATATTGACTTCTGGCCTGCTGGCCATGAGACTCTTCTGTGCGTCAACATGTCATTTAGCTTACTGGAAGGATAGGCCGCCCCAGAGGTGTTACAAGACTCACAACTACCGGCGGGACTTTCTCCCACCCTCAGCTGTCTTTTCAGTCATAAAGAAAATGCACAGAAAGCTCACGGGATAACACCCGACACCAATGCTACGGCAACATTGGGGCAACAGTAACAATTATTCGTCCAGCCATCGCGCATGGATCAACAACTGCACGCCAATACACCCACAGTTATACGATATGTCGGCGGCGCTAGTCCCAGTGTTCATAGAAGCGGAGCCATAGCTAAGTACGATAGCCGATGTGTCTTAAAGGTTGCGCGCAACAAAATATGACCACTGTTGCCTTTTTAGGCATCTGTTGCCTTTAGTTACAGATGCCTAATGCTTATACGGAATATGGGGCCGCACCCCCGGCTAAGTATCCCTAGAGAATCACATGGGCCTCAGGAGCCACACATCGATTGCCATTCAAAGTACGATACAACTTCACACGTCCACCTCTCCTTGTGTTCCTCTTTCACTTCTAGTACGAGCTAACACCGCTTTGTGACTACTGGCACGCCATTCACGAGACATAATGCGAGAAACGAGTACGAGACTAAGCTACTGAAATTACGTGCGGACTGCGAAGCGAGGGTCGGTGCGGAGCTTTCCGTTACCCTGCAACCAGCGTATCGCAGCGGACTGCAAACATGGCTCCGCTGTCGCACTGGGAGGTGGAGACCTGTATGCGGGGCCGCGGAAGGATGTAGTTTACTGCTACTACTGCACAGAATGGGTACGGTACTATTCACCACTACGGTACTCGTCGTCCACCCTCCCATGGCTGCCATGCAGTTGACGCCCTTGCATCTATGCCCCTGTGGGTGAAGCCCTTTCCTCCAATTGAAGTACGGGCCCCCAGCCATGCATGGCAGCAGGGATCATGGCATGCTCGACCTCCTACCTGCACATCCAGCTCCTGCACCCTCAGCGCGTTGTCCAAATCCCCGCCCACAACAGTCGCCCAAGTGCCGTACTGAGCGGGGTTGAAAGCGCCCTCTTCCGTGACGGTACCTGGGGCCATGGCAAGGTGGCAGGCAGCCGCAGGCAGCGCACAGGAAACTCGGCGAAAAGGAAACGGGACACGGCATTGGGAACTTTCAAAGGCTTTCCATGCCGAAGCAGCTACCATGCGCTTGCATGACTGATTCTTAGCAAGCGGATACAGGATATATATATGCCGGCCTGCTAGCGCTGATCTCGCCTCATGTGGACAACACCACAGGACACTGAGGAGGGGGCTCATCTGGCGCACCTTGGGGAATGGTGAAAGGCGACTCGGCGAGGGTTGCGTGCACCAGCCAGTACACCCGGGTGTTGTCGTCCGGCCAGTTGGCCACCTGAGCGCATGCCGGCGACAGCCTCATAGACAGCGAATCAAGGTAGCCAAAACGTCACATTATCAATAGGTGGCATTTCGCCCTTAGTGAAGGAATGCTCGGTTCCATTCTCCTCGTAATCCCAAAGTAGTAAAAGAACACCGGCGGTAGCGGAACAACGGCCCTAACACTGCGCTGCCGTACACACTGTGCCTTGCCCCCTTCGACCCTACAAGCACAGGCGGACCCACCTGGTTGCACACCAGCTTGCCAAAGCTGTAGCCGGAGAGCTGGTCCCCCAATGCGCACAGCGGCGCCCACACCAGGGCACTGCTGTTGTCGGGAGCAGCCACCTGCAGGGGGCGGAGCAGGGGATGTACAAGGGGACGCCAAAGGGAGCATGTAACACGTTAGCCAGAGTCAAGGGCGCCTAGTATACCGGTAGCAGCTAAAGACACAGCTGGCCAGGCAAGATGGGAGGCAGCTAGCACATGCAGCGCAAGACTCCGGCTGTGGCTCTGCATGCGCTCGCCGCCCTGCTGCTGCACTGCTACTGCTGCTACACGTGCTCCTGCGCACTGCAGGTGCTTCCGCTACCGCTCTCTCCTCTCTCCGGCGCTACAGCCGAGGTGTTCACCCACCTGCACCTCCACGCGGCCGAAGAAGGCACAGAGGGGGTCCTCGGGCGAGGAGCACAGGTTGGGCTCCACTCGGGAGTCGGTGTTGGCGCCACCCACCAGCCGGATGGAGTCGGACTTGGGTGGAGGGGCTGCGCGGCCGAGAAAGGAGCGGAGAGGGAAAGGTAGAGGGAAAAAAGGAATTCGACCGATGTGGTAATGGAAAGGTAGGAGAGGGGAGCAAGCGCTGGAAAGGAATGACGGGCACGCAGACAGCAAAGTGTGTGGAAGGGTTTCAGCAGGCACTGGCGGCTGCGAGGCCTGATGAGGTGATGGCAAGGGCAGGCGTGTGGATACGCATGGGAACGTGCTTACCGGGAGGAGGGGTGGGAGGCACCGGCGGCGGCGGTGGCGCTGGCGGCAAGAGGGAGTCTATGGGGCGGCGGCAGCAGCGGGCCCGAGATCAGGGAGGGAGCGGACCGTGTCAGCAGACCATGTCAGAAACCAAGGGGAAGACCGACAAATAGGAAAGAAGGAACGGCATCACAGGGGATCGCAGCCAACGCACCCACACCGACACGCTCGCACGATAACCGCCCCCGCCCGCGTCCATTCCACCTCCGTCTCCATGCACCCACTACCCCCATGCATGCATGCATGCCTACTTCCCGCCCCTCCCCGCGCCTCCACACCCCCTGCCAGCAGCGCTCACTTGAGCACTCCACGCCCGCCATCGGCCCAGGGTAGCCGCAGTCCCCCAGCCTGAAGCTGCAGCTGTACGGAGACTTGGCGGGTGTATTGACCGAGCCCCGCAGCGGGGCCAACAGCGCCCGCCCGCCTCGCACCCGACTGCTGCTGCTGCCCTGGTCTAGGTCTAGCGCAGCAGCTGCTGACATGCCGGCAGCCTCCTCGTTGTCGGCGGCATGGCTGCTGGCTAGGCGACGGTGGCTGCCCTTCTTGGAGCAATACATGTAGCCAAGCGGAGCGTCCCTGGGTGTGGAGAAGGGGGACGCGGAGAGAGACATGCAGTGGTGGGGCAGGCGTTACCCTGGATGCGCGAACGGTGTTGCTAACTTCGCGACGGTGTGACTGGCACGGCTGGCCGGCTGGACGGCGTGGCTGGATGCGCTACAAGTGGAGGGGACAAGGCCCTGGACACCCGGTAAAGGCACATGGGATTGTACGAAATTGTTGAAACGGACACAATGCACAACACTTCGGTGTCAACAGAGGCGGCGTCCCATGCGCACCCCGAGCACATCAGGCTCCGTAACACATCAGGTCCATCCGCTGCCAGGACTCACATTCGGGTGGCGTTGGGGTCCGCCTCCCGGTAGTTCACGTCGGGGCTGTAGTACCGCCTGCCGTACTTGTAACCCAGCATCTCACACGCGATCTGCGCAGCGGTGGGAGCGAGCAGGGAGGGCAGCCCGAGATCTGCTAACCAGCAGGAAACCAGGAGGCCATGCCAGCGACGCAATGCCATACTACCGCAGTCAGAAGCTGACGCATGACCCGCCAGAGCACCGGCCCACAGGAATCAGCATGCCGGCGCGGACGGATATGCGTTAAACCGCGCTAGGATGCATTTCTCGCATCACTAGCGCACCCCGCAACGTGCAAGAGGGCCGTACTATAGCGTTCAGTTCATCAGTATGCCCGATTGCCCGAATGCCGTACCTGTGGCAGGCTATCACCCAGGGAATCATCATCGCACAGAGGCCGCCAGGTGACTGCGCCAGGAGTGCCGTCCGTCAGCCAGGAAGCCGTGGAGGACACCTCCAAGCGGCCCTTGGAGCCGGAGCCACCCGTCAGCCTGACGCCGTTGCGCTCGCCTGGGCGCGACACATTACGAGGATACATCCGGGAGGTGTGTGAGAGTATACATCTTAAGAGCAAAGGTTGGCGAGTTACAGGTGTAGGGATGTCGGACTTACGGATGGGAGCTGGCGGGGGCTTGGGGAGCTTCTTGGCAGCATCTGGGGAAGGGAGCGAGGCATTGCAGCAGCGAGGGCCGGCAGCAGTTGGTGACATTGCTGAAAATGTGAGAGGAACTTTACTGCGATTATGGACATGTTTGTAATATTTGCTAGCGTAATAATGCATCAGTCTTATGTGCAGTCAGCTCAGACGCCGTGCCGGGCGTTCCATGGCGAACCTGACGGTAGTAGGCCCCTAGACTATCACCAAAAAGAATGCATTCGGCGGATTCGTGATACGAGCTAACAATAGTCCGCAGAAGGCCGGGTAAGGTATCGAAGCGCGGCTGGCCGTAGAAGGCCGACATGGGCCAACGAGAATGTACCGCGTCACCACCGGGCTCTCTGGCAGCAGCAGCCTGTGACCCTTGTTGCCATTTCCGTACTTACGAGATACAGGTAAAATGAAGAGCAATAAGACTGCCGTGCCGAGACACAGGAGCCTCATTGCGCTAGGCCACGCAGCAGAGGCGACCCTGACCGGGCTGTAGTAGCTGTTATGTTGTGGCGAACCACAGTCTTTATGAAGCAGGAATATATTACTACGAAGAGTGGAATGGAGGGGTTTAGGAAGTACCTGAAACGTACATTATCGCTTGCTGTACGGACAACCTACAATTACGCAACATTGCCGTTCAGGAAAGAGTTGCGCATTCCTTGTATCTACATGTGCAGCATGCGCGTCGAGCGTAACATGTCAAAGATGTTGACTGTGTGCCAGTCCCAATACGGCAGCAGTGCTGGCCTAAGTGATCGCTACAGCCCGTTCCTACCCACGTTTCTGCAAGCAAAGCCGTTGAAGGGTCAATGTATAATGTTTCCAACAACAGTGTGCCCTTTCGAACACACCCATCACTTAGATATCGTAAGCGCCCAGCAATGACCTGCCCTTGCTTGCGGCATGCCAAAAAATGTTGCTTGGTATCCTGTAGCCCGTCCGCACTGGTTCCCATTTCCAACTCATGCACACGCGCCTTCCACGCGACCTGGCACCAGGCACAATTGAAGGGAAATAACCGACGCAATGAAAACCTCTTTTACTTTAAATTCAACGAAATTCCAGGTAAACGTGTCATACCCTCTTATACACGCTCCTGCAAACCTTCAGATGCGACTGGCCGTCTGGCTTCCGTTCCTGTGAGCAGCCAGACACACGTGCACCTAAAACACCCAGCCACGCACGCACTCGCAAGTCCTCTTGCCCTCAGTTACTGGTATGTTATGTCGGTGCCCCCCGCACCCTAACAATGTACCGGTATGTACATCAAAACACACAACCACGGCATTCAGTCGGGTCACAGCGGCAACCATCATGGCAACCACAGAGGCAAGCTCACTACCGTAAACTGCGCGGTGAACTCCGGCGTCAACCCACCGTCAAGGCTGCATGTACCCGTTGCCACGTACCCGCTGCCACGTACCCGCTGCCACGTACCCGCTGCCACGCCAGTCCCACTCAACAGTGCAGCCTCGCAAGGCATCAGTCTTGATCCCATCTCTAACGCAGCTGTTAAGAGGGTGTCAAGCTGGCCAGCTAACTCAGCTACCATTATGCGTCGAAAAGTCACCGTTTCAAGAAATGCCGTCGCTGTGCGATGGAAGCCTGTTAGCTACATGCCAGGAGACCCATGGGTCGGGGCGTGCACTTCTTGCTGGTGCGGGGCAGCAGGCGGCAGTGCAGCCTGGCCCGCCTTGGCCTGCCCATTTACCAGCGGCAGCGGCAGCCGCCGACGTTTCATCGGCTCCTCCTCCTGCTGCTGCTGCTTCTCTTCCTGCTCAAGATGATGATACTGATGATTGCGATAATGATTGTGATGATGCCGTTGCTGTTGACTGGGCTGGGCGCGGAAGGCCAGGCTGCGGGCGATGAGCCCACCTGCCGGCCTGGGAAGAGGTGGTGCGGGTGCTGGTGTCCTAATTAGGCAAGGGCGTGCAGCAGCAGGGGAGTCCTGCAAGCGCTGCGGTAGCAGTGGAGTATGCGGCTGGCAAGGCGGCTGCAGGGGATGTGGTTGCTGGTGTGCAGCTTCTGGTTGCGGGGAAGCAACCGGTACCGCTGCTGGCGGTGGTGGAGGCGGTGGCATGGGCGCCAAGTAAGGCCCCACAAGCAAGGCTGCTGCGGCGCCCGCGGCTGCTAGGGGCATGCTGCTGGGAGCCTCGGAAGGCGCCGACGGCGCAGCTACTGGGGATCCTGTGACTCCCGACATGATCGTACCTGCCTCCCGGCTAGCCGAGGTGTTGACACACGGTCGGGTGCAGCCAGCAGGCGCTAAGCTGGGTGCGACACCCGCCCCGGCACCAGCGCTGCCGGTGTGAGGTCGTGCCCCAGCTACTTCTCCAGCTGCATCAGTGGAAGCTGCCGTACCACTACCGCTACCACTACCACTACCGCCGCCGCCCGGCTGAGCACTGGGGCAGCCCGCTGCCTGGTTCCTGGCGACACCTGGGTCAGAGAGCAGTGGCCGCGGAATTGGCTCTACATCCGTTGCGCGCCCATGGTGGGCGCCTTGTGTGTTTTCTACCTTCGCAGGTGTCGGATGGCCGTTCTCCGATCCCTGGGGCTCCGGCACAGGACGGGCTGGCTCCGCTGACCGGTAGCGTTTCACCGGCTGAAGGTCCGGAGGGCACTGTCTCTTGCAGCGCATGCTTTGAGGTTCGGACTTCAGCGGCTGCGTCACAGGCTTCAGAGTTGCAACCAGGTGTCGTTTTAAGTGTGCAACGCAGTCGGCTAGTAGGTGGGATCGCCGACGCTGCAGCTCTGCCCCGCATTTGGGACATGACTTAAGATGTCGACCATGGCCTCCCCAGCCGCTGGCATACTTGGCGCTAGATGCAGACACCGGGCGAGAGCTGTAGTGGAGCTTAAGCAGAGACAAGGTTGTGAAGTCCTGATAGCACCCCGGAAATGGGCACCGAAAGGGTGCGCTGACGAGGGCATGAAACGTAGCGGCATCCCGATAGGCCTCCATGAACACTCTAACGGCATACGTGAGCGTAGATATTGATCAACGACTCCTCAACGCAGCAGCATGTTTCTTACGGCGTCTTCTATTAATTTCAGGGTTTCTGCCAACTCCAATTCAACCCACAACTGTTAAACACGTGCCCATATGACTTGTAAAACTAGATTAAGAATATGCTCCACGGAGGCCTTCTCTCGGCCATAGTTGGCCAACTAGGGCATTGCAGGGCTCTGTTCACCTTTGCAACAACGATCAGCGGCAACGCGTGCTTTCACGTATCTGCTTAATATTTACCAACCAGACGTCTGCGTTGCAGCTTTGGAATTGCCTCTCCTTGTCACTGCTGTCGTACAATTCGTAATGGGCGCTGCGGGCCTCGCCTACATCGCGCGGGGACTGGCACAGACGAAAGTGTTGTTTAAAAGTCCTACAGCACTTCTTTGTAGTAAATCTATTAAATGGCATAAACGGTAAAGTGTAGAAGCCAGCCTTTGATAAGATTCTGTGGAGGGTGGAGGGGCCTTATGCCAGTCCCCGCGCGATGTAGGCGAGGCCGGCTGCGAGCCGGGGATCACAGCCAGGAAAGGGTATAGCAAACTGCTTCACACACCCCTTCTCTATATATGGCACGGCGTTCATGCCGTCGGGTTACCTGACCTCGCCGGCTTTGCACGCTTGACTTTTCAACATGTCGACCACCTGATCTTTACATCCAACGTTCTCCTGATCAAGTGCAGCCCGATCAACACGTCCCCATACCTCATTAATATAGTTGACGGCACCATCTCTGCTTACAAGCTACCTCTGTAAAGCCACACCCATGCCAAGAGACCCCCGTGTCAAGTGCCATGTTCCCATGTAGCCAGGACTTCGCAAGCCCCGTCCAGGGACGCCGCGCACTGACCCCTCGCCTCACGTATCGCCCCAAACCGCACCGCTTCCATTTCATAGTTGGCTGCCTAGGTACGGCAGTAGTCATCCGTGCTGGTGCATGACAGCTCACGTGGACTGTGTGCTTTTGTCGTTATCCCTCGAGTCCAAGTTGACACTGCAGAGCGCCACAAGGCGCAAGGAAGGAAAGGAGGGAGCTGGTTGAGCTGTCGATAGGGCAGCACTCCCGCCTTTGGAAGTACAGGTTCAAGGGAAGTGCGTGGACGGGACACGCTCCAGAGCGGAAAAGCGGGTCTACGCTGAACACGGGCTATAGATGATTGCGCGGGTGTTACAACGCTGGGTTTCGTACCTTGATCCGCCGTAAGCGATCCTCCACAACACCCAGCCGTCCTGACAGGTTTGCAAGCTTTTGCTGAATCCTTGCAATTACCGCTTGATACTCTTGATTCTGAGCCAGCGGCTTCGGATGCGCAAGGGCCTTCACGGCTGCAGGCAAAAGCAAAAAAGAATGCATCAGCGCCAGGTTAAGGCCGAGGTTGCGCGGTGTTATACAATATGGAAGAGGCCGTTTAAGGCCGATGGCTACTTACCTTCAACAAGGCGATTGATTTCATGACTAAGCTGCGCTTGGCTCGCAGCTAGTTGGTCATAAATTTCATCAGCGACCCCTCGATGGCGAGCTAGGATTGCACGACATTCTGCAGTTGTTGTCACATGGATGGATTACATCTGGAGCGGGTTCAATGGCTGGCGCCAAAGTTAGCGCCACAGCTATCCTAGGGTTGTGCTTACCACCAACAGCTGCTGCGACTTCGCTATTCGTGGCACATCCAGCAAACGACATAGTTATGGCATTGCGCAGTCAGCTATACGTTATGCGGCATGCTTTGCAATGCGACGGCCGGTGTCGTCGTGACTGTCGTGATATACGCAATGACGCATGAAGTCAACAAACCAAGGGTCCCCGACCAAGAGCACATTTTTCACTCACGGTTAAACCACGCCTACGTTCCACCCGAACATATGTACCAGTCACACGAAGCCGCAGTCGGCTGCCAGGCACGACACGCCTGGCGTTGCAGTCAGCCAGAGATTTGCAATCCCGCCTTCCAAAGCTCGGCGGTGCTCCTCTCCCCCTTTCACTCTCTGCCGCCACGCACCGACCTGCATGCACAACGCCACCATGTCACCTTGCTGGGAACCAACAACACGTCGGGAAGGAACCACGCATGCGGCCCCCAACCAACTGCGAATTTAGTCCTCCCTCTTCCTCCCCACCACGCCAGGTGCGCCTGCAAGGGCACTCCCTAGGTTCTCTCCACCCTAAACACCTTCTGGTTCGTCAATGCTTGATGCTTTGCCTCAGGCCCGCGGTACAAATGTGACCGTTATGTGCAGTGGTTTGTCGATCGCGTGTGCCGTACTTCCTCGCACTCATCCCCGCAGTACCCGTTGCATCTATCATGCGTATGACGGCATATGAACCTCGGATCCAAAACCTCTGGTCACATCTGACACACCTTAGAGCCGAAGCCTGCTGTACCGCATTATGCACACATGCTACTGCAGCTACCGTACATTCCCGCCGTCGTACAATGTCATGGTAAACGCAACAGCTGCACTGCCTCCCACGGGTCGCCCCACAGGCGCACGTGGCAAGCGAGTGCCCGCAATCCCTCATAATGTCACAACACCCCTCCTGTCTATCAGTTTGCTCGCTACTAACGCTCGCCAGATTCTGCACGCTCGCCCGCAATCCGCAGCCCCATGCCGCCAGCCGGCCAACACCGTCCCGTAGGGCACTACACCTCCCGCTCGTCCTCACCTCCTCCACTTGCCTCCTCCAGAGGGTCTCCACTGAAGTAAGTGCGCCGGGCCCACCCTGCCGCGACCCCTGCTTGCACCCTGCACCCCTTCCACCCTGCAGGCCACGTCAGATCTGCAAACATCCAGCTAACCCTCTGCTCCACCTCCCATACACCCCCACCCCAGTCACTGAGCTATGTTCCTAACCCACCAAACCCCCATCTGCTTCAGACGTTTCAGTACACCCTCCGCCCAGCACTGCCCCACATCAATGCCCGGCGGCAGCACCCGCGTCAGTCCCTCCTTTCGTGCCCGCTCCCCCTCCCGACGTCGTCGTTCCCGCCCCTGCCGCCTCCCCTGTCCCCGTGACCAGCGCCGAGTCGGTGCGGTTCTGTGAGACCAGCGCTATGGCGTCCCAGAAGCCCTGCCGCAGCGTCTTATCCGTGGGGTTCAGCTTGAGGCCTTGCTGGAAGGCGTGCGCCTGCGGCCGGGTGCAGCAGCCGGTTGGGGGGGGTGGCAGGTTGGGGAATAAGGCTCTGTTCATTGGTGCATTCCTAGGGTCAGGGGGCTTCGAGGGTACAGGAGGGGCTACATGGCGTTGCGGGTAGGACAGAGAGAGAGCGGAACGGTGTAGCGGAAAGGCTAAGCAGACGTACCCACGCCCCCACACGTTCCAAATGCAGAGGGCCAGGCCGAGCCCGGCCCTCCCTCCCTCCCAGCTGCAGCCGTACCGCTCCTGCGTAGTCTTTGAGGTGGAAGAGCGCGAAGCCCTTGTGGTAGTGGCCGTCCATGATGTGCGGCGCCAGCTCCACCACACGGTCCGCGTCCACAGCAGCGCGTTCATACTGCTGCAGGCAGGAGAGCGCGATGGAGCGCATGCGGTAGAGCTGCGCGGGGGGAGGTAAGGTGAGAGGAGGGAGAGAGGAGAGAAAGGGGTAGGGGTATGGGATTTGAGTTTGGGACGAGAGGGTGGCCGGGGAGGGATCACGTAAGTGAGAGGTGGGGCGGAACGGGTATGATGCGTGTTGAGCAGGCTGCACTGGAAAGGGTAGATGGCGGTGGGCATATGAGGGGTGCCATGCAACCCTCCTGTGAGCCCCCGGGGTATTCCTTGTCTGTAGCCTGTGGACAAACCCCTACCTTGTAGCTAGTTGAGTGCAGGTCAATGGCGATGTCTAAACAATGGAGGGCTTCATCGAATTGCTTCAATGATAGGTGCTCCTTGGCTTTGCGGCGGAGCTGCAAAGAGCAAAGGGCCGAGGCTTCAACCGCGATGCATCGCGAGCATTATTAATGCCCAAGCCGCACCTCGTTAATTTTGGCCTCTATGCGAGGGTCTATCTTTACTGGTTTATACTTCTTCTTTTCGCTATCAGTAGTAGCGGTGGTATTCGGCGCTGTCTTTGTTTTATCGGCCATGGCAAATCCTTGCTTCAACCACGAGTCTCGGCTTAATTAATAAGATAAATACTTCAAGTAGCTACCAAACGGAAGTATTGACCAAGTAACAGGATGGTGGGCAACCGATGTCCGTGCTGTACGCTCGCACGGCGCTGGGTCCCTGTTCTCTGTCCGGACCGCCGTACGGCTTGGCGCCAGGCAGGCCAACAGAGAACCGCTCAAAAGAGCTTTCTTTTAACCAAAGACCGATTCAGGGGGTCTATGCCAAGTATTGGGTGGCTGTTTCTCGATTTGTTTGTAAACTTTGCGCTCAATCTCTGATAACCACACCACCTAGCTGTATTGTAAAGCCCAAACCGGCGCAATATACCTCAAATCCTCCTTTGATTAATACTGGTCGAGTTGCTTGTTCGTAACAGCAAACAGCGATTAACATGGACACCCCGGACCGCCCGATGAAAGAGAACTGGGGTTCTACAACCATGTCAAGCCCATGTTCATAGGAAACGAGGTTTGAAATTTTGCAGACTTGCAAGGTTAAAGTTTGGTATTGGACCGGGGTAGTTTGCAAGCGCGGCATGTGCCATGCATGCGACAAAGGAATCGGGAAACACGATTTGAGTTATTGCAGTTCCTTGTTGTAGTCATTAAATGGAGTATGGGAGTGCTTTTTCCGTCGCGAAATTCGTTCTGGCTAGCGAGCAGCATGCAACCGTGTTTGCAGGGTATTAGTTGGAGGGGCCTTCAGGGCAGGGTATGTGGCTGGTCCGGGAGAGGGGTCCGGAAACACGATTGGAGTTGATTGCCATTCCTTGTTGTAGTCATTGAATGGAGTTTGAGAGTGCTTTTCCCGTTGCGAAATTCTCTCTTGCTAGTGAGCAGCATGCAACACCATGCCAGCACTGAGGACCCTTGCAGTTGAGCCTCACACCGCACCGGCACCGAGGTTCCTAGCATAACAGTCCAAATCAGGTAGATGCTGAACCATGTCTATGCACGCGCATGCATTCACGTACCATGCCAGCACCTTAGGCTTGTTGCCTTAATCGTATCCATTAACGACGCCAACCCTATGGCAGTAAGAACCCATGACGTGGACAGACTGATGCCGTGGTGATGCTGAGGGAGTGTCAACAATAAGCGCGCGGGGCTCACGGCCACGTAAGGGTCCCTTACAGGTTCCAACTTGTTTCACCTCCCGCCAGATGCTACCGGTACTGGATGCTTGATGGGATTGGAGGTCGTGGAAATCTTGCCGGAATACTTGCTATTGAGCCAGGCAATAGCCCCAATTTCCCCATCAAGCTTTGTAAGGAAACCAAGCTTATCAGGATGCCTGGTGGCCACGACAAGCTTCTGCTCACTGTACATTGGGCTGATAACGGTATATTGGGATGATAATACTCATGAAGGCGGGCTAGTGGCCAGGTGTAGCCGTGTTGCTGCCCCTAAGTGGTGTGGCAGGAAGGGCGTCAGCTAGGTCCTGAACGTCTCCATCATGTACAGTTTGGGAAGGCTGACGTCCATCCCCAACACCAGCCGGTGCTGCGCCACTCTGCATGCCAGCCGGAACTTGGCCAAGAGGTGCTTGTGAATGACGTTGCTGCCCCTGTGAGTCTAGTGAACTAGTGAATCCCAAACCCAACGTCACCCGTACAAGACAAGGAGAGGAGCTAATAAGACCTTGATATGCCGCCCGCACTTCCACATCTCTGGGATAACTGGCTTCGCCCTCAAAGCCGTCCGAGTCCCCCTCGTTTGCTGTCGCGTAGCCCCCACTATCGTCGCTACTAGTGTCGTCGCCATCGCCTTCATCGCTTCCAAAGGAACGCCAGCGATACAGCAACAATATAGTTACATATCCATCTCAGTCATAGTCCTCCTCGGAATCCTCATAAGGCAACTCTGATTCGTCGCTGGACATGACGCAACAGACTTATATTGAGGTAACCGTGACACTAAGCTGAGGGAGATATTACATCCTACAAACTTACCGGTATCTTTAGTTGCAATTAAATGCAAGTTTGGGCTTTACTGTGGCAACTAGCCAGTGCCGGTGTCAGAGAATGAGCTCAGAGTTTGCAGGCAAAATGATAAATAGCCACCCAATAATTTACCTAGACCCCCTGAGTCAATATAAAGGTAAAAGAGCCTTCGTTTGGCAGTTCTCTGTTGGCCTGTCCGTCCAGGGGGGGCCAACAGAGAACAGGGACCCAGCGCCGATCATGCGTGCTGTACCTATCGACAGCGTAGGAGAATCAGAGGTGCGATGTCAAAGGAGCTGCGATACGCATTGGCACGGTAATAACTGCAGTATTACGACTACATGAGCAGTTTAATGTCGAACCTTTCTGAGCTACACCCAGGATACGACTGTATATTTCATTCCCATCGCGTTTATCAGCTTGCCGTTTTCCACCGCATATAACTAAACTTGCTGAAAGTTACATGGCGTAGGATCCCGCCCTCCTGGTATACGAAGCCCTTAGCTTAAATATTCCCGTATGCTCCCGTCTGCAGTAGTCCACATCGCTACTTACCCTACCGCTTGCCCAATGTATTGAGCTCTAACTTGTTGCCTGACGGCGGAAGCTTCGACGGTTGAACATGGCTTCCGACTACTCACTTGAACTATGGGACGTGCGTGGTCTTCCGTCCAGCTACAACCGTTTAGTGTTGGAGGTGCGTCAGTTAGGTTTCGCTTTGTATGCACCAGCACTGTAACGCGCACGTCGGCTGCATCCGGCTTCCAGGTCATCGTGCGGACACCGCGGTTGCTGAGCACAGTGCGGCGCAAGCACTCCACCTCAGGCTTCCAAGCGGATGCGGCACGCGGCGTTACCATTAGTTGGTCTCAAGCGAAGGCCGCCAAGGTAGGCCATTGGCAAATGTCAGCGCGACATGGCAGAGCCAAAGGCGCCAAGGCGCGACGACGAGTCAGCCCCATTGCGACCCAAAGAGCGGACGTGTTGCAACTCATACCGTGCTCTTTAGCATAGAAACCTACATGCATTACCTCTACTTCCTTCCAGTCCAATCTCAATGGGGCTGCGAATCCATGCCGCCAAACCCTCGTTTCCACCGGGTTTTCGTGCTAGGATGCTGGCATGATAACGAAGCTTGACCCCGTTGAGCCTACTGGACCATGCATGCCGTCCACAGGCATCCTTTCGCCTAAGGGTTGTACCAGGCAACGCTGCGGCGGCGGCCGACTCAGTGACAACAGCAGCGGCGCCGTCCGCGGTTTCGGAGGGACTCCTGAAGGCGTGTAAGAGCCGCGAAGTGCCGCTGCTGCTCGGAGCGCAGGGGTTGCAAGCCGCGCAGCTACAGCTGCAGCTGCAAACAGACCCCGGAGGGTCGGGCGGAGCTGCTGCAGCGGCAGGTGGCGGAGGCGGTGGCGGCCGTGCCGACACTGGGTGCCTCGTAGCGGAGGTAAGGCTGATGGCCTCCAGGACCCCGCGGCTTGTTGTGAAATGTATTTACTGAACGTGGGACAAGCAGCTGTGTTGAGTCGGCCCTATTTGTGATACAACCCTTACATGGCCCTCTACCGTAGGTTGAGTTTGTGGTACGGAGCAAAGCTGACGGCGGCGATGGCAACCCCGCTGCTGCCGCCGCCGCCGCCCCGGCGTCAGCGGCCATGCCTGCGGCCGCGAACAACGCCGCCTCCAACCCTAACTCCACCAGCACCGGCGCCGGAGGCGACTCCGCTGCTGCAGGCGGCTCCCCGCTAGCCACACTGCGGTCGTCCTCCCTGCATGCATGGGGCGAGCAGGCCGCTGCCGCAGCACAGCCGGAGACCGCACCGTCAGCCGCCGGCACTGCCGCCGCCACGGCAGCTCCTACGGCACGCAAGCGGTCGTGGCTGCTGGCGCTCGGGCTGGTCCGCCATGCTGGCGGTGGCGGGGCCGGGTCAGCGGAGCATGCAACTGATGCCGGCGGCGGCAACTGCGCACTGGCGCGGTGTTCCTCGGAGCGCACTCTCCGAGGTGACGGCAGCGGCATGGTGGTTGCGCCCCGAGCGCGGAGCCGAACCGTTGGAGGTGCGTTGTTTCCCCTGGCTGCGTCAGCGGCCGCGTCGCCGTCGACGGCGGCGTTGGGTGCGGGTCCAGGGCTGCTGTGCCCCTCTCCGGACGGCAGCTGCGAGGACCGACCCTGGGTCGGCCCCGGCGGCGACCAGCACCCACAGCCGCCATCGCAGGACCTGCAGGAGCAGCAGCGGCAGCGACAGCAGCAGCAGACGCGCTGGGGCGGTCTCCGCACCCGGTTACCCAATGCGACGTCGTCAGGCGGTGGCGGCGTCAGCGCGCAAGCGGCGGCCGGAGCTCCGGAGGCAACGGCGGCGTCGGCCGCGGCAGAGGTCGCAGCAGGGCCGCCTGCGCCTGTGCCGCCGCAACCAACGGCTGCGGCAGCGGCGGCAGCGCTGGCAGCGGGACGTCCTTCTCAGCAAGCCTTGCCATCGTTACCGAGCGAGTCGCCGGAGCCGCAGCCTCCCAAGCGCCGGCGCCTGGGGGACTTCCTCGCGCGGCTCTTCGGTCCCAGCTCGGCCAGCGGGCACTCCCACTCACGGCGCGGCGGCGCCGTCCTTGCGGCGGCAAGCTCGGACCTACCGCACCCCGCCGCGACCGGAATCGCGCCCATGTCAGCTGCCGGCAGCCCCAGTCCCTCTGCCGCCCTGCCCGCACCTCTGCCAGCTGGCAGCAGTGCCGTACACCCTCACCCTCTCCATCACCCTTCGGAGCCGCAACACCCGACTAACATGCGGCGTCCCGCCAGCCCGCCAGGCCTCGCCCCACTAGTACCGCCGCAGCCGCAGCTGGGGGACGTCTACCGCATCCCTGACGGCAACTACGCGTCTGAAGGAGGCGTCCAGGTGGGCTTCGGGGCCACGCTTGATGGCTCCGGCAGCCTTCCTCAACCCATAGTCCTTCCCGGACTGGATTCCCCGGGTGCCGGCGACACGTCTCCCGCCGCCGGCCCGGACCGCCTGACTGTCGAGCCCCCCGTGGAGGACATGGCGGCGGCTAGCCTGGCGAGCCCGATGGCGGCGTCGCCGTCGCCGTCGGCGGCGGGATGCTTGTCTTGGTGGTACGGCAGCTCGACGCGTGTACGGGCGATGCCGCCGCCGCCAGCGGAAGCTACGGTGGTGTCTTTAACGACGGCGGATGTGCTGGACGTTGAACTCAGCGGGGGCGCTGGTTGCGGTGCCGTACAAGCGGTACACGGGAAGTGCAACGGCTTGGTGTCGGCACCTCCGGCGGCGGCGGCGAACAATGGCGGCGGCGGCGGCTTTTTTGATACCTCGTCCACTGTACCCATGTGCATTGCCACTTTCTCTTCAGGCGCCGCTGCGCAGACGGCGGCAGCGGCCATGGTGTCGAGAGGCCCGGGACAAGAGCAGGGGGCAGCGGGGGCGGATGCGCAAGCGGCGGCGGGGGCTGCTGTTCCGAGCCCTCTGGAGGCGGAGATAGGCCGTGTCGAGGCGTTTGTGAACGCTCAGAAGGAGATCGCGGACGAGCTGCGAGCCTCGTCGCTCAGCCAGTGCCAGTAAGTGGGCATAGCATAGGGTACACGACATGCGGCCTTGTAGGGAGCGGATGCTGGCGATTTCCGCAGCATCGTACCCTTCTCGGGCAGAGTCGTGCTCGTGCCTGCTGCTTCGTCCCTTATCAGTGACTCCGTGCCGTCCCCAATCCTACCTAATAAAGCTTCCGTCTTTCACCTCCGTCTGCAACCCCCTGCCCGCAGGTTTCTGCTGGACTGCCTGAAGAGCTCCGACCTGTGCTGGCTGGTCGGCGACAGCCTGCTCCAGCTCAAGCTGCAGCTGGGCTTCCCATTCGACGCGGGCAGCCCCATGCCTGACGCCCCCGACTGGTTCCGGCTGGTGCTCCAGCCGCTGCAGCCGCATATGCAGCTGGCGGCAGCGGCGGCATCAGCACCGGCCACAGGAGGGCAGCTGCAGCCTCCTTCTTCGCCGCCTTCGCAGCAGCAGCAGCAGGAGCAGGAACAGCTGCTTGCATCTTGCTCAGCTGTGACAGGCGGCGGCGTTGAGATCGTGGACAAGGGCACGGCCACGCTGGCAACGGCATCCGCCGGTGCGGTGACCCACGGGTCGGGACCCCAGCCATCCGTGACGCATCCTCCTCACTGCTGCCCGCCTGAGGTTCTGAAGGTACGCTGGGCGCCGATTGATCAGAGACAGGCCGGCGGTGCTAACGCATGCGCCGCAATTGTCCTGGAGGTGGCGGCATGGTGCCTTTCTGCCGTGCAGCGTTGGCACGCCGCTAGCAGCGGCGCCTCCTCCGCCTCCGCCGTAGCAACCGCCGCTGGTGTCATAGACCTCTGCCAAAGCAACAGCATTGACAGCGAGGGCTGCAGCATCGTGGGTGTTAAGGAGCTCCCGATCGGCCCCTCGGTATCACGAACCCCTCGACGAATGCCTCCGCACCTACCCTCCGTGGTTGCGTCGGCGGCGCCAGCAGTAGCAGCAGCACCAACGGCAGTGAGAGCAGCGGCGGCGGCGTCGGTTTCGGAGCTAGACGCCATGACAGGCGCCGCCCTGGAGCAATGCATCCGCGCGGGTACCGCGGTGTGGCAGGGGCTGCTGGCGCAATCCGAGGCCGCCCGCGTGGCTTCCAGCACGGGGGATTTTGACTTGGAGCACATGCTGCAGCTGGGCGGCTACAGCTGCAAGCTGAGGCTGGCGGAGTATGCAGCGGCGTCGCTGTTGGAGGGGGGTACAGGGGCCGGCGGCTGCGGTCTTGCCGACGCTGCAGCTGCTGCTGCCGGTTGCCGGCCCAGCAGTGCAGAGGTGCCTGCAGGGGCGGCCGCATCTGGTGGGGCATCGTTAGGTGGAAAGGATGGTGGCAGCGGTGCGCAGCAGCCTCCCCTGAGCCTGCTGTTCCCATGTCTCCCAGTCGAGGGACAAAGGCAGCAACACCCGCTGCCGCCGGTACCACCAGCGGTGCCGCCGTTAGCCCTGCAGCAGCACCACCCCTCTCAGCAGCCGCTGTTATCGCCGCGTGCTGAGGCGCTAGGGGAGAGCATGGAGACCGAGAACCAACGGTCATCCCTCCAACTGCAGCAACAGCAGCAACAACAGCAACCGGCTCTGACGGTTGGCGCGGCCGTACGACGGAGCATCCGCCGTTGCTCCTCAGCAGGCGGCGTGCCCGCGTTCTCCTCCCTCGTGAGCTGCTTGGACCAGGTACGACAGGCACTGGGGGGCAAAGGCGCACGGCACACGAATACCGGTAATCGCTCAACGATGTTGAAACATACGGTGGCTCCTTGTCGTGTTCTGTCATGAACGTGCATTCGCGGCAACCCCAAGATATCTCGCCTTGCAGTTCCTTCCTTCGCCAAGCCCTTCAACCCCTTCAACACAGCAAACCCTCGCCCGCATTCTGCCCTGCCCTTCCCTACCCTGCCCCTCGCTTCCCTGCCCCTCCTCCCTGCGTTCCCCCCTGCACCCCTTCCCCAGGGCGTGTACGTGCTGGGCTGGCGCGGCCACTTCGCCACCCTCTGGCTCCGCCCCGGCGGCCGGGTGCACCTGATCGACTCCCTGGGCGCCCGCCTGTCCGCCGACTGCCCGCTGGCATTCGTGCTGGAGTTCCCCGGCCGCCCCGAGTTCCTGTCCTTCTTCTTGTCGCGACACCGGGCGCGGCGGGATGCTGCGGCTGCGGACGACATCGCGGGGGGCAACTTGGCGGCGCTGGTGGAGGTGCACCGCTTGGAGCTGCGGGCGCTGGGGTAGAGTGGTGGTGCGGGGGAAGGGGCTGCGGCTGCTGGGGTAGGCTGGAGGGGGGTAGCGGCAGGGGCTGGGGTAGGGGGCAGGAGTAGGTTGGGCCGGAAAAGAGGCAGGGGGGTTGTTAGGCGTGTTACCGGTAGGTCCAGCAGTGGCAGGGGTCGGGTGGTGTTGTGCGGTACGGTGGTGTGCCGGCAGGGGGTGGACCGGGCAGTGCGTTGTGAGATTAGAGGCGGATACCCTTGTACTGTAGCGGTTGATGCATGCTGGTGCAGTACGACGATGCGTGGCTGGGTGTTGGATGGGTTGTTGCAGTAGCGGCTGCGCAGGGACGGCAAGGCAGCGGGAGTGGCAGTAGCGGTGTTATGTGCGGCTGATGGCGTGCTGGGCGCTTCCAGAGGGGGCTGTGTACCGAATTAGTGGCATTGGCATCGGCAGAGGGTTCGTCGGTTCAAGATGACTGAAGATTAATATTAGCACGAGGTGGAAGACACTTCGCTGCACTGTATGTTTTGCAACATGGCAGGGTTGTGGGGCCGCAGTTGCAGCCGTGGGCAAGCGGGACAGTCAGGCGTCAAGGGCATGACGTGAGCAAACGTGTGCAGGTGGAGGTGCCCTCGCCAGCACCCAAGGGCGTCCTAAACAGGCACCAAGGAGTCCTGGTATTCATGTGAAGGGGAGGAAGTAAGGGGTATTCATGACGAGGTCGGAAGGCGTGCGGTTGGTGGGGCAGTCCATGAGCCGGTTTCAACTCTAGTTACCGGTATGGCACTGCAGCTCGACTTGTATTTCTAGGAGACGCATTGGCGATTGCTAGCGGGTTGGGGCCCCCGGTGCCCTGCCCCCCTGTCGTAACCTCTCGTAGTGGTAAGAGCTCGCCGTTCGGCTTGGCAGCAGCTCCTGAGCTCAGACGTTGATTCATGGTTGTGGTGACATGCGACGTATTCGAGCATCTGCAACTGGCGGTCCAAGTATGTACGGGACCAGGGGACCGTTCCATGTTGTGCATAGTCGGTACTGGTAAACCGTCTTAGCGATGTAGCGGTTGTAGCGGTGGAATGCTTCCGTAGGTAGGTGACCGGGAACGTAGTTTGTTGGGAGAAGGTGGTACGACGAGGATGGCGCGTCACGCATACAGCAGTATTGGGGTTCTCCTTCCGCTAGGGGCGGTTCATCGTTCTCACTGTTCTCCGGCAGTGCTTATGACTTGTTAGGTTTCTTGCACGTGCGTGCAAGTGCTGCTGGCTAGTGTTTGGTTCTGTCGCCCCATGGAATGCGCTTTCTGGCACGTGACACATGCTCCCGTAGTAGTTCCCGTAACTGATAGCTTCTGGGGTTATCGGCCATGTGCCCATGTCCCCCGCAATCACCGCCAGGGTTGTAGGGTCGGGTTCGTCACCCACATGCTCTTGCTGCCAGTGACAGAACAATGTACGTATCAATCCGTCACCGCCGCAGGTCGTGTTGAAGCCGAAAAGGCAAACACTCCCAATGTCCGAACTCAACGGGGACATTAAGCAGCCACCAACACAGCTGCGGATTGGGAAGGCAGCAGCGAGTGGCGGATGGTTTTGTGGGCAAATGGTGGGCGTGTGTATGGTTATCAAGTACACGGCAGCACACAAACCGATATGAGCTGAACCCAGATGCCAAAGGCAGCATGCGGCACGAGCAGGGTTCGGCACGTTGAGAGGATTGGTGGACTGCCCCTTCCCTAGGGAGGCCTCCCCCGACCGCGGCTGCTCTGTACTTGCTGTCAGGTGCCGAAAGGGACCCGCATCGGGAACTGCATGCATTCGAGGCGATCGAGGTTACCATTAATCATTTACACCATTCAATCAAGGTGGCGCTACGTCGTTTAAGCAGCACAGTCGAGGTTCCGCAGCAACAGCCTTTCAAGGTCGTCAGCTCGTCGAGACGACATGTATATCATTCGCTTTAGCAGTATGCTCTTGACCAGAACTCGCAAAAGTCGAAGCATTGTTCCAGTCCAGAGCTGTACAGTGCATAATCATCAGAGAACGCGTCATGCAGCACGGATTGTCCCGCCGGGTCGGTTTTTCCCGCGCGGCATTCAGGGAAGCCCTGTCATCGCGGAAAGCCGTCACACCACAAGCACAAGCCGCAACCAGAAAGGTTTGCTGCCTGCTTTATACTTAAGACAGCGTGGTAAAGGATACTATAGCTTCATTTCGCTAGCAGCCACATAAAACAGCCTCACCGCTGCGACCCGAGCTAATTGCGCGCGCAGTGCTTGTAGCGTTGCATTCTGATCCAGCCAAATGCAGTTAGCACCAAGAAATCCGGATAGTTACATGGTGCGTTCCCTGGAAAGGCTCCGCCAGGTCGCGAAGGATGCCGGCACAAGCTTGGGCCCACAGCTGGAGCTAGACAAGTTGAGCAGGGAGCAAATTAAAGGCCTCGAGAAGGGGCTTCAGGACATAAAAGAGAAGGTGCTTCAGGACATAAAAGAGGCGGCTGACAAAACTGAGGGGCTGTCTTTTGCCTTCTGCAAAAACCGCGACTTTTCGGAGGCGGTGTCCGTCCTCATGTCCAAGGCGCTACTCTGCGAGAGCAACGATGCGGCTGGAGATACCGAAGGCTACCTCCTCTTGGCCTCCAGTGCAGCGTCCCTTGCTTTCATCTTGCTGCTTTCGACAGACACCTGTGAACATACCGCCTGCGTTGCGTTCGCGCAGCGGCTGCAGCCCCTGCAGCTGCTGGTGCAGCTCGCGCGCCTGGTTGCCCGCCACTCCGTGCAGCTGGCACCTGCAGGGGGCGCGAGCGGCCCTCCACCGGCACAGCCGGAGGTGGACAGCCGTACCTGGCGGCAGGGCTGTGAGGCGATTGGCGTCGCTACCGACATCGGACGTGCCTTGCTTGGCTTGGCCACGGTAGCGGCCCTGTCCGACGCAACAGCGGAGCAGCAGCGGCACACCAGCAGCTTCATCCGGTTGCTGCACGCGGCACTGAGGCACAGCGGACTGTTGGAGCATGCCTGCCGGCTGGTGCTGCACCTGCACCTGCGGCTGCACCAGGTGGCTCCCGGGGCACATGAAATCGCGGGTCGCGGGCTTCTGCACCGCATGTCAATGCAGTTGGCGTTAAACATCAAACACGTCATCCTCCTGGCATCTCTTCGGCGCCGGCCAGCCGCCAATCCAGCCGACCCCGCCACCACCGCCGCCGCCCTGGAGGAGGTGCTATGCGGCCGCTGCACGCACTACTTCATGCTGGCCATGGGGCTCGCGGCGCTGTGTACGGCGGACGGCGGGCCCTCGTACGGCATGCCGGCGGAGCTGCTGCAGCGGCTACCCGTATACGACGATGCTTATCAGGATGACCTACGCACCCGCCGGCGCGGCAGGCAGCTACTTGACAGCACGGCCATTCAGTGCATGCTTAGCGCACTGGAGCTGTCTGGCCGGGGGAAGGCAGCGCCGCCGCCGGGCTGGGATGCGGCGTGCGTGGTGGTGTGCCGCGTGTGGGACCTCATCCTGACGTCGGCGCAGGCGCATGCAACAGAACCGGTGCAAGGCCGGCAGCAAGAGACGAGCTCCGCGGGGTTAGCGGCGGAGGCGCCGCTTGCGTCAAGCAGTGCGTCAGCGGCGGCACCGTCGGAATTGAGTGGCTTGCCGCTGCCGCCGCCGCCCCACCAGGTGGTGTTGCCCCGTGAGGAGGTGGGCCCCCTGGCCCTGGACGCCTTCGACTGCCTGTCCGCCATCCTGCCTGTCGAGTCGGGCAAGCCTAGCTGGAGTCGGTGGGCGCGGCGGTTCTGGGAGCTGGTGGCTGCGACCACCCGGCACGCCATGCGGTGCGCTAACCCGGACATCCGTACCCTGCTGGGCGAGCGGCTGAGTCGAGAGCTGCTGAAGGCCTTCAGTAACCTAACTATAACGGGTAAGCCGAGCGCCGAACAACTACGTTGCTTGTCGCATGTGTTCAAGACTGGATTACGGCAAGGAAAGGCCGTGTACATGCCTGGAAGTAACAGAGACAACCTCACCGCTCAGAGAACGCCACTGTATGCATAACCCACAAAAGTACACCACCACCCCCCGAAATCCAGCACCTTTCCGCAGGCCCTTGCATGACCAGCACTCGCACTCCCTATCGCGCCCACCGTACTCGTATCTCAGCTTGTACCCCCTCGGCTTGTACCAACGCATCTTCAGGAGACAAGCGATAACCCCATTCGGGTCTCCAATCGCCGCCCTCCGCAGGCCCCTTCCCGCTCGCCCCCCCGCCCCTGGCATCTGCTGCACTGGCGGGCGGTGTGCTGCCCTGCCTGGAGCGCCTGCTGCGGCGCGCGGGGGAGGACCCCGCCAGCAGCCCAGAGGCCGGCGTGCTGGCATCCATGGTAAAAGAGGACGACCTGTGGTGCTGCATGGCGGTCGTGCTGTCGTACAGCGAGGAGCGGCAGGCGGCGGCGCTGGTAGTGACACTGGGCAAGGTGCTGCGCCGGCTGGCGCTGCCCCAGGCGAGGGGATTCCTCCTCTCGTCGAGGGATATCATCGAGCTGTGGTGTGCGCTCTTCGAAGGAGCAACTGTATCCCTATGCGGCGCCATAACGATGTGCGCTTTGCAGTTGCAGTTGCAGGGGGGGCAGCAGCAGCAGCGAGCGGCCGTCCGGCGGCTGGTTCTGAGCATGGCCTGGGAGTGGCTGCCACCCCTGGCGAGCATCGCGCAGGCGGCTGTTGAGGACGTCACGAGGCAGCTACCGGCCACTGCGCACAGCCTGCTCTTCTGCCTGCGGTCACTCACAGCCCTAGCTTCGTTGGAGGACAATGCACGTGCAGTGGCCCAGCTATCAGATGCAGTGGCCCAGCTAACAGGTGCAGTGGAGGGCTCAGCTGCGGCCGCGGCAACTACCAGTGCGGCAGCAGCGGTGGCGAGCGCAGGTGCGGCGTCTCCTGACAGCGGCTGGCTGCAGCTGCTGCTGCGCAGTGTGCCCGTAGTCGACCTGCTGGGTGCCTACCTGCGGAGCCTGACGCAGCTCAAGGCCAGCGACTGCACCCTTGTTCCCAAGCTGGCGAGGGCCTGCTGCGATGTGGCGGAGGCGCTCCCCCAGGAGGTGCGGCGTGCGGCGATGGCGGCGGCGGCACTTCCCGTCGGCGGCACTGGCGGCGGCAGCCGCAGGGGTAGGGGTCGGGTTGGCCGTCAGCGGCAGCAGGCCGGCGCCAGCCGCGGTTGCTCCGCCGCAACAGGTGGTGGCACTGGGGGTGCCGCCGCCGTTCGCCTCCCTAGCGCGGGCGGCAGTGGCGACCCCGGCAGCACCCCCATTGCCGCCTGGCACCCGGAGTGGGTGCGGGCGCTGCTTCCTGACCTGCGGGGTCCAGGTACCCACAGCGACCTGTCCGCTCAAGTGGAGGCGCTGGCAGGGAAGCTGGAGGCATGGGGGGCTGGCCGCGGGGATGAGGCTGGCGGGGGTGAGGCTGGCGGGGGTGGCCCTGCTGCTGCTACTGCTGGTGCTGCTGCTGAGCCCCTCCGCCCGCCTGCTGGGGTCCGGCTGCTGCCCAGCTGCGGCAACCCCGCCTGCCTCAACCTGGCGGGGGACAGCGAGGCGGAGGTGCGGCTCAAGGGGTGCGGGCGGTGCGGGGCGGTGGGGTACTGCTGCCGGGAGTGTCAGACGGCGCACTGGGTGGCTGGACACCGGGAGGAGTGCGGGCGGCTGCAGCAGCGACAGGAGCGGGAGGCATAGGCTGGCTGGGGAGGACGTACGGGGGTGCAGCGTCGTGCGGCGAGAGGGGGAAAAGCAGGGGTCTTGGAGTGGGCGGAGCGGAGCAGGGGGGGGGGCTGAGGAGCGGTTGCAATGCCGTGTAGTGGTTCCGGAGATTGGTGAGTGGCGAAGGGCAGTAATGGGTCTCGCTTGGTTGCCTGTGAAGGGCAGGTTATGCCGTCACGCAGTTTATCGCTGGATAGCCCTTTGTATGGGCTATCCGTAGATGCCATTGCGGTTGTGGAAGGGGGTGTTGTGAAAACGTTATGCCGTCACGCAGTTTGTACGACAGCGGCTGGGGACTTAATCTGTGAGCCTGAGGGGGCCGCTGGAGGGCTGGATGGGATCGCACGCTACATGCTCAAGACTTTGCCGGCCTTGGGGATCAAGCTGTCGCTGGATAACCCTTTGTATGGGCTATATCCGTAGATGCCGTTACGGTCGTGAAAGACGGTGTTGCTAAAATGTGATGTCGTACTGCGTGTCGCAGGCTGGGTAGTTGGTGGGTGTGTCTGTGAAATGCGGAAGGCCGGATCAGGCGCTTCCCTTGGCCGTTCCTGGCCTGGATTGGCGCTATCCCTTCCTTATTGAGTGCCCTGTCGTGTGTGCAAATGAGGTTTAACTGCACCCAGAATCAAGTTGGAGGCCACCGATGCGGCTCAGATCCTCCTGACCGTCGTGCGGGTGTTAACAATGACATGTGGTGAGCGAATGCGGGCGAGGTGGGAGCGAAGATAGACGTAGCGATAAGCACCAGTGTATAAACGAGGCATGCAGGATGGCAAAAGAAGCTGTCCACAGCATAGCTTACAACACAGGAGGGCAAAGAGGCACGACGGAGACGGAGTTCCCGTTTTCCTCGCTGCGTCTGCTCCGTGTCTGGCTTTGGGGAGTGCTGTAGGGGAGCACAGGAGGGAATGGGCTCTCGCGGTTTCCCCCGGCTGTCCGCACGCACTGGCTTCGCCCGCAAGGGACATGGTGGGTACGATCTGGCAGCGAGACGGGGTGCGGCTGGGGGCCGAGTGCCGTACACGGACCCTCATTGGACACACCGCTGCGCAGTCTGGGATGGTAAGAAGTGCTGCGATAGGGCCTGGTTCTGGCATGCGTCAGGGGCGGCAAACGGAAAGCAGCTTAATCTGTCTTTCCCCCTGTTAACAACCTCGACTTACTGCAAGTCACGGGAACTGATCCATGGTCTCCAGATGTGCCAACAACACCCTGCCTACGGGGTTCACAGTCGCGGCATGCGAAAGCATGCCAGGGCCTAACTGCCGCAACAGCTGCGGCCTAAACTGCGAGTGACACCTAGCACATAGGTATTAACCCGGGCTGAGAACACAGCACCCAAACATCGTGCACGTGCCATGCACACCCCACTCTGAAAATGGCAGCCCCCTTCACTCCTACCCTCAGCGCCTACCCACTATCATGCAGGTCCCCACGCCCCATCTGCCGTACCAACACGCAGTGCCACATCACATCGCAGTCCCCGCTTCACTCCCTGCGCTCCAGTACTAACATCTGCGCTGACGCCACCTCCCAGGCGCAACCCTCCGAACGTGTCGTGCTCTGCATGCGTGCGCTGCGTGCTCTACATGCTGAGTGCGCCGGGGTTGGGGATGCCCAGGTTCTTAGCCAGCTCCCTCATCTTCTCCTTCATGCCCTGTGGGGCGAGGGTTTTGCGGGGAGCGCAGGATGACAACGCGGATACGGGTACGACCAAACTGCTACAGGTTGGTTGTGTGTGAGAGAGGAGCTGCTGCTACAAGGTTCCTGCTGCTACAAGGAGGACAGGGTACAGCATATGATGAAAGCTGTGCTGACGTGCCGTACAAGGCCTCCCCTCCTGACCCCCAGCGCGACCCGTGGGTCTCAGCAGCAGCTCGCAGGCCACTTACCGCGACGCTCTTTGTATGCGCGTCCCGCATCGCCTCCGTCGTCCGGCGCGAGCACTCCTGTGGGGTGGGGCGAGGCGGCGGCGGATGGAGTTCAACAGTTGCGGTCGCCAGGGCTTGCTTCCACGCTGTTACTAACTACCCCAAGACCGTATACATGGCCAGCCTAAGGCGTCCCCAGTCACAAAGACCGGAAACAGCGCCCGCTGGGGTGACGCCCAGCGTATCGCAACGCAGTGGCGCTACCTGCTCATGAGCGGCGGCGCCACCCTTCCTTCCCGCGCTGCACCAGCCCCTCAGCCGAGGTACTTCACTTTCCTTCCGTTCCCTCAAGAGCCCGGGGCCATCGCCATACCCTTTCGCCCCAGCAGCCCGAACCCGCTCTTTGTACGGCAATACCCCTTCACCACTTCCCACCCCCCCTCCACGTTCCCCGCTTCCCCCCAGCCCCCATCAGCTGCCGTACCTCCGCCCCCATGTCGATGGCCGCTTGTGTGATGTCCACCTGGCGGGGCTCCTGGTTGCCCGACATGACCACCTGCGGGGGGGGGGCGGGAGGAGAAGGTGTGGGGGGGGAGAAGGAGAGGACCACGTTGGGACAAGAGCGGGCAGGGGGTTGGGGGACGACGCGTGGTGGTGGAGGAGAGGGTGACCAGTGGGGGCTTGCCAGAGAGGCAAGCGCGCGACAGCGCCGATTGGTGAAAAACGGTGATGACGAAGCGAAGAACCTGAGTGACAAAGCGAGGGTTTCATTTCTCACCCGCACATACTCGTCCTCATCGTACCCCTCAAACTCGGTGCTGCGGAGGGCGGATGCGGGAGGAGGGCAGCAAGATCAGGGCGCGAGAGGGTGGCGTGGGTTCCACAAGTGCACGTCGATAATGCGGAATGCGCGTCGCAAAGGCACAGAAGGCCAAGGGGCTGCGCCAAGGGGAGGCACAACGTACGCAGCGAGCTCGGCTTGCACGCGAGCGGTCTCCGTTTGCACGAGCTGTTGCGCCTTCTTAACGCTCTCCATGATGTTCTTCATGTCAAATGGGTTGCCACCACCACCCTGCGCGCAATGTTGTGATAATATGACGCAACTGGTTGTAGGCCGCAAAGTCGGCCAGGCGTTGGACAACCCCAGATCAGGCACAAACATTCTTCACGTCCACACACCTGGCCGCCAAAGAGGGCATTGACTTGGAGTTGGGTGCGCCGGGGCCTGCAGCTGCACGACCCATTCCGAGTAACATACAGGAGGTAATTGGCAACTATTAATCCCGAAACCGAGCTGACATCACAGATGGTAGTGCATTTAATTTGAGCTCTACAGGCTAAGTGACTGACCTCGGCACGACCCGGCGAGCGGCTTGCCGCCCCGACACGCAAGTGTTGGCACGAAGGGAGCGCGCAGAAAGAGCCATTGTATAAGTTCTGGAGTTTGTGAAAGATCAGCTGTCTGCAAGGACAAAGGGCGATTACCAACAGCAATGGTTTCGGAGGGTGTTGCGACAAAAGCAAATTGCACGCCCGTTCGTTTGACCGTCTTTCTCAGTGACTTCAGTTGTTGCCTTTGGGCGTTAGGCCTGAGTCCTACTTAGGCCTTTCCACCCGCTTCGTTGCTTTCTACCTTTAAAAATGTTATTGCAAACGCGCGCGCCCGTTGCTTCTCGGGTGGCTACCCGCTCAGAGCGCGTAGCGGTTCCAGCGCCTGTTCTTAGGGCTTCAACTGTGGCTGTGGCGCCTGCTGTCGGCGCGACATGCACGACGCAGTCGCTTGTTGCCTGCAAGCGGAGTTCTTGGCGGCCAAGCGTTGTGGCGCAGGCCGCTACGGTTGAGGCTTCCCGCCAGTATGAGGCTCCTGGAAAGGGTTTGTCGCAGGCAAGTCTCGGTCGGCGCTCCGATTGTATGCGACCGATAGGTTTAGGTTTGCTTAGAGGCGTGCGTTTTGGTCTAGACAGTTACTCCGTTTAACGTCGCCGTTTAGTTATCTACGCTAGAACAAAGCGCCGGCAACTTGACAACTTGTAAATGATGGCCTATTTCCAAAAGCGTTTGCTTACAACCCTGCCACGTAAACCTACAGGTGAACGTCGTCTACAAGTTCGGCGGCTCATCCGTGCGCGACGCTGAACGTATGCGTGAGGTTGCGGACATCATTTGCAGCTTCCCACAGTATCTGCCCTGCGTGGTGCTATCTGCCATGGGCAAGGTGGGCTTCCTATTGTTAAACGCGTACATAGCGCAGCGACCATTAGTAAACGCCTCGAGGCGTTGGGTTTTCCCGCCGACGTCCGTCGCTGGCAGTTCGCCTCGGCGCCGTCCCTTGTGTCCTATCACATACTCCCGTTCCCAAGCAACCATACCATCTGGGTCCTACAGCGTCAGAAAGCCCAGCACGTGCCTAGTAACGCGGCGCAGTTGACTGCCTTCCCTCTGCCTACCCGTCGTCAGTATCCCGTAACCAACTGCCGCCCCTCCTTCCCCATGTCAACCTACACCTCTCCTCCCCGTCCCCCGCCCGTTGCAGACCACCAACCTGCTGCTGGAGTGCGGCGACCTGGCCCTCCGCACCGCCACCGACAAGATTGGCGACCTGTCCCCACTCAAGTGAGTGACGTACACATACTCGACGCACCTCCGGGGCACTGGCACCTGTAGACTGCGCCTCTCCATCAGCGTCGCAGCTTAAACCTTCGCCCCGACCGCGTGTGCACCACCTCACCTCTCAAGTCCTCCCTCCCTCCCATCCATGTCCCATTCTCCATCGGCATCCTACTCTGCACAGCACGCCCCATCATCATCCCTAACCTGCCATCCCCCCCACTTCCCTCTCCGCATGCTTGCCTCCCCCCCCGCCCCCAGGATCATCCGCCAGCTGCACCTGGCCACCTGCGACGAGCTGGCCATCGAGCCGGCCGTGCGCGCGGAGGTGGACCACCTCATCAACGAGCTGCAGCAGCTGCTCATTGGAATCAGCATCATGCAGGTGAGGGGGGTGGGGCGGGGGGGAGGGCAGGGAGGAGAGGGGGGCATCTGGGGGCGGAAGGGCCGGGGGTAAGGAAGAAGAGCCGAGGCACTGTATTCCTTTGGGAAGGCATGGAGGAGAGGGGAGCAGCAGCAGCATGCAGGTGGGGTTGGTACATGCATGGGTTGACCGTTTATAGAACCTAAAAAGCCGGACTGCAGCGACGGTAGGGATGTACGCGGTGTACTGGGTGCGGGACTGGAGGGTGCGTACGGTAGATCCGACTAGGAGCCAGGGATCCGCGTAAATGGGTGTTAATGCGATTTGGGTTTGGGCCGTTGGGGCGGCCCTCAGCCTTCCCATTTATGTTGAACTGGAACAAGCGGCTTGCGACGGGTCGTGTTGGTATCGCGAGAATGATTGGATGCTTCAGGGCCGATGTGGGTCGGGAAGAGTCGACGGTTAGTACAGCGTCTCAGCAACCCCATGAGCCAAACCCGATGAAGTGAAGCTCTTTTTTTCATGTGGGGCAAGGGTTGGCACCTGGTCATAGGTTTTGCGCCGCTCCTCCGCTGAGAGCCCTCCGCAGCAGCACTGTGCACCTGGAACCCACAACGGCCCTTACAACGGCCCCTCGCCTGTGCCCCTGAGTCTCTTCACATGGCCGCCTTAGGTAGCGCCTGCCTGCAGCCCCCTCCCTCACCTCCCTTCCTCTCCTTCCTCTCCACCCCTCGCCACCCCCAGGACCTGACCCCCCGCGCCAAGGACAGCCTGGTGTCGTTCGGCGAGCGCCTCTCCACCCGCATCTTCGCATCCTACCTGCGCACCAAGGTACGTGCCGGGGCCGGGGAGTGGGGTGGCGGAGGACGTGCAGCTGAGCAGCACCGCACAGCGCTAGCACCCCAGGAAACTTGCAATGCTTGTCGCTGACCAGCGTCGAAGAAACACGCACATGCATGGCGTAAAGCGCTCCCCATGTCCCCACTCACTCACTCCTCAGGGTGTCCCCGCCCGCCAACACGACGCGTGGGACCTGGGTCTGACCACCACGGACGACTTCACCAACGCTGACGTCATCTATGAGGCCTCGCTGCCCGCCATTGCCGCGGCGCTGGCGCCCAAGCCCGGGCAACAGGCGGAGCTGCCCATCGTGACAGGCTTCCTTGGCCGCGGACAGCACACGGGTGAGGAAGCGGTGGGGGAGTGGGTGGGGCGGTGGGGGATTTCTTGCTGGAAGGCTGGGCTGGGTGAGGTGGGAGAGGGGAAGGCGGCAGTGCCGGGAAAATACGCCTCTGTTGCCGTGTTCCCTTCTCAAGTCCGTCTTCCTCCCGTGCTTCCCCGCCCCCAGGCGCCGTCACCACACTGGGTCGCGGCGGCTCCGACCTCACTGCCACGGTGCTGGGAGCCGCCCTGGAGCTGCCCGAGGTGCAGGTCTGGAAGGACGTGGACGGTGAGAGAAGGGGCGGGTGGTGGAGGTGGGGGGAAGAAATTGTGGCGCCGAGAGCTAGGGAGGTATGGCGATGGCAAAAGCTTGGAGAGTCCGGGGAGACGGGCCTAGGTCGTCCTATTGACACTCTCCTGCTTCCCGCCCCTCCAACCCCGCCTCCTCCCTGCTGTCCGGTGCAGGTGTGCTGACCTCCGACCCCCGCATCGTGCCCACCACCCGGCCCGTGACGGAGCTCACGTTCGAGGAGGCCACCGAGCTGGCCTACTTTGGCGCGCAGGTGCTGCACCCGCAGGCCATGCAGCCCGCCATCCGCTCCGGCAAGATGAACGTGCGCGTCAAGAACTCGTACAACAGGTGCGTGGGGAGCGGGTGGGGGGGGGAGAGGGACGCCGCTACACGGGAAAGCGAAGGGAGATTAATTGAAAACTTGGCATGCAAACTGCGGCTTGCGCTTTGCAAGGCATCCATGGAAGCACCGGGCACGCACCTCCGCACCTTATTCCTCGCCCTCACCTCCCTCTCTAAACCGCCATGTCCCCCATGCATCCTCCATTCTCCAACATCCATACTCCTACACCCCACTCCACAGGGAGGCCGCCGGCACCATCATCTCTGCCCACCGCGACCTGGACTGCAGCCTGGTGACCTCGATCGTGCTCAAGAGCAACGTGACGCTGGTGGACATCATCTCCTCCCGCATGATGGGGCAGTACGGCTTCCTGTCCACCGTGTTTGACGCCTTCCGCCGCCACAAGATCTCGGTGGACGTGGTCGCCACCTCGGAGGTGAGAGCGCGGGCGGGGGAGGTTGCTGCTGAAAGGGGCACGGACAGCTGCGAGCAGTGAGGACCTAAGGGGAAGAGAGGCAGGCGTTACTCCATGTGCCCCTGCTGCCCCCCACCCCCAAGGAGTTGGATGCCCCGTTGAGTGTCTCTTGGGCATCTGTTCCTCTGCTTACATCCTCCTCCCTCCGCTCCCTGGGAGCCTCACTTCTCCTTCACCTCGCTCCCCTCCGCTCCCCCTTTGCCTCGCTCCGCTCCCCAACACCCCCCCCAGGTGTCCGTGTCGCTAACGCTGGACCCCAAGAAGATCTGCGGCGCCCCCGAGGACGAGCTGCACCAGCTGCAGAGCGAGCTCTCCAAGATCGCCGGCGTGTCGTACCGCAAGGGGCTCGCCATCCTGTCGCTCATCTGCAACGTGGAGAAGACCAGCGAGATCCTGATGCGGGTGAGGGGGGCGGCCCAGATCGCACACCCCTTACAGGGTCGCATGCTCCTCTGGCACCCTGTGAAATAGGGAATGCTAGCACCTCCCATCACTTCAAATGGTTGGAAACCCAATGGGACAAGCCACATTGAGCGCTTTTCATCTTTCACCACTCTTCCCGACTTTCACCCTCCCTCCCTCCATGGGATTGGGACTCCAGTGTCGTCACTTCTCATTACTTTTTCTCTCCCTCCTCTCCTTCTCGCAGGCGTTCAGCGTGTTCCAGCGCGAGGACATCAAGGTGCTCATGATGAGCCAGGGCGCCTCCAAGACCAACATCTCGCTGGTGGTGGACGGGGCGCGCGGAGTGGAGGCGGTCAAGGCACTGCACCGCGAGTTCTTCGACGGCCCCTCCGTCTGCTCCAAGACCGCCAACGGCAACGGCCACTCGAACAACTGAAGAGTGACAACGGCAGACGCAGAGGCTTGGCTATAGATCGTAGGTGGTGGGTTAGGGAGGGTGATCTGGAAGGGGGTGGGTTGGGGAGGGATGTGACGCGGTGGGTTGGGGAGGGATGCGATGCGGTGGGTTGGACGGGTGATGCATGGCGGTGATTGTGGTGTGTTAACAAAACTGTTGTGGGTGTGTGCATGCTCGCGTGCGTGCCTGTGTTCTTCTCGGTTTGGCTCGAACTGTGAGCTCCTTTTGGGGTCTTGTCGGTCGTGACATGTGCGCGCCTTTTAAAGGTGGGATGGTGGTGAGGGTGCGAGGACTTGCGGACATCGCGTCCGGCGGCGTCTTTAACGTTTCTGAGGGGCTTGGCGTCGGCTTGGGGAACCTTATTCTCTAACTTGCTTGACCGTCCATGGGTACCTGGAAAGCCTGGTACCGTGCAGGAGAACCAACTTGCCAGGGCCTGGTATTGGCTGTATATGCTGGTCAGGCGTAGCAGAAAACGTGCTACATGCAATTATCTTGTTGCGGCTCTTGGCGCTAGTAGCGGCTTGGGTTGCAGGGCTAAGGGCTTAAAGCTCTTTGACACAGAAGCCAACGGAGCACATTGGCTCCGGACGTACCACAAAGTATTTGGGACTCTTGAACATCTTGTGCAAATACAGCTTCCAACGGGGAAGTGGAAGGTGAACTACCTTTTAACCTTATAGGCTTGGTTGGATGGAGGTTAGCTGGTACCGTATGCTTGCTCTGCATGGAGAGCGTTGGAGGCATTCCGGCAGCTGGGCGGCTGGGTTGGGAGCTACTGGATTCACGACGATGAGCGTACTTGATATCTTCAGGCCATGGGTTCACGGCGAAGGGTGATTCGCCGGGCCTGCTGTGGCGCTAGTGTCGTGGGATGTTGCTTACCGGTATACAAAAGACGCACACGTCGCTGTGAACTTGGGCCCGGGAGGCCACAACTTTTCCTCAACATATTGCTTGCTTTTAAGCTATATCTTACGCGCTGCAGATATCCCTGGTAGGACGTTTACCGGAATTCATACAATGCAACGGTGTGGGATGCCGACGCAAGGATTGCTTCGCTATAATTGTAAAGCGAACAAGGGAAAATATTTACCTGCTCTTATCTGAAATTGCCCAGCAGCTATTTATCCCATCTATTAATGTGTGGCTTGCCTCGACCGGTGAATACCGGATTTGCGGGCAGTCACAAAACAGTCAACGTTGCAAAAGCGATAGGCTTGCAACCAATTTTACCTGCTTGCATAACAGCAGTCGCAAGGCTTGCGAATTTCCAGGGAGGCAGCTTCCTAGGGTTACGTGCTTACGCTATATTATTAGTCACTCGCACGGCAACCCCAGCGAGCGCGTGTTGTATAGATTGACGCCTACCCATCCAACAACAGTGCATAATATAGCGTTCGCTTACAAGCTTCTCATATGTTATCTGCTTCCTTACCTGCAGCGCGTTTGGTGCCTCGCTTCTACATTGCGACTTACCTTGCTCCAAGGTCCCACTGTAGGCGCCCGTTATCTACTATGGCCACTTCCGACTTTTACTCGTTGAGCGCGCAAACTCTTGATGGAAAGACGCTTGACTTCTCGACACTCCAATCGAAAGTGGTCCTGATTGTCAACGTTGCTTCAAAGTAAGGATATATCATGACAATCTAAGTATCTGTGTGCTCGTGAGGCTCTGCGTTGGATCGATCAACGGTGTCCTACGGTTAACCACACGTTTAATCTTAACTGTAGGTGTGGCTTTACCGGTCAGTATGCTGGCCTCCAACAGCTCTATGACACGTACAAGGATCGCGGACTCGTCATCCTCGGATTCCGTAAGTAGAAGTTGCATGATCAGTACCGGAGGCGACTGGGCCCCGTACACGAGTTCCTGACCGAGTAGCGGCACCCTCAGGCTATCCCACATGCACCCCCCCCCCCCCAACTTCGTAACAACATAAGGCCCTGCTGCTCCCTCCCACGTCCCCACCTTTTACCGCAGCCTGCAACCAGTTTGGCAACCAGGAGCCGGGCGCCCCCGAAGAGATCACCACCTTCTGCTCCCGCAACTACGGAGTCAGCTTCCCCATCATGGCCAAGACGGACGTCAATGGAGACAACGCGCATCCCGTGTACAAGTGGGTGAACAAAGCGAGGCGAACCCACAGGTCACGTTCATGGTAGCCAAGTCGTCAGCCGTGGCCGTTGCAGACATCTACGCAGCTCCTAGCGTTGTAGCCTCCGGACTCCCGTCCTTGGCCATCCTTTGCATGTCCCGAGTACCTGTAACTGTACAAAGGCCTTCCCTACCCTCCACCTGCCCAACTTCCCATGCCCACAGGTACCTAAAAAGCCAGAGGCGGCAACTGATGATGGAGATGGTGAAGTGGGTGAGTGCCCCAAGTAGTGGCAGCTTGCTGCATGGCCCCCACCTCCCATGCACCTCCCAGTTCTAGCCTCCTCCTCCACTGCCGGATACCTGCTATCACCTGTCATGTACACCTGGTTTCCCACGCCCATACCGGCGGTGTTTCCCTTCCTCCCCCAACTCCCTCCCCTCTCTCCTGCCATCCTGCTCCCTCGCCCCTGCTCCCCCTGCAGAACTTTGAGAAGTTCCTTGTGGACCGGCAGGGGCAGGTGGTGGGGCGCTTCTCCAGCATGGCCACCCCCGCCAGCCTGGGGGCGGAGATCGAGAAGCTGCTGTAGTGCGGGAAAGCTGCTGTGATGAGGGGCGGAAGAGAGGTGCTGGTACTATGAGGTTTGTTAGGGTGCGCTGTGAGGAAGAGGAAGTGCTGTAGGGGAACAACGAAAGCCAAATGTAACAAACGGAGCCGAAACCAACAACCCCAAAAGTTCTGGGGCTGTGTGGGGGCGCTGCAAGGGGGTGTGTGAGCGACCGTTATGAACGACTGTGATGAGCGTGTGAGGACATGTGCACCAATTCAACCTTGTTGTCCGGTTACAACGTATGTTTGGAGGCGTTTGCTTACTGAAGCCCTGCTACCCGAGTCGGCGGCCCATTGGGTCGGCTGCGCCTGGCTCAGATGCTTCTACAGCGCGAGCTGCAGACATGTAACCTTCATGACTTATCACTCTCTGTGAGCATAAGGTGTGCATGCACTCCTTGACACCAGACAGGGCTGCACAGCACCGATACAGCAGGCTTGCCTCGTTGCCTCCGCATGCAGATAGCGGCAGGCATCGCAGCCCGCGGCTAGCATGCATGTCTGGTTCGCTTCAACACCTCTCGCGGTGCATCACGCGTCACCTCAACACAACTGGCGACAGCTCGCTTCAATCCTCCTCGTCGCCGCTGCTGTCCGCACGCCGTCTGTCGGCACCGTACACGGCCCGCACGTGCTCATGCGGGTAGCTCCGACCGCACAGCTCGCAGGGCTTCACCCGCCACTCCTCCGCCTCCTCCTCGTCAGCCTGCATGCAGCCACACAGCAGCGGCCCATCCCCACCGTCAGCTTGGGCGTCAGGATTGCCCCCGCCAGCTAGGAGCTAGCCCGGGCTGCATGTGCGTTGAATAACCCTCCCCAACCAAGCTCAAGTAACAGCCTAGGAAAGAACGTGGTGCATGCAGCGGGTACTGGACACCAGCAACTCACCTTGCTGCCATCATCCTCCGTGTCCGCTGCCCGGCCGCCCCGCCCCGCCTGCTGCTCCCCTCGCAGCACCCGCAGCCTCCGCAGGTAGGCAGTCACCTGCGAGGGGGGCGAGGAGCGCACCAGGGGGGTGGCAAGGGGGCAATTTCGTACCCCGCCCCGTACCCCGCCGCACCCACCTCCTCCTCCACCAGCGCCCCTCCCGCTGCTCCGAACTGCGACAGCGGTGCTCGCCCCACCACAGCGCCCGAGCGGAAGCATACCAGACCTGCGCGTGCAGGTGGGGATACGGAGGAAGAACTGACCAAGTGACAAGTAGGAGGTGGGGGGGAGGGAAGGCGAGGAGAGGAGAAGATGAGCAGCCGCCGCTGTGTGGTGTGGGAAATAGCTGCTTGCCTGGTCGCACGGCAGCAGCAACGCACGCCCCGATACTGGATTGCCGGCGCAACTACGTTGCAGCGCTCAAACACCCCCGAATCGCTTCCCTCCCACCTCGCTCGCCCACTCACCCGGCAGCTCCTCCATCCGCAGCGCCCGCACCAGCTGCTGCCCCCCGCCGCCCCCTGCTGCTGCTCGCGCTGCCACCCCCACCCGAGCGAAGTACGTCCCCCGGTGCCGGTGCGCCAGGCTGGCCAGGTGCTCGTCCAACTGGGCGCCCGCCTGCAGGGCATCATGTGTACGACATGTACGGTATCGTACGGCCATGTACGACATGGGGCGTCATGCGCCGCTCCTTGGTAAACCCTTCTCGGCCCTCGCGCATCTCGTACGTAGCGGGTCGCAACCGGGCAAGCGCGACTCCCGTGATCTGCCCCCTTTAACCCCCGAGCAGCGCAACCGACATGAAAGCCTGCTCCCTCACCCTCCTCCGCACCCTCACCCTCCCCCGCTCCCTCCCCCGCACCCTCACCCTCCCCCGCTCCCTCCCCCGCACCCTCACCCTCCCCCGCTCCCTCCCCCGCACCCTCACCCTCCCCCGCTCCCTCACCCGCACCCTCACCCTCCCCCGCTCCCTCACCCGCACCCTCACCCGCACCCTCACCCTCCCCCGCTCCCTCACCCGCACCCTCACCCTCCCCCGCTCCCTCACCCGCTCCCTCACCCGCACCCTCACCCTCCCCCGCTCCCTCACCCGCACCCTCACCCGCACCCTCACCCTCCCCCGCTCCCTCACCCGCACCCTCACCCGCTCCCTCACCTCGCACCCGGGTACCGCCAGATGCACCACCGCTGGCCCCTCCACCTGCTCCACCTCAGACTGCGGTGCGGGGGCGAGGTGGCACGGGGTTGCGGGCGGGCGGGTGTGACCGGCATGACCGGGGGAAGGGAGCAGCCCCAAAGGCCAGCTGGGAGCTGCGTCAGCAGTGTGGGGGGCGTCAAGGCACGGCGCTGCATGCGCCCAACAGACGTCCCAACGCGCCGTAAAGTGCCGTACATTGGGCCCCATCGCCTCTCTGTGTCCACATGCCCCTCCCAGATGGTGATTTGCGTCTCCTAGCCCCTCCCACTGACCCCTCCCTCACCACCTCACCAGCAGCGCCGCCGCCGCCACGTCATTAAGGCTGCCGTACCCGCGCTGCGCCGCCTGCCGCCGTTCGGCCGCCTGCCGCTGCAGCTCAGCGAGCCGCCGCTGACGCAGCTCGGCAAGCGCTGAGGGAGGGAGGGGAGGGAAAGGGGAGTGGGGGTGCTCTGAGGGCTTGGCAGCTGGCATGGCGGTGTTGGAGGGACGTTGCCAGTGAGTAACCCTTGCTCCCGACCCGCATGCGGGTCCCATCCTTTGTTAAGCAACTCAGAGTCAGAGTTCTGTTGCACCTGTGTCGTCTTCATCGTCAGATTCCAAGGGGCTTTCGTCCGGCTGTTGTTGCTGCTGGTCATGAGGAGGCAGCACGTGCAGTGCCTGGCTGTGCAGCTTTAGCCGTACAACGCTCCGGTCCGCAGCTGTGAGGGCTAGCCGCAGCGCTTCTGATTTCCTCATGCTGGCAAGGTCCTCTTCACAACACGCCGCGAGCACCGGATCATCCTCAAGCTCCTTGGGGTCTGGCAACCCGAATCGAGCTGCGTCGATGGCATCTCTATCATGTTGGCTGCTGCAGCATTTATCTCTGCACTGATCCATGTTTCAGGTATTGCTGGCAAGGCGCTCTGCGTTTGGTGCCCTAGTCGATACCAGCTGTATGTTGCAAGGCTAGTAGTAACGCTGCATACCGTGAGGAAGTCAAATGCACCTGCCCAACAATTTGCATATGTGGTAGGATCATCCGCGACTCACTCTACCTGCAAGCAGAGAAATACGGCGGTTGATGAATCCTTCAATGGGATCATACAGATTGCTAGATGATTAGCGATCGCCACAAATGACTATACAATAAGTACAAAAACCACAAAAGGCAAGGCTAGCTGCCATGCGGCGAGTCTCTGACTAAGGAACCTTATGCAGAGACGGGATAGACCCAGCTGTCCAGGGTCATTTGTCAAACTCTTGCTGCTTCTAACGCTTTTAGTTTCACAGTACTCATTGTCTTGGGGCGACAGCTTACACTTCTCGGCAACAGCCCTTGGGCGCGCGGATTACAAGGATGAGGACTTTGTCATTGTCATTGGCACCAGCCAGGAGCGGCTTAAGATTGCACAAGCATCAAGGCCGCTGAGGTATCCACGCATGGTTCAACACCTGGCGAAGAAGCTGTGCTTGTCTACCCGGTCTTCGCCTAACCTTAGCCCGCCCTTCTCAGGGCCGGCATCCGCACTTTCATCGCCCTCGACAACGCCACTCTAGCAGATGAGCTCAACAAGCAGGGCATCCCCTATGAGACGTATGCATTCTTCCCTGACAGGCAAGTCTGCAAGGCGCCCTTCCTGCCGGACCACGCGATGCTGCAAACACGCACGAACAGCTCGCCCGACCATCATCCGGGTTCCTGGCCAGCCACGCACGGCAGTATGGATGCCCGTGCGGACTCCCGAATGATAACACGCACAGCCACACGCACAGCTTGACGCCTAACCTCCCTCGCACCCACCGCACCCCACCAAACCCCGCACGCACGCAATCACCGACACGCAGGCAGATCAGCGGACCGGAGCGCGACAAGCCGGGTGACACGCGCTGGCAAGCTGCCCCCTTCCTGGCGCACCGGCACTACGGGGGCAGCTACCGGTGGATGCTGCTGGGGGACGATGACACGCTATGGTTCATGAGGGGTGAGCGTGCGCGGCGGAGGGGCGGCATGTCGTACATGTCGGTATGCCTGCTGCCGTACGTATCTCGCGCCAACATTCCACCCCGTTTCCTGTACCTCCGCCGCCAGGTGTCACGTGGCTTCTGCGGGAGTACGACCCCGACCTGCCGTACGTGCTGTCCGACCACCTAGGGGACCACAACCCGCGCGGCTTCTTCTTGCCCTCGCCCCTCGCCGCCGTCTGCTCGCCCTGCCACTGGCCCCGTCTGCTGGCAACGCACCCCCACCTGCAGCAGCAACAGCAGCAGCTGGCAGCACGTAGCGCTCCCATCGTCTCAGCACAGGAGCTGGCCGGCTGGGATCCGCGGGAGCTGGACGGATGGGGCATCGGCAGGTTGCGGCCGCGACGCGGCAAGCGGGTGGGTTTCGGAGCCGCCCAGTCGCATGAGGAGGCCGCGGGCCAGGTTGGCAGCGGCGGTGGCTGGCTGGGAAGGGGTTGGCGGTGGCAGGTCGGCAAGCGGCAACCTCGTCCCCAGAACAGCAGCGTGGTCGGCCCGGCAGCAGGCCCTACACGGCAGCTGCGGGAAGCTGAGCAGGCTGCGAAGGAAGCTGAGCGGGCGCAGCAGCAGCAACCTTCGGACGCGGCGGCGGCAGCTGGCGACCAACCTGCGCGAGGGATGCCCCCCGGGCCCATTGCTACCGACGGCAGCAACAGCAGCGGCAACACCACCTCCTTCCCGCTGGTATGGCCTCGGAAACAGCCGCTGCAGCCGGTCAATATGACCGCCCTGCTGCAGCTAGCCTACTACGGAAACGACCCGGCGGCGCCCATTCCGCCTCCGGGCTGCCCCTGCCAGCCGGCACAGGGCTGCCTGCACCGCGCGCGTCTGTGCCGGGGCAGCAGCGGCCGCAGCCAGGAGCTGTGCGGGCGCTCGCTGGTGTTCAAGACCTGGGGCTTCCGAGGCAACCGCACCTGGTGCCGACACAGCTGGCCGCATGGGGGTGCCGGGGTGGTGCTGTCGGTTGGGCTGATGAGGAACGTGACCGGCGGGCCGGTGGAGGAGTGCGCGCGGAGCACGCTGCTGCACTCCTGTGACATGAACCTCGCCATGTGCCTCATGCAGGCTCAGGGAGGCGGGTTCATGGTGACGCACCCGGGCAATGCGGTGCTGCATGGCGCGGGCTGGGCCGACCCACGGTTCATCTTGTTCGATAACACGGTGTACGGCGCGGCGGTGCGTGACCCTGAGGGAGTGCTGAAGGGGCGGGTGGCGTGCAGACGGGAGGACCGGGTTGCGGCACTGGCGGCGGCGGCGGCGCTGGCTGAGGAGAGCGCTGGGTTGGAGGATGACGAGGATTTAGAGGAAGGCGAGGAGCAGGAGAAGAGTGAGGAGGCGGGAGGAGGAAGTGATGAGGAGAAGGTGGAAGGAGGCAGCATGGGAGCAGTGCTGGGAGCGTCTGATGCGACAGCTGCATCCAATCCGATCTTGGCTGGTGCGGCGCAGCACCAGCGACACCGCAGGGCCCTGCGCGACTTGCCACGCGATGCGGTCTCCTCACAACAGCAGCAGCAGCAGCTCCCAGGCGGGTTGGTGGGCGGTGCGAGGGACGACGACATGGCAATGTGCAGGTGGCTGGTGCGTCACGCGGTGTCCGTACACATGCACGGCAGGAGCTTCCCGAGCCCAGGAGCGGCTGCGGAGGCCGTTGGGAGGGTCGCAGCGTCGTACTTGGGCGCGCATGCTCTGCTTAGCAGGGGTGATGGTTAGCTCGCTCCGGGGTGAGAGAGTGGATCAGCGGGGCGCTGCTGTGGTGTTAAGGACGAGGACGAGATCGGTTGGGAGCAAACGAACGAGTGATAACGTTTAGCTGTAAGGTTATGGTCATTCTTTGTGGGAGCCAGGGAACCGCTAGCAGTACACGACGTGTAACCCTGACATGTTACCGATATCATCTTTGAGACATGACAGCCACTCTGCTTGTCGGAGAGCTCCCAGCCGCGGCTGATAGCTCGATGTGCGGTCCTTCCTTACGAAGCGCTACGTAGCTAGAAGTCAGGGCGCGCTTGCATCATCCTGCTATCCCTCTTCCCTCGTATGTCGTACCGTAGCAACCACGTACCCCCTGGTGCCGCCTGGCCCTGCATGGGCATGCGGTTCAGGCTGGGGTTACAACCTCAGCCGTCATCTACCTATATGCTTGCCAGACAACCGAAGGACAGGTGCTGCTATGCACCTAGACAATGTGCTACTACCAATATGCGATCTGTCTGACTAGTTCGGCCCAAGCACCTGTACGGTTGTACGCCCTGCACTGGCTACCGACTCCAGTCCCTTGTCGTGCCTCTCGTAGCCTTCTTGTGTTGCCTTCCTACCTTGCGAACAGCCTCTTCTATCATCCTGCATGCCTCATTGCTGCAATGCCGCATCTTTTGTGCTCCCGCCTCGCCCGCATTCATGACTACCTATGGACATCGTCACCGCCTTTTTAACGCTCACGTGGCACGTGGCAGGATGGTCCACACGGTGGCACGGCGGCATGGTGGCACGTGGCACAGGGGACGATGGCGAGGTGGCAGGGTGAACCGGCGGGACGATTTGTGGTGCATGGCGGGTGAATTGCTCCTTATTCTGTGAATTATGTCGTTAAACGCTGCAATTATGGTAAGTTGCGGTGGGTGCGCTTTAGGGCAGCAATGCACCTGCTCCGCACAGTGCTTGGCAGGAGTCGGGAAGCAGCTGAAAGGTGCCTGTGGTTCCTGTTGCGCTACAACGCTGCCCAGCACGCCGTTACGCAATTGTTGAGCTACTAGTATGAGCGACGTTGCCGCCTGGTGTCCAACAGCTTGTAGCGAGAAGCGGACATGTACATTAAGCAGCTTTCGACCTAACAAACGACGCAAGCTTTTCAATCCTAAGGCATTGTTAGTGCTGTAAGCGATTAGTCCGAATTTGGCTTCACCTTTCGGGTCGACAGCTCATCAGGCTGACCGGAACCCTAGGACGAGCAGGATCAGTTACATAGATGTGAAAATACTGCATAAAACACGTACATCGCCATTATCTACAAGGTGGTAGAGGGCGTTCCTGATCAGAGCCTACTGCATTCTTGCGTCTGAACCCGCTGTTGATAACTTAACCTATAAACAATCAAGACAACACAGTCTCGTCTATTACATAATCTTTGTAGGAAACCTGTTAAGCTGGTCCGGCTGGTCCGTACGATGACGAATGCATTTGGCGCAGGTTAACCAACCCTTGGCGCCTGGGTGACATCGCAGATGTCGCCTGTATGGCCACATAGTCCACATAGGTATTTATACTCCTAGGTATCTAGGTAAGGTCTGTACTTTCGTAAAGGCCTCCAAAGGTCCGTCTAGCCAACTTCCAACGTACCGGTATGCATTTGTCCCGCCTAACTCCGCGGCTTTCTCGCGGATTACCTGTGGAGGTTTTGTGTAATCTAGGCGCACACTCTGGAGCGGCCTTTCACCAATCAAGTAGCCAACGGGAGGCTTCCCCAGGACGCAAGTCGCGATCGCTTACCTGCTGGGCACTCCCGCTTGACACACGACCGCACGGACTAGGTGAGCAAATCAGAGCAAGCTCCGCTTGGAAACGTATAAAGAAACTCGCCTTCAAAGTAGTCGGGTTGTCCTCATTTCCATTACCGCTATAGACGTTGTCCTTGACCTCATTCCCCAACTTCAGGGCTCACGAGCAGCCTTGGCATCACCTCCCGACGCTCTCATCGTCCATCGCAGAGGATGTTCATGACGAACGCAGCGGCGGAAGCTGCGTCCGCAGTCTCGGCCGCAGCCAGCGCAACGGCCGCAGGCAAGTCATCCCATCGCCGCCGCATGGCTGAGCAGTCACCATGCGACGGATCTATGTGCTCAACCAGGAACACCGAATCTTAGCCTTTTCCCTTCGCATCTCCTCCACGGACGCTGGCGTCAATCCGTGTCCCTGCACCTCTTGCCCAATCCTGCTGACTGCCGCCTCCTGCTGCTCCTAAAGTACCGATAACTCTCGACTGCTGCCCCCAATAACCCTCCTCCCTGCCCCCAATTTCTCCCTCCGTTTGTGTTCCTTCCCGCCACAGCTAGCCCGCTGATGCTGTACTTCACGCCCGCCACCGCCGCACTGGGCGGCTTGCTGCTGGGCCTCGCCACCGCGGGGAAGCTCCTGCTGACCGGACGCGTGCTGGGCATCTCGGGAGCAGTCAAGTGAGTACCGACACTGGAAACATGACCCCTGGGTCACTTCCTGGTTCCCTCCTGCATGGGCCCTTGTTAGGGTCGACAGCTCGACAGCTGGCCGTTCGCGCCAACCCTTGTACGCGCTAAACAAGAAGGACTGCCGCCCATAGCTTCCCACAACGGGCATCATTCCTCACCATGCGAGAGTATGACAAGTTGCATACTCCCCGGCTGTGCGCATATCCCGGCCACCTCTCACTCGTCGCGCCCCCACATCTCCCACCTCTTAACTGCTGCTGCAACAGGGGCCTGACCGCGGGCGATCCAGCGCCCTGGCGCTTCGCCTTCCTCATGGGCCTTTCGCTGGGAGCAGTTGCCATGACCGGCATGCTACCAAGCGCCTTCGAGACCCTACCTGCGTCCTTTCCGGTGAGTTTAAGGTGGTAATCCAGGATAAGGATAAGCAGGGAGAAACGAAGGGAAACATGTAGGGCTGCCGTAGTGGCTGGAAGCTGCATCCCTAGTACCCTCTCGCTGCACTCGTCGCTCTCGCTTTCAAACCCAACCCACCTGCTCCCTCCCTCCCTTTCCCGTCGCGGCCTCCCGCCAGGTGTGGCGTGCCGCCCTCGCCGGCCTTCTCGTGGGTGTGGGCAGCTCCATGGGTAACGGCTGCACCAGCGGCCACGGCATCTGCGGCTCCGCGCGCCTCTCCCTGCGCAGCTTCGCCTACACAGGTACCTTCATGGCCGCAGGCATGGCCACCGCCACCGCCACCAGCACAGCGGCGGCGCTGGGGGTGGCTGCGCCGGCGGCCCTCATGATGCCCTCGCCTGCGGAGGTGGAGCTGGCCGCGTCCATTGCGGTGGCAGGCCTGGCAGCGTTCGCAACGTTGGCAGTGGGCCCAAGGCTATTCAGGGGTGTTTCCGGTAGCAGTGGCAGCAGCGGCAGCAACGCGGTTCCCATGGACTTGTCGGCGCTTAAGAAGGGAGGTGATGGCAAGGACGCGGCGCAGCAGCAGCCGGTGGCACAACAGCAGCAGTTGCAGCCCCTGGAGTTGGGGGCGGAGGTGGTGGCGGGTGTCATCTTTGCACTGGGCCTGGGGCTGTCGGGCATGACGCGGCCCAGCAAGGTACGGCTGGTTGTCAGTTCTCCTGCTGCATGTGCTTATGGAGTACCGACTGGTAACCGCTTCAGGGTATCCTGACGTACCATGCCTTGCCCTTTCCTATCCACACCTGCACTGTCGTTCCTCCTCTTACCTTGCCCCTGTCTGGCCCTATCCTCCTGCCCCGCCGCCTCATCCCGCCCCTGCCCTCCCCCCAGGTGGCCGGCTTCCTGCAGGTGGGGTGGCCTGCCTGGGACCCCAGCCTGCCCTTCGTGATGGGCGGGGCGGTGTTGGTGGCCATGGCGGCGTACCAGGCCATTATGCGCTTCAAGTGGGTGCAAGGGGGGGAGGGGAGCGGAGAGGGACTCGGGGAGAGGGACAGGCGAAGGGGCCGGTGCAATGGAGGTTGGAAAGCAGACGGGATGCTGACCATGGGCCGTTGAGAGTATAGCTTTGGTGTTCCGGTTTGTGTCGATACAGTGCCGTGGGAATGCAGCACAACCCGTGTCCCTTGAATCGCTGACGTCCTGCCGCACCTCCGCAACTCCCGCACCCTACCCGCGCACACAACGGTGGCCATGGGTTTGCTTTCCCAACTACCGTAACCCATCCGGCCACACTACCGCCCTCCTCCCAACAGGATCATGCCCAAGCCCATCCTCTGCAAGAACTTCCAGATCCCCACCTCCTCCCTCATTGACCGGCGCCTGTTGGCCGGCGGGGTGCTGTTCGGTGCTGGCTGGGGCCTGGCCGGCATGTGCCCCGGCCCTGCGCTGGTCGCCAGCGTCACGGGCAGCCCCCACGTGCTGGCCTACGTGGGCGCCATGGCGGCGGGGATGCTGCTGGAGACCCGCGCGAGCGCCCGGTGGGGGGCGCGGAAGTAGAGGGACGGACTTGAGTGGCCGGGCGTAGCTGGGGTGTGGGCTTTCCTCCAGCTGAGGTTGTTGGAGAAACTCAAGGAGGCGAAGGCCTGAGCTGGACTGCATGCAGGTGTCGGTGTGGACTGGACAGGGGTTAGGCAGAGCAGGGTCTTGGGCGCTGTGGCAGGCGTGTCCCGGTGGGTCGTGAATACGTCAATGTACAATGGCACAAAGAGTACTAGTGCATATACTCATGTGGATAAGCATGGTGGTCATTGATGCAAGCTGTTAAGCTGCACGACAGACAGTTGTCACATCTACAGACGGACGACAACAAATAAACTTACCGTGATCAGAAAGGAAAGTATAACGGTAATGCGTAACATGGGGGATTGCTTTAGTGATTCGGTTATGCTTGGTTTGGACGTCCGGATTGAGGCCGAGCGACTGCCGGTACTTACGATTGCATGCACGTGTGCGATGGATATTGGACATGTGTTTCGCAATGGTGATCAGCTCTCATTCGTGTCGATTTGTACTTGAAGTTCTATGCAAGCAATGGAGCACTTTCCTGATGGTATCGCCACTTCGTCAGCGCTGTGAAGCTTTTGTATACGGCGGAATAGTGAGCAGCCATTGAAGGTACAAGTTATCTTAACCCAACCCCCAATGCGTGCTTTTCAAACAGGCCCGCATAAGGGTGCAAAGCCGCACACATCATGTCTCCAAGCAGCATCCTCCACACCTGCAAACTCTCCTGCCTTCGCGACCCATGGGCCACCGCATAGCATAGCCCCCGGCGCACGCCAACCAGTGGGACATACAAGCCCTACTGAACGCATTGCAAAACGCCAAACCTACCCCGCGATCCCTGAACATCCGGACACGCATCCTGTACAGTCCGGCCGGCCAAACCGTAAGCGTCCACGCTGCGGCGGTACTCGGGCAAGACATGCATGTCCAGTTGTCTGTCATGATCCTCTAAAGAGCAGCATCCAAGCACTAGAACGCATGGGAGGCCAAAAGGCACAAGACAAGGCACGCCAAGTAGGCGCGCCGTGAGCGGAACAACCGGCCATGCATTCAAGCAGCGTCATCCATCGACGCCACCATGCTGTTGAGCTATGACACGCTGCTACTTATCGGCATTGCATGAAGTACATCCTATGTTCCTGACGCAGAGCACCTCCTACTTGTCCGATTATAAACCCATAAGCTGCCGTCGCTACACCGTATCAGGCTCCTAACGTCCTAAGAAGCATGCCTACCCATGCTGGCTAGCCTTCTAACGCGCTGTGACGCCGCTAATGCTAACTGTCTGTCGCTAACGCACGTATGCATTCGCACGGGTACCCCATGAATTGCTTGGCGGTTCTCCATGCACGCTGGATGGCATCTACCCGCCGTTCCGCGCATCTAGTACGGGCACATCGCAGTCATAACCAGCCATAGCTCTACCCCTGCCCTAGCGTGCTAACCACATCCGAGCCATCGTCACCATAACATCCTTGACGGCAACGATAACCAGAAGGTCGGCGTTCCATCTATTTACCAGTCTGACATGTACGCGGGCTGCCTTGGAATCCCCATCTAAACCAGCGCCATCATGGCAGCATTGCGGTCAACCGTTACCGAGCGGTTACTCCACGCGTTTCCCCCAGTCCTGATGCGGCCTGCTCTCGCAGCCCCCCTCCCTCCTGCAAGCCTGTGCGCGCTCCTGCCCGTAACCCCTCCGCCAACCCACTCCTTGCTCCCTCCTGCCCCTCACCCTCGCCATTCCCTCCAAAAACACCTCTCTCGTCCCCTGGAAGCCATGCACGCCCCTCCTCCCCGATCAGATTCCGCCGCATGCTGCTCGCCTTCATCTTGCTCTTGCTCTTCTTCTTCTTGCCGGCGGCGCGGACGCCCAGCTTCTCCAGCAGCTCAGCGTTGTCGTTGCCGCGCAGCATCCCGCACTGCACGGCCTCAGAGGCGGCCATGCCCTTGGGCAGCGGTGTGAGGCCTGCCTCTCGAGCCACCATGAAGACCACCGGATCCAAGTGGGCCACCGTCTGTAGGGGCCAGGAAAGGAAAACCGCGATGGCTTGAGGGCGTGGTTAAAGGTTGCATGTAGCACGAGAAATAGCATACGAATTGTACGAAGAGCATAACAATGTAGCTCGCAGGCGGCCAGTTATCTTATCACACGCTCGCGTTTTCTTCACGCACAGCAGAACGCCGGCCTCAGCCAGGAAGCCAGCCAGCCTGGGAGCCCGGCCCAGTTGCCAGCCCAGTCGCCCAGACGCACCCTTGCGAAGCGGTGCAGGTGTTGATCCAGCGCCTGCCCCTGCAGCAGGCGATGCAGGTCGGCAGGGATGTAGCTGCTGGTGTTGAAGACCGTCTCGCGCTCCCGAGAGTCCTTGTCATGCACCTCCTCCAGCGTGTGCCGCCAACCCACGCCGTAGTAAAGGATCAGGTTGCGCACGTCCATCTCCTACGGCACATATAGGGAATGGGGACGTGGTTGATTGAGAACAGCAACATGGTAAATGGAACACGCTGTCCAGGGACACTTGTTCCAATCAAAGTTGCAACTCATGCAAGAGCGAAACACCGATACCGGTTGCTCCTCGCACGCGCCGATATGGGTTTGCGGGCAAGTCAGACGCAGCAGGGACTCTAGCCGACCCATGGTTCTGAATGCAGCGACCTTGAAATCCCCCACGACTAGGACGACAAGTATAACACGGTACACAGCCCTTGATGAAGAGCTCCTCTAGACCCAACCAGTCACATGCCCAGCCGCACCTGCTCCAGAACCATGATGAGGTCGAACTGTGCCAGCATCTGCTGTGCCATGCTCAGCATTTCCTGCGTGACCCCGCCCAGCGGCGTGTGGTAGGCCTTCTCTCCCAGCAGCGACCTGGTGAAGTAGTTGTCCACGATGGCGGGACCCAGCTCCTGCGTGCGATAAGGGCATGGAACGCACGGGCATGCAAGCATGCTGGATAGGGTTGCCTTGTTGGTAGGAAATGCACAACGGGAACGGCATCTGAGCCAGATCAGGTTGGCCACTTGTAAGGGCCCCCATGGTGTACCGGGGGCCTCACACGCTTGCACGTCGAATACACACCTGCCAGAATGAAGACGTGCGGTCCTTGTACATCATGTTGAAGAGCTCGGTGTCATTGTAGCCGCGGTCGCCGCTCATCGTCCACATCACGAATTTCATGTGAGATACCAGCCGCTTCAGAGGGTCCCTGTGAACGTCAGCATATGGCAGCAATGTAAGCTAGCGTTGTACGGCAAACGCTGGCAGGGATACCTGGCGCTGACTTCTCCAAGTCCCATGGGTGATAAAAGGAATCCTCGGCCCTAAATGGCCATGTTGAGTGTTGCATGCAAGAGAACCTGCCAGTCTGCCCAACCAATGTGCCCAGGCTCCTCCAAGAGCGCGTACCCCTCCCGCCCGCCACGACCCACCGCATCACAATGGCATTAAAGAAGTCGCTGCAGATGTGCGCGTCCTTGACGTCCTCGTGCCCGCCATGCACCGTGTACTCGTTGGAGTAGTAGTTGTAGCCGTGCGCGTGCATGTAGCGGTGCCGCGCGTTGCAGGCAGCCGTGGTGTGACTCTTGCGGTAGTTGCCGTACCGGGAGAACCTAGCGGCGCAGCAAACGTAGGCAACAACGAACGCTGTTTGTGACAAGCCCGGTAACATGCAGAATAAACCAGCGTTGCCAAACAAGCCATCACAGACGGTGTGCTCCTTGCCCAGGCCCAGGCTTGCCCGTACGCCTGCTGTTTTATACGCACCTGTTTAGCACGTACTTGGGCACCCGGTACACGGGCACTTGCATCATGTGGTAGGTCATGTTGAGCCAGCGAACCTTGTCGTCAAACTTCTTGATCTGGCACACATAGGACTTGTCGTACCGCTCCGTCACGCAGCCGTTCAGCTCTGGACCGCGGCGAGGGCAGGGAAAGGCGCGTATAAAGGTGGCAGGAGATGGGACGAAAGTATAGGCCCCTAACACCCTTGCAGAGCAACTCGCTGCGTACATACCCTTTACAACTACAGCTCTTCCTCAGGCACGCATGACACGACCGTCGCTATCAGGGCTGCCCACGCTGCCACCGGCACCTTCCTTACTGCCACCGAGCTCGGCCCCACATGTCCAACCATCTTCATTTGCCCCTTGGCTGCCGGTGGCATACTGTACGGCGCCCAACCCGCGGCCCCACCTGCCACGTGGCACCAGCTGGTCCCTCCCGACTTCGAGATGTGCAGGTACTCCATGATGGCCTTCTGAGCGGCCCCAAGCCGGTGCTTCTCGTACAACTACAGGGGGCCAGCAGCGCATAGGTTTGCTAGGTACAACACCGGCGGGTATTGGAGGCGGTTGACGTCGAGAAACAGCAGCTATCGCAACTGCAGTTTGCTACAAGGAGAGCTTCAACGAGAGGATGTACGAGGATAAGGCACCGGGGTAAGGACAAAAGAGTAAGGCAGAGAAGCCGTGGAGTAACACCTATTGATTGTGTGGGTTGAAGGAGCTTGACGGCTTCCACAAGCAGATCCCAACCAAGCACCATGCATTTTGTCCCATTTTGGAATCTAGAATGATGCCCAACACCACACGCTTGCGACCGCTTCAGTTTGGCCCCCCAACCATACCCACACCAGGTTACTTACCTTCACCATAACCTCCTTCAGCTTCTCTGAGCTGGCCTCAGGAAGACGTTGCCCTTCCTTCAGCCACAGCTTTAATAGTGATGCCACGACAAGCCTCCGTACTAAAGGGAAGCTTTGGGAGTTGTCAAGTTTTGGTACAAGCTCGATGACACGGTCCGCCCATTCGTCGATTGTTGCAGTAGTCAATGATGGGACAACTGTCAAGCCCAGTTGTCGCGATCTTGCATCCATATAGTCGTTCACCATCCGTAGCTTCTCGCCAGGTTTCAGCGTGGCCACAGCAAGCAGTTCATCCAGGTGTGACAGAAGAGCCTCCCTCTCGGTAGCATTTGCTGCCGCCTTCCCATAATATGTTGAGAAAGCTGTATGGATTACGTTTGCAGAAGCAGGGGATAGCAAGTAGAGGACTATGAGAAGGACTACCGCCGGTAGTAGCCCAGACTGTGACCTAAAGGCTTGCAACATATTATAACAATAACACCATACGGTAAGGGATGCACGGCTAAGACTAGCTTGTTATATGCGCGCCAAACGCAAACATTCTCAGGGTAGCTAAAAGATGGCAACACCCGTTGAAATATGGTCCGTCACAATATGTAAAAGTTATTAGGCACATACGTATAAATTCTTTGCCGGGCACCGTGTACACATCTACAGGGCCAGCGGCAACTCCGGCAAAGGTTTTGGATTAATAAGCCCGTACAGCTTAGTTGCAAAGCGTCTTTAGATTTATACGGCAGCATGTTTCACATATCCATTTGCTTTCGAGTTGTTACTATTAGGCATTAATTACACGCTGGTAAACTAAGGTGGTGCTCATCCATGTGAGGCCAAAGCACAACGACAAACTATCGGAGGCAATCAAAGGGCCAAGGAAAGCTACGTCCCACCGTATCCAATAACCTTCGCGGACGCAGTAAACAGCCACGGGACCCATGGTTCATTCCTCCATTCGAACGATCAGCACCTGTTGGACATGCCAGGCCGCCTGCGTACATTCCCTGGTTTCGTCATATCAAGCCGGGTAGGGACAACGCCTGACGACCCTACTCTAAAGCTATAGGGCAGCAGGGCCGAGAGGGGCTTGCAAGGGGTGGCCCACTACTCACCCAACCGCCAATAGAGTACACTGAAGTCAGGTCAGCAGTACCGGTATTCGCAGCAGAAAATAATCACATATGCTTGCATACCAGCCATCAGAATATCCTCATCCCCCTCTCCTAATGTCTGGAGAGACGAAGGCCATGCTGCCTACTGGATACGTGCAAGTCGCTGGAGAGCATCGTCTGCCCCACAGCCTCCTACAAATGGAGCAGAGCTGAGGTCCGCCGTCCCTCTGTATACCGTTTTGCACCCTCTTGGCTTACTGCACTAGCCGCCACCTTGACTGCAGACAGACGTCACGACCGAGGCACGGCCGAATGGCCCTCTCCTAAAACGATTGCGCTTAGCTGCCGATATAGCACGAACGGGCATGTTAACCTCCACAATGCATCAGCGTCTTTCAAGTCCGCTACTGAGACAGTGCAAGCGTAGCAAGGAGGCGTACGAAACAAACGATATAATTCAACGATACTGAAACAATGCCGGGTTGCCGGCATGAATACGACCCAACAGGCCTCATGCGTGTCCACCCTTATAAGGGTGCACGATAATGCAGCAACCACTACCTATGTAAACATCCATGTCAGCCCCGCTATCAGCGCCATATCTGACTGCTAGTGCTACTGCTTGTATTGCTGCTCCCGTTGAGCGACATCTGCACCGGGTGGCTGGTCACGTAGCGCCGCAGCTTGTTGGGCACCGTGGTGGGGCAGGCCTGCGGACGTGCGGAGGCAGCAGGGCGGCAACAACATGAGCTCAGGTCGCCGGCAACCGGCATGGTGGTTAGGGAAGTCGCAGCCATCTGGGTCGGAATCCCCGCTGGCCCCATTGCATACCGGTACAATTGTCTAACGCTGTGTCAATGTGTCGCCAGTCGCCATTATGCAAATCTTCGGGCCCTTCCATGAAGTCCTCAACGGCTTTGTGTGGTTACAAAGCCTACGAAAGCGCCTCCGCCTGATACGAACAGACACCACGCAAGGCAGGCACAACCCATTGCACGGTTTGCACCCACGTACTCCCTAACCTGCGGGAACATGATGTCGAAGTTGTACTGGTCGTTGAAGTGCGGCTGCTGCTCCGGCAGCACGGCACTGCGCTGCCGGGCGGTGATGCGGCGGGACACCTCGTCCATGGCCCTGCGGGAGGGGTGTGTGCGTGTAAGGGATTGCAGCGCCCCTGTCAGTGAGAGCTGTTGGGGTGTGGTAGGTGCCGCACGCCGTACCACTGTGATGAAAAGGCTTATATACAGACATGGCGGGGCGTTTCTGACGGAAATTTGCGGTTATCATGCGGTCTACCTGATAAGGGCGTCCGTCGCAATCTTGATGTCAATGTCTGGTCCTTGGTAGCGGACCTGAGGAGTGAGACGCGTGCACATGCTGACGTACTCTACAGCAACTTGGTAGCGCAAGAGAGGAGTCTGATCTGATTTGGCTCAGCTGTAGCGCACCAAGCACCAACCAGGAGGTATGGTAGGCACGACTTTGCTAGCACGCCAGGACAACTGCACCAAGTAACACCACCGCCGCCACACCCTCCCAGGCCCCACCTGTTCATAGTACGCGCCCACGTTGTGCGCCAGCGAGGGGAAGAGGTTGAGCATGTTGCCGGTCTGCGTGTCCTCCCACCCCACACCCGCCAGCTCCAGCAGCGCTGACTCGCCCGCCGTGGTGGACGTCACGAACGTCAGCGCGGCGCCGTGCACCCCGATCAACACACCCGTCCTGGCGGGAGGTTGGCGAGAGGGCAGGGGGAGAGGGCGGTAGCGCGTGGAGGTCGGGGTCGGCCCTCCCAGCAAGCTGCTGGAGTGACCCATGAAAGCCTGAAAGTGCATCCCAACCCCTACTTGATGGGTTATATGCTGATAGGTTATGGGTCCGGTGGATTCAGCGGATAGGTTTGCCTAGTTAGACTAGTAGTTCGTCAGAGTTGGTGCTCCCTTTTAGCCCCCACCCCCCACCTGTAAATGGTCATGAGCTGGTCCGGATAGTACGGCCAGTCGCTGAACTCCCCGAACACCAGGTCGAACTGCACGGACGACTCGCGGCAGCCCGCCAGGCCCTCCTCGCCGCCGTAGTAGCGGGCCAGCAGGCAGGAGCGGGAGTTCCACTCCAGGATGGCGGACTGCAGCAGGGAGGGCAGGAGGGGAGGCAGGAAGAGAGAGAGGGAGGGAAGAAGTTGATGGAAGCTGAGGAAGGCAGTTTGTCGGACAGACACAGTAGGGGAACGCGAAGCATGGGCTTCGCCCCCTTGCATGACTACAGCGAACAGCGACATCCCGAGACGGGAACGAGAGGCTCTGCGCCCCCAACTCAACACCCCCAGCACCCTCCTACCCTCACCTGCAGCGCCGTGACCACCTGGTTTTCGTTGGGCACCATGCGCGCCGACTGCCACTCCGTCATGCCCGCCCCGCTGGTGAGCCGCAGCGCCTCCAGGTTGCGCCGGCTGGTCCACACCACCGACCGCCGCACGATGCCGCCCGTCTCCGAGGCGTGCTGGTGCGCCCGGGCCAGGTAGCCGGGGTCCAGCTCCTTGTGCAGCGTGCGCAGCCATCTGGGTCAGCGGGAAAGGGAGGAGGGTGCAGGAGGGGAGCGTGCGCAGCCATCTGGGTCAGCGGGAAAGGAAGGGGGGTGCAGGTGTGGAGTGTGCGCAGCCATCTGGGTCCCTAGGAAACATGGCGCAGAGTGCAGCCATCTGGGTCAGCGGCATCGGTCGAGTGTAAGCGTGCAAAAAGGTAAGGTTGGGAAAAGAGGATGAGAGTTCTGGGAGGGAAAGGGATGCACTCCCATGTCCAGCGCTGTGCCTCCCACACACCCCCTTTGCCTCCGCACCTGTGCACGCCAATCATGACAGGCGAAAAACAGTTGGAGGTGTTGGGGTTGGGGTTGAATGCGATGGAGTTGGTGAAGGCGTTGATGAAGAGCGCGGTGCGGAAGCAGGTGTTGGGCGGGTAGGGCGCCTCAGCTAGGTGGCGCAGGCGGTAGGGGTAGGAGATGGCGGCGTAGGTGGGGCGGTAGGAGGCGTGCGGCATCTGATCTGCGATCACCAGCTGCACGCCGCGCTCGCGAACCTGCGCGGCAGGTGTGCGGACGGGCACGTGGAGGTGTCGTCAAGTCCATGACAGGCGGCAGCAGTGCGGTGCGGTGCTGCTGCCGCACACTGCCATGAACGTTTGCCATCAAACATGCTGGCATGCATGCCGCAGCGTACCGCACATGCCATTTGGTCCAGTTGCCAGTACAGTTCATGACACTACTATTAACATCTCCTGTGCAGGCCAGCTCAAGCACCACCGCTCCCCGCCCTCCGCTTCTCCTCCCTTGCCACCACCCTCCCTCAGGGCCTCAGCCTCACCTCCGGTAGGTCCGCCACCGCCAGGCTGGTGAAGATGGTTGCCAGCACCTCCAGCTCGTGCAGCGTGTGCGTGTAGCGGTCGCGAAGCACGAAGGCAACCGGGTGCTCCACCACGCGGCCGCTGGAGGGGTCGCAAGCAGAGCGTACCTCCTCGTAGGCGTTGTCCTGCAGGGTGTGTGTTGCGGAGGAGGGAGCGGGGGCTACGGAGGGTGAGGAGGGTCCGGCGTGCGGGTCGGACCCTCATCGCGCGTACAGCAGGGCGATGCACGTACAATGTATGCCTTCTGCTCCGGTACTCCTGCCCTCCATCTGCAGAGGCGTGCAGCGCCACCCACCTACCCCACCTGCGCGTTCATCCACCACATGCGATTCTTGTAGCCCTTGGTCAGGTTGCGCTCCCCCAGCAGCGCCACCTTGACGCCGCAGCCCAGCTTGAGCGCACCGGACTGCGCCAGGGGGAGGGCGTGGGTGCAGCATGGCTAACGACCCCGTTAACGGTCCGGTTCCAGCAGGCCGGACGGGTAAGGTGCCGGCCATCTTAACGCGTTCTGGCCTGCTCACAAGGCCAGCTCTAGCATCCCTCACCACCTACCGCGCACCTGGACGGCCACGCAACCTTCTGGCACCGCACGAGTGACCCCCCCTACACACGCGCCTGACGCATGTTACGGCGTGTACCCATCATGCGCATACCTTTGGCTTCGGAAAGCGCACTTCGAAGCCCTCGTGCTGTCCGTCGTACAGTGCGCAGGAGTCCAGCACCACGTTGCGCCCCACACACAGCAGCTGCGCGTCCTTGTAGCCCACGTTGCGCGGCATCAGGGGCTGCAGGTAGCAGCCCACCGAGGACTTGTAGCTGGTTCCGACGGCAGTAAGCTCCGGAACCTCCGTGTCCGGCTCGAAGATTGGGCCCAGGGCCTCGCCTTTGCGCTTGGCGGAGGCTGAGCCGTCGCCATCGTCTTTTCTCCGCCAGGTTTGGGTTCCGCTGCTGTCGCTGTCAGCATCATCGTCGTATGCGTCCGAGGTTTCCCCGTCATTTGCTTTATTGGCGTTTACTTGGTTGAGGATTTTATATATGAGGCCGCTGCTGCTGTTCCCTGCAACATGCAGGCGTCGGTGGCTGCTATTGCTACTTTCGCTGCTGCTGTTCCCTGCAACATGCAGGCGTCGGTGGCTGCTATTGCTACTTTCGTTGCTGCTGTTCCCTGCAACATGCAGGCGTCGGTGGCTGCTATTGCTACTTTCGTTGCTGCTGTCGCCTTGCCCTGCAGAGGCGGCACTGCTGCCGGGCAGAAGGTTGTTGTGCTGGCCAGGCCCATCCGTGCTGGCTGCGGCACCGGTGGCCACGTCGTGCTGTCGTACAGATCGCCGCTGTGTTCCTGCCGCAGCACCAACTGTCGCATTTGACAGCTTTGCCACTGCCGCCGCTTTGCGGTATTTCGCCATCTGCTTCTCGTAGCGCGTGCGTAACTTTAGCAGTGCACTTGAGCCCCGCTGCGCGCCGCTTAGCGTGCCGTCGGTGTTCAGCTTCGCCTCAGAGGTGCACATACGGAAGTGATGAAACTTCTGGTCTGTAATGAATGTGTAGCCATAACGCTTCTCGCACTCGTCGGACAGCCTAATGCCCAATTGGTGCATGTACTCTATGCCCTCTCTTACAAACCGCATTGCATCGTTGTGCTGCACGTCTTCAGCTGTTACGCTATCCACGATCAGATCGTCCAGAGTATGCCCTTTTCGCTTTACAGTCCTGGGTCTTAAGGTGCTTGCCGACGAGAACGTAAGAAGCAACACCATGAGCGACAGCCAGTAATTTGCCCCGCCATGACTGCACCCCGATGCAGCCATGGCGAGCTAATTCAAATAGCAGCTAGCACCGCAGGTCCCTCCCTAGCTAGCCAAAAGTTCCATGGGATTCGTTACGCATCTCAACTGCACAAATATTGAAGCTATGCTAACGGGCAATCTGATCTATGGTAACTCTTGGAAATGTCAAACGGCAGGTCGCTTATGACAGCGGAAGCTAACGCTGTTTGCCTGTTTCCTTTCAGCCTCCGTACCAAATGCCGACGTGAGTGAACCTATTACGTAAGATTGGGATATTGCAACGATAGTAAGCTTTGCCACCTATGGGTGGGGAGTTACTGGTAGTGGGCAACGTAGGTGGTGTAAAGGCGCCATGCTGCGAGCGCCTGCTGCGAGCGCGTACTGCCTTCGTACAAGTCGTACATGCCGATACGGCACTCCCACAGACTGTATCACTGTAGCCGCAATAAACAGACTGCGCGCGCAGGCAGCGCCTTCTGCCACCCACGTACGCTGTACTGGTATGCTAGCACTGACGGCTGCCTCTGGGCCTTCATGTGTTGCTGTGCGTACGCCTACCATGCAAGGTTGCAACCCGCATAAAGCTCTACACACCCAACATGCCGAACCATGCCGTCCCAGAGCGCCAGCTTCACAGCCGCAGCTCAAGTCCTTTCACCCTCTCCACGAACACACCGTCACCCCAAAGCGCACTCCGGCCTTCCCGCTTCCACCTCAAGAGCTGCCCCCCGCTCGGCCGGCCTCCTCTTCCCGCCCCCACTCCGCCGGCCACCACTCCGGCCTCACAGGCACCACACGCCACACTCCTGACCCACCAGCCTCAGCCGGCCCCGCCGCCGCGCCCGTCCCAGCCGATTTCTCCACCCCTTCCCCTGCCTGCCCGGCTTCCCCTCCCACGGCCGCTGCTGCTGCCACCCTTAGATCCACACGGCCCTCCGCCGCAGGCAATGCGGCGGCGAGCTGCAGGTAGGCAATGCCCCACCGCGCCCCGCTGGAGCCCGACTCGGTGGCACCAGCCGTCCCTCGCAGCTGACCCACGCTGCGGCCGCTGGCTGCATCCACCACCTCCGCCCCGCATGCGAGGGAGGGGGGCCCTGCATGGGACGAGGAGGGAACGGCATGGTGTCGGGAGGTCCCGGGTGAGGACATGACCGCCATTTCCCAGTGCCACGCATCTTGGCACGCAGCGAGTGACTCCGCGCGCGCAGAGGTGCCAATGCCAGCTACGCACTAAGCCCCATGCAAATCGTACAATAGGACATTACCGGTACACTGAGGTACGTCAAAGTGAAGCCCCCATGTCCCCTAACATCACCCCCTCTACCGCTCTCCCACCTGCGGCCGAATCCGACGAAGCTTGCTCAAGCGGTTCCAGACGCACGGGCATGAGCCGCCTGAGGTTGGGAGTGACAGATTCAAGGGCAGGGTGGTTGCGCAGGTCCGCAACACATGCCAACGGGAACCCCCTGGGGGCTGGCCAGGACGCAGGGTCCACTCTTGCTGGGTTGCTCGTATCACCGGAGCGCCTACTGGCTCACGTCTGTCACAATCTACCCAACCCTGCCCCCTCCCCGCACCTTCGAATGACCCCCCGGTAGTGGGTGAAGGAGTTGCGCTCCTGCCCCACGTAGCAGCCCTTGCTGTAGCTCACACCGCGCAGCACATCCACATTGTAGTCCAGCGGCGCCGCTTGGCCTGGGGCAGGGTTCGGGATGCGGCAGCGGAGGAGCGGGTTGTTAGACCACGCGTGCCGTACCATAAGCCGACACGTGTGCCGTACATGCAACATGCGGATTGAGGGCAGGGCGCCGGCGCGCTTGCCAACCGTCTTCCCCGGCGGCAACTCCACAGCGCCTCCCCCGTCCCAGCCCACCTGCGGGTATCTCCGCCTCGCCCTCCGCCACCCCCAGCCGGTAGCGCAGCGCCCGGTACTCCTCCTCCCCGCTGCCCGCTCCCTGCTGCTCTGCCGAGGGCCCTGACGCCGGCAGCAGCCCTCTGAAGCCCAGCTCCGGGCGCCTGGGGTCGGGGCGCCACCAGGGACCTGCGGCAGGGGGACACATGGGGCGTGCGGCCGTGACACAACACAAGCACATGTGGAAGACCAAGGCTTGCGCTTTGGTCCGTACTTTTCTCGTTTATCTTCGCGCTCATCTTTACGCCACCGCTGCGTGCGCGGTCCCCTTTCATCGCTCGAACATACCTGGCGGCTGTGCGGCGGCACCCCAGCAAGCGGCCACTCGGAACTGGCTGCTGACGTCACGGAAGGTGATGGGGCGTCGCAGCTTGTACCTGAGCAGCAGGCGGCAGGGGGCGGGTGGGCCGAAGGTATATACCGTAGGTAGCCAGCCGGGAAAAGGGGAGCGAGTTGACATTGGCACGTGCGCTGGGCGGGGATGATCAAGGCAAAGACAAGGCGACGTCTTAAACATGAGGAGAAAGGGGCTCAGTCGCCTGCTGCCGGCCCCACCCACCGGTTCAGCAGCTGCAGCGCTGCTGCCGCCCCGCTCCTGTCAACGTCGATGAGTACAGAGTCCGGTCGCTCTGCACGAAGGGGAGCAGGAAAGGAAGGGGAGGAAAGGGGGTCTGCTCGGTGGCTCTGATCATTTCCTCACGAGTCCCTGGGAGGAACTGGAGGATGGGTGCATGCGAGGTAGAGTGCAGCAGCTGTTAAACAGCACGCCATGAGATTTAAGACTAGGCTTCGAGGTATACCACAAGGCACGTGTGGCCACGGAGGGAGGTCATACATGGTACGCCTAGAGGGGTCCAGACAGCCCCGGTGCAGGTCTTACGTGGCTAGCTGCTGCATGCACCTAGGAGAGGGAATCCGGACGGCATGACGCAACACGACGTACCTGGATGCGGGAAGATGAGCACGTCGTGCAGGAACTTCCCCTTGGGCGTTAGGATGGTAGCGTACACGGGGGGTTGCTGGGGCCCTGGGGGCGCAGGGCGGGGGCACACAGGCGGGGCGGCAGGATGGGCATGGCTCTTGACTCAGGCAACATGCCTACGAGCTCGTGTGTTCGTGTTGCGCTGGGTGGGTAGCGCTGCGCTGATCGGCATCGGGAGGTGACCCGGGGCGCGAACCAGAGATGCATCAGCCAGCACACGGCCTCACCCGCGTTTTCAAGCGGTCGTACGTCGTTCGTGACGATGCCCTGTAAGGCACGACGACCGCCGGGTCGGCCACAACACAGGTTGGAAAGGCCTCAGCTACCGTTTTTGAGCAAGGTAAGGCCGGTAACTGCATGCATGGACGCACCTGCAGAAAGTTCAGGACTTGGGGGCCCTCGGCCTGCAGAACGCCGCGTGATTGGAGGACAGCAGTCTGGCTTGCGGGGTCAACCGCTGCCGTTGCCAGAGCACGCCATAAACGTGAGTATGCAGTTGCATGTGCGCAACACCTATTTGCCAGTGGCAAGAGGCTGGCACCGTGGTGCCGCGACATGGCGTAGTCACGTAAGTGAGTCCAACTCAGCGCTAAAAGCAATAACAAATAATATCCGCTACTACTCTTTGCGATGCGAGTCCATCCAATACATTGCAACACAGCAACGACAAAGTTTCTGGTCATCGCGTCATACGGCACTTTAATCATACTATAGATTGGAAACAATCATCACTCAAGTGCAACAATGATGCTGTTAGAAGCACACAAATGCGATCTTTAGGCTACGTGTCTAGAAATCCTAGTGTTCAAAGGAGCAGTCGGATACCGTCCCGCAGGCCGAATGCTAGCAGAGCCGTGACGTCCCAAGTGCCTCCACCATTGCCCCAACCTGAACAAAGCTCTAATGGCATAGAACTGCATGGAGGGTTGCCGCGGGAGGACCCCTTCCACTGGTTGCAAGCAGGCCGCAGGAATCCGCGTGTCATAAAGTACTTGAAGCAGGAAAATGAGTACTGCAAGCAGCAGCTCCGTCATCTGGCGCCACTGCGTAAGCAGCTCGAAGAGGAGATCGCGGAGCTGTCATGGCGTCAGGTGTTATTGCTTGCAGCGCAGCAGCCACAACTTGCCGTATCGGACGCCGACTCCGATACCCAATGTGGGAACTATGTGTACAGGCGAGAAACTGCATCAGACTGCGCTGGGGGTGTCCTACACGTGCGTGTTCCCTTCCGGCGCATTACGACAGCATCTCCACAACAATGGCCTGCACCCGACCCCAACAGCGGCAGGGGCGACCACTCCCTGCAACTTGACGCCGCGCTGATAGTTCTTGACGAGCAGCAACGTGCCGTAGCTGCGCCGGGCGCCGAAGCGCATGACATCTGCTCCTTTGCACCCAGCCCCACTTTCGACCTCGCCGCTTTCACCGAAAGCGTGCACGCGGATTCGGGGGATGCCCAGTCAATCGACCATTACGTCCTGTATGTAATCAACGCGGCAACAGGCGAGCCACTGCTGCAGCCGCTGCCGGACGTCAGCGGCGATTGCGGATGGACCACCCTAGGCGGGTGCGGCTCCACTAGCAGCGTCACTCGAGGCAACGACACCGGCGCCAGTGGCGGTGGCGGCAGACTTTACTTCACGCGCGCAGATCACCGGGAGTTATGGTGCCTTGAAGTGCCGCCCATTCCAGCTGCTGGCACAGCCAGCGGCGGCAGCCACTCAAGCGCCGCCCCCAAAGACCTCCGTTTCTCCACGTCCCCACCCAGTCTTGTGTTCAGGGATTCCGACGGCCAGCCACTTCAAATTATACGACGGGGGCGGTACCTGTACTGCGAGACGCTGGGGAACAGCGGCGTACCGCTGGAGATCCGGCTGCTTGGTTTGGCTTGTGCCTCAGAGCCCGCCGGTAACAATGATCCTAGCGCTGGTCAAGCGCATGGCTTGGAAGGGGCAAGTCCCGTTGACGATGGGGCTAGGGCAGCTAGCGGCGAGCAGGATGCAGGGCAAATGCCGGCTGACAGCGATGCGGGCAGGATCCTGTTGCCGCGCCGGCCGGGCAGGCAATACAGCGTACTTCCTTTCGAGGCCTCCAGCAAGCAAGGCGACCCGCGGGTCAGCAATGACAGCCAACGTGGGGACTGCCAGGAAGCGAGCCTGGCGCAGCACGCACACGGCTGCTGCAGCAACACGGCGGTGCTGTGGCTGCGTGACTTGGAGCACCCCAACGGCAGCCTGTTGCTGGTGCCGTTGGGCGACGTGGCAGCACCGGCGAGCATTGCTGCTGCGGGTGCTGGCATGGGCACAGCGTCCATGGTGGGGGCGTATGGCGGGGTTCCCGGGGCTGAGGGCTCGGGGATTCGCGGCGTGCGCCTGGTGTTGGGGCACGCTGAGGGAAGGAGGCTCCCGAGGGGGTTGCATGGGGGCTTGCATGCTGAGCTGCACTCGGGGGAGCTGCACTCGGTTGGCGCCGCACCTTGCTTCATGTGCGCGTGCGGTAGCTTTTGAGGCACGGCTTTGAGGGGGCTTGCCACAGCAACATATGCTTTTGCAGCTCTTGCGTTCACTGACTTGCTTCCTACGACCTAGTAACGCCCGATGGTTGCCTCTGCAACTGCTTTTTGTTACTTCTTCCTAACTAGGTTACGCATACGTCAAGTTACGACCTGCTTCTGCGCCCCATCCGCCCGCCCCCCTTTTGCCCTCCAGCCCCTCAGCGCACCACTCCTCCGCCTAGTTCCGCACGACTCCAGCTCCCGTATCGTACACGTGGAGGCACGTACGCCCGGCAAGCTGCTGCTGGTGCGTGTGGCGGTGGATCAGCGAGGTGACCCGGCGGGTCGGTACGAGATGGAGGTGCTGCGGGTGTCATGGGGCAGCGCGATGCAGCACTGGGCCGAGGCGAATTCGGCAGACGACCGTGGTCTGCAGGGCAGCGATGGAATCTGCCAGCAGGCTAGCCGGAGCCTTGTCACAGCGCACCAGCATGCCGCAGTCAACCTACCCTCAGCGCAGCGGCACGGGGTGTTGCAAGTGGTGGCGTGGGACGAGCAGGACAACAGCGTCACCCTATCGTACAGCAGCCTTGCGTTGCCGCCCGTGCTCGCCACGGTCAGGCTGCTACCGTGTTGTGAGCCTTCAGCGTCGGCAGGGGTATCCGCATCCGGCGGCGCTGGGGTTGCTGCGAGGGCTGGCGCCCCTGGTGCTCCTGCCGCGGCAGCAGCTTCTCACGGCGCCGCGTCGCCTGCTGGCAAAGGGCCTGACACCAGCGTTGTGGAGTTGGAATGCGGGAAAGGTGACCCATGGGTCGTGACGGAGAGGCTGTGGGCTACCTCTCATGATGGCGCGCAGGTCCCCATTACTCTCTGTAGGCCAGTCCGGTGCAGCCGCGGTGACGGAAGGTAAGGATACAAACCTCTACAACCTTTGCAGCAGGTTGGTGATGAGATTGGTTCTACCTGGCTATGGCCTCTTGTGCCCCACGTGTCCTCCCTCCCTCAACACACCCACCCGCTCCGCCCGCAGCAGCACCCCCTCTACACAATCCCCACCGTCACCCCTGCTGCTCCAAGTGTACGGCGCGTACGGCATGGACCCTTCCCTGGACTACCAGGCCTCACTGCAGCCCCTGCTGCGTCGCGGCGTGGCGGTTGCGGTGGCGCATGTGCGCGGTGGCAGCTTGCTGGGCCCTGCCTGGTACGAGGGCGGGCGCGGGGCGCACAAGGCCAACAGCCACCGGGACCTGCTGGCGGCTGCGGCGCACCTGGTGGCGTGCGGCGTGACGGAGCCGCAGCTGATGTGCGTGGAGGCCGAGTCAGCAGGTAGGGACGGGGAGGGACCAGGAGGGCGCAGAGGACGGCAAAGAGCAAGGATGACGAGCGCTAAGCGGACACGGTCCTAGGAGTGTGCTTGCGCTAGCGGGCATCCACCGTTTAAAGATACGGCGAAAGGGCGTCGACCGTGGTCCTGGCGGAATGCGGTAGAATAAATTGAGCTTTGGGTGGCGTGTCGAGTAATACGAGTGGGTTGTGTGCCATCCTGAGGAACCACCACATCGCTTGCAGGAGGTTGGGCTGTGGGTCCCGCTCTCGCTGTCGCTGGTACCGACCTGTTCCGCGCCGCCGTGCTGACGGTGCCCACCCTGGACGTGATGACGTCACTGCTGCAAGACCCGTCGTACGGCCCCTACGAATTGGGCGACCCGCGGGTCGACGCAAAACTGTATCGCAGTATAATGGAGTGGTCACCTTACGACGGCCTGTCTGGTAGCCGTCCGGGGCCACCATTCCCAGCACTGTTCGTTCGGGTTGGCTTGTACGACACGAAAGTACCTTACTGGGATCCAGCCAAGTACATGGCACGGTTGAGGAGCCTGGGGCATGGCCGAACAGACCCCACGCTGCTGGTGATGCAAGTAAGTACGCCTTGCACCTACTGAAGCTTGTCTTAGACCAACTGTAACGTCACGTACAAGGGTTCCTGCGTATTACTGCGATGTCAACCCTGATCTGTTAACCCCATGCAATGCCTTCTTGTCAGGCATGCCGTTTAAATCCCAAATCTGTTTGCTCTTATCCCTCTGATGCACGTGTCCCCTGTGACAGGTGAAACTAGGCGGTCACGAGGCGTACGACTCAGTAAAAGAAGATGCCGCGCGATGCGCCTTTGTGCTATGGGCCGTCGGTGCGTGGCCGGAAGGAAACACTGATGCGGCACGTGATTTGGGGGAGGGCATGCCATGGCGGTTGCCGTCCTAGTTGAGCGACAGGTTATCAACTTTTTAATTTACGTCCCAACACCATTGGTCTTTTAAGCGTCCAGGACTCGAGATAGCCTTGATTAGCGCCCGTCTTAAAGATGCATACTATAGGTAGTTTTCTCCCACCCCCTCCCCTCTCGCTTCTTTTTCCCCCGCACGTCTACACACCCTCACACAACCCCTTTATCACGCATGGGGAAAACGACGACAGCCTTCGAGAGCAGCGCCTTGTCCGGCACCCTATCCTAGGCCCCTGAAGCAGCATAGGTGCCCAACAGCACTCCCTCATGGTATTGTCTTCTTCTTTTCTCCTCTTAGCCAGTCCAACCATATGTCCTCCTCAGCACATTTCCGCTCCTGCTTGGGCATGTCCGAGTCCTTTTCATTACGCTTGCAAAGCAAGGAACTATTGCCGGAAATCCACGTGAAGTAAAGTGGCATCCTTCAGGACAGTTAAGAATTATGCTCAAACTTGTGGAAAAGCGATAACAGTCTGGTGTGCCTATGGAAAGGGTAACATTTCGCCACTCTTGCATTGGAATATAACTTTGTGAACTTCATAATGTTAAGCAAAGCGTCCTTATAAGTTGGAGTAACCTGCATTCATGCAGACCCGCCGCCGGCCGCCTCCGTACGGCAAGGCGCTGAACTTAGTCTCTCCTCGACAAGCTTCTCTCCCTCTCCCTGCGACCTTCTTTCGTTGCTGTTGTTCCTTGTATAGCCAAAATGGGCGGCGAGAACGTGCGCCTCTACGTTAAGGGCCACATTCTGGGCTACAAGCGGTCCAAGGCCAACCAGCAGAACCACACCGCTCTCCTTAAGGTTGACGGTGTTGCCACGAAGAAGGAGACCGCTTGGTACCTGGGCAAGCGCATCGCTTACATTTACAAGGCCAAGACCGAGAAGCAGGGCACCAAGTTCCGCTGCATTTGGGGCCGTGTCATGCGCGCGCACGGCAACGTTGGCGTTGTCAAGGCCAAGTTTGCGTCCAACCTGCCCCCAATCAGCCTGGGTGGAGCTGTCCGCGTTATGCTGTACCCCAGCCGCGTATAATTGGTGCGATGGTCGACAGAGGCGAGCAGCGGCGGCGCTTTTACGGCGTCATGTAACGGTCTTCTGATGGAATATATTGTGTCCCTCCGTATTCGTTTCTTTTAACGCACGCCAGGCGAAGTTACGGTTAGCATGAAATATCTGCCCCATGGAAAGCAGCTTAGCGATAGCATTGTGTTACAGCGAAAGACAGCTCAGAGGTTACGCAGCAGCTGGAGAACACCTAGTAGGAGGGGCATCAGCAGGAGCAAGGGACTACAGCATACCGGTGAGGAGAGATGGGGCAGGGGGGAGGGCTTGTGGGTGTTTGCCTTGGTTATAGGAAGTACATTATCAGCAATGTGATGGTACATTTTACCAAAGCCTGTGTGTGGGGTGCATTGGTGCCTTGCTCTAGCGTCATAGTTGGTGTGTGCGCCTGTCTCCTAACTGTAGCTGGTTATGCGCGGGTGCGAGTTTGAACCTCCAGGCAGCATGTGCTTTTGAAGGGGATGGACATGGAATCCATGGCATGTGAGGGCTATGCTAGCGCATGTTAGCAGTGCCGTCAGCTGAGGATGGTAGGCGGTCATCTCGTGCCCACTTGGCATGGGGTCCATCCATGATCTAATGCGTTGCGCATTGATGTTTTCGCCTTACCCGCGCTGTGCTATTTTTGGTGTTGTATGAAGCGTAAACGCCGCGTTGTATCGAGGCATTGCGTCACGGTGCTGCGCTGAGGGGTACATGCATGCACCAAGGCGGTGTTGCCTCTCCAGGGGATTTCTGCCGTATGACCCAAGTCCTAATGCAGAGGCTTTACGTGAAACAGTCCGTCTGTTGTGCGATGCGGTAACTTTGGGCAAGCATGCTTGAGAGAACACTAATGGGCGTGGGGTATTAAGTCATCGTGGTTAACGGCCAGGGATACTTGATGAGCATGCTGAAAGGGTGTGTTAACTGGCCGCGAAAGTGTGTGTGTGTGTGTGTGTGTGCTGATAATGCTTTCGACGAATGTTTTTAGTATGCACGGTATTCCTGGGTGTGGGCGCTCGGACGTGGTTGGCTAGCTGTGGGGATGGGTGGGGGTTGGACGCAGGGCTCTCAGCAGACACCGGAGAGGGACTCTCAGCGGACATCGCAGCCTTTCTACTCAATCTTGACCCAGATAGACGCAGTTGTGCGCCGGCAAAGCAGCAGTCAGGAAACGTTGGTCAAAGCAAACATCAAATGGGCCGTCTCCTCCGGCATGCATGTCGCTCGATCACTTTCAGATTTCAGGCTTTTGAGGGGACTGGTGTGCATCCAGGTGTGCCCCTGTGGTCACAGCAGATATGCACATTGCGCGATAGGTCGAAGAACATTTGCGGGGTGTCTATTAAAGCCAATAGCAAATAATGATACAGACGTGTTCTTCCATGTATTTACATGTGTAGCATACCATACGGAAACGAACGCCAAGGTAAGTTTGGTTACAGGGAGTAGAAGGAAGGCAACCGGGCGTAGCAACGGGGTTTCTAACGGATGGCTTATTCATTGGAGTTCACAGGCAAATCCTCACAACGGTTAGTCTATATGCTTATCCGCTGCTGAACAGTGCAACTCCGGCATGTACAAGCATCTACTAGGGCTAGCTGGTAAAACCTAATGTGCATGGGCCATCTGTATCTTGTAAACCTTGTTCTCGTGACGCACAGTGTATAGTTGGTACAAAGCCCCTGCTTTTATCGCCAAAACGGGGCCCCATGCGTAGACATGCGAAATTACGAACGGGGCCAATAAGCGAATAAGGGCCGGTTCCAATATCCTATCAATGCGTAATCCGTGGGGCCTACCATTACACCTGTAACGCTGAACAGCACGTAAACCTGGTTTCCGTACAGCCAACATTCTGCAACTTTATGCTGACTTACTACCAGTTACTCACCTAACGTTTGAGCAGAAAACACTTCTGGCTTTACGAAGAACAGGTTTAACTGTTTTTGAAGGGCCGTGCCCAACGGTTCGTAGAAATGGTTTTCGGCCGGCCCATGACGGGCCTTACGGTTCCGGAGACCATGTGATAGAAAAATGCATGCATCCTACCACGAATTGTAACACTATTTAATGGCGGTGGAAATGTCTCACTGTTCTTATTAAATGCTTAGCAGTTGCATAACCTGATAGCTTCTTACCCTAAAAGGGGCTTAGCCCCTTAGGTGCCGATTACTAGTTCGCTTCACCTGGTGTTCACCAAAGCGCTTGGTGCATAGCAAAGAATCGCTGCTCAATCGCAGCCCTCGCCGCTCAAGGTGAGGGCTGCTCTCACGGTCCCTGACTGTACCCCATGCCGCATCCGCAGCCGTCGTCGGATCCCTTGTTTCTAGTGTACCCAAGTCCCTTTCTTATGTGAAGCTTGACACTCTGGCGTGTCTGGCAACTGGGGCTTTTCGGCCGCCTTGTTGACTGAACCCCATCTTTTGTTTCTACCTTACAGCGGCCACCAGGAGTATCTTTCCTTCTGAATTGGAGGCATAATGGGAGGAAGTAAGCGCCCATCGTTTTAACTCTGTCTATTGGAGGGAATTTCCGCAGACAACTCAACTACCGTTCTTTGCTTTATCGCAGAAGACGACCAGAAAGGGGAGGTGAAGCTAGCCGTAGGTACCTCCACGGAGGAGGTCAACTTTGAGAAGATTGATCTGAAGGAGGCGCTGTCAATCTTGAACGTAAGGATGCCTTCGATGCGGTTGTGATGACTCTGGTTACCTTTGGGCCCAGATCGTTAATATGATTTCATCATCTCTGCTTCTTCCTGCTGACACCTTGTCCGCATTTATTGCTTGTAGAGCACGCATCATGGTCTCTCAAGCGCCGAAGTAACGAAGCGCCTGGCCGAGTATGGCCCCAACAAGCTGCCGGAGAGCACACGGAACCCTTTCCTGGTGTTCTTGGGCTATATGTGGAACCCTCTTTCATGGGCTATGGAGGCAGCTGCCATCATTGCCATCTGCCTTCTCGACTACGCCGATTTCGCCCTGATTGTCGGCCTTCTTATCCTCAACAGTGTCATCAGTTATGTTGAGGAGTCAAACGCGGACAAAGCAATCAAGGTAAACTTCTGTCACTGTTGCAACAACCGTCAGCAGGTGCTGTGTTCCTACTATAACTACACTGTTTGGTTATTTCCGTGCAGGCCTTGGCAGGCGCTCTGGCTCCCAAGTGCAAAGCAGTTCGAGACGGCACCGTACAGACTATCGATGCAGTTAACCTTGTCCCCGGGGACGTCATCATCATGAAGTTCGGTGACATTGTTGCTGCGGACGTCAAGCTCTTCTCGGACGATCCTCAGAAGCCGTTTGAAAAGCACAGCGAGGAGGTTCCCATGCAGGTCAGGAAGGGTTTGTAAGGTTTGTACGACAGTTCCAGGCTACTGTCCTCCAGTGTAACTTCCGCTTCCTGTGGATTGTACTTACTTCCAAAGCCACGACCTGTATGCATGCGGCTAGCGCACAGGCGATTGAAGGAATCTTGTACTCGTGTACACGCCGATGCCACGCAGATCGACCAAGCCGCCCTTACGGGTGAGTCGCTCCCCGCCAAGAAGTACACTGGCGATGTCGCTTTCTCCGGCTCTGCTATCAAGGCAGGCGAGCGCCATGCCGTTGTGTATGCTACGGGCATCAACACCTTCTTCGGCAGGTATGGTGCCCTGCCAAATGCTTAGGGCTGTGGTTGTTTAGTGCTGTTGTATTCTGACGACGGGTTGCCTGTATCGTGCAGAGCCGCCGCGCTGATCAGCGGAACCAACAATGTAGCTAACCTGCAAGTCATCATGACAAAGATCGGAGGCATGTGCCTTGTTACCATTGGCGTATGGGCTATCATCGAGGTGATCGTCCAGTTCGCTCACTACAAGCACGGCTGCACCAAGGGCGAGGGTAAGGAGGGAACGCATGGGGCATGCCTCTCTTACAAATTGCGTGCCTTGTGCCACTCGGGCGCGAGTTCAAGCTTCGAGTTTGCACCTAAGCCTCTGCACGTTTGCACCTAGCATGAATATAAACGTAATGCTTGCCTTGGCATTTCCACAACTAAAACAATGTCTCTCCCCGATGCATTGTAGAGGGCTGCCCAACCCTTACGAACATGCTGGTGGTGCTTGTTGGCGGTATCCCCATTGCCATGCCGACCGTTCTGTCTGTGACGCTGGCCCTGGGCGCTGCTAAGCTGGCGAGGGAGGGTGCTATCGTTGCTCGCATGTCTGCTGTCGAGGAGATGGCTAGCATGGACATTCTCTGCTCCGACAAGACTGGTGGGTAATGTGTAGGTGGAGGGGGAATGGCTTAGGTTTATATATGTTCCGGACCTTACCGGTCGTTAGCCTTGGGATGCTTCAAACTTGCACTGCTGGGTGGCCTTTTTTTACCCCTGCAATCTTGCGCGCATGTAGGGACCCTGACCCTCAACAAGCTGTCGATCGAGTCCAGCAACATCTTCGTGTTGGAGCCCGGCCTGACGATCGACGACGTGCTGAAGTACGGTGCCCTGTCGGCTGACATCACCGGCGACGAGCCCATCGATGTCGTGCTGTACAACAGCTATGCGCAGGCCTCCACTCTTGCCAACCGCTACAAGAAGCTGAAATGGGTGCCCTTCAACCCCACTGATAAGTTCACTGCTGCTACCATGCTGGACCAGGAGACCGGCCGCGTCTTCCGTCTCCTCAAGGGCAGCCCACAAGTTGTGCTGAACAAGTCTTACAAGTAAGTCGGGCGCTGTAGTGTCTCGTATTTGAAAGAATGGTTGGGTTAACACAGCCAACACTCAAATGCTTATACCGCTGCGTCCTAGGTCACCTTATTGGAAGACTCATGTACATTCGATGGTAATACTCATTGCTGCATTGCTGCTCTGTGAAAACTTCTGCTCCCACAGCAAGGACAAGCTTGCCGAGTCCGTGAACGGGAAGATGGTGGAGTTCGCCAACCGCGGCTTCCGCTCGCTGGGCGTTGCCATGGCTGAGGGCGATGGCTCTGACGGCAAGAACGAGTGGCACATGCTCGGCCTGCTGCCCTTGTTCGACCCACCGCGCCACGACACCAAGAGCACTGTGGAGTACTGCCACACGCAGGGCATTGAGGTCAAGATGATCACCGGTGACCACCTGCTGATTGGCAAGGAGACTGCGCGCATGCTGGGCATGGGCGACACAATGTTCCCCTCGGAGGTGCTCATCAAGGTGGGATGGGTTGGCGGCTGTACTACGTACATCCTGTTGGGTTTGCGGCTATGTTACCACTGTGCCTCCGTACCATGTTGCTGTCTGAACATATGCCGACGACAAACGTCTATGTCGTTCTCATATACAGGCCAAGAATGGCGACAAGGCTGCCCTGGGCGAGTTCTCCAACGTCGTGGAGATGGTGGAGAAGTGCAACGGCTTTGCCGAGGTGTTCCCCGAGCACAAGTACGAGATTGTTGCTATCCTGCAGGAGGCCGACCACGTCGTGGGCATGACTGGCGACGGTGTCAACGATGCGCCCGCTCTCAAGAAGGCTGATGTCGGCATTGCTGTGGCCGGCGCCACCGACGCCGCTCGCGGTGCTGCCGATATTGTCCTGACGGAGGCAGGCCTGTCCGCCATCAAGACTGCCGTGCTGGGTGCCCGCAAGATTTTCCAGCGTATGACTACCTATTCCAAGTACACGGTGGCCATGACCTTCCGTATCTGCTTCACGTTCGGTCTGCTCACTGTCATCTACGACTGGTGAGTTGCAGTCCCTTACACCGGGCTAAGGGTACTAAGTTCGTAGGGCGAATCCAGTGCCATCGCCTGTTCCTTAACTACGTGCCTTCTGTACATCCCGCTGTGCCCTTTCACTGCACCCTAACACCGGGCTAAGGGTACTAAGTTCGTAGGGCGAATCCAGTGCCATCGCCTGTTCCTTAACTACGTGCCTTCTGTACACCCCGCTGTGCCCTTTCACTGCACCCTACATCCTAAGCACGTTCTACGCTCCATGCAGGTACTTCCCAACCATTCTCATTGTGATTATGGCCGTCTTCAATGACGGTGCCATGATTGCGTTGGCTAAGGATCGCGTGGAGCCCAGCCGCCAGCCCAATGCCTGGAACCTGAAGAACATTTTCCTTATGGGCATTGTGTACGGCCTGTACCTGGCCCTTTCCTCTTGGGCTCTCTACCAGACTGCCTGCAAGACAAGCTTCTTTGAGGACCACCTGCCCATCTTCTCGCTGGATGACCGCCATGTCTCCCTGCACAGCTGGTGCATGGACTACATTAAGGAGGTCAAGGGCATTGCGGTAAGGCGTTAAGCCGAATGTTGCGCATACTTTCGCGCTGTGCGTGGCTTGGTCACCAGAGGCTATTTGGGCTTTGGACCACCGACGATACCTAGGGTCTGATGTTTGAGCCTTCTTGACGACGCGCGCTTTATGCCCTCCGCAGGATCCGCTCTCAACCAGCGTTTGCGAAATTCCGGAGTACGCCAAGCAGGATGTTTTCGGTGGCAGCAAGGCGGCTTGCTACCTGACGGAGCACTCAGAGCAGAACGTTCACGACCAGTGCATGGTTGAGCAACGCTATGTTCGCGGTGCCATGCTGCGGTCGCTTATCTACAACCACGTGTCCATTTCCGGTCAGGCGCTCGTGCTGGTGGTGCGAAACCAGGGCTATTCGCTGACGCAGGTTGCGGGAAGCCTGACGTACGCCGCCTTTATCCTTGCCCAAATCGGTTCCACGGTTATCTCTGTCTTCGGTTTTGGCGGTTATGTTCCACCGCGGCACCGCCTAGAGGAGTGCCAGTTCTGCACCTACTCTGACCGCACGCCCATCAAGTTCTTCCCCTCCAAGGAGGTGCCCATTGAGGGTACTGAGTCGCGCTACACTGCATCCGTGCTCGGCTGCCTGTAAGTACAGGGCATCTTTGGGAAACTGGTTTGTGGTCGCCTCTTTGCTGGCGGTTTTGCCATGGCGGGGAGTCAGGTTGTTTTCTATGCTGTATCTATGTTCCACTTTTTGCATATTGTTCCTCCTGTATCCCTTACATTGTAAACCGCGCCTTTGTCTCTTCGTTTCCCATGCACAGGGGCTACGTCCTGGTCGCTTGGGTTTGGTCCGCTATCTGGTACACCCTGCTGGACCCCATCAAGTGGGCTCTCTGCTGGATCCTCAATGAGGACGGCTTCCGCGACCAGACCAAGGTTGATCGCCGCCAGGAGCTGCAGCGCAACAGCCAGGAGAAGAACACTGTGGACCTGGGTGGTATGACTGTTCCCACCATCAGCAATCCGCTGGGCCGTGCTTCTATCCAGAAGCCTGTGGCCATGGTCCTGGACCGCGCCTCAGCTGCCCTTGTGCCCGTTCACCGCACCTCGGAGGGTCTCATGCGTGTCTCGGCTGACCCGAACAAGGCCCGCGACCTGGCACGTCGCAGCCGTCTGCATGACAGCGTTCAGCGCACGAGCGGCGGTCACCAGGGTAAGGAGATTACGCGTGCCTAAGTGTACCATAGTGTAGTCGAGCATTGGTGTTTTTTACCTAGTTTTGCATTGTTCTTCCGTGGATAGCGGATATAGCGTGGCAGTGGTGGTTTACCCGCCTATTTATCGGCAAGGCGGTTCGGCGAATTGATTCCGCTAATGACTGGATGACTACGCGCATTATGCTGGTTGCCTACCCTGACAACTGATGGACATGGGGTGATTAGGTGCTGCGGCTTATATTTACCTGACAGCGCTTGCATGTGTGGTGTGTTAAGAACTGTGAGCAAATCACTTTGTCATCGTCCGAGCAGAAACGTTCGCAGCCGCAGCGGCTTAGGACTCGTTAGATGAGTTGGGAGAGTAGGCCTGGACGTGTGAATGTAGGTCTCGCGCGTGCATATATAACATCCGGACGGGGCTCACGTTTCACCGCTATATTGGTGTGCTGTGTGTCCATGCGGTTTACGCATTTACCAGCAGAGGTGACGCTACTGTGAACTTACTTGGCTGGTTTGCCATGTATTGACTTCGGGAATTGTGACGGATTTGTGGGAGGTGCTGCACTTGTGGCCCCTACATAGTTTACTGCGAAGAGTTTTTAGATGACAGCATGCGCATGGGTATGTTAGTGTCCTATCCGCATCTCTCCGTCTTTACACTTACAAGAGTACGATTCTTTTCTAGGATGCGACTCTCCGCACTAAGCGGATTGGTGTAACAGCTAAGCGACAACATTACCTGTCAACTACTGACCACGCCACGCAACGGTGCAAACAGCCCGGCAGGCTACGCCGTGGCTAACTTTGTTCGCAACCATTCATCGAGTAATGGCTTGCGAGCGTAATCATTGCATAATAGCCAACTATCAAGCAAGGTTTGAACTATGACTATCCGGCCTGTACCTTCAACAACCCGCAGCAGTCCATCTACCTGCCGAAGAGCGTCTTTGAGCAGAGGGAAATCAATTTCAGCAATTAACACGCCCAAAGCCGTTGCAAAGCGTTCTGCAACGGGCAAAGCAACCGCAATCGCCACGTCCGTATCTTGACTTTCCTCATGTTGTCGGTGTCCAGCACCGTTCGACAAGGTTGCGGGCCTCTGGTTGGGCACATGTACCCTCATTCGCAGTTCCTGAGCCAGGTGAGCAATGCTCCAGACCTTAGCAGAATGCGCCAGTGGTAGCGACCGCCAGACCTGCATTCCATCCGGGGCCAAGGGAAGTCGTGAATTGCAACCCGCCACCAGTGCCGGTAATTCCATTGTCCATTGACTCGCAGTCACCATTGCTCACCTGTCGCAATCCCCTCTCCATCAGCTCAACGTCGGCAACACTGCACGGCGGCTGACAGGTGCGTGCCACGTAAAAGGGCACCATGGACGCGGCCAAGTCGATGTCCACAGGGCGGACTGGGCTAAGCTCAGCTCGGCTGGTCTCAACTCCGCCATGAGCACCCTGAGCCTGTGACGGCATGCCATCCCCCGCTTCGCATACCCCGGCTAGCAGCGCTGCCCACACCGCATGGGCTGCCTGAGTCACGGCCTCCGGCGCACCCTTCAGCAATAGGTAGATGTACGGCAATACAGAAGCAGCGGCGCCGCCAACATCATCGACGTGTGGCACGCAAGACGCCGCCACTGGAAGGATGAAGGCCAGCCGTGACACGGCGACAGGGGCTCCTGTCTCGTACGTCGCTGCGAAAGGGCCGTAACAGGGCAACAACCCGAGCAGAGGCGCCAGGGCCTCCGCTGGAAACGCCGCCATATCGGAGCTTAGGCGCGCGACAAGGTCGCCATGCACCCGAAGCTGCAAGGCGCAGAATTGAACGTCAGCAAGGCACCCAAACGCCACCACCGTTGGCACCATCGGCGGCGCTGCCAAACAACATCGTCGGGCGCTGCCTGTTCCTGCGGCAGGCCCACAAAAGGCCTCCCGGTGACGCGCAATCGCCAGCGGTGCTGCTAATGTGTCGTACGCCGCCGTCAGCACGCTGACCACACAAACAAAGGTGCGGTCCAGGATGTCACGAAGGGCACCTGACGCAGCGGGAGGCAGCGCAGCAAGCCATGTGCGGCCTCCAACATCGTCCGCCACCCCGCCGTACAGCCAGTGCAGGCGGCGGGTTTCAGCAGCCAGGCTGTGTAGGAGGCGGCTCGCCAGGGCTGACGGCGGCGCCCGTGGCATAGCGGCGGCTTGCGGTGCTGCCGGCTGCCGCGCGGCTTCCAAGGCGGTCCTCGCCAGCAGCTGCGTATCCGCGAACAGCGGTCCCTGCATGTGCTGCTCCAGAAGCTCCATTGCAGCGTCTGAGGGTCCGCCGCCTGCTGGAGTGTACATTAGGGCAAAGCATGAGCTGGACGTGGTGGTATGGCCATGGCATTGATGTGTTTGCCATGCGCCAACTCTGCCGGTGCGCTGCCTTGCTAAACATTAACATAAAGCATTGGCGGGTCAAACTTCACTATCCGAATTGCAAAGAGGAAACGCCTCGTGTCCCCCTACCGGCTTTAGCGCCTCACCTGACCCAGCCACGTGCAGCAGCCGCGCAATCCCCAGTGACCCCGCCAGCAGCACGGAGACGACTCCACCGGCAGGGTGCCAGCGCCCCTCCGAGCGCGCCGTCGCCGAAGTCACCATGTGTTGCACCAACCCTGCTGCAGGCGGCGGTAGCTCCGGCAGCGCTGGCTGCGCTTGCAGTCTTGCCCAGACATAGCCCACTGCCTGACAAAGCAGGCCCTTCGGGTCCACTTCGTATAAGGCCCAAGCGACGCTGCCAGCGCAGGCGTCCGTCCGGGTTGTTGCATGGGGCGTCGCGGCGGATCCGGCGGCGGCAGCAACACCCTCAAGGGTCGCCGTCAGCGATTGCAACGTCGGCTGCAGTGTCGCCAGCAGAGGCTCGCGCAGGTGTATCGGCTGAAGCCGCACTGCCGCCAGGCAGCCCTCCATCAGCCCTCCAGCGACGGCCGTCGCCGAGGCCAATGTGACCCATGGGTCAGTCAAAGACGACGCGCATGACGGCTTGGCTGTGGCCGCCACCATTGCCATCTGCAGCATAGGACCATTGGTGCTACATGCGGCTGCTGTGGGTCCCGTGCATGACGTGGGTTGACAGTCATGATTGCTGCCGCCATAACCTGGGACGGCGGCTGCAGCCGCAACTGCGGCTCCAGCCGAAGCGATGGCGCCGAGATGCTCCGCAGCGGCATGCAGTGCAGCACCCGGACCACAACCCAGCGCTGCGGGAGCCTGAGCCCGGCCTGACGCCGACCCAGCTGCGGCGGCGCTTGGCAGCGACACAGAAGCCGCTGCCGCGCGGGCGCACGCCGCGCCTAGTTGCCGGCACGAAGCATGCAAAGCGGCCAGCGCAGCGATCGACGCCTCGCGCGCGGCGGCTGCATCTCTCGACGCCGCCGCGGCTGCAGCAGCTGTGGCCGGCGCGGCGGCAGCATGCGCTGCTGCGCCTGCTGCGACGATTCCCGCAAGCGAGCCCACGGCGGCGCTAAGGGTGGCCATGAGGGCCCCTAGGAGCTCAGCAAACTGCAGGGGGTCTCCGCCAACCTGGACGTTTGAGGGGGAGGGCCAGGGCAGGGCGTACAGTGTTTCTCACGGAGGCCTCCGGGCCCTTAGCGTAGGCCAGGAAATTGCCTCAGGCAGGTCAAAACGAAGAAACCTGCATAGGTAGCCCAGCTCCTAGGGCAGCGCGGCAGTCCACCTTTTATCTACCAGCACATGACCGTGCCCCTGCCATCGCAACAACGGAAGCAACGCAACTCACCGCAAGCCGCTCCAAAACCAGCTCCGCTGCCGCACAGAGGTCGGTCACCGCCGCGCCCGAGTGCTGCAGCAGGTCAGGAGCGGGGGGGCGTTGCGGTGCTAGGGCTGCGCTGAGGGCCCTGTGCACGGCAACTTGCGGTGAAGGCCCCTGCTGCTGCTGCTGCTGTTGCTGCATCGGCCCTACAGAGTAGGGATACAATGCGAAGGAAGGGCAGGCGCATGGTTAGGGTTTCGCGTGAGACAGCTTAGTGTATGTGAATGACGGGACCGCCACGAGCCACTCAAACCCAGAACGAGGCCTGCTCTAGCTCCGCCCCACAAGCGCGCAGCTCACCTTCCAACGCCTCAAGCCGCATTGAAAGCACGGCTAGCAGCAATAGCGCCGGTGCATGCACTATCCAGGGCACCTCATGCGACTCCAGGAAGCCCGCGAGCCACTGCTGCAACGGCGCAAGGGCCGCTGCACCGCCCGGAGTGCCTGAGGCAGCAGAACGAGGTTACCCCATCCGCAACAAGCTGCGCTACGTGTAACACATCTTACCTGGCGGTCCAGAGATGCTACCTCTGGTCATTGTAAAAGCCCAGCGCGTGAGCAGGCCAAGGAACCTTGGCCAGAACTCCGCCTGCATCCCCGGGTTGTCCGCTGTTCGCTGTAGGAACCATACCGCATCATCGGCATCGGCGCTTGTAAAGGATCCGTGTTTCTGTCTGTGGTTCCAATGCTGGAAGTGAGCAAAGGAGAGGGTCTATCGACCGTGGCCATGGCTGACGATGTTACCTGCTAGCCCACAGCGCCTGGACGAGAGCACGGATCCCATTTACATCGTTATATTCTAGCAAATGACGCAGATGTCCCATTGCCGCAACCTCTATACTGTCACTCGGCTAATAGACTGGCGAAAAGCTCTTGGGATGGCACCAATTGCATACTGCAACTACATCTACTACAGTAACGCGTGAATAGTTACGATCTGCGAAAGAAAATGAGTAGCAGTGATGGCAAGCATAACACATTGTTCGCAGTAGTAATACCGTACGGTTCGTCTGATGGCTGCAATTATACGTCCCATACTATCACGCCCACGGCATTGTAAGACTCAACGTCAACGCAGGTCTGCGGTCTGGCAGCGAAAGCTATAAGGGCCTGCAGCTCGCTACAGCCGCAGCGCAGCTTCCAATTGGCAGCACAGATACCACATCCCTGGTCACCAGGATGTGCTTCGTCAAGCAGTCGTGTCCTGCATGCTCCCAAACGCTCAATCTATGGCAGATACAACGCCCTGCAGTGCCAACCTCGTACGTACAGGGTGAATACTTCTGGGAACATACGGGTACTCGCCACAGAAGACCATACACACCGCAGTCGCAGCTACATGCGAGGAGTAACAATCTCCCTTAAGAGCAGCTGTCATCCTGAGCATGACAATAACGGCCCTCACGAATACGCAGCATACCTTTACAGCTCTTAAGGCACGGTCACTATCATCCGCAGGGTACTGGTCTTCGGGGCTAGAGACGTCCCATTACGTTCCTAAAGTACCTCTTGCTAACTTGCTATGCTAACTGACTGCTCTTCAACACGGGTGCCACCCGGAGCGGCAAGAGCAGCCGAGGTGGCATCCCCTCCGACCGCAGTGTCAGCCTTGTGTACCCGTAGGCCAGAGCCCTTGTCCATATGCAGGCGGCAGCCATGGGGCTGCAGCGGCAGCACCTCCTGTACGACATCAGGGGGGCCTACGCAGCAGCGCAGCCGCTTGGCAGCTGGCTGGGGTTGCGGCGGCGGCGGTGGTGGGCGTCCCTTCCTGTCTCCTGACAGCGGCTCCCCTTCCTCATGCTGCTGCTGCCCCGGCCGCTTCCCGTGCTGTTGCTGATGGCTGGGTTGTGACGGCGGGCGAGGCGGTGCCCGGCCCAGCAGCAGCAAGGCCTCTGCCGCCATCATCCACTCATCCGAGAGCGGCGCCTCCTCTACCTGGCCTTCCCACTCCATTCCACTTTCCATTTCCCACTTGCCTGCCCGCAGCGACGGCTGCTGCGGCTGGAGGTGGGTACTCCGGCCCAGGGAACCCTGCACTTGGCGCGATTGGTCCAGGTCTGGAGAGCTGCGGATGGAGTCGGGATCAGAGCGGGCCGGCGGCAACAAGGCGACACTAGATCCGGCGCCCGGCGTGGCTGCCGGAACAGTACGCCTCAGCCAGACAGGCGCCGCCGCCGTTGCCGCCGCCGCTGCTTCTTGGTGCAACAGGGCAGGGCTACAAGCGCTCGGCGTAGTGGTGGAGGCTTCACGTGCACGAATGACGGGAGGAATTGCGGAGGCCGTGGGTCTAGGGCAAGCGGCACTGTAAGTGTGCACTTCCGCCGCCTCTGCTGCCGAGGCAGCTGCTGTCACTGACACCGCCTTGAGGGGCACCGCGGTGACCGTCACGGTGGGCGGCACCATGATGGCCCAGGGCTGCGGCTGACAGCGGCCCTTGAATTGAAGCGCCGGCGCTGCAGCATCCGCGGCGGCAACCGCGGCAATAGTCGCTGCAGCGGGCAAGGACACCATGAGAACGGGAACGGCTTCCTCTTGCCGTACGCTACCCGTCGGCACCTGCTGTGGCGTTATTTCCTTCCTCAGCACTGCCACTACCTGCGGCCAACCTGCTTGACAGGGCTTGCGCTCAGTGTCCTGAAACCCTCCCTCAGACGCACGTGCGGGAGCCCCGGGCGGTGCCTCTTCAGCGCTGCCGCTCACCACAGCAGCTCCGTCGATCCTCCTGTCGTACCTCCCGCCAACCGCCCAATCGCGTTTCCCGCCGCCGCCGCCGCCGCCGCTGGCCGCACCGCCAGAGCCTAGCGCGTCAGGCGCTGCCCCCCTGCATGGCAAGGGGTACGGCCTAAGCAGCGGCGGCACCGGCAGCGACAACGACCTTGGGTGCTGTTCGTACGGCCGACCAACGGGCGAGCGAGGCGGGGGCGGCACGGAGCCCACTGCCGGGACCAGAGAGGCTATCGCCTTGCTGAATATTGACGCCGGTTCCGCTGCGGCTGCCGCTGCGGCCGTCAACGTCACTGGGTTGAGAAGCCGAAGCGTGGGGGGTGGAGGCGGCCAGGGTAGTAATGTGCGCTTGAGGCTGGCGTCGGGGGCTGAGCCAGCGGTGCAAGGCATGATGGGCGCGGCAGTGTCGTTGGTGCAGCTGCCAGTAACGTAACGGTAGCTGCTGCCACCGCCGGGTTCGACTTCTTTGGAAGTGCCTTCCACTGGGCTACCAAGCAACGCAGCAGTGGTGTCGTCTGCCGCCACCGCCATCGTAGCCGTCGCTACTACCCTCCTCCTATTCACGCCTTCATTCTTAGTCGCCACAGTCGCCACCTCAACCTCCATCGCCGCAACCGCTGCCGCTGCTGTTCCTGCTGCCGCTGCTGTCGGCTCCCAACCCACCTTCCCCCGCTTGCAGCCGCCCCCGCAAGCCACCAAAGGCGGCTCCAGGCGGCTGTCGATGGCGCATTCCGGCCCAGCCCCCGGCGCCTCCTGCGCTCCCGCCGGCCGAGCTGCCGTACCTCCGGAGGCGGGGGTGACCGGATCGGCAGCATGCGGCCTGTTGGACAGCTCGGGCGGGAGCCCCCCTGCGGGAGCCGCAGCAGCAGCGGACCTGCTCCGGTGGTGGCCCCGGCGGGTTGTTGCGTTTGCCGCAGCAGCTGTGTTGGGGGCGCCGCTGGAAGCGCTCGCGGTGGTGACGGCGGAGTTGCAGTGCCGCTGGTACCTGAGACCACACCTGAGGTAAGACGAGCAGCGGGTTCGTTGGGTAATGTTGGTAAGAGTGGCAGTGTATTGGTGGCCATTGCATACATGCAAGGGTTGAACCGGAATCGTTGCGTGCCGTCGCCCTAAATTTAAACACCCAGAAACATGACAGGAAGAAGGAAGGCCTGCCAAAGTAAATAACTAAACACGAGGTCCGCCGCATTCAATTCAAGCCCCCGCTACGGGCACCAAGCCTTGCTGCTACCGGTACAGCACCGGTATCAGCGCCTGCTCGCAGCCACCAACACCGTACCTGTTGCAGAGGTTGGCAAAAACGTTGGGACCGCACTCCGGCAGCGGCCAGCCCCGACGCCAGCAGCCGCCCGTCTCGCCGGTGCCGCACTGGGCGCAGCGGTTGGGCAGCGTGGGGCGCGTGGCAATGAAGGCTGGGATGCTTGCGGATGCGGGCTGATGACCCGTGGGTCGCTGCACGCCTGCTGATGGTGCTGATGCAGCGGGCACTGCTGCCGGTGGCGAGATGCGCATTGGGGCGGCTGCAGGTGAGACTGGGACAGCCGGTGTAGCGGGTAGGATTGTGGGAGGGACGGAGGAGGTGGGCGGTAATGGAGGTGACTGGGGTCTTGCCGCGTCCGGAGGGTCAAGGTGGGGCGCTTGGGAGCCGAGCAGCGGCGCTGCCGGGATCTGTAATTGCTGACGCAATTGCACCTGAGCCGTGCTGACTGGAAGGCGCCCTTGTTCCTGCAAATGGTACTGGTGGTCACCTTTCCCGATGTCCGGACGGAGGGGATCTAGGGCGGGAGATGTCAGCACTGCAGGCCATTTTGCGGGGGCGGAGGGATGAGTCGAGGTGCGCACCGCGCGAGCAGCAGGAGCTGCTGCTGCCGCCCTGGCACCTTGCGTCGCTTGGCACACCGCAACCTGGCCCCTCCGACCTCCGTTGTCTGGCCGTAGTTGCGGTAGGGGGTGGAGCTGTCCTGCATGCGGCGGGTGCTGGCGCCAAGACTGGTGTGACAGAGGCAGCGGCAGCTGCAACAGCTGCTCAGGCGGGGGGGACACGCCGGGCTCCGAGACTCCCCGCAGGGGCTGCTGCCAAGAGTCACCTGCTGGCGGACTACTCGGTGGTGCAGCCACAGCTGCAGCGGCCGGGAAGCTACTGCTGGCATCCAGGAAGGGCGGCGGCCAGGTGGGGGACCGCCGCTGCACTGCTGGCGCTGATGACGTATGGCGACCGCAGGAGCCCCCAACAGCAGGCCGCGCGTCTTGGCGTTCGCGGGGTGCTTCCGCCGCCCCGGGCGGGGGCGAGGGCGGCCGGGCCAGCGGCTGCGCTGACGGCAGCGGCTCCCACACAATGTGGACGCCGGAGGACGCGGTAGGGCCCCGGCGCTCAGCCGTTGCATGGGTCGAGCCTACCGCACCACCCAGGGTGGTGTGGGTGTTATCGCTGTCGCTGCCGTGCCTGCTGCTGCTGCCGCTACCGCCGTTCGCATTGCTGGCGACGCCGCTGCCGTACGTTTCCTTACCATGTTCAGAGGAGGTAACAGACGTCGCTATGGCCGTGGCAAGCGTCTCGAGGCGCGCTCCAGCAGTGTCGTACCCAACTGCCGTATTTGTGTCCGCAGGAAAACCAAGGGTACTGTCTGGGACGGCGGACTGGCCGGTCCGTTCGGGTGAAGCTTCATAGCTGCGCGCGGTAACGTCAATCGCTGAATGCGCGTCAGGCGTGACTGCCGCTGCTGTTGCTGCTAGCACGTCCGTAAACGCATAGGCATCACCAAAACGCATAGGCGCCTCTGTTCCGGGGTCCTGGCGACCGCCTTCTAAATGATTCGGTTGGAGCATGGGGTAGCGGCGGGTGGTATGTCGAGGAGCTCGGAACGGAAGAAGGGCGGATGGCTGCGAGACGTCTTGGCTGGTGTGGGAGGTCACAGGCTACGGTCCGTTGGCGTGCAGATCGAGGCACCGGGGCGAGGCAAGCAACCGCGTCGCGCAGGACGGAAGTGGGGACCACACGCCGAGGCGAAGGAATATGCTAGGAGTAAGTTTTTGAACTAAGCACAAGCTGGTTAGCCTGCAGGAAACGTCCCGGCGATCGGCCTGTTTAGCAGCTTCCCGAATGGCCACGCCAGTGCGTGGAATCTTGAGGTTGGCCGGGCGCTGATCAGATCCCCGAGGCAGCCGAATGGAGCAGCATGTAGAGAGCGGCAGCTGCTTGCTTTGCTGCTGACTGGCCGGCGGGGCTGACTGGCCTTTGATCGCGGTTGTGGTGGGGCTCAGGGAACACTCGTTGGGTCG